GCGGGATGGGCAGAGGTTGGAGGAGACCTGACGGCTGTTGGTTCGAGGGCTTGTTTCGCTGACATGAATCACAGGAGACAACCCAACTGCGAGCGTCCTGTGCCATTCGAGGCCAGTAGAACGATTCCGACAGACGCAAATAGGTCTTATCGACGCCAAAGTGGGAGGCGGCGTTCGAGTCATGGCATTCGCGGAGTAGGTCGCGTCTCCCACTCTCAGACGCCTCGCGTCTCCCACTCTCAGACTCCTCGCGTCTCCCATACCCAGACTCACCGAGTCTCCCCTCAAATTCACACCGCCGCTGCTTCATCCGCCTCCTCCATCGATTTGTCGCGTTGGACTCAGCAGATACGACACGGCTACAAGTCGGATGAGTTCGCTGCGTCTGTCCTCAACGGCAAACCTACCTCCGGCGCCACTTTCTCCCAGTACTCAGTCGTCGATGGCCTCATCCGCTTCGCCCCCACGCGAGAAAGCCCCGTCCGTCTGTACATTCCCCCGTCGCTCCGCACACGCCTACTCCGTGAATGCCATGACTCGAACGCCGCCTCCCACTTTGGCGTCGATAAGACCTATTTGCGTCTGTCGGAATCGTTCTACTGGCCTCGAATGGCACAGGACGCTCGCAGTTGGGTTGTCTCCTGTGATTCATGTCAGCGAAACAAGCCCTCGAACCAACAGCCGTCAGGTCTCCTCCAACCTCTGCCCATCCCGCCTGCTAGATGGCATACTGTGACCATGGACTTCGCCGGTCCTTTCCCCGCCTCCGGCGGAGGCGACGGAGGGACCAGATCATGGCTAAACATTCCAGCTCGGTAGCGGTGTATCGTGTCTCTGTATCGGAGAGAGCGCGCGAGAGATAAATGTTGGGGTGCTCGAGGTTGTTTTCGTCTTTCTGGGTAAGGATGGCGCCGAGGCCGAAGGTGGACGCGTCCGTATAAAGGGTAAAGGGTTTCGAGAAGTCGGGGTGAGCAAGGACGGGCGTGCTCATAAGGGATTGGCGCAGGGTATCAAAAGCGTGCTGGCAGTCAGCGGTCCAGGACCAAACAGCGCCAGGAGGGGTCAACTTGAACAGAGGGGCGGCGATAGTAGCGAAGCCCTTGATGAACTTCCGATAATATCCAACCATTCCTAGCCAACGGGAGAGAGCAGCGGCGGAAGTCGGCACGGGGAATTTCGCGATTGGCTCGACGTGAGTGTCAATCGTCCCAATGCCAAGGTTGCTGACCGAATGGCCAAGCGCAGTGATGGAGTTGAACGCAACATGGCTTTTAGACAGCGAAAGAGTGAGGCCGGACTTCGCGACAAGGGACAGAACGGTGTCGACGTCGCGCAGGTGCTGATCAAATGAGCGGCTATAGACGATAATATCGTCGATGTAGACGAGCGCTATCTGCCATTTCCAACGACCGAGGACCTTATCCATAAAGCGCTGGAAAACAGCGGGGCCGTTGCGAAGACCGAATGGCATGGTTCGATATTGGTGGAGTCCGCGGTGGGTGCGGAACGCAGACTTCTCTTGGGCGGCTTCGTCGAGAGGGATCTGGTGGAAACCCTTATTGGCGTCAAACGTGCTAAACCAGCCCATACCATGGAATTGACTCAGTAAGTCGTCGATGTTGGGAAGTGGGTACTGGTCTGGCTTGGTCATGGCGTTCACCTTGCGATAGTCAACACAGAAGCGCTCTTTTCCCTTCTGCCGGACGAGAATGGCAGGGGAGGCCCAGGGGGAATTACTCTCTTCGATTATTCCATACTCGAGAAGTTTGTCGACGGTCTCGTCGATCGTCTGGCGACCTTGGGGAGATGCACGGTAGGGAGGGGTCGAGATTGGATGGTGATCACCAGTGTCAACGGACATAGTAGCTAACGTTGTGTAGCCTATTTTCCGCGAACCGTAACCAAAAGCACGACGATTCTTCCAGAGAACTTCGCGCATCTGGGCCGACTGCAACGTGTCGAGTGCCGGGTTGATGGCTATGTCGTCGATGGGGAACTCTTCTTTGTTCGGGGTCTGGGAGACGCTATGCGTCTGAGGAGGGGAGACGTTGGACGTCTGGGAGGCGGAGACGTTAGACGTCTGGGGTTGGGAGACGCTAGGCGTCTGGGGTGCGGAGACGCTATGCGTCTGGACGTCGATCGGCGCGGGCGGTCGAGTCAGGGGACGCGGGTGACCGAGGACGCGGCCGCGTGAGACGATGATCGGCTTCTTCCCGACGTTCATCATTAAGACGAAGTGGGTGGTTGAGTCTCTGTTCCCGACGGAGCGCGCGACATGGAGGTAATCACCCGTCGGCACAGGGTCGAGAAGGTAGACGTCTGTGGGTGGAAGGTGGCCGGTGTCCACGGCGACGCGAGCTTGGTGGCCTGGAAGGAGCGTGAGGCGCTGGCGGAGGCGGAAGGCGTCCGGTCGAGGGGTGGGGTCGGGCATGGGTGCAGCATCGGGGACTGCATTGGTGCACTCGATGGGGATGGTGCCGCCGACGTGTCGGAAACGGAGCGCGAGGGAGCCGAGGTCGATCTGAGCGCCCATGGGGTGGAGGATGTCATTACCCAAGATGACCCGGGCGCTTTCGGTGTCCGCGAGGTAGAAGTTGGCGGGAATGACGGCTTCGCCACCTTCAGCCGTGGGGAAGTGAAGGTCGGTCGTGAGGAAGGATGCGCATTCGGCAGCGCCGAGACCGGTGAGTTGGAACTTCTCAAGTCGCTGGCAGGTGAGCGTCGGTAAATGCTCATCTGCGTAGGCCGCGTTCATCAACGTGATCGCCGCGCCGGAATCGATCACAATGTCTCGAAGGGGAGAACCTTCGACATCGGTGGCGAAATGGGCCTTCGCGATGGCAGGAGACTGGTCATGGCGGACGGGTGGCTCGCGGCTGATGGACAAGCGGGGAAAGGAGTCGAGAGGGTCGGAGGTGTCGGGACGACGCGGTTGGATGTCTATGTCGCGGTCTTCGTCGGTGGAGATGACGTCTGGTCCGAGGAAGAGTGGGTCGTCGACGATTTCGGACGTGGCTGACTCATCGTCAGGAATGACCGTGTCGGGAGCGGTCTCGCTGGGTTCGACGACGATGGAGCTGGGCTCGAATACAGTCGGCGGAGTTGACACATGAAGCGCGAGGGGAGAGGAGACTCGTGGAGTCTGTTGAGGGGAGGCTCGGGGAACCTGTGGGTGGGAGACTCGAGGAGTCTGGTTGTCGGACGAAGGTGGTGAGTAAACAACTTCCTGCGCGTCGGAAGGGTGCTGATGTGTGACTGCAGAGGGCCTTACGAATACGGTAAACGCTCCCGGGGGTTTCGAGTTACCAAGAGGGGTGCCATTCGCGGAGGCGGACGCAGGGCGGAAATTGGACGGCCCATTGTTTTCAGGACGAGAAGCCAGACGGAAGTTGCCGTATGCTGGGGCAGACGAGGGCGGCTGAGCGGGCGGGGCCATGCTCTGCGCGGGACGGGCAGGTGGAGCTGCTTGTTGGGGACAGTCTCGGTTCCAGTGCGGACCCTGGCAAAAACGACACGGAGTCCTCGGGGGCGACTGAGTAGAAGAGGGGGTCTGGTCGTCGCGTTGCTGGTGTCGGTTACGTGGAGGAGCGTTGTCCTGGCGGCAGCGAGAGAGCTCTGGTCGCATCGAGGGCTCACCGTCGATGAGGGCTCGGCGGAAGTCATTGAGGTTGGGATACAGCCGGGCGTCAGCTTTTGCATGGATTCGGGGAGACCGTTGATGATGTCGTCGATACGGTCGACGTCCGGGGTGCCAGCGGGGTAGAGGTGGCGTTGCAGGGACCTCTTGTCATCGAAGTATACGGCCAGCGATTCCGTAGATTTGAGGCGGCGGAAGATGCACTTGGTGCGTAAACGCGAGGCGTGGTTCGCACCGAGATATACAGACCGGATCGCTGCAGACCATTGCGACCATGTGTGTAAGGACCGGCGGCGCTCGGGCTCGAGGTCGGTGAACCATCACTGCGCGGAACCTTGGAGAAGGGCGGGCAGGAGGAGGAGCAAATCTGTGTCGGCAGTGCCGGAGAACTCGAAGATGGCAGTAACAGAGGTAACCCAGGTGTCGACGTCTTCGTCGTCGTGGCCGCGGAACTTTGGGAACATCTCGTGCTTTAGCTTGGGGGCATGGGGGCGACGCGGGGGAGGGGACACTGGGGTGGCCTCGCGTGACTGGCTGAGATGAAGAGATCGCATCTCGTCGCGCATGTCGGCCATCGAAGACATCAAGAAACGGTTTTGTTGCATAAGGAAGTCAACCGTGGGCGCGGAGGAGTGGGTGCCGTGGACGAGATCGTGGGGAGCGGTCTGCGGGGTATGGTCAACGGAAAGAGGCGGGTCCGACTGACTCGTACCGTTGTCGACTTCGGACTGGAGGCTGTGGGGAGCAGCTCCATCGACAACGGGCGAGGTTGGAACATGTGGTTCGGAAGGAAGAAGGGGAGTTAGCGGAGATGAGCTATGGTCGGCGGGGGCGGAACCTTGCAAGGGTGCATCGCCTTGACTCCGAAGGTTTCGGCGGGTGGGCTGGACTGCCTGGTCAGACATGACGGAGACACCTATGAGTAGAGATGTGGTAGGAAGACTCGAGGAGTCTGGTTAGTGGGGAGACTTGTGGGGTCTGATGAGTGAGGAGACTCGTGGAGCCTGATAAGTAAGGAGACTTGTGGAGTCTGGTATGTGAGGAGACTCGTGGAGTCTGGTATGTCGTGTGAAGGCCTATAGCCTAGCTCCTGCAGAAGCTCTTCCTGAGCTTCACGATTTGAAGACGAGGTGAGGTGACCGGTGTATGAGACTGCGAGACCGAAGCGCTGGCAAGCGGTGCAGTATGAGCGGCGTCGTAGAGTAAAGAAATCTATCTAGAACGCAAGAGACAAGAACACGGAAGAACGAGAAAGAAAATTTTGTGTTTTGTGGGTATTTTATAGAGGAAGGAAAAACGAGTCGTATTTTTGGTTGTCGAGAGGGTAGCTACTCCTCGGACGGGGTTTTGAAGGTTTTAAAAGATAACAGACGAAAATTGGTGAATTGATAGAGTTGGGAGGGCGAAGACGCTGAAAAGACTTTCCCAGTTAGGCCCCCAAGTTGTGGCAGTGTCTGGAGACAGAGCACAAACTATGGTCTAATAAGTCTGGGTTAGAGTCCGGAGCGTCCTGTATCTCTTTGGGGTCGGCTGGGGCGAGTGCGGCGAGCGGTGTGCGAGCTGTACGAGGAGTAGCCGAGGAAGTAGAAGAGATAGAATAAGGATAGCCAGGAGGTTCTTCTCTAGGCGTAAAGCTATAGAGAAGAGAAAGCTCCTGGGTCTCCGACATGCATCAGGGCCTACGGACGGAAACAGAAACGGAACGGAACAGAGGTATCGCCGTGACGCCGGGAGTGTGGCGTTGGTGGATGTCATGTGGCGGTCACGCTACAACGAGCCTGTGAGTTCACTCTAGCTGCAAGACTGATCTGTTGCTGACGTTGTGGCTCGCTATAGGAGGAACCTTTCCCGGGCAAGATCTCAAAAACGGAAGCTGCGAAGAAAGAGCATATTCTCATGATTCAGGACAAATCTTACACGGAAAGGGCTATCGGGGCACTGAAAGTACTCTACAGGTAGGCGTTGGCTCACATCTTGCTACGTGAATCAGCTGATGAGCTCCGAGTAGCAATCTCTCCGACGTCAGTGCCGACTTGCAGGCCAAGATTGATGAGGACATCGCTTCTTCTGCTGCTCACAACAAAGAGCGGGAGATTCATAAGGAGAGGCTGCACGCGGAGATTGCAAAGTGGGAGGACATCAAGGCGAAGGCTGGTGATTCCTTTCCAGGAGCGGATACCGTGAGTTCAACATCATCTTTTTGTTTCGTGGGGTCTACTAGTACTGACCTGATTATGCAGCTTAACCAAGCAGGATCTGACTCCTCAGAGATGACTGCTGCTGATCTAGAGGCTTTGAACAAGGCTTGCTATCTCGCCAGGGATACCCTCATAATGGCGGCAAAGGACATCTTGCAAGTCTTAGAAGAAGACGAGCAGAGAGGGGCTCCTTCGTCGTCCTCGACTTCAAGGCAGAAAGGAACGGAACGTGGTGGCAGTCATTGAGTATCGTTTCTGACTAGGGACGTGCAACTACAACACTCGTCAACTCTTGAGGAACGGGGCGTTACAGTTGGCTACTTACTATGATATCGAAGCGACGTTGTTGTTGATGACGTATTATGAATGATCATTGCATTTGTTGATATGCTTATACATGACTGTGAATTGACCATATCGCTGCTCAGGTCGCCGTATCTACGGGCAGAATGGCAGAGCCTGCATCGATGTGGCCAATAATTTGCTTTCACCACAGAATAGAGGCGCAGGGGGTCGCTGCTAACGTCGAGCCGCCTCGCTTCATCCTCGTGCCGTCATCAGGCGCTTACCGTCATATATATTTTTCTCGTTACTTGCTATCAACAGTCAGATATTGCCACCCCCCACCGTCACCTTATGCCTCCCTCACTGAAAGCAGAAAGCACAATGGCCCACATCTCCACTCCTGCTGATTCTCCGTCCAATGCCGTGGCACACGACGACGCGGCTCCTTCTCCTACCCCCCCATCCTCCCCACCCCTATCTCCTTTGGAACCAGCCGAGACTGCCCATGGAGAAAGGCTGCGCCGGAGTCTACTTGTTCACAGTATCGTGGATACTATCTTGCGTTTGCAGGATCGAGTCAAACGCTTGGACACTCCTTCCTCGGATACCTCTATCTTCACTGTAGGTCTTCCTCTTTACACATCTACCGCCTGGTCTCAAGAAGTGAGCTTATGTCTTACTAGAGCGCAGAATTCAGGCACAGAGCGGAAGAGATGACGCGCCTCGGAAAGGACGACCATTCAGAACCTGAACTTTCCTCGGACCTAGACATCATTTACAGCATCTCACATCTCTTACACCTTGCGAAGTAGGCGTGTCTGATGCGCATACTGTATACCAGCGTTGACACTTCTATAGCGATCTCGATGGAATCGAGGAAAGCATTCAGCAGCAACAGCACGCGACAAGCAGCTCTTCATTGAGGCAGAAAGTGATGACGGGCGCAAACTCTCGAATGCACCTCAAGATGGCCAAAGAGGCCAGAGAGGGTATGCGACACGCATTCGATGAGTATGATGTGAGTCACACGCATATCCTTCTGTCTCAATACCCCACCGGTATCGTGAAAACAAAGAACCTGGTTGCTGACGTGATGTTGTTCATCATTATGTTTGCTTCCTCAGCGCTGGGAGATGATGCGCCGCCACTATGTATCAATGAAGATCCAAATGTCACAAGGCCAACACTTCAATCAGAGTAGGGTGCTAGCCGAGCAACGGGACGAGAGGGATAGTCATGTCGCAACGCAGGTCGCAGAGCTGTACCGAGTCATTGTGACAGACCAGGGACTTCAATACTCCTCCGACGACATCCGTCTCCCCAAACCATGGTCCCTGAACAAGAGCACTTTTGCACCTCCCGAAGAAGAGAGGCGGAAGATGTCGCCAGATGAGCTGCTTCTTCAGGCAGACAAGCTGGATGACGAGGCGAAGACGACGTTGACCAAAGAAAGGGTCTTGAAAGAAAAGATTGAGAGAAGGCGATCGTTCTTGAACAAGCAGTTCATGGAAGCTGATGCATTGGCCAAACTGATGAGAGAGGAAGCTGAGAAGAAGAAGGTGGTGAAGACGGGGTGGCTCATGTGGTAGTACTAGGGGAGGATTGATGTATAGTACACGAGCACAGTATCATGCATGTGAAAGTGCGGATTGTGATGCCAGAGCGGTACGCTCTAATTAAGGCTGCTCAACGCCGGGCCGCGATAGATGTTGCTGCTGCTAACGACTTGTCAATTTGCTGCGTGCCAATGGCAACCTTGCGCGCCTTGCTACATGGTCGCCCCTCGCGATTCACACGTGTAATGGGTGTTGCATCACAATATATAATGGGATGACTCTTGGAGTCGCTCGTCCCGACCAACTTTGCCATTCGGTTATCACTCGAAGGCAAGTATGAACCCGTCTCGCCCCGCTACAAACGCCAACAACAACGACTGTCCGGCTGCCTCACCCCCGGTGGCCACTGTCTCGCCACCGACTGCTCGAGACAATAAGAGGATTGAAATCGAGTCATATTCGGATGATATTGTCGCACGTATCAAACGCCTGGACAGGCGTCTCAAGCCCTTGGAGACAACTTCTTCAACAAGTATTTGCTCCGTACGTCTATCGCGTCTAGTAGATTATCGAAGCATCACAACATCATAGCTTATCGCTGAGATCATTTACAGAGCAGCGCATGTGAAAATATGATCATCAGGCTCGGAGCCCACAAGTGGCTCATGACACTAAATCTCGAGGAGAGCACGCCTCTGGATTCGTCGTTTCTCGATCAATTGCTAGCGTGAGAATTTCGTCTGCTCTTCAACACCACACAAAGACTGACAGTTTATTTCAGCTCTCTCGTGCTCATTGAGGGCGATCTCGACCTCATCAGCCCAGGAAAGAGGTGGAGAGGGGCTCGGGACCGCGAAATCCGGCAAGTGAAAGCAAGAGAGGCCAGGGAAAATTTGCGGGAGGCGTTTGACAAATTTGAGAAGGTGAGCAGCCGACAAGAGTTCTAGTCTCGTTTGAGAAGCGCCACTACCTTCGCCACAAGAAGATGAGCTGATACGAGTACTGGTACTCGTACTTCAGCAATGGGACGGTCAACGTAAAGAAGACAAATATCGGAAGATTGCACATAGACTGCTGGAAGGTCAGACAGTCACGTTTGAGACGATGACGGCGATGTCTCAATCGCTCGCCAGAAGCCAGCAGGGCATCAGCAGACGTGTCGGATCTGAGAAGACATACCCTGACCCCCCCGGAATTTGGGTGTTATCCGACAAAATCAATGTACCTTCGGCAGAGGAGAGAAGAGCAATGTCGCCAAAGGAATTGCATAGCCTAGGAGATAACATTGAGAAGGAGTTGGAAAATGCAATGCAGAAGGAGACGAAGTTTCAGCGTGAGATGGAAGCGAGGCGCGTCTCCCAGAGGGAAGAATTTGTCGTTGCTGAAGATGTCGTCGAGAGTTTGAAAGGGCGAGCGAAGAGGGAGTCGGGGGTGGAGATGGGTGGATGTGGCAGTGAAATTCAGTAGTGATCCAGCACGAGTATGTATCTCCGTTGGAGGTCCAACGTATAGCGGGCGGCCGGCAGTCCGCCACGTTGAACGAGTGACGGGAGTCGCAAGCATTCGACGAGGGCTGCTACATCGCCCTACGTAGCAGACTATAGACTCCCATATGTCTTAAGTATAGAACATTTGCACTGGGGCCTGTGGTACTTCAGAATAAGCCTGATTCTGTTACTACTCTGCGCGGGAAGGAAATGAACCAAACAAAATCACGATACCGAAAGCTATTGTCCTCCCTCAATGTGCACTATACCTCGTTTGCCATAATCAAAGTAAAAGAATATCGTCTGCATAAGCTGTTCAATACAACAGAGTGTAAGACGAAAGAGTCTGCTGCACAAGATCGACCATTATATATATCGTGCCGGCGGCCGGTGGCTGAGGTACAGCGGGACCAGATTTACTGCAGCTCAGCTGCAGCTACATCTTCTGAACTGGTTCTCAAAGTCAACTCAAAGTAGTAAAGCCGTCTCCCACTGCCCAGCATGTTCGCCCGCCTCGCATTCGCCCGCTCTATCCACACCACCCCCCGCCTCTTCTCCGCCACAGAAACCATCGAGGCCTCCCTCCGAAATGCCCTCAAGGCTGCTATGAAGTCCAAGGACAAGCCCGCCGCTGCATGCCTCAAGGTCAGCTCTATGCCATCTATAGATACTGCCACAGGTAAACGGATGATTTTACTGATGGAAGATACTATTCATTAGTCTATCTTGTCTGATGTGACGAACGCTGCCAAGAGCGGACCTAATCCCAACGAGCCTGCGACGCAAGAAAGCATCATCTCTGTCCTGCGTAAAGGTCTCACTCAACGCGTAATTCCCTTTCATTCCATCTCAAAACTGTTTGAAAGCTCACAGACGTATAGACACAAGCGGCAGAGTCATATGCCCCCTCTTCACCCTCCGCCCATCCCGAGAACCACGCCTCCCTCACAAAAGAGATCTCCCTCATCCGTTCATTCCTCCCCGCCGCCCCCTCTGAAGAAGCAGTCCAGGCTGCTGTGACCAAGATTATACAAGCGCTACCAGAGGATGTGCGGTCTTCTAAGGGCGCGGCTGGTAAGGTTCTGCAGACGTTGTGGGAAGAGTTGGGCGATGGGAAGGCGGCGGTGGACAAGAAGGCTGTGGGCAAGTGGGTGCAGGACTCATTGAAGAAGTAGGGGGCCGTTATCAGCTTATTATGATCACCACTCATGTATGAATACTACGTTTCCGTGCTTCTCAATCGTGTAGGACGGGAGCACAGTCTTGTATATACCCCGGGCTTAAACATTACAAGCCTGATGCACTGTACGAGTACATATATATGCGGATAATGTTATACGAGCGATGCTCATCTAATGCCAGAGCGCCTTGTCATACACTATCGCCTTCCTTGATAACGATTTTCATCTCGCCCATGATACTCTGACCGCTCATACCCTCTCGTGTCACGACCCGACACTGGCGGGCGATAATGTTCCTCCCTCGGCTCAAATGCCGGCTGTTGCTTCCCCGCAGGACGCCATGAGCTCACAGGCAGGGAATCATCTGCAGCAAGCGGTCGATGATCTCGCCAGTCGCGTCGATCAGAGTAGTACCCTTCTGCCGGTGCCCGCGGGCCGGGTAGAGGGGATCCATGCGCGTCGTGTCTGTAGTCGCCTTGCCTTTGTGGAGGAAGGTAAGGGGCAGGGGGTGGTGGGAGATGATGTTGGTGAGGGGGCGACCAATTCCTCTCTCGGCGATATGACTCTGGGTAGTCGTGGGCTGGAGAAGGGAGACGAGGAGGAAGCGCTCCCTGTCTCCGGAGAGAGTCGTCGTATGCGTGATACTCACGTCTGGGAGAATGGTTCCAGTCCTGCTCGCGGTGTGTTGTGTATCTATGGTGGGACGCTGGGTCGCGTACAGGTGAATTGGATCGCCCATGGCTCTTTGGCTTTTGGCTAGCGACTGGCCTATGAGGAAGAGATGCTGGGGGCGGTCTCGGCTTCTGAGCTGCCTCGTCCACTAGAACGTGCGCTTTGGACAGCGCTTTCTTGGCTTCCTTCTTCTCCTTCTGTGTCAGAGGGATACCGGCAGCTTCTTTCGTAGCTCTCTCTTCGGCCAACCTCTTTCTTCTCGCGAAAGCGCTCTCTTCCTTGTCGAACGGCATGTCGGACGTCGCGGAGGATAAAGAGATGTCGGATTGTGTTGGGCGGGGTTCAGGATATGGCTGTCTGGGAGAGCGCGGCTCCCTCGGCGAGCCTGGTGATCTCGCCGCATTCCCCACTAATCCATGTCTGACCTCTATACCCTTCCTCTTCAACGCCTCCTTCCCCTTCTCCACCCACTTGGCATGAAGCTCCTTGTCTTTGTACCAATGCTGGAACGTCTCGTGCGATGGAAGTGTTTCAACTGTCGGTTCTTCGACACCATCCACATTGAGAGCAAGGTCCAGCCCGCCAGACCTCACCCAGAAAGGAACGTTGGAGACGTAGCGTAGCTCGTCGAGTATTCCAACGACAGCCAGTAGCACTTCGTCCATCTCTCCTTGAGACTCCTCAGCGGTTTCCTTGTCGGGTGTGGCTCTAGAGTTAGGGTTGATCCCTGCAGCCAAACGACTGGTGAGGTTGACCTGTTCATCGAATTCGGGAATGACGATCTGGCTCCACGGTTGAAAAACGGCTTTGAGGGGCGAATCGTCCAGGAGGACCGTTGTCTTTTGGGAGAAGGAGAGGGGTTGATTGAAGTGGGTAGTTTGATTGAGATGATCGATGACAAGGTTGAGATTCTTGGTCGTTTGAACTTTTCTGGCTTCAATAATGGTCAGCAAGCGCGATATACACAAGAACGCTAACTCACAATAATCTTGCCCACTCAAGCCCATCTTGTCTCTGGCCCATACACCTATTAATCTGCCCTCCCCTCCCTTCATAGCATCAACACTTGTCTCCGTCTGATCCTCCCAGATACCCTCAATCCATTTTTGCCCGAAACAAGCCTCGACCATTGCCCGCACATTATGCGGCTGGGCTGAGGACCAAACAAACACCTCCCACGGGCGTGGACCGTCTGCATGGTCTGGTTCAGGAAGGAAGAGGTATTCCAGAAAACAACACAGGTAAGGTCTCGGCAGGGGAGTAGAGCCTGATGATCTTCGGCGGTAGACGAGAGCACCGTTCAGGTCGAGAACCAACAATTTGGGTATGATTTTGTCTGATATCAGAGTGTCTTTGTTTTCGCTTGTCGGCTTTGCGAATTCGAGATAATCATCTGGGGGAAGATTGACAACAGGAGGATCCTTTTTGAAGTGCTCCCGTCCTCTAGAGGGGCTTCTCAGTCTTCTGTAAGCTCCCGGAAAGTCATCATTGGAGCTGATCACGTTTCTCCATCCTGGCCTGCCATCGGAGCCCATTTGACTCTGTATTTGGCGAGAAGGCTCTTGGTAATGATGGTCGTAGTGTTTGAATGCTCCAGGTACATGACGTCGGGCTCGCCATTCGGGCAGAGGTGGGGGCGAGGAGGAATCGACAGGCCATGAGGGGCTGTAGCCGCGTCGAGGTTGGGGAGAAGCACGTCTATCGCGATTTGGGACAGGGCCGCTATATAACAGCCTGGGGGGTGAGGAATATTGGCTTGAAGGACTGGCCAGAGCTCTGTATGGAGTCAGTGGCTGATGGGCAATGGTTCCACATTTAACGTACTGAGGATTTGAGGTAGACATAAGGTTGGAGACTCTGCGCCGTATGAGCAGCATTCAGAGGACTCGAGGGGGGATGGGGTCGGCGGGGCGTCTATATCGCCTGTGGTGGGTCTATAACAGTGCTGAGTTTGGGGGCGAGTCGATAAACACGGTTGGGCAAGCAGATATAGATTTCGAGGGGCGATTTGTTGACAAAAACGCGCGCCATTTGGTTCCGCCGGAGTTCAGAGTAGAGAGTAGACATCCATTGTCCTTTCCTTTTGAATGTCCCAGTGCCACCAGGAGGCATAGGCTGACGCTTGCTGGTGTGACTCCTGAGATGATCTCTGACTGCCTGCAGAAGTCCCCCCCCTCTGATCATGCCTCTGCCGTTCTTTCTGACACCTCTTCTTCTCATACCTTACTACCAGCGCCGAATCACAGACTCCGTCACAGCTTGGATTAGACGATGCAACTCACAGTAAGCCTTTCTATGCTAATGAGGCTGAAGCTGACAGTTTATAGAGTGTTCGGGCCACTGGAGCAAGCAGTTGCGGCAGTGGTCATAATCGGCCTCGCCATGCAACAACCTCCATTTCTCTGGGGAGCTCCGCCGCCTATCATGAACTATCCGCTTTTCATGCCACAGCAGCAACAATATCCTCCTGCTCGTTACAACCAGCCTCAATCCCCTTCATCAGACCCTCAAGTCTCTGATTCACCGCAACGCATTCAAATACCTACAAATGAAGCCAAAGTCGCTCTCTCGCTACAGGGGATCCTCAAGTCATTCCTCGACGATACTTGGCACCCCGATCCAATGGCTATCGGCATAATCCTTCTGGCTCTTAACCTCATCAAGGGCCTGGTACCGGATGGTATGATGAAGAGGCTGAAAACTTCGTGGGATCTGTTTTGGCCGCCTTGGCAGGACAGAAGCGCGGCGAGAGGCGAGCCTGCGAAAGGGAAGAGCATACCTGCTAGTGCAGAGGATGAGCGGAAGAGGCCGTCCTCGAGTGATAGAGACACCAGGCCGCCCGCGGCGCCAGACAAAGCGAAAGACGCCAAAACAACCTCACAGTCTGCAGAGCCCGCCAAGGAAACCTCCCCTCTTGCTTCGACGGAGAAGGTTGCCCCGGCGGATACCAGGAAAGAGTCGCCGAGTGAAAAGCCCAAAGAGAAGTCGAGGGAGAGACCGGAAGGGTCGAACAAAGAGGAGGTGAAGAAGGAGAGATCGGAAGGTTCGACCAGAGAGAGATCGAAAGAGAGGCCGGAAGGTTCAACGGAAGAGAGACCGGAAGTTTCGACCAAAGAGAGACCAGAAGGGTCGACCAAAGAGAGGCCTGAACAAGAGTCGAAGGAAAAGTCGAAAGCTCCCAGTGGATCGACAGACCCGACAGCCTCGAATAAGAGCGGGGACAAGCCAAAGAACGAGGTCAAAAAGGCTTCTGCTGAACCCGCCAAAAAGCCCGAGGATGGCAGTATCGCCAAACAAATCAAAGACAAAGAACGAGAGACAAGCAAGGATGACAAGGAAATGTCTCAAGAAAAGCCCAAGGATAAGAGCCGCTCGTCCCCCGAGTCTAGAACCCCCGACAAGAAGGGCTCAGAATCAGAATCCGAGAAAGCCCAAAAGCTGAAAGAGGATAAAGCGCTTGACCCTGTTAAGTACGTCTGAGAGACTTTGTGACTTCATTGTGCTGACATCCGTCTCAGGGAAGTTGACAAGGGCAAGACTCGTATGGAGGGCGAACGTCCGCACGACAAGACACCTTCGAAAGCAGACAAACCGCCCAGCGACGATACCCCTCAATCTCCCTCGTCCTCGGCCTCAGATACCAACGACGCTCTGATGTCGGGCGACTACCGCCCCCTCAAATCAGCCCTCAAAAAGTCAAAGAAGAAGCCGAAACAGACAAACAACATACATCACAACTTTTTCATGACCATGCGTGGTTTCCGTCCGGCTTTGATTCCCTTTCCACATGGGTTTCATCCAAAGCCGCATTACCCGAGAAATACGCTTTGGTGGAATAATGTGCCGAAGAACGCCGATCATATTATGGCGGCGCCAAAGGTCGCGAAGGAGCCCGACAAGGGGGACACAGACGATGGTAAGGAAGAGGCATCAAAGGGGACGCCAAAAGAGCCGCAAAAGGAAAAGAAGGATGAAAAGAAGGACGAGAAACCGAAACCTGCTAGCTCAAAGCCATCCTCCGACGCAAAAGATGACGGTAAAAGCAAAGAAAAGGAGCTTGCTCGGGCCAAAGCTGAAGCTGAGGCAAAAGCAAAGGCCAAAAAGGAGGCAGAGCTGAAAGCTGCCAAATCTGGTTCAAGCTCATCTTCATCTGCAGCCGTGTCGAAGCCTAGTGCCTCTGCTTCAGCTGCTGCCACTGCGAAGCCAAAGTCTATACCGCTCAACCCCGAACTGTAAATTTGTCTCGCTCTTTCTTGTGCACAGTACCATGTGCTGACTTGTCGATAGCGAAAAAGCGACATATATCACGCAAGGCCTGCTGTGTGTTCTTTTGTATTATTGTGAGTTGAGTGTTACTGTCACTACTCTTAATGTAACGTTATCTCTAGTGCACCAGCAGCTTGCATTCCTACTAGTGGCCTTCTTCGCCTGGCAATATATCGATAAGCAGTACACATCGCTCCGTCCCACCGAACCTCCCAAGACAGCGGTCACGTCTTCGTCATCCTCCAAACCTCCTCCAAATTCCAGCACCAAACCCTTTTCAGCGTCTAGCACCGACATTGATCCCGCCATGAAAGCCAAACTTGACGAGGCGAGGAAATCTCGGGAAGCCAAAGAGCGCCCTGTGCCCAAGGAGGATCCTGCCAGCTCCTCCAAACGGTCTGATAGCTCCAAGGCCCAGGAGGATCTCGAAAAACTGGAGATTTTGATCAAGAAGCTAAAGTCGAGAGATGATGCCACGGATGATACGAAAGAGAGGATCAAGTCGGCTATAATGCAACGGGACGCGTTAGTGGCCCGGATCCAGAAAGAAAACGAGAGACCTCGTGGAGATGCCGAGAAGGAAACGAAAGCCAGACCCGAAGAGCCCAGCGGTCACAGTACCAAAGGAGAAGAGAGTGCCGAGACACAGCTTCTGGAAAAGCTTAAGGCGGCAGAAATGTACGCCAAAAAGTACCAAGCGGTGGAGTCTCCTACAGATGAACATCGGGAGAGACTACGCAAGGCAGAGGAGCTGAGGAAGGAGTTGAAGGCTAAGCTTGCCGAACTGCGAAAGTCTGGAGCATCTGGGAAGACTGTGAGAGCTCAGGAGGCCAAGGCAGGGGCGGACTCATCATATACGGACGCGAGCAAAGGAAAGAACAAAGTCGGGTCGGAAGAGGAGGGGCGAGACTCAAAGGGGAAGATCAAGATACAAGACCCGGCATCGTCTTCGCCTGATAAGAAAGATCTCGAAACCTCCCTCAAAGAGATGGACCTCTACGTGCGAAAGTATCGAGCAATCGACAACCCAGATGCGGATCAGAAGGATAATCTGACAAGAGCTGAGGCCAAAAGAAACTCCATCAGAAAGCAGTTGCTGCGCGTATTCGAACGAAGCACGAAGGATCCAAGCTCGGTGCGCGCTGTATCGGGCGATACAGGCAAGGGCGATACCGCCCATCATGATGGACCCGGAAAGAAGTTGCGCCAGATGAGGGACGAAATTAAACAGATTGAGGCGTATATCATCAAACATCGCAAGCTTGACAATCTCACAGAAGAGCAAAAGACGAAAGTAGCGTCAGCGGAGAAGAAGAGGAAGGCTATGAAAGCAGAAGCCTCTCTATTGGAAAAACAGTTAGTCAACATTGGTAGCAGCGGTTTGACAGCAGATGAGAAAGCAGTCATCCCTCAGAGTCCATAGTGTAGCTTGTACACATGTATGATGTGCTTCTCTGCAATGGGCTCGCGCTCATCATCAGCCTTTGCCCATGATCTGAAGTCCGTCTTGATCGACTCATTTGAATGCAGTCAGTCGTATGTACGTAGATATCATGACAATGCATATTGTATGGATGGGGAGTAAAATTGATGCTAGTGTGATGTAGATGGAGTTGACAGATGCTGCAAAGGTTAGGTCAGTTGTAGATTCTGTTGAGCAATTGAGACACTTGCCTCAAAGTCTAGTACATGGATGGTATGCAAGGGCGGTGGTTGTGTAAGATATGAGTACAGTGTAGGGTGACAGATGGGTTTCAAAGTCAATTGTCTACTTGTTTGGTCGCTGAAGGATTGATGAGCATGACACTATGAGCTCACGCAGAACCGCCTCACCTTCTTCTTCTTTTTGATGAACAGTACATCTTCTGGGGCAGTTGGGGGCGTGGGGCGGGGTTTAGTCAACTGCTGAGGTCGATTCATGCTGGAAGTGCCTGTCGTACCAACGACCTTGTGAAGTTTGTGAGGTTTGTCTGAGCCACTGGATGTCGATGGCTTCGGCAACTCCCTCATAGGAGTAGGTTCGGGCTTGGTCCAAGGCCGTGTAGTACTGGTCGGGGAACCAGCATCCGATGATTTGCGCCGCTTTTTCTTGTCTGGGCCGGAATCATTCCCTGCTACTCGCTTTCGGGCTTGCGGACTGCCAGAAATCTCGGCCGCAAGGGCTTTAGGCGGTAACAGAGCGGGAGGGCTTGCCTCGGCTCGTTTCGAAAGCGATGGTATTGTCTTGGAGACACTTGACCTCTTCTTGTGCTTAGGCGGCGGCGGCAGCTGATGAATGGTTTCGCTGAAAATTGTCGGAGTGTACTGATGTATTTCGTTAGCGCAAGAACACACTGTCAGTCTTGTCACCTACATCGATAAAGAATCCCCTTTCCCTCGCGTCCTGTACAATGATCTTCCAGCGATCATCGCTCCTTTCAAGGGTCGGTCCATTGCCAAAAACGAACAACGAGCTCTTTGCTCTGGTAAGGGCAACATTCATTCGTCGGACATCTCGAAGGAAACCGATATGACGGAGGTCGGGTCCTGATCGAACACAAGAGAGAATGATGATGTCCTTTTCTTGACCCTGAAAGCCGTCGACTGTATTGAACCTGACGAAGCATGAGCGGACTGGCAACTATCAGGTTGATTGCACACTCACTCAACAAGCTCCACAATCGCAGGCCCAAAAGCTTCGATGAATTGCTTCTTCAACTCTCTCAACTGCTCCTTGTACATTGAAATGACACCGACGCGCATCGCCAGATTGATCCTTGTTCCAAAATCGGCATTGAGTCGCCCATAGAGCTCCACAGCTGCCATAGCCTCCTCCGTGTTCTTGGTGGAGGTTCCAACCTTCTTTTCGGTACCTTGAATGTTGAAAAAACGATAGGGGCCAAATACGTTACGCTCATGCCAGATGGCGGCGGTCTTCTTCGCCATATCCGGACCATCTCTGAGCTGACCATTGTAGAAGACCTTGGAAGGTAGCTCGGAGATGAATGGATTCATCCGGTATTGGATGCTAGAATGTCCGTCAGACTATAGAACATGCCATCGCGATAATGATCACTTACCTGAGAAGCTGTACGCTTTCTGCGTTACGCTTGGAGAGGCGTACGAACAAGCTTTCGTTGTAGTTCAACTTTTCGGCATTGGTACTGAAAGTCGTCGGTGGCAGCTGATTGGGGTCTGGCAGGACTTCAGCAACTTCACAGACAAACAAGAATATTGCAAGGACTCACCACCAACCATGACACACCGCGTGCACCCGTACTTCAGAGGGATCAGACAACTCATTTCAATGGCCTGGGCAGCTTCATCAATGATGACAGTGCCAAATGTATAAGCTGAAAGAGTGTCATGGCCAGCACCCGAGAGAGTTGCACAGACAATGTCGGCATCGTTCATGACTCTCTCTCTTGCCGCACGACGGGCTCCGTCGAGGTGCCGAGTGCTGTCCCGAGCAGCGTCTTTAGCCTTTGACGAAGCCTGACCGAGCTGAGTACGTCTCGTGATAAGAGCATGATACTCGTTCTCCAACGTCCCACGCTTTTCATCGTGACCTTCTGCCAATCTGATAGCCTCTTGCTTGTCCTTGATTTGCTGTTTGACATCATCCAGCTCGGTTTGTATTCTCGCATAATCGCCGCCGGCTTGAGTGTTCGAGTTGGTGTTGATCTTTGCTTCGACCAAGCTATCCAGAGAAACATCTTTGACAGCAATATTGACTGAAGTGTCGATGCCGACTCGAACGATATTCGGGGAGAAAGTGCCTCCTTCGGGATTTGGTACTCCCAGAATGAGTCTTTTGCAGACTTCGTCGATGGCAGCGTTACTGGGAGCACATACGAGAAGCTTGGGCTTCACGACTGGCTGGCCGTTGGTAGAGATGGGTATGCTTCGCTCTGAAAGCCATTTGCCAACCAGGCCGCTTATTGTCTTCGTCTTACCAGTACCGGGAGGACTGCACAAGTCAGCCTACATCGACACTAGTGTATTCGACTCACCCTTGGATAAGAGCAAACCCTTTGCCCTGCATGGAACTGACGACTGCTCGAGCCTGAGGCTGGTTTAATCCGAATGACTGCATTGCGTCCTCGATGTCGTTGAAAGAAGGCTGTGGCAGTCTAGCACTCCTGCCTGCCATGGCCTCTGTCAACAAGGTTGACTCGTACCAAGGCAAACCCTTCAGAGCTCCAAACTCTCTGATAGCAGTACCCAATCTGGTCGTAATGTCAATACTTGAATTACAAACAACGCATAGTAAGGCCGACTCACGAAAAGTGTTTGCGGATCTGCCATTTCGACTTTCCACATAATTCCTTCACGTCCATAGAGGCCATGATCCTTGCTCTGATACTCGAGGCCTTCATCTGTTTTTTGAAGAGCATGACTTTGGCGAATATACCTCTGGGATTACCCGGCTGCCGTAGAGTCACGAGATCCGAGTCATTGCACCAGAAGTCGCCACGCCCAGAGACCATGAATTCTATATCCACAAAGTCATCTTCGTATTGTCTTGACATGATTTCGGCCTCGACGGCGGGCCCTGTTTGAGCCTGATCTTTGGCACATTGCGCCCAAAGCTCCTGTAGATACAATGGAAGCATGATTTGCTCGTAGTGTTTCGCATCCCGAAAAGAGCTGGGTACAGGCTGCAGCTTAGACAGCGCAGCAGCGAATTGCGCACCGTGCGGTGGGAGGGGACCGGCGTGATCCGGGTCCCAAGATAAGACGTATCGATATAGGGGGTTGTAGTCTGGCTTGAGACGCATTTTCGTTGCGTGCGCTTTTGCTCGTCTATCCTCATTGCGTCGAAGGACATCATTCATCGGGTCTGCAAGCACCTTGATAGACCTCTTCTCGGGTGCTGGTCTAGCAGGTCTTGCTGGGGATTTCTGCTTGGCTGCCAAATTCTTGAGAGCGGAACGCTCATCATCGGATGATTCAGAGGCGCTTGAGCCGCTATCAGCAGGCTCAACGACTCTAGCTTTCGGCGGGCCGGTATAGGCGCCTAATCCAGAGCCAAGTACAGAAGCAATGGGCAGCCTCGGTGCTGATTGTCCCAGATCTGTCTTCCTCTCGTGAACAGACGCCGCATGTTCTTTCCGGAGGTCTTTCATGAATTTTGATTTGAATGCCGAGCTCGACGCTGGCTTGGGCGGAGGATACTTTGACCTCAGATCGACGTGTATCTTGTGAGAAGGTGGCAAGGCTCGAGCAGAGGATTGGAGACTCGAGGGTACCAGCTTGGAAGAGGTCTGCGAAACTTTATTCTTCATGACTGCTCGCTTTTCGATCAAGTCGAGATCCAAGGGTGAAAGAAGGTCGAAAAAGTCGTCTTCATCATCAAACTCGTCACCCGTGTCTTTTCTCTTCCCAGCCGACTCTTTGCGTTTTTCAGAGGGTGTTGAGGCTCTGCTAGACGAGGCAGATTTACTACCGGACGCCTTCATCATCTCGGAGAAAGCGTTGCGAAGGGCAGCCGGTTTGGCATCTTTGGTCCCCGAAGAAGGCTGTTTAGTCTCCCTGACGAACTGTATCTCGGGCTCATCTTCGGCGAGATTGAAAGGTTCAAGAAGTTCAGACAATTCAGACAGAGAATCATCGGTGAGTCGACTCGTAAAACTTCTCGTGGTCTTTCGACAAAACTTGTCAATGTCAACGAGGGTCCTTTCGAGAGTGGGGTTCTTGGATAGATCAGTGGAGGTCTTGTTGATTCGACCGAGGATGGTCTTGATGAGTTGATGTGTTTGGAAAAGAGTTTCGACACTGCCGCGGATTAGCAAATATCCAAGGGATTGCTCGTGCACCTACTCGGTCAACCTCAGCCACAAGATCAGATCAGCCAGGATCAACTCCAATTGTTTTGTCATCTTCTTTCCGACCAAACTCGTCCTCGCCGTCGATTCAGATAGCGTCCCGCTTGACCTGGCATTGGTACCAAGAACAGCAGCCTCAAAGGCCCTGATATGATCCGTCATCTGACGACCGAAAATCAAGGCATCCCGCATCCAATCGACCATCACTTCATTCTCAAAGTGCGGTGCCCAATCAAGGGTACGTTTGAAGATGAGAGCGAGCGAGGTGGTCATGAGGTGCCAAAGCTCTTCCAGGCGTTTCGTCATAGCCCTGCCATTTGAATAGGACGAGAGGAATGAGTCGGACTGCAAAAGGGGAACAGAGAGCTCGGAGGGGCCGCAAAGCACTTCGAGAACGTCGTGGAAGCATCGTACGAGCCATTTAGCGAGCGAGCATGACTCGGGGGTAACGTTGGCCGCTTCAAAGAAGGTACGAAGGAAATCGCTAAGACCATCAACAGTCTCATTGGGGTATGTTTTGAGGAGAGCTCGGAAACAATCTCCTCTATCATCGACGTCTTCAAAGGACTGTTGAATGATGCTGATGACTGGGGTGTGTATATCATCGTCAGGTGAGAGCAGAAGAATGATTATCGTTTTTGGTATGCCTTCGATCTTCCACAGTGATTCAACAACGCGTGGGTCCGCTTGACTGGCCAGTGACTCAATTACACGAGGGAATGATTCTCGGGTGGACCGTATCGCGGCATTGATCGATCGTATCGCTGTGACCCAGTCATCCTTCTTAATCACCTCCTCCAGGCCGTGATGCGTCCACGAGGCTTGTCGATCAAGCAGCTCTATATGGGCGAAAGGGACGAGTGATTTGAGCAGTATAGCCGCCCCCTCCGAGTCGGTCGGGGACAAAGCATCGTACGCCATAGCCCAGAGATCTTTTCTCACGACAGCCTGAGGAAGCTTGTCTATGTATCTGGGCGGCGGGGCGTTTTCTGATTTTTCTCTCTTCTTCCTTTGTAGGCGTTTTCGCTCGTCATAGCTGATTATCGCCAAAGCGATAACACTGTTGATCGTTGAAGTAGCATCTGCCGAAAAGAATGTCATCAAGACTTCGCGGGCGGCAGAGCGAGTCTCGGACCAGGCGGTAAGAGATTGATGTTGAGGCCGAAAAGCAACGGTGGTGATGAAGCCGGAGTGCAAGTCGAGCACGGATGATATTGCAGTATTATAGGGAGTATTTCCGGGACCGACCGCTTGATAGACTCGTATCAGAGCCTTTAGCAATGTCAGCGACTCTCACTCTCAATTTCGTATCTCACACTCACGTCAAAACCAGCGTATGCAGCAGAGGCTTGAAGTCCTTCGGGCAATCTGGGGTGCTGAAACTCTTGGAAAACCATATTCATGGCAATCGCCAGAGCTTCAGTGAACGCGAGAGAGCCCTTCGCAGGACTGCTTCTGTTCTTATCCGAGTCTAGCACAGAAAGCAAAAAGTCGCCCATCCAGTCCAAGGGACCATCTTGCCGAGCTTTACCTTTGCCCTTGTCCGTAGACGACGGCGCGGTATCTTCGATCTCGGCATTTTCGGTCTTGAATCTAGCTTCGAGCAGACTCTGAAGTGCAGGATTTGCTCGAAGTTCGGAAAGCAGGGTGTGTGGGAGATCAGGGGACGTGTCGAATGCCCATATCAGGTGGGTGGGCGTCGAATGCAGTAAGGAGTGAAAACACGACAGGACCGACGATAGATCTAAGATAGATAAGCTATATCACTTTATACTCAAGGATGATACTCACATGGGATATCGCTGCTTATCAAGCCGCTCAGCACAGGCATTAACCCTCTACCCGTTCGCCCATGAGGCTCGTCCTCCAATTGTCCTTTGAGTAACCCTCTCTCGACCGTCTCCTTATCAAGCACCTTTGAATCGATGACAGTCTTCATCACTGTCCATCTCGCCTCTCCATCTAGAGATCCATCATTGTAGAGATCTTGCAAGTCACTCCCTATACCCAGGGAGCACCATTCGGTGAAGGACAGCGGCCGCCGGGCAGCTGCAGGCAATTGCGCCAGACACCATTCGCGCTTTGATACCTCCGTGGATGACAGGATACGTGCATGGACTGGGGTCATTCCAAGTGCACTGAGAGAAGTCGGAGGAGGTGTTGACAAGGCGTCGTCGATGAGGGTCGCAATATTGCTGTGGGACAGTAGAGAAGGCTCTCCCATGAGTACCTGTAAAGCCGGCCTGCCAAGAGCATACAAAGACGGGCCGGTGGGTGGTTCCTTTCCATAAGGTGGGTCGGTAGCTTTCTTGACTTGGGCGGCGATGAAGCCGCTCTGCCAACGATCTACAGTACCAAAGAAATTCTTTCTGACATGCAATGGCCAGTCGGACAGGTACCTGGCATTTCCATGAGCCACTAATGCACACTCAGACGCATACAATACTCACTTTGATTCCATGCGCCTTCGTGCGGCCCCAAATCCCCTAGCACACTGCTCGCAAGACTCGAGTATCATCTCCACCTTCTCCACCCACAACTTGGAGGTTCCTTGCCGCTGGAAAGCGAATAGGAATATCAGATACGTAGCTGCTTCACGGTGAAGCGGAGATGCCGCTTTGCTGCAGTACCAGTGATCCTCATGTGTAGAGGTTGAGGTCGAGCCCTCGTCGACCTGAGGTACAAGAAGGCGATAGACAGGCTGGAGGACGTCGTTTGTGGGCTTCTCCTGCAGCTCCCGCTTGGACTTGAGGATAGCCTCAACATCGCTGGACGAGCTGATTGATGAGGACATCCTCTGGGGTGACAAGAAGGGCGGCAGAGAGGCAGAATGTTGAGTGATCTTGGGGGCTGGCGGTTGACTCCAGTTGCGAGTCCTTGAACGCGTCAATGCGCCAAAATTAGATCCCGTCCAGGCGGACATGGCCGTTTGTTTACGCGACGAGCTTCTCATGCTCGGCTGCTCATTTTCGACAATGGCTCAGTCTGACAGCCCCTACTGCAGCACCACATCGTTTCGCCAGAATCACAGCGCTTGTGTCCCCGATAATCAAACTATCCCTCAGCAATCATGCTCACCTTGTGAAACGCGAACACAAATGCCCGACCAAACCCCTCACCCTTCGCTTGAGACACTCACAGAGTCGCTCATTCTCGCCATACTACCAGACCTAGAACCTCCGTCATCCCCGTACTGCAAGCGAGTACATGACACACTTCTTTCCCGAACCCTATCCCAGATCAACTCTGACAATCTAGGAGGTGCTCGGAAAGAATGGCCGGAGGTGTCGCAGTCTCTGCGCGGCTTGGCTGAGGCCGCGAGGATCCGTGTTCATGAGGACTTGGCAGACGGATATGAAAAGGCTGTGAATGACTTGCAGGGGCGTTTCAGACAGTTTAGGCAAGGATGGGAAGAGGACGCTCCGGTGCGGATGGAAAATCTCCCTCAACATATACATCTCTTGGTAAGTGGTTGAGAAGATGTAAACGCGGCAGATTGACATTTTGCTTTCAGCTCGCACTCTCTGAAAAACCCACTACCCTCACTCTGGATTTTGCGCATCAATATATCCACCGTACACCTGTCACTGGACCTACACCAGATCAGCTCTATTATCAGCGGATCATGGACGAGAATCCCTATGATCCAGGAGAGTCGTATGACGAAGAAGTCATCCATGGGTGGACAGATTCAGACTCAGATCAATCGCTTCAATCGCTTTCAGACGCCGAGGATAGTCCCCGGGAGGAAGAAATCCGTACCCCGAGTAGCTCGGCCTCGAAGACACAAAAGAAGAAGAACGAGGAGGCAAGTTCAGACGACGCACAGGAGGCATACGCGAGAGCAAGGAATATTGTACGGGAACTCAAGCATGGCTATTGGTCGAACCAAGAGTCAGTGCAAAAGATGCCTCAAGGGATCCACGGTTGGAGACAACTGTGTACAGGTGCGTACTCATAAATCTCCGTGCTACGTCTGTACTCAAAGTCTACCAGCTACGAATGCGGCTTCGATATCTGCATCTATAGATCTTCCTGCTAGCGGCAAGGTATGTGCTTGTCAGGTGTACGCAGCGGTATCTGACTGCCAACAGCTCATAAAACCCAGCCAACTACAGAGAGAACTTATTTATGCTCTATCAGGTCGACCTGGTATTGTGCTCAACTTTGATGCGCAGGGTGAATGCCAAGTAAGCACGGTTCGATGACGTTCGATCTAGTCGAATTTGAATCGAATTGACAATCCATACAGGTCATTGCAGGTCACCCACAGGTCCTGATGTTGACTCCTGGTGGTCTCTCGGGCATCCTCAATACATTTCGGCAACATGCTACTCAAGCTTCAAGAATACGTCTCTTCATATCTCGGTCATTGATGCCCGGGATCAGTGAAAGTCAAGTCAGCAAGACCCAGCAGGCGTTTGCTGAGGCGAGCCGGGATATCATGGAAGGGTTTGCGTCCTGGTTGGCCGACCTTGAGACTGCCTTTACGAAAGGCGTCCCAGAAATCAGCGGCCTTCCATCGACAGCTGCAACGCCCCTACGGCTTCAACGCGACCTGGAAAGACTCTACGGGTCCCTCCTACAGCACCTGTCGGCATTCCTACCCCATTCACATTCCCCGACACTCCTCTTGAATCTCATGTATACTACCATCACCAACCTACAACAGACCAACGACACGAAACACCTACCAGCACTCCGCAGACTATTCCTTCGCTCGGCGGAGCCTTCTTGGCAAATGATAGGGAGATGGCTACAGCATGGAATGCCTGTGCCCCTTGCCCTGGCCGATCCAGAACAAGTCGCTCTGTCGACCTTGTCCCTTGATGACGGCGAAAGAAAGCTTGATCCGGAATTTTTCATCGAGCGTGACCGGGATGTCTCCTGGGCTGATGAAGATTTCTGGGAGTGTGGTTTCGTCGTTGGTGATGAGGGATGGCCAGCGTGGATCGGGGATGAAACGGGAGAGATGCTTTTGGAAGCTGGAAAAGCTCGAGGGCTGTTGAAGACTCTGAGTGACAGCCGAGATATGACAACGGCAGACCAGTGGCTATCTTTTGAGGAAGTTCTTTCGCTACCAGACGGGAAAGCCTCGGATGAGAAAGACGTAGACATTCTGGGAAAGATAGGTGAGTATCTCCAACCCACATGTGAGCTCGCACGGCTGCATTTGAGAAGGGTGTTGGACGAAGATTGCGGTCTTGAATTGCACTTGGAAGCAATCGAAGGAGTTTTTTTTGCCAAAGCGGTGGATGTTCTCCATGATTGGACGGATGTCTTGTTCCAAAAGGTGAATTCTCTCGTTGTAGGACGCTGAGGGGACAAAGGCTGACATATGCGCAAGGTTCATCAAGGTGAAACATGGACCGACTTCCAGGTGCTTACCAGCTCTATGCGTACCGCCATTGAGGACCGCAAAGCCAGTTGGCTGAACCCAATGGCCATACGGATTACGACCGCCCGGTCCCAAGGCGTGTACCGAGGTCCTAGAGCCATCGAGTCTCTTCGTGCAGACTACTTTGTGAGTATCCTCGTGAACGTACCGTCCCAATCTCATTGACATCCGCGAATAGGTACCATTTCCCCTCTCTCAACTCTTCACTCCCACGTCCATCGGCCTCCGCTCAGAAGTCTTTACCTTCATACTACAATTATCGATGGGGAGATGGTCTCTTGTCCAGACTCAACAGCTTGACAGAGACATTGTATCCACTAGGCTGGCGGGTGGCAGTGATCAGGACGCGCGGGCTTTGTGGTCTATGCGCCAAAAGATCGCTTGGTTCCTCAAGTGAGTTTCTCGCGTGCAGCAGTCACATAGCCATGGACTGACCTTTGAGCCCTAAGTACACTATACGCTTGGGTCACGGAACATGTCATTGAGGGCCAATCGGTGGGGTACAGAGCTCGACTTGAAGAGATGACGTCTTTGAAGTCAATGGTCGCTTTGGAGCTTGAACAGTGAGTACAAGAAGACTACAAAAGGTATTGGTCGGTCTGATGGTATGTCAGTGTCAGAAAGGTCAGGGATTACTGCTTCCTCAATCCAGCATCTGCCGATCTTCTGGAGGCGATCCAGACCGTTCTCGAACTATCCACATCTTTATCCGATTGCTTTGCATCATACACCCTACAGAAAACTCCCCGCTCGACCCCTCAGAATGTCACAAAGAGGCGACGAGCAAGGCCCATGCAGAGGGATGCATCCTCGGACGAAGAGGATCACTTCCAGAGTGTTGATGGAGACGGCAACCGCGTTGGAGAGATACCTCTGACAGAGGGCAGTATTGCGATGAGACTAAGACGAATGAGTGGGGAGATAGAGCAGTGCGTGAACGCTCTGAAGGAGGGCGTTGAGCGACTGAGCATAGAGAGAGAAGGAGACGTATGGTCGATACTGAGCTTTGGACTGGATAGTTGGAAGGCAAGTTCTGTCGAGTAATCTTCTTGATGAATGTCCTTCTCTGTAGAACGGTTGGCAATATATATGCGATGCCAACTTGATGCCCGGGTACATGTCGAAACCATTTTTTGCATACAATGAGACTAGTAATGAGAAATGAAATGGAATTGGTATCTGGAAGAAATAAATCGTCATCTGCTCTACAACCCCTTACACCTTCTTCTTCTTGTGGCTCTTGCCCCCAGCCACACTTGGCGTAGTATCCCTAGAACCAGCCCCGGATTTCAGGTCGTCGATGGGTCGTTTCTAATGGCTTATCAGTAGTCGTTCGCAGGTGTGACGATTGGGCGTACCTTGCCCTTGGTAGGCTTCTTCTCATCCTCGACCTTGTCGTCTTCCTTCATGATACACAGCAGCAAGGTTTGAGCACGTCTTCTCAGCTCATCAGGAGTTCGACTCTTGAAGAACCAGTCAAATCTAAGTTGAGCATTAGCAAGCGAATTCAATGACCCTTGCGAATGGACGTACCGGAAGAGTGGCCATTCCCCAATATCCCGCTTGATCAATTCGTAGCAGTCATCTCGGTCAATGCCGTGATGGTGCATCCTGACCAACAAGAACCTGTCCTCCTCGTCACTGTAGGCTTTGCCCTTGTTCTGACCGTAGACAATCTTGAGTTCCTGCAAGGGGAAGCGGTTGGCTTTGATCTTGCGGTGCAGGACGTCGATTCGATCTTGCTGCTCCTTGATCTTCTCTTCACCAGCCCGAACACGGTCCATGATCCTCTCCCAGTCTACAAAATCAGCAATGAATCTTGCGCTTGGATACAAACTCACCTTTGAGCTCCTTGTACCTCTCAAAGAAGACGGCAGCGTATTCTCTGACCTCCTCCTCGGTCCTGTCCGCAACATCCGTGACCACCTTGTCAAGCTCATCACGGCCGTACTTCTCAAGAGCTCGGATGAAAGATTGGAAGTGTCTTCGTTGCCAGTCGTGGAAGCCTTCACCGATCAGGTTGTCCTTCTCAGCAATTTCTTCCTCAGTCAGAGGCACGGCTGTATCTCAAGTCAGTGTCTATTTGTACGTCAAGAGAAGTTGGCGTACCGTTCTCGATTCTGACCTGCTCTTCCTTTTGCTCAGCCTCGACATCCGCTTTGGTCTCGCCCTCTTCAGGCTCTCTCAGTGGCGCTTGGTAGTTGATGGTCTTCTTGTGATGGTCTGTCTCCTTGTCTTGCAACTCGATGAGTCGAGGGGGGTAGAACTGGAAGTCGTTCACAATGACCTGCTTGGGAGCACGGGCAACCTTGGGTTTGTCGGCTTTGGGGCCACCAGTCTTCAGAGAGTCTCTGTAGTATTGATCGACAGAATAGTTGGTCTTTCGTTCACGTTTGGAGGGCTCAATCCAAAGCAAGGGTCTCTTCTGTTGCTGCACTCATCATCAGTGAAGCTCGTCACTCCAGGAAAGACCATACCTTGTTGCTGTAGTCCTCGCCCTCCCAGGTACTGACAAGACTTTCAGACTTGAAGTTGTTCAAAGCATCGAGGTCGAGACCAGCGTATTTGCTGTTAATCTCTTTGGTCTTGCCCTCTCCTCGCTTAATGATCTCGTCGATGTCGTCGTCGATCAACATACTACAGTCGGCATGAGCGAATGAACATTATTGTGTGACAAGTGGCACTTACCTTTGGTCATTGTTGATGATCTTTTCGGCACCGTGCTGGATCATATCGAGCAAGTCGTCTTTTCCTTGTCCCGCTATATTCAATCAGCATGGGAGATGTACAAGGCATAATGTGCTCACCCTTTGCGACTTGCTGAGCTCGACCTTCCTGAATAACCAACTGATCCAGCTTCAACTTTTGAGTGGCCCTGTCCAAGATTCTCTCCTCGACCGCATCCTGCGTGACGAATCTAAACACGTAGACTTGTTTGGTCTGACCAATACGATGAGCTCGGTCCATAGCTTGGAGATCCGCTTGCGGGTTCCTGTGAAGCCATGTCAGCCGAGTCGATCGGTATGCTCCAAAGCAACTCACCAGTCAGAGTCGAACAGTACGACGATGTCTGCAGTGACAAGATTGATACCCAAACCACCAGCACGGGTGGTCAAAAGGAAAACAAACTTCTCGCTGTCCGGGGCGTTGTATTCATCAATAGCAGCGATACGGTCCTCGTGAGCAGTACCACCATCAATTCGGCAATACTCTGTAGACTGATCAGCAGAGCCCAAACAACACTTCAGGTGCCTTACGATGGTTCTTGAATTGACAGTAGTCTTCGAGAATATCCAACATTCGGCTCATCTGGGAAAAGATGAGGACTCGAGAGCCTTTGGCCTTCATAGAGGTAAGAAGCTTGTCAAGGATGACCATTTTACCGGCGTTGTCGATAAGGTGCTGATCGGTGGTGAAAGGGGGTCCGGGCTCGGCACCGTCAAAGACTGCCAGAGATCAGCTTTGCGCCAAAGACTTTGACAACCAATGACTTACGGTAGGGGTGGTTGCAGCACTTTCGGAGTTGCATGACAATGTTGAGTAACCTTGTCTTGCCCTCCTTCTTACCAGTCATACCATTGACGGCATCGATATCCTTCTCCAACAGGGACTTGTACCACTTCCTTTGCATCTCAGTCATACCGACGTAGAGGTTGATCTCCTTCTTGGGCAAGAGTGAGTGCTCGACATCGGCCTTGACTCGACGAAGCAAGAAGGGACGCAAGACCTTGTGAAGCTGCTTCACCACGGCATCGGGGTCCGACTCGTCCTTGGTCTTGAACCAGGCATCAAAGTCTTCACTGGAAGAAAAGACGTCGGGCAAGATAAAGTTGAGCAAGGCCCACAGCTCTTGCAGATTGTTTTGCAGAGGAGTACCGGTAATCAACAGCCTGCCTCGGGAGACGAAAGTTCTGATGATCTGGGACAGAAGCGAGTCGACATTCTTGATTCGGTGAGCCTCATCGATGATGATGTACTCCCAGCTGAATCGCTTCAAGGTAGACTTTTCACGAAGACACATCTCGTAAGAGGTGATGAGGACGTCGAAATCCTGGGTCAAAACCCTTTCAGCGATCAGATCCGCTCGGTCCTCTTTGGAGCCTTGGAGAACAAGAGTGTTGAAGCCGGGTACCCATTTGGCGACTTCCCTCGCCCAGTTATCGAGGGTAGATTTGGGGACGATGATAAGGTGGGGGCCAGCAGTAGCGCAGTGGAATTTGAGGTAGCCGATGAAAGACACAGTTTGTAAAGTTTTACCGAGACCCATTTCGTCGGCGAGAATACCGTTGATACCGTTGTGGTGGAGGGAGACCATCCAATTGAGACCTTGCACCTGGTAGTCCCTCATCTTGCCACCTTTGACGTCTACAAAAGGTCAGTATGAGTGGATTTCAAAACATTGCCAAACTCACATGCAGGGCTCTCCTCAAAAACGAAAGGCTGTTCCTCATCGTCACCATTCTTCAAGAGTTCCTCATCCTCTTCCTTCTCAGACTTTCGGTGACGAGCGTCGCTATAAACCAAGTCAGTTGTTTATCCCGCCCCATGATCCGAAAACATACTTGGCCTTCTTCTTGCCCTTTCCGCTAGTCTTGGCAAGCTGCTCATCCAACATCCTTGCAAACTCTGGTTCACGCGACTTCTTCAAGTCGATGAAATGTTGGAACAATTCGGTCTGACCCAGGAGATAGTTGAACCTCTTCATCGAATCGGCAAACTGTGCGCATGTTTATCAGTATACGTGACCTTGGACACATTCAGAGATGCACATACCTGAGCTTGCTCGATGGCATCGCGTTTCTTGCTGATTTCGGCGTGCTGAGCTTTCCTCTCCGCAATCTGCGCCTTTTTCGCATTTGCCTGGGCGGCGCGCTTAGCCACCGAAGGCGTAACCTTCTTCCCGTCCGCCAACTCATCCTCATCCAAGTCGTCGTCTCCAAGCTCATCGTCCTCCTCCTGTTCCTCTTCTCCATCCTTCTCTGGCGACTGGGGGGCAGTGTTGAGGTGGCGAGGTTCTTCAGAAGTGATGACTGAAGGCTGCAGAGACGCGTGGTATCAGCCTTGCTCACGTGTTGCGCCCACTGCCAGACTGGAGGGGCGCAGAGTCACCCCAGAATGCCATAGAGATTCCTGGTCAAGTCGACGTCGACTTACAGCTCTTGACACGCTCAAATCGCGAGAGTTGGGGACATAATCCGACAATTGATCCTCCTCCTGCTCCTTGTTCTGAGCCGCGCTGGATGCCGCTAGCAGTGGGTTCTGGGTACGCGTTAGCCACATGCGCGAAGGGCTTTGTGGATGACTCACCATGATTGTGAAGGGGATGGGCCAGCAACGTGGGAGAAGAAAGAGGAAAGAGGAAAAAGAGAGTCGCAAAATGGAACTGCGATCGCGTACACTTCGTTCAATGTTCCGCGTCCATGTTAGGCGTGCGAAATAATTGTCTGCACGCGCCTCTAGCCGTCTAATGTTGGCTGTGGCGGAGTGGCTCCATAGACCTTCGTTCCGAGCCTCTAGCCAACATTGAGAGAAGCCAGCCACTCAGACAGGCCGGACATAGTCGCCCCTCTGCACGCTCGATGACCAATCTGCATAACAGTGATTCTTCCTCGATCATCCAACATCTTGTCGATCCTTTGATATATCTGGATTGCCTCTGCTCCCATGCCACCGCTCAGTAAGCTGTCAACATGATACATTTGAGCCACAGCACTTGAAGCTGTAAGGTATCCGAGTTACCGTGGCATGTCATATGGCAGTGAAAGCAGGAGGCGTTGCTACTTCTTGGATGGCAGACTCAGTAAAGACAGCATATCATATTATACTGGACCAAGCCATCTCTTTCGGATCATCACTACATTCTACCTCGCACAAGTTTGTCATGAACCAAGTCGTTGCCATTTCTGGAGCTGTGTATGTATTACGAGACTTGTTGCGAATGTCAAGTCGCCAGGCACGGCAAGACAGCTTTTCGCCCCAAAAGGGATAACGCAAGCTCGGAACGCGGCCGCTGTTGATGTGAAAATTTCAGCATTAAACGTTGTTTTGACCACCCACCGCTGCATCGCCAGGACTGCCAGGACTGCCATGTCCGCCGCCGACCACCACTGGCAGCCCCCCGCCCCCTCCCTCGCCGCCCTCCCCGTCGACACCTCCAAGACAGACCCCACCCCCGCCTACTACAAGCTCCAGTTCGGCGACGAGCTCACAGGCTTCTCCTACTATGTCAGGACGCTGACCGTCGTCATCGGGAGGAACTGTGTAGGTAGCATCAAGCATGCCGGTAGTCGAGTTGACATATTCGTGTAGGAACGGACGGCGCCAGTCCCCCCGCCCGCCATCACAAACCCGAGTGTACCGACAAATCCGCCTCTAGATCCCAACCAACCATCTCCCCCGGTATTCACCTCGAGCATCCTCCGTACACCCCCTGTTGCCGACTTTCCCTCGCCCCCCACGAACCAGCCCCTCGAAGCAGGACCGCCATCGCCCAGTACTTCACTGTCAAAGCTCGGGGAAGTCGCCGATCTCGTGGGGGCGATAGACGATGCAAAGGACACGCCCGAGATGAATCTAGAGCAGGGGGGAGAGGTGCGGATGGAGGACTATGGGCCTCTGGTGGAACTGGCGGAGGCGGTGCAGAATGAGGATATCGATATTTCGCAGATGGACGAACCGATCCCATCTGCGGATGCCTCGCTGGACCCTTCGGTCAAGCTCGAACCAGGCCTTGACGATTCGCTCTCCGCGCCACCGCCTCCGCCACCACCACCCAAAGCGGACAACATCAATCATGTCGATGTCGATTTAGGGCCACTCAAGTCGGTCTCTAGAAATCATGCCAAGATCGAGTATAGTGCGGATTTGGGCAGGTTTTGCCTAGAGATATTAGGAAGGAATGGGGCGTGGATAGATGATAGGTATTTTGTGAAAGGCTCCATCGTCCCTCTTACTCAAGGGTCAGTATAATCTCTAGTGTTTGCGACTGTGCTGATCGTCCTGCAGCTCGCAAATCCAGATCGCGACCCGTATCTTCTCCTTCGTCCTCCCTCCCGCCCACGCAGAGTCTCCCAACTATGACTATTACAACAATCCCGTCCCTGAGAATGTTGAGAATCTCCCCTACCCTTACAACTTGCCCGCCGACGAAGTTGGTTATCAAGAGTTCTTTGCCGAAGCCGGCCCTGGGCCTGCGTCTGCCGCTGCGATGGCAGCCAGACAACCCCCCGCATTCAATGCATTTGCTGCGGCAGATGGGTATGGCCTTGGGCTCGGATTTGAAGGGGAGAATACGTGGGGTACGTGGAGTGAGGCAGACAGCGAGAATGAGAGTGATCATCAGGAAGAGCGGCCTGATTACGAGGGCGAGTGGGACGATGAAGATGCTGCTGAAGAAGAGCAAGAAGAAAGCGACGAAGACGACGTCGAGGAACTGGAAGAAGACGATGATGACGAGGATGTCTATGAGGAGGCGCCGAAACCTCGGCAGACAGTCAAGTTAAAGCTCAAAAAGCCGACGGTCATCTCCGGGGCAGATGATTCGGACCTCTCGTCAATCGAGAGTGAACCCGAGAAGCCTCTCAAAAAGACCAAGAAGCAAACATCTAGTGTCAAGAAGCAGGCTTCGACCAAGGCGACAGCTTCAGTTCCGGAGAGGCGTGGCTCGGAAACGAGTACAAAGGCTGGTAAACAACCTGCCAAGGCGGCAAAGGCGAAAGCAGCGGCGGCGGCCAAAAAGGAGAGCAAGTCGAAGAAGAAGGCGAGGGAAGCGGCCATGGAGATTGAGGAGAAGGAGACTTCAGCTTCAGTGCCACCGCCCGAGAATAAATCCGCGACGCCTTCCAAGAGCAAGTCGAAGAAGTCCTCAAAGCCCGAGGTTGAATCTGCTTCTGTCGTTGGAGACGATAAGCCTACGCCGCAGAAGAAGGAATCGAAGAAGAAGAACAAGCCAGTACCTGCTGAGCCCAAGATCTCGAAACGCTCCCCTTCTCCAGCGGCTAGAGGTCCCACACCAGCGACAGCACCTGCCGCCCCTCCTCCCGTCCCAACTCTTGCAGCTGCACTCGCATCTACGCCTACTCCCACTCCTCCTCCCACAGCCCCTGCACCTCAGCCTGCTCGACCTCCTCAGGGTCTTCGTATGCCCGGACAAGCACAATCAGGCTCGCGTCCCCCAAGTCAGCAGGCGGCTCGTCCCCCCATCCAACCCGGGGTACGTCCCGTGGGCCCCATGTCCCAAGGCATGCCTGGTCAATCTGTACGTCCGGGGCAGCCCATGTCTCAAGTCAGACCCCCTTCCCAAGGGATGCCGAGACCTCCACTTGGCAACATGTCTCGCGTCCCTCCAGCTCCCGTCAACACTTCTCCTCAACCCCATCTGCCATTCTACCTCACAGAGCTGATCGAAACGCCCGGAAGGCCGGGACATATCATCGTAAACGTCCCGATCCCTCCGTCCGGTGCTGGGCCTCGTCCACCACCCGGGCCTATACTGGGCTTGGACGGTAAACCCTTCATCGGCCCTCCTCCACTCAAACCGACTGCCACGTTTGCTACAATCATCCACAAAGCTCTCAGCTGCCTGCCGAGAGGTCGAGGGACGTTGGGAGAAGTGTGTAATTGGGTAGCGGGCGAGTGGGAGTGGTTTCGGCTGAATGTCGATTCAGGATGGCAGAATTCTATCAGACATAACCTATCTCTCAACAAGGCGTTCCTCAAGGTCCCTCGTATCCCCGAAGACGACCCCGAGTCCAAGGGCTCCGTGTGGATTATTGATCCATTGGAGGGACCGTTGTTTGTGGAAAAGCAGAAGAAGGATGCGATGAAGAATGCGAGCAAGGATAAGAATGTGGAGAGTAGGCGCGAGAAGGAGCGGATCAGGGCGGAAGAGAGGGCAAAGAAGCAGCGAGAGGCGGCGATTGAGGCGAGCCGTCAGCCAAGACCACATCAACAGAGTCTTCAACACCCCACTCTGGCGAGGGCTATGCCGCCAATGGCTAAACCAACCGTGAGACCACAACCTTCGGCGCCCGTCTCTCAAGCACCATCCGCCGCTCAACCAATCAGTGCCAACGCCAAGGGTGTCCTTCAGCCCAAAGCACCGATCGTGGTGGTCATGCAGCCCATCACGCCTGCTCTGCGGGCAACATCCGTCATCTCTGCCACCGACTCTTCCGGCCAGCCTCTGCCGTTCGTATGCGATGGCACAACATTGGTGTTGGACCGAGATACGTTCGGTTATCTGACAAGCGGGATTCTCGCCAGTCTGACGTCGCTGGGCGCGGCGGGGGCTGTAGATGTGTTGAGCAGTTGGATCGTCAACAAGCGCAACAAACGGCCGACGCCAGCGTCAAAGCCTGGTCCGCCTACAGGAGCTGTGGGAGGGAAACCTATGGGTAACCCTGTTGCAGGCGTCGTGCGTCCGTCGAACGGTGTTGCTCCAGGCGTTGCCCGACCTCCACTTGCTCCCCAGGCTGCAAAGCCTGCCGCACCTCCTGTCGGCCAACAGCGTCCCCCTCCTACAGCCGGAGCGGCTCCGCCCAGACCCGCCCAACTTCCTACTGCTCCTACTTCATCCTCAGCACCAGCACCCAAACCGGGTGGCAACCCTCCTGTCAAAGTTACCGGCCCCGCTCCGCCAGGCACTTCCCTCACCAAAGTCATTGGCATGATTGCTGCAGTTGCAAACGTCAAAGGCGATGTCAATATCGTTGGGCCCAATGCGAGCAAGCTGTTAAAGTATATCAAGGTGATGGGGGTGCATATTGATTTGAGGGTGGCGAATGAGATTTGGATGACGGGGGTGATACCGCCTTTGCCAGAGAAGAAGAAGGCGGGCGGTCCACCGGGGGCACCGGGAGCACCGGGGGCTGCGGCGAAGCCGGGTCAAGGTTCCCCGGGTCCAAGGCCCGTGCAGGGGCAAGGTGTCACTCCAGGAGCAAAGCCACCAAGCAATGGGGCGCCTGTAGCGAGACCTACACCCCCAGAGGGCCATCCTGCTCCTGGGGCGACGGCGGGCGTGAAGAGAAAGTTGGAAGAGAATGGGGCGACTGGAGGGACGATACAGAGTAATGGTGTAGCTAGTAATACGAATAGTACGGGATCGAACGGGGTCGCAGGAGGACAGGGGCAGAGTGGGGGCCAAGAAGCGAAGAAGCCGAAGCTAGAGACGTCGAATGCGTAGAGTTAGAGGGCAGGAAGAGTAACATGTGTAGTAGTCTTTTTACCCTCTTGTTGGTTGTACCTAGCATCAAGCAATTATCCCAGCCCAATGCATATATGGGCCTAGTATCATGAGCCGAGGTAGATATGGTATTGCGGACATGAAGCAAGGGAGCTACTTATCAGGCATGCCACATCACCTCGACCGTACAAAGTATCTCCTCTGTCATCGCACGACTGAAAAACCGCGTCAGCATTCCTCCTTGCCCCGCTCAGAAGAACCTTGGCTCATCGCATGACACAATTGTCTGTCCATTTTTCGCATCGGGATGATGGAGAGATGTGGCATTACCAAGTATTTACGTGCGTATCTTGCAGGTTAATATGTAATTACGAGACGTTCATACTCGTAGGAACTGTGTCGAACGATAATGCAAGTGGCAGCACCATGGCACCCAAGACAGCCCCCATATCCTCCGCCGCGCGCCGCTCAAAGCGTGTCGTCGACTCCGAATCAGCCTCCTCCACAGGCGAGCCCTCCGCCTCACCGCCCCCTGCCCCAGCCCCGAGACGGGCAAGGGCACCACCTGCCAAAGCGCCCGCCCGAGCTACACGAGGCGCCGGGGCAGAGAAGCGGGTGACGTATGCGGAGCATTCAGAGGACGATGATGACGGTGTTGTGGAAGAGGAGAGTGAAGAGGACGAGTTGGAGGAGGAGGATGAGAGTATGGAGGTCGACGAGCCTGCGCCTGTCAATCCGCTTCGCATCAAACTCACGGTCAAGAGGCAAGCGCCGGCTGCCTCTGGGCCCAGCGGGACTCGGATCAAGTTGCCATCGAGGTCGCTGTCACCGCAGAAGAAGGCTGCTTCGAAGAAGAGAAAGTCTAGAGAAGAGACGCTGGATATGGAGGAGCAGGGTGACGGGGAAGGAGAGCAGGATGACCTTGAAGAGGATCAGCTGTTGGACGAGGAAGGATTCGAAGACGACGAGAGGAGACACCCGAGTAGCAGCCCGAGCAAGATGACGGCGCGACAACGGGCGAAGGGCAACAGCGATCTGCAGGACCATCTGCTCGTGCTCGAAGAAGGCAGGTTCACACTCGCATGTACGCTATGTACTGACGATACGCCAGCCCGGCCAACGCGCGCTCTACAGTTGACCGAGCAAGAAAAGATCGAGAGAAAGGAAGAGGCTTCGAGAAGACGGCGTCGCCAGATCGAACAAAGGCTTCAAGATGAACAAGTACGCGACTCGTGTACATGTATCCACGACCTCCAGCTAATGAGTATGTACAGGACGAGACTATCAACCGCCTGCTCCGTGCCCAGACATCTCGCTCTCGCGCAAAGATTGACGACGACAATGATCCCTCTACTGGCAACCCTTCACCCAGCAGGCGTATCCAGGCGCCTCCAGAGGGTATGGTGAGGTGGACAAGCAAGATGGGCAAGGAGGGTGCAGTCGTCATGAGTGTCGCGGTACCCACGGGACAAGAAAGATGGCTGGACATGGGCGCGCCGTCTGTCGAACCAAAAAAGGACGAGCGCATGTGCAATGCGCCCGGGTGTGGTGAGAAGAGGAAATACAGGTCGCTCAAGGTGTTTGAGAAGGGCGGGTGTTCGATGGCGCATTTGGAGACGGTAGAGGCAGCATTGTAGTCTTGTAGGCATGGCATGTAAAGAAACCTGACGTTAGCAGAACGCTGAGGTGGTGCCAGTGTACATGGTCGAACAAGGTGATGTCGATGGGCAACAGCAGGCCTTTTCGTAGAGAACCGGGAGCACCTTATTGCAGCTTGCAACCCTCTTGCGCACGTCCTTCCAGTTTTCCCCAATCCCAATCGTCCGACATATCGATAGTCCGCAAATCGCTTCATGCAAATGATACAAGACTTCCAATCCTACACCCTAGCCCGTTTAAGCCTGAGCAGTCTTGGCAGCCATAGCAGCAGCGACAGCAGGGTTGACCCTCTAATAAAAGTCAATCAGTAATGGTCTTGCTGTGAATGGGTAAAAGCGACGCACCTTGCCGTCCTTGAAGATGGCACGGGGAGGGGGAGCCCTGTTCTTCCTAGAGTTGATCGCACCAGGCTTGGCAGATCGGACTCGGACGACTATAGCAGGATCAGTATTGGACCATAGATACGACTATTCAAGACGACTCACTCTTGGCGTGGATGGCGCAAGAGATACAGTAGGCAAGACGGATGTAGAGCTTGGGGAGAGCATACTCCTGGTAGACGGAGGCCTCGGAAAGGTCTCGGACGGCGGCAGCCTCGACCATGTTCTTGACGGTGAAACGCTTGATAGCCTTGTCCTGTAGGTGAGAACAGTCAGCACCCTAATTCTCTTTCTCCATAGTCTCTCCTCCAGCCCCCCTTCGTTCTCCACCCTCCTTGACTCTATCACCATCCTTGATCCTCCTCCATCTTCTTGTCGAGTATCGAGTTGGGGGTGCGACCCACCTTAGGAACACATCGGGAGCAGTTGGAGCATCGGACGTTCTTGACGTGACCCCTTCCCTTCTTGTTGCGGCCACCGCCTCGTCGTTTGAAAGTCATTTTGTATAGTTTGAAGGATAAAGAGAGAGCTCGCAAAACCACACGGAGAAAACACCACCAGCGACGGGACCAATTCATTTCGGCGGACACCGCCGCTCCCTTATCCCCGACTGTCGCGCGCGCGGGGTCAAAATCTCTGCCCGGCTTCTCTTGCATTGTGTGGTCCACCCATCCGTATAGTATAGTCGTTTGCTGCGGATGGCAAGACCTTGCGTGTCAGTATTCCGAGGGGCTTGTGACAGAATGTCTGACAAAGTACCAGGCGCTTGTTGGGGCTCTACTTTGGACCTCCGAAGACGATAGTGCAATGTAGTGCGCTGTATGGTTTCGATCAGACTCAGCTGCCACAAAGCATCAAGATGAGGATGCATAAACCGTGTCGTGTACCTGACAGCTCGCGGGATTCATCCCCCCACAGTCTCCACATATGAACAATCCAAAACATCGATACCAAATCATCATGAGACATGTTGAGGCAGATCGGGGCAAATGGGGTATACTGAGAAGATAGAATATATAGAGTATTACCGCACAATGGCTACATTGTTTCAAGCAAGACAAACAAGATAGGATAGGGAGGCGTGGGATTGGGATTACTTTTGACAGATGGATCGCCTAGATAAGGAGGAGAGTGGGAGTTTGAAATTGACTCGTATGCGGGACAATTACTGCTCATCGCAGTAAGGGAGGTAAGTGTACGCAAGAGACTGTTCACCCAATGTCAGCCACTATCGCCACAGCCCGTGTTAGACTCACGTCGTAGAGGGTAGAGTTGTAGTCGGGGTACGCAAAGGCGTCGGTGTCGACACAGAGGACCTCGCCGATGTAAATGTTCTCACAAGCAGCGTCGATCTGGGGGTTGTTGGAGTAGAGGGTCTCGTTGGAGATACCGTACATCTCCTGGACCCACGCACAGGTGCTAGATGTCCCATCAGCTCACTGGCCACCGCATGCATCATAGCGACTCACTCGTTGGCGACGACAGTGTACACCTTGGTGCAGTCCTGGCCCTCAATACCGAGGCAGACAGACTGGTCGGGCTCGAGGTTGTCACAGTTCTCGTCAATCTCGGCGTCGTTGACAAGGGCGAGCTGGTAGGTGGAGACACCGTACTGGCGGGCTACGCGTTGGGATCACGGCGAATCAGAAAAATGTATGCAGGGACGTGTGTGCGGATGGATATAGGGTCGAGGGTAAACGTGCACGTGAGGAAGCAGGGTGAAACAATAAAGAAGACGCGTCGAACGGATCAGCCATTGTCCTAGCGGTGTATCCAAGCCATCGCCAAGGCCCCCATGCCCGACGCGCAAAGAGACTTACAGATAGAGTCGCAAGTGTCGCCTGAGACGACGGTGGCGTTACGGGTGCAGCCGTCAATGGCAAAGGCGCCTGGTAGAGTACGATTAAGGGGAGTGGGTGGTGGAGGGACAGCAGGGATCAGGTGACAAGGGGCAGGAAAGGAAGTCCGAATTGGGAAAGTGCTCGTCAGTCCTGGTCCACGCGTTCTTTCGAGCATCCCGACGCACCAGAGAGGAAGGGGAGAACAGCGATGGCAATAGCGGTAAGCATTGTGTGGTTGATACGGGATTTGATTGGTTGAAAAGGGGGGTGTTGACAGGGGTTTCTGTTGTTTTCGGCAGCTAAGGATCGTGGGGTGCAAATGAATGTGGGCAGGTCGGCGTGGGGGGTCGTCTGTGGGCGTGGAAAGGCGGATGGATGTATTGTGACGAAGAAGAAAGAAGAAAGAAGAAAGAGAAAAGAGATGGAAATGCAAGGGGTTGTTGTTGCAAGGGCAGTCACGCTCAGGCCTCCTGAACTACACTTGCGGGACTTGCCTAAAACGGAAATTCCCTTCCGAGCCGTGCCGGACCCTGCCGCCCTGTTGTTTGTCCCCACTTTTCGTCTCGTCATCGCCGCCGTCGTTCGCAAGCACATGCATGATGATTGACATATATGATAAGAATGACCAAAATTAACGACTGTTATATATTCAAGAAAGAAAAGAACACCTCTATATATATTCACCTCCCTCCAAAGAGAAGAACGAGATACTGTATAATACTCAACATGCTATGACACGTCTTTACGCGACAAGGTGGTAGCCAGAGCTGGAGGGGCTCAAGGCGTGAGTCACAAACTGGATGTCATCATCCTCCTCATCGTCGTCATCCTCCTTCAACCTCATGTCCCTGATCTTTTCAAGCGTTTGCTCGACCGACTCTTCGGTCAATTGAGCAACGTCGGAAGGCATGCCACTGGGACTGCCAAACCCGCGAGGTCTTCCAGCACCAGAAGCGACCCACGCAGGATCCTCTACGTGTGCAAAGTGGCACGCATCACCCAGCATACACCTGCCCAACTGGTAGTGCCTACAAGGCTTCGTCCTCCAAGGCCTCGGCCTCTCGACGAGCTGTACCGAGTCGGGCACTACTCGCGTGTGCAAGAATGCACAGTCGTCCCCATTGACGCAACCCGCAGAAGAGTTGAAAAACTTGCAGGGAAGGGTCTTGTACTTTTGGTGCTGCTGGGGTGTCCTGGAGCGCGCTTCGACAGAGTCGCTGTCGGAGGAGGAAGGTGGTTCGGGAGAGGAGGCGGGGATGATGTGCAGGAAGGTGCATTCGGCGCCATGGGGACAGTGCCCTTCAGCAAAGAACTTGCAGGGTCGAGCTGCTTCGGGTTAGCATGTCATTCGTTCAATAAGCTCATAGACCTACTCCTGTAATAGTTCTTGGGCTTTCTCCTCTTGGCATCCTTGTGCCTCATCTTGACCTCGGCACTCCTTAACGCATTCTTCATAGCAGCATCCTGCACAGCCCACCCAGCCGGCGTCCACATCACTCCCAAACCTCCATCAACCTCGGGACCAGACGGCTCTTGACCGTTCGAAGTCACTGGGGACATGGGCATGCCCCAGGGGTAGGCAGGGGCGGCAAAGGGGAGATAAGGCGACTCGGCAGACGAGTGGACTTGTGGTTGCTGCTGTTGCTGAGGAGCAGCGTCATATGCCAGATTCGCGAGCCCACTCCTAGGCATGACCTTTGGCTGATTCAAGCCCACCCTCCTCGCCTCGGCCTCCATCTCCATGATCTTTTGTCTTTGCACATATGGGTCAAATGGCGTAGCTGGGTCGCTCTCTGTCCATATGGAGGCAGCAGAGATGGGAGGCACGAGGTGGTTTACAGAGGTCGGCGTGGTTGGCGGGGCGTCGACATTGACGGAAAGCTCTCGGCGGTGGTTAATGGTCACCTTCTTCAAGCTGCGGACCTTCTTGACCGACATGGGCGGCCCCTGGATCCAAGCATTAGTTTGAGGGGGTGCCGAGGAGGCAGAAGTCATGAGGACAGAAGCAGGCTCGCTCGCGAGCGCTGGTGGCGTCTGAGCCTTTGACGTGAGCACGCCTCCAGGGGACGAAGCGCGGCTTGTAGCCAAGAAATCTCCATGCTGGTCCACCAAGAAAGGTGTCTTGTGGAACGGCCCCGCAAATGCAGAAAGCCCGTTGGTATGCGCCTTCTCGATGGCTTCGGGGTCGACCTTGACGGAGGGGACGAGTCGAGCTTTGGGGATAGCCTTGGACCACGCGTCGAGAGATGCAGGGGTGGGTGTAGATTGGGATTGTTCAGCTTCCGGCTCGGAGCGAGGTTTCTCGTCGTGGAGGAAAGAACAATAGTCACCGTATGGGCATTGGCCGGTAGCAGCAAAGTCCTTGCACGGAACAGCTATTGTATATTAGCATTGGACTGTTGACCAACAACTACAACTTACTCTTGTACTTGTCTCGACCCTTGCCACCAGCACCCTTGCCGCCTCCGGACATCAAAAAGACTTGTCCAGTCACCTCCTCCCCATTCTCATCCTCCACAACTACCCTCTCTCCCATCTCTACTCCCTCCAGGTCCACGCCGTCCGCCGTCATCTTGAGCTGCTTTGCCGGGCCGTTACCTGTAGGCGAAGCAAGCTGAGCCTGGGCGTGTGCAAACGTGCCAGAGGTAGGGTCCGCTGGGCGAGTGGGGGAAAGCATGGTGTAATGGGAGAGGTCGAAGGAGGGAGACTTGAGAGTTGTGAGGGAGTGGACAAAGCGGCATGGGCGAGAAGTACAAGTGAGGCCGGGGGTATGGTAAAACTTGCAGAGAATGACTATTGCCTGTCAGCTTCGTACCAATACATTCAAGAAGTGACTCACTTTCTTTCTTGCCCATACTCTTACCAGTGTCGAGCTTACCACTACCCAAACCAGGCGTGGAAGACTCTGCCACGCGCATCAACTTGAGCTCTGGACTCTTCAACCCAGGCGACCTGAGCCCGGCGCTGCCGAGGGTGGGCGTGACCGGCACAACACCACCGTCCTCCTTGACAATCGCCACTGCCAAACCGCGAGCCTTGGCCACCTGAGCTGCACCCCCACCGCTGGCCGGGGTTTGACTACCAGGGCCGGCAGTGGTACCAGACCCAATAGTCGTCTTGGCGCTGTTCAGAGCGGGCGTGATCCAGCCATTGTTACTGGGCAAAGTGGCACTTGCCGACCAGATAGACCCAAACGGCGTGGCTGTACTCGTACCGCGGGCGAGAGAAGGCGAAATGGTGAGGCCTTTCCCCGCGGGAGTAGTGGCGAAACCCGTGTCGGAAGAAGCAGTAAGCGGCCCCTGGAAGGAGAGCGGGCGGGGCTTGATACCTGGCTTGTGCCCAGCAGAGGGGACAGTGGCGTAGTCTTCGTGCACAGAAGCAAGCTCCTTCTCGGAAGTAAGCGAGAGAGAGTTGCGGTTGCTCGAACGCTGAGGAATCTGGTACACGGGCGACTTGGGCTCTTCGCCAATGGCCTCGTTGGAGAAGCTCACCCTTCTGGAAGGGTCGACGATAGGGTCGCTGGCAGAGGAGATGCTCGGACGCTTGACGTGGCCGTGTCCATGGTGAGAGTGGCCGTGAGGCATGGAGCCAAAGTCAGAGAGCCGGGGCACGGCCTCGGCAGACTTGATGGCCAGTCGGTGGGCGGCAAACGAGGTGGGCGGCGTGGGGTGGGTGAGCTGCACCATGGGCGAGGTGGGGGAGGGGGTGCGCGGAGGAGAGGGCATGGTATGATACTAGTTACTAGACTATGGGGTATGAGGAAGAATGCTCTGCAAGAAGAGAAGAGGAATGACACACTTGGTGCCGGATACGGTCTGCCTGACGGGAATGTCGTGGGGTGTGTGTGATGACTGATGGAAGCGTGGTGTGCCACGAGGAGAGGATTGTCCGATTCTACTGGGGAGCGAGTACAATACGCTCGAGGGGTCGACTAGATATCTGCACGAAGAGCTTGTCTTGTGCTGGGGCTGGCGGGAGGGAGGGAGGCGGAGGAGGAGGGAGAGGGAGAGGGAGAGGAGAGGAGAGGCCGAAGGCGAAGGAGGTGAGGCAGGGTAAAGGGTTGAGAAGAGGATGGAAAAGAGATATCAATACTAATCTCGCGTTATAAGCCGGCGACTCACGAGACGATTAAAAGATATGAAACCTCAGGTACTGTCGGAATTCTTTGCAGGCGAGGTGGACAGACAGGGGACAATAGAGCGCGTGCTATTAGCGCAGGGGTGTATCCGCAGAGGCAGCGTGGGCGTCCCCTTTTCGCACAACCTCTTCCTATTGTTCCCCGGATACAGCAGTCACGAGCCGCACAGGACAATGAAAAGCTGGAGAGTAGATGCGGTTCCTGGCAAAACAAAAGACCTTGTCGATCTGTACCTGAGTCCTGCAGGGCATCAAATCAAATCAGCCCGCTCATGTCAGCCAATCGTCCCCCCTTGTCCTGCCACCGGGGCGACGTCAGTCCTGCATGCATTGTGCAGGTGGATAGCGGTATCCCAGGCGTACCCGGGGCTGCAAGGACACGACAACTGATACATGTCTACTACAGTCCACGTGAAGAACCCATGCCGCAATACCAAGAAATCGTGACATCTATGTTATGTCGATGCAGTGTATAAAGCATTATAAGCTGCCCATTCACTCCTTTTCTACCATCACGCAAGCAACTGCAATCAACCCCTCATCGGACTCGTCATTCTCCCTCCTACGGCCGCTACACTCTCATCACCCCGTCCCCACTCTCTCTTGATCCCCGCCTAGACTTCACCCACTTCCTTCCCTGCCCTCGGCACCGGCACCGTTGAATCATCAGAAACAGAAGGCGCCAGACGCCGAAACGCTTGGGAGCGACGATTTGCTCGGGTGGGTAGGCAGTTGTGGTTGTGTCTGCGATTGAGGCGCGGGCTGTGACCGGCTCGGGTTGGAAGTAAACGTATCGAGGGAGGCCGATTTGGCCCGGGGCGATACGGGGGCAGTGGCAGGCCCCGGAGCTTGGCTTGACGAGGAGGAAGCTGCGTTGGGAGGGAGGGGCGCTTGGGATTGGGATTGGGAGGCAGTGTCGGTAATCGTCGGCGAGTCTATGGAGGCGCTTTGCGCATCCCCAATGACAGCAGCTCTTCTTTCACCCCTCGCCGACGCTTCTCTCCGTCCATACCCCAAACCTTCTTCCCCGTCCGGCAGACTTTTCCTCCGTTCCACCCCCACTTCTCCGATATCCTGTCCCGCCTCTTCAGCATAGGCCAATAACCGATCCCCGTACCGTTGCATCTCGTCAACGGATACACGCAGGCGAAAGTCGTTGAGGAGTAGGAATTGCAGCTCGAGCGAATTCAGTTCGGTCGGTGGAAGTCCGCCTACTTTGGCATATCTAGAGTTTGTGTAAAACACGTCTGCTAAACATGTCAGCACTGGACACAAAAGACGCTTTGTGGACATACCTGAAAAGAATTTGCTCGCGACAGTGACTCCAGCAATCACCAACCGATGCACATTGAAACTGTCAATGGCAAACCCCTTGCCCTTTTTGCCCACTCTCACGCCTTCGCCTCCTATCCCGTCTACAGTCCCCAGTTTTGTCATCCTGTCGAAATACACCAGCACCCCGAGAAAGACTTCATTGGTGGTCGGGCAGTACTTTAATATCCGCAACAGGTACGCCTCGATAGAGATCGAAGGTACATGCCTGGCATGAAAAGCAAGGAGAGCAGAGGGATGGGAGAGAGATGATGTGGATGCGGAGAAGAGGGGGAATTGGGAGAGTGGGTAGGTGGTCTGGCGCGAGGAGGAGGACATTATGGAAGTCGAGCGGGAATGGGAAGAAGGGGTCGGCGTACCGTCAAACAGGGCGGTCGTAGGCGAAGAGCCCGGCAGCACCGACTTTGCTGATGCCCGAGAATGTGATCTCTTGTGTCCTCCTGCGACCTGTTCCCTCTCTAGCTCTTCATCCTTCTCTCCGCCCCTCTCGCTCTCGCTCTCACCTTGCTCCTCCTCCGACTCTGCGCGCAACTCGTCATTAGACGTTGCGATATGCTGCAGCAGCCCCGCCAGCAGTTTCAGCAGTTGTTGCGTGGGGTATTTACAGATGTCTAGATGCGGCGTCAATGCCGACTGGCCTAGTGGTGACAGTTCTGTCGTAGGAGACGACGGTCCTCTCGGCGCTGATGGGAGTGGCTGGAGAGGTGCAGAGAGCTTATCGGGGCGGGGTCTTCCATCCGTATCCGAGCGTTGAGAGTCTTTGCTGGACGAGCGGCTTTGGCTGGGCCCAGCTTGTGATTCGACGGTAGTAGCAGCAGACGACCGGGGAGATGGGTGGTGAGCGTCAAGCTCATGTTGGTCTGGCATCGGCGTCTACTGGGCAACTCGCGTCGTGTCTACCTTGCTGCAAACGCAACGTGGTGTGTCGGTCGGAAGTGGGTGTTCGAGCCGGAGCGCGAATGCACGAATGAGAGGAGGTGGATTGTTATTCGGCGAGCGCTGAGAGAAACGCGCTAAGCCTCGTTTGTGGCAATGGCGACCTGGGGGCGATGGCGGTGGATTTGAGGGAGCGACAAACAGGCAGAGGGGGGGAGAGACGGCGGGCAGAAGTGTAAACAGAAGGGATAAAGGAGAAAAGGGAGAATGACGAGAAACTGAACGTGCTTCACGGCGCGAGATCTCGAATCAACACCTCCACGGAATTACGTAGCGCGGAGGTGCCCGCCTGGCTTGCACATCTGAATTTTGGGCAGCTCTGGCCGACGGGGCTGGGCAGGGTATGTATGGGATGGTGGGATGAGCTGGGCTGAAAGGATAGACCACTGCAATTGTGTACGAGATGTTTCATGTTCTTGGACCACCTCAAGGTTGAAGATTCCGAGATTCTATAAGCACATACCGCAAAGGACTTTTGTCAATCACCGCGATCTCAGTTCGCACAGACGGTTGCGCCGACAAGCATATATCTGTCCCCGGCGACGTACGATTTCCCTGTCAACAAGCTGACGATGCCAAAAAGATAGAGGAGATAGGCGCAATGGTGTCAACTGTCATCGGTCGGCTTTGACCGTGGTGGAGGTAGTCGCTGGCGGCTCGGGTCCCCGGGATAGATGGTATGATGATCCTACGTATTAACTTCTTTCTATATCTCTTTACACCTCTCAAAGTTATCTCAGACTTTTGATCGAAAACATTCACTCCCCTTCAAGACCCCTGATCATCAATATGCCTGTCCCACAAGTGACTCTCAACGACGGCACCAAGATTCCTCGAATCGGATTCGGGCTCGGTTAGTTACTCTTGCTCTACATCTGAGACCTCTGATACTGACAAGGAGATAGGTACGGCACACTATGGCAAGGAATGTACCTCCCACCTCCTATCCGCCCTTCAGACGGGATACACTTATATCGACTGTGCGGAGATGTACGCCAACGGCTCGTCTGTCAAGGATGCTCTGAAGCAGTGGGATGGGAAGAGGGAGGATCTTTATATCCTTCAGAAGTGTAAGCATGATACTCTGGAGCTGGAGCTGGTGAGCTGATAAGAGGCACAGGTGGTGGAGGCGAGTTCGGTACGAAGAATCCGAAAGAGATCTTGGAGAGGCTGCTGGCAGATATGGGAATTGACCATGTTGATCTTTGTGAGCATGACCAACACGCTGCACGATGCAAGGTACTGACACAAGGCAAGATCTATTGCACTCCCCTTTAGTAAGCCCACACGGCCATGTGAAAGCAAAGCTAACAACCTGATTAGCTCTTCTCCCCCGACTACACGTTGAGCGAAGCATGGGCCATCATGGAAGACCTCCAAGCTTCCGGACTCACCAAGTCTATCGGCGTCAGCAACTTTCGCGAAGAAGATCTCCTCGAGATCCAAAAGACGTGGAAAGTCGTCCCTGCCGTAAACCAAGTGCGTGTGTCTCCATGATCGACGAAGAGGTGGCTGACGGAAAAGACTATAGATCGAATTTCAGCCGTACAACTATCATGCTGCCAACATGACCCGTCTTTTTGACCTTTGTTCCTCTGAGAATATCACTATCGAGTGCTACGGCCCGCTCACACCTCTGACCAAGGCACCGGGGGGTCCCGTCGACCCAGTCGTATCTCGTATCGCGACTGAGAAGGGGTACGAAACTTCCCAAGTCTTGTTGAACTGGGCAGCACAAAAGTCCAAGGGGGTGGTAGTGACTACCAGTGCGAACAAGACACGACAGACGACCCAGCTGGATGCCATTCGGGAGAAGGAGCCATTGAGCGAGGCAGAGATGGAAGAGATCAGCGAGGCGGGCAAGAAGCAGTTCAAGAGGGCGTTCATGGAGAAGGTTTGGAATGCGGCCAAGCCCTAGGTACAACATACCGTATATGCCACGTAAACATGCAAGAGGTGGAAGTAGGAAGTCCTACGTCCGCCGAATATGGTCCGATTTTACGATGATGTGAGACAACGTTGAGCGACGCGGCGCTTATTACCAGTAATCAGTGCACAGTGTGCACGCATGGGTTGAAGGCGGATGCACTGCAATCTTGAGCAGATACGCATGTAGGAGGACTTGCGGCATGGCAATGGACATTCAAGCTTGTGGACCAGGAAAGTGATGTTGATTGCGCAGACACGTTGTTCATCAGCGATTGCTCCTCCGCTCGGTTTCGGCTCGGTGAACCCGGGCGGTGAAGGTCTCTTTCGCCAATTCTCCATGGGCTACTTTTCATTATATGCAACTGCTAAATGCTGCTTGGTGGGTATCGTGAGCGAATGTGCGCCGATTGACCAATATATCTGCTCGTGTCTGGTACCCAGGCTACGACCTCATAACCAATAACGCTCGTCGACGTGTACCGCGCCGGGCGGGTAAAGCCAAGATAATTGCCCTTTTTGGACACGGAGACGTCCAGAGAACGAGTGTGCCTGTAGAGTCAGACAGAGAGGGGTCAGCGGGGACCAGCGCGGGGCACAGGGGAGCTATCGAGAGCGTGATGGTGTATGCACATGCAAGGAGGGAGAGCCAAATACAGAAGCAGTGCTAATTCTAAAAGTGGACGGGATTTTACGAGAGACGATCCGACGGGGCGGGAGCAAATTTGTATAGAGCGTTGGTGGCAACGGGCGAGGATAGAGAAGCATGGGGCAGCCGCGCTATGGATGCATGCAGGGGGTGGCAGCGGTGGGCAGGGGCTCTGGGGTACATGCATGCTGTATTCGCAGCATCTTCGGGAGCAGGGACTGGGCAGGGTGTTGACCTTTTGATTGTCCTTGGTGGTGGTAATAATAGCACCTCGATTCAAATCTCCCAGCGACATCTCTTTCCCATCTCCTCTTTCATTTCCATCCGTCTCCCCTCAGCCCATATCCCCTCGCCCCGCCCACGACAACGAAAACCCTCTCATGCGATGCACAAAGCAGATCCCTGGAGGAGAGAGGAGGGCATCGGAGATCCCCCCTCCCAGCCCCCAGACCACTGCCACGCTGGTCCTTCCCGCCTACGCGACGCCCCCTACACCCCCTACGCACCCACACGGCGGCAGCCCACTGTGGCGAGACACGATGGTGCCAAAAAACCAAAGACACCAAAGACACTAGCACGGCGCGAACCCCGAAGACGGCGACCACCTCACCCCGCCTCCCCACTCACCCTCCTCCCCGCCTTTCTCCTCCCCTTCCTCCATCCTGTCGGCGCCGCCCCCGCGCCCGTCCCCCCGCCGCCCGTACCCACTTCGAGAACCGGCCTGCACGCGACGAAAACGGTATCGGGCGGGTCGAAAGCAACGACACCGCCTCTGGGGGCACTTGATCGGCGTGTGATCTACCCCGAGAATATGGAAACGCCCACCAAGCTGCCGACGGATGTTGTCTTTGTGGACGAGACTGCTCTTCCGTATCTGTTGACGCAACTGGAAGACGGGACGTGGAAAAAGGCTGATGGAGGATGGTATCTTTACGGGCGGAAAGTAGCGGTGCGTCTTCTGTGTTATCCTCATCAAACCCCAAGCTGAATCTTCTTAGCAGCCGTCAGGCGGAGCAATGTTAGTGGATGGAGACGGAGACGGTACAGTCACGGATAGCCAGACTACTCAAACTGCAAAGCCTTCCTATGCTGTCGAGCAAGCACTACCTAACGGGTCAGTGCGCGTCTCTCGTGTCAAGTGTGCGGCTTGCTGACTCTGTGTGCAGCTGGGGCATATCGTCCAATCGAACGAGTATATACAAAGTCCCACTCATTTCTGTGGCTAGTGTCATCATGGCGCTGCTCATCACTGCTCTCATCATCTTGTGCGTTCCCGCGTATCTCGCCTGAGGCACTCTGACTCATTCTATCACAGCTACGTTTTCGGTCGCAGAAAGCGGCACCGCAAACAGAAACGGGCAAAAGAACGTATGCGCCGAAAAGCCCTCGCCGCTGCTGGGCTCAATGAAAGCGACATCAACGGCAGCGCCGCCGAAGCCGTATTCAAAGAAAAGCTCGCAGAGATGGAGGCGAAACACAAGGCCAAGAAGAAGCGAGAGGGACAGATGGAGTTTGCTAGTGGAAAGGTCCGGGGGTGGAATGCCAGGTTGGCGGCTGTGAGAAGAAGAAAGGGTCCACGGAAAGGAAAGGGCAAGGGAACGACAGAGGTGCTCGAGGAGGAGAATAGCGATGGGGAGATTGCCCGGACGATTGTGGAAGAACCATCGCCCAGCGCTGAGGCAGACGTACCAATCGTCAGCCCATCTCGTGCGCCTTCACCAGCGAGTTCTTCCCATTCTACCCCGCCTCCCGTCGAAACGCCCGCACCACCAAATGAAGCACCTTTCAACCCTCTCACGTCACCCACACCCTACTTCCCGCCTGCCTATCGCCCCGCGTCGGTTCGCTCCATCCCTGCCGCCTCAGCGTCTGCTGGTCATTCACATCCTTCCTCCTCACGGGCTCTTGATGAAGCAGGTCCTACTCATGTTGAAAAGACACAAGCACCTGGCTACTATCCCGCCCCGGCTACCGAAGATGGCGAGCGCGCCCTTGCCGTGGCATCAAGGAGTGATGGCAAAGCGAGGGTGGTGGATGTCGATGGATATCAGGCCGAGGTGTCGGGAGATGACAGGGAGGAGTCAAGGAGAGCGCATGTGGCGACAGATGATAAATGGGTGCTCGAAAGGCTGAGGATGGGTGCATCGGCACCTCCTGCAGCGCAAGAAGCAGATGAGAGGGGACCTTCAGCGCCTGAAGTCATGCTCGACGAGCAAGGCTTTGAGATACCCGCTGTCCTTGATGAAGATGATTATCTCTACGACCAGCCTTCTCAGCCTTCGACTGTTTTCCCGGCACCGCCCATGCTCAGTAGAAGACTGGCGCAGTTCCACAACCTGGACGGGCCGAGTCCTTCTGCGCCCTCTGCACCCCCGACAGAGTCCTCACCAGAGATACCTTCGGCCCCACCTGCGTTGGAGGGTGAGATCGAGTCTTCGGCGCCCTCTGCCCCACCCATGGAAGATGAGCAAGTGCTTCCAGAGCTGGACAGTGCGCCGTCAGCGCCACCGCCCATCGAGGAAGGGGACGAAGGCCATGATCTTTCGCCAGAGTCTTCCAACTCTGACTAGACCATCTCGCCTTCTACCGTCAGCCAGGACTCGCCATTGTCTACCGACTCGGTACCATCTCGGGAAACGGGAGCAAGGGGAGAGAAACCGGAAATGCTTCCATATCAGGCATCGGGGCAGAACCCGAGGATGGAGAAAGGGGAGAGAGGGACGGCGTATCACATTCGGTGGTTTCAAGTAGGAGTGGAAGCGTCCAAGGGATGTTCTTACCGCGGTACGAGCCCTGAGTAAATTACGAGTACCATACCATCAGGAGAAAGTAAAATGTTCTATAGCACGATCTTTTGGTATTTTGTGTTCTTCTCTTGTTTATAATCCCATGTTCAGACTTTCATAGGATTATCTCATGGCTTTTCATCATGTTTGTGGTTGTTGTACCGACTTTGTTTATATCGCTTGCCACGTAGTACCATGTTACCTTTGCGTCACCATGCCCTTACTCCGACCTGCGTCCCATCCTTGAGATATGTGCAAGTGGTATAGCGATACATTTGAACGTCCATGTATGACGAAGGCAAGAAATGATATATCTGTAGCACCGCTATCGTTTCATCGAGTACTCGTCCCAAAACAGCGTCACAAAGCGTCAAGAAGGGAATGAAAGAGGAATTATAAGAGAAAACGAAGGATAGAGAGACCGCAAAACTCCCAAAGGCAGACAAAGGAAAAGATGAAAAGACCGTAGCACTAGATTGGTTGACCTCTGTTGGGAACATCGTTATAGCTGCGCTCATACATCAGCTCAAGTCACGACAATCCTAGAGACGACATACTTGGGAGGAATCTCATCCAGATGCTCTCCTTCGTCCTCCACCGATCTCAAATCCGTATGCTGATAGACTGACGCCCTGCTGTCGCTGAAACCACTTTGTCGCCTCGGAAGCTCGGTATCATCTCCGCTCCTCGGGCTTCCCAACACCTCCTGCTGCCCAGCACCACTGGCGCTAGCGCCAAGACTGTTGCGGCTCTCTCGACGGTCGGCAGCAGCCTCGCGCTGCTTGGCGAAAGCGGCAGAAGTCTGCATGTTGGGGCTGACAGGGCCGGACGAAGAGTGTTGGTCACTGGAAGAGTACGCGCTGTTGCCATAGTTGTACGCGCCGGCAGCGGCAGCACCGGCACCGGCACCAGCATAAGCAGCATCCCCACCGTAAGCATCATAGCCACCAGTGTTCATGTAGTTTCGAGCGTCGGGGAAGGTCATGGACGGGTGGCCGTAAGGATCGTATGACTGTTCGGGCGAGTAGTGCTGTTCGGGAGACGAGGGATGCTGGTAGGGGAAGGGGTCGACCTGAGCTCCGGCACCACCGGCAGCGGGAGCAGCAGGGTCGATGAGATCGATGGGGTCGTTGACAGAGTGACGGACGTGGGAAGGATCAAACTGCGAATGATGTCAGTTTTACGCTCGTTCCGCAAAGTGGACCCGACATACAGTCTTTTCGTCAAACGCTTGGTGGTTGCGGCGCCTCTTTCTGATGATGAAGAACCAAAGCAGGGCGAGGAGAATGGCGAGACCGGCAAGACCACCGACAACACCACCGACAATGGCACCGGTGTCTGTATACACGTCAGCTCTTGTTTCAGACGATAAAGTTTGTACTGACTAGATCCGCCGTTCGTGCTGCTTGCATCGGCAGCCCCAGTGGCGACAGAAGTCGAGGTCACTCGCGTGGATCCATTCGAGTCTGTCACAGTTACGTAGCTATACAAAGGAGGCGTCAGCTTTTGCAAATACCAAAGACCTGCGCGACTTACACATAGCTCGTCGAGTGAGCAGTAGTGGATGTGGGCGAGCTGCTTGATGCTGCATCACTCGAGGAAGACTGTGCCGCTGTTGATGTAGCAGTGGCGGTGCTTTGTTGGACGGCGCTAGAGGTCTGAGAGCTCGGCTGCGCTTCAGACGAGGAGGGCGAATCCGAGGACGTGCTCGGCAAAGCCTCAGAAGAAGAGATTTCCTGCTGGCTCGTTGTTGTCGAGGGCTGTACTGAAGAGGAGGTGGAGGGAAGCGCTTCGGACGAGCTTGTCGAAGGCTCAACGGAGCTGAACGTCGAAGGAGTGTCTGAAGATGTGACGGTCGAAGGCGCGGCGCTCGACTCGGCGGTTGACGAAGCGGCTTCAGAAGTGGAAGGCCCGGCGCTGCTGGTAGGGGCGGCTGATGATTGGGCGGAGGAGGGAGCTTGGCTGCTCTGGGCTTGGGAGGAAGCTGCTTGAGATGAGGCCGCAGCTGATGAGGCCGGGGCGGAGGTGGTGCCGACAGCTGAGGAGGCAGCAGCTGATGATGGGACAGCAGAGGCGGAGGCGGAGGCAGAGACAGAGGCAGACATGGTCAGCCAGTGTCGTGGTAGAGAATAGAGTAAAGGAAGGAGAAATTGAGCGCAAAGAGACAAAAGAAAAGGAGGATGAGTTGTTTACACGGAGCGTGAATAATGTGAAACAAAAAAGCTTTCTTTTTGCCCTTGTCCGCTCTTCTCGCCTCGTCGTGATAAAAGATACTGCACGGCTGCACCTCGCTTGCCAGCATAGCCAGCGTGTGCCCCAGAAAACCCGAAGCAGCCTCCCTGATCTATGACGGGTCCAAATGCGCACAAGCGATGCGTTCCTCCAATCTCCCGGGCCAGGGCCAGTTCGATAACTCACCTGGGTCGCTGGCGTCGGCCATGTCTGTGTTTGTATTGTCTGGTGGAGGGGGTACGTTGAGTGATATAGGATATACAATGGAAGAAGAGATGCAGAAGAGGGAGAGATGTGAACCTTTTTCATCTTTCGGCTTGCAGTTGTTTTCCTGTTCCTAATCTCCGCTGCCGGCATTCCCTGGCACTGCTGTATCCCTCGATCCCGTCGATCCGCTGTGGCTGCATGCATCCCTCCATCTTTCCAAAATTCCAACGGCCAGCGGGTATAGATCGCCGGCTAGTATGCCGATGCACTGGAAGCAGGGTCCACAGCGAGAGACGACGAGCGAGGGAAGAGGTGTACGCTAGGGCATGTGGCGGTGCAGCAACGTCTTCTCCGCTCTTCTACCGTCAGGCGTCATCACCGATACATCATCCCAATTGCTATTGCTGGCTGTAATCCTGGCGTATTCGGAAGCCGCAGCATGTGATGGTAAAGAGCTTCCGAGTGTATGCCAGATGCTGGTGCTTGCACGAAGAGAGAGGCACCCGAGTTTTAGCAAGAGAAGTCGTCATCTGAAGCCACAGAAAACGATTGCGATACCGGTAAGTGTAGCTCGAGAGGTATGCTCTTTATCGACTCTATGCATGAAGTGACACATGAGGCTTGCTTCCCGTGCTGCCCGTGCTGATCTGAAGCTTATGACCGCCGGTTCATGGACAAGATGTGCAGCATCATGATACCAGCAGCAACCACGCAATGTTTGAGTATCCGCTGAGCCCACTGAGAGGTCACCCGTCGACAAGACTTGACTGAATCTTTCACACAAACAGACCGAGCACCGAGACGAGCTAATGACCTCCTATCGTTGCTTGTCGCCAGTATGGGGTTATACTTGACAACCAGATCTTGCAGATCTTGACACACGATGATGCCAGATCTTTCCTTGTGTCAAGTCTTTTCCCAGGCTCCTTCATCGAACGACAGGCCATAGGCAGCAACTCACGGGCTATGGAGAGGATGCACCTATGAGGGTGCAGGCAGCGGGGTGCACATGTCATTGAAAGATTACACTATAAGAGAACGTACATTTCGCAACTGCTATAGCTCTAGGTAGTACAAAGACACTCTGCACTATGCAAGATGTTTCTCGTCGAGATGAAATGCTATATTGTATGATTATCCAGCCGCCCCTGCTGAAACCCTTCCAAGTCTTCTATTGTCCATCACTCTAGTACGGCAGACCGCCCCCTCCGCCCCCCGTCGTCATATCCGGCTTGTGCCGCTTGTTGGCATTGAACTGTTCGTTCGAATGCTCTCGTTTCATATGGCCAGGCTGTGCTTGGTAACCATAGCTGCCATCATTACGCGCGTTACCTCCGCCGCCATTCCCGAAATTCTGATTTTGTGGTGGCCTGTTCCGGGGGGCACCACCCCCTCCTCCGGCCAAGGAAAACCCGGGAGGTGGGCCGGTTGGTCGCTTCGGAAGACTGCCGGGGGGGGCCCGCATCCCTGATGGAGGGGGTGCAGGAAAGCTGTTCTGTGGTAGCGGCGCTAGGGAAGGCTGACCGTAACCGCCCTGCACTGCACCATCGTAACCCCCTGGCTGACCACCATACCCTCCTCCATTACCATACCCCATCGCCGCATGTGCAGCACCAATCACGTTCGAGCTCACAGGCGGTCCGGCACCATAGCCTGTGGCAAGAGGTTGTATAGAAGGCTGTGCCTGCGAGTAGCCTTGTTGCGCTTGCTGTTGCGCATATGCAGGCCGCGGGCGATATGCATTATGCCCAGGTTGTGACTGATTCGAGGCATGACCCGTGAGCGGTTGATAGGGGTTGGGAGCAGGCTGGTGCTGCGACTGATGAGGATAGTTGTTGAGCGGTTGTTGAACTGGTGCCGATAGTGGTGCGGCGTAAGGATTATTGGCATAAGGATTGGCTTGTGGGGCTTGAGAGAATGCGACGCGCGGGGGCATGACAGGTTGGGGCGGAGGTTGAGCGGGCGCAGCGGGCTGCTTGTGATGCCAGGCCGACATTTCGTGTGAAGATTCGAGTCTCAGTGGAGCCTCCCTGTTCACAATGTCAATTAAGCCCAGTCAATGAGAAAGATACTCACGTCTTTGGATTGATGGGTAGAGGTTCTATCCAGAACCAAGGGTGATCCAATGCCTCACTTGCCGTTGGTCTTTGACTTGGGTTTAGCGTCAACAGCTTTCCAAGCAAGTTTGCTCCCGCCCTATCCAACCTTTTGCGCTTGTCAGTCACCGCCAATCCAGCTAGACAGTCAAACTCACCCATAAGCTGTAACGTCTTCCGCAATATGCCTCTCTCTCGGTGATCGCTCCCAATCGTGTCCTGGCGCATCGACAAACCCAGGTAGACTCCTCCATCCTGGCCATGTCTCCTGGCTCAACGGTCCGCATTTAGCAACAATCATCGCCAACTGTTCTCTATCACCGCCACCAGGCAAGAGCGGGCGCTTCATGTACAGTTCTCCCAGTATGCAGCCTATTGACCAAAGATCGACAGCAGGGGTATAGCGGGTAGCTCCCAGGAGCAGTTCCGGCGCACGATACCACCTCGTCACCACCATATTGGTATACTCTCTCGCGAGATGCGGTGGCATATCCGCCTCCTTCGTCCAAGGTCTCGCCAGACCAAAGTCTGCAATCATGACCCGATAATGTTTATCCACGAGGATGTTGGCGGTCTTGATATCACGGTGGATGACGTTGTTGGCGTGGATGAATGCCATGCCTTCGAGGAGCTGCTTCATGAGGCTTTTGTGGACACTGGGGCGTTTTTGAAAATCGGGGTTGCCGAGAAGGCCGCAGAGATCGTGGTCCATATAGGGAAACACCATAAACATCTCGGTGTTGACCTTTCTGTTTTGGGGATTACCTGAATCGCAAGGTCAGTTGTGCTCGCCACAAGTATAGAGATGACCGACCTCGACTCATGACCATATCGATGAGAGGGACCACATTAGGATGGTTCAGACTTTTCAAGATCTTGATCTCTCGCAACGTGGTGATATGCGCCTAGAGAGTGTGAGATGGGCTCATCAAGACATGTACACAAAAACTCACCCCATCCCTGGTATTATGCGTGGTAATCTTCTTCAAAGCCACTTCTCTTCCAGTGCTCCTCTCGGTTGCTTGCGTGACCACACTGCAAATGATTAGTTGGGTTCAGAGAAGAGCATTATAAAACTCACCCAAACGTCCCTTCTCCCAGCTTCCTACCCGTCTCGTATCCCATCAAGGTTGACGATCCCACAAACACTCTCCCATACGCCTCCTCCTCCTCCTTGACCGTCCTCATTCCAAATCTTTCTGGCTCATGATCCTTCCTCCTACCCCTGCCCTTCTCCTTATGACTCTTATCACGCGGCGGCTCAACATATTCGCCTTCCTCGCGCTCAGGCGATGGCGGGCGCGTCTTGTCTTGGTGTAACAGCGGCGCGTGGGGCACAGTCGGCGGGGCTGGAGGGGTGGCAGGCGGAGGGGATAGGGGTGGAGGGGGAGGGGCATTAGGTGTCGGTGGACGTGCTGATTCAGCAGTATGGGACACAGTTGAAGCAGCGCGAGTATCGTCGGAGCGACGGACTTTTTCTCTCTTCAACGTGATGGGCCGGAACTTTGAGGCAGACTCGTCCTTCTCTGGAGCTTCATCTTTCGAGTACTTTGATTCTTCCGCACCATACGGCGCTGGCACGTCGTACTTGAAGGATGGCACCATGCTGTAATTGGAGACGTGTTTCTCTGGGGGTGATCGGGAACGTGATAGAGGACGATCTCGCTGCCTTCGGTGTGGGTGGCTGTCCGGAGGGCCGTGGTAATCAGGACTTCGGGTCCGTCTTCTCGACTGATGCCAATTCCGATCATAGTCGCGAGGTTCGCGGCGTCTATAGCCACGGTCATCGCGATGGTCCCTATTGTAGGGGGCGCGACCATCACTTTCGCGATCACGCTCGCGCCTATCATTCCAGCCATCCCTCTCGCTTCTATTTGGATTTCTGGGCCTATTCCAATCCTCGGGCCTTTGACTGTACCCGTGATCTACTTTGCCCTGATCCCATTCCCTCACGGGCGGCCCAGGTGGTTCTGCCTTTGATTCAAGTCGTGGAGGCAATGAAGGCGAATGTGGCCTCCTATGTGGTTCGCCATAGGTAGCGGGGGCTGGCGGCAAATCGCGATTTCTACCAGAGTCTGAAGAACTCGTCGAAGGGCGACGGGCAATTCCGTTGGACGAATGTCGAGGAGCCTGTTTCTCTGGAGAGATCGAGGCAGGCAGTCGATCCGTCACAATTGTTGAAGGTTTTGCGGGGAGGTTATGTGTGGATGGAGGTGGTGGTGCCTTCCTCGACGATGGCCCGCCTGTAGTACTGTAAACATCGTTCGGCAAGATTTTAGCTGTTGAAGGTTCTCTGTAAGGGTGCTCCCTAAGCGACCTGGGCGGATGTCGAGCTCCGTTTCCTCCTCTACCTGGGGGACTGCTGTAAGGCGACCGCCTACCGGCACTGCCCTCGCCTCCCTCATGGGGAGGAGGGAGCCACATCTCGGTCTTTCTTTTCTGTGAGGAAGACGTTGAGACCGTCCTGGGGGTTTCGTCGGGTAGTTCGCCGTCCTCTGCTTCTCCTTCGGGAAAGAACACTCCGAGCTTGGCGCTGGGGGCGCGGGCTTTCATGACGCTGAGGGGCATGAGCAGTGGGGGGGCGAGAGAACAGGCGACGCACATGGGGGAACTGTCTCTGGAGGCGGCGGTGAGCTGAATGAGTTGATAAATGGATAGAATGACTTGGTGAGCGCATTAGAGAGGAGCGGGATCAGATCCGGGTGGCGTTAATTACGTATCACACGCAGATTATTAATCCCCTTCTTACGCGTTGCACAAAGACATGAGAGGTGTCGCGTACAAAAGTTGATTCTCTCATCATCCACCCTCAACACCATGGAGGGCGCCGAGGTCAACCACGGCAACATCTTCAACATACGCTCGTCTCCTGATGGCAACAGGGACAGGGAAGAGTATGCCAGACAGCAACGAGCGCGCATCGACCAGCGCCACGCAGCGACTGCGCTCAACGGCAAGAGCTCTGCCAAAGCTGTCCCGACACCTTCAATATTTATCCCAAAGAAGAAGCCGAACGCGCTTTCTTCTGGATCTCAGGGCAGCTCCCAGGGGACATCGGCAGCCATCGCCGCCAAACGTCGCCTTGACAGGGACGCTGTTCAGGACGACTCGCCTCGAGCTTCCTCGTCGGCTCTTCAAACGAAATCACGGACCAGAGCACCTCCAAAGGATTTCGCAATAGAGTTGTCGGATGATTCGTCACCTCTGAACAAGCCGTTTGCGACCAGCGCATCCCAGCGCAGCAAAACTACGAGCTCGGGCTTGGGGAATTCAGAGATGCAACGGAGGGACAGGGAGATTGAGAGGGCGGAAGAGAGAAAGCGAAGAAATGCAGAGATCGAGAGGGAAGAGAAGAGGACAAAGGACAAGATGGGGGAGAAGGAGAAGAATGCTCCCAGCAACAAGAAGAGTGCGGCTGATGATATATATGCGAGCATCTTCGCAACGCGCGACAAACTCCATGCCATTGAGGCGGGTCAGCCATCTCTTTCGTCGTCGAACCCGACCGAGAGACAGAAGGCCAAAAGCAGGACTTCTCCCGTTGCGATCCCCGACAAACCAAAAAGCAAAGGCAAGGGCAAAGGCAGGGAAGAGTACGATTGCATCGACCTTATCAGTCCTGCCAAAACCCGGCATGCCAAACGTCCAACTGCCAAACAAGCTTCTTCGTCCGAGTACGATACTGTGAACGAAGACGATGACAATTCCGACGACGAACTGGCTCTAGGCAACACCCCTCCCTCCCATAAGCACGACATCTATCGCTCCTCCCGTGCTCCTCCCTCTTCCCTTCCCCGGCCGTCTTCTCAGCGCTCGCACGCTTCAACACACAGCGAGCAAGTCTTGATCCCAGATTCTGATGAAGAGTCTTCTCCTGGGCAATCCTCGGGGGCTAGCCGCGTTAGGAAGAGAGGCAGTCCCGAGAGAGTCGCTGCTCCTGGGTACGGTGATGACGACGACGATTATTACAGGGACAATTCAAAGAAGAAGAAGAAGAAGAGGATGATGGATAATGGGACTGGAAAGCTTGCCAGACAAGGTGTACGAGAAGAGAGGGAGAAGAGTTTGGAGTCTGTGCCGTCGGAACCGTTATCTCGAGCCACATCTAAGAATCCATTCGCCGCCACAAGCCGGACCAAATCCACAGCCCTCCCCCCCGACAAGAACGCACCCAAACCCAAACCCAAACTCAAACCCCCCCCACCTCGACAGCGTCAAATGTTCAACCAAAAAACTACTGGTGGTAAAATCACCATCGTCTCTGACGACGATGCAAGCTCGGAAGAAGAGCTCGACGAAGCAAGCAAAGAGCTATTACGCAAACAAATGCAGATCAAAGCGCAGCAGCGTGCCAACGACAGACAGTTACGCGCACATGACGGAGCCAAAAAAGAAGAGGCAAGAAAGAAGGAGCAACAGCAAAAGAAGGCTGCAGGGAAGGCCAAGAAGGTTGTCGATGAGAATGATAAAGGACATTCATTCTTCAAGATGTTGGAAAATATGGACGTGCATGATGATTTGGAAGAGTTTGATGACGATTTTTTGGATGGACCGTGAGCACTTGCCACTCGTATTGAGAAAAGGAACTGACATTAGTCAGATCATTCAATCTTGATACGACGATGGAAGAGGATGATGATGATGATGATTGGTTGGTCGGAAATTATACGGACGCTCAGCGTAAATGGATCTGTAAGTGTAGCTGGCATGTGTATTTGACTTTGCTGACCATCTACCAGTACGACATGTGAACACGAGAAACCTTTGTCCTGTGTGTAGAATCAAACCCTTGCCGTACTACATGCTGACCTCTGTCTAGTATTGCGACGAGCCCCTCCCCTTGAACCCCACGGAGCATATCGAGAATCTTAAAGCAAGACTCGAGAAACTTTCCAAGCCAGCTCCCACCACCAGAAACCCCAATGCGCGCGATCTTCACTGGCAACAAGCCATCGAGTTTTGCACTCTGCATCGCGCCGAAGCTACCATCATTCCGCTAGGCATCCAAGCTGGCTATCCCGAAACGATCGATTTCAAAAACCTGGATAGTCGGCTGGAGGAGGGATGGGTGTGGGCAGAGATTGAAAAGATTGTAAAAGACCCGAGCAGGTCGGAGATGTTTTTACAGGTGAAAAGGGAGATTGAGAGTGTCGGCAAGATGAGGTGGGGCGGGATCATGCATCAGAGTAGGGCGGAGCGATTGTTGGCTGTCAAGCCGGGATAGTGAGTCACATCTCCGATGCTAGCAGAAGCCAGCTGACATCTGTAGCTACGGAGAATTGGGTCGAGTCATCATGACCGACCACTTTCAGAAACTCCAGCAATGGAATTATCTCTCCCCCTGCGTCCCGCCCGCCCGTCCGGGCTCGGACGTCACAGACGACCTCATCCTCCCCATCAGTCCCCTATCCGCGGCCGACTTTATCGCCAATGTTCTTGTTCCTGAAGCCTCCATCTTTCTCATCATGGATGACAACCAATGTCGTTCGTTTGATAGAGACGCGTATGACGACGCGGCGAGGACGAGGGAGGAGAGCGCCCAATATGGAAACACCAAGTTCAGAGAAGGGGATCGGCAGGCAAAGAAGTTACTGGAGGAACTGAGGAAGGGAGCACCGAAGAAGAGGGAGAGGGTCAAGAGGCTTTTGGGGAAAAAGAAAGTCAAACCTACCAATAAGGAGGGTGACGAGAACAAGGAGAATCGCAGGCCGGCTTCGTCGGGGGCACCAGCCGAGACTGGAGAATCTTCTACAAAGAAGGCTTCTCAGCAAAGCTCGGATATGTGGGAAGGGGAGATTGATGATGCCACGTTGCTGGGACTTGGTTATTGAGACGATGAGATAGGATCCATGTAGACTATGTATGTATTTGTCACCTCTACAAGACAAAGTCAGTCGCGTCGCAGGGCTACTGATAAGGGCAGCCAATGAAATTCCACTCCTCTTCAGAAATCAATCAGAAATCCATCCTGCTCTCTCTTCCCACCGCCGCCATGCATCTCCTCCCGCGCGAACAGGTGAGTGTTCCCCACAGCGACCCCTCTGACCGTCCCAGGACAAACTCATCCTCACCACCCTCGGCACCCTCGCACAACGCCGCATCGCCCGCGGCCTCGTCCTCAACCGCGCAGAGACAGTCGCACTCATCGCCTCCCAGCTCCACGAGTTCATCAGAGATGGCAAGCACTCGGTCGCAGAGCTCATGGATATCGGCAAGAAGATGCTCGGGAGAAGGCATGTCATGGAGGGCGTTGCCGAGGCTATCCATGATATCCAGGTGGAGGGCACTTTCCCAGACGGCGTCTTTCTGGTCACAGTGCATGACCCCATTGCTTCAGACGATGGCGACTGTGAGTATCTCTAGAGGAGTATTGGGCCAATGAGGCTGATACAACTCAGTGAACAATGCGCTCTACGGCTCCTTCCTGCCGATCCCGTCTTCCGACCTTTTCCCACCACCACCAAAATCCACCGAACCCATCCCTGGAGCCCTCATATGCCTCAAGAAACCAGTGGCCCTCAATGTCTCTCGTCGCAGACTCCTTCTTGAAGTCAAGAACGCGGGAGACAGACCCATACAAGTCGGCTCCCACTATCCCTTCCTCGAAACCAACCCTTCCCTGGTCTTTGACCGTCTTTTGTCATACGGCTTGAGACTTGATATCCCAGCAGGCACAGCAGTGCGTTTCGAACCTGGGGAGAAGAAGACGGTGGGGATGGTGGAGGTAGGGGGAAAAAAGCTTCTGTATGGCGGAAGTGGGTTGGGGAGTGGGCAGTTTGAGGAAGGGTTGAGAGAGACAAGTGTTCGAGATCTGGTGGAGAAGGGTGGATTCGGGCACAAGAAGCAAGAAAAGGTGGAGCAAGGCCCCATTGTTCAAATGGACCGAGAGGTGGTAAGTCGCCCTCTCTCTCTCTCGAGTTTGTAAGCTCATATCGTGGCAGTACGCGTCAATGTTTGGCCCAACTACCGGCGACAAGATCAAACTCGGCGACATGGACCTTTGGGTTGAGGTCGAAAAGGACTTTACTATCTACGGCGACGAGTGCAAGTTTGGGGGTGGAAAGGTGCTCCGTGATGGTCAAGGACAGGCGTCCGATAGACATGACTCTGAGGTGCTGGACCTGCTGATCACCAATGCATTGATCATCGACTGGAGTGGTATCTACAAGGCAAGTCTCTCATTTGATGCAGAACCAATATACTGACGTAGAGACGCAGGCCGATATCGGTATCAAGAATGGTATCATCGTGGGTATCGGAAAGGCTGGTAACCCAGATATCATGGACGGTGTCACCGAAGGCATGATCTTTGGCTCTAGCACCGAAGTCATCGCCGGAGAAAAGCTCATCATTACTGCCGGTGCAATCGACGTCCACGTCCACTACATTTGCCCTCAGCTTTGTAACGAGGTGGGTCTGTAATCTCTCTTGTACCCTCATGTGCTCATTATATTAGGCTCTGGCTTCTGGTATTACGACCCTCGTTGGCGGCGGTACAGGCCCTGCAGACGGAAGCAACGCCACCACCTGCACCTCCTCCGCCTTCTACATGCAAAACATGATTACCGCTACCGACACTATCCCGCTCAACTTTGGCTTTACCGGCAAAGGCAATGACGCGGGTGTCCATGCAATAAAGGATATCGTGGAGGCGGGAGCTTGTGGGTTGAAGTTGCACGAGGATTGGGGATCGACGCCAGAGGCTATTGATAGGGCTTTGACTATTGGTGACGAGTATGATGTGCAAGTGAGTGAACACTGCGGTTTTTATATCATATCACTGCTAACGAAAGACCAGGTCAACATTCACACAGACACGCTCAACGAGAGTGGTTATGTCGAGAGCACTCTGGCTGCTTTCAAGGGCAGGACCATCCATACATACCACACTGAAGGCGCTGGTGGTGGTCACGCCCCCGACATCATTGTGGTGTGTGAGCACGAAAACGTCCTGCCCAGTTCTACCAACCCCACTCGACCTTATGCCGTCAACACTCTGGACGAGCACCTTGACGTGAGTCTTTTGTCTGCACTGCTCGATGACCATGCTGATGAGATACAGATGTTGATGGTCTGCCACCATCTCGACAAATCCATTCCTGAGGATATCGCCTTTGCTGACTCTCGTATCCGAGCCGAGACTGTGGCTGCCGAGGACGTCCTCCAAGACACTGGCGCTATCTCCATGATCTCGTCTGATGCCCAGGCTATGGGCCGAATCGGCGAAGTCATCGCTCGAACATGGCGTACTGCCGCCAAGATGAAGTCTGTCCGCGGCCCTCTTCCCGGCGATGAAGAGACTCGCGACAACAACCGTGTCAAGCGCTACATTGCTAAGTACACTGTCAACCCCGCCATCACACACGGCATGTCGCACCTCATCGGTTCCGTTGCCGTCGGCCAGCTCGCAGATCTGTCCATCTGGAAAGCAGAAAACTTTGGGGCAAGACCGGAGATGGTGCTGAAGGGCGGTGTGATTGCGTGGGCACAGATGGGTGATGCGAATGCGTCGATTCCAACGGTGCAGCCAGTGTTTGGGAGGCCCATGTGGGGATCGCAGCCGAGGGCAGCGGCGCTCAACTCGATTGTTTGGGTCAGTCAGGCGTCGATTGAGAAGGGTTAGTCATCCACAAGCTTTCTCGTACACCTACTGATGAGCTTGCAGGCATCGTGCAAAAGTATGATATCAAGAAGAGGACTGAAGCAGTCAAGAAATGTCGAGACATTGGTAAAAAGGATATGAAGCTGAACGACCACAAACCCAAGATGACTGGTAAGCCTCACAATGTCCCCTCATGACACGTGCTGATTGTGAGACAGTGGATCCCGAGACTTATCAAGTGATGGCAGATGGAGTCTTGTGCGATGTACCGCCAGCGACTACTTTGCCGTTGACAAAGAAGCATTTCATCTATTAGTTTGTGATGGCCCAGTTGAGGTATGATTTTTTTTGGTGGTCTTTCGTGTAAATTAGTCCAGGGTTTCAGGTAGCCTGTTCTTGTACGTGCGAAAGTGAATGAGGAAACGAGTCTATTGGAATGCAAAATCGAACCGTTAAAAGAAGACAAGCAGCAGATATATAGCGGCATCGTACTTGCCGCTCACTCTTCGCGTCACTGGCTCCCAAAGCCATGCCGACACCACATATCACTATACACACAGACGCGAGACATTGTCAGCGGACTACTTGAGGCTACCAGAGACGGTGCTCGAAGTCCTGCCTGATAGTAGGAGCAATCTAGCAAGTTAGTTGATCGTGGTACAGTTAATACGAAAACGTCACCCTGGCTGAAACGTCAGACTAAGCCGCTGTAGCTCTTATCCCAGACAGTCAGCTCGACCCTCTGTAGCACACCAATATCTGCAATCTCAACTCGTCCACCTGTGCCGCACACTGTCCGTCATCCAAAGTCAACAACGCACTACGGGCCGCGCGGAAGGTTATTTGACGGACGTCACCCAAATGCACGGTTATTCTTACCCACATGGGTTATTTTCAACTATTTGAAAGGTTATCGGTTATACCGTTTAACCCAACCAACCTCTCGCACTATGGATCACCCAACAATTGGATGATTCCGTCACCCTTTAGAGGGGTAATCTGAGTGGGGATTTTTGCATACATAGACATGTCTTACTACATAAACTACATGATACATTCATATATACAGCTTGTAACGTAGGTCATGGACCCGTGTGACACAGCTATAGTCAGCCATAATCACATGACAATATCCACTCTGCTGGCTTCAGTGCCCCTGTCAATGATATAAATCCTCCTGGGCTTCCGCAAACTCTTCACCCTCCCCACCAGCTCGTTGACAGATCCAAGATCCACAAGCTCTTCGGCAGCAAAACCCTCATACCAGTACCATTGCCTAGTACCGATCTTTTGCTTTGTGGTGGCAGCTCGCCTGAGGTGAGCCAGAATAAAAGTTTTAGGGGGGCCGTCCTGGGGAGTCGAGGGATGTGATGGGAGCTCAACGGTTATAACGTTTAAGAGCTGGCCAAAGCAAATGGTTTTTTTGCTGAAGATTGACAGGCCGATTTCGTGCTCGTCTATTCACATCCTCAGTGACATAATACTATCATCAACAGGGGGTCAGCAAGCTCTCATACTCGGTAACAGAGGAGGTGTTGGTTACTGATACAAAAGAAGCGCTCCTACTGTCCTCCTCCTTCAAGTCGATACTCTCCGAGCGGATGGTATCGCCGTGAATGAAAGAGCAATGTCGCGATCATCAGAGAAGTATTTGACGCCCATGGACTCATCACCGACTTTGATTTCCTCTTGAAGAAGGTCTTGATAGATATCACCATCGAAGACATCGCATGTCGTAGAACCTGCATCGGCACGAGAGCAGTGCCTGGCTCGGTACAATACTCGCTCACTTCTCTGGGGATGGTGGAAGAGAAGCTGCAGTCGAGGTTTGAGCAGGATATACTCCCATTGTGCTGATGCTTTGCCGTTGATTTTCCTTGGGGCTTTGCACTTTGGACACTCTTCTTTCTCGGAATGGGGACCCGTGTACGAGATGTGGTTTGCGGGACAACGGTCATACTTCATGGTGAGTCTGTCATCCGAAAAGCGTTTTGCAGGCAGGAGGCTATCCAAGTCGGCTGCAGCCCGCTTCGATGAGTAACCAGACATGCTTGGTAGGGGCAGGTTGTCGAAAGCCTTCCGGGTAACATTATTCTGGACTTTCCAATTGTACAGCATGAGCCTCTCACGGGCGGTCTGGTCATCGACAGTGTAGCCTACAGTCAATCAGCAAGCTATCAACAATCGAAAGCACCGATCCAGCCTCACTGATGGGTCCGAGTTCTATCATCTTTCGAGCACGCATCTGCTCGCTTGCCGATGCTTCATCACTCATCGCACTTGAGCTTTCCCTCTCTGACCGCTCGCTAGAGTCATCGCTTTCGTCTCCACTGCTTCCATCCCCACCATCACTTTCACCATCACCACTTTGATCCGAGTCGCCGGAGGCTTGGTTTTCATCTCTTCATCTCCAGGAACGACCTCCCCTGCTCTCTCGTCTTCCGCATCCGAGTCGTTCGCATCTGGGAGAGTCGACAGTGCTGGGAGCTTGGCTGAGCGAGGGTGGTGGGCGGTGCTGCATTTGAGAATTGGGTGGCTCGGCGGAGTTTCGCTTAAACGTGTGAGCGATGTCTTGCTCGTCTTCGACACCATGACACTCACATTGCCTCTCTCATCACCAGCTACCAACAAATTGCCACCAGAGACACCGTGTCTGAGACCCTGAGAGCTCATCTGCTGCGACCGCTGCTCGATATCCTACAGTGCATTAGTATACTATCTGCAATGCCCAGCATAAGTAACTCACATCTTCCACATCTTCGCCTCTTGGTTCGTCGTCAATGACGAGATCACCACCTCTGCCTTCATTTTCTGATTCCTGGTCTTCATTCATGTGTCTGGCCCTCTTAATCCCTTCACCTTCCAGCCTCTCTTCCTCCGCACCTCTGTCCCTCTTCTTCAGACGGCTCTGGTGGTAATCTCTGGTGCCCTTGCTTAGGAGCTGGTTGCAGCATTCGCAGATATCCTGGCGACTTTCATAGTTCCTGTCCTTGTACTTCTCGAAGCCGGCATGTTGGGTGGTCGGTGAGCGTGAAGATGTTCGTTTGTCGTTTTGTAAGATTGCTCGTCGGTTGGTGGCTTTTGCCCAACTTTTCGAACTTGCCGGTCCTCTGTCAGCGGTCAGCCAGCGGCCTGTGCCGCCGGTGTGACGTAACCTCAATACGCTCGGACGTCCGACGCGAATCAGGAACAGTTGACTCACCTCGAGCAAACCTCGAGTCACCTCCCCCCATCTATCTGTATCCAATTTGCATCTCTTTTTCTCTTTCACATCTATACAAGCTACTTCTGATCAAACACTTTACACTCTCTGGAATTCTCTGGCCGTAAGTTCAAACCCTGTGTTTGTTTGACGCATCTGACACCCTCTAGGCGGCGATCAGGAAGGCCGCCGACCTCCACTTGGGGGACCAGGTCGGCCAAATCCTGCTCTCCCAAGTGGAGACAGACGACCTAGCCCTCATCAAGCATGCGGTAAGTTGCTCTACACCTCATTCTCGCACAACAAGGCTAATATATTATTAGATGAGAGCCAAATTCCCAATCGGCGAAGAGGCTCTCGCTTCGTGCGAGAGTGGCCCATCGAGTCTCTCCTCAAGCAGCGGCTTGAGAACTCCAAGAAGGAAGCCCGGCGGAAGGCGCAGGAGACCACTGGCGTTTAGTATCTGGTCATCATATCTGCATGTATCTGATGCGAGTACTCAAATAAACCTGGAATGGCGGTTAATTCTACCCTATATTCATACTCCAGGCAGGTGATTATAACCCTCAAATATACCCAATATAAGCGATTATATCAAGCTGAATAAAGGGTAATGATAACCCATGCATTAGATGATTCCAAGCTGCAACTAGGGTGATCTCAACCTGAAACTACGGTATCATTGAGCTACAATTACGGTGATCATGATCACCGGACTTTCCAGTTTTTTGCCCAATAACCTATACATGAGGTGATTCCTTGAGTCCGGATTAAAGGGTAAAAATCACCTCGCGCGAGGCCCGTAGTGACGGGTGTCGTCTCCCAAGTTCGCCGAGGACGATATGAAGCCGGTGTTTGATCTGCTTGATGCGAAGATGGTCTCGCCAAATTCAATGAAGGGCCAACTATGCTTCGGATTACCCATACAGCAGATTTCATCCTATGCATACTTGAGTCATTGCAGTCAGCAGAAAAAGACAAGAAGATATTTGACCGTGGTCCGAACATTCGGTGTTCCGGCATCTGCTGGTCGCATCTCTGCCATGTAGATTCGTAATCGTGGAGTCCAGCTCGCCAGCCTATATACGGTCCACTACCTCTCCTCGCCACCGCTTACAAATTAAACCTACCATGTCCTCTTCCCCAAGCATGTCCCTCCTCGCCCTCCCTCCTGCCAGTATCACACTAGCTTTCGGAGGCCTCACCACCTCCTACGTCTTTTTCAGTGGCCTTGCCGATGAGACTTGGGGCACCGTACCCCTCCTCAATGGCCGCTTGGGGTCTATCCCCATTGACGACAAGACCCGCGTCAAGGCTTGGAATGCCTACTACGACAGAGCTCATGTGAGTACATTGCTCCTCGTACTGAAAGGCAAAATGACTAAGACAAAATGCAGGTAGGCTTCATCGGAGCATCAGTCGCTTCTATGGTCCTGAACCTAACCTCATCTTACATCCACCCATCTCCCTTCATCTCCAAGCTCGCTCTGATCTCTGGGATCACTTCCATCCTCGTCGTGCCTGCTACTTTTGCTCTCGGCTTGATGCCTATCAACAAGAGGCTGTTTGCGCTAAACGATGGGGCGGAGCCGGTCAAAGATGGGGAAGGCAAGGAGCTGGTACAGCGCTGGGAGAGCAAACACTATTGGAGGTTCCCGATCTATGCGGGTGCTTGGGTATTCAGTTGGGCGGCTATTGTCTATGATGGCAGGGCTTAATAGGGTATGGTTTGATGGTGGTGTGTAAGAGCCGAGCGTAGCTTTTAGTTGTAGGTGTATGCACATGCATGGTATCAACGTACAACATACAGATCGCGTCCTGAATATCGCTATCAAATATGCTGCCATAAGAACCAAAGGCCACTCACTAGTCTGTAACGAAAGTTACCACGGATATATCCTCCCATCATCTCATTGCTCAAAAGAGGCTTGCGAGCCACTTTGCCTCCCTCTCCATCTCTCCCATCGTCCTCGGCTTTCTATCTTCATCACACGCCCATCTACCCTCTCTCCCCTTTCCCTCCGTCTTTCCATTAACCTGCGGTACTTGTGACTGAGCGAGATGGCCTTGAAGATTGGCTTCAGATTGTTCGAGGAGAGGGTAGATTTGGTCGTTATCGCCGTTATAATCCGTGGGATGCCTGGGCATGATATGGACATGGACGTGGGGCACAGACTGGCCTGCTACTGCGCCGTCCTATCTTGCCATCAGCATGATGAACTCGTGTAGGAGATATTGACTTACTTGCACAGAGACAGTCAGAGCTTGGGCTTTGTAGACTTCCTCGAGCACTTTACCGACATGCTGCACGCTTTGAAAGAGATCAGACACTTCCTCTGTATTGAGGTCTGCAAGCCTGGGAACGACTCTTTTCGGGCATATCAGAACATCTGACTAGATGTGAGTCGGGCGCACCTCGAATGAAAGAGGGGGAAGGGACGTACGACCAGGCAGAAGGGGCTTGAGGTTGACGATACCGAAGGAGAGGGTAGACCGGTAGAATACTGAGAGCTGTCAATCTTGTTGGTATTGGAGTAGTGTGAGGTCTTACCCTGAGCTGTCACATCGAAAGTAGCAAAGAGGTACTTTGCCATGGTCATCCTGAATTCCTCTGGTAGTTGAATGAAAGAGATGATGGCGCGGCTTCCACGCGTACACTTTTGCCTCCACCCCGTTCATCTCCTCTTTCATTCGCCTCTCATCCCATCTTCTCTACCTCCCGCTTCGCCATGTTGGTTCAGTCTGTACTATCGCTGCTGTGAGTATCGCCTCTGAACATTTGGACATCGTTGACTCTTCCCGCAGACCGCTGCTTGCGCTCGTATCAGCGGCTTCGATCAAGGGCAATATCGCCTTCAATGATGTCCTTCCAGGTACATCCCCTCCTCTCCATCTCAGCGCATCGAGCTGACCCACATACAGTGGAGTCTCTCCCAATCAGAAGCTCCGTATCCCTCGATCACGGCCTCGACCGCGTCTTGGTCAAGCAAGACGGCTCATTCGAAATGTACGCCCCCTCATTCCTTCTTCATGCTTCATGCTTCATACTGATAGTACTCTAGATTCGATGTCCCCGAAGGGATCCATCATGTGGAAACGCTGATACCAGGTTACGTCGTCCAACCCGTCCGTCCCATCCCTCTACCTTTTCCTTGATAATTCTGCTGACATGCCGCAAAAAGCTCTGGGTAACAATCTCACCCCCCATCCCTCCTATCGCCGAAGACGGCCCCCCTTCCCTCCACATCCAATCCGCCAACCCCGCCCGCCAACCCCTGCCCCCTTCTTCCCCTTCTTTGACCTACCCCATCGTGCTCGAAGCGCTCGGTAAAGAAAGTTACTTTGTGCCGAAAGGCGGGATGAACATTTTGGGCATGTTGAAGAACCCTATGGTGTTGATGATGTTGTTCAGTGGGGTTATGATGTATGGTATGCCGAAGCTTGTTGTGAGTCTATCCTTCCTTCTTTCAGTTCGGTGAGAAAGAGAAAGAGGAAGGAGCTGATGGGGTTTTGAAGGCGAGTATGGAAAGCTCTGATCCGGATCTGTCAAAGGAGATGGCAGAAACGAGAAAGAAGATGGCCGGGTTCCAGAATGGTGACTGGGCTGGCGCGTGAGTTTATCTCTCTGGAGTCCTTGAGTTTGTGCTGATCAGATACAAGTATCTCGAGCTTGCTCGCAGGGCCCGAGGAGGAGAAACCAGCAAAGGCTGTCAAGCCTGCTGCCGCCCCTCAAAGTCCTCAGCCGTCAGCACCGGCTGCCAAGTCTGGAGGCGGTAAGAAGCGTAGAAAGTAGATCATAAATCAAACTTATATCCAGGCTTCGCGGCGATCTTGTATGCAACATCTGGCTCGATCCTCTTGCGTGATATCTCAAAGGTACTTGGCTTGGAGACCGGAAAGTGCAAGATATACTTGTGTAGCCGACCAGTCTATGCGACGTATACTGCATGACCAATCGTTGACGAACGCTAATCTTACACTACCACGGCTGAGCTACAAAACCAAAACCTTCCCCCGCACCAGCCCACCAAACAGAAACACCTCCCTCCTCACTACTCTCACTACTCTCACTCTCACCCCCTACCACACTAATGTTGACACTTCCCCAGCTATCACTCCCAGCATACGCAGACTCTACTTCCGACCCTTCGACCGAAGACAGGGGAATGGACCAGTCCTCAGAATCGCCCAGGTGGGAGAAGAGGGAGGAAGTGACAGAAAGATCGCCCGAAAAGGGTGTAGAGATACCGTCAGAAGAAGGTGAGGACGGGGTTTCGAGGGCAGACACGTCGAGTGTGGGCATGACGAGCTCATCGACCTCTCTCTCTTCGCTCTGCTCGCTCCACTGCTCCATCATCTCCCTCCGCTCCCCCTGACTCAACTCTACCACTTCCTTCCTCTCCTCCCAAAGCGCCCACCATTCGCCCTCCTCGTGCTTGCGCAGACTCTCCCCCAACAGCTCGCGCACGTTCCCGACACTTCGGTCTTCGAATACCAAACGTAGAATGTCTGGCTGGCCATCGGCATCGCGCAAAACTTCGGCACGGACGAAAGGCGAGCCGGGGTGGAAATCGAGCACGCCCAGGCTTTCGAGCTTGTTGAGCAATGGGATAATGCGGGTGGAAGAATGGATGGAGAAAGCAGAGTGGATCGGTAGGATGCCGGTGGTGAGTCGCGCGAGGATGTGCACCCCGACCGACGTCTCAGAGTAGGTGAGCTCTGAAGTGGGGTGGAGCAAGGCTTCGAGGGAAGGAGAGAGGGGGAGGGAGAGGACGGTGGTCTTGCCGGCAGTGGTCAAGGTCTCGGGAGTAGGAGGAAGAGGAAGCTGGCTCTCCTCGACAGAGACAGTGATGAGAGGAAAGTAGTGGTGCAAGTCGGCAATGAAAGAAGAGTCGATCGACTTGCACGTCTTTCGGGTGTGATGCCCGGCCTTGCGAGTGTAGGGAGAGTATCGGCTAGCCCGGGGAAGGGTCTTGTTGACTTTACAGTCGTCATCCAACAGGCCCGCAAAGGCTCTCAGGCCCATAGGGACTTTAGCGTGGATGCCACTGGCGGGGCCGGAAGCAAAGCCTCGAGCTGTCCCGAGCCCAACGTTGGAGGGGATAGACCTGCCGTGGCCCCACTGAGGACGTTTGCCGGCCTGGAGACCTCGACCGACGGCACCGAATGGACGAGCCGATTTAGCGACAGAGGGGCCTTGGGTAGAAGCAAACCTTGCGCCAGCGCGGATGGTTGTGGGCTGGTATAGCTGGTGGGAGGGTGTGGCCAGGCTGGGAAAGGTCTGGTGGGCCAGCTTGTGGACCGCGTTGCGAGCCTTGGAGATGTGGGTGATGGTACGCTGGGGTGCGCGGGACATGGCTTGTGGCTGGATGCGTTTTGCTGCACCGGCGACTGAGCGGAGGAGGGTTGTGAGGGAGGTGGAGGTGAATAGCGGCGGCATTTTGTACGTGGCCCGCCGACGAGGAGGTGAAGTGAAGCCTTGATATTGAATATATTTTGAATGGATTGAATGGATTCGGCAGCCGGTGGCAAATCTCGGCACAGCGACACGCATCCGTGCACCGATCGGCAGCTGATGCCAGGCACACGGATCACGCATCACGCATCACGGATCTCGCCGGCCCGAAGAGATGCCGACGTGTTGCTACATACATATGTGCGAGCAACTGCAGTGGTGCGTATCGAACCCATCATCCCAGAGACATGCTGAGAAGATCCATCTCTTCCCTCTCACCCAAATTCGCAGCGCGAACAATGAGCACCGCTCTGCCATTCCCCGAGCTGCCCAAGACGGACCAAGGCAAGAGGATATGTCAGGTCGTCAAGGTCAGACCAGAGAGGTTGGACGAGTACAAAGAGGTAAGTGGTTGGTTCAACGTGGCAGGGCTGACTGATTATATAGGTACATGCGAATGTCTGGCCTGAAGTGCTCGGGGCATTGAGGCAAGCGCACGTTGTCGGTAAGCGCTCAATCACATACTCAGTTGGCATTCTGACACTCTGTTAGACTACTCGATACACTACCTTGAGCCCCACAACCTCCTGATCGCCCACATGCGCTACATCGGCAAAGACTACGAGGCAGACATGCGGGGCATTGCAGAGAATGAAGTCACCAAGCGGTGGTGGCAGCTTACAGATGGAATGCAAGAGAGCTTTGTGCCCGGCGCCACGGGCTCCGAGAGTGGTCCAGGATGGTGGACCAACGCTGAAGAAGTATTCAGGATGGAGGGGTAGGCTTAAAGTTGTACTCTACATCTGTTACATTTTGACATCTATATACGTACTCTGTACAAAATGAATGCGAAACACGAATGTCTTCAAAGTCCTGCCTCCATTAAGCTTCATGAGCCGACCTGGCAATCTCCTCCGCCTCATCAATCATCTCTTGCTCCTTCTGCGCGATCTCCAATGGTGCGGCCCAGTTGATGACCCTAGGAGATACTTTGATCCTACAGGGCTTATGAGCGAGGACTACATTGGGTGGGATGGGACGTACTTGTGTGGGAGTAGATTTCGTATTTCTAGTGTTTCCAGACTGACCGCTCGGGATATTGCCACATACACCTGGCCTACATGGAACGATTAGCCTAACCCTATATCCAAGGCTCATGGCATACCTTCAGCAAAGGCGCTCCCAACATCAACCTTGACTCTTTCGATAGTCTGGCCCCTGTGGCAATATCAGTATGGTTCAACATGTCAAGATGGTCATGCGTACTGGCTCTTATGGATAGTCAACGCCCAAGCAAGCATCAACGGCACCTGATGCCTCGTAGCTTCCACCCCACCACTACACACCCATCAGCTCTTCCATCGCCCTCTCTCATAACGCATACGTACATGGCATTGATACACTCCACAGACATGCCAGCAATGATAGTCTTCTCTGGAATCTTTTTGGTGACATACTTTGGCTGAGCAAACGCTACCACGGGGTACAGGACGTCCATATTGAATCCCTGGTCTTTTGGGCGGGGAAAGTAGTAGCCTTTGACCAAGGCTTCGCGGATGGTGAGGAGTTCGACTACGGTACCTGTTGATCCGTTGACAAGCATCCCATCGCCAAGGTTCTATAGCACCGTCAGCCGACATCTTGGAGAATAGAGTGGACGTACGGTACAAAGCATGACCTGCGCACCAATCTTGACCGGCAGCTTTTCCGGCCAGATGGTCGAATTGTTGAGCTGCTTGACAGCTTGCTCCTGACTCAATTCATAGCCACCAGCATTCTTCCCCGGGGCATCCCACGCTTCATACGTCACTGCATCCCCCGGAAGAGCATTCAGCTTCGAGACGTTGGTACGGTCCACGTCTGCTTTGAGCGAAAACAAGGTTACAGGCTCGATATCGTCTGGATACTCGACAACCCGTGAGAGGGATTGTAGCAAGTTCATATTCTCGTCCGTGACGATACCGCGGCGCATGGATTCGAGGATATCAATAAACTTTGTATCCGCCTGACGATACACGCGGGTGAGGGATTTGATATTGCGCGAGCTAAAGAGGTGGGACCAGCATTTGGCTTCAAAGGCGAAGCGCATAGCTCGGACCGGTGGGAGTTGGAAAAAGTCGCCGGTAAAGATACACTGGATGCCGCCGAAAGGTCTGGGGTTTTTGCGGATCATCTGGCCGATGTAGTCGAGTTTGTCGAGTAAGTCGCCATCAATCATGGAGACTGTACAAGTCAGCCTCGTCTACCAAGTGTGGGTCTATACTAACTTTCATCAATGATCAGGGCGCCTGTTGACAGCCACCTGCTTTTTGTCATCTTTGACTTTTGGACCTTGTGATACAGATCGTTTGCGTTTTCTTTGGCCAGCCCGACACCGGCCCATGAATGCACTGTTGAGCCTCCAACATTGCTAGTCACGAGTCAGCAAATGTACACTCTATGGCACTCGACTTACACTCCCGCCATGCCGGTACTCGCAGTCACGGCCAACTTCCACCTGCTCGTATCCATACCAGGAGCATTCGGATTTCCCAACAGCTCGCTCAAACCCTGACTCGCAATCTTGCTATTCACCTCATTCTCCTTCTCCCGAAACATCTTGATGATGGCGCGGAGCAAGACTGATTTACCGGTACCCGCAGAACCGGTGAAAAAGACGTTCTCGCCCCCCATGATCATGTGGAGGATCTTGGATTGTTGAGGGGACAAGACGGGTTCGCCGGGGGGTTGGTGTTCTTCTTCCGCATCTCCGGCCGAGGGTTTTTGCAAGTCTTCATCGCCGTCGTTGTCAACGATGAGAAATATAGGGTCGGTAGGGTCGGTAGGGTCGGTCTCGCTGGGGTCTTGGGTTTCACGTTTCGCCGACTTGGATTCTCGTCCGCCGAGAGAGTCGTCCTCTCTTTCACGCTTGACTCCAGAAGCCGCATCTGGTGCGGGACCGTCATAGACCTTTAGAGGAGCCGGTTGGCGATGTTCAGAGACGTCCATGGCAAGCTCTGCCAGGGTAGAATTGGCGTCTGTCTCGAATATGCGCTGCGGCCCCGCCTGGGGAGCTTCATACCACGCCTATGCTTCTATCAGCAAAGCACCCCTCGCCGTACACAAGACTCACCTGAGCTTCTTCACGTGTCAAAAATGACTGATGCTTGGCGCCTGGAAATCCTTTCGTCTACAGAGTTTCCCAGAGAGTCAGCTTCTCTGTAGCAAGTCGCGTCGCGTAGGTTGATGTCAACCGACTTACCTGTTGTTCGCATTCCGCCCAGGTTTTATAGACCCCTGGAATCCTTCCGGTGCGTACGGCGTAGAATTTAAGTCTGTATTTGGCCATGGCCCTTTTTGAGAACGTAGGGGAGTCTTGCTTAGATGGAAAGTGTCGAATGTCAAAAACAACAACAAATTGATGACTTCGGTCTCTAACAATGGCGTCGCTGATCTCCGCAAAAGCAGTTGTTCTTTTCCACTTCTCCTATACTGCCACCCTCTCTTCAAGATGGCCTCACTAAGGCCAGTGGGCCGTGTGCTACTCCGGCGACTGCTTGTACACCAATTCCGGCCCCCGATACATCCACTCCCGTTGCGCAGAGCCAACTCCACTTCATCAGCTAGTCCTAAAATCGGCGTCAAATTATACCCCGAACCACCCTCCGCTGAAGAAGAACAACCCCTCCCAGACGGCGCAGACTCCTCCAGCTCAAGCCTAGTCCTCCGGCCATACCAAGAACACGCCATCTCCTCTTGCCTTTCAGCTCTCGAAAAAGGTCTACGGCGTATAGGCGTTTCTTCGCCGACAGGCAGTGGAAAGACGACCATGTTCATGTCTCTAATACCCCAAGTGCCCTTCTACAGATCCAAAGGGAAGGGCAAAGCTAGAGTCGAAGACGGAGAGGAAAAGCGAAAGCAGACGTTGATCGTGGTCAGCAGCGTGGAACTGGCACAGCAGGCTGAGGCTGCGGCGAAACGGTTGCTAGGGCCGGGATGGACGGTAGAAGTAGAGCAGGCTCGACGCTCGGCCACTGGTCTGGCAGACGTGTAAGTCTGGATTTTCTATGGTGACCTGTGCTTATGGATATGCAGTACTGTTGCTACCTACCAAACACTGAACAAGACAGAAAGACTGTCAAAGTTCAATCCGGCCAATTTCAAGCTTGTCATTGTAGACGAAGCTCACCATGCAGCAGCACACTCGTAAGCACACTATCATGCTATCTGGAACTCTTCTGATCTATTCTATAGATACCTGAAGCTCCTCCACTACTTCAACCAAGACGTCACTCTCCCATCGACCGTCGAACCCCATACTTCCCTGACACACGGCAACAAAACACCCATCATTGGTTTCTCCGCCACTTTTTCTCGAAACGACCAGATGGCCCTGAGCGCTGTCTTTGAAGAGATTGTCTTTCATCGCGAGATCAGCGCCATGCTCAAAGACGGCTGGCTGGCTCCCGCAAAGATGACCACCGTCATGGCGAACCTGCAATTGGAAGATGTCGAGCTCAATCAGCAGGGCGATTTCAAAAGCTCTTCTCTGGCGACAAAAGTCGACACACCAGAGGTCAACGATCTCCTCCTTGCGACGTATTTGACTCGGGCAAGGGAAAGAAGGTCTACTTTGATCTTTTGTGTGGATCTGACGCATGTGAGCAACTTGACGCAGAGGTTCCGAGATGCGGGTATAGACGCCCGGTCCGTCTCTTCCAACTCGAGAGCCGATATACGCAAAGCGACTGTCGCCGGGTTTGGGGCTGGCGAGTTTCCAGTCTTGGTCAATTGTGAAGTCTTGACTGAGGGAACCGACATTCCCGAGGTAAGCCGTTCAACTACTAGTGGATGGGGTGCTGATGGTGGATAGATCGATTGTATCATCCTCGCCAGACCTACTAAAAGCAAAAACTTGCTAGTACAAATGGTACGTCGACTGCTCCTTGATGTGGCAGCTCGCTCATACACAAACAGGTCGGACGTGGCCTCCGACTCTCCCCAGAGACTGGAAAGTCGAATTGCTACATTGTTGATGTCGTAGACGGTGTAAGCAGAACCAACGGTTTGGTGGTTACACCCACCCTTCTTGGACTCTCACCTGAAGACGTTGATGTCGAAGACAAACGGGAAAAGCGTCATACCAAGACTGAAGACGACCCCCTGGACGGCTTGAAGGTCGAGAGACCTCAAGAAAGGTCAAATCCAGGGGTGAAAAATTTCAAGATCTCGTATGTGGATATCAACGATCCATTCAAACTTGGGTTCGATACTCGAGAGGTCCTACAAAAGGTGACCCAGAATGCCTGGGTCGCATGTGGCAAGAATAAATACGTCCTCGAGCTACTCGGTGCGTCAACACTTGTCTCTTGTTCTATCAAACTGACCCTCGACTTAGGAATTGGACAGCTGGCAGTGACTCCCGATCCGGATGAAAGGTTTCCCTTCTGTATCACATACAGACAACCAATGCCGGTAGAACTCATTGAACCAGGCAAGAAGAACTCGCCTTGGCTGCCTCCAAGAAAGATAGGCTTCGGTATAGATTTGGAACAGGCGTTCCAAGTGGGAGACAAGTATGCAGAGAAGATAATGGGGAGAGAAAGATCACTAGGGTGAGCCTTCTCCTTCAATATATGTGCGGGTGCTTATCCGCGCCACAGTCTTTCCCGGTACGCTGCATGGCGTCAAAGGCCTGTCAGCGCGAAAGCCCTCAAGATGTTTTTGAGCCTGTCGAAGCAAGACGAATCTAGCAGTGCTGGAATTGTCGAGATAAACGGCACAGAGGTTATTGCCAGCTCCTTGAGTGCTGGACAGGTGTCGAGCTGGCTGTGTGCTGCGAAGAATGGAGCCAAGTCCGCTCGTGGTGCGATAGACAAAGCCGAAGATAAGAAGAAGACCAAGGCCAGTGCAAAGGCCGAGAAGGAGAGACTCCACAGGGAAAGGAATCTTGCACTTCCTCCCTCCTTATAATACCTGGCATAGCCCATACCCAGCATTACATACCCTACATATAGTACATTCCTGACGATCATGACCCATATGCCACCCTCATCCCCTCTTCACTCCTTTCATCACATACAATTTTGCTTGAATCTTTAGTCCCTCCCAGATTTCTCTCCACCATTCCTTCACCCATCGTATTTGTCTGTCCTGATTGGCTATTTGCCAGTCGGCGTAGAATTGGGTGAGGCAGTCTTCGCGGAGGCGAATGTCTTCGGCTGAAGGAGGATCGGATGCGGGCGGGAGTAGGGATAAGCGATGCTCTTGTTGAGAAGTAAAAGACTGGTTCGTTGACGCCTGGAATACGGTCAGCAGGTTGTGACACGCAACCCATATAGCCTCACCCAGAATCTATGGTTCGCCAAGTCAACCCTTTCCCTCCGTAAACGCCATTCCAGTTCCATGTTGTCAAGTCTCGCATCGCCATAGTTTCCTGCCGGGAATTCTGAAGCAGAATATGGCGAGTTGGCAGAGGGGCGAGTTGCAGGTTTGGAGGCGTAGATTATAGGGCGAATATTAGAGACTGGGTCAGGACTGAGCTTGCATGTCAGCTTTTGACTTCATGATAGTGTAAATACGCGTACGGAGCCACGAGATTTACACCAACAGAAGACCCTTCGCTACGTTCACTCCGCCGTCTTGGGCGAGTCGGGGGTGCGGCGGCTGACGAGCTAGAGGCGGAGGTGGACAGATAGGCGGAGAGGGAAGGGCGGATTAAAGCCCGAGTGTTGACTGCTGTAAGCATACTAGGGGATGTTTACGATCGGATAGGCGATAGCTGAGGTGCTGACAATACTCTGAGTACGAGATTCTACCATTCGCTGTTCACCAAAGGAAGCGAGAAAGAGTTCTTGAGCGGGGCGGGGATGCCCGCTTCTTGCGGTGCTTTACATAATCGAGTTTTTCGACGGAAGCAAATATGTATAAGCAGCCAAATCTGATAAACAAAGGCCAGGGTGATTAGCGCAAATTTAGGCAGTGATTTGCAGGGCGGTGTGACAACCTCCTTTGAGCCCCACCATGTTGATTCTGGCAATCCAAAGAGAGATGCCGCTGCTTGGGTGTGTCAGTAACTCAGTACCTCGCAACTCGCAGCCCTGCTTTTGACTTCGAGCAAGACTCAGCCTCACGATCATGCCGTGAGGTTGCAATAATGTATTTCGTAAACCATCGTAAACCCGCTTGTCTGGCGGAAGGAATGAAGCCGGCATCTCCCCAACAAACACTTCGGGATTTACCTTGCTCAGACATACTGGCGTCCATGCATGAGCTGAGATGAATGTGCGATGGCAAGCAAGGGTACTACTAGATCGCACACACCCACAAAAAATGTGAACAAGCGACGGAGACGGCCTACGGCTTATTTTACAGTTAGCGACGGACAGCAGTCGCCGAGGACGAGCAGCAGATCGCGCTTTTCTTCGCGATTCATACTCCTCTTTTGTTTATTCATTTCTTGTTCTGTAAATTCTCTTATACTCACATCCTTCTATAATACCCACGTGTCTGTCGAACCCATCCCCTCTCATCCCGCCTTATCACATACTTCATCCTCGCCGCCTCACGCCCCAGACGAAAACCCGAAACACAGGACAAGGCAGAAAACATCACCTACAACGGAAGACGGAAGTCGAGAAGCCGGTGTGACATAATATGCCTGCCACAGCCCAGTCGTCAACACAACACATACGACAGTGAAGACCAGTGCTAGAAGAGAACAGTCCGTGAGAGAAGGAGAGAAAGAGAGCTACCGCGCCACCACCACCTGCTGCTTGGCCCGACATCCATCCATCCCCCCGCACCATCGCTCATCCCTCCGCAAGCAGCGATCATAATATCGTAACTTCGCCCTCCTCCATCTACTCTCGAATCCTTGATATCGAGTGCGCTCATCTGGGTCGCTTACCTGTGACATGGCGAAATACACCCTCATCAATGCCTGGGGTGGTACAGTGATTTCTGCAACCACCCTGGTATCAGCAACGTATCTACTCATACTACTGTGGAAGCAAGGGACGGGAAAGCTGAGAGTAAGGTTGTTGATGGGGATGATCATCAGTGATCTGGCCCTTGGGTGAGTGGTGGCTTTGCCTGAGGAAGAGTAGCCCCACTGACACGGGAACTTTATAGTTTGGCAATCCTACCGCCAGACATCATGCTCATACTGAACAAGAAGATTGCTACTGGCACCGCTGGATGTGTGAGTAAGATACGATTGTCATCGTGAAGCCAAGCTGAGATCATGCAGAACGCATTGGGTTTTGTCCTTACGACGATCCTTTTCACGCAGCATTTGTGGACCTTGTCCATTGCTGTCGCTACTTTTTTGCTGCTGGTGAGTGGATCATTTTTCTTCGTGCTTTTTGGCCTGATCTTCTCGAAGCGGCATCCTCTTTCACGCATTACCATGGCTGTAGAGCGTTACTCCTGGCTGATAGCTCCGGGTATATGGGGCGTCTCCATATTGCATGCTGGTGGTACGTCTTCCGTTGTACCCATCTTCAGATAATATAGCTTACTCGTGCTAGTATGGTATGGCAAAGTAGGCTTTGCCAACACCGGGACACTTTGCTACTATGGTACCAAATCCCATTCTCCTGATTTGGATAGAAATCTCTGTCAATTTTTCCCCAGAGCCCTCGTTTTCATCCTCATCATCATTCTCTACTCCCGACTATTCACCTTCCTTCGGCGGCCAGACACTATCCAGCTTTCATCCGCCACTGGGTCTAGACTAGACCCCGAGGCTGAGAGAGCTTCTGCCGGCAAGAAAGGCAGCCACATCCTTCGACCCCTAGCTCGTATAAAAAGACTCAGCTCCTTCGGGATCGAGTCGGGCAGCAACCATCACGCCAAAGAGGTGAATCCCGCAGCCCCCTGGGAGGCTCTTGAGTTCATCCAAGTGGGCAACTACAACCCTCTCACCATGGATGCGCCCCCACAGGCACCACTCCGTTCAATGTCTTACAACGACGGGCTGTCTTTCGTGTCTCATGAACATGGGAGAGCAAGTCGGCCTGCTTCCTTTCTTTCTTCCCCGGCTTCGCAGCTGAGAGATACTTTTGCTGGCATCAGCTCGAATCCCTCCTCTTCGCGTCTGGGATCTCTGTCTTCCGACATATCCCAGAGCACTGCTGTCACCCAGGGCGAGCCTTTCACTGCCGAGCTGCTGTACAATGGCGGTCGTCGGAAATCTAGTGCATCTAGTGTCAAATTCCCTGCACAGCCCAATCTCAAGGGGAACGCTCTCAGTCCCATAATATCTCTGGGACGCTATGAATCCAACATTGTGGAGGAAAGTGTCGATAGCGAAGGGAAAATTTCCAAGGAGGAGGAGGTGGAGATCGTGGAGAAAGAACAGACGATGGAAGAGTTCTTCGCAGAGACCCAGGCGCCGAGATTGGACGAGGGTCGGCCGGGGTCGTTTTCGGGAGCCGGGGGGCAAAGGTCTGCGGCGAGTTATTTCAATCGCCAAGCAAGTCTCTTGATGCTGTACTTTCCTATCGCTGTAAGTTGCTCCTATGTCTAAGACCATATACAGTCTGACCGATTACCAACAGTACATGTTTGTGTTTTCGGCATCGCTCTACAGGTTGATCTACAACATGGTGAAAGGAGAAGCCAGTCCTGTGCTCAGCATCATATCGAATTGGATGGTTTTCTCGGTAGGGCTCATCGACGCGCTTGTATATGTAAGTCCTCTCGTCTCGGTCACTTACATAGGTACTTACAAGACCACGTAGGGCGTTGCAGAGTTTATGATCAGGAGAAGAGTGAGAAGAAAGATGCCGGATCGTATATAGGACTAAATAGAGTGGCTGCAGTTTCTTGGGTATACGTCGGGCGCGAAGAAGTCATGCATGGACTCAGTATCGGTATCGCAGGACTTATGCTGGCCAGTCTGCTGCTTTTTTCTTGACTTGATTGATGGTGCCGTGGCAAGCTGTGTCAACGGCGGAGCAGTCCGTCTCTGGCTTGGCACGCGCATCTTGTCGGCCGCCGGCCGTCTTGCCAAAAGCATCGTGTAAGTGTTACGTCAGATAAGTGATTAGACCCTTCTATTATGTATTGCATGATGTTGGAGTGCGCAGCAGGCATGAACGAGATACTTCTCAGATTCAAACCTTCCTTTTCAACTTGTACAATCAGCCTCAAGGAAATAAGTAATAATCACACACATCATAATGGCTTCCCCAGCACCCCAAGGCGACCAAGGCGACCTTCCCGCCCCCTGGTGTGTATTCTCTCGAGAGTCTCATGGTTTTTACTGACGGACCTTTTCTGTAGGATCCGTCAGTACGACGCAAATTACCAGACCTTCTTCTACGTCAACCCCACTACTAACCCCCCCACGACAAGCTGGACGCACCCCAGCCTGTCTGAGGGTGAGGTTCACCCCGAGCAGGCTCAGGCTTTGCAAGAGTCCTCCCAGGTCGGTGGCGGCCAGGAGGAGTCCGGCGGAGAGGCTGCCAAGTTCTTGAACTCTGGCAGCGTCGCCGATCCCAGCCCTGGGAGCTACCAGCAGCAGGGAGAGGGACAGATCCAGGGTGCCGACGGCCAATCGCCCCAGACTGGTGATCGAGGTATCGGCTCAATGGTCTCTGGTCTCATAGGCAAGCAAAACAACAATGTAAATGGAGCAATTACTTGCGCAGAATAATGTTGCTGACGTTTACAATCTAGCAGCAATACGGCTACAACCAACAGCAGCAGTATGGACAATACGGTCAACAACAATACGGTCAACAACAATATGGTCAACAACAATACGGCCAGCAGCAGTATGGAGGCTACAACCAGGGCTACCCCCAGCAGCAGCAACAGCAGTCATCTGGCGGGAAGAGCAAGTTCGGATTGGGCTCTGGTATCGCTGCAGGTGGTGCGGCTTTGATCGCTGGAAAGTTGATATCTAGTGCGGTAGGGGGCAAGAGCGTAAGTGACTCTTTTTTGACTTCTTGTCTTTGTCTTCTGACCGTTTCCTAGCACCATAATAGCCACGGAGGCCACAACATGGGAGCGCCGCCCTTCATGGGAGGGGGTGGCCGGATGGGCGGCATGGGAGGTCTTGGCAGCTTGCTCGGAGGGGGCGGCGGCGGCGGGATGGGTGGGATGTTTGGGGGAGGAGGGGGGTTGGGAGGCGGCGGCATGGGAGGCGGAGGGCATCACGGAGGGGGGCATTATGGTGGCGGGGGCTTTGGGGGAGGCGGAGGTGGGGGGCGTTGGTAGATATAATTGACATTGGGGTCTGAAGAAGATTTCGTTGTTTTGATACACGATATAAGGCATGTATGTTCTAGGATGGTTCTATACTGGGTCGATTCTGGCCGTCAGGTCATTCTTCCGAGGGTCCATAAGGGTTCGTCTGTACTCAGTACTCAGAAAGATTGAGCGCGACTGCGAAGTAGATTGTCTTGGGAGTTCTTCTCTGTTTGAGTTTCAAGGTCAAGCTTGTAAGACTTATAATTGTAAGACCCTTTTGTAGCATGAGACTCCACGGGATTACTTGTATCGATACAAGCAATTCCCGCCATCTTGCGAGCCAGACGGGGTTACAAACAACCATAGACGTGCGGACTTCGTCTTCTAACGACGCGGATGACACACATTCATTGGTCGGCGGTAGGTTCGGATGTAGATCGCTTGCTTCGTTCGCTCTCACAGCGTCTTCCAGTCCGAAAGCCTATAGGGTCTTCATGCATGGGGCATAGTCATTCTCCAATAGGCTCTTAAACGTGAGAAAGTTCAATCACAAGTTGAGTTGGTTGAAGGACGCTGCCCGAGTGGAGAACGCCGCTGGCGGGGCGGAGCTTGTTCCCCGGACACGCAAAAGTCGAGGGTGGCCCTGGTGTACAGAACACAATAATCCCACAATCCTCCTTTCTCTTCTCATCATGGCGTCCCACGACTACACAGACTCGGAATCAGAGGATACCCTTCAACCAATGGACCGAGAGACAGACGTTCCCCCCAGTGGGCCTCACAATAGCGGGCCCACGGCCTCCACCGAGGACGGTAGCCTGAAAGTGACTGTAAGTATCGTTCAAGCCCAGCTATTGGCAACGTTAATATCATCTCAGATCCGACCGAATATGGGTCAACAAGAAGGTGGTAGCAACCCCCCAACTCCGAGGTCAAAGTACAAGCATTCGTCCGTCGCAGAGCGCGCGAATTACTCCTCCTCGGAAGACGAGGGAGACAAATCAGCGACCTCACCGCCTCGAAAGAAGAAGAAACTTTCCACAGTGGCTGATGAAATTGGGAGCAAGGAAAAGCAGAGCATCAAGCTCACTTTCGGGCCGCAACACTCTCATCTCAACCACGCATCTCCTCCCTCGAGTCCGTCATTGACAGGCAGGAAGAGCTATGACTGGCTCACGCCTTCAGTGGCTGGCGCCTCCCATACGGGCCCACCAGAACGAGGCACGTCTTCCCGGGGAACTTCCCCAGCAACTGAATCAGCAGCGGATGAGGCTATAGGAGGTCTACTGGATAGTACTGTTGAAAAGGCCGCAGAGAAGGCTGCGGTGAAGCGAAGTCACCACAAGAAGAAAGCGCCGGATGCCCCTCCTGGTCCGGGACGAGCATGGAAGAAGGGTTTGAAGAAGTAGGTACTGAATTTATTGTCAGACGTGCTTGTACTCACCCTCTATAGGGCCTTGGCTGCCAAGATGGAAGACGGTACTCCAACAGGGACCCACGTCTTCTCTGCCCCTGTTGCGAGTCGTGAGCCATCACCTGATCCTTTGGGTAAGTAAGATCGCGTCTGGCAGAATCAAACTTACTCATCAAATTATAGCTCTGCCAGCCCCTCACATACCAACTCAGACTGTAATCTACCACCCTCCCATCCCACCTCGAGCTTTGTCTCCATCCTTTGTCCCCGCAGACGCTTCAACCTTGGGATTCCCCGTATACTCCAACCCCATTGTCCCGCCCAAAATCAATCTCAGCACTTTCCCAAAGGTCACAAACTTCTTTGCACCTATCAATGGTGGAGACAGTGGGCCATTTCCGCGAAGGGAGAAGGCGAGAAACTGGGGATGGCAGGAGAAAGGCATCGTAGGAATTGGCGGTGGAGTATTGAAGTTCAAGTCGTGGGCTAGGGGTATGTTTGTCTCTTTGACGTTTGATCGTAGGGCTCATACATCTACAGGGCCTGCATCGGAACTTGAGAAGGCTCTAGTGTTGGAGAAAGAGAGAGAATCCCATACTCCCGCCCGCCCTGTCAAGGCCAAGAGCACCGCTGCTACCACGCCTCAGCCATCCACAACAGCGGTTACCCCTGGTACAGACGAGCGCCCAGCTCTTACCCCTTCCACATCGTTCGATAAAGGGAGTGGCAGCCCCGGGCCGGGAGATGACGAGAGCGATACGGGGAGCGAGGATATCGGTGCTATGAGCACGCCTGCTTCGAAGAAGGGCGGACCAAAGAAGAAGGGCAAGACGCCAAAATCAAAGTTGGCGCAGGAGATCGTCATGGAGCCGTATCAAGAGTTTGCCGCAGGCACTTCTGTGCACCCTGCGCCTTGAAGTGGAAGCTGTAGAACAAACTGTATTATTGATGACCATGACGACTCCGATGCATATTTGTACAGACATAATAGTTTTGACAATGAAAAGATCCGACGAAACACATATTATAAGAACTTCATCAACCCCTTCTTGCGATGGCAATCACCAAATCCCTGTCCCACCCTATCTTCCATTCGGCCAACCTCTTGAGCTCTCTCCACTGCTCCCCGACACCTTGAGTACCAGGCAGCATCTCGCTTAAAGTCGTTGCCGGCTGATAGATGACAAAGTCCGCTTCACTTAGAAGCGAGCGAAGTAGAGAGCCCAGGAGGAAACAGAGGATGCACGCAATGACCAAACCTGGCAAAGTGGTCACTGGGCGCAAAGCGTCGTTCGCTTGTTCTTGCAACCCAGAGGGCTGTAGCTCTGTCCCAGTGGCAACAGGTCCATTTGGACTGGTATTGGAGCTCAACACCACAGCCTTGGCCTTGTCCTCTCCCGCAGCCGCAGACCCACCAACGCTAGATGGTGGAGGAGATGCAAGCACCTTTGTGGGCGAACCATTGGCAGTGCCTGGTGCGGACGCGCTAAATCTGGGCAGACGAGGGTATCGCCAAAAGTTGTAAGAATATCGAGATTGTTCTGCGAGTGCCGATTGGGGTTCTGGCGAATGGGGGTTCTGAAGTAGATACGTCAGAGGCTGGACAACAGAACTACAATGTACTTACTCCCTGGACGACCTCGACATCGCTCTCTCTCCTCGAGTCCGTATCTTTGATCTCCATCTTATCGCGCAAGACCTTGACCCCTTCCTTGGTATACTCTTCCCGGACCGCCAGAGGCTTATCCAGCCTCCTCACAATTCTCTTATCATTCGGGTCACGATCACCAGCAGAGGAGATAGCGACAAGCTGAGGTACATTTGGTCGCGTACCATCTCTCAACCCCAAGTGTTTGGCTCGTTTCTCATCTTGCACAACGACTTCCTCTTGCTGGTAGCTATAGACCGGTTTGTTCGGAACTCCTTCTGGCCCCTCTCCGTCAAGAATTTTGCTTTCCCGTGACTTGGTCACCTTGAGCTTCAAGCTCACAACGGCGCCATCATTGATGAGGTCCAATAACCACCTCGGGCGTGGCATAGGAGTGCCGGGCCCTGTCAAGGGGTCATTGATGATAGGAGCGTCAAAGCCAGACGTTGGTAAAGTGACGCGAAGCAGATGTCGGGGAGGCAAAGATGGGTCAAGAGAAGCGGCTTGCAGTACAGAAGGCGCCAGAGATATGACCGAAACTTTGAAAGGGAGGCCCAGCGGTTGATTGGGTAACGTCAGGGGTAGCCCATCGATGCTTGCAGTCGCAGAAAGGCCTGTGGGTGTGGTGGTACCATCTGTCCCCGGCTCGGATCCTGGTGAGGTGGAGTGAAGAGCCACGGGGAGAGACACGGCGTTGAGCTCAATCTCACACCCGTTCTTGACCGCCTTGCTCCCAATCTCGACCTCCATGACCATCAGGTCTTTCCGGCCCTTTCTGATCTCCTCCCCCAGGTCAATGACTGTAGATCGGCTGTTCACGCTCGACCTCGAGTCTGTATGCTTCAAAGGCGGACTAAGAGTCCCACTACCATCCCGTGGAGAGGCAGAGGAGCTGGGCGGTCCGGCCTGAAGAACGACGCTCAAAGAGTACTCGTCACCGTCATTCGTCTCCTGCACTCCCATGCGGCCTTCATCCACATTCTCCAAACCCCATCCAACCTTTTCAGAGCTTCCCAGCCTCTCTTTCTGCTCTGGGGCGAGCACGACCATCCCAGGCTCTCGCCCCCTCGAAGGCGGACCCTCATTCTTCAAGATTGATTCAATGGCAAGAAGACTTCTGGGCAGAGACTGATTGAGCACATTGTTGACCGAAAGCGGCATACTGCACGAGTAGTCCACACTGGCGAGGTACATGCACCTCGTCGAAGGGATGGCATACTGCTCGTGAGAGTAAGGGTCGATGGTCTCCAAGATCCAGCCCTCAAGGATCATATTACCGGGAGGTAGCGAGGTGGGGTTGTACTTGGACGCGTCGAGGTTGGTTGTCGAGGGGTCAAAGTTGGAAGTGCGGGAGTGAAAGATCGTCGATAGAGGCGTCTGGGGACCATGGATGGAAGGTGAAGGAGGAGCAGGTTCAGCCATCCTGGCCACGACACTGGCAACCAACAGACTTCGTCCTCTGAAAGGGAAAGTCGTGTGGGCGACAACATGCGAAGTCTTGATTCCCCACCCATACTCTTCAAGCACCGTCGGCTTCTCGAATCGTTCATCTTCCCGCAGTCCACCAACTGACGCACTGACCTCCTCGGCCGTGAATCCCTCAATGATCCGCCCAGCTCTAAAGACGGGGAAAGTCTCAGAGACGTGAGAAACGATACGTTTCTCAATCTTGAGACCATCCCGTTCCGAGACGGGCTGCCAAGCGTCGGGAGCAGTCGACTCTCCATCCCGGTCCGTATGTATACGCGACAGCTGTTTCAGAGCATTCACCGACGCTTCGACAGGTGTCGTGCCGACTTGAGGAAGAGGTGAAGACGCTGGTACAGGAATGATGGCAGAGCGAGTAGATTCTGCAGCGAGGGTGTACCACTTGGAAGCCATCTTGCCCCATGTACTGGTTGGTGAAGGTAACAGGGGCGAGGCAGGGGCAAAGGCTGTCGATACGCCCGCTAGATCTGTGCTGGGTTTCTTCCTTAGCCTCAGGCCGGGCGGCTGATCGAGAGGTGCGCGCGTAGGACGTCCCCGCTTCTGCTTCTTCAAGAGTTGCACCTTGGCTTCAGGAAGGTCCTCGACATCGACCTTGATTTTACTTCCATTCACAATCACCTGCGTCTTTGACCCTTGTACGGCGACGCCCCTCCGCACAGTGATGGCGACTTTACCGCCGTGAAGCAGCACCGGGTCATGCTCGATAGTGAGCCACAACCCCCCGGCATTGGGCGACAGCTTGTGCCTGCGAAGCGCCGAGATGTTTTGCTGGGGCGGATCGATCACAATCGCAAACGAATTCGACCACTGATCCGTATCACACCTGATCTCACACTCAATCTTTCCTCTACTCCCATCATCGCTCACCGAACGCAGGGAACCATCGTCGCTGCTATTCTCCCTAACCATAGGCAATGAGATCGGAGATGATGATGAGGGGGCCGTGGGGAAAAAGGACGTGGCGATACTGGATGAAGCTGAACGCCGGGCTTTCGCGGGCTGGTATTCAAACTTGAATGTCTCGGCTTCGACGTCGTATCGCGACAACAGCGTTCTGGCCCCTCCGAGTCTCGTACAGACAGGAGGGCCGCCGTGTTTGATTGCGAATTCGCCGACACCCGCCAAAGTGCTCATCATGACCTGCGGTATGCTTCCCTTACCGGACCATCCCCTAGGGTCACTCTGCTCGAGCAATGTCACCTGGGTGGTATTGGGAGAAAGAGATTCGATAGACCATCCTTGCAGGTCGATCTGTGTACGGATGACGGTTGGGTCGGTGGATGGAGGGATGGAAGGGAAGAGATTGGTATCTTCAATTGAAAACCCGAAGAGATGAACGGAAGATGGGGATTTGTATGTCGTTCGGAGCATCACTGAATCTCTCGCCCTACTCTCATTAGCTTGAATCCATCTGATTTCACAGGACTTACGAGACAGGCCATGCGGCTTTTGATTGCAAATGCCATAAATCCGTCAACTCGTTGACATCCTCCACCAAAGTCGCATCTTCATGTGTCTTGTCCCACACCGACCTCGCCCCAGGTGTAGCAAGAACAGCAAACAAATCCCATATACCGACACCCACAAACACAGCCTCTGCTCGATAGACGACCAGTGTCTTGTCAATCGAGTCCAGCTGATGTATAGCGACTCCACGCGAGTCTAGGACGGGTTTCCATTTAGGTTCGGGTTCTTGCAGGAGGGAAGTGAAATCTGTGGCGCGTCAGATAATTCAACCAAGCTCGAATCGACTCACAAATGTAATTTCTTCGGATCAAACTTGATCTCCCCTTCATTACCGCTCCCTCCTGGTCGTCCCTGGGCCCCTTCTTCTCCGCCGTAGTATTCATTGTCCGCAATGACACTCCCGTCAGACTCGCCGTATCCTCCAACAACGGCCTCTGTTTCTTTTCCACACGCTCCGAGAAATGCGAATCCGACTCTGCGCGCTCTACAGCGACGGGGATACCGTTGATCCGGACTCCAGCCGTCGAAGAAGAGGTGCGCTCTATCGACACGTTTACCCTCACAAGCTCTTCGTCGGGTTCCAGAGGGGAGTGGGCGAATCGCAGAACGAGTCGTTTGGGAGGTGAAGCATCTGGAGAAGCGTTGGCCGCTTGTCTGACAAAGGACGTCCATATAGTCGAGGAAGACTCCTTTCCGAGTTGAGTTTTGACGCTGATTTGGATATCCCAGCTCTGTGTCGAAGACAGTCCAAACTCCACCTGCCGCCTCAGGCTCTCAGTCTCCTCATTCTGTGAGGCTGTGCTGACAATGGCATAGTGCACGTTGAGCGTGACCCTTGACGTGTCGTACGATACAGAGCCGATGGAGACGTCCGGCCCGTACGCCGACAGCACGGGCACCTTGTCGCTCCCATCCCGCACATGATTGATCAATCCAGCCACAAGAAAAGGCAAGTGCTGCGGCACCCCCCCGCCCACCGCCCACGTTCCGTTGGGATTCCAATTCCAAAAGCACGACACTCGGACTTGGCCCTCAGCCGGTCCCTCAGGAGCGGCAGGTGATGACGGGAGCTGTATACACCATGCTAGTAGTGATACGTGAGCTCGGACGTATGGCGGGGCTGGGCGAAGATAGGCGGGTTCGTGTTTGGAGCGGGGCAGGGAGGTGGAAATGTCGATGAGAGTATGCGAGTCTACGAAGGTTTTGGAGATGGTCACAGCGTCTCGGGGGCTAGTAGAGTCAGCTGCGAGTTCATAGATGAGGCATGATTACATACCTGGAAGGCCATCCCAGTCTGTAATTGGTCTTGGTCACTCTGGTGTGTGCGTCGAGAATATCCAGAGTTGTCGCCTCTTCCACCATGCGGTCCCCTGCACTGCTGTAAGCGCCAGCCAGCTAGGATCCGGGACCGACTCACACATTGCTCTTGTTTCTGGGGTGACCAGACATCCTCTGAATGTATCCACACTGATATCACTCCCACAATCCACTTCTACCGTAGCCCTATAGACATCGCCGTACTTTGAGGTTCTCCTGTGGACGGCCACATTTTCCGCCTGGGCCTTCCCAAGACCTTTGGCGGAGGAGCTGGGTCTGCCTGCGCTCGTCACAGATTCTGGTAGTGAGACAGGCTTCCACGATGCCGAGTCGGCAGAGTTGTGCAGCGCCTTGAAGTAGCCGTAGGAGGTCTGGAGGGCGTCATGGTACGCGGCCTGGAGCCTGCGGGGTGAGCTGTGTGCTTTGCAGCTTGCACTCACTTGCTGCCGTCGTCGAGGTTGTCGAGCCGCATGCTCCTGGGCTGTGTATTGAAGAATGATATAAATGTTGTTGTGGCCAACACTTTCGTTCAGTCTCGTTCGATATTTGCGGCGCGGGAGGCCTCGAGCGCGAACTGATTCTTCTGTCCATCTGTCCATCTCCGCCATGCTCAAGCTGCTCTTCCCCCTCCTCCTCGCCACCACCGCCCTTGCCCACGGCGACCACTCCTTCGACCTCGCAGACGACGCAGACCACGCCCTCTCCTATGCCGAGCGACATGTACGCTCCCTCCCCCTGCACGACCGCCGTCACTGACCGATTGTAGATGCACACCGAGCACCACATCGATTCATTCGACCTCGAATCATTCTTCAAACTCCATGATCTCGATATGGACGGGTTCTGGGATGTGCCCGAGATACAGGCAGTCTATGGCCTGCGCCATCATTCCATAAAAGAAAAGATCGGCAAGGTCGAGATGGTCGATGAGCGGGCAAAGAACATTGTCAGAAGAGTGCTCGAAGCGCTCGACAAGGATGAAGATGGTCAGTGTCTTGTTCTGCGTTTGGGCCAGTACTAATGTCGTTTCATAGGCAAGATATCGCTCCTGGAATTCATGCTGGGCGGTACAGGCGGACTACCGTCATTTGATGGGTACAAGGACCTTGGCCGTGGGTATCAACCGAGACGTGTATGACTCAACTAACGCGATAACACAGACCACTACGATGAGGAATCTGAATAGTGAGTGTCCCATTCTCATTTACGATGGCAAGCGCTGACCATGCACGTTCAGCTTTTTGCATCACGAAGAGGTCCGTCCGCCTCGAAATGCCGACGATGAGCTGACACCCTTCCTAGCTGTATCACTCCACACCTGAAACCCAGACTGACGATTCCTACTCTCACCCCGAAGGTCCGTCCACCTTCACTCATCCCGACGCAAACTGACAGTCTCGCAGATATCCAGCATTTCAGACGTATATCCCCTTTACCCCTTGCTACCGCTTGTGTACTGATCCCATTTCCCAGACCACGCCGAGATTGAAGACGAAGAAGATTCCCGTGAACGCAAATTCGAAGGCCTGGGCAACGACGCCAACCTGGAGAAAGACCACGTCGCCGCCGACCCTCTAGATCACCACGCCCACGCCGCTGGGGAAGGTCCTCCCGCCGACGACATTCCTCCCCTCGCCGAGGGCGAAGAAAACCTCAAGCCGGGGGATGAAGTGGAACATTCTGCGCCCAAGCCTATCGTTCCCAAGAGGGTGGACCCTGGCGCGGCGCCGCAGAGGATCTTGGATGGCGGAAAGGTGGGAGATCTTGAAGGGCTGAAGGAGGTGGCGGCGGGACAGCCTGGGTATGGGGGTGGTAGGCCCAGGACCCCGGAGGAGCGGTTGAGATCTGGTGTTCCTTACAGTGAGTTCTTCTTCGTCTGGCTTTGTACATATCGCTGACGTTCCGCAGAGTACAAGTATGTCTATCAAGCTCCCTTCTCCATTCGACATGTACTGACGATCTGTGTAGGATGAAGAAGGGTCTCCGTTACGATGAATTCTAGACGCTTTGTAATGTTTAATAACGGAATGTATATGACGGTCTGTGTTGGGTGTTACTTTGCACATGCGATGCTATGCGGACGATACAAGTGACAGTCAATCTCGATGCATAAGATCGGAAAGGGTGATCAGCCCTCTTCACTAATCAACATCTATCAGATATTTCTCTCACAGCTCCTACTTGTTGATAGAAAGCATCGGCCGTAAGAGATCGATGACTGAGATGGACAAGAAGAATGACTATCGTTGACGTAACACCACTTCAACTATCCACTTGCAGATTGTCTCTTTACACTTTCAAGGTGCAAGATTTCGAGTGACACCCTAGATCAAGAGCGACTGCGATACCGCACGTGTTGTGTCTGTTAGAGAACACATCCACAAGCAGATAGATCACCAGTGAAAAGGGGGGCGCAGCCGATAAAGTCGGCGAGACTGAAAAATCACCACAAGGCTGCTAGCACCGGGGTTCCCGAAAACCAGGCAGACAAGGGGGACTATCAAGATCGAGGGACTGGCCTGGTCTGTCGATGACCAGCATTGCTGGTGACGCTCTAAATTAGAGCGGTAGATAGGGGCACGAATTTCGTACCCTTTCTCCCATGGATACCATGAGGACCTGTGAAAAAGAGTCAACTCGAGGATATATACGTGGTACAAAAGGGTGACTCACACAAACGCCTGAGGGGCGTTCGTCGACATACTGACAATCAGTATACCTTCCCTGCTGAGGGAACCTGACTCTCATATCGAGAGTCACAACGTACTAGAATCAGTGTCAGATCAAGCGACCGACGGCGAGAGAAGAATCGCTTACAGCTCGCGCTTACATGGCCTCGCTGAACGTTAAACGTTCTGCTGCTGCCTAAATTAGACAGGAAACAAAGCAACCAAGTGCTCTGTGGGAGAGCCGTCGTGAGACGACTGTGGATGCATGGTAGCTAGCCACGCATCGGGAATCTGGCTCTCGTTTCGAGAGTCCGAGCGCACTGAAACGAGAGTTAGATTAAGCGACAGGGCGGATAGGATAGAGAGGCCACTTACAGCTCTATGAACTTACGGAGCGCACTGAACATTCGTCCAGCACGTGGGCAACAGAAGATGGCTGCGACATCCCGTTCATAAATGAAACGGCGGCAAAAATAAGGTGGTGCCGAGTCCACCGGCACGGTGGAACAAGATCTTGTCAGAAGCCTGCTGGATGTATCAGCATCCTCCCATTGATGAAATGAAGCAAATCACTCACGTCCTTCTGATCTTGTCTTGAAACCCCAGCGGCAGAGAAGAAAGGAAAAGGAAGGAGCCGGGAGCGAGTTTATATATGTGGGAATCGCGGGAACCTGGATACCCGGCGCAAAGCGTGGGAAGGGAGTGACGTTCTCTGAACTCTGATTGTGATCGCCGATAATAAGACCGAGAGTGGCTAGCTCATTGATTGTCCGTTGCGCCTGATATCATGACCAAGATCTGCAATGAAGCGTTCAGAGGACTGTGCAAGCGACGCGAGACATAAAAAGTTCCAAGGCAACAAGCGAGATGCATATGCCAGCTGCTCAAAGTTCTGCCTGCGTATGTACGTCCAACGTCAGCGGTAACATCACAATCTCCGCAGATCCACTGTCAGTCGCGAGCTGTTTTTGCAAGTCAGCCCGAGATCACACTGGCAACGAAAAATACCCTCACCTGGCAGAAGTGATCTGCAAAGATCAGGATACCAAAGACGCGCGAGTAGAACTTTGATTGCTGGGAGAGAAGCTCATTTGCGATGGGGGATGTACACCAGCACTGCGCAATGACGCTGAAACGCCGCTGCTTTAGACGAAGGAGCGCCGGTGATGTCGAAGTCGCAGCCGAAGAGAGTCGGCGAAGCTCGATACACCAAACGCCTCAAACCGGAAAACGAGCCGAGAAGAGGAGAAGTGATGCCAGCAGAAGCCGTGAGTAACGCCAGCTAACGTATCATAGTAGTGACCGTTGTTGGTCACTACTATGAGTCGAACGATTTCATACACTGTGGAGAAGCCTTTGCGGAATTCTTCTTGGTCTTGAAGCACGTGGTCTTCGCCCACAGCCTAGATGTCGGGGGCAACGCCCTATTTCAGACGTTTCTGATGGTGGTCGTTTGACGCACACATCGCAGCATCCCATCTCGGGTGCTCTCGTTCAGATATACTGGTATTATCTGAAGTCATGATTTTTTCTAACACAGTGGTTGTCTCCACACTCCAACCGAGGTTCCTTGTATACGCGTCAGTCGAGCACAGTCCACGAGCAGAGTTTGATCCTTACCGTACTTCTGTACACCATATTCGTTGGGTCAAGGCCATTTATTCTTTAACGTGTTGGCTGCACGGGTCCGACTGGAAGGCTTCTAGACGAAGGTCAGCCTTCTTGATCATCAAGAGTAGCTAGGCTAGGACTGACGGTATAGCAGCGTGACCAAGCGCTCTAGGTACCCCGCTTCAACAGTCTCTCAAGGTTTTTTATACAGTGGTTGTCTCCACACTCCGACTACCGTCGGATCTACTGATGCTACCGCACACCATAGGCCAGTTTTTAACGTGTCGCCTGCACGGACGAATCGATGTATCGCTATGGCCTAGCAAGTGTCAGATCCTTCAAGAAACTCGATGATGGACGACAACTCACCTTACGTTATACTAGCGCACTACAGTGTTCCTTTCCTGGACATGTGGCTCTCCGTGTACCTTGCCCTTGCCATCGTCGCCGGCGCCAATTTTTATACGTGGTAGCCCCCACGGGACGACTCCTTCGTTGACAGGCCCTTAAGGTGAAATAAGTCTGAGCGCTAAGAGGGAGATAGTGAGAAGGGCTCACCTGCACTTTAGGCTACACTTCGCGGTGACCTCTACCGATGTGCCAGTGCTCTTCCGGGTTTTCCGCTGCCGTCGTCAAAGAAACAGAACATAAGGACGCAATTGCAAAAGGGTGGGCACGGAGCAGCGGGATCAAATATAGAGCCGAGTTGCAGTGGCAAAGTGGCATGGTCAATACGACGACTTGCTGAAGGATCTCGCTGCAGAACATACATGGGAACGTGTTTCTATGTGTATTCGTAGGCTACAAAGCAGCAACCGCCAAATACAGAACCGACATTGTTGCAGCACCTCATGTGATGTACTTTTTTTCAGCCACGTCATACAGCGACAACTTGCCCTGCTCCGCCACCCTGATCTCAAAGTACCTCCTCTCCTTCATGTAGATCCCATGCGCCCTCAGCACTTCACCCGTCCTCACAGGTGTGTTCTCAACCTTATCGTCAAGCTTACCCTCCTCGACCTCCTTTTCTAGCTGCTTTGCTTCCTCGTCTGTGATGGGTGCCAGGGTAGCTGAGGGTTTAGCAGGGTCCCGCCTCTCGGAAGAGCCAGCAGCACTCTTGTCCTTGTCGTCAGAGTAGGATTTGTGCAATTTTCGGAGAAGCGCAGTGGATTTGTGGCGGACATCCGAAGAGAGAGTGGGGGATGCAACGATAGACATGACTATAGAATGGTGATCAGAATCGCCCACTGTAATGTGCCCAACTTGACTCACCTTCTCGTTGCAATGCTGTCAGTCCGCCGACTTCCCCAGACAGCTTATCGATGGCCTTTGGCAGCGCACTCGAAGCTGATGGTAGTCAGATCGATACGACTATGTTTGACGATGGTGAGGCTCACATATCTTCGCCACTGTACCAGAATTGGCTACCAGAGCAGTCTTCGTGGCCGTCACCCCTTTTGCGATATAGCTCCCGACAACACCTGCTGCAGCCACCTAAACCCCTCGTCAGCATGGTTCATATTGCGCGTGTATTACCCACCGTCTCTAGAGCTGCGACTTCTGGTAGCAGAGCAGCCCCTGCTGTAGCCGCCACAGCCCCGACAGCGATTGAGATGATGGCGATCGTTGCAGCAGATTTGAGCACAGAGTATCTGCTTTTCTTGGTTTCATCGTCTAACACAGCCTTTATGATGGTCAACATGAGATCTTCACTCTGCTTTTAGAAGCGCATACCTCCACGGTGAACCACACTTTTCCAGGCTGAAAGCTACTGTCAGCTGCGCGCCCCGTCTCTGGCTATGGATTGGGGCTTGCCTTGAATTTGATCGTCTGGCCTGGTTGGACGCCATTCTCAAAGTGGAGCGCGGTGACCTGTTTGAGGCTGATGTTGAGTGGGTGGGAGGTACAGTTTGTGATCCTGCAGGAGGGCATGGTGGATGCTGTTGATGCAAGTGGCGATGTGGCTCTACCTTTATATAGCACGCTTGAGAACAACAAAAGCACCCGCTCATCGTCATCACTCGGGCCTCCACGCTCGGCGGCCGGGCGGAGATGCCCGCTGCGGCCAACCGGACGTTCTTCGTGCTGTCTTTTTTTTGTGTTGCATCGCTCGACAACTGCAATGGCCTTCAGGGGATACCACGACGGAATCAAGCTCGCATCAGTACGTATCCCAATCGTGTTCTCCATCGCTCATCGCCGTAGGACGCAGCCACCAAGGCAATTCAAATAGAGGCATCGCTGTCCTCTCTCTCTCCCCTCACCTCACATATACCGACACTCCAGCGAGCATTCCCCGCCTACATAGCCGCCGCAGAATTATACAGCAACCTCCTATCCTCCAAACTCGTGCCTCCAGGCGACGTCGAGGGAGTAAAGAAGAAATGGAGGCTGGTCCTTGACAGAGCAGAAAAAGTCAAGGGACGAATCGAACAGCTTGGCGGGCATGTTGCCAAGGCTCAAGTGGGGGACGAGGGTGAGGAAGCTGCCGTCATCCGCAGGGGAGGAAGGATGAATGGCGTAGACCTCCACCTCTGGTCGACGCCGAGTCCGACTTTTGATACCGGCAACCTCTATCGAGAGGCGACACAGCCAGAGCTTGCGGCAGCTCAATTGGATCTCGATCCAGAGTGGAGAGAGATTGCTGAAGACTGCTGGGAGCATCAAGTCCGCGATGGAAACTGGGTCTTGAGACAGGGGCCTGTGGCTGATTGTTCGGTGGTGGCTGCTATGGGTGTGGGTGTTGAGCACGATAGATTGTTCGAGACCACAGTGAGTCTACACTGTTTTCAGCATAAAACGATACTGAGGCAAGTCTACAGTTTGGATGGAACAATCTCTATCCACAAGGAGCTGACGGCCGTCCACGACGCTCGGAGAACGGGAAATATGTCCTGAGATTATTGCTGAACGGCGCTTGGCGAAGTGTGAGTCTTGAAGGTATTCGTGAAGTGTTCAAGCTCACTATGCTCAGGTCGTCTTTGACTCTCTCCTCCCTCATTCTCTACGCGACGGGACACCACTTTTCACCACATGTCACCTGAATGTTCCTTCATCTCCGACGGCTGTAGGTACCCCGTGGACGCCCCTGGCCCTCAAAGGCTACTTCAAAGTGCACGGTGGCTACTCTCTACAGGGGAGTAACCCAAGCTCTGACATATACGAGCTCACCGGGTGGATACCAGAGAGGACGGTCTTGAAGGGTGGGTTCCAGAGGGAGAAAGAGTGGTCAAGAGTGAAAGAAGCTTGGGAGAGGGGCAATGTCATGGTCAGCTTGGGGACCGGACAATCGGTCAGGGAGGGTCTGGTCAAGCATCACGCTTATGGTGTTGTCCGTGAGTTCTTCGGTCAGATACGTCTGCGTGAGCTGACTTGTGTGTAGGACTCAGAGAAGAAGGAGACCAGCGACTATTGGACATCATTGATCCTGGAGCGACCTCATTCTCTCTCTCTTGGGATATGGTTTGCGTCGACTTTGAAAGTCTGCATATCAATTGGAAGCCCGGTCTGCTACCTTCCATCGCGACTAGACACTGGTGCGTATCTAGACTCGTGTTGCGACCACGACTGACATCAAGACAGGTCTTGGGCGAAACCACAAACCTCCAGCTTTGAATTAGACATTGACACCACCAATCCTCAATACCGCCTTCAAGCACAATGTTCCTCTTCTTCTGGTTTGCCCGAGGTCTGGGTGCTGCTTTCTCAGCACATTGTGAACAAAGACAGACCTTTGGACGATATAGCATTGCATGTGTTTGAAGAGTTTGGGGCCGGTCAGAAGCGGCGGGCGGGAGCTGTGCACTCGGAGAGGCTGGAGCAGACTGTGAGTCATGACACTTTAAGGACTGGACTGACATCGACAGAATCCATACGTCAACGGTAACCATGTTTTGGTGCGGTATCAGCTGCGGCGACCTTCCTCCAGTCTGATTGTGGTCCCTTCTCGGGACCGCGGCGTATATCAAACAGGCTTCACCCTTAAAGCGTTCGCCCCAGAAGGAGTCTCCCTCGAGCTGACACGGCTCTCGCGCACGATGCCTTTCAGCGAGACTATCACTGGGTCACTCGATAGTCGGAATGCGGGAGGACAACCCGGGTGGCCGACGCATATGATCAATCCCCAATACAGGGTTGTGGTGCAGCCTACCCGTAGGAGAGAAAAGGCGTCGGGAAGGATTACTGTCAGAGGTGATAAGGATTTGACTCTGAATGCGAGGCTGGTATGGGGCAAGGGGGAGCTGGTATTTGAGTAAGCTTCTATAGGCGTCGCGAGCATGAGCTGACGGGTGTGTAGATTGTCGCAAGATATGGTTCTGGCGGATACGGGGGCTTACGCACATGGTGTCGCGTATTGCGACGTACCCGAGCTTCCCCCAGGCTCGCATACCTTGATCATATCTGCATTCGAGCCGGGCCAGACGGGCAACTTTAGCTTCACTTTTGAAGCGACAGCTGCTGTTGCGTTGTCAACTATACCTGCTGAAGGTGCCGGCATGTACAGTCGGACGGTCATCGGACAGTGGTAAGTGTTTCAATCTTGTGTTTGGGTGGAGTACTGATCGAGCGTAGGTCGGACGAGACTGCTGGCGGAAGGCCGAGCACGGGAGGCTACGCGAAGAACCCCAAGGTTGAAGTGATACTCCCTAAAGCCGGTATCGTATTGTGAGTAGCGACAAAATCGTCGTGGCCCAAAGGCTGATCATCACAGGTCACGCCTCTATCTTCCCACTCTTGTTCCCCTCCCGATCAACCTCACAATCTTCAAACGCGCCGAAGGAGGTGCCTTGGGCGAGCAGGTGGCGACTACCGGACCATATGCCGATGCCCTTTGTGGGGTATCCACTGGCAAGATCAAGCTGGAAGCGGGTATATACTTGTTTGTACCTTCTACATACGAGCAGAGGAGCAGAGGTGGGTGGACGTTGAAGGTTTGGGCCGATGTGGCGATCAGCGCCGAGCCGGTGTAGAACTGTAGATAAGGATCGCGGTTGTCGATTTTGGTAAGGATATGCTTTGTGCATATGATAGGAGGATCAAGTGATGTATTGGACGTTGCAATAGAGCAGCGTGCCCCATGATGCATGACAAATGGACCCCTGGTTGCTGATTTTATGCCGCTTTCCGTACCGCGTAGGGAATGCCGACGGCTTCAGGGCGCGTCCCAGAAGTTCGTCGGCTTTGCCGTGTTCTTCTGGCGCCGCCACTGTCTGTATAAGAGCCGAACCAATTCTTATCTCTTTTCTCTTTCTTCTCTCATCTCAAAACATCAACACAACATGTCTTCCCAACTTGCTTCCTTCAAGGTCCCCGAGATCGACAATGAGCCCATGGTGAGTTGCCTTGGCTCCAACAACAACAGCCAGCTGATCGAACGTGTCCCAGAGGAACTACCCTCCCAACTCTGCCGAGAGGGCTGGCCTCCAGGCCGCTGTCGACAAGATGCTCAAGCAGGCTCCTTTCGAGGTCCCCATTGTCATCAACGGCGAGGAGGTAAGTGAATAGCCAAACTCGTTTGTGAAGCTCGCTTATCACCCACTGTAGTACAAGACTGGTGACATTGGATCCCAGCCCATGCCCCACGACCACGCCAACCCTCTCTGTACCTACCACTCTGCTACTCCCGAGCTCGTCCAGAAGGCCATCGAGGGCTCTCTCGCCGCCAAGCAGTCTTGGGAGGAGATCCCCTGGGCCGACAAGGCCGCCGTCTTCCTCAAGGCTGCCGACTTGATCTCTGCCAAGTACAGGTACGAGCTTATGGCTGCTACCATGCTTGGCCAGGGTAAGAACGCCTGGCAGGCCGAGATCGACGCCGCCGCTGAGCTCTGTGACTTCTTGAGGTTCGCCGTCAAGTACGTTGAGGAGCTCTACCAGCAGCAGCCCCCCAGGAACTCTGCCGGTGTCTGGAAGTGAGTCATCGCCCAACATGTCACGAATCAGTAACTGACGGTGTTCTAGCCGAGTCGAGTACCGACCTCTCGAGGGCTTCGTTCTTGCCGTTACCCCCTTCAACTTCACTGCCATCGGTGGTAACCTTGTCGGTGCTCCCGTCATTGTCGGCAACGTCTGTGTCTGGAAGCCTTCCCCCATGGCTACCTATTCCAACTACATCGTCCACAAGATCTTCCTTGAGGCCGGTCTCCCTCCTTCCGTCATCCAGTTCGTCCCCGGAAGCCCCCCTGAGGTTGTCAAGCAGTGTATCGACCACAAGGACTTTGGTGGTCTCCACTTCACCGGTTCCACCCAGATCTTCCGAAAGCTTTGGAAGGACATTGCCCAGAACCTTGACCTCTACAAGGGCTACCCCCGAATTGTCGGTGAGACTGGTGGTAAGAACTTCCACCTCTACCACCCCACCGCCGACATCAAGTCTGGTGTCGTGCAGGCTATCAGGGCCGGCTTCGAGTACTCTGGCCAGAAGTGCTCTGCTCTTTCTCGAGTCTACGTTCCTGCTTCTCTCTGGAACAACGGCTTCAAAGATGAGTTGATCACCGAGACCAACAATATCAAAATTGGCCCCTGCACCGAGTGGGACAACTTTACCGGTCCCGTCATCGGCAAGCCCGCTTTCGAGAAGATCTCTAATATCATCGAGCAGGCCAAGAAGGAGGGTGGTGAGGTTATTGCTGGTGGCTCTTGTGAGTATTTTGGGTCAATTCTGATTGACATTTGCTGATTCATTGCAGGGGACAACTCCAAGGGTTACTTCATCAAGCCCACTGTCATCGTCACCAAGGACCCCAAGTCCGTCACCATGGTCCAGGAGATCTTTGGTCCCGTCATCACCGTGAGTCGCTCCATTATTGTATGCTTATGCAGCCACTGACCCCACTACCAGGTCTACGTTTACGAGGATGCCGACTTTGAGAAGATGCCCGAGCTTATCGGTTCCACCACCGAGTACGCCCTCACCGGTTCTGTCTTCGCCAGGGAGCGATCCGTCCTTGCCTCTTCCGCCCATGCCCTCCGAAACCTTGCCGGTAACTTCTACATCAACGACAAGTGTACCGGTGCCGTCGTCGGCCAACAGCCTTTCGGTGGTGCCCGAGCTTCTGGTACCAACGACAAGTCTGGTTCCATGGCTATCTTTGGCCGATTCGTTTCTATGAGGTCTATCAAGGAGAACTTTGTTGCTCCCGAGGCGTACCATTACCCCTCCAACCTCCTCTAAGAGGTTGCTTGGTTTAGTTGGTAAAGAGAGAAGAAAGTAGCTATTTAGATCATTCCACCTGTTGTTATATTTGAATCTTTTCCGCATCATAGAGTCTCATGCATTATACAAAATGCCGCATCCTTAACATAACAGTATACATGGAGCACGGTACCACTGCACAAGCTAATCGAAGACGATCTTTTGTGATGGGTTGGCAGCTGCGACAGCTTCCATCTTTTGCTTTCTGAGCTTGGCCGCTTCCCAAGAAGGATGCAAACTCTGTCCCCCAGCTTGCGCTTGCGGGGCTGCGGCTGAGGGTGCAGCGCGAGGAGCAGCAGAAACTGGAGCAGGAGCAGCGGAACCCGAAGCGCCTCCCTTGTTGCCCCATCCACTATCTCTGGGCCTTGCCCGGTCCGCAGCTCTCTTCCTAGCCTTCTCTTCCTCGATTTGCTCTTCCTCACGCTGCTTTACGACATGCTTGGCGCCCTTGCCGTACTTCTTTTCCCAGATACTGCATCGATTGTCAGAAAGATTCACTCAAATGTAGATAAGAAACTCACGCTTGTCTTGCCCTCTGTCCACGCCTGTTCTTCCTGACTGGCTGCTCCCTCCCTGCAACGCCATTGGGATCATCATCAAGATCAGGATCAGAATCTCCATCATCGCCTCTGGTAAACCCAACAGCGAGGGACGGAAGAAACATGGAAGAAGCAAGATCCGCCTTGGAAGGTTTCTCTTTCTTGGCGGGTTTGGGAGCTTTGGGAGCTTTAGCGGGAGGGGAAGAAGCCTTGGTGCGTTTAGCTGGGCGGACGGGGATGGCATCAGAGTCGTCTGACTCGGCGTCAGAGTCTTCCCCGCCAGAGACGGAACCAGACTCCCAGCCGGCAGCATCAGCCGCTCGGTGCTGCTGGGCGAGCTCGTCATCAGAGTCCGACTCTTCGTCAGAGCCATTGGCAATCTGCCTCGACAAGCCCTCGTCAAACATCCCTTGGTCGTCCTCAGAGTCACTGGCAGCTTGGGCGTTCTTCTTGACAGGCTTGCTCTTGGCAGCACCCTTCTTGTCCGCAACAAGCTTTGCTCCCTCCTCGCCAGTGACCCAAGCCAAAACACTCTTCACCTTCTCCGCCACACCCTTCGCACTGGTAAGCCTGTTCTCCGCTTTCCCGGTCAAGACTGCCGCATTGCTCGTCGAACCAGCCGCCTCGTTTGATGATTGAAGAAGGGTGAATTGGGAAGTGATGGAAGAAGGGAGGGGTGTTTGTTTGAGGCGGGGGTGTTTGCGAAGTTTGGACAGGAGATGAGTTTGAGCGAGGGAATGAAGGGAAATGGCATGTATCAAGGCGAGCTGAGATTCGAGGTTCTCAATCTCTTCTTTGTTGTCTTTGGATTCTTTTGAGCTGGTGAATTATGTGAGCGTGTACCTCTGGCTTTGAAGGTCGTGCATACCGAAGAAATTTGATCTTTTTTATCAATCGACGGGTTTCAAAAGTCTTAGCCTGCTTGAAGGCAGGGTGGAGTGATTTCAGTGCTTGGGGCTATACATTATTTAGCGCGTTGTAGGCAGTTGTATGGGGGTAGCACTCACGACTCGCTTGCTGAGCTGGTCAAGGTCGACAGTGGGCCGAGCAGTCTCCGCGACAGTCTCAGGCTGTATCGCTTCTTCGGACTTCTGCTTCTCCTTGGGATCATCTTCCCGGGCCTCCATCTGCACTACTTCTTCAGCCTGCTGTTGGGCCTGCGTATTCATCAGCAGACGAACGCGCAAATTACACTACTTGACACGTACCAGGATGGCAGCCTTCTTCCTCTCCTCCCTCTCTTTGCCGGTCCTCTTTCGTTTCTTTACCTGCGTGTCGACGGCTGGGTTCTCTTCGATGGCGGACATGGCGGACTCGCTGCTATCAGTCGTTGAGATCAAGTCGGAGGTGTGGTGCACAAGATGGACCAAATTTCCAGCTGAGCGGCACTCCCCGCTTTTCCGGCCGCCGAGCTCAGCCCATGTCCGAGATCTTTATCTTGTCTTGATTTTTCCTTGTTGGCTCTCCACTAGCTTCCTCGACTCTGGCGCTTTCTGAAGCCATAAAGAAGTAGAGCAATGCTTCTTTCGCCTCTTCGTCGTCATGTTCTTAGGACAGTCCCTCGACTCTGGCCTCAACAGAGGTCTATAGTCGGCCTTTCGGCGGCTAAACAGCTCTGGGTAAGTTTCGCTCATAGGTCACATCACTGCGAGCTAAGTGTACATACCCGCAGGGGAACAGGCTTGTGATCTCAGAAGAGGTTGAAAGTGCGCTTCACTCTCTCGACCCAGTGATCGCCCTCGAGTCGACAATCATCACCCATGGCATGCCCCCGCCTGTCAATCTCTCGACTGCTCAGTCTCTCGAGTCTATCATCCGCTCCCACTCGGCTGTCCCTGCTACAGTCGCTATCATTGACGGCGTCATTCACGTCGGTCTTACTGCAAAACAGCTCGAGCAGATTGCCGATATCGAGTCTGAGAAAGGCAAGGGCGCTGTCAAAGTCTCTCGACGTGATCTCGCCCCCGCCCTCGCTCTCAAGAAGACCGGAGGAACCACTGTGGCTGGTACAATGTATATTGCCAGCAGCCTCGGCATCAAGGTCTTCGTCACCGGTGGTATCGGAGGAGCGCACCGCGGCTCAGAGAACAGTATGGATATCTCGGCGGATCTGCTCGAGCTTGGCAGGACGCCTATGGCAGTTGTCTGTGCTGGGGCAAAGTCAATCCTTGATATCCCAAGGACTTTGGAGGTTCTTGAAACGCAAGGTGTATGTGTTGCGACTTTTGGAGGAAAGGAATTCCCAGCATTCTACCACCCCAGCTCTGGCTGCCAAGTGAGTCACGGACGTGATCCAAACCCCCGTTGCTGACCTCTATCCAGAGCCCTTGGTCTGTCCCCGACGTCAGCTCGGCTGCTGATCTTATCCGTAGGTCCATGCGATCGTGAATCAGTACCTTAGCTCATACGATCTGTAGACAATTCGCTCACCCTCCCAACACCACTGAGCACCCTCCTCGCCGTCCCCATCCCGGACGAACATGCCGAGGCTGGCTCTGCTGTGCAGACCGCTGTCGAGCAAGCTGTTCGCGGAAGCATCGAGCAAGGCATAGATAAGCGAGGCAAGGAGGTCACTCCTTGGCTTCTCAAGCGCGTTGGAGAATTGACTCAAGGTACTGCTCTCGGTCTCAGTACGTCTCTCCCTTCAAGTCTATGGGCCGGAGCTAACGAGACGCAGATGTCAAATTGATCGAGAACAATGCCAGAATCGGAAGTCAAGTCGCAGTCAAGGTCGCAGAACTTGCCAAGAGTCAGGTCGATGCATCCTCTGCCCTCTACGTTCCTTTCTCTCTCTCATCCACTCCCTCTTCCCCATCCAAACCACCCAAGACCGTCCTCCCCACCCCTGCTCCGCCCGCATCCTTGCCCCGGCCTACGACCCTAGTATTCGGTTCTGCCGCTATTGACCTCACGTCGACTTCGCCCCATGCTCTGGCTCCGGGCACGACTACCCCCGGAACAGTGTTCCTCTCCCCCGGAGGCGTAGGCCGAAACATTGCTGAAGCAGCTCAAAACCTCTCTCCGTCCCACTCTGTACAGCTCGTCTCTGCATTCGGCTCTCTCCCGTCCTCTGCCGAGGCGGTAGAGCCAGATCCCTTTGGCAAGGTTTTGATGCTGGAACTGGCGTCCTCGGGGATGAGGGCAGATGGGCTGGTGGGGAGGGAGGGGAAGAGTACGGCGGTGTGTAGTCTCACGTTGGAGAAGGCGGGAGATCTGGTGGCTGGTGTCGCAGATATGGGTATTGTAGAGTCTTTGACTGAAGATGTGGTGAGCCTTCTGGAATCACTCAAGGAGAACGCTAAGATATGTGTCAGGTGGAGAAAAAGATCCAGGAGGAGAAACCGAAGATGGTAGTGTTCGACCTGAATCCTTTGGAGGGATCTATCAAGTCTATCTTGAAGACTTCTAAAAGTCTGAACATTCCCAGTAGGTGTACCTGTCTGTCAATGGGGATCTCAATCTGACCACATCTTCAGCTTTCTGCGACCCAACGTCTACACCAAAACTTCCCCGTCTCATACCTGCTTTGCTCAGCCTGCTTCCCTCTTCCCCCGCCTCCCCTCGCCCCCTCACGCACCTATCCCCCAACGTCCTCGAACTCGACCTCCTCCATTCCCTACTCGCCGAAACAGCATCAGAAGACACTTCTGCCGTCTCTTGGGAATACATAAACTCTCTCAACCTCGACGCTACCTGGCGGTCCAAGGCGGAGACATTCACCAACAAGAAGGGGCGAGAGTGGATCCGACAAGAAGGAATGGTGCAGAAGATGGTGGCGTGTTTGCCGTATGTGCAAAGCTTTTGGGTCAAGGCCGGGCATCGAGGACTTTTGCACTTGCGCCTCACCTCGACGCCCCCGTCTTCGTCAGCCGACAGCATAGTGCACAAGCTGGGGCAGCAGCATGAAGGCTCCTACCTCGCTTTGACTGTCTACTCGCCTCCCACGATCAAGCCTGAAGAGATCGTCAGCACTACTGGGGCTGGTGATACACTCGTCGGGGGGCTTGTAGCGGGTTTGGTGGGTCAAAACGGAGAGGCGGAAGAAGTGTGGGTGGAGAGAGCATTGGATAGGGTAGGGAGGAGTTTGAGGAGTCGACGTGCTGTTGGATGAGCTACAAATTGTGATGGACTATTCTTGGGATGCCAGATATTCATAAAATGCAAACGATACAATACTCGGTCTTTTTTCACATGTCTTCGTCATACATCTTTCATGCTTTTAAACATCGCCTTCGGCATCACTCTCTTCAATCTGCGTAGCGCGTCAGCTTGACCCCTTTGCCTAGACTTTCAAGACCTACATCACTTTCATTGGCCTTTTTGACGGTTCTGGAACCAGCAGGAGGCTTGGGCCTCCTGTCCCCAGACTGCGAGATCCTTCTTGAGGGGTTGGCAGGGAACAGCTCCGGTGCGCCCGAGAGATCCTTCTCCTTGGGATTCGCAAACCCATTCTCCTTGCCGATCGCTGACCTCGCCCAGTAGAACAGCGCATGTCCGATAGTAGGATCCTGCTCATTATGATGCAGTACCGGACTCGTCCACCCACGCGTCCCATCCTTGTTGAAATACCCAAACGTCCAGCGCTGCCAGTCCGTCAAGACATAGTATTGACAACCGAGACGCTTGGTGGCGCCGTAGGAGCGGGACCAGTACCAGGAGGCTTTGGATTTGGTTTCGTAGTGGTATGGGCCGGTGGCGATGTATTCGTCCCAGTCGTGGGGAGTAAAGGCGGACGAGTTGATGGTTCGGACCACGAGGGCGACTTCATCCGAGCCTTCCCTTGTTAGAAGGAATTCTCCTGAGCCTGGACCATTACATCAGCATCAGCCATTCGAGAGATGGAGAAAGGCTTACCCAAGGGCGACTTGCTGAACTTGTACACCCATCCCTTCGTCTTGACATCCTTCTGCGGAAGCACCTCGGGCTCTTCTCCACCATCACTTTCATAACCGGCGGCATCGAGGGCTTTAGCACCCGCCTTCAAGTCTGCCGGGTCGGCATCGAGGGCAGTGAGGATGGCCGAGTTGGCAGCGAGTGGAAGAGCGGCAAGGGCTGTCTTTGGGGTGAGTACTATCCTCCAAAGGACTAGAGTGGCTTACTGCTCTGAAGATCTCTAGGCGACTTCAGACGGTCTGGGAAGCTACTGATGACCTGAGCAATCTTGGGGTATTTGAAGTTGGGATGAGGCTGGACAGGCTCTTGAGGGATGGTCTTCCAGTCTTTCTCGCCATCAGCTCGATACACGTGCATCACGACAACACTCACAGTCCAAGACTTTCTGGTTAAAGTCGTCAATCACCTCGATTCCCTTTAGAGGTCCATCCCACTCTGCGCGAGGACCAGTCCCTCCCGTCCCTGGAGGATACTGCTCCCTCAACGTCGGGAGGGATTTAGACAGGTATTTTTGAATTTCGAAAGGTGGCTGGGGCATGGTGTCTTGATGATGAGGTGAATGAGCAACATGTCCATGGCAAGATGATGCTTTAAGTAGATGACTGGTACGTACGTAAAGGTGAGCGACCCGGTTACTCGTGTATGGCCGGGATGTTTCACCCGACCCCCGAACAAATCCGATTCCCGTTCTGGAGTCTTCGGGGAAAGAGTGTTCTCTGTGGACGTGTTTGAGGAATCTGATGGGCGATGTGATCCATCTCGCTGGCCCCATCGCGAGTGCCACAGAAAGCCGTCGAGGACCGTTGGCTCAACGTTGGCTGAAGGTAGAGGTGCCACGTGGCTGCACGTGGGGGGTGTGACGTAAGGGGCACTCGGACAAAGAGTCTTTTTGCGACTAATTTCCCCTGAACCGAGACAAGATGTTCCTGTTTTGCGCCTGGTTTTGGGTTCAGCTGGCACAAATCCAACTCAGACTCAACGCAAATCCAACAACAGAGCGTTCCCAGCGACAGCCATACCCCTACTCCGCCCTTACGTCAGCACCGAGCGGCACACTCCGGCACCCCAGCAGCTGTGTGCTTGCGACTATCCGTAACGAGGCAGTCAAAGGACGAATATAGATAACTCTCCCAAACACTTCTAACTCTCTTCCATCTACCCATTCACTCGACCGGTAGATACCAGCACTCCTCCAACAACCCTATGAGCATTACACCCACAAACTACCAAATCGCCATGTCGGTCGTCCCCAAATGCGACGAGGCTGGCTGTACCGACAACGCCATCAGAGTCAACTCTCGCTGCCGATTCTGCAAGCTCAACTTCTGCTGGGCCCACTTTGAGAACGAGACGAGTCATCCGTGTGTCACTGCGCCCCACCCCGAGACGAACAGGGACGGTTTCGAATTTGAAAAGGAGCCCGAGGTAAGCTTTGTGACGCCAAGAGGTCGGATGGGAACGCTGACAGGCCGACGTAGGCTTCTGAAATCCTGCGACACCTCGATATGCACGCTATCAAAGCAGAAGTCGAGTCCATCTGGCCGGGTCATATCTGCAACTATGTCGGTAAACCACAGATATGGCACGAACTCGCTCGTCTGTGCGGACAGTACAACCATAGCATTGTCCTCGGGTTTGCAGACGGCCAGCGATGGGCTATGCGGATACGCCTGAAACAGAGGAAATACCTGCCCGACTTGGCGCTGGAGGCGAGTATAGACAGTGAGATTGCTACGGCGAGGGCGCTAGAGAGCGCGGGGTGTGCGGTGCCACGTACATGGGAAAGACCAAGAGACAGCCTCCGTCAGTCACTCTTGTCAATGCTGTGGCAAAAACTGATCGTCAAGATTAGTATCTCGCAATTTGACCTACTTTTACCAAGAGTTTGTCCCCGTCGGCGACTGTACAATGTACACCCTCTGGACCGAAGTCTACACCCAGCAAACCAAGACATTCATCCGCAATTTCGCCAAATGGATGATTAGCCTGGAAAAGGTCCATTTCGACAAAATGGGTTCTCTTACCCTGACAGAGGACGGCGACGTCACTGTCGGTCCTTTCATCGAGCGCCGAACGACCATCGACGTCGCGCCCTACTTTCTCGGTCCGTTCAATACTGCCAAAGAGGGCTACCTCGCCATCATCGATGTCCGCCTGGAGCAGACTTTGAATCGCGCACGATACAAGCCGAGTCGGGAGCTGTTGCACTATTTGGTGTTGCTGGAGGTGCGCCATCTGGTGCAAAATTGTTGTCCAGAGCTGGATGTGGGGCCGTGGTATATCCGGCATAACGATGATGATACCAATTTCGTGAGGGTCACTTCGGAGGGGTCTATTACTGGAGTCATCGATTGGAAGTGGTAAGTTGGTCTACCCAGCCGACTGTGGCATCTTCTAATCATACATCAGGGCAACCCTCACGAGCAAAGGTGCCGCATTTGCCGCCCCCTTCTGCTTCCCCGACGACAAGTACTCGGAAGGCGTCAACGCTCTCGGCGTGCGCGAACTCGCCCTCATCGAAGCCTACCGCGAACTCGACCGAAACGACCTCGCCGAGCTCGTCCGCACCGGCCGCAAATTCCACCGTCTCTTCAACGTCCTCTTCCACGAATGCGTCACCCTCACAACGCTCAATGCGCTGAGAAGGGCGTTTTTGGGTTTGGCGGATGGCAAGCAGGGGTTGCCGCAGACGTTGAAGGAGTGGATTCAGGTGGCAAAGCAGAATTACGCGGATGATGAGAATCTGCCAGTGATGCTCAAGAGGAGCGACGACTTTGTGAAGAATAGTAAACAGGCGGGGACGTATAGCGAGCACTGGGGGCTCAGGTAACGAGGTGGGATCGATTTCGAAGGGGGATTTACGAGAGGAGAACGATACGATTCTCCATCACACCATGACACGACGAAATTTGTGACGTTTATACTTGGCCTGATTAATACAACTTTAATACCTTTATGGGAGTCTTGGAAACTGTTCATTCTCTTGCATCCTATTATTCACATGCAACTATTCTTTTCCTACTTGAAGTTGTTTGGTTCTGCCCTGGGAAATGAAGAGGTGGAGGTCGCCGCACATTGAAAAAAGTTCAAGGCGGCCGTGACGCATGAGCTCTTTCTTGTCCCAGCAGCATCCACTGTATTCCAAAACGCCCGGCTTGTCGAATACCATCCCGGAAACGTACCATCCTCTCTACCCGTCCCAAAAAATAATCCCCAAAGAACCAGCAAAATGACTACCCACCACCCCCGCACCCTGCCCGTCATCCTCATCACCGGCACCCCCGGTACCGGCAAAACCCTCCACTCCCAGCTCGTCGTCAACGAACTGACAGAAGACGGTACACCGATGAAGCACTTGAATATCGGCGATATCGTCAAGGAGCACGGGTTCCATGAGGGGTGGGATGAAGAGTGGAATTGTTGGGTGGTAGATGAAGAGAGGTTGTTGGATTGGATGGAGGAGGTTGTCAACCCGAGAGATGGGCCTGCGCAGACTGGTATGTGTTTACCTTATGAAACATGATTGGATAAAAGCTGACAGGCGTATCAGGTTTCGTCATTGACCACCACGACCCGTCTCTGTTCCCTGAAAGATGGGTCGACTTGGCCGTCGTCCTCACATGCGACAACTCCATCCTGCATGACCGACTGACTTCAAGGTATGTCTTCTCCCAGTCTGCTCCGTCTGTTTCAACTAATCGCCAATTTAGAAACTACCCCGAGAAGAAGATTACCGAGAACGTCACTGCCGAGATCATGATGACCTGCATCAACGAGACGCGAGAGTCTTATGCTGAAGAGATTGTCGTCGAGTTAAAAAGTGAGGGCCAGTCGGATGGGGAGGTGGATGAGAATGTGGGGAGGATAGCGCAGTGGGCTGTGAACTGGAAGAAGGACCAGCAGGAATAGGTGCTTTCGCGTTTTGAGAAGGACAGGAATAGGTGCTTCCACGGTGTTGGAAGGTTTGTAGATTAGACGTTTGCGCTTTTACGATCTTTTAGAAGAGCAAGCGGGAAAGGTTGGATTATGTATCATTATTATGTGCATTAGCCTGATCTGAGCAAGATATCGGTCTCCTCATCCACCGGCTTTCTCCTCGTAGCTCGTCGTTAAAGTCGTTTATCCGTAGTTGCTGTATCCATATTAGTGCCGGCTCGAATACGTTCATTGGGGGATGGCTTACAGTCGGAAGACGTCGTTGAAGACGTAGTAGCTTCCACCCTCGGGTTGCAACTATACGCCTGTCAGCACCTGGATCGCCTGCCCGCAATGCCGGTTTCGCCACCCTCCAAACCTGGACTCCATCCTGTTCAAAGCCGCTTTCACTCTCACAAAGACTTACGTGGAAGACCTGGGTGAACTGGAGAGCATTCTGCCCATCATCGACAAGCAATTGACCGGTTACGAGGACGATGAGGGAAGCGACGGAGAGGGAGGAGGGCTGGGCGTCGATGGTGACGACCTTGTGCTGGACCTTGGCAAAGGGAAGACCCTATGAGTGGCAAAGTTGAGAGTCGGACAAGACAGGCGATGCACGCAGAGAAGATGAATTGGTTAGCCATCTGGTATATGCGTGCCGATATCGAGTGAGCTACGTACGACAAGCTTCTCGACGATAGCAGCGGAACCCTGGATTTGGGTAGACTCCCAGGTCATCATAGAGTTGTCCCTCTGTAGCCGCATGGTTAGCAAGCGGTCCCGGAAGCACGTTGTGACGACATACGTAGAGGGAGGCAAGGCCATTGCGGTCCGAGTCGAACTGCTGGTAGTAGAACTCTGGGGGGGGTGAGCGGGGTTGGTGGGATGGCGGAGGACGTACGGGTGAACTGCTGGGCAATGGAGGTGGGGTCGGACATGGCTCGTGGTGTGCTGTAATCGTAGTCGAGGGATCAACAACAACTTGAACCATGTCAGTGGAGAGCCCGCTCGGCGTTTACCGCCTCGCGTGGGATTTGGTCCCGCCCGATTCAGTCGCAGTTGCCGTAACGAGAAGTAACGAGCAAGCTGCGAACAAGTAACGAGTTTACCAAATAATCCTTTCTTCTCTTCCTTGCCTGTCCCTAGTACCCGCCTTATACTCCAACTACTACACTCATTCATAAAAACCAAGATGCTCGCGTCCCTCGCAATCGCATCCCTCTTGTCGGCCGCCGCAGCCAACGCAGTCCCCTGTGTCCAGTTCGACGCGTCCTGGAATTTGTACGCCTTTGGCGGAGACTCGGACGTCAGAATCGGAGACAACACCACCTGGAGCTGTGAGTAGATGTGTGGTAGCCCCATATACCCCACATACGCTCTGGGCGCGATGGATTCTGTGCTGACGCTAAGCCGCGTAGCCCCTAGCACGACCACTTTGACTACCTCTGGTCGACCGTAAGTCACGACCCACCTTTGTTCTGGACACAAGCTGACCTTTCGACCAGGCCATGGACAGGCAACAACACCCAGTGTATCCTCTCGCAGACCAACAATGCCATGGTCGTGCTCGGCGCCGACAGCAGTGATTTGAGCGTAAGTGGCTCAAGCTTCTGGTGGCGTCCCTGATTTATGCTGATGCTGTGCTATTTCAGTCTGTTTATATTTACGACTTTTCTGGCGACTCGTGGTCGACACAAACCACCTCGAGCGCCCCGTCAGACCTCGGCAACTCCAGGTCGTCCTCCGTGTATGACCACGACACCAGCGTCATCTTCACCTTGACCACCGGGTCCGGCCTCTACCAGCTCGATTTGAGCAGCGTCACCACCTCCGCGTCCAGCGATGCCGTCGCATGGGAAGCCGTCGAGGACTCTAGCTTCAGCGTTGACGGCTATACCGTCACGGCTGCCACCGCTGCCAACCACATCTTCTACTTTGGCGTTCCCGACACGGCTGCTGGCTCAGCCAACGTCTTTGTCGTCCACTATGCGTACTTCCAGCCGGACGCCCAGGCGTTCAGCGGTACCGCGTTCCCCGATACTGCTGGTCAGGCCATCTCCATCCCTAGCTCCTCCAACGATGTCCCTTACTCTATGGTGTTCATCCCCAACGATTTCTCCAACACCTACATTGCCACGCACTGGACCAACCTCGGCGACTACTCGTCTATGGATGACGTCCCCTTCTCCACCGACTTGATCAATTCTACCCAGACCCTTGCTGCTCCTACCTCCCAGGACGAGACTGCCTCGTACGCTGCCTCCCCCGGCGCCATCGTGCAGATCAACGCTGCCGGCGAGATCTACTACCTCTCCAACCCCATCAGCAGCGACTACACCGTCTCTTCCAGTGCGTCTTGGTCCAGGCTCGACTACACGCTCTCTGGTACTGGCGGTACCGTCTCGAGCAGCAGCAACTCTTCTTCTTCCGCTTCTGCTTCCAGCTCTGCTACTGGATCTGCTGCTTCCGGCTCTTCGAGCGCGAGCGCTTCCGCCAGCAGCAGCTCCAGCTCCAGCTCTGGTGCTCTCCAGGGTATTGTGTCAGGGAACCTTGCCAGCTTGGCTTTGGGCGCTGTCGCCCTCGGTGCTGGCTTGTTCATGTAATGTGCCACTCTAATACGTGTAACGAGCAAACAGTCTCATCTCCTATTTATGACCTACCATTTGTACACACGCATTCATGGCTCTTTCGCCTCTTCGAGGCTACCATCTTTCCATAGTCTATCACCCTTCTCTCCTGCATCGGCATGATTTACTCGTAATGTTCCATGCATACCACCTTCCTCCCGATCATACAAACATGTCAAAATCGCATACAGAATAAACTAAACGATATCACTTTACAAGACGATCATACCAAGCTATCCTTGATCCGCGAGATCTCACGCATTACCTGGAAAAAGCAACAATCAGTACCTATTCCTAGCTTATCGACCCTATGCTACAACACATTCACCAGGACATACATCAAACCAGCTTCCCTCCTGCAGATATCCCTTATCCTTTCTCAGCGCGCCTCCCTTCCTCTCTACCTCGATGGTATACACTGCCTCCCCGCTCTTGGGAACGGGGTAGAACCATTTAAGCGTCTGGCCTTCAATCTCTGTCCGGCCGTGAGAGACCTTGATGTCGATCTGGAGCGCCAAGGGGGCAGTCGCAGGTGATACAGACCGGACAGAGATGGACGAGGGATCGAGGTTCTTTACCGTACGCTCGTCTTCGATAAGGTCGGCTTTGAAGGTGTTGCGAGAAGTGAGCGTGCTCGCGGTACTGTCCAAGCTCGACGTCTGCACGTTGTTTACACCCTTACCGACGCTGTCCAGATTGGCAGCGTAATGGATAAAGGGGATGTAGAGCTCGGTGTATATTTGGTCATTGGCCAGATCGTCTGCCCGGACTCGGACAGAGTATGTGAATTTGGTCGAGGCAATGTCGAATTCGATCCTCTCTGGCGTACCGACAGATGCTACAGGGAAAGGCCTGCAGAAAGCGGCAGAGGCTCTGGCACCACTCAGGATGAGAGAAGGCGGAATGTCGCCGGTCTGGAGGTTGACTCGAGAAGCGAGTGATTCGTTGTCGCTCGAAGAGACAGCTAATGTAGCTGAGGAAGCTGTAAAGTCAGAAGACCCTTGAGTGGGAAGGGGTGTCCCAGGACGAGGCGAGTCTTGATAGCCTCGCTTCTCTACATTATCTGGGCTCCAAAGCGAGAGGTCTTCTCCGTTCCTGTACCATGATCAGCGTCACTCCACCTAAGGAGGATGGTAACGTACCAGTTGTCGCCCCACTCGTGCACATTGTCTGGGACATAGTTCCAAATGGTATAATTAAAGTTGTTGGGACCATCGCAAGCGTTCATGGAACAGTCCATGGCCTTTTGCTGGCTCGAAAAGTCGCCTTCGCCTCGACCACCATTCACATATCCGTACACCTGCTTGTCATCCTGTTCCCCATGTCAGCCCCGGGCTTGGCCATAACCATACGTGACCGACTCACCATGTCATACGGGATGCCAATCTCACCGATCAGAGTAGGATACTTTCCCAGCACCTCCACAGTATCTTCCTTCAAGACCGACAGCTCGCCCTGCATCATCTTTCTGATGTTTGCCTCGCCCACTCGCACAGCTTGGGCAACGGTCCAATACTTTTTCCTGATGACCCCGATAGTATCGGCATTGAACCAATTCCAGTGTTTCGTCATGAGCGTCAACCCATCATAGAAATGCGGCGACGAGCATGCCCGGCCTCCGAGGAAAGAGGCGGGCAGCTTTGGGGGCTGCTTCATGACGGGCGCTTGGATAAAGTGGATCGCCTCCGGGTGGTGGATCCGTACGCGAGAAGAGTAGGCGAGCCAGTGAAGGGACCAAAAGTCGGCTACGAAATCGACATGGTGGGAAGGATCGGAGGGGAGAGTTTTAAAGTAGTCGGGTCGGAGGAGGGTGTTTGTCGCTGGGTCCCAGACGCCGTGCTGTGCCCAGACTAGACAATGTCAGCCGGGATCCGAGGACGAGTCATCCTGACTTACTACAAGTGCCCATCTCCCACTCTTCACCTCTGGTCCACCCCCACTTTCCGCCACCCCTCGTCTTTTCATCTTCCTTGCTGAGCCACAGCTTCTTTCCCTTGGGGTCTATTTGCTCCTTCTTACCCCTGTAGGGTCCGATTGGGCCAAAGTTCCAAGTCTGCACATCAAGAGCCTGACCCATACCCAGCTGCATTCCCTCGATAGGAGTCGGTGTGGGACCCTTTTTGAGCTGCTGGTCCGAGGGAATGACTGCGAGATTTTCATAGGCAATGAGGCCGTCTCCAGGCTCATTCATAGTATCCCACCCGATGATGCATCGGTCGTACAGCTCGGGGGCGTTATCGGCAATGCGCTTGGCAAGCTCGCCTACAGCATCGATGTAATGGTCTTGCAGATAATCCTGGATATTCTTCCCATCGATGATGCACTTGGGCGCAAACGTCTTGCCCGCAAAGAACAGTGTCCAAATAGTCTGGTTTGCCAGGTGGGTATAGTTGGTGCCCCAGATCATGGCGGGGAATTCTTCAGGTTTAGGCGCCTCGGGGCTCGGCCATTCACTATGCAGATAAGCGGCAGCGGTGGCCGTCTGATTGCGTGGGTCGATTCCACAAGCGTATACCGTCCATAAAGGAGCTCCCGATCCACCATTGAATCGCGACCACTAGCCAAGTCAGCACGCACCTCGGAGGTTATAGGCGCACGTACGACGTCCTGATGAGGGTCCATAAACACCCTGAACCCCCACTCTTGGCATCTGCGCAAGACGGCAATGATATAGTCCATGTACGCATGGTCGTACTTTTTGGGTCCCTCGTGTTCGAGACTCTCCCACGTAAAGACGTAGCGCAGCATGTTGTAGCCCCATGCTCTGAGCCTCGCGAGATGGACCTCTGCGCTGCCATCGTCTAGGTTGAGCGGCCTGTTGATAAAGTCGCCCTCTCCCGCCTCGGCGGTCTCCCAGAAGCCTTCGAGCTTGTGGCTGGGCTGACCATTGGGGTGCTTGACGGAGCCTGAGAGGTTGACGCCGCGCAGCAAGAGAGATCGGCCGTGGGTGTCCTGGAAGTGGAGGGTGTTTGAGTGGATGTAGTAGGGGGGCACGGGATTGCCTGTGACTGGGGAGAGGGCTGGAGGGGGCATGGCAGATTGTGGAGATGCAGTTGAGAAAGAGTGAGCCCACTTTCTCGACTCTCCCGGTCGTCATGCCACTGCGGCCACCTCCGATCGCAACTCGGCGGCCGGTGGGGCTGATAGGCGGCGATGACCGACGGCTTTGGACATACATTTCCACGGTCGTCCACCGAGTTCTGTGCGCGACGTGGAGGCTGATCTGATTCTGTATCACTTCTAATACGTCCATCTCTTCTCTCCCGCTCTCACGTAAACACTCGCAGGCTCGAGTCATCGCCTGTCCACAGACTGTATAGACGGATCGCTACCTCCACAAACACAGCACCGGAGCCTAGATAGGCCGAACATCGCCATCACCATGCTCGCCAACGCGTGGACTTTTACGCCCGAGGACGCTCTCGCGCACTACGGCACAAACCCAGAGACCGGTCTCACTGAAGAACAGGTCAAGAGAAATAGAGAGGCGTACGGAGAGAATGGTGAGCTGCAATCACATCTTGCTTCTTGCCGCCATGCTGACCGCGTGATCGTAGTCCTTCCGGAATCAGCCCCCACGAGTCTTTTCAAGCTGATCCTCGCACAATTCCAAGATCAGCTTGTTTTGATCTTGCTGGGTTCTGCTGTCGTGTCTTTCATCTTGGCGCTCTTTGAGGACGCCGTTGAACCGGGAGGGTCATGGTTGACTGCCTTTGTGGAACCCGCCGTCATTCTCCTCATTCTGATAGCGAACGCGACAGTTGGAGTTGTCCAGGAAACAAACGCTGAAAAAGCCATCGATGTGAGTATGCCTCGATCTTACGCAAACGTGCGGCTGATGGCGTTCCAGGCCCTGAAAGAATACTCCCCTGACGAAGCCCTTGTCCTCCGTGACGGTCGCCCCGCTCGTGTTTCTGCCTCCCAGCTCGTCCCCGGTGATATCGTCTCTGTCCACGTCGGTGACCGCATTCCTGCCGACTGCCGAATCTTGTCCTTTTCTTCCTCCTCTTTCCGAGTCGACCAGGCCATGCTCACTGGCGAGTCCATGTCTGTTGGCAAGATCGACGGCACCATCAAGGACGCGGCGGCTGTCAAGCAAGACATGCTCAACATTCTCTTCTCTGGTACTACCGTGGTCAACGGCGCTGCCAAGGCTATCGTTGTTCTTACCGGAAGCGAGACCGCCATCGGCGCTATCCACTCCAGTATCTCCAAGGATGATGAAGAGGAAGAGAAGACTCCCTTGAAGAGGAAGCTTGACGACTTTGGAGACCAGCTCGCCAAGGTCATCTCTGTCATCTGTATCCTTGTCTGGCTCGTCAACATCCGTCACTTTAATGACCCCAGCCACCACGGTTGGTTGAAGGGCGCCATCTATTATCTCAAGATCGCTGTCGCTTTGGCCGTCGCTGCCATCCCTGAAGGTCTCGCTGCAGTCATCACCGCTTGTCTCGCTTTGGGTACCAAGAAGATGGCCAAGCGTGGTGCCATCGTGCGAAACTTGCCCAGTGTCGAGACTCTCGGTTGCACCAATGTTATCTGCTCGGACAAGACTGGTACCCTCACCACCAACCAAATGAGTGTCTCACGCTTTGTCGTTTCTGGCGAAGCTGGCTTGAACGAGTACGTGGTTGATGGCACTACCTTTGCCCCCCACGGTGTCGTCACTGGCGCCAACGGTAGCACCATCAGCAAGGATGTCTTGATCAGCGCCAACGTGAGGAAGCTCGCCGAGGTCTGTGCCATCTGCAACGATGCCAAGGTCACCTATCACCATGTAAGCACACTCTATGACATTAAGAGCTATACTGATTCTTCTGCAGGAGAGCCAGTCTTACAGCAACGTCGGCGAGCCTACCGAGGCCGCCCTCAAGGTCCTCGTCGAGAAGCTCGGCTCCGACAACGATGCCTTCAACCTCTCCCTCGCCACTCTCGACCCCCTTTCCAGAGCTTCCGCCGTCAACGACTACTACGAGTCCAGCCTCAAGCGTCTTCTCACTTTCGAGTTTACACGAGACCGAAAGTCCATGTCTGTCCTTGCTTCCTCTCCCGCTGGTACTTCTCTCTTGGTCAAAGGTGCTCCCGAGTCTGTCATTGAGCGATGCTCCAAGATTCTGCTCCCCACTGGTGTCCAGACCCTCACCCCCGAGCTCAAGCAGGAGCTCGCCCAGAAGCAGCTCGACTACGGCTACAAGGGCCTCCGAACCCTCGCCTTGGCCTACGTCGAAGAGTCTGACAATGACGTCTCGCACTACAAGTCCAACAGCGCCGACGACTACATCAAGTTTGAGCAGGACATGACTTTTGTCGGTCTTGTTGGTATGCTTGACCCTCCCAGGCCCGAGGTGCGCGGCGCTATCGCTAAGTGCAAGACTGCTGGTATCAGGACTATCGTTATCACTGGTGACAACAAGAACACTGCCGAGACCATCTGCCGAGAAATCGGCGTGTTTGGCAATGACGAGGACCTCACTGGCAAGAGTTACACTGGAAGGGAGCTTGATGCTTTGAGCCACGAGGAGAAGGTCGCCGCTGTCCAGCGTGCTAGCCTCTTTTCCCGTACCGAGCCCAGCCACAAGTCTCAGCTGGTCGACCTCCTCCAGGGTCTTGGTCTCGTGGTTGCCATGACTGGTGACGGTGTCAACGATGCTCCTGCTTTGAAGAAGGCCGACATTGGTATCGCCATGGGTACTGGTACCGACGTTGCCAAGCTTGCTGCCGACATGGTGCTCGCCAATGACAACTTTGCTACCATCGAGAAGGCCGTCGAGGAAGGCCGAGCGATCTACAACAACACCAAGCAGTTCATCCGATACCTCATTTCCTCCAACATTGGCGAGGTCGTCTCCATCTTCTTGACTGTCCTTCTCGGTATGCCCGAGGCTTTGATCCCTGTCCAGCTTCTCTGGGTCAACCTCATTACCGATGGTCTTCCCGCCACTGCTCTTGGATTCAACCCTCCTGATCACCAGATCATGAAGACTGCTCCCAGGTCTGGCCGAGAGCCTTTGGTCGGTGGCTGGTTGTTCTTCAGGTACATGATTATTGGTATCTATGTCGGTTGCGCCACTGTGTTTGGTTATGCTTGGTGGTTCATGTTCTACACTGGCGGTCCCCAGATCTCTTTCCACGAGCTTGTGAGTCTTTGTCGTCTCGTTCGATACTTGATGCTAATCCACTGTAGACCCACTTCCATCAGTGCTCCTCCATCTTCTCCCACCTCGACTGCTCCATGTTCAACGGCCTCCCCGCCCAGCGTGCCACCACCGTCTCGCTCTCCATCCTCGTCGTCATTGAAATGTTCAACGCTTGCAACTCTCTTTCCGAGAACGAGTCCCTCTTCGTGCTCCCCATCTGGGCCAACCCCTACCTGGTGGGAAGTATCGTGCTTTCCATGGCTTTGCACTTTATGATCCTCTACGTGCCCTTCTTCAGGGACATGTTCAAGATCACTGCGCTCAACAGGGAGGAATGGATTGCAGTCGTTGTGATCTCTTTCCCTGTCATCGTGATTGACGAGGTGTTGAAGTTTATCTCGATGAGGCTCGCCAAGAGCGAGCAGCGCGCGTTGAAGGAGAAGAAGGAATAGACGCAAAAGGTCGTTTGTTTTCTTTGTGAATTGTTGTCATCTTGGCATCATGGTGTAACTGAAAGAGTGTAGTAGTCTTTTCCATCACAAAATAGAAAATGGTATATGCATTATACTGCATTATACGTCGTCATCGATTACGGCTTCTGGCCTGCAGAGTCAATACACATCAGAGTATGACACACTTCTTTCCTCCTCTTTTCGCTCTCAACTCGCGCTGCTTTGGTCTTGTATTACGCCTCATGACTCGGACTATCTCTTCAAATACTGGGGCGATGTTGCTAGAAGTACGCTATGGACTTCTGTCAGCTATATGACAACTCGAGATGGATGGAACCCACTGCAGAAGCTTCAAAGTATTTACAGTCCCATGATTCTGCCAGTTTCTCTCCTTCTGCTGTTGACACTTGTCGCTCGTCCTCCAGATCGCATTTATCTACCAAGGATGGTTAGTGGCGTCTTGACCGATCCAGCTGTAGACCACTCACTTCCGACAATGACCATGGATACTTTGGTCCCCGTTTCTGAAGGTAATTTGATGCGGGAGATACTTTCTCGAGTACGTATGACTTCTTCAAATGTATCGCGTTGGGTTATTCTACCCACTTTCAGTGGGAAGGTCTGGGCCAAGGACCTAGGCAGCTCACGAAAAGACGAGGACGAAACCTTCTGATTCACGGATGAAAAGATCATTAAGCGTCAAGTATTGGTCGATGCCGGCTATACACCATCCTGAATGAGTCTTGGGCATCGAAAAGGGTGGGGACGCTTACCTGTATCCAGGATCTCTAGCAGGCAAGGCTGGTTGTCGACTGTAAATTGCTTTCTGTCTGCGGTCCCTTCAGCTGGCACTCGGAGGGAAAATCTCGGGAGACCGCGTACACGAGTCTTCGACTGATCGTGGTCATTGATGAGCGTCTTGTCGCTGTACGGTATCATAGAGTGCTCACTGGTAGGGTCATACCACTCTAGATACGAGCCATTGATAAACCGGACTGTACCTAAAGCGACTGGATCAGCGATACCGACCTTGCCCGTGGTTCTGGTGCTCACAAGCGCTCTTTCCTACTCCCTGTGGATACATTCAGTGTGGCCCTTCTATGGCTTTCAATCATGCTTTACTCACTCCCGAGCCCATGACAGCGCACTACAATCACTCATATCAGCTCGTGGTCATGCCTTGAGCAAAGAGCCCACCTGAAAGATTCTCATGATGTATATGTGGCGTGATTGGTATGCCTGTGGATGCCAGGTGATAGTGGTGCGGGCGATGATATGACTGTTGTCAAGATGTGTCAACAAGAGAGGTCTCTGTAAATTGCGGAATTTGAGCGTGGAAGGACTGTTTGTTGTCTGATGGTGATATCATAAGTCAAACTTTTACTGGGCCCGTGCGGGCTAATAGCTGCTGATTGTTGTCGTGCAGACAGTCCGTGCGCACTGCGACCATCTGCCCTTCCCTGCAGCGGCGAGGGCCGCTGTGCTGTAAGACTGCTACCCGCTGTGTCAGGAGCAGGCCAGGAGTGTCCCGGTGCATTTGAGACGACCTTCGAGACATGCCCCATGAAAGAAACAAGCTGAGAGAAGAAGGGAATTCACCGCGACGTCGTTTGGGTGCCCGTCGGCCGTCCCCGAAAGCTTGTCCTGTTCCACAAAATATTAGATGTCCTCGCTCTTCTGCATCTTTGCAAAGTAATGAGCGCATCAGGTGCACAATTGGATGGCTCTTTCTCAAAAGCCAGTGGCTCGCCACTTCCATCCCACGGCATGAACGAAGCTCTTCGGACCCCGGTACACGAGGCCACCGTCTGGCAGCCATCATCAGCGATGTCCTCGTTCTCGTCAGTCCTCATTTTCCTGCGTGAGCAAGCGCTCACGATTGAATGTAAGAGCCACAAAAGCCGTCGAAGCCTTGATCGAGTCGGTTCTGAGTCAGAAGAACAGCCGCAAAAGAAAGAGGCCGACTAGATCAGTCACAGAAGAACTTGAGGACATCTTGCCGTCATTGCCTATCCTAACCCCAACCCCCTTTAGATGGCATAGGTTTGACTACAGTCCATCGCCTTCACCGTTGCCTTCTCCGTCTACGGCTTCAGACGAGAGCTCGTACGAAAAGGAGACCTGCAAGAAGAGTGACGCTCTGCTCCTGCCAGTCAAGGCGTCGACTTTCAATCGAGCCCTCAGAATAATGAGCGGGCTACCTGTAGCTTCAAGAGCTGCTCGGCAGGCCGAGAGAAGGGAGAAGCCAAAGGAACGGCCTCCGGTATGGGCTGAGGTATGTGCTCACGCCAAACAGGACCGAAATGCTGATCGTTTGACTTCAGAGTCGACAAGAGCTCTGCGAAGCTCTTCCATATTACCGTTCCTTCCAGTCAGGCTTGTATATGCACTCTAAGGTCACCTTTGGGTACCTTCTTGAAGCTTTTCCCGCCCCGTTAGTCCTCTACATCATGGGGGATAATGACTTGCTGACTCTTGGACTTAGTCGAGACGCCTGGGCAAGTAATGGACGAGTCATCATCTCGCATGGGTGAGCAATCTGATAATCATCGAAGGTGATCTGACTCTAGCAGAGGAGGCCAGTGCATATGTCCCAAGCTCCCAAATGGCAAGCAAGGCCCCCCAGTCCTCCAAGCGGACCAATCCCGTTCCGATGCTCGCGTAGACGCTCTCCTCACCGCCGCAGAGAGACGGACGCCCATCGTTCTGATAGCTGGAGAAGGGTACAAGGAGCTGCCCTGGAAGCTTGATTGCGCGTATGTGGTGCTGGGGTGGTATTGGATATCATACACGTGGGTGGAGGCTGAGCCTGCGTATAAGGGTACCAAGCCTCCATCAGGAAGAGACTATTTCCATCGGATCAAGATCCGATTCGACTGGGTTGAGAGTCAAGGAGATCCGTGGTGGGACTCGGAGATACCCGTTTCTCCTCTACCTGTGAATCAACTGTCTTCGACACCCCGGCGACCTTGCGGCATCTCGTCAAGCTCAGAAGCGGCCGAGATGATATTGTCTTTTGAACAACCGTCACCGAAGACATCTACCCATAATTTCGAGTCGTATACGGAGAGCACGCCCTCATGGCCGGGTGCGTCCGAGCTTCCAATATCAAGCCCAGACCTGCAAGGCGAGGACCATGTACCTTCTGCGCAAGTCAACATCATCCATGAACCCACTTTCCTGACTCAACCTTAGAACAACCTTCGATGGCTTTACCTGCCCCACTTGCGACTCGCAAAGCCCCAGAATCTACATCGAAGGTCCCATCTGCGTTCATCCCTCATGCCCCGCCTTCTTCCTCCTTCTCACCCCTCTAGGGCTCCTCCCCATTCCGCCGACTTTCACGCTCACCCTCTGTCCTTCCTTTCTACTACCGCATAAAACGCCTGAAGGAGTGAATAGACTGCCGTATGAGGTAGTCCCACCAGGGCCGGTAGAAGATTGGCCAGAAGCTGATGAAGGTGGGCTGGGAGGGGCGGGGGAGAAGACGCTTTGGAGAGGGTGGGTTTGTTCGGAGTGTGGAAGAGCGAATTGCCGCTATCGGTGGGAAGTCTGGGTGAGTTTTCTTCCCGGCCAGATGACCTTTGCTGATTCGGTGTAGGAATGTCAAGCATGTGGTAATAGTACGGCACAACTGAATGCTAGTCATCAAGTACCATTGTGTCGTCTCACGGATCTTAGAGATACCTTCTTGGGAGATGGAGTGATAAGGCACTCAACAGGGGTTAGTGCGAGCTTGACGGTTTCGAGAGAGCTGGGGGCTGTAGTCGCCATCTATGAGCTTCCCGAAGCGTGAGCAATATTCGCAAACAGTGTGAGGAGATGGCTAACGTATCGTCAGCGGCAAGGTCTATCATATCATGCCATTCGACAAACAGTATGCTACGGAACTCTTCTATGAGTATCAGCGAGAAGCTACCTCAAAATCTTGGTTTCAGCGGCGGTCTTTGAAATCAGTAAATGGCCGATGATGGTTTCGATACGTGAGCTGACGATATGTATCTCAGACTACCGGTAAGATTCTAACACGCCGTTGAGGATTAGTAGTATATTCATAGCCCTCGTCATAGTGAAGGGCTCTCTCCTAGCTCAGCACTTCGCGTTCAACAGCGGCGTACCCTACAAGTATATAGTAGACACTCTGTCTACTCCGTTTGACGAGTCTCCTGCCTGTGTTACCAAAGCTGTGGATCGGTGAGTTCTGTTGTGCGACGTGCGATTCGACTTGTAGCTTATATGCCGAGCAGCATAACATCCTCAGTGGCTACGGTCTGGGGCGAGGAGTATCAGTTCAACGAGATCCTGTCTGTGTGTTATCGAGAGGGACAGAAGATGGGGTATCATGATGACGGAGAGCCCGGTATGCGTTGTCCTTACCATCCTGGGCTGTGGAACTGATGTCGTGACCAGGTTTAGGACCGGTTGTAGCCTCACTCAGTCTGGGCAGCTCGGCAATGTTGTCATTCCGTCCCAAGCCTGGGGAGAAACAGCGCGGAAATCCCGATGTAGCTTTGAACATCACTCTTTCTCATGGCGTAAGTGTCTACTCTATTTTGGGTCTGGAGAGGATACTGAGCGATGCCTGTAGGATTTCATGATCATGGATGGACACGAGATCCAGCGCAAATACCATCACCGAGTCGTTCCCCAAGGTTTCCGCATCGCTGCCACCGCCCGCCGGATATCTCCTGCCAAGCCGGATGTCCAAGTCAAAGCGGGTGTCGAGGCCGAGGACACTGGAGAGGTCAAATACGATGATGTTGTAGAGTCTTGTCTGGGGCCAGATCTGTCACGCTTGGGTACGGCACAGCCTGTCTTGGACCCACCAAGGTATTCATCGAGGGAGTTGCCGCAGCTGCCGCCTTTACATTCAATCTTTGATCACACTTTACTCCCTCGTCGGACCCCTATACAGCACCCTTATCCCGTACCCGAACCCATGGTGAACTGTTAATGAGATAGAAACAAGAAGGAGATTACAGTGTGGGGGGTTAGGGGGGGTTTACGGAGGTAGCGGCAATTGCAGCCATGCATGTCGCATTGCAGCGACAACGTCATACCAGACTTTGCTAGTAGGCAGCTGGCCCAGCTGGCAGACCATGCATCAGAATCATCCCCATCTCTCACACCCACTGTACATGTCCATCGCCATCGGTGGTTCAAAGTGGCGGCCCGGTTTGCGAGACATGTATAGCGATGACAGCAGCTCGCCTGATCGCTGACGTTGGTTCATTGCTGATAACGCAGAGAATACAAGAACCAAAGAATTATCCAGGTACGGAGTCTCCAAGATTCTCCCCGCGATTCAGGGGCCGCTGGTGACAACGCTAATCATAATAATGACCCGCACTCTTGGCCACTTGCGACGAGGATGCTGGTCATGGTACGTAAAAGATTCCAGCGCGGCCCTCGAGTGCGACGCTATCGCATAAACGGGCGGCATGCAACATACCTGATAATAGGCCTGACAGACGGTGGACAACAGCACCCTTGGCGACCGTCAAACCTCGTCGCTGTAGCGCCTCTCGTTGGTCTGAACTCGAGTGCCAACACAGGTATCAGGTATACGTATGTAGCAGGCCTATCAGGATAATGACAATGTGCACCCACACAAGTAGCAGATCCTTTCCGAACGCTTCCGTTCCGCAACACATGCGGATTGATTGTTGACAGCTGCGATCAGATCCTGGGAAAACGGAGTGCTCGACACCCCCTGGGTCTTTCTGGATGCTGCGGCGGGGTACAAACAAGAAACAACAATACATACGCTGTACCTCTGCTCACCAGACCTGATCCTTGGGTGGTGATCGACGGCGAGTAGCGCAGGGAGTCAGGACGGCTGCGCGTGACTTTGGTTCAGAGTTAGCGGTAATGGGGTGTCCGAACTGGTCCTGTTTTACGTTCACATCTCTTACGTACACTCCCATACCGTATCCATTCTGTCATCTTCGTGCGAGTCCCTCCGCCCCTCCCATCCCCATCCTCATCCTCCTTTCCATCCCCATTACACCTGTACCCAACACCCCCCCGCCCAGCCGCTGTAAGCTATCCTCAACACCCTAGCGGGCCCATGACTCCGTACTCCATTCTTTCCTTCCTATAATCACCCTCGGGTGACTCGCAGTCTTATCTCCCTCCACACATCGAGTACCATGTCGTCTATGGTCATGCCCTACCCACAACAGCCTCCCTACCCCCTCTCTCGTCCCTCCACTCCCCGGCCGTCCGCGCCCCTCTCGGCGCCCCCGACGCCCATAACTCCGACTCACTTGCTCCCTGCTGCTATGGAGCGAGCGAGGAGTACCGAGAGTGTTGTCTCTGGCGCCAATCAGGCCCAAAGCGATACTCAAGAAAGCAAACAGCCACGGGAGCCGAAAGCTACTCGGCTAAAATACGAATGGGAGCACCTCGAGAGCTCTACCTCGACTCCCTCCGATACTCAAGGTGATGGTGATAAGAAGGACTCGGATCGGATGGATGTGGACGAAGATGTAGCTGGACCTTCTGGCTACCTGGGCGCCGATCTTGGAGAGCCCGTGAGCACTTACAAAGAGGAACAAGCGCAGAGGGAAGAGGCAATTGCGTCTATGGACTCGCCAGCTGTAGAGAAGGAAGCAGAGCTGCACCCTTTGGTATGGGGCATGCCAAAATGGGGCAGGGAGCCTGAGCGGAAAGAAGTCGCCCGAGGCGTCAGGCTTCTGGGTGTGGAAGAAGTAGGTGCCGGCATAATTACCCGCGTTCAAATAAGCTGACATTTGACAGCTGCCTCGGTTGATGGAGGCTCATTCGTTGATTGATACGCCTAGCTCAATCATGTTTCCTTGGCTGCATGGTATCAGTGACGACGGACAGAAGGGTCGGGATATGGCCAACTTCTTTGGGTAAGAGCCATCGTCCGTATGAGTCATCATCTCACACTACACTCCAGCCATTCTCCGCCGTTTGAGCCACCTCCTTACCGTGGACTGAGTGTCATGTTCTGCCCGCCTCACCATCTCGACCATCAAGTGAAACTCATGCCGAACAGCACTTCCCGCGACCACACCGCGCCTTACGAGATCCCCCATCATAAAGGTTCAGAGACCGATTTATCTTCTTCGTCGTCTTACTACTCTACCGGGACCACCATAGCCACTTCCGCTCCGAGCCTGGGCAACTCTCTGCCTTCACCAATGAAGTCGCCCCTCAAATCGCTTCCCGAAGTCGAAGACAGCCAGGACGAAAAGAACACTGGTGAGAGTGACGTGACCGTCGACGTCGCCATGCACCCCTGCAACACGAAACGTCTCTCTCCGATGGCAGTCTCTAAGGGCTTCGACGAGGAGCACCATCCTCTTCCTTGTGAGAGCACAGATGCTGCGGCAGCAGAGCAAGACGTGCCTTCTTCCGCCGCGTCCGACGCGAGCTCGGAAATGCTGTTGACCCTCGAAGATCGCCCCTCGTGCATCTTGTTCAACGCTCTTCATGTCCATGACGTGTTTGAGCTGCGCAGGCATCATGATCACCCTAACAAGAAGCCGCGATTCAGACCAGCGAGGTTGCCGGAACAGATCAATTTGAGGAATCTCAATATACAGCAGATCAAGTATTCGTCAGTGTCTGATATCGTGCTGTATTGCAAATCTGGTCTGGGACCTGGTGTGCTCCAGACCGCCGAGGAGTGAGTATGGTAGGGGTGTATTTGAGAGAAGCTAACATTTCGGCAGGATCGCGCAAGCGCAAGAAGATCTGTATCAGCAAAGGTCGGAAGAATTCTACTCGCATGTCAAAGACTCTCGAAACCCTGGCGAAGGTAGTAGCGAGCCTATACGTTACGGTGTTTGGGTCGTAGTCGGTATGTCATCAGGCTCCACGATCGTACAGGTGCTGACAAATCAATCAGAACCATTCCACAAGTTGGAAAAGAAGTGCCCCGAACTCGTCTTGATTGACTCTCAGGGCCGACAGGCTGTTTCTCATCTCCAAACTGATCTCTTTGATCGAGAAGCCAAGGAAAGCAGGGCGATGACGAGAGGCTCCGAGGTCGTTGAAGGCTTCTGGGTGGGCAATGATTGTGACATGCCAGGCCACACGCCTGACGGTGTCGGCGCTTCCGTCCGTTTCGACCTTTGCCTTAAAGCTTCGGAATGTGCCGAGATGCCTTCTGCATCGACCCTTTCGATGGTACAGCGCAAACTCCTCGAGCTCGACCAACACAGAGGACCCACCGAAGAAGCCACTCAAGCACAGACGACTTTCAATTGGACAGCCTCGCCGGCCACGCTAGCTTTGCGGAACTTGTTGACGGCAGGTCCAGCGAGCAACGAGGTTCCCGCCAAAAGGACGGCCTCGCCCTCAGCTGAAGATCGTAGTTCCAAAGCTCGAGCGCTTCCTATGGAGTACCAGTTTGTCGGTTTGGAGTGCTCGGGCAGCTGTCGTACCATCACCGGTCAGACGCGCAATCTCAACACCATGACAGACCGTGTCGTTGAGCTCGTCTACTTTTTGCGCAAGATCATCGAAGGAAGGGATAATGGCAAGAAACGCAAGGTGCTTGTGCACTGCCAAGATGGGTATACAGAGTCGAGCATCGTCGTTCTGTCTTACATCATGTCGAGCTTGTCCATCTCACTTCCCGAGGCGTTTTTGCATCTGCAGATAACTGGCAACAGGTCCTTTTTCGTCTATCCCGCCGACAAGCCTCTTTTGCGAAAGATTGACGCTCGCTTGGCAAACGACAGGAAAGCCAAGGCTGTCAAGTTCTTGAGTGCTACCAGTATCTCTTCCAGCAGCGTACGCGAAGCTGAAGAACGGCACCCTAGCTCGAGTCCCCGCTGGCGCTCTTGGGGTATGACCTTTGGCAACAAGAAAGAGCCTGCGAACGGTAAAATCGCGTCTATCAAGGAGAAAGACGGAGGCGGGGCAAAGTTGACGGTAGATGCGGCGAAAGAGATGTTGGCAGAGTATGAGGAGGGAGGGAGCTTGGCAGCGAGGCAGGCGAGGGTATGGTTCGATGATAGGAGGTTTGATGGGTTCCCGTCGAGGATTCTGCCTTTCCTATATCTCGGTAATCTGTAAGTACAGTTTGCTGAGAATGACGCATCGTGACTAAAGCTGTACCAGGGAACATGCTGGGAACGCCGATATGCTCGTATCTTTGGGCATCGATCACGTAGTCAGCGTGGGCGAAAGTCTCTTGGGAGGTCCTCCAAACCCTCACGGTAGCTCGCCCGACAATACGCTCGCCTCGGCTGCCCGGGCGGGCAAGATCAAGGTGCTAGATTTGATGGATGTGCGAGATGACGGTAATGATCCTTTGCGTCCTGTCATTGCTCATGCTTGCGAGTGGATTGAAGCGGCGAGGCAGAGCGGTGGCAAGATCCTTGTGCATTGTGTGAGTCCAAAGTCACCGAGAAGTGTGGGCATCGCTAATGCGTTTGAAGCGCGTTGGTGTGAGCAGGAGCGCGAGCATCGTGATCGCCTATATGATGCAGCACGAAAAGTTGGGCCTCATGGACGCATACATGACCTGCCGAGCCCGAAGATTGAATGGTGAATTGACCGCCATCTCTAGCTTTTTGGCGCTGACCTCTTGCAGTCCTTATCCAACCCAATCTCCGATTCTTCCACGAACTCTTCGGGTGGGAAGTTGAGTTGGCCAAACGCGAGGCGGAAGCTGGCAAGAAGCGCCGTTACGAAGCGGAACAGAAGGGCGTGAGAGATCCCCATGCGCTCAAGTTGATTGAAGATGAACCTAGGAGGATTGTACATTCCTGGCCGAGCTTCTGTCGCGATTTGGTGAGCCGTTTGTCTAATGCGCGAACGCCCAGTTTGCTGATGGGATCAACAGTATTGCTTGAACAGGAGATTCCTGTGTAACTGAACGTCTTCATTTGTATGAGCGAGAGATCAACGCACGAAAATGTTTATCCACGAAATTCCACCCTCTCTTGTATACCCCTTATTTGATAGTCTGTTGTGTGGGATCGAAGTTTGTAGTTTGTGCTCTCTGATACTTTGTACTTTTTAGCGGGAGAGGGCCTTGTACTCTTAGCCGGGCAGTGGGAGTGTTGAATATATTGTTATGCAAGTTTCGGCTACTGAGTGGTTCCCGCATGCTCAGGTCACACAAGATCGTAGACGCGGTACATCTCGGGCGATCAAGATCGCTAATCTGTACGGCTCGTCGTGCTTTGTCCATCGCTTTTGGCCATGACTTCAAACCTGTCGCTGACATGGAAGACTCCGTTCCAAATCGTGCGAGGGAGGTATCATTATATGCTGGGTATGATATTGTACAATTCATGAAATCCTGACACCAGTCAGTATCTGGCTGGTCGCGTACATGAAAGATTGACTCACGTTTAATCAGAGTCTTCGTCCATCTGCTCAGCCTGGTCCTCGTTGTCGGGCTCATCGTCACCGTCCTCGTTTGGGACATCGCCGTATTCGACATCACCCCTGTCCTCCATACCCTCCTCCCCTTCCTGACCGACAGCGCCGTTCTCCATGTCACCCTCTTCTTCCTCTTCAAGACCTTCAACAGCTCCTTCCAATTCGGCCTGCTTTCGAGCCTCCTCCTCTTCTTCCCTCTTTTTTCTCCTCTCCTGCCTAGCCTCTAGTCTCCTCGCCTCTCGCTCAGCCTCTCGCCTCTCCCCTTCACTGATATCAATCTGGCCGACTTCGACACCGAGAGCATCGGTGAGACGCTCCAGCTGCGTGCGTTGTGGGGAGACGGGGAGGGAGTGGAGGAAGTTTTGCAGGTGGGAGTAGGTGTCTTTCGAGGAAAGTTTTGTGGGCTTGGTGATGGACTCTATCAGGAGGCGGGATTCAAGTTGGCGGTCCATTTTGGTGTGCTGGGTGCGGTTTGTGGTGCCGAATGTTCAACTTGGAGCGAGATCCAAAACTTGGGGCGGCGGTCACCGCACGTGCCTGGGTTCGGCGGAGGGCTCCGCGTGGTCTGTGCGGTGCTAATCCTTTGTTGACCTCCGATGCACACAGCGTGGGCCCATGTGTCCACTTTCCGACCCGCTACATACACTCCGACCCGATATGCTTTTTGCTTCTTGAGCCAAATCCTGGAAGCACTGTTTGCATATGCTGCCCTGCATCGCCTGCCTCTCCCACCCAGGGATCAGCGTCATCGGGCGATGCAAGTGCCCTGAAATTCTCATGTCGCCACGCGTCTCCCCCTGCTCTCCCTCGTATTTGGTTCGCCGACCATCAATTAAACAGTCGTGCCTGGTAGATGAGTAGGGGATCTTGAGACAGCTCCAGGCCGGCGCCAGAATGCTTCTCGTCACCGAAGAGGCAATCCCAAGAGGGGCGATGCATTCTCTTCCCGTACTGCTGCCGAGCTCGAACATCCACTGACTTCGGTCGCTGTGGGCTTGATGCCGGCGTGCAATCTGCCTTCAGGGGAGATGCGGGCATGGAACACGAATGCGGGGATCTGGTCGGCCTCGTCGGGGCGCTTTCTGACGCTGACAGGATCACAGAACCTTTCATGCCGGCGTGCGAGTAGGTATTTAAAGGAGTGCATCGTGCTCTTCCTCGTTTTTTCACCAGCTCTCCGAATCCCATCATTCCCATCATCAAGTATAAACGTGGCCTTCGCCTGCTACTTGCCACAGGCCCCACACTTTCCTTTTGGCTTCGTAAATAGCTATAATCACTCACCCCCACCAGTACTCGACTCTCGTCATTCCTCACCAACCGCATCAATACCAAAGGTCGTCTAGGTTCTCGCCATGCTACCCCTCTTCCCCGTTCTCGCTGCTCTTGTGGCCTTTCCTTCAGCTCTGGCGGTCTCTGGCATCACCACCGATCCCTCCACCGTATCTGATCAGTCTTTCGACTATGTGATCGTCGGCGGCGGCCTCGGAGGTCTCGTCGTTGCCAACAGACTCTCAGAGGACCCGAACATTTCTGTACTGTCAGTATTTGGTTCCTTTGTGTTCCCTCGAGTGTCCTTCTCCTTGTTCCTGGTAGCTGACCAAGACTTGCAGTGTGATCGAAGCCGGCGAGGACAACCGCGACGACGAGAGGATCTACGACCCCTACCAGTACTCGGTGGCATTCGGCACGGAGCTCGATTGGAACTGGCCCAGTAGTCAGGGTAGATACATTCACGGGCAAGTCGCACGACTCTCATGAGAGCCGAAGCTGACCCCTTTCTTTCGCAGAGGGAAGACACTCGGCGGTTCAACTTCTATCAATGGACTGGCGCAGACTCGAGGTCAGAAGGCTCAATATGACGCGCTGGCGACTTTCTTGGGTGGCGACGACAACAACGGTCGATGGAACTGGAACGGGATGTACTTTGGTATGCTTAAGGTAGGTCAAGCTCCGGTATACCCCCCCCTGACGTGCGTGGCTGATTGTTGCGGTGAAGAGTGAAGGCTTCAGTGCTCCTAACAGTCAGGTAAGCTCACTATCACTAGCTGAAGGGCAGTCGCTGACATGATACCTCAGCAACAGGATGCTGGTGCCAGCTCCAATGGAGCATACCACAACACCTCTGGCCCTGTTCAGGTCACGTACCCGTACATATAGATCACATTGACCACATTCGCAAAGAAGCTGACCCTTGCGTAGCGATGGCATCTACCACGGTCCCCAGCAAAAGTATTTCAAAGAAGTCGTCTCGACCAACTTTTCAGTCGCTTCTTCGCCCGATGCCGATGGAGGCTCTGCCAACGTAGTCGCTTTCCACCCGAACGTGAGTTTATCCACTCTCGGCTCCACTCCTGAATTAACGCCGTATGTAGACCATAGACTGGAGCGACAACGACCACCGTTCCTCTTCAGCCACCGCCTACTTTTCCCCCGTGTCCTCGCGCTCCAACCTCGCCATCCTCACCACCCACCTCGCCACCAAGATCGTCCTCTCCTCCACCAACTCGTCCGTCAAAGCTACCGGTGTCGAATTCGCTTCCTCCAGCGGGGACGAAAACTCTGACCGATGGACGGTCAATGCCAACAAGGAGGTCATTGTATCTGCCGGTGCTATCCAAACGCCTGCTTTGTTGCAATTGAGTGGGATCGGAGAAAAGTCGTTCTTGGAGGGTTTGGGTATCGACACGGTTGTGGAGAGCAATGGGGTTGGGAAGAACCTTCAGGAGCAGGTGCGTCGTGATACTCTATGTGCCTGATCCATGCTGACGTTGTTTAGACTATGGACTCTGTTGGATGGACTCCCGTAGACGACTTTGACGCCGACGGTCAAGGTCCCAGTAACGTCATCGCCTATCCCTCTCTTCTCGGTGTGAGTCTTGGTCAGCATCATCTATCTGAACCCACGCTGATACGCGATATAGATCACCTCCTCAAGCAACGTCGACATTGCCCAAAAGATCACCGACCAGCTCGACTCCTACGCCCAAGACGCATACGACAACGGCGCCTTCATCTCCGTCGACGCTGCAAGCGACTACTTCAACATCCAAAAAGACCTCATGCTCAATTCTTCTGTCGGGCTCGTCGAGCTCTTCTTTGACACTGGATTCCCCAACGGAGGTCTCGGCGTTGACATGTGGAGTCTGCTCCCATTCTCCAGAGGTCATGTCAAGATTGCCTCGACTAACCCGTTCGACTATCCAGATATTGACCCGCGATATTTTGCTGCTGAAGTCGACATGGATATCCAGATTGCTGGCGTGAGAATGGCTCGAAAGATCTTCCAGACTGCGCCCTTGAAGAGCATCGTGACTGAAGAGAACGCGCCTGGGTATGACTCCGTTCCCGAGGATGGTAATGGCGGTTCTGACGAGGACTGGAAGAGCTGGATCGAAGATGGATGTGAGTGCTCCATCCCCTTCCTAGAGACAAAGTCTAACAGACCCATCCAGTCGCCTCTGTCCATCACCCCATCGCGACCTGTTCCATGATGTCTCAAGACCTTGGCGGTGTCGTCGGCTCCGACCTGAAAGTCTACGGCACCGAGAATCTGAGGATCGTCGATGCTAGTGTGCTGCCTATTCAATTCTCCGCCCATCTGAGTGCCACGTTGTATGGCCTGGCTGAGAATGCTGCTGATATGTAAGTACTGCTCTGTGTTCAGAGGCGTATCGAAGCTGACTGGATGGGTGTTAGAATCAAAGAAGCTCAGTGATGATCGTGCATGACCCTGAGAAAGGACAATTCTTTCTTGTATACTATTCATCTCGCCAATGGACCTTGACATCTACTTTTGTACATACCGAGCATCTATAATCATCGGCCGATAATTCGCCACTGTCATTCAACCTGGCCATGTATAATCACAACCACCATAGTCATCATTTGTCGTTACATGTGTTCAACTTTCGAGTTTATGTAAGATATGTAAATGGACATTATACTGTACTATATTCGATGGAATTATCTAAGATCGATACAAGATGCGTAGAGCCAACCGCTCACGCTCGCAACAAAAACAACAAAAGACGCAAAATCTATTATTATGAGGAAGACCATTCGGAAGTCTCATATTCTAGGAGTCTTCAATCACGTTCAACTCCAACTCTGATCGCTTCGCCTTCATGCCTTTGATCTTCATCAGGAGCTTGTCAATCTTGTAAGGTTTGATCACCACTGCGATGTGTCAGAAAAATGAACCGTGTCAAAAAACGGCTGAGACTTACCGTCATCCATCCCTTCCGCCAAGGCTTGGTCGATCTGACCCTGTCTCGCGTTTCCAGTCAAGGCAATCACCATGTTTCTTTCAAGATGACCAGCGGCCTCGGCTGATCTAATCTCTTTGATAGCAGTAAGGCCGTCCATTACGGGCATCTCAAGGTCCATCAAGACCACGTCGTACAACTTCGTTCGATCCACGCCCCCGCGCCTGTATTGCCTATTGTTTTCGCGGATGGTGTTGAGGGCCTCGAGACCATTATTGACGACTATATTCCATCAGACATGTATAGCAGGAAGGATGCAATACGACTCACCGTCGCAAGAGAGACCGGCCTTCACAAGCTGCCTCTTCAGAACTGTTTGATTTATGAGGTTGTCTTCCACGACCAAGATACGGTCGCCTTCTTCCCGGGACACGAGCTTTTTGGGCGTCTGATTGGACGAAGTCCGGCTCATGGAAAAGGACGATGAAGGCGAAGAGGAACTGATGGGTGTCAAGGCTGTCGGCTCGACGAAAGCAGCCATGGCTGTCGGTGGCGAGACGGCTCGCGTCTTGATGAAGAACCGGAAGACTGAATCATTGAGGGTCAGTCGATACACCAAATACGCGAATGGAGCCACATACCGCTGCCCGTGCCCAGCTCACTCAGGACTTCAATACGACCTCCGAGAAGCTCGGTGATTTCTACACAAAAGATCAGCATACTTTCACTCATTTAATGCGCGACTCACTTCGGCAAATGAATAAACCCAGGCCACTGCCTCCATATTTGGTATGTATCATCTTGTTCCCCTCTGGAACGCAGCGTAAGCTAACGTCAACGGCGAGATAAGTACTCACGAGCAAATCTCTGGAACAAGACGGCAAGTTCGCTAGGGCTCATACCAGGGCCTGTATCGGTGACGCTGACAAACAACCATACCGGGGTATCTTCGGGGGCCGGCAGAGTTGTAGGAAGACCGATATCCGAAGGTAGAGCGCAAGTGTCTTCTGCGGGAGGTACGAAAGAGACATCATATTGGATTATGATCTTCTTGTCGTCCACTGGGGGATATCAGCATGAGTACACAATGTATGGAGACACATACCACCGCCCGCCGTAAAGCGCATGGCATTCGATATCAAGTTTGTAACCACCTGGCCCAACCTGACAGGATCGGTCTTGATCAGGAGAACCTGTGACTGTTCGATGGTCGGACCAAATGTGAGGGTAAGGTCGACCTTCTTCATCTTGGCTTCCGACGCAAAGATAGAAGACACCTTTCGAGCCTCTCTTCGAAGATTGACTTCGATATAATGCAGACTGAGCATCTCAAGCTGGATGCGGGCAAGTGAAAGAATATCTCCTGCAATGCGTTCTTGTACAAGACCGCACTGGTGAATGCCTAGGAATGTGGTGAGCTCATTTCTCCTCATTGTATAGATCTCTTACTCTCTAAAGCCTCGACGTCTTGCTCCAAGTCTGATAACAGCTCCGGTGACGGTATGAATCCATTCAACCCGGAAGCCCTCAACTGCTCCTGCAGAGTAGTGAGGTTCTGTTTGACCAGGTCCGAGCAGCTCAATATGGCGTTCAGGGGATTCCTGATTTCATGGCTGGTCAAGTCAATCAACAACTCTTGCTGATGCTTGCTTTCCTCCGCCTCCCGCCTTCTTTCCTCTGCCTCGACCAAACGCCGCTCCTCATGCGATATATCAACCACACAACCAAGGACTCCCGAGAACCCATGCTTAGCATGTTCGAGTCTCACCAGGCTAGCCCTAACGGGCGTGTCATTAGCCCACCGCCAACTAGTCTTCATACTCTTTTCATCACCAAGTACCCATGCCCTCCATAGCTCCAGGACCGAATGGTGACTTTCCTGGGTCAGGTACATTGGCCAACTGTCGGGATCCGAGTCATCGATGCCGCTTTGCGTCCGCCAGGCATTATTGGTATACACAATATGGCCCTTTGTGTCGGCGCGGAAGATACCTGTCGGACAATAATCAGACAACACAGCGAGCTCAGTCTCTCTCTGTGCATAGAGCGCTTCGAGCTTGGCGCGCTTCTTGCCGACTTGGAGGTGAAGGTGGACTCGGGCGAGCAGCTCCTTGGGCTTGAACGGTTTCGCCATGTAGTCTTCAGCTCCATTAAGCAGTGCTTCCATACGAGGCTCGTCACCAGCGACAGCCGATATGAGGACGATCGGAACTATGCGAGTGTCGGGGTGGGACCGTATGGCTTGTAAAAGCTCCATGCCCGACATCTTGGGCATCAAGACATCCGCCAGGATGAGGTTTGGCGGCTTCTTGACGGCCATATCGTAGGCTTGCTTGCCGTCTGAGGCCTGTAGGACCGTACAGTGAGGAGCAAACAGCTGGGCGATATATTTGCGCATATCGACATTGTCCTCGACGACAAGTACGACATCTTTCTTGTTAAACAAAAACGCTTCTGCGAACCGATTACCGGACGAAGCAGCTGACCCTCCACTACCAGTCTCCTTGTCAGACACTTCACTGGCTTCGTCCGCATCCGCAGCCCAGCGCATAGCTTCGTCGGCAACGATCTGACCGTATTTGCCGAATTCCTCGACAAAATACGGCGATTGGGTTTGGGAGGAGGATTGAGGCTTGAAATCAAGGGGTATGGTGGCCGAAAAGACGGAGCCGTGGGTGCCCTCTGCTTCGCCTGCGGTCTGTGACCACACGTGCAATTCACCGCCATGCAACTTTAACAGCTCTTTTGCAAGCGCCAAGCCAAGGCCAGTGCCCTGCGTACCAGAGTGAAGGGCAGTACTCGAACGATGGAACCATTCCGTCACCAGCGCGAGCTCGTCTTTAGGTATACCCACGCCAGTATCGGTGACAGAGATCTCGCCTTGCCCTGACGTATACGATACGCGCACGGCGATGCTACCCGATTCAGTATACTTGAGAGCATTGCCGATGAGATTGGCGATGATGGTCTCGAATAAGAGAGGGTCGAGAAGGACGAGCTCTTGTCGAGGCTCGATTTCCACAATGAATTGCAGACCCAAACGCTCTGCCGCGGGTTTGAACAAGGCCGCCAACTCGGCGACATACTCGCTCAGGTTGGTGGGTACGAAACGCCCCTCCATCCGCCCCGCTTCCACCCTGGAAAAGTCCATGAGAGAATTGATCAACCTCATAAGTCTCTCGAGATTACGCTGTGCCATGGTAAGGGCAGTGCGCTGCGTCGGGTCGAGCTTGGACTCGAGCACGTCCGACAGCGGACCAGCGATCAGAGTCAAAGGGCTTCGCAGATCATGCGCCGCTCCCCGGAACCACGCAACCTTGGCAGCCTCCATCTTTGCCGAGTCTTCCGCCATTTTTGCCTCTGCCTCATGTGATTTGACGGCAATGAATGAAGAAGCAAGCAGCGCGCGCAGAGAGTTCATCCAGAGCTCGTACTCGGAATCGAATGGTCGTCGGATGTTGATACCAAAAATCATGACTGAGCCTGGGACGTCATGAGAACCCTCGCTGCAGATGGGGACGACAATAGCAGAGATGGGCAGCTCATTCCATTGGCGGATTGGGAAGCCCGAAATCATCCTAGAACAGTCTTCTACAAAGACACACTGGCGAGTGCTGATGGCCTTTTTCAATGGCCAACTCTGGAACTGGTCTGCAATATGACAGACGCGGTTGTTGTTGGCTGATTGGGCAGACAACATGGATGCCGTAGGCGATGTCGGGCGCGGGGGGCTCACCCCAAATGTGGTTTTGTTGCGTATATCGACTGGAACGGACTGGGGAGCTGATGGGTGATCGTCGGGGACCCCCACAGTCACCTGGAGATCGCACTCGAGGGTGATAGTGAGAGCATCTGCGTCTTTTTGATGGACACGGTAGCACAGAGCAAAAGGCATATCGGCAGGATTTTGCCGAAAGACGTCGGCAACGGTGTCAAAGTAGTCTTCAAGAGTCCGAGCAAAAGTCATTTGCTCAGACAATTCTCGCGTGGTATTGAGCCGTCGCTCCATCAAAATAGTATCTGTCGTTTCCATGGATTGGTTAAAGATACCCATTATCGAGCCGTCTTTGCCAGTGATGGGGACGTATCGCCAAGTATGGTAGTGTTCCAACAACACATCATTGCCATACCGCCTCCAGAAGATAGCGTCGTTGTCTTTATAAATCGGGGTACCGCTGAGACACTTTTTCACCAAGGGCTCGAGGTAATCCCAGTTTCCGGCCCAAACTTCGCTCGCCGGCTGACCCCAAGCCGCCGGGTGATTGATGAGCTCCTGGTATGGCAGGTTGCTATGACACGTCAGACAAGGACCTTCGGACAAGACAGACACCTACTATACAAGCCGCAAATCTGGGCCCAACCACGCACAATCCTGCGTTCTAGACTCGAACGTGATCGCCAATACCGGATCCAGCGCATCCATCCACTGCTCCCTCGGCCCTATAGGCGTCTTGGCCCAGTTGAAACTCTCCACCAACCGCCATCTCTCTGCTGCCTGACTCTCCATAGTCCCAGACTTTATGGAGGGCGTCGTCCCCCGCGGAGAGCGTTTTCGTGACTTGCGATCATCTTGGATAGAAAGGGTCTTGCCGGATGGCGTGTGGGTGCGTATAGGGGTTTGGAAAGGAGACTGCACATCTGGGGATGTCAAGTCGACCGAAGAGCGAAGGCTGCTGGTGGATGTCGTCGAAGACCTCGTGTCAACAGTAGGAGCATCGACCGGTCTCGATCCGTTCGATGAAATCGATAGAGACCTTGGAAACGGGGACGATGGCCCCAGTAGGCCAGGCGAAGCTCTATCGATTGAAGAAGACACTGACGGAGGCGCAACCTCGGGAGGGTCGTGGATTTGAGAGGTCAGGATACAGAGCGAACGTTGGCCGTTGCTCGGGGATGGAGGCAGTATCGTCTTCGCCAAGTAAAGAGTCGTCCCCTCGGCAGACTTGATGTCCACTGCCAGCGTCTCTGCCTTTTCCCCATATTCCGCGCTCTCCATCCAAGCCTGCAACCTGTTCTGATCCAGCGGACTTAGACATTCGCCAATGGTCTCTCCCGGGGCGAGCTTTTTCCATTGCGCATTTCTCCACACTATTGTGCCGGCGCGGTATGGTGGGGAAGAGCTGCCATCGGGATAGTCTTCATCTCCGTCGAGCTGTCGAACGGTGGAGTCTGTATCTCTTGATACGAGACGGGGCCGAGTGCGCGGGGGTGCTTCTATAAAAAGTGCCAGGGCAGGAAAGGGATACGCCTGTTTTTGGGGAAAGCCGAAATGCAGGTGAGGGGGCAAGAGTGGCATTAGCAAAATTGCCGAGTTGGCGAGTACGAAGCATCTCCACATACCTCGAGGAACGCTATGGGTAAAGACGAGAGATCAATCGTGCTGCCCACAGACATGTCGAGCGTTTTTGTGTTCTATTGTGACCCGTCTTGCCAGAGTGATAACCGAGAACGGGCGAGGAGGTTTGAAGCCGAAGACGAAGGGAGAAGGGCGGAAAGCTGATAGAGCGTGGTGGGAGCAGGAGGAGCGGGCCTGGGCTGGGGGGCGAGGGTATCGATGGGCTGCCGAGTGTCGCTACAGAATGGGGAGCATATATGGGGTGAATGTACGTACAAGAAGAAGGTCGAAGAATTGACTAAAAAGGCCAAATTCGATGACGGTCTGGCTGCACTTGATGCCGAAACAAATCATCGCGGCGGGATAATGTCATTGGGCGTCGTACTCCCGCCCAGTCGACTCTCTGGCTGTTGTGCATCTCCCATGGTGAGTATCCCCCGCAGATGTACCCTCCCTGCCCAGATAGCCGTGAATGCATGCATGCTGCAGATCCTGTATTGTGCCCAATGGCCTGGGATGCCCTGGTGACTCACCACCCGCGCCGAGATCGACCCAACATTCACCCAATAACGTAATCAAGGTTCGAGCTGGATAGCGCTCTTGACTCTTGACTCCGGGCCTCAGATGTTCTTTTAGTATATAGTTTTTATATATTGCATATATATTTGTATTCCTTCTTTATTACACTCATTTGATCTCTAGGTAGACAAAAACGCGACTCAGTTTGATACAAGAGTGATACAAAAACCCAAAACAGCGAAAGATGATTATAATTTGAACAAGAAACAAGAAACGCAGACAAGAAAATAGTCTAGATCTGGACAAGGGTTGACCCATCCGTCGAGTCGGGCGTTATGGGAGGCGCCAGCGCCAGGTTGGACTGCGAGTACGAGCCACCCCTGGAGTGCGTCTTGTGCCCTATAGAAGAAGGCAAGCTGGAACCGGCACTGAACGAGGACGACGCAGATGACAGAGCAGTACTCGACGACGAAGACGGGGTCTGCTTTGACCGTTCTTCATCGGCAAACAGCACCCTCGCAGCGGCCCCAAGACTGGGCCGGTTGGGCGAGTCAGGAGGCCCGCCCCTCTTTGCCGACTTCATCGGCGACGGCGAGTGCGCCAAAAACATCATCAACTCTGCTGCCGTCTTGTCCTCCTCTGGCCTGTCCCGTTCGGCAGAAGAGCCAGAGCCGGGTGGGACACGCGAGCGAGCATGAGAGCTGGGGGTGCGCAGGTCGCCGGCACGCGGCGTAGTCTGGATGGACTGCATACTGAGACGACGCGGGTTGGCGCTCGGTGAGGTGGGGATGGGGCTCGCAAACGAGTCGGGTACAGGCAAGATGGCCTCGGATGAGGATTGGCGCGACATGGATCCGCCGCCGTCTTCAGAGCCGCTACCCAGCATAAAAGTGAGAGCCTTGGCAGCGTCGACATCCTGGCTCGTCGTCCCTACTCGCCGCGACCTGTCGTGGGTGGAATGCGAATGCGATCGTCTCTTCTTTTCATGGTCTTCAAACTTGGTTCTCAAAGGTGAAGACGGTCCGGCCATCATACGCCTATCGAGCGTGTGCCCAGACAAGGAACTGGAAGCACGACGGTGTCCATTCACCCTCTTTGCTCCCGGACTAGCAAGAGACATGGGATACGTGATTCCATGCCCACTTGGCCGCGGGGCCTCGGGGTGATCGTCTTCACGCGAACGCTTCATAGGGCTCGAAGGCGAAGGTGGATAGTTGCCGTGAGAAGGCGGCGGTAAAGGTTGCCACAGCACGTCGATAAGCTGCCATGGTCGAGAAGGAGATGGTGGTTCGTATGGTATAGCTGGGCTGGCTGCCACTTGGCTATTTCCCATTGGGGAAGAAGTGTGCACGCTAAGTGGGGCTTTATGCCTCGACGGAGTTGCGGGAAGTTGTTTCTGAGAGCGCATAAGCAGGATGTTTATACAGAGGTTGCACGACTTACGTGCTCAATGTCCTTGATAGACATGTCTGTCCAACCGTTGTTGGCTTTGACAGAGGCCAGCTCCAGACGTCTCTGCAGTTGATGGATTTTCTAAGACCACGAGTCAGCCCAGTCCAGTCCGCACTCCGCTCCGCACTATTCACCTTTTCCAGTTCCACCTTCTTCAGCAGCTTCTCCACGTCCCCTTCGTCGTCTCCAGCCTGCGCATTCTCCTCCACGATCCCTTCCATGGCAGAGCGCGGAGAGGAGGCGCTCGCACTGGCGCCGGTGGACATGGATGCGGAAGGCGACGAGGAAGTAGCGTCCCGCGATATCTGCCTGGTATCTCTATGCTCCTGGGATTCCTGGGATTCGTGCACGGGCGGTGGGCTGGCGGGGTGTGCTGTGGGTGTATGGGGAGGATGTGGAGGTGCATTGAGCGGGGATGCCATGGTCGGTGGGCGGTGGGGGTGGTTGGAGGGTCGGGACGCGTCGTGTTGTGTGTGCGGCAGGAAGCGTGTGCGTGTGTTTGGTTCGGGGGTCTGCGGGAGGAGGGGGGCGGGGGCGCGTTGCAGCTCGACAGGACGCGTAGGGGGTATGGATGGAGATGGGATGTGATCTGGATGGGATTGCTGTTTCGAGAGCGCCAGACGCGTCGCCTGCGTACATCATTCACAGCCGCTCCCGGAAAAAGGTGGCAAAAATTTCAGGACCCGCACCCGAAGAGGCAATGCCTCGACCTGTCGCTTACGTTGCAATTTGCATTACAGTCCGCAGGGATGGCAATGGACAGATACCAGACTATTCAAAGCTCTATGACAGTGCATGCATGAGATGACACCATTTATTACTTCTCACAAGTCACCGTTCTCTTAGAGGTGCTCCTTCAAGAACTTGACAAAGAGCTGGTAAGCCTCCACGTAGGCCGCGAGGGTGGCACCACCAGAGAGCTAGATGTATACATTAGCAGCCACTTCAAATGAGGAAGGGGCACTTACATCAGCACGGGCAGCAGCGAAACCGTGCACCTGGTCGGCGTAGTGCTTGAAGACGTTCTTGCCGGGGTTCTTGGCCTCGACACCCTTCTCGATGGCGTCGATCTGATCGACATGAGCACTGACACGAGAAGAGTCTGGGGAATACTTACAACAGACTTGTCTTCGCCAGAGGTAGAGATGATGAGGGCAGGGACGTTGATCTTCTCGGCGTCCTCGGGGGCAGGGAAACTACGCAAATTGTCAACAACGCTCACTGTGATCACCACAATCACTCACGTAGGGTGCACAGCAAGGAACACATCAACACCAGCAAGACCCTCAGTAACCACAGCAGCCTTGTAACCCCAGCAAGCACCAAGAATAGCGACCCTGCTGTAAGCAGCCTTCAAAGCAGCGATAGAGTCGGCCAAAGGTTTAGACTGGGTGGGGATAGCACCGGGGAACTGGGAAAAGTATTCGTTCCTCTTGGCTTCGGCGCCGGGGCCAAAGAGTTCGGCAGTAGCGTACTTGCCGACGAGGAAGTCGGGCATGACGACGCGGTAGCCTTGGGAGGCAATGAGGTCGGCACCTGTGCGACTGTCAGCTAGATACATGATGATAAATGAGTTTTGACCGTACCCTGGAGGATCTGGGGGGAGAAGCCAAAGACATCGTAGGTGTAGAGGACGGCAGCCTTGGCGTCTTCAGGACCAACGACATAGGTCTTGAGGCCAGAGAAGGTAGTGTAGGTACCCTTGGGGGTGTATTCAGCCTGGACGGGAGGGAGGTCGCTGCAGCAAGCTTATGTGGGATATGAGCTTGGCCTGGGCTGTGGGAGACACAGGGAGACTTACACATGGAGAATATATCTGGTTAATCAGATGAAAGTAGATGGGCTGTTGCTTGGGAAAGAGTCAGTGCTCGGACGTCTTGTACTATCAAGTCTTCACTGAAAAGCAGGAGATGTGCTCACGTATACTACGAGGTTGTGCGTGGAAACGAGTTGCTGGTGAAAATGCTGTCGAGGGAGTTCGTTTGAACCTTTCAAGTGTATTCTGATCGCGTAATATCAGTGACGCGCCGACGGTCAAAGGCCGGCCTTGTCCGTGGAGCCTCCATGCGCGCAGTCGGGCTATTTATAGTGCGCTATACACCTTGAAGTTGAGAGAGATGGTCAACTGGGCCGAGCTCGAGTCATCTCCATAGCGGGTCACTCGCCTCTGGTAGATCATGCTTGCAGATGTATCTTGCTCTCACTTTCCCAGCTGTTACCGACTCGCATCTCATCTTTCTTGCCGGTTAGCTCACTTACAGAGTCCAATAAGTGATGACTTATATCAGTCACAGCTGAGGGTATCTATGTCCTCCTCATCACCAAGTATTAGCTTGGACAAAAGCGCTCCTGATCAGCAACGAACTGCCCAGGAAAGAACCCCAGAGAGCGTTACTCGACCGATTCCCGTCGAGCGCAAGTCCACCAACTCTCAACATGCCCCCTCCCAGGATCTCAAAGACCATGAACCGCCTCCCTACTCTGCCTTCTCCAAGCCCACAAAGTACCTCATCGTCGGCCTCGGCGCCATAGCAGCCATCTTCTCCCCCATCTCCTCCAACATATTCGTTCCCGCCATCCCCACACTCGCCGACCAATTCCACCGGAGCGAGTCCGACATCTCCCAAGCAATCACCATCTACCTCGTCTTCCAAGCCATCACCCCTTCCATATTCGGAGCCATGTCGGATTCGTTTGGCAGACGGCCGCTGTATCTTGCAACACTCGTGATCTACTTGTGCGCCAATATCGGTTTGGCCCTGACACCGACCAGCACGTATGCACTGCTTCTCGTCCTGCGAGCTCTGCAGCTGACAGGGGGCAGCGCTGTCATTGCGATAGGGTATGGCTGTGTGGCTGATGTGGCAGAGCCGAGGGAGAGGGGCACCTATGCCGCGCTGTTTCAGTCGGGGGCGCTTCTTGGACCTGCTTTGGGACCGTGAGTGTGCGATGAAAAGAGTATTGAAGTAAGCTCATGAGGTGTCTAGACTGATAGGCGGTATATTGACACAGACTTTGGGCTGGAGGAGTATTTTTTGGTTCTTGGTCATTGCCACGGGGGTCATCCTCGTCCCTCTGACACTGTACGTCCTGTATCGCATACCACCCCTCGGACATGGGCTTATCCGTCACATAGAATCCTACCAGAGACGCTGCGATCACTTGTGGGAAACGGATCGATACCACCTCCAAAGTTGAACAGCTCTCCCATGGAGCTGTACCGCAATAGCAAAGTGTCAAAGAAACAGGCAGCCGATGGGATTCAAGTTGAACAGGTCGAGAGACCACCTCGCAAGCCGGCAAGTGTCCACCGCACCACGCTTGAATTATCTGCTAACACTACATGCTAGTACCAACCACTCTCCTCCTTCATGCTACTATTCGTCCCCGAAATCATCTTGATCTTCTTCTGGACGTCTTTGGTAAATACGTTGTACGAGCTTTGAGAGCGAGTGCTGATGGCCACAGCTACTATCTACGCACAAGATATCAGTCCGGGTAAAGGAGGTGCCGTCTCGGCCTCTGTAAGTTTACAGCTCTTGCGTGACCTGTACTTGCTAATACCATGTCTCAGTACAATCTCGTACGCTGCGCTTTCGGCGCCATAGGCACAGCCACCATGTAAGCCTCTCTGTTCTCTCTGTGTGCCCTCACTGACACTAGAACAGCCAAAAGATGTACAAGACTCTCGGCGCCGGCTGGACATTCGTCCTCCTCACAGGTCTCGTGGCGGTCTTTCTACCTTTTCCCATTGCGGTCATCCGAAATGGGAAGGAATGGAGGGAGGCAAGGCTTCAAAGAGAAGAGAGCAAGAAGCAGAGCGTGGAAAATTGAAAAGGTCCTGGAAGTTGATTCTTACTTGATGGATTTACATTCGTGCGGGAATGATGATCACAATAAGATATCTGGCATAGCATATTCATCATATCATACAACGGCATTTAGCATAGCATACACCTGCCTTTCAACATACATCCATCTTTGAAGTTTGGGTCCTTGAATATTCTAGAAGTCAAGTTGAGATGTATGTCTCCATTGCTAGAGCATTGTACAAGTTGCATTGCGGTATGTAGAAACAGTGGGCAAAAAGACGGATCTTTGCCAAACGACTCGACCATTCAAATGGCGAAGAAAGTCACCGCAAGAAAGCATTTTTGGTCAAGGATACTGATAGACTCAGAGCTAAAACTGGACTCATGATCAGCTGACTGCCACGCAAATGCCTATGAGGGCACATACAAACAACAAGGAAAATTCCCAACGACGGCGCAAACAAGACGTATCAAACGTTTCCAAAAAGGTCAAGAGTCATCACAGGTCGGTTTTGCGGCCGGCTGGAGCTGGAGATGAGGCGCTAGAGCTTTCGCGGATGGCAACGAATGATTGCGCGAGCGAGGCGGGCTTTCCCCTATCGACGCTGTCAGCTCAGAGCCCTTGTAAAGGGAGAGGAGGGGACATACTTGGTAAAGTGACGTTGCTTGGCGCTTGTGAGCTTGGCCGTGCAGGGGCTCTGTATTTGGTCGGTGGGGGAGATGGTAGCCTTGCTACAGAGACGAGAACGTCAGTAAGTTCACTTTTCACAAAGACGAAAGGGCAAAGAGACGTACTTGGCCTTGGCAAACTTCCTCGACAGCAACGCCTTGTGTCCAAGACCGGGAGCAGCACCATCAGTCGCCATTCCTGGGACAATGTTGGCTGCAGAGTAACATGTTAGCATAGGTAACATCTGGCACACAGGAGCGGTGACGGGGATAGTCTGTGGGCGGCAAACAATAAAGACACCCTCATTGGCCGAGATTTGCCACCCATCGCACTTATACTCTGACTCCTCCAATACTCCCAGCCACTCTTCCCACTCACTCCCTGCTCTCTCTGCTCACAACGACTCACGATTAGAAGCGCCCAGAGGCTTTGTCTGAGGGATGACCTTGGCCTGGTGACTGGGGTCGTGAAGGGGGGTGATGGTGGGGGAGGGGGCGTTGTTGTCCTTGACGGGGGTGGCAGTGGGAGACATGGTGTATGGTGTGGTGGATGGGGCAGATGGGATATAAAATGGATTGTTGTTGTTGTTGAGTGATCTCCTGGTTACGATTCTCGCGCCTGTCTTCTTCTCGACATTGATCTTTCAGGGTCCACCGGCGTTATCCCAAGTGGCACCGATGACGATGCCCGGGGCGGTCGAGGACGCAGAAATTTTGGCACAGGGCGAGGGGTATGGGAGAGGGGTATGCATGCAGTGAGATGCTGGAAATATGCACTGGAAATATGTAGAGCAGAGTGATGCCACTGCGCCATACAGCATAGAACAAGGCTGACTCTGGCATTTCGGCACCCCGTCACATCTTCCTGTTGTTCAATTATTCATCTCCTCTCTCATCACCAACCACCCAACCCACCACCATGTCCGCCGAAGAGCCCGACTTTCTCGACCAGCTCATAGCAGCCCACGAAGCCAACCCCAACCCTTCGCAAAAAGAAGTCACCTATGAAGACTTCCAGAAAGTGCTCGACTCTACACCCTTGTTCATGAGGGAGACGCCCGAAGAAGGGCCCGACGGTAATCATCCCATCTTGGATGCCCTCAAAACCCTAGTGTTTGATGGTGAAGGAGATGGTATGTCGCTCGCATCCACGGAATGTATAAAGGAGCTGACTCGTCACAGAGGTCGCTCTCAATCTCAAAAACCACGGCAACGAGCTCTACGGCCAAAAGTCCTACGCCGACGCTATCGTAGCCTACACTCAAGCCATCGATGCCAAACCCGCCGATCACCGTCTCCGCATCACCCTCTACAACAACCGCGCCGCCTCCCACCTCATGCTCAGAAAGTACAGCAGTGTCCTCGAAGACACGAGCAGTACCATTGCCATCTACTCTGCTGGGAAAAAGTCGGGGCTTGACCAGGATAAGGGGCTCGTAAAGGCGTTGTGGAGGTCGGCACAGGCGCTGGTAGCGCTCAGAAGATGGCAGGAGGCAGGAGATGTCATTCCCCGTGGTGCCGACCTGGCGAAAGAGGTCGGAGAAGATACCGAGGGCTGGGACAAACTCCGCGTGCAGGTGGAGAAGGGGATCAAGCAGGCTGAAGAGCATGCTGAGCGTCTCCGGCGCGAGACCATGACCAAGCTTGCTTTGAAACAGGCGGTGTCGGACAGGGGGTTGATCATCCTCGACACTCCTTCCCCGCCTGATAACCCCAACCCGCCCCACTTTGACCCAGACTCCATCCCTCCTACAGACAACGAATCTGGCTGGGCCCCACCCACACCGCATACGCCTGTGGTGTTCCCCGTCTTCTTGCTGTACCCTTCGTATAGCCAGTCTGATTTCATCACGCACTTTCACGAAAACTCGGCGTTTGAGGATCAGCTCGCAGTCATGTTCCCCACCTCTCCCTCCAACCCACAAGTCCCTTGGACAGAATGGGATGAAAAGCACGAGTACTATGTGCCCAACCTTGTTCTCTACGTGGAGACATCAGAGAAGCGACTGTTGAAGGTCGGGAAGGAGTTGACGTTGAGGGAGGTGCTGCTAAAGGCCAAGAGGGACGCCAAGGGGAGCGTCAAGAAGGACGGTGTGGTGCTGAGAGATGGATTGCTGAGCTTTGTGATCCTCATCAAGGGAGCGCAAGAGAGGGCATGGATAGAAGAGTTCAAGAAGGCGCGAGATGCGGCACAGTAGAGGTCTCTTTCCATATAATGCATCTATAACAACTGTTGTATGATTCAAGATATCCCGCTCATCTCATCGCCCATTGAGCCCCTTTTACTTGGACTTTTTCGTCTCGGGCTTTGCACCCTCCTTGACATCCCCACCAACATCTTCGACCATGCCCTCGTTCACCTGACCATACTCGTTGACTCGAGAATAGTCGACACGGTAGATCCAGCGTTGATAGAGGAGGATGAGGAAAACGACGTCGTCTCGGAAGCAGGCGAGGCGGTGGAGCCAGGGCATTCGGATGCAGAAAGCGAAAAAGTCGTCGACGACGGTAGACACTAGGAGATGTCAGATACTTGCGCGAGACATGGCGAGATACTTACAGGTCTTGTACATCATGGCCTTCATACTATCGTCCCAGTCAGCTCTTTCCACCTGCAACAGCGTTACGGGGGACTCACGGCATGTGGGCAACAGACTTGAGCTTGTAGTTGATGATCAGCTGAGGCACAAGCTGGACGAAACCAAACATGTAGATTGCTTGGGCGAGAGTAGATACGATGAAAGAGTACCATCCTCGATGAGTGCTATAGCTTGTTAGTGGTGATAGGAGAAGCCTGTTGAAGCTGCTTACTGGTACATCACTAAGATTGACACGTTAGCAGAGACCCCGGGTGAGATACTGATGTTACTTACAAGAGTAACCGGTGTAGACGGCCAACATGGGGATAGCAGCGTAAGAAACGAGCTTGAACGCGAGCGCATCGTACTCTTGAGTCTTCTTTTCGTCCTCCGTAAGCACGCGCTTGTCTGGTGCGAGCGTCAGCTGAGATCTCAACAATGCAGAAAAGATGCGCACCCTCAAAGTTGAGAGAGTAGCCGATGACATTGGTAGAAGGTCGGATGCGGACATTGGTGACTGTCAAAGTCAGTCTCTGGTCGTCTCACATGTAGAAGAACGTACCCTTGGTAATCTTCCAAGCTTCAATAACAAGCCCGCTATGACCACGTCAGCTCGATTAATGAGACGATAGATGCCACTTACATTCCCTGCCCAAACAAGATCATGAAACTGGTCTCCTCAGAGCTGTCATGCAAGTACAACAAGATGACAAGCTGCACAAAGCAGTTGGTCAAAATAGTGTTGAGAGAAACGCCAACGAGATCCCTGTCCTTCTTCCTCCAGTGACTGACGTCGCTAGAGAATGCGAGGAATTCAAAGAGGGTGTGGAGAAGCGTAACGATGGCAGTGGTGATCAAGAGCCAAGGGCTAGTCTCCAACAGGGTTCGCTTGATCTCGTCAAACTCGGCACCACCACCGGTACCCTGAGCAGAAGCTTGGTCGAAAGACTGGGTCATGGCCGAGAATAGCTGGTGCTTCATGTTGGAGATGGGCGCATAGTTGAGGTGGAGAGGAAGCGTCTTGGTGGTCTCGTTGATGGGGTAGAGACTCTCCTTCATCAACCAGAAATCGTTAAAGAAAACTGGGGGATAGTATTTCCTGCCAGAGGGCGAGTCGACGAAAGTATAGGCGGGGAGGACAGGGGGAGCGAGGCCTGAAGGGACGACCTCTCCACCGCCAGAGACGATTGAGACGGTGAGGTTGTTGGCCCAGTGGGAGCCGATCTGGTGAGGAACCTCGACGGGCTCTTCCTCTTCCTCCTTTTCGTCTTCATCGCTACTGCCGATGAGCTTTTTCTCCTTTCTGATACGTCGCTTGGTGTGGAATCGAGTAAGGACTGCGAGATGTCAGCATAGAGCATGGATTTTTAGGCGATACTGACGCTTGCTCTGGCTAAAGACGGAGCCGGGTGCCCTGGCCTGGGTGGGAAGACCACCGTCCTTGACGAGGACAGTGTGCAACCACCAACTACCATTGTGCTGCACGCTCTCGGGCACATCCAGCAACAGATCGGCTTCCCGCTCGTCCGCCCAGTTACCATAGGTCAAGTCGTCCCACTGCAACAAGGGGCTGGCAAGGTCGATGTCATCAGCAGCGGGAGAAGTACTAGTGTAGAAGACGATGGAGAGGGGGGACCCGAGGTCCCAGGCGGGGTGAGCTGGAGGGGTAGCGGTGGCTTGGGGGCGGGGCGCGTTGGCAAGCGGAGTTGACGCTGGGTCGGAGGGGTTGATTGGGGCCTTGGGGGCGGCAGGGGTGGATCCGATGCCAAACTATAAGGAGTCAGTATGATTGAAGGGTGCTGTAGGGACTGTACACACATAGCTCATGCCGTACTTGATGGCTATCTGGGAGTGAGCGGCTTTCGGAGCGGGAGGGAGGGCTTACCCATCTGGACACCAAGGAACATGACGACGGAGCGGACGATGCCATTGATCCTGTTTGGCTGCTCCTCCTGGGGGGCTGCCTGTTCTGCCATCGTGCTGCTTCGTGGAGAAAAGAGAGATCCGGAGATGGCTTTGCCTTTGACCGATCAGCCCGTGCCTGGGATCACGCCTCCATTCCTTTGGCCGCCTTCTCCCAGAAATTTCGGATACAACAACAACTGCTCTCGACGACAGACAGCATAGACAGCATAGATAGCAGGAGAGTATCACAGTAAGTACACTCCCACTCCCCCCTCCTTGCTAACAACCCGCAGATGGCCCGCTCGACTGCCTGGCTCAGGAGCATCTCCCGCCAAAACCTCGCAGCCATCATCGTCCTCTACATCGCAGCCCTCCATCTCATAGGCCTCTACCTCTTCACACAGGGCTTTCTGTTAAACCGGGTTACCATCCCCCACATCTCTCCCGCCTACGAAGAGACCATCGCCCCCACCCACTCCAAGGCAGTCGTCATCGTGATAGACGCCCTCCGTACCGACTTTATATCGCCCCACTACCCAGAGCCATTCTCCCCCCACCACCATGGCGTCCTCACGGTGGCTGCCGAGCTCACACAGAGCCATCCGGAACACTCTTTGATCTTTAACGCGTACTCGGACCCTCCCACGTCCACTATGCAGAGGATCAAGGGCATCACGACAGGCTCCTTGCCGACTTTTATCGATATCAGCTCCAACTTTGCTTCCACTGCTATCGATGAGGACTCTCTCGTTCACCAGCTGGTGGCTGCAAACAAGACTGTGGGCTTCATGGGCGACGATACGTGGATGAACCTCTTCCCTTCGTCCTTCCACCCCGACATGTCGCATCCCTACGATTCGTTCAATGTCGAAGACCTCCACACTGTAGACAACGGTGTTATCGAACACATCTTCCCGTACCTCCACCCGGACAACCAGTCTAGCTGGGACGTCCTCATAGGCCATTTCTTGGGTGTGGACCACGCAGGTCACAGGGTGGGACCTTTCAGGGAAACTATGGGCACCAAGCTCGCCCAGATGGACGACGTATTGAGAAAGGTCGTGGACCAGATTGACGACGATACGTTACTCGTGGTACTAGGAGATCATGGAATGGACGACAAGGGAAATCATGGCGGTGACTCGGAGCTCGAGGTCGCGTCTGCCCTATGGCTGTACTCTAAAGGCGCGCCCATTGCGACAGACTCGTCTGCTCTGCGCCTCGGTGCTGTTGCCAGCGGGTGGCCGATGTACACCTATCCAGGCTCTTCCGTCCCTATCAGGCATGTCAATCAGATTGACATTGTCCCCACCATCTCCCTCCTCCTTGGCATCCCTATCCCCTTCAATAACCTCGGTAGCGTTATCCCCGAGTGCTTCGGCAAAGACCTCGAGACACTCGAGTTGGCGCAGAGGTTGAACGCAGAGGGAATTTGGAGGTTTATCGAGGCATACGGTGACAGGGATGTGAAGCGAGGATTGGAAGATGTCTGGAAGCACGCGGTCAGCCAAACGGACGACCTTGAAAAGTCCATCATTGCCCACCGCACGTTCACCCTCGCCGCACTTTCCAGCCTTCGCGCTCTCTGGGCTCAATTCTCCGTCCCCCTCATCATCCTCGGATCCCTCGTCCTCGTGCTCAGTTTCTTCACTCTCGTGGCCTTGTACGTTGGTGTCCGAAACAACGGTGTGCAGTGGGATGTGTATGCCAGACTGGCACTGGAGACTGCCATCATGGGCTCGGGTGTACTTGCTAGTGTTGCGGGTACTGTAGCGGGAGTCTATACGAGAAAGCCGATCGTGGCTATCAAGGTGTTTGTCGTCGCTGCGGCAATCATCTCCGAGGTCATCCTCATTCTCCCACTCTTGGTCAAATTCTCCACGCCGAGCTCATTCACCATCAACCGCTACGCTGGACCCATCATCCTCGCCGCGCATGCCCTTTCTTTCGCGTCCAACTCTTTTATCATGTGGGAGGACCGCGTCGTATTGTACCTGGTGATCACCATCCCCATCATCTACCTCTTCAAAGCGCTCTCTGCACCCACGGCCGATATGAGGCTCAAGATCATCTTCCTTTCGCTCGCCTTTACCCTCGTGTCGCGCCTGGCATCTGCTGTGACAGTGTGCCGCGAAGAGCAGCAGCCCTACTGCAGCGTGACTTTCTTCTCTGGCGTCACGCCCACTGCCCCGACCTGGGCCCTCATGGCGATCCTCTTTGTCGCTTTCCAGCTCCCTCGTGCTATCGGCATCACCCTCGCCAATTCCAAAGCCCTCGCTGGCCCCGCGCCATTCATGCTCGGTGTCCTCTGGCGAGTCGTCGTCCTTTCCAACGCCGTATACTGGATGCTCGAGTTCCTGGAGAGCTACGAGGACCTCAACCCTTCCAAGGTGCCGATCGTCAGCTTTGTCAAGATGTGGATTGCGAGGTGTTCTATGGGGGCGAGTTTGGGGGCGATACCGTACGTGTGGCTTACTTCGCCGCTCTGTATCTCTGTAGAGAGGACAGCGGATCAGGCTACAGGGGAAGAAGAAGTCACGGTGTTTGGCTTTGCCAATGCCCTCGGCTCGACGTACCTTCTCTACATCCTCGGGCCATTTGCGCTCGTACACCTCGTGACGCAACCCATGGGTCAGCTCACCCTCGCCGCTTGGCTCGTAGGACTATTGGTCTACCTCGAGCTGGTGGACACCAGGCGAGACGCCATCATCTTCACTTCCTCCTTCTCTGCTAGTGCCGAGAACCCAGCGGCATTCGACCCATCGGCGCTCTCTGCCACTATCGCCCGGCCCACCTTTACAGAAGTCGTGCCCCTGGTACTCGCCGGCTTCCTCACCTTTTTCGCGACAGGCCACCAAGCAGTCATCTCCTCCATCCAGTGGAAGACTGCCTTTGTCGGCTTTTCCTCCGCTTCCTACCTCTTCTCACCCATCCTTGTCATCTTGAACACTTGGGGAGCATTCTTCCTCACCGCCTTGTGCGCCCCATTGTTAGCAGTATGGAACATTTCTCCCCGTCCGCGAGGGTCCATCCCCGTCCTCGCCCACGGCCTACAAGTCGTCCTCGCATTCCTCATCTACCATACCCTCATCGCCGTGGCGTCTGCCATCACGGCCGCCTGGCTCCGTAGACACTTGATGGTGTGGAAAGTGTTTGCGCCGAGGTTTATGATGAGTGGTGTGACGCTTTTGGTGGTGGATGTTGGAGTGATCTTGGGGTTGGTGGGATTGAGAGTTGTGTCTTGGAAGGTGAAGAAGACCTTTGGGTGTGAGAGCGTGTAAGGGGAAGAGAGATGAGGGGATGTACAGAAAAAGAGCTTTCGTGAGCTGTGAGTGCGCGATCTATCAAGGCATGGTATCGTTGCTGATCGTCTGTCCCAGTGGATACCCACCAACAGTGCCATGTAGCTATATACTTAGCGAAGCTGTTGCGAAGGGCGCAAGGAATGAGGAAGATCTGAAGGAGAACATATTAGCATGGATCAAGTAGCATTGAAATGAAAACGACGATAATGCATAGGTATAGAGCATGATAACTCGAGGTTCTCCTGAGGTGTTCCCAAACAATCAAATATGATACAAACGTGTATATGATGAGGCAAATGGGGAAAAGTAGGAGGCAAATTTTATCTATCTACTGTCATATTGCACAGCTTTTGACTTGTCATGGTATATACAGAAAACACATCTATAGAGGCGACACGATCGCTACTTTTCAAACGGACACACTAATGCCTGCTCCTCTTGTTCTTCTTCTTCTCCTTACTGGAACTTCCGCCGCCATGAGTCTTGATCGGCGCCTGGGGCTTGGCCGCAGGCCCGGGGGTAGGAGTTCGCGCCTCAGCAGTCAAAGGCGACAACAGCGTCGTCCTCTCATCCGCCTCATTCTCAGCAGTCTCGGGAAGACCACCATCCGTGCTCACCCTCGGGCTCTTCAACCCACTTGCGCTCCTCGTCAACCCTCCCTGGTCACTGATCCGTCGAACAAAGCCTTTGATGGAGCTCAAGCGTTTCCTCCGCTTGTCTTCGGTACCAGGCCCGGGTGTCCCAGACTTGTCACTGAAACCAGAGACGGCATCCGACTTGGTAGGAGATGGAGGCTCGTTACCAGGGGTAATGGGGGATGCCGAGTAGGCAGACAAAGTGGACAATCGGTGGTTGGCGGGTGTGGACGAAGAAGGGGGACCGGGGAAAGACACGGGTCGGGGAGAGGAAGCAGAAGGGAAGGGGACGACCTTGGGAGTAGCAGGCTCGGGAACGGTACCGGAAGGCGCCACAGGAGCAGCGGCCTTGTCGGCAAAGGTCTCGGGTGCCTTCACTTCGGGCTCAGGTACCTCTTCTGTCTTGGGTGCAACTTCTTCTTTAGTTTCCTCCGAGGCAGATTCCCTAGACGCCTGTTCCACTTCGGCCTCGACCTCTTCAGTCTTGGGTTCAGCGTCGGCTTTGACAGTGTCGGCAAAAGAGAGAGCCTTGGGGTCCTCAGCAATAGGGCCAGGGGCAGGAGCAGACTGTTCAACCTCAAAGCCTTCAGCGTCGTTCTTGGCGTCGACCTCTGGGACATCTTCCTTGGCAGCGGGCACAGCAGCCTCGAGCTGGGGGACATTGCCGTTCCCGGCGTGACTGCCTTCTTGCTTCTTTTCAGCGGTGGGAGACTTGACGGCTTCACCAGTTTCGCGGTAGTGACGGAAGTCGGCGGCAGTAGGAAGAGCGTGAGCGAATTGGTCAATGGCGTCGCCTTCGAGCAGCTCGGCCTCGGTGTAGATCTGTCGTCGCCACCTTTAGGTTGTCAGTATTGTTACTGCAGGCGGGGAGATAACTCACATGGTAGCAAAAGTGCCGTCCTTGTCGATCAACTCTTTGTATGTTCCAATCTCAAGGATCTCGCCATCGCCCATGACGACGATTTTGTCAGAGTTGATGATGGTAGAAAGACGGTGGGCAATAGAAAGACTGGTTCGACCCTCGGCCTGTCACAGCTGTCAGCAATCCTCATGTATGCAAGACTCCCATGCTTACGAGCTTGACGAGCGACTTTTGAATTTCACGCTCAGTCTCAGTATCCAAAGCACTAGTAGCCTCATCCAAAACCTACAAGGTCATCAGTAAAACAAAACACCTCCAAGCCATTACAAAGCACTGACCAAGATCCTAGGGTTCTTCAAAAACATTCGCGACAAGCTGACCCTCTGCTTTTCACCACCAGAAAGCCTGACACCTCGTTCGCCGACCAAGGTGTCGTACTGCTCGTCAAAGGTCATGATCTTGTCGTGGATCCGGCCAGCTTTGGCAGCTTCAATCACTTCTTCGTCCGTGGCATTGGGGTCTCCGTACGCAATGTTGGCAGCGATAGAGTCATTCCACAGGACACTATCCTGGGGGACGATGCCGATGGCCCTTCGAAGAGACGCCTGAGTTACGGAAGAGATATCTTGCCCGTCGATATAGATGTGGCCGGATTGAATGTCGTAGAATCGATACAACAGGCGAAGGATGGTCGATTTGCCCGAACCGGTCTGACCGACAAGAGCAAGCGACTGACCCTTCTCGAGCTTGAAGGAGATGTTCTTGACAGCATCCTTCTTGCCATCGTAGGAAAAGGTCACATTGTCAAACTCGATGACACCGTCGGTAAGAATCAACTCTCTGGCATCGGGTTTATCCTTGATATCCGTCTGCTCCCCCAACAAAGCCAGCAACTTTTCGGCGTCGGTGATATCCGAGCTGATCTCCTTGTACAAAGAGCTCAGCTGGTTGAGAGGCCGCGTGAACTGAGAAAAGTAGGTGACGTAGACGACAAAGGAGGCAGAGCTGCCGTTACCGTTCATGATTCGCAAAGCGAGGAGGACGGCGCCGACGGCAAAGGCAACGACGAGGATCAAGCTTTGGGTGGCGTAGATGACTTGATAGCCCATACGCCATTTGTAGTCTACCTTGAGGAGGTCGTCGACGGCTTCCTCGAATCGGGCGGCTACACAATGTCAGCTTTGCATGTCTTTCATCTGGTATGACTCACCTTCTCGAGATTCGGAGGTAAAGTACTTGACAGACTCCCAGTTGGTCAAGACATCCGACACGATACCTCTCTGTCGCACATCATTATCGATATACTCTCGTCGAGTCTTCTGAGTGATTCTGGTGGCGACGAATGAGAAGACACAGTAAGGGACCATGACGCCGATGATACTGAAGGTGATCAAGGGGCCAAAGAGCCACAGGAAGACGGCAAGACCGATGACGGTATCGGCGATGGTAGGAATCACGGAGAAAAGGCAGGTCCGGAAGACTTCATTGATCTGTAAGTATTGTCAGTTGAAGACCGGGATGCCATGAATGCCACTTACAGCTGATCCTCGGTCAACGATGCGCATGACCTCGCCAGTGTTTCGCTTGGTGTGGTAAGACAAACTCAGGTCGATGAGGTGGTTGAAGGACATCAACTCTGTAGGGCTCTCAGCGTCATCTCTGGCATGTCTGAAGCTACTCACGCATTTCACGGTCCGTGTATTGCACAACAGGGATCCAGAAGTACTGCTGAAGCGCACTAATGACACCATAACTGTCGATGAATCGGATGAAAAGGTAGGTACCCAGAGCCTTCCAGACGTCGACAGGAGACGACCAGTTTCCAAGGGCGGCAATGACCCAACCAAGAGTGATAGGCAGTAAGGGGTTCAAACCTCGCTCAATCAAGATAAAGAGACCAGTCAAGCCAACATAGAATTGCAATTTGGGACTGGTCGACGGCCAAAGCATGGGCAGAATCTTTTTGAACTTTGGCCACGCCTCCTTGAGCGAGAGCATCTTTTTGGGTTGACGCTTGGATCCAAGCTGCTTGTTGATTTTGATCTTGCGCTGCTTGTTGCGTTCTTCCTGCTGAAGACGTTGTTGTTCGGCAATCTGTTCGTCGGTCTGGGCAGGTCCGGGAGCGGGGGTCGCGACACCTGTCCCGGGCACGAATGTGCCATAGTCGCTGGCCGCTGTCGTCTCTCTAGAGTGCGATTGGGTGCCCTCGGAGCTTTCTGAGAGTAGACCAGTGCGCTCGGTGGCGGGTTCGAAAGAGACCCGAGGGGTGGCCACTGCTGAAAGCAGAAGGGGCAACAGGAGCAGTCGAGCAGATGAAGGGACCAGAGAAAGGATGGAGAACAAATGTTCACTTCCACCTGCAAGCATCATTAGCACCTCCCTCTGATCGCTTATCCTGAAGAGCACTTACTGGCATGCAGCTCGCGTTTGACCAAAAAGACGAGATTGACAATCTCGCCCACGACACCGAGCACGCCGAGCACGAGCAAACCCTTTCCAAACCTTTCTCTCCATACTGTCGCTACGAGAGCAATGCCCCATACCAGCAGTTCCCCAACACCGTACACTACCTCTGCCCAGAGCTCGGTCCCTACCAGCCGGGCCGGAAGCTCTTCACCATATCGAGCCCGAGCGGAAAGGATATCTCCTACGAGGACGCTGAGGTCGAGAAAGCTGGTGACTGCAAGAAGGGCGAGGGCGGTGAGGACAAGACCCCGCCGGGGGGAGGTGACCTGGACGGTGACGGGGGTGATACCAGGGAGAGCTGGCGGGGGCGAAGACTTGGGTGCAAAGAGGAAGGGGAGGGGGAGGGAGAGGAGGGCGGGGTGTATGTAGTGGACGAGGGCGAGGATGGGGGGAGGCATGGCGAGTGTCTCTGTCCCGCCTTTACTGGGTCTTGAGGGATAAAGAAAAGAGGAAGAGGATGACACTGTTGGTGCGTGACCGCGACGCGCTGGGCCACTTGCCGCATGCGGCAACCCGAGCAGACGAGCAGTGGCCTCCTACACCCTATGCATGGCCCAGGGCAGAGATGGGCAGGGGTCCATGCAGCGAGCAGGGGCAGGACAGCTGGGGGCAGGTGCCCTCGATGCCTCGAACGCTGCCCACTGCCCACTGATCTCCTCCCTGAGCACCCTAGCCTCCCGCTTGTTTGTGCACAGGCGTCGTCTCGAGAGATGATCCATAATGCATTACTAAAAGTTACTGTACTGGTATAGACATATGTACTGCACCTTTCCCATTACGTGTCGAGTACATCAGAAACAAATAAACAAGCATCGCGTAGAACTTTTGGCGCGTAATGTCAAGGCCATCCTCTGTCAAACAGGAGGATACAAACAGAAAGCAGGTCGTAAAGTCTTTAAAGTCTAAAAATTTAGAGAGGCTAGTTGTGGGATTAGTTCCTCCTGGTACCAAAGTAGATACCGAGAACAAGGGCAATGATACACAAGATGACGACTGCACACGGTCAGCTCGCGTGCGGCCGAGTTTGCGATATACTCACCGACAATCCAGAAGCAGATCCACTTCTTTCTCCTGGCCTTTCGAGCACTCTCCACCGCCCGGTCCGTCTGTACTAGTCCGGCCGAGATATCCTGGTCAACACCCTGCGCCTGCTGCTCGACATTGACAATCGTCTCGTCTTGCTGTTCGACGAGCATGGCCATCTCCTGGAACATCTGGGCGAGTTCTGTGAGGGTCTTTTCAATCTTTTGGATTTCGGCATGACGTTCTTGGACTTCTCGGAAAGCGCCTCGGGCTGAACCGTATCGGTTGGAGTTTAACAGCTGTGCAAAAGTTAGCAAAGCACGCGCATACAGACACGATACGTACGGCTTGAGAAAACACTTGAGGGTTGTCAGACTCGGTAGCCTGCCTAATCTCATCCTCGGTCGCGTCAGGCTTGACAATCCTGTACTGCCTCTCGACTCTGTCCTTGACTTTTTTCCTAAACTCCTTTTCAATCACCTGGTGCTCTTGCAAGAGACCCTGGAATCGGGTCTTGACACCCTCCGCCTGCGTCCTCTGCGCACGGTCGCCCTTGGCAGACTTGTAGAGCAGCTTGATCTGGTCCTTGCACTCTTCTCGCAGAGTACGCGCCTGGTCGTTGAGCTTGGCAGCGTACCCGGCAGCCTCGGGGTCGGTGGACGACAAGCTCGCCTGGTGCGCCTGCCTGACAGCCTGGATCTGCTCCTGGAGCTGGCTCAGGGCAGAGTTGGTGTTGGTCAATTCGGTCCAGAAATCACCTCCGCCGCCGCCATTGACACCGCCCATGGCGTAGCTTTGCTGCTGGCCGTAGGCAGCACCGGCGTAAGGGTCGCCGCCCTGATTTTGGTAAGGGTTACCGGCGTTGGCACCGTACGCGGTGTTTTGCTGGGCATAGGGGTTGGGAGCGCGGGAGGGGGCGATCACGCCGTTTCCTGGAGGAGGGTAGGTAGGGGCTGGGTTGGGCTGTTCGCTATATAGTCTAGGGTCAATAACGGTCTGGATCAAAAGAGGAGGCACGGACCCGTATTGGCGGTTCTTTCGTGGCAAGTCAATACGCGTTCTTCTACATGGAATAGGATGGGACTTACTACGTTACCAAGCCTGTCTCGCGCCATGATGAGGTGTTACCTGGCGGATGGTGTTCGGGAGAAGGGTGGATGAAAAGGGCTGGTGGGTGACCGGGATGGGGTATGTCGGGGTGATGAAGGGTACGCAGCGGGGATGAAAGGACGGGTGGATGGGGGTGAGCGCCAGGCTGTAGGGGAGATGAGGAGATGGAGAAGATGGAGATGCAGAGGAAGAAGAGAAAGAGAAAAGAACGCGAACACCGCCCTCTCAAGTCTCGCCCCCCTTAATCTTATTCGTGTGGCACGATAAAAACTGTAAGAATCAAAATAACACCCCTAGCGCGTACCGGCTTCTTCTTTGTTTGCCCTTCCAGAACCCAGTCGCCTTGGCGTCTCGCCGGGATACAGTGGAGACGAGAGCCTGGCCTTTTGTCCTTCTATTCCTTGTACTGCTTGTGATATATTGGGGCAGGCCGCAGTCGGCATCCCAGACACGGCCCTCACGACGATGTTCTCTTTCATCACTCAACGGCGAGCCAACGGACACGGTGTACATCTTTCACATGCAGTTTTTGAGCCTCTCTCAGTACCACCCATACTCTCTTGTACTGCCCGAGATACCCCCAGCTCTTGGCCACACCATTGCTATGCATCGCAAGAAGGCTCACCCAACGACGCACACCAGCCAGCTCACATCCACCCCCCACTTTACCCAGGCACCGCTCCCCTGAAATCGTCATGTTCTTCCGCGTCCAGCTGCGATCTTCTGGCTCATCATCATTCATTCCGGGCCAACTGCATGTCATTCCTCCTCTCTCCATCACAATATGCCACCCAGGAAATCAACAGCCGCATCAGCTAGGACATCGGGGAGGACCAAGAAGGCTGCTGGCGTTGCCCAGGTGGGTCCACACGCTCGAGATGAGGAAAGGGTGCTGACTTTTACAGCCTCTACTCTCTTTCCAATCCCAAGGAAAGCCTTCGCGAGGCGCCACCTCCAAAACCAAACCATCGCTGCAGAAAGAGTCATCTGCGGTCTCTATACCTGGTACCAAAGCCGACGAAGGGGATGATGACGATATTCAAGTGGTTGATGAGCCTCAGGGGACAAAGGACGGGAGCGCAAAGGGAGGCAAGAAGCCACAATTAAAGGTCAAGAGCAAGGAATGGTCAAAGGTTCTGAAAGAGGCCGAGGCAGCTATGGGCGACTTGGAGCCAAGTGAGTTCAACCCCGGCCATAGTCGCAGTATGCTGACGCTCTCCCAGTCCATGCCGGCCCCAACACCCATAACGATATCCATCGTAAGTCTCCAACTTGGCCGTTGCGAACAACGCTAAATTTACATCCCGCCCACCCAATAAACTCTCTCCGCCTAATCAGATATACTCCGCGTATTCGATTTGTCGACCAAGTATGGCCCGTGTGTCGGCATTGCCCGTCTGCAGCGCTGGGAAAGAGCCAAGCAGTGGGGTCTGGATCCACCCGACGAGGTACGTATGCTTTCCCGCAATCTGGTCGTGTGACATGGGGTGTTGACCGAGATGGGTATACAGATCAGAGCGATTCTTACCACGCAACAGGGGGAGGACGACGCTTCGTATCGCGAGAATGTGCTGAGCGCATGGCTCTGAGAGGGAAGCGGTATACGCGGATTTCTCGGCTCGGAAGATCGATAGCATGAGGAGGAGATCTGTTGTAATGGCAACTCTGCCAGAGGTGTATCAGTAATAATCAGAAGGCGATTTGTATAGGCCATAGGCCAAGGTAGAACCAAGCATGCAATCCAAGTAGCTCAATTGTGGGGAAAAAGCGGGGAAAATAGCGCTGGTCATAATAATTGCGCATGCTGGTCCGAATTGATTGTTCTTTGCAGACTTTTCACCATCACGCCAGTCTGCGCTCCCCTCCGCCGCCGCCCTCCCCTCGCGATATTCGCCTGTACTGATGGCCCCCTCTGCATCAACGTCCCCAAAAGACACCAGCACCAGCTCGCACTCCATCAGCCCCCACGGCTTCACCGGGGCCACCATGACCAACTCGCAGACCAACGGGGACGGCGCCAACGGGCCTTCACCGACTGTCCCCCAGCCCCAATCTGCCCATGCCCCGCTATCGGGCCAGCCTTCTCCGCTTGCGAACGCTTCTTCCGTCCAGCCACATGGTCCTTCCCCACCTCAGGCCCAGGGCGACCACGGGGCAGGCCAAGACCTCTCTGCGCTCGACGATAACAGCGATAACGCCAAACGCCCCCGCTTACGTCTCGCGCACGCCTGCGATCGCTGCCGCCGCAGGAAAATTAAATGCGACACCCAACACCCCTGCACCCCGTGCCAACAGTCCAACAATGTGTGTACGTTCGAGACCCCTTCGCGACGGACGGTCAAACCGAAAGGCACGTCCGCGGAGCGCGTGAGCGGCACGGGTGGGGTCAAGAGGCCACATTCGCCGGGGAGGAGTTTTGCCAATCTCGCCACGGGGCGGGGTGAGAACCAGGCGGGGCTGGAAGCGCGATTGGCGGCGCTGGAAAGCATGTTGAGGGATGTACCGCCGAATGTGCATAATGCGTTCTTATCGACGCTTGATGCGAGGCTCGGGAGCGGGACGGGAGTGGGGATCAAGGAAGGAGGGAGTGGGGGAGAAGGCGTGGGCGTGGCGGCAGAGGCGTTGGGCGGGACGACGACGAATCTTTCAGAGCTGGTCGGGATGAGCACGGGATATACGCCAGCCTTGAGCCCGTATGATCAGCAAAACAAATTGGCGGCGGATTGGGGATTGAACAGCAGCGGCGGCCCGGATCTGAACGGCTGGCTCGGTGCAGGATTGGGAAAGAAGAAGGAAGAAGTGGGTATGGATGAGCTGGCCAAGAAGCTGGGTGGCATGAGCTTTTTCTACGAAGACGAGATTGGACAGGCAAAGTGGCAAGGTGAGGTTGCTTATCAATTTTGCCGAAACGTCGACTGATTGTATGTAGGCGCCACATCCGGATTCCCTCTGCTACACCTGCTCGCTGCGCACAACGCGTCCAAAGAAGATGATGACGAGGGAGCTGGCGAACAAGAAATCCTCACCTCGCCCGCCGCCGAATCGACACTATCCACCTCGCCCAACAACCCGCACCTGTCTCGCCGCGTATCCTCTGCTTCCACAGCGCTCAACCGCACATCTACCGCTCAGCCGAAACGATCCCAGTCGATCGGGCTCGGCGCCATAGGCCGCCGGGCAAGCAGCATGGAAGGAAAAAGGAAAGAACGCTTCTTCCCCGACCGTACGCCCCGGCCACACCAGACGCTCAACCCGGAAGCGAGCTGGAAAGTGATCACCGGCGTGATTCCCCCGGACCTGATGGACACTCTCGTCCGATGCTACCTCTCCACCTCGCACCTCTTGTGGCCGTTCCTCCATGTACCGTCGTTCTTGGCAGATTATGCCAACCCGGCACAGTGGGGTGAACCGGGCTTCACGTGCTTTATCGTGGCGGTGTGCACGCTGTCGTCGCGGCATGTGGATGACCCGCGTGTGAGGGCAAACCCGAATGACCCGTCGACGGCGGGCAAGCAGTACTTTGAGTTGTTTAAGCGGTTGCGAGATTTGCCGTCGGCGGATAGGCCTACGTTGTATAGTATCCAAGCGGCGTTCTTGGCTGCCATCTATGCGTTTGGTTTGGGAAACTTGAGCAAGGCGTTTGCGTTGCAAGCGGAGAGTATCACATTATGTTTGGACGGAGGTTTACATAGGAGTGTGGATGCGTATGATCATTTCGATGCCGTCGAGAAGGAGACTAGAAAAGTGAGCCCCTCACGATATCCTGACTGCGTGCTGACGAGTGTATAGCGAACATTTTGGTCCATCTACTCGTGGGATAAACAATCCGCCGCGCTATTCGGACGACCACCAATCATCCACCTCCGCGACTGCGACGTTACCGAGCCCATCATCGTCGACGACGAAAACCTCGTGCCAGAAGGTATCAAAGACGACGCCATCAATCCCAAAAGTCGTATGTGCGCATTCGTCGCTACGATCCGGCTGCACGTCATTCTCGAGGGTGTGATTGATTCCGCGACGTCGCCGTCGGCCTTCCCAACGAGTCCGTTCTTGGCGCGGGCGGCGGCTACGATTGCGAGGAGGATGCCACAGACAGAGACGTTAAGGGCGGAGGAAGAGCTGTTGGAAGAATGGAAACGGATATTGCCAAAGTATTGGAATTATGACACGGATACGGCGAATTCGCGGGATCCTATCCGAATCACGCAGGCAGAGCGGTTGCATTGTGTAAGTGACTTGTTCCAACTGGGGCATTGGGGCATTGCTGACGTGCGCAGCTGGAGCACCTGGTCAAGATGATCATCTATCGACACCGATTCTCGGGCTTTGTGGCTATTCCGGCATGTACACCAGAAGAGCGCACGAGGCATCTGGATCTTTGCAAAAAGGCCATGCAGTGTGCGCTGACCATCATTGCCGACCACGTCCACATCAGCCAAAGAGGCATGATGACTTATTGTAAGCTGAACGTGTCTATGAGGGACTCGACTGACATCGCATAGACGGCGTGCATGTGATTCATCAACTCGCGCAAGCTGGCCGTACACTGGTAGCTGTGATTCTCAACTGCCGCAACACTGATTTCAGACCGATCATTGCACCTTCAATCGAGGGGCTGCGTTCGTGTGTGGGACTGTTGAGGCGGTTCAGCGGGCGGTATCTGTGTGGTTTGAGATCTGCGGATATCATTGACGAATTCTGTCGAGGTGCGTCCATAGTCTCACCCGCGTGAGAAAAGCTGACATGTGTCAGTGTGCAACATTCCCGTCGACTCGCCGCGAGTGCCAGATTCTGCCGGCCGACCTTCCCCCGCCTGGCTCCGTCCGGTACGCAAACATATCGCCACGACTCCCCCCATTTCCGACTCGCCCGCCAGCTCGGGCATGATGAATTTTGACCCCAACGCGCTCCACAGTACCGACTCTGGACGCCCTTCGCTGGGCGGGCTCGGTGGTCTGGGAAGCTCGGCGCCAGAGCTGGAAGCATTGTTCAACACTGCCGCGTACTTTAACGTGCCCGGTGAACAGGATGTGAATCCTGTCGCCTCGACGCGTGAATCGGGCAGTGGCGGATTCATGCCCACGCTCGGGGGACTTGGTGAAGCTTCAGCGCCGTTTGACAGGTTTGAGACGCTCACTCCGAATGCGAGTCTGGGCAATGGCAATGCCATGCTCAGTGGGCAAGATGCGGATTCTAACAACTATACATATAATGCCAACGCCAGCGCGAGTGATGCGGACCAACCTATGAGCGAGCACCAGCAGCAAGCTGGGGCGAGGGCGGGTAACTTGAGTTTCGACTATGGGATGAATGGGCAGGGCTTTGGCGGGGAGAGTCTGGCGACGGCAGGAATGGATAATGTGTCGGACGGGCTAAAGCAGGGTGGGAGTGCTTTGTAAGTGTGCTTCTCTGTGTATTGAGCGGGTGCTGACTTGTGGCAGGTCCGCGGCGACGATTCTGAGTCTAATGGAGGAGGGGTCGTTTGACTATGGGAGTGTATTTACGGACCAGGCGCCATGATTGTGTACAGATGGATGTACATACTGTAATATTTGGCTTGCGGAGTCCAGGAGGAGCTGACGACTCTTGTGAGATAAGATGAGATGCTGGAAGAGCGTCGTCGCGGTGGACGGTGCAGATCTCAATTAGGCGTTAGGTCATAAAGCGGTGACACACTCAGGGCGGTGCCGCGGGCTTCGGAGGATCGGCCAAGTGGAGCATTTTTGGTTCCGCCTGCGCTATGCGCTCTCCATCTTGCAATTATTGGTTGGGGCCCTGGCCTGTGGAGTACGCGGGCAGAGGAGGGTAACAGAGCGACATGTCTGAGAGGGTGCGTGCGATATGTGCGGCATTCCTCCCTCCCCCCTCCCTCCCTCCCTCTAGCCCCCCCTCTCCCCCCACGCTCCATTGTTGTTTACATTCCAGCGGTGATATCATCTGACGCAGTTGACATCATCCTCTGGTCTGTCCTTCGGCCTAGAATCTAGATAACACCCTTATCGATCTCCCATCCACCATTGCCCATGACGACGCGTGGGGCCACCGCACAGACCCCGCGCTGCACATATATATATACGCTGCCTCGCTCAATCCCCCTCCCCACACTGCCCACCATGACCACTGCCGCCCCCCACACTCCCCCCGCCCAGCATAACGACGCCGACCTCGACGGCAAGCCCCAGGTTCTCAAGCCGTCCCCCACCCACTCTATCGACTGTACGCCGCCTTTCCCCACATCCATGTTCCGCACGCTGACGCTCTTTCCCAGACAAGGACGCTGCAGAGTCCCCCGAGGTGCTCGAAAAGACGAGGCGCAAGTACTCGCTCGGCCTCTACCACTGGACCCGCGATATGTGGGAGCACGCTCGTCAGGATGTCGCGTGAGTTGTGTCGCTTTGCGTCACTCAACCTTGATTTTTTTTTGGCTTTTGTTGCTGACGCTATATGACCAGGCGCCGCTCCTCTGTCTCATCTACCGAGTCTGACGTTCCCTCGCCTCGCAAACACCAGCGATCTTACAACTCTGACGTCGGCAAAGACGTCGGTGCCGTCCCCGCCTACCACTGAGCACGCTCCGCAGAGCCCGATTGTTTTAATGACCCCACCTGTTTCTTGTACCCCACGATCTGTATCAATAATAGTATCCCTGTATTAGCATAGTCATTTACAGAGGCTAGCAGCCGCTAGTTGATCACCCATGCACTCATGAGTCATACGATGTGTTGAATGATTACAATTTTGCATACACAACAGTGGAGTCGGCTCATCCATTACCAAGACACAGCTCGACAATCACATACCCATTCGCCAACACCACCAGCCCAAACAACGCATAGCCCAGGACCGTCACCCACTTTGGCGACACGTACGACTTGCTCCTCCTCCCTTCCGACACTGGCTCCACCACATCATTACCAGTAGGCGTTTCAACCGCCGTCCTTTCGCTACTCTCCACAGGCTCCTGCTCGGCGCTAGGAGCAAGAGCAGGTGTATCCACATGCCTCAGCTCGAAATCCTCCACTTCGGGACCTTGCACCGTCATGAGATCTACTTTGGAGCATAGATATACGAGGGGAAAGATGACGGTCGGCAGGACGATGGAGAGAAGGACCTGCGAAGCGACGAGCATGATGTTGATACCTTGCGCGCCGACGGCAGCGGCGACAATGGCGGCGGGGATGACGCCTATCAGCCGGGTTGCCAGCCGGCGCAGGAATGGCTAGGGTATGTCAGTGGTGTCTGTTATGGAAGAAGGGGGGGCGCTTACAGAAGTCTTCCAGTTGATAAAGCCTTCAGAGACGACTTGGCCCGCGAGTGTAGCTGTAATGGACGCACTTTGACCCGCCTACCATTTTTTTGTGAGCGGAATTCGTTATTTGCCATGACCGCACTGACACAAAGAAGAGCGAGGGCAAATATGATGGCAGCAGCATTCCCGATATACGACTTTATCAACGCGAAAGCGCCAAACAGGTCGGCGGCATTCTCGGCAGAAGAGTCGGTATTGTAGTAATACGCCGCACCGGCCAGAGTGAGGATGGACGCATTGATCGTAAGGGCGAATCCCAACAGCGACAGCGTCGTATCAATCTGCCTGTATCAGCTCTGATCGTTCCAAGACAGAGAGGACTCACAGTGACATGGAAGAGATGCAGATCAACCCATCGGATCCGATCAAACATCCTCACCTCTCGCTCATACTCTCTCTGCGCCAACGCAAACGCCTCATCCTCCTTACCCATCCCACTATCCTCCACCACCAAATCCACATTCTTCACCGTACCCAGCTCGGGCGACTCTTCGGGGATGTTGGTGTTGGAGGCTGTCCGGGAGAGGGAAGATGCACAGGCGCCGAGCTCGCTATCCGCCGGGCTGGGGGACCGGTTCCGGCGGAAGGGGTTGAGGGAGGGCATGGGGATGTTTTTGGGGACGTTTTTGGTGGGAGGGGTGGGCACCATATTGAGTCGGTCGACACCGGCTAGGAAACTACCCAGAAAGAGGGCGTGGGGCATGACAGTGGCTGGTACAGATCAGTCATTACATCACCATGCGACATGTGAGGGCTCACCTCCGATGATACCGACTCCAATGTAGAGAGCGCCTGGTTTGACGAGGGTCTGTGACAACATAAGCGGCTGTGACACATGGCAGGGAAGAGACTTACGTGGGAAGGTACAAGACCGAAAAAGACGTCTTTCCACACAGGATGGATTAGTTTGAGCAGGATCATGAAACTAATAAACACTGCCAGCACCTATTCACTGGTCAGCACAGGTCTGAAATGACGATCGATACTCACAAGAGCCACAATGACGAATTCAAAAAACATCATACCCTGCCTCCCGGATGATGATCTGAAAAAGAGCAAGACTACGAGGACGTCCACGGCGGTGATGATGACGCCCGCAAACAGCGGTAGTTTTGGGAAGAGTCTGTCTACTGTCAGCTCCCTCTTGTGATGTAGTATATGAACGTACAGATGCAAAGCGATAGCACTACCCAGAAGTTCTGCCAAGTCGGTCGCGATGATGGCAAGCTCGGCCAAAAGGTAGAGCGACCACAACCCTATCGTCAGGGGAATACGGTATTTGGGGTACCTCTCCTTGAGCCGCAAGAATAGGATACGTGTTTGGGCGGGCAGGGACAGACCGGTGGTAGTGCCCAGCCGGACGGATAACAGTTGGAGCACTAGGCGAGAGCTGTCAGTTGCGGACCACACGATGGGGAGGGTACTTACCGACAGCAGCGAGACCAGCCATGAGCACTACAAAGAGCAGCTTGTAGCCATAATCGGCCCCGGCCTCGAGATCCGTCGCCCAATTACCTGAGATCTACCGTCAGCAAGGACCGCAGAGTCCGCACGGCGGCCTTACCTGGGTCGATATAGGCTACACTCGACACCAATCCTGGTCCGACGAACTGCAGGTGTCTAGGGTGAATGTCAGGATTGTTTTTGTGGATATTGTGGAGAAGGGGCACACCTCCAAAAGACCTTTTTGGATTTCTGAAAGCTGAGTTGTTTGTACCACGGTTGCTTTGCCTGCGGGGCATGCGGCTTGGCGTGGCTTGTAGAGGGACTTGGCTCCATACTGGCGCTGGCTTGAAGTATAGCCGAACTGGGAGCGTTGCAGGGGGTGCTACAAGTACCCAGCAATGGCGAAGAGTGGATGCAAGACAATTGAGGATTTGAATGGCAGGAGTGGCTGAATCTTGAAGTGAGAGATCCGACAAACACCCGTGCCTGGCCCTGGATCGGTTATCGCCGCAAAGTGGGCGGCCATCCCCACGACCCCTATGACCTCTTTCATCGCGGCCCATCTCGAGTAGACTATACCTTGAGCTTGCAAAAATGGGAGTAATGACACCAGCAGTGAACCAGCTTGCCCTAGTCAAACGGGTCTGGGAACGAATCGCCCCGTTGCAGCTTGCAGAGCGAGCTTGGGATAATGTTCGTTGTCCACTTCCCTATGACTTGTGCTGATGTTTGAATCAGGTCGGTCCCATCATCGGTTCGTGCGATATTTGATCCAAGGCCAGATACTGACAGGCTCAAAGAGGCGCCTTATCCCAACTATGCCAACCGACAGGTGCTCCTGACCATCGAGTAAGCTACACCTGCGCTCAGCACATTGCTCACTCTGCTCCAGCCTCACAGCCTCGGTCTGCGCAGAAGCTCTTGCTTTGCCTTCTCTCTCTGTAATCATCGCCTACCACCCTCCTATATTCCGCGGGCTCAAGTCGGTCACATTGTCCGACCCCATCCAGGCTTCGCTGCTTAAGTTGGCAGCCGAGGGCATCTCTGTCTTTTCTCCTCATACCAGTTTGGACGCTACACCTAATGGTATCAACAACTGGCAAGTCGCTCTAGATACTTTCAAATAAGCGTTAATAACGATTGTTGTAGGCTCCTCCAACCCTTCCTCCCCCTCTCTTCCTCTCATCGTGCCATCACACCCACAGCATCTCCTCCTGAAGGCTTCGAAGGCGCCGGCATGGGCGGCTATGCCGAGCTCTCTTCTCCACTCGACGTCCGCGAGGCCGTCAGGATGGTCAAAGCTCACCTGGGTCTCAAATACGTCCAGCTCGCGGAACCGGCGGTCGTCCAGCCCGTGACCAGCCTGGCTGTTTGCGCTGGGTCGGGTGGAAGTGTGTTTAAAGGCATTGATGCAAAGCTCCTTATTACTGGGGAAATGTCTCATGTGAGTCGTCTCGCTTTCATGGGGGTGCTGACTGACGAGTGTTTGCAGCACGAGGTACTTGCCTATGTGGCTTCCGGTACATCCGTCATCCTCACCAACCATACCAACACGGAGCGAGGATACCTTTCTGCCGTGCTCAAACCCTGGCTTCAAGACGAGCTGGACAAGGAGGCTGCCAGTGACGAGGATGCCAGCAGTGGCGCCAAATGGGAAGTGCTGGTCAGCAAGGCTGATGCCGACCCTCTTCGTGTAGTCTAGGGTGAGTGTGGGAAGGTGTGGCATAGTGCAATGCAAACAATATCCATATTAATCGTATCTTTATGCGAACATTATGATGAGATCAAATATTCAGGACTGTCAAGCATCAAAAATCTCCCCCGTCAGACTCTCCTCGATCCCATCCCAATCCACCCCATAATCGCCATACACACTTTCAAACGTGTCCATACTCGCCCGCGCCAAGAACGGCTGAAGCTGGTGCAAGCTCGTCATAGTCTTGACCCCAGAAAGACGGGGGCGTCGGAGAGGAGCAGGACCTTGGGTGGTGGGAGATGCCAGGGGGACCAGTTCTTCTTGCGACAGGTTGGGTGAGGGTTTATTGTCGAGTTCGGAGAGGACGTCGGCGAGGCGGTCCATGATGGATTCGGGGACGAATTCTTCTGGGGGGTAGGCGGCGTCGGTGGTATCAGTGACAAACATCCATTGGTGGCTAAACGATGATTAGCATAGCTCGCTCGAGAGGTGAGAATATTTGCATCTGAAAGTCTTCCGACTGAATGACGAGGAGCAAGTCGAGGAATTTACACGCTGCAAGTACCAGCTGCAGGTCCTCCGAGTTGTTCTCGGGAGGCTCGTCCAGTGTTTGTTCAAATATACGCAACTGTGACCCGTCAGCGATATTCCCCATGCTTAATGGATACTTACCAGTTCAGCGAGGATGACGGGCCAAAAGTTGGCAAGATGTTGCGGGCTGATTCTGCACATGAGTATTCTCAGACAAAGATAGACCTAGTAGCATGTCAGTTATCGCACCATTGACTGGATACAAGGATACTCACATCAGAGTGTACTCTTGCAGATAAACTGCTCGACCTCAACATCTCTACCAGACGCTCTTGGATACCCGGTAGTTGCCCAAGATAGTGATTACGTTCAGCCGACAGCAACAACAAACTCAGTCTCCGCAGATTGCCGCACTTGACCAGCATCTCTTGTTCTCTATTCGTGAATATGTTGATGTTGGCTGAAGATGCCGAGGTGATGCGGGATAGCAGGTCGGGGAAGCGTTCCTTGTCTGCATCGAAAAGGGCAAGAACGAGCGCTTTCCAGTATGCCACTTCGATTGGAGGCTTCGTCTTGAAAAGGCGAGAGTCACCAAAGGAATCGGAGATGTAAGAACGCCAGGTTTTGGTCGCTGAGGGGATGTGGGATAGTTGAAGAACGAGGCGTAAGATGGGGACATCGACTCTGGGAAAGAGGGTCAGCGCGTTTACAATCACCGAGAGGGTACCAACTTTTGCTGTCGGAAAGCGGGGGCGATGATGCTGACCGCTATACCGCTGCAGGCAGAATTGACTCTATCAGCCTCCACTAAGAGTGCTCGCAGATTAGGTATGATGGTTGAAGATAGATAGTCAAAGATCTGCTTGATGTTAGCATGCTCCTTATGCAGCTGGTGTTACTCACCTGCTCGAGACCCTTCTCCACGTTCGTGTCCTCCTCGCTATCCTCCTTCGCCATTGTCGTTCTGTCCCATATACCGCCTTCTGCAATCTTTGAAACGTTCGACACTACCAGGTCGAGAAGCTTGACATAAATGTCCTGCACATCACGCCGCAGCCGGCGGTCTTCCAAAGCTGTCGTTTTTGAGATGGTCAGACACACGTTGGTCAAACACCTGAAAGGTGTTAGCTTTGGTTCACCAGCATAGAGCAGAACGCACTGTAAAGTGGGATAGAGCTGTGCCCGAGACGAGCTTGAAGTGACGCCCCCAGCAACATCTCGAGCAAAGCTAAACAAAGTCGACCATATTTGCACGGCAATTGGAGCCTCCAATCGAGAGACATAGGCCTCCAAGAACGCTAGATATGACGGGTCGACCCTGATGAAAGTCAGTTTCTGCAGAGAACTTATGCGAGGGACGTACCTGTAGTCCGGGATCATTCGCCCAGTCTTGCCAGAAGCCAGCTCACATGTCAGCTCCAGCACCTTTTGCGCGCTGGGGGTCAGGGCATCGATACAGTCGAAAATGGCCGTGTCCGATACCTGTTCAGAGCACAAAGACCACACATGGACACAACTCGACATCACTGCCAGCGGTTGGGCCGTAAAAGCTTTTTCCAGCACCCGCTTTGCCCTGGAATGTATCACCTCATAAGGTGCGTAGTTGAGGGCATCCGAGGTTTGTGGTGGCAGAGTGGCCGACCATGTGACCAAAAGAGCATGTATAGCGTCGTCCAGGTATCGTGGAGATTCCGCCTTGGGGTCGATAGAAGGTGCCTCGACAGTAAAGACATTCGATACCAGGCCCAAAATTCTGCTGCCGCTCTCGGTTTGGGGATTTGGTGTCTCGTCTGCTCTCCCCAGAGCCTGGTTGCCGAGAAGGGTGAGCACCCGTTCCAGCGCGTTCAGTGTCATGACGACTTCTGCGTCCGTCACACTCAGAGTCTCGTCATGTATGACTTCGTCTCTATGTCCCGATGCCTTCTCATGCGCATCCCTCATACGCTGGACCAGCTCTCGTGTCTCCTGACTAAAGCACTCGACTAGTGTGTGGAGTAATGCAGGCCGACTGGCCAGCGTGGGCACCGTCATGAGAACAAAATCGACCCAGTGCTGTAGGACCGGGATGTTGGAAGGCGTGACGACTCCGCGCATGATCATGACCACGAGCTGGTACTCGAATTCGCTAGGGGATATCTCGAGAGGAGGAGGCTTCTCAAAGATGGAAGAGGCAGCGCGCCGGTGTGTGTGACTCGCGACACGCGAAGGATGATCGCGTCGTGGGGCTGAAGCGTGGATAGCTGAATGCAAAAGATGCAGCATCTTGCTCTGGAGTGTCAGATGACCTTTTTGCACAGCAGATATCAGATTCTCGACCAGCTTGGCCTTGAGGTCGTTCAATAGAGGGTAAGGCACATCGCCGCGCGATACCACCGTTTGGAGTAGCGAGAGGGCCGCACCCTGGAGGCGAACCACAAGCGGTTGAGTGTTCCCCCTTCTGGAATCTTCCTCGGTCTCTAGGAATCTACAAGTCGTGAGCTCGCGTGGTAACAGATGCTGGGGGACTAACCTGATCAAGATCATCACCAACAGCTCTAGATACGTTTTGATCTCTGGAAACTGTCCCTCGGCTCGATGGACAAATGTGGAATGGAGCGAGGATCCAAACTCTTGAGCCGCAAACGTCTTGCTGAGCCCCTGACCGCCAAACTGGAAGAGAGTTGCGATAGCTTCAATGTAGTATGTGATCCTACCCAGGTCGACTGGGCCGTCGTATACACCTTTTGAAGAGTTGTACTTGATGACAGGGTCTATCAAACGGCTCATGATGGGATCAACGACTCTGAGATAGGAGCGAAGGTTCAAGCGCAACCAAGTTTCGGCGTGGCGTTGGATATTGGGGTCGGAGCTGTTGAGACTGTCGAGGACGGCACATATCGGCACATTAAAGATCTCTCCGGGGAGCATGGAATCGTCTACAACATGTCAGCGGACTGCAGACACGTATGTCTGACGCATTCACCTGTAAGCCGCCAGAAAACACCAAAGGCCTCGAACGCAGAGCTGTTGAACGGTCTTTGCGCCATCCTTCTCGCGATCACATTCTCCAGTGTGTGTATCTCTGCCAGCTGGTTGAAATCCCATAACAGCTCGACAGCCCTTGAGTGGTATAGCGATGCGGATGGCCGAAGGTATCGGAAAAGCTGGAAGAAGTCAATAGCTGAAAGCAAAGACGCTCGCGGGCTCGCGGGGCTTACCGAGTCCAGGAAGGCAAACATATTTGTTTCTGATGTCAAGTCCAACGGTGGTTGTATGAAGGCACACCTGCTAGCTTTCAAAGCTACACATACCAGTGATTCAACCACTACAAACGTGCTGACCTTGTTCAGACCGCGAACCACTGCGCTCAGCCAGCTCGACCCGTCTACCAGAGCCAATGAGGGCGTCTCGCTCTCGATGAGTGCAGATACTAGTCTTATCGAGTTCAGTAAGAAGGTGGTGTCTGTGGCGTCGATAGTCGACATGTTGATAGCAAACGCGTCGTCAATAATGGAGGGCAAGGTCTCTGCTTGTATTCGCGACTCGATGGTCTCGGGCAGCCGATCCTCAGAGTAGAGTACCTGAGAGACAGGGGGCGAGTCCGATGCCCAGTCGATGGTAGTGCTCGAGCGAGTGAGGATGGTGGTAGGTACAGTCTCGATCAAATGAACGGCCAGAGACAGAGCGGCATTCTTTCGATCCTCTGCCACGGTGTGATTCTGTTATGTCTTTAGCTCACTTGCGTCTGCTGCGAACAGAAGAGCTTACCCGTATACCTGCAAGGAGGCATTGTAGAAGACTCGGTACATGGATGTTGGTCACCTCTTCGTCGGTCTGAGGTACATTACGCAGAAGCCATAGAATCAGCTCCAGGTCGTGCGCTTCTCCTCCGGAAACTTCATCAATGACTGCCGTGCTGAGATCCTTCCAGATCACTGTGGGCTCTACAGCATCGTACAGCGCACTGGCAGTGTCAGACGCGCCCGGTGTGCCCTCCAGTTGCGCCCTCCTGACGATACGCAACGCATTTATGGTCACCTTTCGGGACAATGCAACCCCCACTTCCCATTTATCCAGCAGGGAGAGGAACACCTTGAAAGGTCTCTGCAAATCCGGTCCATTCTCGTTATCCGAGCGATCCTTTTGAGTCTCTAGTTCTAGCATGTCGGTGAGGACAGTGGAAGCGAGGAGGTCTAGTCCGTGAGACTTGAAGAATCGTAGTTGATCTGTGGGGGTATCTCCTGGGCCGAGGAGCCAAGTGTACACGCGCCGACTGAGCGAGAGCTCTTTCTGCAGAACGACATCGGTAACTGCTCGCATCAGGAGCTCCTTGTCCTTGTCGGTGGCACTCCTGAAGCGATTGGTGAGTTGACATCCAATTTGCCTCACACGCCACGTACTTGTATACTCCGCTATCCAGCTTGAGGACTCTCAACAAAAGCTCCAGACCGCTTCTCCGCACCAGCATATTGTCGTCGCCCAATACTGCGGCAAAGCCTCTGATCAATAGACCTGTCTCGACTGTCGCCTCTGGATGATCAGGCGGTTTCAACATCCGTCTTGAAAGGTAATTGAGAGCCGATAGCCTGGATGTCGAAGATGTTATGAGGATGAGGAAGGTGTTTTGGAGGAAGAAGGTTGGTGTCACAGCTCCTGAAAGCCTGTCTAGAAGGAAAAGGATCTGCTTCTGGTGAGCACAAACGCCAGCTTGGTGTCCAACGCACCTTATCAAAGAAGTCGCCTGATTCCTCTTCAATCCCAGGGAGAAGTGCAAGTATAAATGCTTTCGTCGCTGGCCGTAATTGCACTTGCAATGGAAGATAATAGGTTTCGTATATGTTGATGAGCAACGGCCTAACAGATGTCGCAGCATATTGGAAGAATGGGAAGAGACCAGATGACCAAATTGTGAGATCCCGTTCCAATCCATCGACCTAAGGTTGATCAGCGCGATCTTGGCAGGTTTCTCGATACCTACGCCAATAATGCTGAAAATGTATGCGTAGACATCAAGAGCGCGCTGATGAACTCCAGATGGCAGAGCAGGATTCAGACATTGAGCTAGCCTCTTGCCAACAATCAATTTGCGGGGGATTTCATTGTAGGGAGGAGATTGGGATTGTAAAGTCTATGGACTTATGGGTCAGCTGTACAGTTCCGGAATGCAGACACGTCAATATTGACAAACCTTGAGAAGCCTCGAGAGGAACGATATGAAATCCGCCCATTCGTTGATGCTCTCAAACGACTGCAGGCTCTTGTCTACCTGATATCTGAACTTTTTGTACTTGGCATCGTTGGCTAGCAGCGATGTGGTCGCAGCTGCGAGGCTGTTAGCTGGTGGCCCAGTTCGGGCTGCGAGACGTACCCTTCCCAGCTCTTCTCCGTCCTTCAGGTGTTATCCTCCCAGTCGCACCTCCATCTTCCACGTTCACGCTATTCTGTGAGGCTGTAGACCCGCTCCGTGATCTGCCGGGCACCATGAGCGAGGAGAGGCGACTTTGAGAGGGTGGGCGACGAAGTTGCCGGTATTGGTCTTCCTTTGACGGCGCCGAGGCTGACAAGTCGGGTGAGTTGGTCGTCATCCCGTGCTGTGGAATATGCTGTGGTATAGTCTAGGGCGGAGGTGGCCGCAAGATACAAGGGTTAGAAGACAGGACTTGATTGCACGGGTCATAGATATCGACGATGACAACTGTTCCTGGACCTCCACCACACGCGTCCTCCGCGGCGAAGAGTCACCTTTCCTGCCTGATCCACTTGTCATGCACTCCAACTTCTAAGAGCAGCATGAGTCATGGCCATACCTCCGCCAGACACTCTGGTGGGATCGAGAGCGGGGATGAGATCGACACAGAGACGAAAATCGCCATGCTCGCGTCTCTTGTCGATCCCAGCTCGTTTTCCACCGATCAGTACCTCGAAGCCCTAGCAAGCTCGCAAGGGAATGTTGCCAGTGCCGCAGAGCAGCTGCTTATGCCCCGGTCAATTACTGTGCTTGGTAAACGGAAGGCCAATCCCACTTTGAAAGGCTGGCTAGGCCAACCCACTGGCGCAACGGTCAACAAAGGCAAGTCAAATGAAGCGGTTGACTCAACCGCCGCCAGTAAGCCTTTCAAGACGCAAGCAAGCTCTCCAAAGCACGCCAAGTCCAATGACACCTCTCCCAATGCCTTTTCGCTACCCAAACAGTCGTCATCAACCACATCTATATCAGTGCAGCCCAGAACGCAACCACAAGGCCCGATCTTCCTGTCATCCCAGGCTTCAATAGACGCCCAATCTTTGCCACTCTCCGTCTTTGCGCAGCCACTACCGCCATCTCTTGCGTCCGCACTGTATCTGTTGATGATGGAGGAGTCGGAAAAATGGGGCAACAACCGCTTTTACATTGCCGGCAAAGCGGCAAAAAGTCCTCACACGACAAGCTTCTATGCAAGAAGAGAGGGAGGGTATGGCAACGGGAGATACTTTTATGCTGGGATGGAACAGGGACCGGCAAAGGTGAGTGCAATGGTGTTGAAATTGGCAGGTGCTCATGAGGATCCTAGAACTACTTTCCCGTGTTGGAAGAAGCCGCTTCCCTCGTGGAGGATATCGTCAACGAGCATTTGCAACAAAGACAGCGTTATCCTCTTGAATGGGCTGGTAGATGGAGAGCCAATGTATGCGGCGCAAACAGATATGATGGTGCAAAAAGCTCGTAAGCTCATTTCTCTATTATTTGGAGCCTTGCTGAGATCATGTGGTATAGGGTTGGCTGGCATGCCGATCAATTAACATGTGAGTACCGGCCTGCTGTCGTACTGTACCAGAATCATGACTGACTGACGTCGATAAGACCTCGGGCCATATACGACTATCGCATCTCTATCACTTGGAACGACGCGCTCGTTTCGCCTCCGCGAGACACCTGTATCGGACCGAGCTTTTGCCGTCAACGACAAGCCGCCTCGCACGTTCGAGCTGACACTGAGCCACAACTCGCTCTGTCTGATGGACGCAGGGTGTCAAGAACGATTCAAACACACGTACGTCCATCATACCTGTGTGTGGCACAAAGGCTGATCTGAAGGAACAGGGTACCGACGCAGAAGGCTATAGACATGTACAGGGCCCGCTTCGATACCAACCAGAACCCTATCGCCGAGCACAAACAAGCTGCGTCGACATCGAGGATCAACATTACATTCCGATTCTATCGAGAAGGTGAGCTGTCCATGTGGATAGCATGAGCTGATGATCTAGATTTCCACCCGCAACCCGGCACGGGGCCCTTCGGACCACGAGAGGGGACGCCGGTATGCAAATGCGGCGTACCAACGTATGTCGTCCTTCCATCATTCTCCCTGGGAAGCGCTGACAGATGGCGCAGCGTTTTACGAGCGGATCAAAAGGCCAAAGCACGGTCACGTCAAGCACCAAAAGCAATACGAGAGTCAAAACACAACGTCATTGACGACGATATGATCTTTTTCTGGCAATGCCAAAGCAATACTCAATCTGGTGAGATGGATGGTTGTGGCTTTTTTCGAATTCTCGATATGAAGAAAGAGGGAAGAGGGCCCTGTGTTGTAGATTAGTGACTGGTACAAGTTGCCGAATGTATGATGTTGTATCATCTGGTGTAGATACTCGTCGTCATCTTCTGCTCTATACCGTCAAAACGGGCACAAAGACATGTCTATCAACCTCGTCCATCAAGTCATGCCTCAATTGTAATATGAAGACGTATTGCGAATGCAACTTCAAACTCGTGACTCAATCGTATGAGTATGAGAAGATGATCCCCATGGTTTCGTAAATCTCCCTCTCTTCCTTGCTTAGGCTGTTGAAGAATGTGACCCTCTACAGTGGCACACACACATGTTAGAACAAAAGACAGCATACGTACGGAAAGCCAAAACCTCATTAGCACGATGATCTTCTTGCCCAGAAGCATTATTGTGGCGAGCACGCATGCCACTGCTGCTCGCGGATGCAGAAGCATTAGGAGTGTCTTCCTTCCCCAAGGATTCCTGTCGCGTCGACTCTTCTTCCTGCGAGAGACTACCATTGGTCGCTGATGGAGCAACGCTACTGCTGCTACGACTGTTGGAAGCGTCTTTGTTGGATGTGCTATCGTTGGCCGATATAATGGTGTCACTCGGCATGATGGTTGTAAACATTAGGGAGACTACTTTACAGAATGGGCCAAATCTATATGTCGGCGGCAGTGGCGCAGAACAACAAAGGGTGGAGGATGTCTGGTATTCTCAGGCGTGGGGCTTCTCTTCCATCCACTCGTCTCTGGGACTCCCAGGACTTGGAACGAACGACACATTGATACATTCAGCAGAGCAGGTACATGTACAGACAAAAAGCTACGGACGACAGTCAGGGAGATGATATTGCAAGATCACGCTCCCCGGACGTGCACATGAGAACAAAGATCACAGTTTGGCTCGGGTAGAGCCACCAGCAATGAAACTCTGGCCGTGCTCAATGCATTGCTTGGCGCCGTTGACGATATCGTCCACGATCTCCTTAGCAGGTTTGACATCCTTTCATCAAAGTCGTAAGCGTCGAACTACTTTCGGGATATGGAGAGTCCCACCTTGATCATGGCAGAAACATCACCCATCAGCCACGACCTTCCTTTCATACTAAGTTCCGGGTGCTTCTCCAGCTCAACATCATGTGGGATTTTGCCCTCCTTCGTTAGAGAAGCACTGAGAAAGAGTTAGATATTTGCATTGGTGGGATGCTGGACGGTATACGCACATCTCGTCATGCCTGGAGGCCCAGCTTTTTACGTAGTCTGTCTGACGGACTCGAAGAGGGCGACCGGTGTAGATCAAGGTGGTATCCGTATCACCATGATTGGCGCTCACAACGCTTTAGAAGTAGTCAGCCTCGGCACATCAAGAGAGTGATAAAGAAAGGCTTACAGATCCTTATGGATCTTGGGTGCACCAGCTTCCGTGCTGGCTACGAATCTGGTCCCGACCCAAACCGCTTGAGCACCATACATTAGAGCAGCGGCAAGACCACGGCCGTCAAAGATACCACCTGCAGCAATGACATGCACCTGCAAACAGCTCAGCATATATATACTCGTCTCACCGTAATAGAAGACTTACAGGTCCACCGGTAAGAGGAGACTTTTTGCCCTTGCAAGCATCGACACAGGCTGGTATAAGGATTGAGAAGGCTGTCCGTCCTGTGTGTCCACCACCCTCTCCGCCCTGATTGGTATCAGCTGATTGTCGGACGATGATTGAGCCGTAAGACTTGCCTGGGCGCAGATGATGTCTACCCCTTGAGCCAGAGCCTTGGGCACGTGCTTGGGAGACCCAACCATCTACGAAACTTCTTCAGCCAGAGTACTCATTGGAAAGGACAAGCTCACGTTCATCACAAAGATGCCATGCTTGTGAAGCTTATCAACGACCTCTTTCGGCGGGACACCGACTGCGCACACAAAGAGTTTGGCCTTTTCTTCAACGATGACATCGATAAGCTCGTTCAGTTTACCGCCAGTGTAGTCGTAATTTGTCTTTCGGGCATTCTCGCCGAGAGATGGGATTAAGAGGTCGACACCGAAAGCTGTCACACGTATCAGCATGTTGGCTCGGCATGTGCAGTACAGGAACGCAACGGGGAGCCCCTGAATTGACGGGGTATCCACCCCAGACCTAGGCCAGGTAACCAAAAACAAAGGGGACCCACGAAGATCGGGACTCTTGAGGCCATCCTTGATCTCTTTGATGACGTTACGAAGCTGTTTAGGTCTGGGCAGCAGGTCAGGAGCTGGTATCGCGACGCAGTTATAGATGGTACTCACGTGTATCGAAGACCGCCGATGACTCCGAGACCACCAGCATTGGAGACTGCAGCTGCGAGCTCGGGTCCTGCAGCAACGTTCATACCCCTGTGGTATCATCGACAAAGGACGAGATCGACGTCAGCGGGATGCAGACAGAATAAGTACAGGGCAGGCGAGAGGGATTGACAAATGCGTCTCGCTGATCAGCATTTGCTCTCTAAAGGTCATACGAATGATGCTCACGCGAGGAGTACAGGATGGTTAATACCGACTACATGATGGATCTATCGTCAGTACAGACACTTGTCTGAAGAAGAAAGACTGACACAACTGCGTGATAGGCGTAGAGATGACCGACATGATTGTTGCTTGATGTTTCTGGCAGACTGAGAGGGGTTTTTTGACTGTAGTCAAGATGGGCACTGGCAATATATACTAGTCTACTATATATATGTGCACGGGGTGATAAAAATCGAGCGATCCACTTGCCCACTTGATGAAGACTGAAGAGTGGAAGACCCGATGATATGTGGCCGGTCCGAGGAATCAGGAATAGCCGAAAGGTTATCATTACGGAAATGCGGCGAGGTCCGCATGGGTTCGCGTCGACGGCGGGTGCTCTGAATGCCACTGAAATCATCTATCGAAAGCTCGACTAGCTATACAAAACCAAGATGCCCAAGTCCACTAACAAGTCGGCCGCAGGACCGCCCTCGCCTTCCAGCACTGCCCCAGAGCAGCCTGGGAACGAGCAGCCCACGGTCTCTCAGCAGCCCGCCCCGGCCCAGACTTCCACCAAAGCGTCTGCGTCTGCCTCATCGTCCGCACCCCCATCTCACGCCCACCCCGCATTCCCCCCAGCGCCACCCCTTAACAATCTGCCCACCACAGAGACAGACATCATCTCTCTCCTCACTCTTGCGCCCCATCAGATACTCTCCACCACCATCCCGCTTCTTGCCAAAGTTGCCGATGGAAAGCCATTTGAAGGGGCCAACCTCAAGCCAATCGAAAGGAAGAAGATGGGCGAAAATACTCTGGCATTGTACTCTGAGGGAGATAACCTCTATGGCATTGACGACGAGGTGCTGAAGAATGCTGCCGGAGCCCTGGTCTTCATCTTGTGAGTGCTCTAGCGCTGTTGTCCGACATCATCTTATTCAACACGCACAGGTCCGCGAGAATGGATTCGGGCAAGAAGGAACCGACAGTGTATAACGATAGATTGTTTGAGTTCTCCATCACTGTCTGTGCTCTTGCCGAGCCCGCCGAGCTTCGTGCCGCTCCTTCCCGGGGTAAGCACTTGATCAAGTATGTTGAAGAGGTCAGCGCTGATGAGACTCAGTTGATTTCTTCGCCTGGGAGCTCTTGCGTCTTGCTCAACGTCTGGACAGGGTGCGTCGGATTTCCTAGTGCGAGTCGTCTCGGGTCAAAGCTGACGGCATCAACAGGTCAACGAAGCCCTCTCAGCTCTCGCTATACTTGTCGAGAAAGTCGCATACCGCAACACATTTTCCGCAACCTTTGGCGCTCTCTTGGAAGCTTGTCTTCTGACTCGAAAATACGACCACGCCCCATACGTCCTCGATCAGATCTTCCTGGACGTCACCACTGTAAGTGGACCGTATAGCCACAATGCAGCCACTGCTGATACCTTGCAGTGCGCGCCGAAGTACCTTGACTTTTTGACCTACTATCACCACGCTGGGACAGTTGCCGTTGCTCTGGGTGATCTCAAGTTGGCCAAGCGCCACTTTGTGATGGTGCGTTGTTCTCGGCGAGAGTACAAAGCTTACTTTGCTGCAGGCTGTCACTCTCCCCACGCACAATGCTTCTGCTATTCAAATCTCATGTGCCAAGCGAGCTGTCCTTTGTGAGCTGATTACGACCGGCAAAGTGAGTCTTTGCGACCTTTTGATCCTACATCTATGGCTGACTCGATCTATAGAAACTGTCTCTGCCAAAGTACACTCCTGTCGCTGTGAGCCGGGTGCTAGACAAATCTATGGTCCCCTACAATGAGCTGGCGAAAGAGTACGATGGAAGAAACTGGAAGAATGCCCGCAAAGCGGCCGCGCACCCGGACTTTGAGAAGGTCTGTACACTCGATCTTTCGATATATACGGCTCATGCTGACAATGTGCAGGATTGCAATCGAGGACTGGCAGACCTCGCTCTCAACAACATCTACCGTCACATGATCCTCCGACGCCGCTCGACCTACTCTCGCCTGACAGTAGAGCAGCTCGTGGATCGCATGAGAGTTTCAGGCGAAGCACCTGATGTGGAGGAGGTCATGTATACCTTGGATGAAATGGTGAGTTGATTGTTGAATTTGCGTATCAGTAGACTAACCAGAGCTATAGGTCCGGTCGGGCGAGATTGAAGCCACCCTCACACCCTCTCCCTCGAATCCAGAGTCGAATGCCGAAGCCATCATCAATTTCAGCACTGCCTCCAAGACTTGGATTACTTCAGAATCTCTGGAGGAGCTCCACCGGGCGAACCAGCTGTCGGTGCTGTTTGAGAAGGAGCTTGTGAAGGGCGGTCAAGCCTTGGGAACCAGTAAGGAGTATCTCCAAAAGGTAATTGCAATGTCCACAAATGCCAAGCCACCTCGCTGACGACCTTGCAAAAGGCTGCTCAATCGTCCGACTTGAGCGGCAAAAAGGGTACCAATAAGGGCGCAGAATTCGATCAGCTGATGGACGCTGAAGACTCGGAGGATCCCCGTGCTAGTAGTGGAGGCAGACAGAAGAGGAATGGGGTGAGGGGCGTGGGCGGTAATTTGGGTGACATGGGATTCTAGAGAAGAATCATTTATTGGCTTCTAGAGAAGAAGCTCGAACAGTCGTCGGTTGTAAAATAGTCGCAAGACGTATAGACAGGCTAGTTTCGAAGGCCCCCAAAGAATAGAAGTTGGATGATAAGAGATCAGCCAACATGTCATCGGGATCTGTTCGGTGCCGGGAGTGACGGAAGTTTTGCGTGGTCAGGGATGCAGCAATATGCAGCAGAACGCCTCGCACCCGTACCCCGTGAAAGTTGTGGAAAAAAGAAGCCAAGGCACGCGGTATATTAAATCTCCTGAACCCGAAGCTTGAAGCTTATGCCGAGTCCCTTGAAGGTGTCGGATTTATTCATTTGGTCCAATGGATGGCCCGATGGTGGGTGCTTTTACCCGGACGGGAGTCGTGCTATGCACACCATGCGAGGAGGGGGAGGAACGAGCATTATTAGCCATGGACTCTTCGATCATGTACCCGTGTAATCGAGCTACGGACCGCGGCGCTCCAGGCTCTCTTGTTGCGGTTGAGACAGCAAATATTTCGGTCTTTTGGTACTACACCTTCCTACTCGCTTTGCCAGCGCCCCTTCGCTGTTCGCTGTCTCATTAATTTTTCCGCGCCCCTCGCCATCACCAGCGACCTCCACTCGTTTCTCCACAACTTTTCCTTCGCCCTCTACAGACTCACCACCACTCGACACGTCAAACTGCCCCTTGAATCACCAGCGCAGAGCGCGTCCCCAGCTGCTATCCCCTTCCGGGTGTCTTCGCCAAGATGTTTGGCAACTCCATTGCCTCTTCTTCGACCCCCTCCAAGCCGACATCCCCCTCCACTGCACTCCCTGCGAGACCGCCGCCTCGGTCGTCGAGGCGACAGATGCCTAGTTCGGCTGCCATGTTCGTGTTTGCCATGGTGGTCCCTATGGTCGCCGCAAACCCCATACCTATCGACTCCCAGACTCGCCCAAGATTACGAATATCGCCTTCATCCATCGCGGCCCTCCTTCCGCCCAATCTTCCGTCCCCACCATCTATGAGCTCTTTTCCCCTAGTGCACCTCTTTTCTGCTACAGGAGAGTCACTGGCGCGGAGAACAAATGTCACGGGACCGATCCTAGACGTCGCTCTATACGATCCATCATCGCAAGCCTATCGTCTACCAGATAATTACATCAAACTCAACCAGCATTTGACACCGGGCTACATCGTCCTGTCGTACGCGATAGCCTTTGTGGGCTCCCTGTGTACGCTGGAGCTGCTGATACGGCGGACGACCAACAGCGGTTGGCGTAACCAAGTGCTGCTCACCGCTGCTGGTATCTGCTTTGGTGCAGTCTCCACCTTTGCGATGCACTTTATCTTCAACAACGCGCTCGTACTCAAACACCCCATCCACTCCGAATACCCCGATATCTACCTTGCCTACAATGCAGGCTTCACTGTGCTGTCGCTGGTGGTCTCGTGTCTCGCCATGACATTCGCCTTCTATGTGATGGGCACAAAGTTTAGCGACTGGTCATTCAAAAAGAGTGCGAAGAAGAGTAGTCGGGGCAGAATTAAGAGGGGATCAGACAACAGAGCAAGTATCGATGCGGACGAATACAGAGAGTGGAAGTCTACCCATCGGAAAGTGCTGCGCAGAGGGACGATTGGGCCTGGGATTCCCCCTCGAGGTGGCAGTCAGTCCAATTGGTCTGCTCTTGAACCGGAGAGCTATTCCCAGCGGCCCTCAATCAAAGACAGAATGATTTTCGGATCCCGAATGCGGTCAGGATGGAAAGATGATTTGGGCAACATGTACGGCGAGAGAGATAAGGATCTTCGGGAGCTGGAGTTTAGATTGGGGAAAGTGGCGGTAGAGAGAGAATTGGCCAAGAGGGCAAATGGTGACCGAGAAGACACCCACGACGACTGTCATCCGCCCTCAAGAAGGCCCTCTCTCATCCTCGCCCACGATTTTGCTGGCCAAAGGCCATCTTCGCGACGCGGCTCTACCATTTTCACGCCCGGCTTCAATTTCCCTTCTTCTACCTTTACCCAAACCCATCATGAAGATCCTGGACCTTTGCGGCCCGCATCCCCCGACACCCCTTTTCCCTCATCCGCTCGCCTGGAATGGCGCCGATCGTCCCTCCCGACTGATATGCTTTCTTCACAAAGAATCGAGCGTCCCTTTCCAGGACACACCGATCTTGCCCGTATCCTATCCCTTCCAGAAGGCGATGTAGACCCAAATCTCTCTACCAGTCCCGATCGATCTCACGCCTCGCAAGGCTCACAGTCTGAAGACGAAGGCAAAGGGTCTCTGGAGGACGACGTCACAGAGTTGAACCACGAAAAGTCAAATTACGATGGCTATATCAAAAAGAAGAAGGCCAATATGGTGGATAAAAATGGAGTCTGGGGAAAGCTCGGTGTGATCTTGGGATTTGACGTTGTCACCTTGGGAGAAGTCGTCAAGATCTTTGTGACTGGGGCTGTTGCTGGATTTGGCGTTGTTGGGATGCGTACGTCTGTCTCTGATACCCCGTGAATTTTTCTGATCTGTCTACAGATTACATCGGGCAAGCGTCTATCATTGGCATTCCTTACGTTGCCTATAGACCGGGCTATGTAGTCGGGTCGGTTGTCATTGCCTGTGGTGCCGTCATCATCGCGCTCTACATCATGTTCATCATGCTTCGACCAAAGCTCAAGCATACTTGGTGGTCCAAGATACTTGTGGCGCTCATTTTGACCGTTGCTGTTTGTGCCATGCACTTCTGTGGTAAGTCCAGCATCACATTTGATTTTGACCGATCCTAACCTCCTGACAGGCATGATGGGGACTATATACGCTTGGCCCAGAGACAAGGGAACCTCAAAGCACTCTCAACTCACTGGAACCAATGCCGCCATCACCGGTGTCGTCGCTGCCCTCGCCTTCACGGCCTGTATCGCGTGTGCGGTCTTTTTCGTCCTCCACTCTCTTCATCAACGCCGCGAGCAAGCCCGTCGCCGACGTGTTGTTGTTGCGTCAGTCATGTTTGACGACCGCGACCGTATCCTGGTCAGCTCGACAGACGGCATGCTGCCCATGTGCGATATCGCCAATTTGACTGGCGGAGTACACTCCTCGAGTGGAAAAGCGTCGTTCATCCAGAGCATGACCTCCGATTCAACAGTGCTGGGGCTGGATTTGAGTACGGGCCATGAGGCTTTTGTTTCGGCGTTAAAGTTGTCGTGGTTGTGGAAGAGCCCCGCGGGCTCCCACATGAGCGCATCCGGTTCCATCGACGGCAAGAGTCAGACACAGTCTGAAAATAACTTTGCTGCCACACTGGCCGATATCCGACGAGGATCTATGGGGACTTCCAACATCACTACCACTGCCACAGGCAGCAGAGCGGTGCCAATCAGCATCACCAAATTCCTGGAAAAGTTTTCCATCAGTGCGGGGCAATTGGCGTTGCGGTTGACGGGCCAGATGAATGGTATCACCAGATTGGGTGTCTTGTACGACCAAATCCTCACTACGTAAGATATGATAGCCTCATGAGAGATCAATGTGCTGACTCAATTCTAGCGGATGGGTAAAGCTTGAGAATAGCACAGATACTGTCTCCAAGGGTCAGTTGATCTTCTTGGTGCGACGTGTAACCTCCGCAGCGGAAAGGTTTGACCTTCAATCACGACACTTCATGTTCGCCGAGCCTGCCGCTGTTGCAAGCGCACTGCACAGGACGCTCTCTGTGCCGTACGACCACATCATGCCCCTCCTTAGTGACATCAGAACGTTCTGCGACTCTACTGTCCACTGCACTATTCAGCCCGGGAAACTCTACGCGGGAGTCGCCGTTGTGCAGGCCACCCCGTTTGATGGACTGCGAATTTTGCTGGAGAAGGACAATCGGAGTCAGTTGCCTATGCGCGAGATCTGTACCCTCGGAGCGCCCCCTTCGGAAGAGGAAGGCCTCAGTGGTACCGCAGAGGAAATGGGCGAGGCTTTGTCTCTTTTACAAGGTCTCACCATGCTCAGTGTCATCACTCGCCATGTTGAACTCGACATTGACGCCACAGACCAGGCTCTCTCTCAAAGGGTGAATGCGCTCCTCGCCGCGCTCGAGAGGGCTATCGTCCCGATGTTGGACGATATCCTGACGGGCGAAGACATGATCCACATACTTCCTCGTCTCAGTCTTCATCCCATTCTCATTCCCCTCACTCCTGGCGGCCGACAATTGGCCACCCTGCCAGGGAAACGATCAGCCTACACCCCGCCCTACACCATCGTCTTTTACGCCAACTATGACGCCGCAGTCAACACGTTTACCGATCAATGGCTGCCTTTCGGACTTTTCCGCGCGCAAAGCTCTTGTGTGACGGCGCAAAAGGTGCAAGTGGGGCAGAGGATGGAGAAAATCTGGGCCGAGACGGATGAAGAGTCTGGTCATGCACCGGGGAGGAGGCCGAGCAAGGTGCAATTCGATTTCCCGTCTCATTCCGGGGGACAATCGTCTTCAACCGCTGCTTCCTCCTCCGGGCCGGCGTTTGACAACAATCTCTTCAACGGATTCTCTTTCACACCTAAGACAGAGGATGGTGTCGACGGGGGCAACCCTGACACCGTTCAACGTCGTTCGTCCCTGAAGCAAAGTACTTTTGTGCCCACTCAGGTTCGAAAGAACTCTTCGGTGCCCAGTCGGGTCAATTCGGTGGCCTCCAGTTCAGACGGTCCCAGTGGCGGAAGTACCACTGGCACTTTGGGCTTGGGCATTCGGGACGTCAATATGGGGTTGGGGACTGCGGAGGGCCCCAGTATGGCCAAAGAGATCGTAATGAGGCAAGTCTTGCCAGGAGTAGGGTTGTGGGACCAGGATTGGTTGTTGAACCTGCTCAGGAGCAAGCTGAGAGCCGAGGCGTAGAAATGATAGAGCGGTAGAAGTGCACGACCAAGTATAAATATCGTAGTCTTGACATCATGGGTATTTTGTTGTTTTATCTGTTGTATTGCGTGTTATCCTCTAGGACAATGCTCAATTGTCAAAATGTAATATCATTATACGATGAATTCGAAGCTCATGTGCATTGTTCAGCCAGAGAGTTTGCGACAGAACATGCATCCAATGCGAGCTGTGATTCTAAGTATGCCACTCCTCATCTAGAAAACCGGATTTACTCCTCTCCAGGCTTTTGGCTCTGCACCTCTCCGAGGCTCTCGCTACCCTCAACGACCTTCTTCACGGTGCTCTTACCGGGAAGGACCATGGTGGGCGGGAGGTGGGTGAGATCGGGAAGGAGGGAAGCAGCAGTCATACGGGCGTTCTGCTGGAGGACCATGCTACACCAAAGTCAGCTGCGGAGCCAGTATAAGAAGATGAGACAAGACGCACTCCATGATGACGATAGCGGCCATAGTCTCGACAATGGGCACAGCTCGAGGGACAACACAGGGGTCGTGTCGGCCCTTGGCAGCAAGAACACCGCCAGTACCGTCGTACCTAGCGGTGCTCTGCTCCTGAGCGATGGTCGCGGGAGGCTTGAAACCAACTCTGTCGAGATATGAGCAAAGAAGTGCAGTCATGTCAAAAGAAGGCTTACCGGAAGTAGATGTCCTCGCCGTTAGAGATACCGCCCTGAACACCACCACTCCAGTTGGTCTCCGTCCTCAACCTCCTGCCGCCAGTCTTGGCGTCGATACCCTCCACGAAGGGGTCGTTGTGGGAAGATCCAGGGAAGGTAGTACCCCTGATACCGGACCCGATCTCGAAAGACTTGGTGGAAGGGATAGAAAGCATGGCGTGGGCAAGGACAGCCTCGAGCTTGTCGAAGCAAGGCTCACCGAGACCAAGGGGCGCGCGGCGAATGACACAGGTGACGGAACCACCAAGAGAGTCGTCTCGGGCCTTGGCAGCTCGGATAGTCTCCTCCATCTTGATGCTAGTCTCCCTGTGGGGGCATCGGGTAATCTCCTTGTCTACTTGCTCCCTGGTGACAGTGTTGACCAAGTCCATGTACTGCTTTCCAAGCACCTCATCCTCCTCGTCAACGAAAGGCAAAGCAGTCTTACCGACACTGGCCACGAAAGCAACGATTTCAACACCGAAAGCCTCTTTCAGGTACTTTTCGGCGATGGCACCGGCAGCGACACGGCCGATGGTCTCTCGCGCAGAAGCACGTCCACCACCGGAAGATGCCTTGAGACCGTACTTGGCGAGGTAGGTGTAGTCGGCATGGGAGGGACGGGGGTAAAGGTCGGTCTCGGCGTAATCGTGGGGTCTCTGGTCCTTGTTGTGGACAAGGAGGCCGATGGGAGTACCGAGGGTGACGCCATGTTCGGTACCAGACTGAACGTGAACAGTGTCGTACTCGGATCGCTATTGAATATGAGCTTCTAGATGACTTCAAGTTATTTAAGTGCGCATACAGCAGTGGTGATGTCGCTCTGTCCGGGCCTTCTCCTGGACAATTGAATTTGGATGTCCTCCTCCGTCAATTGGAGTCCCTACATCTCGATGGTAAGCTTCAATTGAGCAGTTGTCTCCAGCTGGACTCACGGGAGGGACACCGTCAACGATACAGCCGACGCTTTTGCAGTGCGATTCGCCATAGGTGTGTACGCGGTAGGAGTGGCCGAAGCTGGACATTTCGATTTGTAGATGTGGATCCAAGGTGACTCGCGAAAAATCGGATGATCGAAGTAAAGAAGTTCGAGTCCGCCCCGTTCCTGGGGCAACTGGTCGCGGGGGGCTTGATAGCACATCTTGAACAATTTCTTCAGACGCTTTCTTGCATGGATGTTCTGCAACTACGTACAATCAACTAAAATGCCTCGCCCAGGTCAAGCAGCCGCACGAAGAAAGCGGGCCCGCATCTCCACTACCCCACCCCCCTCGACACCCACTTCCAAGTCGGCAACACAGCAAGAAGACGGCGGCTCTCCAAATCCTAGAGCGCAATGTCTGCCCATGGCCGATCTTCCAGCAGACTTTGATGGGGTCCCAGAAGACGGTGCTCAGTATCTTGCCATGATATACAAGGCGAATAAGAGCTTGCCTTTCTCTACCAGAATGGAGGGCTGGGTGTCAGAGGCCGAGATGGAAATTGAGGTGGTAGCAGAGACGGGGGCGAAGAATAAGGAGAGACATGTGGCTCTGCCAAAGTCAAGCTGGGAGGCTACCTTTCCCATACACTTCCAAGGCTACCGTAAAGTGTGTAGCTCTGGTACTACAAAATGGACATCGCTGATACGTGGCTGTAGAATCTAGCAGAACGTTGGCCACCTGCCACACGACTGCCCTATCCCTCAGACTACCCGCCATTACCACTTGCCAATCGACGCTCGGAATGGTACATGTTTGTTAACGGATATTCCATGGACAATATTCCATCTCAAACAGATAGGCGGAAAGGGAAAGGAAAGGAGAAAGTCGCCTTGACAGAAGAAGAAGCCATGAACGAGGCCGTTGAACAGGTAGAGGTAGAAGAGGAGGATGATTGGAAGAAGAGCAAAGGAGCTCCGCGAGAACCCCTTGTCAGCCTTCTACAGCAACTGAACTCTGTAAGTTGTTTCATAGTCCAGCTTCGCCAGTGCAATCACTGATACATGGTCACAGAATCAAGCAGTACAGGTATTATCCCATTTCGGACACTGGCTCACAGAGGCTATAACCCAATTACCTCCTCCTCTTCCATCATCCCCCGAGCTTCTTCCAACTCAACCGGGTGGCGAGGGAAAGAGAGAAGAGACGTCTCCTCCCCCTCGTCCTCCCAACCCGTTCCCTCCGCATTATGCCCGATGGATCCTCGCTCTCCTTATGCTTGTCGACCCATATCTGTCAGGCAATCAAACATCCACCTTGCGGGACCTTGCTCGGAGTGCTATGCGGGTAGCTGGCTGGAGATGGGTTCGGGCTGTTGTGGCTCGTGACGTGGGAGAGGATTGGCGGTTGGGGGCTGGAGGTTGGGGTTTGTTGACCGAAGCTGAGGAGAGGGATGGGGAGGAAAGTGTGGATGAGATGCTCGCGAGATGTTGGACGGTGGTGCATGCTGTCGCCGCCGGATGGGCACAGAGAGACTTACTTGATGATCTTGAAACGTTGTTCACATGAAGCTCTTTGTCTGCACGACGCATTCACCAACAGTTGACTCTCTTATTATCGTGAGACTGAACATGACACTATCGGCCATGAACGATAGCTGCTTCTTGATCGATCTTCTGCACTATTTATATCTTATGCTCTTTACCATACTCAAATATATATATGGCTGTGTTGATAGCACCTCGCCGGCTAGTCGATAGTCATGATCAGTTCCATCAACTTCGGTGACTTCGCCATGCGCAACGAACTCGTGCGGTGATCGCCGCTGGAAGCTGAACATCCACAAATCCCGGCGGACCTTTCGTCTATCTACGAACTTCCGAGCAAGAAACAACAACTTTACTTCCAAATACTCCCCTCCTATCTTTTCATCTCAACTCTACACTCCTCCGTACCCCGCTGAGCGGCCGAGACAGGTAATAAAAGCGCATCACAACTCGAAACAACTGTCGCGCCTCCGCCCTCGACAGCAGACAATTCACAAGACGCGCTACACGCCATCGCACATAGTCCCCCAGCTTCCTGCGAACGAACCTCGGCCTTCTCTGTGATTTCAGCACCCTCAATCGGGATGACTGGTATACAAGGAGAACGCGATCTGGGCAATCGGCCGAGTGAGCCGAGAGCAATGCCCTCTCTGTCCACTGAGGCTATCCAGAATCTCGCCAAATCACCACAGGCTGGAAACGCCACCCAAACAGCCTCCCATCCGATAAAGAACGGCGAGTCGTCCACTCATGCGAACGGTTCAAAAGACGTACCGGCGCCGCAAGTGGAGGCCGCTACCAGCTCGGACATGCCGAGGCAGACGAAGAAGGAAGGGCCAAAATACATACAGCCGGATCATTTGTGAGTGGACCATATGTCAACATTCGGAGGTCTGACCAGAAATCTATAGCTCTCCGATGAACAACAACCCAAATGGACCAGAAGTGCCTTCTCGTGGTATCCCGAATATTGGAGACGGCTGGTTGTCACCCGAAGATGACCCCTCGGCCCTGAGAGGTATACCGGTGTTTAAACCTACTATGGAGGAGTTCAGAGTAAGTTTTGAAGTCCAACTCGCTATGCTTGCTAACAGTGTGCAGGACTTTGAAGGGTATGCCCACAAGACGACAGCCTGGGGCCAATACTCTGGCATTTGCAAAATCATCCCTCCCACCGAATGGACCCAGTCCCTACCCCCCATCACCGCCTCCACACTCTCTTCTGTAGAGATCAAAGAACCTATACAGCAAAATCTGATTGGATCAGGCGGCCTATTTCGCATAGCTAACGTCGCGCGCAACAAGCGTCGGCCCTTGACTATAGAAGAGTGGTTCGACAAGTGTCAAGAGAAAAAGTTCACTGGTCCAGGACCGAAAGATCTGGATAGGACGGTCAATCGGGACTCAAAAGAGGCGATTGAACACCGGGCGAGGGTGAAACAGGAGATCCAGCAGGAGAAGGAGAGGAAGAAGGAGGAGAATAAGAGAAGGAGGGAGAATAAGGCGAAGAAAGAGGCAGAAGAGGCGGACGCCGCAGATGAGGAATTGTCGATGAACGAGGGCGGTAGGAGGCAAGACTCGAAGCGAACGACCTTTGTCAAGCAAGAGTCCAGTCTGCTTTTCCCCAACCCGACAGAACCTGAATTGGACGATCCATCCCTGGCAGGTGAACCTCGCCCCTTCTATCGTACCTTTGATTTCACAAAAGACTGGCTAGCGGAGGGTACGACGCTGGAAGACTACACCCCGGAATCGTGTGTTGCCCTCGAAAGACGGTTATGGAAGAATCTAGGGCTGGGCGAACCTAGTTGGTATGGGGCAGATACCGAAGGATCGCTCTTTGCGGACAAGGACACCCCTTGGAATGTTGCCCACCTGCCAAACCTTCTCAACAGGTGGGATCTTAGGCATCTGCCGGGTGTCAATGCCCCCTATCTATATTTTGGAATGTGGGGCGCGTCTTTCGCTTGGCACGTTGAAGATGTGAGGCTCCTTGGATCAATGTTGTGTGGTGTGCTGATATTTGTGATCAGATGGACTTGTTCTCAATCAACTACATCCACTTCGGTGCCCCTAAATTTTGGTACGCGATCCCCCAACAACAAGCCGAGCGATTCGAACGCATCCTTCAAGCCTACTTTCCCGAGGAATCTCGTGCCTGCGACCAATTCCTCCGTCACAAATCTTTCGCTGTGTCGCCTTACCGCCTAGCCAAAGAAGGGTTGCATGTGAATATGCTACAGCACAATCAGGGCGAGTTTGTCATCACGTATCCACGAGGCTACCATGCGGGGTTCAACATGGGTTTCAATTGCGCAGAGAGTGTCAATTTCGCCTTGGAGAGCTGGGTTGAGTTGGGTAGACGGGCAAAGGCATGTCAGTGTGTCAACCACAGGTAAGATCCCTCAGTGCCATTATCAACCGTGCTCATAGTCGGTACAGTGTGAGGATAGACGTCGATGAGATGCTTTCAAGCGAAGCAAAACGGCTTCAAGGTGAACAAGAGCTCTTGGAGGCTATCGTAGAGGAACGCAAGAAGCCTCGGAAGAGACCTTCCAGCGAAGACAAGGCCACACCGCGCAAAAAGATTAAGTCTGCTCCCAGCGTGCTCGACTTGCCTATCGAACCACCCGTCGCCCTGCCCCCGCTTGCCCCTGCGCCAAAGAAACGTCGCCCGAAAAAGGTCCTTCCGTTATCTAGCCCCGCTGTTGAAACAAAAGCCGTGCCACCTCGCGACATCCGTACATGCCCATGCCTGTTCTGTCCCGGCTCTTCCGTCGAAGACCTCCTCCCAGTCTGGGCTCCTCCAGAATCGGTCAAAGCGAAATGGTACCCACGCGACGGGCCCGTCACAGTACATCATAGTTGTGCTCTTCCCATGCCCGGCGTTGGTATTGAAGATATGCAGCTGGCAGACGGGAGCGTAAGGGCGTTTGTGGTGGGAGCGGAGAATGTCCAAGGGGCGAGGTGGAATCTTGTACGTATGTTGATCTGCTCACGATAGGGGCGAGCTCACTGATGTCTTCTTGCTACTGTGTCTGCTCAACAACAATAGAAATGTGCGTCGTGCAGTGATAAAAGGATGCAGAAGATGGGCGCCAAGTTACAGTGCACCAAGGTAAATCCCTCTGTTTTTGCTCTTCGGAGACGACTGTCCGAAGGGCCCTTCCCGAATTGTCGGGAGGGCAACATGGTTTCGCCGTGTGCTGATCATTTTGCCACAGGGAAAGTGTCCTCGGGCTTTCCATGTCTCGTGCGCCCATGTGGATGCTTCGGTTCGACTGAATGTTTGGGTCGTCGAGCCCCCACCACTGTCGACTCATCCTTCACCTGTGAATACACTAGAGGTGGAGGATCCCATCAAAGTCGAACTGCTCTGTCCGCAACATAATCCTGTACGTTCTTCAGTTGACTCGTGGACTGGCGTTTACTAATGGCGAATGACTCAGGACATGAAAGAGAGGCTTGAGAAACAGAAAGCTCAGGCACTGCGAGACAAGGTGTTGTCGATTCCGCTGGGGTCAAAAGTCAAGATCAAGAGCGAAGGAGCGTCGTTGGAGTATGTTTTGCTTGCAATCAGTGGTCAGCTGGAGCAGATATCTGTCCAAGTTCCTGCAGGGTGAGTCGTTTGACGAGCACCAGAGTTTACAGTATCTGATCGAAGTCAAAGGGAGCGGAGCGTCTTTCCATGGTCTAGCATCGATCTGAGGCCGAGTCAGGCGAAGTTGCAGGAGAACGAGTATGGTGAGTCGTCATGAAATACTCTCCTTGAGTCTAGCTGACACGACCCCAGCCCGAACGCATACACACACTCGCCGTCCTGATCCAGCCTCGATGGACGCACCTCGACCAAGCCCCACCCCTCAGCCCGCACTTGCAAGACCGTTGAGAATGGACGAGATGCTTAACCCTACACCATCGGGTAGGCAACGGTACGAAGACTCGTTCAAGAGACAGTCCAACATGCCTGTCCCTGTTCCGTCGGGTTACTATATTCAAGCACCTGCACCTACTCGTATGGTTCATCCCCATCCAATGACATGTCCGCCTTCCCCAAAGTCATACGCTTTTCCCAGTCAATGGCATCAACCTCAACCTCAGCCGTTCCATGACGGCGCCCAGCGATCTACCTCGGCAACAGGGCCCCCTCCGCCGCAGGCGTGGCCTCGAAACCCACCCGTGACTTCACAGAGTGGCCATCCTGGGTACATCTATAGCGCCATCACTCCCTATCACTCGCTCCCTCTTAACGGCAGACCCTCTATCAGCGCAGATCCTCGAACCTCTAATTCTGCCGCCCAGAACCCTGCGGCTCCGGCTTCCCGAGCGGGGCCCCCTCCCCCTGTTGGATCTGACGCCTCTGGGGTTGGCAAGATCGACCTTGGGCTTTCGAGGATGCAGGCTATCATGTCAGGTCTACAGCCATTGACCGTGCCTGCCATCCACTTGTCAGGGACCAATGGAAAGGGCTCTGTCTCGGCTCTTCTCGAATCCGTCTTCATGGCTGCAGGCCTTCAGGTGGGCAGATATAACTCTCCCCATCTGCTCGAGCCACGCGATGCTATTCGGATCAACGGGATCCCTCCTAGCAAAGAAAAGTATGAGGAAGCAATCCGCATAGTGGAGGGCATCAATCGCGGCTCGAAGCTCGGGGCCACGTCCTTTGAAATTGCCACATCGGCTGCGCTCTGGCTCATCAACGATCTCAGAGTCGATGTCATGATCATCGAATGCGGTATGGGTGGAGCTCGAGATGCGACCAACATCCTACCGCCGGAGCGAACGCTGGCTTCCGCGCTGACGACAGTCGGTTTGGACCATACCAATTTCTTGGGCGACACTATAGCAAAGATCACCCACGAAAAGGCTAGTATCGCCGTCGAAGGTGCCGTCTTCGTGGTGGGGCGCCAGATGCATGAGGAGGTGCCGCATGTAGCTCGAGGGGTTGCAGAAGCAAGAGGGGCTAGGGTCTTCGATGCTCTCCCCACCGAGATTCATTCCGTGCGACTCCCGCCAATGTCACTATATCCTTTCCGTCCGCCCCCGGCAATCCCTGTCAGGACGCATCTGTCTCCCATCCGCGATCTGGATTTCTCGGTCATAGATACCCAGATGCCTCTTCCTGGTAAACACCAGCTTGACAATCTGTCTGCCGCACTAGCCATCCTACACGCTCTTCGAAATGATGCCCGAGCTTTGGACATTATGCCTACTCTGGGCCGTCTGTCAGGTCACATCATCCAGCGGGGTGTCTTCAATTGTCATTGGGAAGGAAGATGCTCCTGGATCGATTGGAGAGATGGGCAACGTAGTCACCCTATCCTGGTCGATGGAGCTCACAACGCGGACTCTGCGCACGCTCTGAGAGGGTACCTCAATTCGCTTGATGTTGAGGGGCCACGATTGCCTACGCGCTTTATCCTCTCTCTCTCATCTTCCCCGGGCAAGACAGTTGAGAGTGTGCTAGCGCCTCTCCTCCTCCCAGGAGATGAAGTCGAAGTCGTTGATTTCACCACACCAGTCGAGGGCATGCCTTGGATCAAGACTGTGCCGGTAGAGGAAGCGGTTCAAGTTGCCTCTCGCTATGTCGGACCCCAAGCAGTTGTGATGGGTGGTAAAGGGGTCAAGGGTGTGCATCGTGCTCTAGTTCGAGCTAGAGATGAGGGGAGATTACCGGTGGCATGTGGGAGTCTGTATCTGGTAGCAGATGTCTACAGAGTATTACAGGGCGCGAGATGAGCGGGATGATATCTACTCTATGATGATGCACTGATGTTTTGACTATAAGGCTTCCTATTGACTCGCCATGAATCTTCCGCGGATACTACTACACCGGATGTTACATGGGGTACGAGTATCGTTGTCCTGATTCTCAGGTTTTCCCGGTGATATTATCGATGTGGTCTCTTCCTTTCCTCGATCTTCATCTTCCACCTGCGCGACCGCACGTCGTTTGGGTACAGCCTCAACGTCCATATTCGGATGAGGCGGATACTGAGCATGCCAGGGCTTGGATCCTCCCGGCCCCTCGCTCGGGATTGCAATCGGAATCGGCGCGCTCGGCATGCCGCCCCCAAACGTGTCCACCCCGAGCGACTCCTGGAGTCGTTGTGGAAAGTGCGGGGGATAGCAAGGGTCTCCGGCACGGACAAAAGAGAATGGGCCTTCGTAGCTCTTGGAGTCGGTGCTGTTGGTAAAGGTGTCGTGCCATCGACCGGTGAGATAGCCACCTGAAAGAGTATACCCACGCCATAACCAGGTTGTACCGGGTACTCGCTATGTATCGTTAGTATGTTGCGAGGGCGTGTTATGATTCAACTCACGGCATAGGTTAGACATAGTATCACAAGACCATCCCAAGACCTCACGCGACCTCGTATTCTACACCATCCCCAAGCATTCCGTCCCTGGAAAGTTGTCAGACGGTTCCGACTGACAGATTCTGCGACTTACTCTGCCTGCAAGTAAAATCTCCTTCGTCCAACCTTCCGGCACAGGCTCATCATCACCAACAATCTCATGTCCATAGCCCTCCTCTACGGCCTTGACTTCTTCATCCACATTATCTAGATCCTTGAATCCAGCACCGAACATGGGTCCGTCTCCACCAACATCCTCTTCCCTGACCTTCACCACAATCTCCTTCAACTCCATTTCTACCGCCTGATCTGCAAACATGCCTGTGTAGACTCGGCGCATGTTGCCTTCCGTCATCTCTCTGTAGAGCTCGTAATCGTAGAAGAGGAACTTGCCCCGCCAGTAGCCTTGCACCTTGCCACGGAGCGCCAGAGCGGGGAGGCCTTGACTGGTGTGGGGATCTTGGCACATGGTGTCGCGCTGCCACTCGAGATCTTGCATCTCTGACAAGGGAAGACCATTTCCAGAAAAGACACCTCCAAGCTGCTTTGAGTTGTGAGTGAAAGAAGTGTTCCCTTGCCTTGTGCCAGCTCGATCCGAATGCCGTTCTAGTAGACGGAAGAAGAGGATGTAGATGCCGGTGATAAAGTCGGGGGGCGATCGGCGCCAAGCGTAGCCGAAGCGTTTATACGTGACCGCGTGGCCGTTGGCGGGTGAGGCGGAGTGCTTTGTGCAGCCGGGTTGGCAGAGCGGGAGTTTGGTCTGGTTCCATGGTCCAAACCCTATGCCATACTGCGAGGACTTTAGCGCTTGTCTGAATATTACTCTGATTTTGCTACGCACCTGAGCAGCTGCAAAGATGTAGGGCCGGAGCATGAATATCTTCTCATCAACCTCCGCTGATTCAGCCTCGCCCACATGACCATCTGTAGAGAAAAGCATTAATTCAATGTCCTCATAACGAGACGAATCACTTGCCTACACCTCCCAGTAAACCGATCCAGGTCAAGAGTGATCTGTCCCAGGTCATACGAGGATAGCCTGGTGCTAAGGATTCTTTGGCAAGTTCCCGTTGGAATCGTGCGTTCAGGACTTCATGAAGCCTGCACATTTGTGTTACGAAAACCAAGTTCTTTTCGTCTTTGAGGGGTCAGCTGCGAGAGATTGTTCAGAGTGTGGTTTCAACTTGCCATTCTCGCTCAACAAAAAGAAAACATCCCACAGATCCTCCGCGAACCTGGCATAATCACAGAGGCCTGGAATGTCGATCGTTCCCAGCTTGGCGACTTCACGCCATCTCCCACACAACTCCCATCGCGTGCGATAGTCGATCGCCCAAGGCCGCGGGTCGGAGAACAAATTGTATCCCTTTACGCCTCGGGTAAAGATGTGGGTGAGCATCCACTGATACCGACGAGTGACTGCCGTAGAATCGAAGGTGGCGAGGTACAGTTCATGGTAGAGCTGTGGATTGTGGGCAAACGTGAGATTGTGGTTGAGGGTACGGCATGCGAGGAGGAGGGGGAGGAGGGCAGCGGGGTGGGCGTTGGGAGCGTCAAGGACGGTATGGTAGGCGATGCGAGACTGGATGTGGCGGGGGAGGCTGGCGAGGTGCGGCATGGCTCTGGGGCAGCATTTCTAGGTTGGATTGCATTCGCGGGAGGTTATATATGCACATCTCGCAACTTGTCGTCGCGATCGCCGTTCCTTTTCCCCCGGAAGCTGCGTGCCGCCGGGGACTTGACGCTGCCTGTGCTCAATAATCCTCCTCGGAGGCGATTTATCCTCCGCATGCCCATCCAGGCATCCATGCATCCATGACCCGCATGCTCCAGATGCCAGCGGGCATGCCGATAATACTACCGTCAGCCGCGAAGCACCCCACCGCAATGCCTCGGAAGCAAATTATATCTCCTTGGCCGGCGGCCTGCTGAGTGCCGGCACCACATGTCAGTCAGCAAAAGAGCACGACTGGATGTCAGGCGTTCTGATTAGTAGGCCTATGAAGCACGTGGACTGCTAAAGACTGGGTTGAGTAGCGGAGATGCCAGCCCTCCCAAAACTTGCTATCCACCAGTGCATTACATCGCGGCCGGCTCGAGCGCGTAACGTCAGCCATACTACATGCGCGCTCTCTTCAACTATGGGCCTATGATCATCCATGTCCTCCTGCTATAGGGCAGTGAAGAGCCTGCTATACGTCTGTACGCAGGCCGGTGCCAAAGATCGTTCAAACTGAGGACCACATGAATGATGAATGAGCCGGCGGACAGTTGGTTCACGTGTCCGTTCGTTCAAAAATACGTCTCCTGCAATATCGGAACCGAATTGGAAGCAGTGTTCGTATCCATCCTCGGTACATACTCAGTTCAGAGGTTGCTTGGTATGTATCCCCTCAAGGTGGGGCCTTTCCCCCCCCCCCCCCAAAAAAAGGTATGTTCACACGCCTCAAATGTCTGTGAGCTGCGAATGCTATACATAGTTCGTTATGGAGAGTGATCGAAAGAGACGCCCAGTCATCAACAATCCCTGGCCGATCATTGTTGACATCATCTTCGGCTTCCACAGCTTCCAATCATCATCTAGCATTCGGCATGCACAGATCTATAGTTCAATTCTCCTCTGATCTCTCATCTCTGAGGCCTCTAACCTCAGAAAATTCCGAGGTAGAAGCCTAGGGAGATTCTACTTAGATTCAGCTCGACCTGCCTCGGATCAAATGGTTATCGAGATACACGAGAGCACACAGATGTACGCGTTGTACAAGACACAGAAGGCCGGTTTTTGCGGTCCTTGCATCCAGGGTGGGTGCGTATGTAAGCCACGCTCAGCCGTCGGAATGACGCCTATAATCACAACAACATGAGGCCGGCTGCTGAGTATGAGTAGCGAGGGGAATAGTGCAGCGGTCGAGTTGTTGTTGACGATATACCAGATCTACGAGCTCTGCCTGTATCCTACAGTATGTGATCGTGTTATACTCGAGAGGTAGCAAGGTTAAAGCCCAACTCAAACTTTCAATTGTACTGTATCAGCAGCAATCGTACTTCCGTTGGGTGTGCAGAGAGCAATCGGCCTTTGGCCATGGCCATGTTTATTAGCGACAGATTCGACCATCTCATCACAACTTCACGAGGTGCACAAGGGGCCCGCAATTGCGGACTCGTTTTCGGCCTTTTTGGGGCTCTTTCAGGTCTAGCATGGTCTAGTGTCTTGCCTTTGCACTCACGAGTCACGACCAACCTTCTTGTTAACCTTGTACTGAGCGATCGACGCGACGCGCCGGCCGACTGACTACCAACCGCAGGCAACAAAGGGTCTTTGATGAACAGCATTCGTACTCTACGAGTACTCGGGTACTCGAATACGCTTGTGCGTGGATATCATACATGCCCAAGAGCCATTGGGCCCCACTGGGATTCACAAGTGACCATGCGTACAACTCGAGCCTAAGAACACTCGCTATTGCTCCTACATATCATGTCCAGTCTCCGCCTCTGACCATTCGCCCTCCGTCTCCGTCTCGGTCTCTGTAGCCCCCGGATCGTCCCTCCTATCTCTCCGACCCACCACCCAAGACAGTCTCCCAAATGGCCAAGTATGCCGCTTGTATCCATACTCCCAGCGCCAGTCTGTATCACCATTGTCTTTGGCTTCTCCTTCGAGAGCGAGACTGAGGTTGGCGAGCTTGGCGAGGTAGAGGATCTGTTTGGGTGTTCGGGTACGGTAGACGGAGATGAGGCCGTCGAAGACGAGAATGAGAGGGGTGAGGGGGATCAAGTATGTGAAGAAGAGTGTCTCTGCGATAGACGGCTTTAGCAAATGGTGGCAAGGCAAAGCTCTGAGCTCACTGGCACTGGGACGCAGCAGAGGCGTCAGTATCCAAGTCAAAGGCGCCAACATCAAAATCATGATAACGCTGCCCAGAGTGCACTCTTGCAGTTCGAATATACTATGAAGTGCTGTCAGTATCCCACCGTCTGACAAACGATAATTGCAAAGCTCACCATAATGCTTCGGCGCTCCGCATCGAATCGGCAATGATTTGCCGTCCATGATCATTATTGAAATGGTGAAAGCTCAGGAAGAACGTCCGCAGATGCTTGAGGGACGACACGGATTTGGGAGCATGAAAAGCGTTGACAGGCTCATGGATATAGGACAGCGTGGGGCTGGTGGAATCTGAGATGGCGGACGGGACTGGATGGATGTCTGAGAGAGAGACTGGTACTGGTGTATTGTTGTCTGCTAACCGACGCTCGCTACAGATGCCTCGTGTATCAGCCGACAACGTCCACCAAAGCACACTTTCACACTCACTTCAAGGCAGCTTCAACTTTCCTCACCGGCCCCCCTGCACCACTCCCAAAATCCACAATACGCATCGTCTCTCCACGGATTCCGCTGTCCCTGTCATACGTCTCGATCTCATCTACCACTTGATTCAAGACTTCCACAGCCCCCTCATAGGGCGCTCGATGTTGGAAGGGCGGGACGCGGTGTGTCCAGAGAAAGGTGAGCATGTCGCGCACAGGATCCCGAAGATAGGGCGGGCACCATGGCTGGTCGGAGATCTCGAGGAGCCATGGTCTTCCGTAGGGTAAGGGCATCGGGTGGGAAAGGGGAGGCGAGGCGGGGAGACGGTAGGCGAACGCAAGATAGAAAATGTAAAGACGGACGATTGAACACGATAATCACGCGCGCACCAACTTAACAGCTCGACGAACGAGACGGCTTTCCGTTGATCCACCTACAACCCTGGGCATATAGTCCCGTGATGTGCTTACTGGTCTTCCGATGCTATGACGGTAGAAATTCATACAAAGAGACATTTCAAGATCTACCGAAAGGACTGAAGGTACGAAAACGCTGCTCTACCATTTGTAGGTCGGATACATTGGAGAGCGACCAAAGTCCCTCTCGCGGCCAATTGAGATGAGATAATGAACTCGAATACTATTTTATGTATGCTTGGAAGTGGGTATTAGATCGTGGCAGGAAGGAGAAAGGAAGCTTAGTCATACTTGATAGAACAGAAACAGAATGATAGATCACAACTCGAGAGAGCTTCCCCTTTTCTTACACCTTCAAGATTCTTCTTTGCTTTTACTACTTCTCACCAGGTTCCCCGTTAGAGTTGCCTGAGTCTTCCATACTCCCCCTCAATCCACGCAAAAGTCCTCACGATCATCTCATGACGATACCCTTCTCACCAGAGCTCTTGCTTGGCCGCTTGTCGACGTGGTCAAGACCAAGAGCATCATCTTGCGCCCATTTGTGGTCGTAGATGGTGTCGTCTATTTCAACTACGAGTCAGCACACGGGTCAACACTGCATCTTGATCTGAAAGACCGCTCCGGCGGGAAAGGGATATGGACATACTCTCTTCAACGATTGAGGGCTGCTTGAACACTGTCGAGGTGACAAGAGAGAACTTGAACTTGGAGAATTCCTTTTCAGAGACACCAAGGCGCTTCTGCAGCCTGAGCTTGGTTTCCGAGAATGGCTCTCCCTGATGTAGAAGGTCAGCAATGGCACTGTGCTGCGCCACGTCAACTTACCTCGAGCAACACAAACTTGCAAGGTACACCGTGCGTCCGTGTGGGTTCTCTCCAGTAGTGGAACACATTGACGACCTTGGTGCCTTCACCAGCACTCGCCTCCTCCACGGGGACCTCCTCCGCGAACAGCTCTGTAGGCTCCGCAAGGTTGCCAATCATCTCGGCACCAGTGTGTTCGCGCTGCGAACGGCCGGACGAGGAAATGTCAAAGATTCGAATCTTGCCGCTACCTCCAGCCTCAAGCTTGACCAGCTTTGACAGTTGCTCAGCAACATCGGTGAAAGTATGGGTCTTTGGCAGCAAGAAGGGGTGGGTAGTCTCTTCCTTGTTGTGAACACCAGTCCAAATAACCTTGAGAGACTTTTTCGTCTCCAGTTCAACAATGCTGATGTCAAGAAGCTCGTAGTAGATGACGATGTGCGAGTGCTGGCTGTAGTAGCTAGTCTGGGTGATATCCGCGACGCTCTGATTCAAGCCCCGCTTGACGGTGTTTTTGGGAGCACCGTTTTGGTTGTGGGCAGAGGTGAAGCGAAGCTTGAGAGGGTCATGTTTCAAATAGTCACCAACTCTGTTAGCCATCTGCAGAATGTCAGCTGTTGCAATACTGCAACTACCACAGTACTCACGACCTCGTAAGTGGACTTTTTGCTCAGGATGAGCTCGAATTCAGGGGCCACATTGCTCTTGTCTTCGTATCTGGGCTTGAAGTGGACCAAGATTCGGTTTTGCAAGAAGTCATAGAAGGCGGGGACACTAGAGTAGAGACCCTGAGCATCCAGATCGGAAACCCTTGAAGATGGTCAGCACATATTAGAGTGTCAATATAGCAACTTACTCCTTTTCGGGGAGCTCGACCTGGTAACAGATGATGTCACCGTCCTGAATTTCATTCTGAACAAAAGACTGCTTGACCTTCATAGCCTCGATCATACCAGCCTTGATTTCCTGTAGAAGTGCGTCAGTTTCGTTTGATGACTGCATTGGGTGGCGAAAGGTTGAACAAACCTCGTAAAGCTTTATAGGCGTCGATGACGGCCAGCCCATTTTCTCTTGGATGATGCCAAATAGATCCGAAGTCTTTTGATATTTGTCCACAAATACCTTCCCTTGACCCAGAAGCGTTTGACGGGAACAGTCGAACCATTTAAGGAAAAGCATGATTGGATGGTTGTTGGGATCCGCGTGAAGCTGCATAGCACAAAGTCAGCTTTGAATTCAGACCCAATGGAGAGGCGGGACAAAAGGAAATGAACGCACGGTATTGAACTGGGTGTGGTCAGGGTTGAAATCAAGGTAAAGTCTGAGATCAGTCGCTCGCGCCGCCATTGTGTTTCTGATGCTCTCCATTGCTCCAGACGAATGTCAGCTGTGCTTCTCAATCGTTCGCATGCACTTACACTGAGCACCGTCACTGTCGTGTATGGGCACATCCGGCCTAGTCGTCTTATTCTGCCTGTTGACAAGCACCCAGAGCCTAAAGTCCTTTTCAGGGATTTTAAAGTGCTCGGCCACGCGGCTCTTGAATACAGCATAAGTCTCATTCTTCAACACTCGGAAAGTCGGGAGGTCGGTTGCGGGGATGTTCTTGTCTTCAAAGGAGGCAAGGTCGAAGCCCTGATGTTGAGAGAAGATGTCATCGGTGATGATTTTGGCAGTGAGGTAGAGGTGCTGCTCGTCCTTCTCCTTCTTCTTGGCTTCGAGGAGCTCCCTCTCGTGGTCGAGACGGGCCTTGAGATGGGGCGGGGTGTCGGATTCGGTGAAGGGTGCAAGGACAGTGTCGAGCTCGGTCTCTCGTACGTACACCAGCATGTAGGCGTTGGTAAACTTTTTCAGGGTCCTGGCCTGTGTCCTCTGGTGCGAGGGCACAAGTCCGCTGACCATATCTCCTCCAAAGTTGTCCTCCAGCACCTCCTTGTCCGTCACTGGGGTTACCCGGTCGTCATCAAACTTGAACCACCGTCCGTCCTTCTCTGGCTTGATGAGCGCAAAGTAATGGCCACCATGCAGATCACCAGAGTGGACCAACACGCCGTGGAGCTTGTATACGTGAGACTGGGACCGGTCGGCGGATTCGTCCAAGAAGTCACCGAGGTCGAGCTCGTATGGGAACTCGTGGCGGTCGTTGATCTTGACCAGAGCATCCTTCTCAATGTCGTATTCGAAGCGTCTAAGTTGCAAGTGGAGGACGGGAGGGAACGACTGGAAGATGACACCCTTCTTGGCGGCCTGCAGACCATGGCCCTCCGCCTGGTACTTGTTCTCGCCATCAAGAGTCTCGACAGAGACATACTCATTGAAAGAAGCTCGAAGGTCCTTTAGTCCCTTGATAGTGAGTTGGATATCTACAAGCTGGTCAATTCTCGCGCTCGCCTTAACGATTGGCCTGACTGACCATAGAAATCCTCCACCACTGAAGACTCAAAGTCCACATCGATACACTTGATGTAGTTTTTCATCTGCCCCTTGAATAGCCTGGGAATAGCGCCCTCGGCGGGGGTTCCCTTCATCTTGATTTCCAGCTTGTCCTGTAGAATTCGGCTGAACTCTTGCACGTCGTGCTGCATGAACGAATCGAGCGACTTCCATCCAAAGGATTTGGTCAACTCGGTCGTCCCTACGGGCTGATTGGATGTTTGGAGATGGTAAAAGACACGTTGGAGAGCGAGTGCCAGACTTTCGGAGGGGATATCGTCTTCCGTGGGTATTTGATAGACGGCCTAGGAAGCGTATGAGCGCCGGTCATGTCGAGCGCCACCTTGACTTACCTTTCGGAAGTAATTCGTGCAGAACAGAGACTGCAAGAGAGAGTTCATATAACACGTCGCACCCTGGTTCTTCAACCCAACGTGCCCAGTCTCCTTCTTGGAGTCATAGCTGTAGACGGTCAGCAACGTGTCAACTCTATATGACCGCACTCACTTGACAAAGTTGTGCCATAGGACGCCAGTTGGGTCCTTCAAGACCCGCACGAACGCCGTGATCTCCACCTCGTCATTCTCAATCGTCGGCCTGTTCTTGCCATTCGCCGGGTCGGCAGTGTAAAGCTTTCTCAGGTCAACGAATCGAGTGAATCCCCAATCACATTCCTCGGCAACAAATCGGTGGTGAGCATCTACCCGCAAGTCAGCTCTCCATTTGAATGACGTTGACCGGTGGCGTGCTCACGGCTGGATGTTTGGATAGTAGAGTCCCAGGGGTTGGAGATTGCAAGGCAAAACTGGGCACAGGCGTGCCAGCCTTCTGGAGCCTGCTTGGGGTTGGCATAGTCGAGATAGACCGAGACCATGTCGTTTGGTTGGCCATTCGCGTTTCCTTGAGGGAACAGCAAAATACGCCTGGGCAATGATGTCAATTTCGGTGTTCGACGAGTCGTCCGAACGACAGCAGCTTGGTGCAAAAGACACTACTCACCATTTATGACCACCACAGCTAAACTCTGGGCCGACTATTCTCTTGGGCTGCTGACTCCAATGCTCGATTCGCCATGTCTGGAACTGAAAATCCTCGATTTCCAAGCCAAGTTCCGGCATGCATTTCGCCGCATATGCCTCGTCTGTTGTTCACATCAGTAGGTGTCTAAGTGTGCGGGAGATGAGGACTCATTGTACATACACAGGTGGACATCGGGAACGTCCTCTACTTCTATTGGCGCGGGACTGTTGTCGTCGATGACGATGTCTTGCACATCACTAGAGGGTTGTTGCTGAACACACCGTCAGTACAGATCCCGAGTAGTGTTCACAGCGTGACCCCATGCATAAATGGTGGAGTGCGATGGTTCCGGGGACGCGCCGGATATCTGACTCACCATTCTGAGAAGACTGCTTTCTCGAGCGGCGGCGTGGGGTGCGGAATGGGGAGGGGCGATGCGGTGGGGAGATGTGGCCCGGGTAGTGTATGGATGGGAGAGGACAGCAATGCAGTAGATGCCTTCTGCGGCATCCACATACTGCCATCATAAGCACCAGCGTCACCGCTTACGGGAATACGGCATTATCTTCCCTCTGTGGCACCCGACACACGTCAACCAAATTTATATCCCATTCAATCCCCTTTCTCATCCTCTCATCTTTCTCTCACTTTACGCCATGCAGGCTTTTATCCTACCACCCTTCTATCCATCTTGACTTTTACCACACCTCCCCTCCCTCTCCCACTCTCCCACCCGCGGTTCTTAGATCCATTACCAGGATGACTATCCCCCTTCCCTCTCTTCACCCCGCACCTCTTTCTCCTCGGAGACTGGAACATGGGCTGTGAAGTGAGCATAAGGGTTAACGGGTCTTCCGCCAGCTCTGCAAGGCTGTGCGATTGGTTTTTGTTTGAGTCAACCCGTGGAATAGTGATTGCCCCTTTTTCGGTCCTCGACTTTTTGTTGGGTTGACTGGATTCTTTTCCTTTTTGCCGTTTTGGCGAGCTGGATGGGGTTGCTGGGAGGTGTGGCCTGAGCTAATCTCATAGTGGCTTGGATCAGTCCTCTCTGCAGACATTTATCAACATCGCCTTTCATAGGTATTCCCAATGGTGAGTCTTTCTCCATCCTCCTTCTCATTCTCTCCCATTTCACAATGATGAAACAAAAATTTTAATCGTATTCACACTGTATAACCTTCGGGAATGCACGCAACCTATTTTTCTACAACGGTATCTGATACCTTCTTTACCCCATCTTGTTTTAATACGAAAAAATGAGAATCACGGCTGACAATCACAAAGCTTGATAGGTCTTTATTTAGTGGCCCAATGCATATCATCACTATATTCGTTCTGTCCAGTCATATTTTACATACCATATCCCCCCGCGAAAGGGTTCTCGTCTGCTACAAGCACACCCATGACGAGCACTTCTATATGGGGAGGATAGACAGACTGATTCGTCCTATGGATTTAGGCATCATTCTAGCAATTTGCGGTGGATGGGGTCAATTGAAAGGACGTGCACATACTTGTCTGCATGTATACATCATATTTATCTGCCATTGCTATATTACAACTTGAGCCTCATCACCATAATACTTTATCCCAAGCAACACCTGGCGGCTGCCTCTACACCCTGCTTGAATCCATGCTCCCACTCCCACTCGGCTTTACCCAGCTTTTTGCCAGCGCTAGCTTCGTACTCGGGCTTGCGCCTCTGAGCCCACTGATGGATGAACCCAAGCTCGCTTGGGGTCCCCTGGGCACTGAGGAACATGAGCGCATCGTCCCAGCCCTGCGAGAAGCCCGGGGCATAGACGGTAGGATCGGGAGAGCCGCCGTTGTTAGCCCAATAGTTTGTATGCGAGCCTGCTTTAAGTGTTAGTTAAATCATGAAGCGAAGGGGTACACTTGCCGTGATTGTTGGACAACTCTTGCTGCTTGATGTGGTCGGGCGGCATCCCCTTGAATTGCTTGCTTCCGACCCAGCCAGGTAAGATCTCTGCTTGGCTGCCATTCTGCGCAGACCATCCGGCATCCCACCCTTCACCCTTCTTGAACGTCCAGTACCAGTACCCCGCAGAGTGCGACTCGAATAATTCGAGCTGGGCAGCGACAAAAGCTCGCCTCTGAGCATCCTTCTCTCCGTCGGGCATACCATGGCCGAACGAGCCATTGTCGAGAGAGGCCGACCATTCACCCACGACGAGCGCGCCCTTGGCAGCTTCGCACTGCCCAGCAAACCTGCCTCGGTAATTACCCTTGAGCTCATTCGCATGGTCATACCCGCTCATGCGCTTGTCTTCATCGGTAAAGCACCTGTACATGTGGTGGTCCAGCACCACAAAGTCGCTTCGGCCACCGACAAAGCGGGCAAAGTGGTCAGTGTCCCAAGCGTCCGAGCAATAGAGCGGAAAGTCGGCGGGGGCGACGGTGCGGACATAATTGATGGCTTTCTCGTACCAGGGTTGGAGCTTGGGGTGGTTCTGGGGCTCGTTGAGGAGCTCGAGGCCGACAACATGTGGCATGGGGGCGAATTTGGAAGCAAGGAAGCGGAGGGCGAGAGAGGTCGAGGCTTGGTTGGACTTGCTGTCCCAGAAGCCGATCTTGCCTTTGGAGAGACCAGCGTGGGCTATTCATGTTGGTGAGCGCGGGTCCTAGCGGGTCCTAGAGAAACAGCGGGTCACACACCATCGTGGTTTTGAGCACCTGCAGCACCGTGGAGATCTACACAAGGTAGTCAGCAGTGAGACACACAAGCCGGACGTCTAGGCATAGAACAAAGGACACCGCATCAAGGACTTACCGATGAGGACACCGAGCCCATAGTTACCCGCAGTCTGTACAGCACGTTCAATCCTTCCCCAAGCGCCCTCGTAGATGTGGTGGAACGGCTCAAAGTCGGTATTCTTGAGGACTTCGGGAAGAGCCCCGCAGAGATGATAGTACCCAACCTTTCCATATTGTCAGCTCTGGGGACAAGCAAAAGGAATCGCCACTTACCGGGAGTCGTACACTATTGAATCCCTTTGAGGCAATCCACTTGAAGTCGTCCTCCGTGATCCAGGTATCCCAGTGCTCTTCGAGATTCCTCTTTGCGTCTTTTCCGCTGGCGACGTCAAAGTCACTCTGACCTGGACCAGCGGCGCCTCGAAATACGTGGGGGCAGATCCATTGCTCGAGGGAGAACCAGGAGCCGAGGTTGACGCCGCGCTGTTTCCTGTAGCGGTAGATGGCGTCTGGGCCGAGGGGCAGGGGCGCGGCTGGGGCTGGGAAGTCGTATTCTGGGTTGGAGGAGGAGAACTGGTCCTTGAATTTGTTGAGAATACCCATGGTGACTGGAGATGCGATGCGAACAAAAACAAAACGTCTGCTCTGGCTTGATATAACTGGACACATGCCGTGCCTCGAGCAACGTCATAGCGTGCCTTGCGACGCATCACTGTCAAAGTATCAACGGTACCGAGCATCATCTCTTCCATCTGCTTTTCAATACTGTACGAGTACTCTACAATGGGTGACGCCTTGGTGGGTCTACTGACAGATGAGGGTGCACAGGCTGACGAGTGCATAGGCAGTAGAAGAGCAGCGCTCGCTCATGAGCGCTAGATCCCTCACTCCCGAGCCGGTATGTCCACCCTTCCCGACACAGGACATCGCTGATCCAAGTCTTCCAGAATACCGTCACGAGTCAGTTCACGCGCAAGTAGTATATACCAGTGCTGACACAAAGTCGCTCAGAACTTGTCAAGCGATGTCGTGCCATGATCATCAAGCTACTCCCTGTCGAAGTCGAGCCATCGCAGATAACCGATGCCACTAGCAGTATCATCACTCCCGAGGTCATTGCTGCATTCGCCAAGTGCGGTGGAGACTTTGGAGAGACGATCCCCTTTGCGTGAGTCTCGCCACTTCTCGATCGAGATGGGCTGGTCCTGATCAAGACGATAGTCTCCTCCGTGCCCAAACCAACTTTATCAGCGAAGCCTACAAAAATCCGGCCGACTACGATGAGAACACTTGTAGGGGTCTCGCAGCAGAGGTACTAGCTCGACGCATCGTGCACAACTTGCCGACCGACAGGCTTGAGAGCGTCATGAGCACTCGGTACCGCTACAGAGAGAGTGACGGTGACGTCTCGGCGCCCACTAGTGCTCTCGAGACTGCTATCGATCAACACTGCACTGTAAGTGAAGCCTGGCTCGATACAACTCTTGTCTAATCATGATGACAGGACTTCTTGTCTTCCAGTGAAGCTCAGCACGTCGTCAACTCTCTCTGGCGAGGAGATTGGGTACAGCGCAACAATGACGATATGGACATTGACTATGTACCTTACGAGCCCGTCGAGACAGACAGCTTTTGGAGACATTTGAACCCTGATAGAATGGCTGTGCCCAGGTACCAAGCTGTCTTCAAGATCTTGGTATGGTTTGTCTTCCTGTTCGGTAAGTGGTCCCATGATCGATTGATGTGCATGGTTCACAAGCATATCAGTTTATTCTCAAACGGTCCAGGGACCCCTCGAGCATTTCGATGCCGATAGGAAATGGGACTTTTACGAGGTTCTGTTGTACTTCTTGTCGGGGTCATTCCTGATCGAAGGCAAGTCGTTTCTCCCTGGTGGTCGAAAGTTTGCTGATGGCAAAGTATGCAGAGGCCGTCAAGATGTTCAAGGTATATGCCATCAACGATGTAGACCAGGATACTGACGCAGCGATTAGATTGTACGAGTCGCTCCTCGTCCTATGGCGGCCGTCGTAAGTCGCATACTGCATCGAAGACCGGATGAGTGGCTAAATTATCACACAGGGCTTCTGGACAGTAGTCAACATCATCATCGACGTGCTCCTCGTCACTGCTTTCGGCCTTCGTGTGGCGGGACTCAGTGTGGACCCTTCTGATACCGACACATCCCAGCACCTACATTTCAGGAGTTTCCAAGTGCTCAGTTGCGTGGCGCCATTCATCTGGATGAAATTGGTGGGTCACCCAACGTGATGATGGGCCAAAAAGCTGATGAACCTGCCTCAGCTCACCGTCTTTGACGGTTTCCAGACTGTTGGAACTCTTCAAGTCGTCGTATCCCGCATGCTGTGAGCTTGGTCTTTGTCATTCCCTGAGGCGCAGTACTGATTATGATGCAGCCGAGAGTCGACGATCTTCTTCATCTTGTAAGCAATCTACGGGAGGACATTGTGGCCGGAGCTGACACCATTCTTAGATTGACCATTATGGGTGTTGGATTTGTGCAGTCTCTCTATGCCCTGGATGCTGCCGATGGAGAGAGCGGCGGCAAAGCTATCGTTATCAACAACCTGATTCAAGCGCTCTTAGGGTAAGACTGTTGTTGACTGTCAAGAGGAACACAGCTCACCATGGTCATGTAGATCTCCCGACTTTGAATCGCCTTCAGAACGTTTCGGATATCCCTTCGGTCTCATCGTCTTCTACGGCTGGAACTTTGTCGCAACCATCATTCTCGTCAATGTCCTTATCGCCTTGTTTGGCTCTGCCTACTCGGACGTGACGGACAACGAGACTGATGAGTACTTGGTCTTCTTTGCCCACAAGACTATCGACTTGATCCGAGCTCCGGACTCGTATGTCTATCCTGCCCCCTTCAACTTGATCGAAGCGTTCTTCATTGCACCGCTCGAGTGAGTACAGATCACACCTGGATGTGGCGCCGATGTGCGCTGACGTACCTATAGGTTTGTTCTTTCAAACGAAAAGTACATTGCTCTTAACCGTGTCGTCATGACGGCCATCTTTGTGGTTCCACTTACCGTCATTGCTCTTTTCGAATCTCAAATTGCTCACTCAAAGAGCCGCCGCCTGCGACAGTACTTCCAGGGCCCGCCCCCGGATGAAGACGACGATCCCAAGATTGAAGACCCGTCTTGCGATGAGGATGAGGGCGGAGAGATCTCCACAGTCAAGTTTGAAGAGCTTATCAGTGTGTTCCCCAAGTACGTATCTGATCATTTTCGACAGATATATGCGACTAATCCGCTCTAGCACTGCCGTCACTGAAAGCTCTGTGATTCATCGTGAGATCAGGAGTGTGAAGGAACAGCTGGAGAGGTTGGAAAAGTTGTTGGAGGCGAAGGGAGGATTCAAGTGATGTACAGCTTGTCTCAATGATTTATACGTACACGATCGATGCGATAACGTCCTGATGAACCTACATAACATTTTTCGAACTATACTCGTACAGGACCAGTCTAGTAGTAGTCCCACTGGCTCTTTCGTGAGCTGGGCTTTCTCGAATCTCGAAGAGAACGACGAGGTAGAATCGAGCGGCCCGAGAAGCGAGTATCATAGTATGCGTCCGGATCATCGTCTCCCACGACGGCTTCGCGAGAATCAATCGACCTGCCTGGTTGCTGTTGCCCACCAGAGGTGCGTGTATGAGTTCTCATAGTTACTCGCTCGGTGCCCCCATCATGTGGGGCTCGAGGAGTTCGCGACCTCCTGTCTTCATATTCTTTATATTCTTCATATTCTTCATCAACTTGCTATTTAAGGGCCTACGTCAGCAAAGGCCGTAGTTGAGGTCATATAAGCACGTACCACACTGATGGTATTGGGATCTCCACGACGAGATCGGGCCGAAGGTCGATAGTCATGACGAGATTCGTCCGATGCGTCTCTACCTCTGCTAGGCGGCCTACTGTTCATTTTAGAAAGACGCTGACTGCGGTACGGTAGATCCTGCGTTCTCCCTCGGCCAGAAACTCTGGAGGGTGCACCGTCATACTTTGCTTGATGTGAGTTGTAAGATGACCTTTGGGGATCTCTGGGGGGTCCGTCGTCATACTTTGCTTCGGGGTGTGAGGGGTAGGAGGACCCTGGGGGGTCACTGGTGAGAGCGTCTCCGCTGCTGCGTGTTGCCATGTAGCTTTCATCATGCGTTGCTCGCCTGTTGTTTCTTGATCGGCTTCGAGGTCTTCGACCTGCGAAATCCTTATCGGTAGTCGCGAGTCCACCAGTCTGCATACTGTTGCCCCCTGATGATTTTGGAGATAAACTTCCAACCTCAACTACCTTATCATTGGATGAGAACTCACTCTGCGCTGGCTGCAAGGGCGTTCGAGGGCGAACCGCGGAAGGCGGACGTTGGGTTGCTGCAGACGCTGCGGTCGCTGTTGCCGGCGGAGGTGTCGGAGGAGGAGGCAGTTGGGTACCCGTTGCTCGCTCGTCGCGCTCTGGAATCTCCGACCATGTGGTCACTCCGTATTCAGTGGTTGAATAATCTATACCATTTCTTGAGAAATGTACTGTCTTGCCCCCTGCAGCTGAGTAAGTATCGCCTGGGAAAAGCGTCAAGGTGCCTGCTCCATTGCGAATGACCAATTTTGACCGACTCTTGTTTGAACCCGACTCAGCTATAGGTCCACTAGGGCGGCGGTCGTAAGAACCTGTGGGGGTGGTGGTACCTCTCGTATCTACCCCGCCACGAGAAGCCAGTGGAGCCCCCGGGGTCAAAGAGCGCCGACCTTGGCGTCTAGGGGCGCCCGGAGTTGGCGGCCTTGGGAGACCACGAGAGTCTTGTGATCTTCTTGGCGTCTCACCTGCAAGACGGGACGGCACAGTGATAGGCTGGCTTCCTGGCATTTGAACAGCTGGTTCGTATGCCTGAGTCGGTATAGTTTGGGGTGCATATGAGCCTGGGCCACCGAGACCCGAGGAGGCCTGTTCCGAAAATCTACGGGGCATATGCTGAGAAGTAGGGGTGTAGCTGCCTCCTGGTCGTCGGTATTTGTCTCGGCTAGAGGCAACGTTACTTGAAGATTGTACAGGGTAGGCTGAACTTGGTGGTGCAAAAGAGGACATCGGTGGGTAGATTGGGGTGTGTCCGGTAGTTTGGGCCACCATACGGGGTCGCATACCAGTAGTGGGTTGACTCGTGTATTGTGGCGCAGAATCATAGTATTCGCCCGTGCGAGTACTAGCCGGTGCGAACCGGCTGGCACCGTCGCTTGCTTGGCCTCGAGAAGCTCGCCTTGAGCGGTCAGGAGGGTACCTGGAACTGCTGCGAGATGTGGTGTCTTGAGGCATGGCGCTGTCTGATGAGTTCGCTGGCCCGTCAGAAATGACTTTTGGTAGGGGAGATTACAGGATAGCTGGTCGTCATCAAGCTAAATACACCTGGAGCCGCCCACGCGCGGATGCCGGGAAGGCCATGCTCAACGGAGAGGAAGTTGAGTTTCGAAAGCTCAAATGTCAGTCATACAGGAGCACCATGGGGCTAAAATCAGGCCAGAAACCTTCGTCCAATATAAGGTTAGCCGTAAAGGAAGAGCCCCAGTGTCAGCCGGACGGACTTTCAAGTGTTGTGATCAGATAACAAAAGCCACCAAACTACCCACATAATCATGGTCATGACTGCCAAATTCGTCATTAGAAAGGTGTGATCGGAGCGAGAGAGGTAAGCACCTCTTTGTGCTCAAGGGTGCCGTATAGGGCATGGTACCTTTGATCGAAGTACGTCAATCGGTGGAAGGCCAGCGTAGGAGCAGTCATCGGCATCTCATAGAACTATGTTCTCAAAAGCGTGTCAATGATAGTCGTATCAATGGGAATGTTGTGCTTTTTCAGGTAATCGTCGGACCAGAATTTGCTCTGGTGACGGGCACCGGAATCACATCTGTCGTATGATGAGTCAAAGTTTTCGCCACTTGGTGAGCACTCACAAAATGGTTGCTATCCGAGCTCCCTTCTTCAGCGTCTTTGCTAATCGTACACAAGCGACAAGGTTGCAGGCACTGGATGAACCAAGGAAGAGACCGTCGTGTTGTACAAGGTATCTAGACATGGCAACAGCTTCGACGTCAGAGATCCTGGAAAACCAAAATCAGTTTCAGTATACGCCTGAATCCTTTGTACTCACCTGAAAGCATCATCGATGACGGGAAGGCCCAGCGAGAAATTGTGAGTGATCTGCTGAAGTGTGAGCAGGGACGCATGCAAGAATGTGCTACTGACTCGATTAATTCCTAAAAGACAACGTGCTGTCAGCGCAAGTCAGGTAGTCGCGTGAAATGCGGAACTCACCAATGCCCTCGACGACAGTGTCCACTTGATGCCTTCTCTTGGTACCTTCACGCTCCTTCATATCAAACATAACGTTATAACGGACCTTGTTGAACAAGCCAGAACCCTCTGGATCGGATAAGGCTATGGTCAGATTAGGAAGGGCTTTCTTCAAGAAACAACCGGTGCCCGCAATCGTTCCGCCAGTTCCTATTTTTGTGTTAGAGTAGGTCGTGACAGGTATCTAGGCTTTACTCACCAGCACCGCTGACGAAAGCGTCCAGATTACCACTTGATTGCCTCAATATCTCCGGCCCAGTGCCTTTGTAGTGCGCCAAGTAATTGCTCTCGTTCTCGAATTGGTCTGCAAAGAAGCCTCTGGGCTTGTGTTCGAGAGAGGAAGGTAGAAAGTTGTCATGTTCGACTTCGGATGGGGCGGCGAGAGTAGATACGGCGACTGCGTTGCCGTGCGTGGGGGTGTTTGTGAGCTCGGTCTGTCCGAATTCAAGTGCCCGTTTGCGAGCAAGATTCTGCGGCGTGTCAGTATCATTGCGATAGAATACTGGATGGATAGAGTACATACAACGAATTGTTTCTCATCCACGATGCTCGCTGGGCGCACTCTCTCGACTATCGCGCCGAGTTTCTCCAAGACCTGAACCTTTTCGATGGCGACATCATCAGGCATGATGATACAGCACTCATAGCCCCTTCGGTCACTGGATGAGCTACGCCACAGGAGAGTGATGAGTATGCACGTACTTTGCCTTGCCAACAGTAGCCAGAGAGATCCCGGTACTACCTACGGTCCCTTCAAATAGAACGGATCCGGTGTGGGGATGTAGAAGACCTGAGGCTTCCGCATCTTCGATGACTAAAAAGAACAATATTAGTCTTCAGCGCCGCTACACTCCTGACTGCAACTCACTCTGTAGAGCTACCCTGTCCTTGACAGATCCGCCTGGGTTGAGGAACTAAGTCGATCAGTGGTGCACTCTCAGGAGAATGCCGACCAACCTCGGCTTTGCCCTACGACACGTCAGTGGACTTTCATTAGAAGTATGCGAGGCTGCCTACCATGATTTCCACCCCGAGGGCATCGCTCAAAGAATTGATGCGCATCAGTGGAGTGTTACCTGTTTCGGAGTTTCAGCACATATCCTGTACGCAATGCAGATAGGAGTGTACGAACCTATCAAGCCTATAGTACCCGGGACTATCTCATCACTTCGCAGTTCGATTGGCCTTGGGGGTATTCTTCGCATAGCTCTCTTCCGCCTCCAGTCCTGGACGATGAGGGCTGCTGAAGTCGACGACAAGGATACGGTGATCCCGAGGACGATGCCCCAGACCACGTCGCGGGTGAACTTGTTGGGAAAGCGGACCTTTTCCCAGAACCTAGCCGAGATGCCAGTGATATAGTCAGCGTAGCTCATTGATTTGTGAAGACTGTTGACGAAAAGCAGCTGGCAGTCGATTACCTGGGACATTCGGATCAACAGACGTCCAGGAACGCCGCACACATTTCGCGAACGAACGAAGCGGTCTCAGTCACTCTTGATTTCTTCCTCTTCACTATTATTCCTCATTTCTGGGGACCGTTCTTTCCCGTCTCAGCGCAACCATACCCCCCTGCCCATCCCATCCCAAGCGCTCCTGACCATGTCCTCTGAAGCAGAGAGGAAACGGCGCGTGAGTGTTAATTTTTCGCTCCATCTCATGTTCTTGTGACTTTCGTCTGACGCGTCGGCATTGTGCCAAAATTGATCTAGGACGCCCTCGATGCTCTCAAAAGAAAGAAGGTGTCCTCATCCCGACCCCCCGTATCTCGGTCTCCCAGTATCGAAGCCCTCGACGATCCAGACGTACTCGTTCCTCCGTCTTCACCTGGCCAGACGCCGGTTCAGCAGTCCAAATACTTCGGTGGCAGCAGAGCTGCCAACGATTCCAAGGAAGCGCCAGGCCAGAACGGGAACTCTGGTGGCAGTACCAGTCAGAAGAAAAACCCGATATCTCTTGCTGGCAGCCCCCAGGATGTCCTGAGAGCAATTCACGGTCACAAATCCGCACAAGAGCCCATCGTAGTTTCTCCCGGCTCACCCGATACCCCGCAACCCCCTCGTCGATTGAAACGCCGCTACGTCGACCCGGATGAGGAGGAGTCTCCCATGAAACCCTCACCACTTCCGGCCAGAAATGGCTCCAGTTCGCGCGCTCCCAGCCTCGTGTTGGCCGCGCAATTAGCCCAGAATGGAGAGGAGGAGAAAATGGGCAACAAGCTCAAGACTCAGTTCCCCCATATTCCCAGATCAACCATCCTCAGTTCCCTGCGCAAACACTCGAGCGATTATGACAAAGCTGTCCTGGAGATCAGCCAAATGAGCAGTGCCGTGAAAGAGCAACAAACGACCTCTGCCGGGCCTTCATCCTCATCCCTACAACGAAACTCAACCCCTATCTCAGCTTCCGCTGTATCCTCCGACCCTCTCCGCAACGGCTCAAATCCCAAGAAGAACGAAAGCTCTACCATCTACGACAGACGAAAGCGCGCGAAGCGAGATGATGGCTCTGAGGATGAGTTTTCGGGAGGCGGGGAGAGTGACAGTGATTTCTCAGACGATGGATCGAGAAAGAAGAGAAGGGGCGAGGACGACGAGGACGAGCTCGACGACGCACAGGAAGCAGCTTTACGTGCGTTCAACAATGACACAGCGGACAGCATAGCCGGCACCATTGGTAAGTTCATCCTGGCTACGTGCGTATGTCAAGCTGATTGTCGCATCTTAGCTTGTAGACCCGAGCAAGCAACCAGCATTATCAAACACCGTCCATACAACGACGTCGACGAAGTTCGCGAGAAACTTGGCAAAGCTCGGGGTGTTTCCTTCAAGCTCTTTGAGCAGTACTCGGAGATCATGGAAGGCTTTGTCCAGATCGACAGCTGTCTCAATCGATGCGATGCTATCGCCCAGGAGGTGGCCCGTACACTGGCTGTATGGAGAGGAGCCTCAGACAAGCAGGATGGGAGTGTGGTGGGTACGCCCAAGGCCGATAGCTTGAACGATGTCAAGGTCGATGTCGCCAAGGTGTCGGAGTTGTTGAAGAATGAGACGGACATGAAGAAGAAGAAGATCTTGAAGCAGTACATCCAGACACAACCTGCCCTGCTTAGCCCGGGGACGGTACTCAAGGACTACCAGCTTCTTGGTGTCAACTGGTTGAACCTGTTGTACTCGAAGAAGATTGGCTGCATTCTTGCAGATGAGATGGGTCAGTATCAAAGTCTTTCTACTGTAACCCAGACTGACTTGTGTCTTAGGTCTCGGCAAGACGATTCAAGTCATCGCATTCATCGCTGCCCTCAACGAGCGTAGTATCGCCGGCCCTCACCTCATCCTCGTCCCTGCTTCCACCCTCGAGAACTGGACTCGTGAATTTAAACGCTTCGCTCCTTCCATCGATGTTCAGACGTACTATGGCTCCCAATCAGAGCGTGCCTCTCTGAGAAATGAGCTCAAGCAGCAATATAGAGCTGGAGAGTTGGAAGTCGTGTTGGCGTCGTATACGCAGATGAGCTCGGCAGATGACCTTTCTTTCTTTAGGAGAAAGATTGAATTCGAGGTGCGTGGCAGTTTGACGTCCTGTGATTTGTTGCTGACTAGCTTCTAGACCTGCATTTACGACGAAGGCCATAAGCTGAAGAGTTGCACTACCAAGGCATACACAGATCTGCTTTCCATCAAGCCGAAATGGAGACTTCTCTTGACTGGTACTCCTCTCCAAAATAACCTCCAGGAGCTCGTTGTGAGTACAACAAATTTAGGTCTCAGATCCAACCTAACATCTGTATAGTCTCTCCTCATGTTTATCCACAAAGAGACCTTCAACGACGCCGAACCCTATCTCCGTGCCATTTTCAAATCCCAAGGCCACGCCTCTCTCCTCTCCCACACCCGAACCACCCGAGCCCGCACGATGCTCACTCCCTTTGTTCTCCGTCGACGAAAAGCCACCGTACTCTCTCTACCTCCCAAAATTGAGACTGTCGAACGATGCGAGATGACTGCCGCGCAATCGAAACTCTACAAAGAGACGATGCGCAAGTCGAAGAAGGTGTTGGGTGAAATGAGTGAAGAGGCTTTGGAAGGGGCCGCAGAGGATGTTGATGCGGCGGGGGGCAAGAAACCGGCGGCGAAGAAGGGGGCAAAGCCCAAGAAGGCGAGTGGGCTGACCACGAGCGGGTCGAATATCTTGATGGATCTCAGAAAGGCGGCGAGTCACCCGCTGCTGTTTAGGAGACTGTATGACGATGCGAAGATCAAGAAGCTTGCGAAGGAGTGTCTCAATACGCCTTCGTATTGCGATAGTAATCTTGACTATGTCATTGAAGATCTGGAGGTGAGCGCGCAGGATGATCCCCAGAAGAGCCCGAGCTGATGGTACATTAGTATATGAGCGACTTTGAGATTTCCAACTTTTGCTCTTCGTCCGAGGAGGCGGTGCGTCTCAATCATACATGTCGCCGTTCACCTGCTCACATCGTTTTCAGGAATTGAGAAAGTACGCCCTCGACCCCAAAGTTTTCTTGGAAGGCGGCAAAATCACTGCGCTCGTCGATATCATCAACCGCTGCAAGGCTGACGGGAAGAGAATACTGCTCTTCTCTCAAGTAAGCGTCTTTCTCCAGTTTGATGATATACATGTTGACATGCGACAGTTTGTGATGATTCTCGATATCCTTGAGAAAGCCCTCGACCACCTCGGCATCCGCTACACCAGGCTGGACGGGCAGACCAAGACGGACGAACGTCAGGGGCTGGTAGATGAGTTCAACGAGGATACCGAGATCACACTCTTCCTGTTGTCTACCAAGGCTGGTGGTGTCGGGTGAGTATTTGCCGTTCTGAAAGGACTCACGACTGACTGGATTATAGTATCAATTTGACTGCTGCCTCAGTCGTCGTGATCTACGACCAAGACTTCAATCCGCATAACGATCGTCAGGCTGCTGACCGAGCGTACCGTATCGGCCAAGAACGGGAAGTCGAGGTTATCAAGCTTGTCTCGAAAGGCTCCATTGATGTGAGTCACCACTCTGTTTCAAAGTTTTGCGACTCGTATGCTGATATCAGTCATAGGAGGACATGTTGGACATTGGTCTTGCCAAGCTTCAGCTTGATGACATGGTCGGCGGTGAAGAGACCACCAATGACGGCACTGACGCCGGTGGCGGAGACGACAAGACGGCCAAGGAGACGAGAAAGTCGCTGTTGACGCAGCTCAGAACCAAGTTTAATGATGTCGAGGGCACCGAGTCATGAAGGTAATCTTGAGGGGCTTTATGAAGTATGTGTTTTCGGCGTTATATCACCACGTCCGTATAGATTTCAGTAAAATATAGCTATATCATGTCTTGTCGAGAGTACTCGTTGTCATGATGCATCTTGTATGAGAGATATCATGAGCCAAACATGGTAAGACCACGCATATGTCTATCTACAGCCCCGCGGAACTTTTGTCGCAAGTCAGTCAAAGATCATAGCGGCTGGACAATTGCAAGACGTACCAAATCGTTGTCAATTCCCTCCTCGCGCGAATCCATTTTGACCAGAGGGTTGCGCACTACATACTCCAAGAATGGTCCCACGTATAACTGCCGCAGGACAAAGCGCAGAGAGTCGGAAGAGGGGTCTGATAAGAGGACAAACTTGTAGCCCGTGGGTGATTCGAACAGGTGGAGTTTGTATTGAGGTGTAGAGTATGACGTGAATGCTTCGTCACTGTGCAGAAAGTAAGTGCCAAGTTGTACGCTCAGCGATGTGTATTTACCGTCCAGATAATCTCTTGACCATACTTCTCAAAGAGATCAAGACACCGTACACCAGCTTTGACTCTTCATCAAAGGGCAACCCCTTTGGCGCCCTTCCACTTCCGCCTCCCAGCCCGTCCTGCACGCTTACAACGTTCGCCCTGGGATTGTGATTCTCATCGAATATAGATGGCCGAACATTGTCTGATGGATGAGGGATTGAGGGGATGCGATGGACGCCGGGTTTGAAGGATGAGGGAGGTGGGGGCCTGATGGGGCGAGTACGGTGCCAGTCTTGGTAGTACACACAGTCACAGTGTCTATAGATACTCGTCAATCTACATATCACAGCAGCTGTTGGTTGTAGGCTTACCGGTCGAAGATGTATAATGAGTGAATGGTCATTGTTACTAGTTGATGAGGGAGAGGATGGTTGCCGCGAGGGTCTGGAGAAGTCGAGAGGGAGGGGGGCTGACTTGGATAACAGTTGGGCGTGTAGACGTGTCAGGGAAGGGATGTGATGAGGCCAACGATGAGAGACGAACACGAACAAGTCATCCGTCGTTGCTCGGTCGTTGCACCAACGCGCCGTTCCTGGATCATCATTTTATCATTTCTCGACAGAAATTTCAAGTTCAACCACAGCTTCGGTCGCCCACTCAGCAAGTAGACACATGCAACAGAAACCATGGCTGCAAAGAGTTACGATGGGATGGATACATGGGCATGGCAAGCAACAGATATGAAAGTACAAAAGTATGTCGGTCCTCCAGACACCCCCCTTCAAATGCCCGCCAAACGTCATCGCGCCACTTGCTGTTTCCAGCCGGGCGCCTCAATGTTTGTTACGAGCATAGAAGTAGCAGGAGCACCTAAGCGGTTTGGTTATCACAGGGAAGGACACAGGGGACTTGCGACAGTCCCCCTCTTTTTACTATTGGAGACGGGAACGCGAGACCCAACATCGGGAGTAGTAGGGAATCGAACTTTTATGTCCTGGAAAGGGTCAGCAAGACTCAAAGCGAAAGGATATGGGCAGACTCACTCCGTGGATTTTGTTCAAAGAAGAAAGAGAAAAGAGAAAGCGAGATGCAAATTGTAGGGAGGTGGTTTGGCAGAAGCGGCGTGACGTGTGCCGATAAAAGTGCTTCCGTAGCGGCGGCGTGGCCCGCCTGCTTTCCCGCGCAGGCCAGTTGTGGCTCATCTATCGGCCAAACAGCAGCCCTTGAGCAGCCCGTCTTCTCGCATGTCTATACCAAGGCCCCGCTTGGATTCCATCAAGAGCCAGTCTTCCAGCATGTGGGGAGGGCGCCCAGCATCCCCCACCGTACGCATCTCGTGCCTTCGCACATCTGCGGTCCATCACTGACGCGACCTCGCAGTTCTCAACCACCACCACCGGCTCCAAGATCAACTTGCCCGAGAATCACACACTAATTACGCGTAAGGATCTGCGGCAGTCTACTGCCTGCTTTGAGGAGGTGCGATAATTAGACATATGGGTCAATGGTAATCTACTGACTCTTTTGTGATTAGCTTATGGCGGCGGCCAAAGCGTACCGTAATGCTCTCTTAGCCATGTCATCAGCCACTGCCGCATTCGCGACTGCCATGGAGGCCTGCTCCAGGTTAGTGTCGCCATAGCTCACCAATGGGCGAATTCAAGGCTTACTTGGCTTTATAGAGTGAAAGGGTGCAGGTCGTCCAATTCGGCACTGGCAGGTGCCTCGGGCCTTCAATATCTCGTCTCCAATCACGAGCAACTCCTAGCCGACACTGTCTATCGTCAATTCGAGATTCCCCTGCTTGAAGCTCTGGACGAATATAAGCTTGTCACTGCGGATCGCCTGGCGCAGTACGAGAAATCTCTGCACGAGCAAAGCCAAAAGATCAGAAAGACTGAAGCAGATAACTTGAAGGTTGGACGGAGACGAAAGAGAGGTAAGACATTCCAGCTAAAATACATAACCACATTGCTGATATCCCACCAGACTTGCAGCAGTTCCGGGAAGCACTCGCAGAACTTCAAAGACAAGTCGACGACCTCGATACCATCAAAGCGAGCTACCACGAAGAAGTCTTGGAGGGGGAGGATGAAGTCTGGGAGACTGTTCTCGGCCGCGTTGCTTTTGTCGTACGCAGCCAGCTGGACTTTTATGAAAAGATTGCAGGCAAGGCGAGTGATCCGATATTGGAGCCCATGGTCATGTCCATACCCGATCCCTTTGACGCGTATGGGCCGCCGAAAGAGGAGGGGCAAATATTCAGTGTGCTTGCACCGTAAGTCCCATATAATCCAGCAACGGGCAGAGCTGATGTCTGTATCTAGGCTAGGATTGCTCGACTCCAGTGCACCCCAATCACCTAAACCTGGTCTTCCCCGGACATCATCACCAACACCCGCATCAGCCACTTCCCCCGGACCATCCGCCTCTCCCCCCAAATCACCTCACTCCCAACTCCTCTCACCCACAAAACAATCATCATCATCGTCAAGCATCAATGCCGATAATGTCCTGGGGCAATTCAACGAGTGGCTGGATGAGGCTGATGGTGGGGATGAGATTGGACGGAAGAGCTCGAGAGAGAGGAGGGAGTTGAGTGTGATTGATGAGACTCAGGATGGGGTGTCTGTGCTTGCTAGTGAGGGTGGAGAAAGGGATGATGTCAGTGCGAGGGGATGAAATGAAAGAGGCTTCTTGCAAGGCTTGCGCCAAGCAACGAGCTTGACGAGACTAGATAGCGCACACTGCAGATAGTACTATAGACTCGTACTATGATATAGATGGCTATACAGATTTGACGACGTTGTATATATATGTATACCATCTTTGACCCCGGAGCGAACTGTTTTGATGGGTGTATCTTGCGCTGATTGCACCAACGTATCGATATCCATCTTCCTGTTGGATCCAGCGAGAGGTTAGATTATACATATGAAGACGACTATCAGAGAACGTCGTCGCCCATTGCAGTATGACTCTCATTCATCCAGTATCACTATCATGCACTGTATCAACGACTCCACATCTTGCATTAGTTCCATGGAGATATTTAGGGATATTTTGTTCCTCAAACCTCCGTCTTCTGCGCTGCCACAAAGTCCAATCCGCTCCCCATGAATGTCTGTGAAAGCGACTTGACTGTCGTAAGCGCCATCTCGAGCACATTCTCCACCCTCTTCTGTAGATCAACATTGTCTGATTCCACTTTCTGTACAATCTCTTTAGCAGATTTCCATCAAGCGTCAGGAGTTTACTCACCATGGTTATCAGATCAATCTTGGCCTCGTGGTTGTCGATTTTCACTTCCATGGATAACCACTCCTCCTCCCCGTTTTGGGGCGCCTCAATATGAGGACCAGACACATCGCCAAAGTGCGCTTCCAAGAACATTTTGAGCCTTTCGAATTCGGGACTGGTCACAGTCTCTTTCGGGGCGGGTGCGTGTAAGTGGCCGTGGTTGCAAGCATGTCGATTAGGGGCCGACGTTACTGCAAGGAATAAGCACAATTCTTCTACGGAAAAAGATGACACGTACACTTGACCGTAGCAGGGCTTCCATCAATACCCAACAACAAGGCCAAAGCCGAGTCTGCAATCATATCATTACTCGAGCTCGAAGACCACCTGAGCTCCACAGCAGTCTCCAAAACCCTCACGACCTCCACCCCATTCATCACCGTAAACTTCTCCTTCCCCTCCCCATCCACTCCTTCCTCCACCTCGCCATACATTCCTTCCAAATACCACCGTACCACACTCCAATCCACACCGATGGGAACGGTCTGCTTTTGGACGATCGTACTTGTGGAAAGACCGGTAAAGTCGCGGAGGTCTTTGGGGTCGAGGAGGGTGTATGAAAAGTCTTTGGAGACGAGGAGACCTTTGACGCGGGTCCCGTGCTCAGGACGGACGTCTGCTAGTGTGCCGATTGCCTTCAAGAACGATCAGCGAGTGTTGAGCTTGCGGAAATTTTACGTACCTTGACCACTCTCTCTTGCCTAAAGTTGAGCGTTAAAGGTTCGCAGTTCTTGGGCGTATGGATGTTGACCTCCTGTCCCCTTGATGCATACGTATCTCTCAAAGCTGCTCGCAACCTCAACATCTGGGACGACTCTCCGTGCACGAGGACGATATGCTGAGCTCCAATCTCTTGGATAAACTTGGAGTTTTGCGCATAGTCCACGTGAGCGCCGAAAGATATTTCTTTCACTGTCAGACGTCGGTTGATAGTGCCGCCTTTGACGGATTCGATATGGTCTGGCTCCCCGAGAAGCGTCTAAGAGGATATCAGCTTTGCCACATACATCAATGATGTGCGCACCCTAGCCATAGTGCCTTCTATTGAGTAACCGGTAACGATCACGCCGTTCTTGGGATCCGGCGCCCACTCCTCCAACAAATCCCTACTCAGCCCAAAACTCATAAATTGAGCAGACGCCATCACCACACAAGGCCCCTTCGTCTCCTTCAACTTTTGAGGGTCTTTCAGCCACTTGACGAATTTAAAGTCGAAGGGATTGTCTCTTCTGGCGAATCTCGATCGAATGTTGGAGTTCATAGTGTGGACGTATGTCTTGTAGACTCGCATACCACGTTGGAAAAGCATTGACGCAAAGTAGACGGGGACGTTTTGTAGTTCGGGGTGGTCGTTCCAGTATTCGTCGAGTAAGAGAGCGAGCTCCTGGCCGTTGCCGAAAGAGGGGATGGGCATAAGGCAGCGACCGCCTCTCTTGACAATGTTGGACACGAGCGCTATACTTGTCAACCTTGTCCAGTAGCTTTTCAAGGGGACTCACTTGTAAATTGCTCCTCCTTGTCTTTCCGGTCTGGCAGAGTGTGGACACCAAAAGTACTCTCACAGATCAAGACATCCGGTTTCACTGGCGGCACTTCGGCAATGACCAAATGTCTATCCTCTTCTCTCGAATAATCTCCTGTGTACAGGATTTTGAGACCAGCAATTTCAATCATAAACATGGAAGCACCCAAGACATGTCCAGCGTGATAGGGAGTGAACCGCAGGCCACCCGAAATGACAATGTCTTGGTGATAGTCGACAGCTATTGAGGAGACCCAGGAAGCCTGCACATCAGCTTCGTCGTATAGACGACTGGAGGAATCGGGGTTCTGGTCACTATAAACAAGTCAGCACTGAAGAATTACCCAGCAAACTCGACTCACTTGACTCTGACAGTATCCATCATGGTCAGACCATAGATAGCTCTCGTAGCGTGGGTCATGTACACCTTTCCGTTTCCATCCTTGAAATTCGTCTTCTCCATGATATACGGCAGCGCTGCTGCATGGTCCACGTGAAAGCTTTGAGGGTCTCAGTGATAGTCCAGCTATACTCGCTCGGCAACTCACTGTGTCACCAAAATTGCATCTACTGTCGACCAATCCAGCTCATCAATGAAAGGCAGAGCACCTATTCCTGGATGGGCAGGATGGAGACCAGCGTCGCACACAATCTTTTTGCCCCGATGTTCAATCACACAGCAAGACCTCCCCACTTCTTGTCCGGCGCCGAGCATTGTGATTGTAAGAGAGGGAGCATCTTCGTCTGTCCCTCCGCCGGGGTTGAGGATTTCGATGGGGACGTTGTGCTGGTATTGCTGGTACTTTTGCCGTCCCGACTGCATGGTGACGGTGAGGGGGAGATGGGAAGGGGTGTCGAGGGATAGAGGCAAGGATGAAATTTAGAAAGTGGCTGTGAAAGAGATGAGCGGCGAGTCGCGGCTGACTTACACTCGCTCGCGGCCACGCAAAACAACGAACCAGCGTCATATCTCTTCAATTGCTATTGTAACTAGATCTCGACACCTCCAAGGTCATAACCCTCCTCTCCCTCTCCTCTCTCTATTCTTCCCAGGAGGGGGATCTTGGCAGCTACGCACAAAGCGAACACAGACCGCCAGCTCATCTTTCGGACCGCCCGACAGCGAGCTGTTTCCCTTTCTCTCTTTGGAAGGCGGCCCATAGCTTGGAGTTCCTGCCCCAGCCCTCAGGAGTCGACTATTGATTCACCATGTCCCTTCCCAACTTTCCCTCATCGCCCCACCGACCTCCTGCCGAGTCATCGCCAGTGCTCATTGATTTGCCATCCGCAGGAGCTGGCAACCACCTGCCAATATGGCTGCTCGCCTTGTGCGGTGCTTTCACAGCGGTCGGTAAGTATACGCTTCATGACTGAAGAATGTACTGATCATTGTTCAAGCTACGGGCTTCTCAGTAATGTCGATTGTGCTTCAGCTCAAGAATTACCGCAAGCCTGCACTGCAACGGGCAGTCGTGCGGATAATGGTCATGTATGTATCTCTCTGAGCGTACGTGGCATGACAACATACTAATGTGCGGTATATCACAGGGTACCACTATATGCTATATCATCTCTGATCGCCCTATTCTCACTGGAAGCTGCATTCTTCATTGATGCTGTGCGCGATCTATACGAGGCAAGTTCATCCTGTCCCCGCACCGATACGTTGTAGTTGACAACCTATCCAGGCATTCGTAATCTACACCTTTCTTCAGCTTCTAATCACATACCTGGGCGGCGAACGTTCGTTGCTCATCACCCTCCATGGCCGACCACCCATACCGCACCCCTTTCCAGTTGGCCTCTTCCTGAAGCCTATGGATGTCAGTGATCCTTGGGTCTTGTTGAACCTCAAGAGAGGAGTACTTCGTAAGCCCTTGAACTTACTAGCAGTAGCATCGCTAATGCCCCCCCAGAGTATGTACAAGTGAAGCCCCTTCTGGTTGTCGTGACGGTCATCTCCAAAGCCACTGGGACCTATCAGGAAGGAAAGTTCTCTGCCGCCTCCGGTTACACGTATGTGAGTGTGGTGTACAATATCAGTATCTGCCTCAGTCTCTAGTAAGTCATACTCCCACTGCGGGTAGCGGGGTGTTGACCGGTTGTCTCAGCTGCCTGGCCATGTTTTGGGTCGCTGTCAACAAAGACTTGAAGCCTTTCAGGCCTGTCCGTGAGTTATTTCGAGTTGTAACAGTCGACCGGCCGCTAAGATCCATGCAGCCAAGTTTCTGTGTGTTAAGGGGATTCTCTTCTTCTCGTTCTGGCAGGGCATCGGTATCTCCTTACTTGTGGCCATGCACGCAATCAAGAGCGGTATGTTGGATCACAAGTATCGCACTGATTAAACCATGAGTTGACCTGTCTTAGTCGGTCCTTATACTGACGCGGAACACATGTCACTTGCCCTGGTCGACTCTTTGATCTGCTTTGAGATGCCCATATTCGCCATCGCACATGTAAGTGGCTCGTTCACCCCTGTGGTTCCTTGCTGATTATCAACAAGCAATATGCCTTCCAAGCGAGCGACTATATCGACAATAGCCTCATCCATGCCGCACGTCTCCCTGTACTTTACGCTTTCCGTGACGCTTTCGGCTTCAAAGACGTTTGGCAAGACACGAAAGACACCTTCAAAGGCAGAGGCGTCTCTTACCAAGCATATGAACCTGCCGAAGGCGGGCTGCATTACGGGCTCGGAAGACAGAGAAGGATTAGAGCGGGGCTGCGATATTCGAAAGGAGGCAAGGCAAAGTACTGGATGCCCACGCCAGAGAGCGAGGCGAGGTCGAAGAGTGTGATCCGACCTTTCACGTCCCTCAAGCGTCGGGTGGACGAGACGCTCGCGCAAAGGGAAGGCTACGCTCCGCTTCTCCCACAGCAAGCCAACCAAGTCGTCCATGACGATCCTTATGCGCCCAGTCACGGTTGGACTGGCGGACTTTTCTCCTCGTCCGATTCTGAAGATTCTGATGCGCCCAGTCTGGACTTTCATTCGGCGGAGGAAGAGGAAGATGGGTTGTACGAGAGGGCGAGGAGGATTGGGTATGCTGGATTCCCGAATGTAGATGTTAGTAGAGAAGAAGCTACCAGACGAAGGAGGGAAGAAGAAGAGGAGATCCTTGCGGGAAGGAGGATTAGAGGGGAGAGGGAAGCTTTCAGAAGAACTAGGACAGAATCCGGAACGAAATCTGGGAAGGGCAAAGGGAAAGAAAGAGTATACGGTGCTTGTGAGTGCTGCATCAAGGGACTGAAATTCTGACGCTGATGACCTATAGGGGCTGATCGAGATCCCATGGAGCGTGTCGGTTCTGCCTCATCAAATCGTTCTCAATCATCACACTTGAAACCCAAACCACTCCCGACCAAAAGGTCCAAATCTCCGCTACCGTCTCCCCTTTCTCCATCTTCGCCATTTTCCATAGGCGAAGACGAAGACGACAATGGCGACGAAGAAGGTAGTCAGGGTGATGTGGACGAACCTGCCAAGCGTCCCGGGAAGAAGGGAAAGAAGGTGCTTCCTCCCGACGCTGTTGACCTGGTGAAAGACGACCATGAGGCTGTGGAGGCTGCTCGAGAGCGCGAGAGACGACGAGGAGAGCCCCAGACAAAGGCACCAAAACATGTGTACAGAAGGACAATCGGCGAGGCGGATGATGAGAAAGGTCGGGTAGAAGAGGTGCAGAGGGTGTATGCACATGCGCCCGGGGAGCATGGGGCAGATCCGGAACCCGAGGAGGTGGTGGATGAAGTGGAGACAAGCGTCATTGTTGATCCTCCAAAGCACACAATGACTCTGGATAGTATAGATGATGACAACCCTTGGGCGTGAGGGTCAAGAGTGATATAGATTGTAGAAAGTCCTGTCTTGTATCCAAGTAATCATGTTCTTCATGCGCGAACCAACGATGTTATGAAGACTTCATCATCTCATACCTTAACCATTGGAACATGGCAATGGAAGTCCTACTATTCGAGGTCATCAAACATTCCACCAGTGGATACAGCCTCCCCGCCCTTGTTGGCCTTCCTGGACTTTCTCTCCTCCTTCACCTCTCTCTTCAGACTTTGATACTCCTTGCCCATGGCTTCGTCTGCGCTATCATCCTCCTCCTCTTCCAACTTTCTCCTCTTTGCCTCCCTCGCTTCTCTCTCCTTCATCCTAATGATTCTCTCCAGATCACCCTGTTGCCCCTCTCCTTCCCCTTCAGCCTGCTCCTTCTCCCACTCTGCCTGCTTCCTCTTGTCCCTCTTGTCATGCCTCTCTTCCTTTTTGGCCTTTCTGTCTTTCTTGTCAGACCACGCCTCGCGCATCTCGGCTTTAATCTTGCGCTTGGCGCGGGCTTCTGCCTTTACGGCAAGAGCGGAAACAGAGGTTTTGGCAGCGGCTTTTTGAGCGAGAGTGGTCAGGCGTGCTTGTTCGCGCTGTTTGGACGTGTAGCCGAACGTGTCCCACTGTGCTGAGTCAGTAACGTTCCGCAATGAATGATGCCCGACTCACATTGACGTCCTCGTCTTCCCAGGGAATATCCTCCTTCTCCTCGACATCCTTCCCTTCTTCCTTCCACTCGGCGATCTTCTTCTTCTCTCCCTCTCTCTTCTTCCTCCAGTCTTTGATCTCTGGCATCGCCGGCAGCCTCAACAGACCATACGCGATACCCTGCTGGTGAAAGTCAAGGTCGGCCGTCCGAAATATGAACGAAGCCTCATGTTTCGAATAAGCCCGGTAGGCAGAGACAAACGTTTTGGCGCCCTTGTCTGCCAGCTCGCGGTCGGTCAAGATGATTTTGCGGATCTCCGTCATCAAATCGACAGCTGCCGAGTCGAGAGTAGAGGGCATAGGGACAGGCTCGAGGTCGGCAGAGACGTAGGCGTGCTCAGTCAAGGGGATCTTGCGAGTTTCGAGGAAACCGACATAGTCCTCTTCTCTGCCCTTTGCGAGCAGTACTACAGCCTTTCCTTTCCTCCCCGCTCTCGCAGTTCGGCCAGCTCTATGACTAAAAGTTTTTGGGTCCGTCGGTGGGTCATATTGGATGACAACATCGATATCGTTAAAGTCTACACCTCTCGCAGCCACATCCGTACAAAGAAGTACAGACGGGTTGAGGCATGAGCTGGGATGTGTGGTGAATGTTTCGAGAGCGGTTTCCCGGATCTTTGGAGGTAGGTCGCCGTGGAGGGATGTGAGGTGAAATTTGGAGAGACGGGGTAGGCGAGAGAGGACACGATAAAAGTAGTCGACGGCGGCACAGGTAGAGAAGTAGACAATGTATTTGGATGCCTCGAAGGGAGCGCGGGATTCGGATTGAAGGAGACGGATGAGCTGCAAGGTCTTTTCCGCATTGCGGCATGTGAGGTAGGTGTTTTGGAGACTAGGTTGAACGTTCAGCAGACGTCGTCAAAGGGATCTGCAAGATGACTCACGCCATGGGCGTCCTCCGTTCCTTCTGCTCTTGTCCAGCTTGTTTCTTTTCCTTCAAGTTGACCACGATTCTCACAGGGTTCCTTAGCCCCAATCCAATCATGTCCTCAACAGCATCCGTCATCGTAGCCGAAAAGAGATGCGTCCTGCGTTGCTTTGGCAAGTGCTTCATGATTCGCTCCACGTCTCTCCTGTGGTCAGGACTCGATAGCAGCCTATCCGCCTCGTCCAACACAAGGACATCAAAGTCGGACACTTTCACCAGGGAAAGGCCTCTTGGGTTGAGGAGGAACGAAGCCAGTCGCCCGGGCGTGCCGACGAGAATGGCAGGGCTGGTGGCCTGGAATGTCTCGTAAGGTGTAGGGGTACCGGACGTGATCAACATTGAGAGGGGTATTTGGGGTTTCTCGTATGGTTCGGGGGAGGGCGATCGAGATGAGGAAGCGACGGGGATGGGTTCACCATTCTCATCGACTTCTGGCTCTGGTGGAACCAGTGCTGAGAGGAATTGGTTGAAGACGGCGTTGATCTGATGAGCCAGCTCTCTACACATCTATTAGCGAGACACCTTCAGCAGAAACGCTTTGGCTCACCTTGTCGGGGCAATCACGATGGCAGCCACCTCTCCCCTCTTCACAGAGTAGTCTCGTTTCGAGAGCCTCTCGAGGACAGGGATCACGAACGACAAAGTCTTGCCGGATCCAGTGACGGCCTCAACTACGCAGTCTTGGTTCTTGATGGCTCGGGGAATGGTTCCGGCCTGAACCGGAGTCATCTTGGTAAAGCCCATCTTTGTAATCTCATTCGAGCTGCAAGGGATCAATCATTGGCAGAATGGTCGCTTTTGTACTTACATCCATGGCGACAGGGGCGGGTTGAGCTTAGTCCATGATCCTGCGAAGGAAGGCGCTTTGCCGACCGGTTTGTCCATATTTCCTGCTGTGACTGGGCTGATGATGGCTGTTCTTGACGATTTCTGCAGAGACCATTCAAAAAATCTCGCGGCCGCCAAAGATAAACAAATGCAAGGCACAATCACGAAATCACACTCCACCCCCACTTAAGCTTCTCATGATCTCGTTGGCGATGGCCTTATGAATACTCTTTCTGACTTTTTGTTATCACTCCCCACCGACCCCGACCGCCATGAACCCCTTCCGCACCACTCTCCTACAGGCCTCAACATCGTTCCGCTCTTCGGTAAGGCGAGCAGCTGCTCCCGTGGTCACAAGACCAGCCGCCCAGCTGCCGTGGAAAAGATGCTTTGCCGACTCTCCCAAACCGCCAAGAAGCGGTCTGGACACTGAGCAGCAGAAAGCTCGAGACCAGTCTACCGTCGGAGTAAGCATCTTCATCTTGTGACATACGTAATCTTACTTGAAGCAGCCCTTCACTCTGAAAGCCGCTGGCTTCTTCATCGTCACTGGTGTCGGTCTCTACATGTACTTTGAATCAGAAAAGACCAAGGTCCAACAACGTCGTCTGGAAGAGCTCGCCTCCCGCTCTGTCGGCCGACCCAACATCGGCGGTCCCTTCCAACTGACCACCCAGGACGGTGTGCCCTTCACCGAGCAAGACCTCAAAGGGAAATGGAGCTTGATCTACTTTGGTTTCACGCATTGCCCAGATATCTGCCCCGAAGAGCTGGACAAGATGGGAGAGGCTGTGGATATGGTGGACAAGGCGACCGGAAAGGGTGAAGTGCTTCCTGTGTTCATCACAGTGGACCCGGCTAGGGACACTCTGCCGCAAGTCAAGAAGTATATCAAGGGTGAGCAGTCTTTTCGCAAGGTCGCGGCCCGTTGCTGACATCAGACGCAGACTTCCACCCCAGAATGGTCGGCTTGGTAGGTGACTACGAACAAGTCAAGAAGACTTGCAAAGTCTACCGGGTCTACTTTTCGACCCCGCCTGATGCTACTGCCGCCGACGACTATCTCGTAGACCACAGGTAAGTGTCTTGCGGCTCTCGCATATTCAGTGTGCTGACATTAGGCGCTGCAGTATTTTCTTCTACCTCATGGACCCATTGGGCCAATTCGTGGATGCTTTCGGCAAGGCTACCACAGCCGACCAAGTCGCTTCAAAGGTCCTCGACTCAATGAAGAAATGGGAAGCTGCTGGTGGCAACGCCGCCGCTGGAGTGTAGGAGCTGTGTGCATGTCGGAAGAGTTGAAAAGAATACAATTCACAGCATGTTGCCATCATTTATGCATACACCCCTCATTGCGATCTTCTACCCCGTCGCACGAGGCTTTGTCTTCTTTTTGGGTCTCTCCTGGCCAACGGGAGCCGTAAAGTCTGGTCCTGCAAACCCATAAGATTGACGAATACGCTTCTTGCTGGAGGCTTCTGCACTGTTGGCCCCCTGGGATCCTTTCGCCTTTGAGGCGGTCCCAGATGGAGTAGCCAGATCTCGCTCTTTCGTTGTCTTCTGCCCATCAGACACTCTTGGTTCGTACGCTCTGCCGTTTGCGGTCGCCGGCAGAGAGGATGCGGGGATCCTGCTCGGCCCGGCGACAGCATTGGAGTGCGACAGTCTCGAAGATCCCGGGGCTGCTTTCACAGCAATCGTTCTGGCAGCCGGTTTGGTGGGAGGAGGTACAGGGGAAGAGGACACTCGGCGAGGTGGAGAGGATGGGACGAATCTCGGCGATTCAATGGTCTGAGGACCAGAGGCTTTCTCCGTTGTTCGACTTGTGGTAGGATTGATGGAAGCAGCAACCTCTTTCTCACTACTGAAATCTTCGCTATCACTGCTCATGTAGCTGAAGCGTTCTCGGTTCACCTTCCAGTTGATCGGAGGCCTCGGAGGACCACTTTCGCGTCGCGGCAGAGCCGCATGCGAAGGAGTCTCTTGGGCCTTGACTTGTGCTACAACCCTGCTGATAGAAGAGCCGCGCAATGATGTCTTCTTTCCAGTACTGAAAGATCGCCTTGGCAGACTCTTTAAGTGGGCTGGAGTCGGGTCTGGAGAAGGTCCGCGGTCATGGACGCCGTGCAATTCAGGTCGGGGTAGTGATTCACGCGCACGATGGCGGGCAGGAGGGGGTGTCAGTGGAATTGCTGGAGGGGATGTATCGCGAGGTGGAGAGGGCGTCGGATTCCGCGTTGATTCGGGTGCAGGTGAACGGTTGACTGATCGAGCGGGGAGCGTATACTGGTACTTTATCAGCTCCTGGTTTTCGAATTGAGCGTGCAAAAGACAAACCCTTCGTCGAGCCTTCTCTTTCTTCTTCTCATCCTCCCCTTTCTTCTTCCCCCTATTCTTGAATTCGGCCTCATAGGCCTGCGAATCCCACGACCCATCGTTCGCGAGTATGGCCTGTATATCCTCGGCATCCCGAATGATCCTCTCCGCCTCTGCACACATACTCTCTGCTAGGGCTTTTGCATGCACAGACGCTTTGAACTGGCCGGGAATGAAAATGTCGTATCGCAGAGGTCCTTCATAGTCGTCCGCCCTGATGAATCATGTCAGAAGTGGACGCGCGTGAAAGGGATAGACGTACGCTAGGACTGCTTCAGCATCTTCGACCCAGCCCAATACTTGCTCTCTCCCTTCAGCGACAACCTTGGCCTCAGGCTTGGTCATGGAGGAGATGTGGAGGTGAGCATGCTGCTTGTAAGACTTCTTCTCGAGAGAGTAGTCTGGAAAGTAGTGGTCGATGAGAGTATGGGCTCTGGATAGCAGGGCACCTCTAGTTGACAATAGTCGTGCGATATGCTGTGAATAGAAAGATCAGACGAGCTTCACATGTATAGACTAGCACCTACATGTTTCCTGATCTCCACCGACAGCCTGAACATCTTCTCCACGCTCCTCCGCTTGACCTCACTGACCCTCGGGCCTTCCACCTCCGTCAGGCATCCTCGCTCCCCCACGAGTGCTTCCCCGTCCTGGACTCCTCTTGACTCGTTCTCTCTAAGCAACTGATTGTGGATACTGAGAATCTGCTCCGCGTCATCAGAGAGCTGGCGGGAAAAGAGTATCAAGTGGGCGTAGAGGTTGAGCGTGCTGGCGAGGCAGGGCAGAAGTGGGTCGGGAAGGAGATTCTTGGTGAGAGCATCGAATACCAGGTGGATCGTTGGCGGGGTGGGAGATTCGGCCATCGATATAGTCGCTTGAGTACTTTCGTGTTTTGAAACAAATCTCTACGACGCGTCCATTTGAACGCGTGCGTTCCTGGGCTGGGCACCATGGGCAGCATTCTTCAAGTGCCCATCTGCAGGCCTCAGTGGCTTTCAACCAGATATTGCTGCTGCGAGTCAAATGGCCAGGTCCATAATACGAAACCATATAATGAGATAAATGCATCAGAACCCCTATCATACAACGATCCACACCTCCCCCGTCTACATTCTCTATCGGTCAACCTCACCGAACACCAAGTCCATAGTACCAATGATGGCGACCGCATCCGGCAAGAAGTGGTGCCTCATCATAAAGTCCGCTCCCGCCAAGTGGGCAAACCCAGGCGCACGGATCTTGCACCTATAAGGTCGGTTGGAACCATCTGAAACAAGATAGACACCCATCTCGCCCTTGGGGGCTTCAATGGCGGTGTAGGTCTCTCCAGGGGGTACAGAGTAGCCTTCAGAGAAGACCTTGAAGTGGTGGATAAGACTCTCCATAGACTCCTTCATGGATGCTCTAGGGGGAGGGACGATCTTGTGGTCGTCGACCTTGTAGGCACCATCGGGGATCTTGTTGAGACATTGGCCGACGATTCGGAGGGATTCTCGGAACTCTTGCACACGACACAGGTATCGGTCGTCTGTGGAGAGTCAGCAGTGTCCAATGTCAATTGTGGGGCACTTACAGCAGTCACCGTTCTTTCCAACGGGCACATCAAACTCCACCCTGTCGTACGCATCATACGGCGCCACCTTTCGGATATCCCACGGGATACCACTTCCTCTCAGCATGACACCAGTGAAGCTGTAGTCCAAAGCCTGCTGCGCCGTCACAGGTCCAATACCGATCGTTCGTCCCTTCCAGATTCGGTTACCAGTCACAACTTCCTCGATTTCGTCTACTCGGGATGAGAATTGGGTAGCCCACTTGAAGATGTCGTCAAGCATTCCGTGGGGAAGGTCGAAGGCGACACCACCAGGTCGGAAGTAGGCGGCGTGAAGACGGGCACCAGAGACTCGCTCGTAGAACTCCATGAGCTTCTCACGCTCCTCGAAACCCCACAAGAAGGGGGTAAGGGCACCGACATCCATCGCGTGGCTGCAGATGTCAGTTAGGTTCCTCTTGTTCTCCAGGCACATGACTCACGTGAGAACAGCCATCAAGTGGTTGAGGATACGGGTCAACTCTCCAAACAATGTCCTGATCCACTTGGCTCGCTCGGGCACCTCAATGTTCAGCAGCTTCTCCACGGCAAGCGAGTAACTCAGTTCGTTGGTCACTATGAAATCCGTCAGCTCCATATAACTACAGTGCACCTTCCCATACGTACTCATAGAGACGTAGTCCAATCGGTCAAAGTAGGGCAAAGCCTGGGTATAGTTTTTGTATTCGATTAGTTTTTCGGTACCTCGATGGAGTAACCCGACGTGTGGGTCGGCACGCAAGATTTCCTATAGCCAATTATCAGCCCATGCCCTTTGACCAGTGCTCCCCAGGCCCTCCTCATTACACCGATGTTCGCCAGCCCCTCCTCATTACACCGATGTTCGCCGCGATAATGAACAGATTCTGGTTGGTGGAGATCGACCTCGTATGGATGTTGCGACTTACTTCACCGTTCAGCTCGAGGATAAGTCGGAGCACACCGTGGGCAGCAGGATGTTGGGGACCGAAGTTGACTTTAGACACATGTCAGCGAAACCATCGACCACTTGATAGGATACGCGCGCACCCGTGAAATGCCTCATCTCAGCCTCAGCCTTCTTTCCACCTCGCTGGTTCAAAATCTCATCGGCAGTCATCGCGTGAAGCCTACAGACCAAGTCAGTTCCCTCCTACATTTCTGAAATAATCCACGTACTCCTCAACAGAGTGAGCCTTCACGGGGGAAGCTCCCTCGGGGGAAGTGGCATAGTTGGGGCCGCTTGTTGAGAGTTGCCTGAAGGGGAGGGTGGCGGGGGCGCGTGATGAGGAGGGGACGGTGCGGAGGAGAGGGCGGAGGTTTCTGAGCATTTTGGGATGAGTGGTGGCTGGGGGAAAGCCGTGGTGCAGCGAGTCAAGGTATAGCCCGTGGACGAATGAGATGGCGGAGATGACCAGGTGGAGGATAAAACTCCGCGTGGGCGGCGGTGTGGCACTTGGCTGGCATTGCATTTGGTTCTGCTGCATGCATCATGCATCCCACTATCTAATCATTCACGACATGTGCTCCAGACTGCATAGGAAGCTGAGCTGGAGTATTATAAAATGATATTCACGTTCTATACGTCCACCAATCCGCCGTGCTCGGCTCGACCTTTTCCCTTCCCCTGTCCATCTGTCGAATCCCTCTCCTGCTGGTGGTTCCTCCACACATTCGCCTCCCCAACCCCGACAGTGGTCAAGTCCTCCGCGTCCTCATCACTCTCCTCCAAACTGAACCTCCCCGCAAAGCCCGTCTCCTCATCGTCATGCTCATCCGCTCTCACATTGCTGTACCCAGACGACCTTCGATTCCATGAACCCCATCCAGGTCTCGAAGCACCGTTCGACGAAGAGTTTGCATTGGAGCGACTGGGGATATGGATGGAGGGGAGGTGCCATGAGGAAAAGTCGGGCAGAGGGAATTGGTCGATGCCGCGACGTTTGAGTTTCAGGCGGTTGTACATTGTCACACCTCCAAACCACGTCAAGAAGGCTATCGCCAAGCTACAGGCGTAGCGTCAGTGGATGCCACTTGGATGTTTGCCGAAAGGACGTACATGGCAAAGAAAGCGATATAATAGTGGTGGCTTTCAAGTTCTCTCTTGGGGTTCGTGGGACATGCCACATGGGTACTCCATTCAAAGTAGAAATGACACGGATCTTGAGGAGGAAGACTCGCGACCAGCAAAGGCTTGCCAGCATCAAAATCTGATGGGCTGCAAATGAACTGTATGATATCAGCAAGTGCTTGCCGCTAAACTGCGCACTCACCCGTATGGCTGTTGATGCTGTTTCGGAAGGGTTGCCAGGGCACGCCGAGCCACCGGTCATAGTCAACAAAGGGTCGTTGACCATAGGCGAAAGTGTCAGGTTTGTGTTGACCTGACTATATTCCATTCGTAAGCGTGCCGCCACCTCCCGAGCGATTCCGTCTTACCCCAGTGAGAAGTCCCCGTCCGGCCTGCGCACAAAGCCTCCTACATCATCCGGATTGTCTATCTTGTACAGCTCTCCCACTACACTCTTGCAAACATTGAGATAGTAGCTTGTGTCTCCGACTTGGGCGGTATAGTCTGCTGTAGACGATGAGAGCTGGTTGAGGTCGTAGTGGGTGCCGTCTTCCAGTGTGAGTGTACAGGGGTTGTCGGATCCCATTTCGCACATGCTCGGGTTTGACTGTGGGATTCAGAGAAGGTAGTCGGACTCTTTGAGTTGAAGAAAAGAAGTTGCACAATCTCTTAACCAAGAGCAGCAAGAGCTGAGCATCATCATCCGCGCCAGATCCGCGCCGTTGACTGATCGGCGGAGATGTCCGCCACTGTGACTGTGTACGTAAGGAGGTGTTGCATCTGTACCATGCATCATGCAGCGACGAGAAAGGCTATCTAGAAGTTGAACCTAGCCCTCAAGCTCTCAGCCTTATCCTTCATAGTCTCGTCCAGCGACCGATATTTGATGCCGAGCACCTTCGATGCCTTGGAAAGTTCGACTTAGCGTTCAAGTCTTCTCGGTATCCAGGTGTCACATCGCCGACGGGCACATCCTTGAGATCAGGAAATTCGCGGTTCAAGACCTGAGCAGAGGGAGATCAATCTCCAGATAGGTGTATACGAAAGCGTAGCTCACCACGCAGACGTCTTTGCCGCTGTAGGGACCGTTGGAGCAGGCTCATGAGTGGATTCAATTGTGAGCTATGTTTCATGACGATCAACTTACCTCGTAGCTAACACATATCCCATAGCACTGTCGGGCGTGTCATTTCGTACGTTACCATTGGTCTCATCGAAGCCTGCATCCCTTCGTACTGTGCCGAGAGTGAGTATCACTACTGCCTGCTTTGTATCAGTACGGTTACTGACATGATCCACCCCGAAATAGTCGCACCTCCTGGCTTGCGTGGCTTCCTCTCCGGCCTCTTCGTCCCTCTTCAAAACGCCTCCGCCATTTGGGCGAGTGGCATGTGCACCGCCTACTCTACCGAGACTCACAAGATCGGCTGGCTCGTGCCTGCTTGTATCACCTTGTCTCTCGTCTGGTCACAGTAGAGTCCCCTCGCTGGCTTGTGTCCAAAGGCAAGACCGACGATGCAATCTTGGCCCTCCGCAAACTCAGGAAGAAGGAATACTCGGCCAGTGGACAGGTGGAGGCAGAAGTTGAGCTGATCGCTCGAGCGATCGAAGAGGACAATGCGGTGGTAGGAGGACGCTGGATAGACTTGTTCTCTGGCTCGATGTGGCGACGTACTCTGTACATCATGATCATGTTCGTTGTCTACGAAGCTGGTGCGTCGCTCCATGCTTCTCTACTCTCATGGAATGACCGCTGATACCAAGGTTAATGCAGGCGGGAATCAATTCTACAATTCCTATGGTCCCTCTTTCTTCTTGGCCAGCGGTCTCGGCTCCAAGTCGTTCACCTACGCCTGCCTTGTGCAGATGGCGGGCACCATTGGCTCCCTCATGACCATCCTCTCACCGACCGAGTCGGTCGCCGGCCGCTGTGCATTTTTGGCTCAACCTTGCTCGTCATTTGGGTCACGATCATTGGAGCATTAGGGTCTAAGAAGGACATCACGACAAACACTTCGGCACAAAACGCGGCGGTGACGTCGTTCGTCATGCTGCTCTGGTCTACCAAGCTGGCCTTTGCCACTCACGCCTTCATCGTCACAATCGAGATGGGCCGCTCGCGTATGAGAAAGAAGCGTGAGTGTCTAATTTTGTATATGCTCACGCGGGCGATGCTGACAAGCATTGGTAGTCATATTTGTTGGGGCGTTGTTTGACGTTTTGTCCTCTTTGGCCGTATCTTCGCCTCTCCCTATGTCGTGACCGCCATTGGGGCAAAGATCGGCTTCGTTTTCACCTTCATCTCTGGCGGCGGCCTCATCTTTTCCATCTTCTTCCTCCCCGAGCTTCGTGGCCGCGCGCTCGAAGAAGTGAACGAGCTGTTCGACAAACCCCGATTCCGCTGGGGGTAGCAGTTCAAAGGTGGCAAGACGCCCATCTCGCAAGGTGTTTGGACTGCTGATGATGCAGAGGACATCCAGGACAAGCCTGAAGAAATTGTACGATCCAAAGTCTTCTGATAATGAGAACCTTGCTGATATAATGACACCGACTTTCAGTACGAGCTTGTCGACGGCGAGAAGAAGTAGTCGTTCATGTCTTGCGGGCGGCGCGAGTCAGTAGTGATTGGGTTCTGAATTTGTTACATGGGAGTTGTATAGTTGGAGTTAACGGAGTATGTGAACGGAATCATGTAAGCTGCTTGTTGAGTTATACATTCGGCCTGACTTGTCAACATCAAGGCGCACAACAATCATTTTGGCAGTCATTGGGACTCGAGCAGCTTGCGAAGAAGGCTAAGAAGCCCTTCACTGGATTACACAAGTCAACAATGATGACGCGAGCCTCAATAGCATGATGATGGTGGACAAGTCGTGTAGAATGAGTGACGCATTGTCGCAAATGGCCAGGGTCCAGACCAATCAAGAAAAGACAACTGCATTGGATTCGAAACAGAGCATAATAGGGAAGTACAATCGATACGTTCTCACAGATTCGCCACCACTGGACCCATAAACCTTCGCCAAAAATCAAACCATATCGTATCTGGCTGCTGGACCCGCTCTCGGTCTCAACACCTGAAACAGATCAAAGGAATAGCTTGTAATGAGGGTTCTCGTCCCCGAGAGAGTTGTCGTCGGGAGCACCAGCCGCAACTTGCTTGGCCTTCTTGCTTATCTTGGCCCGAGTCCCGAGAAGCTTTGCATAGAGTCAGCATATTGGTTGAGAATAAATTTCCACGTCATACATAGCACTCACCAAAACGATAGTACAACACATCGACATCACGGTGGCAGCTAGAACATCGTCAGCTATAGACAAATCATCATGTGACAGGCATTTGGTCCTCACCGATGTCAAAGTAGATGCCTTTGCGGTACCTGGGAGCAGATTGGGACGTGAAGATAAACCCAATGATGGCGCCACTGATATCTATATAGTCGCATCAGCTCTCTACGTTGGGAACATGACGTAGATACTCACTACCGGTGAGCTGAATGGTTCCACAACTGACAGCTCGCTTGTAGTGCCCGGCTATGTTGTCGGCAGCCCACAAGTTGTTGAGCGCTGTGGCAACGTATCGTCATGATGGGGAGATTATATATATAAGTGCTGATTTGGTGGCCCAGATTGAGCACATACGAATGCAGGATGACTGTGCAGGTGATAATGATATGATTTCGGGAAGTCGGATCTTACGGACGCGCTTTTTGTGCTTTTTGTTGATATTTGTGCAGCGGGGCGATAAGGCGGAGCACATGCGAACAAGAGGAGCTCTTCCCCACGAATACACGGGTAGCTATGCATTTATTCCATCTTCAGAGACATCCTATTTCCCACCACATTCAACTTCCCGAGCGTCCCCTTTTCGATAATGGAGAAACGCCATGGGGTCGCCTACTCCTACTACCAAACCGCCTCAGGACCAAACGCGCCTGCGACTACTGCAGGCTGCACCGTATCCGGTACGCTTTTTTCTCACAATACACGACACGGGGCTGACATAGACTCATATTCAAGTGTGAGTTCGGGACAGACCAGGATGTATGCAACCACTGCATGCGTTACCAGATACATTGCAAAAAGGAAACGCGCCCACCACCTGTAAGCGCTCTCCGGTCTTGACCCTGCTTCCGTAAAGCCTCCATAGCTATAGTCAGTCTGACGCATTGACAGGACAAACGTCAGAGCACTATCACCAAAGACGCTGATCGACATGGTGAACTTCAGTCATTTCAAGGTATTGAGCCAGGATATCTAGTGTTTATCAATTTGTATATGAGGGTTTTTTTCATCGGTTTCCTATTCGAGATGTTTGGTTGGGATCAATGCAGTGCTGCTTTTCTCCGAGTGCATGAACATGATCGAGGACTTGAGAACAGCTCGAGAAGTTTGCGAGAAGTTACCAACAAGGCGGGAGTCATGATCGGAGGTCTCCGCTCGGTTACGTAACCCGATAAGCGGTTAGGCCGAAAGCAACAGCGGCGGCCATCTCATACTAGAACGAACGTCAGTAGCCCTAGCTCGACCCGACTTTTCGTTCTTTTCCTACTCATAACCCCAGCAAGCTCGCCTCAAAACACCAATCATGTGCACTGCTTTCTTGAGAACGCTTCCCCGGACCATCCCTCGGGCCGCCCGAAACATCCACTCCACCCCCCGCTTACTGGCTTCTGAAATACCGACCAGCCCTTTCGAGGACCCCATCTTTAAGGCTTTCGCTGATCGGGTTAAGCAACACCAGGGTGCTGTGGATGCTATGAAGAGTGTTATGAATGTTATGCAAGCGAAAGGTATGTCCGATCTCCACTACAGCGTTATCAGGAGCTCATGACTCTCGACGCAGGCTTCGACAAGAACAAGAAGCCTACTATCATGCAGATGATGCAAATGGCCAGTGATACCGAGCTGAAAGCTGCTGCCTCTACAGTGCGTACAGCTTGCCCCGCTAACTTATCCCTTGCTGACATGCCCCTCTAGCTAATGACAGAACTGCAAAAAGCCGGTGTCGGCATGGACGTACGTTCTCTTCTCACCGCCTGACATTCACGAGCCCGATCTGACGCGAATGCTGTAGGAGGCGAGAGAGATCTTTTCAAGGGCGCAGGCTGGTACTCCCCGAAGCTAGACAAGAGAGCATTCTTGGCTTTGCATATTTACATCATCATGAACCGCATTTCGACGATCCATGGCTCCTGCCTCGCTCGGCTTGGAGTGGATCGATGGAGGGATGTCCGTGATGAAAGCCGGATAGGCACCCATTTGATCTGGACAAGAGTAGACAAAGATGCGGATCAACAGGAGATGGTCATGGAAATCGACAGACATATGATCCGCCGTCACGACAGCCGACGGTAGCCCTGACAAGTCTCACTAAACACGTCGCCGCATAAGCCAATCGACATGTTTGCATGCAGTATATTAAGAACCCACAAGATCGTCCCTCGCTCTATCTGTCCCCTCTCCCTCATTCGAGTTCAAATCGTCCGGGCTGAGTTGCAGATACTCGCACATGAACACTCTCAGCAACTTGTTCCATCTGCGCAAAGCAGGTAGCGACAAAGCAGAAACGTCGTCCTGGACGGATGTCAGCATTGTGTCCCGATAGCTTGTAAGAGACTCACTGCAAGGGTATGCCAAACGGGAGGGAAAGGAGCAGAAATCAAGTGCAGCACACTGACTCCTCTGTCCACAAACTACACGACTTGATCAGTGGCGTCATCCAGCGAAACGCATGCTACTCACAGGAACGTGGTCATCTCCAATGGCTCCAGGCCACCCTCTCTGCCTGATGAACCACTCCCCTTTCCTCCCCTTGAACTTTTCGGCAACCTCAACCTCTACCAGCCCTGCCTCCCTGAGCCGCTTATCGACCGCCGCCATCCCATCAAAAAGCCAGTCAGTCTCTCGATAGTAGCTCCGCATCGTAGTCTCGGGATGACCAAGCAGATCCAGCAGGATAAGGTGGTCGATCGTCTGGAGAGTCGTGGGTGCAGGATTCAGCCTTCTGCGTGATAAAGGGTGCTCAGGAGGCAAGAATGTCTCGGCCCAATCTTGGGCCAAGAAACGCGCTCCATAGATGGAGTCTGTATCCGTCCAATCGTGGAAAGCTTCCTCGCCGTCAAAGAAGATGATCTGGACGGTGGTCTCGGCGGCTTCTTCCTCGTCGAAGGACGGATCGGAAGGCCGGGAGAGGGGTTGAAGGGAAGATATGCGGGATGAGCGGGCAGATAGGAGGGGTGTGAGGAATTCGGCAAGAGACAGAAGCATTGCGCAGGGAGCTGCCGAGTCGATTGCTCCTATGAACTGCGTTGGTACATCAGCTTTGCGCTTGTTGAAGCGGTATGGGCGTCAGATGCTCACCTGATTTGCAGGGTAATCAGGAAACCATTTCGAATCAAAATGAGCTGCCAGAACGACCTTGCGAGGAGCGTCAGGATTGAAAGTGTATACCAGATTCGTAAAGTCCACGTCTCCGATAGGTGTCTCCCATGTAAATGGTGTCTAAGAGTAGCGAATGTCAAGTCAGCGACTTGTCCGCGGCTGGATACCCGAGAGTACTTTTTCCTCGTGCCAGCCGAGTTTTGTGAGAACAGAAGATATGTATTCTTGTACAAGGGTGCTAGTGTGGCATCAGCATTGAATGAGTGCCCTCAAGCAGGATACACACTTGTTCGTTGACCCAGCTAGGATACCATAGTCAGCGACTGCTCGTCTTGGCTCTTGATGGACACTCACAAGCTCTAGGTATTAGTAGTTTTCCCAAATGTCCTTCGCTCACACTTTCCCATTCTGGGGGGTCTGATTCGGTTATCCGCTGGACCTGTGAGGCTGAGAGAGTATCGAGAGATCGCGCGCCAAAAGGGTTGCGCGAAGGAGTGTCGGCAAAGACAGCGAGGGAGAGGAGGAGGGGGAGGAGGATGGAGAGGAGACGGGGCGGGGGATGTAGCAGAATCATTGGGCTATCCTGGTCTCTTTCCGATGGTCACAGGTCTAGATTATCTTTGGAATTGAGGTGCATGGTTATGGTGACTTGTTAGCGATGCAATGGCGATGCAAGATGGCGGAGGTGTCCACCAGGCCGTCGGCCCACGCACTCTCACTTGTTGGTTGTTGCACTTTGGTTGCACTGATGTCTTTGAGGTGTATCACTGACAAGCAATATGGGAGACCACAACCTCAGAGTATTCACTTTCAATGTCTGGTACGTCGCTGGCAATCCCCCCTCACCTGCTCACAGTCTACAGGGGCCTCGCTCTCCTTTCCAAGGACAGGATACAAAGACTACGTGCGATCGCAGAGCACATCGCATCTGCGAGCTATGACATCGTATGCCTCCAAGAGATATGGATCTACAAGGACTATGAGATGGTGCGGGAAGAGATACAGCACGTCCTGCCGTTCTCTAGGTTCTTCCACACGTGAGCAGGTCTTGCATCTTGAGCTCGACAAGACTGACGCGATAGGGCAGTGGCGCACTGGGCTCCGGCTTGGCCATATTTACACGATTCCCCCTCATAGGGGCACAAGCGCTGCCCTACTCTCTCTCAGGAACCCCAGCTCAGGTATTTGCTGGTGATTTCTTTGTCAAGAAGGCGGCGGGCAACGTGGTCATTCTCCATCCCGTCCTCGGTGAAGTGGAGATCTGGAACACTCATGTATGTCTGCATCCCCACTCAGTCCGCGTTCATCGCTTACTCTCCACTACAGATGCACGCAGCTGGAGAGCATGGACCGGACACGCGACAATCCCATAGAATCGCTCAATCGTGGCAGTTGGCTAGCGCTATTCGTGGAGGCGCTGCAAAGGGCAGGTACATTCTTGTGGTGTGTATATGCTGTGACCCCCTTTAAGCCGACCTAACAGAATCATAGATGGGCGACTTCAACTCTCAGCCAGGCTCTGTTCCGATTGCCATCATGCGCGATCACGCCAACCTACAAGACTCTTTCCTCGTTGCGCATCCTTCCGCCAATACCGACCTCCCACATCCCCCTTCCTCTGCCGAAGCTTTGATAAAGTATGGCACCACTTGCGACTCTCCGCTTTGTACTTATTCAGCGGGGAAGCCTATCCCCGGTAATGTCCTAGAGCACGGCGGCAAGAGACTCGATTATATCTTCTACCGACAGCCTGCCGTGGCTAGGAGGAGGCCATTGGTATGGAAGTACAGGGATGATGCCGGGAGCACAGGTGCTGAGAATGGCGGCTCCAGTCTCTCTGGTGATGCGTATATTGAGTCTGGCAAGCCTCTCCAGGATTCTATGGCGCAAGCTCCCAAGCTTCGCTGTATCAGCTCCGAGGTCATCCTCACCGACAGAGTACCGGGACATCAATTCTCTTACTCTGATCACTTTGCCCTCTTGTCGACCTTTGTAATTGAAGGCCCATCTCAACAATATCAATCACACGAGCCTCCTTCCGCCACCGACTCCGAATCGCATGGGCCGTCCACGGCGAACTCGTTAGAGCCCCTCATCTCTCAGAACGACCCCGAGCGTATCGGATCGAACTTGTATGCCGCTGGCGATCCGTTCAAGTATCCATCCGATGGCAACTCCCTCTCTCATTCCACATCCATACCTTCCACTCAAAAGTCAACCACCATTCGCACCGCTCTCAACACCCTTCGGCTCTATACCCGTATCTCTCAAAACACTGCCAAGCGTCATCTCCAGATCTGCTTGCTCGCCTTGCTGGCACTTATTGGCTTGACGGTGGGCTGCGCGTGGCAGCCCAAGAGCTGGCTGCAACCCATCTTCACCATAGTCGGCGCACTGTTAGGCGCTACGGCAGCGACGTTCCTCTATACTGGGTTCGTCTGGGGTAGGTGGGAAGAAGGGCTTTTGGCAGAGATAACAGAGGAGATGGAGCTGGAGCTGAGGGTGGTTGAGATGGAGGAGAACATGAACCGCTAGGAGGGTGTGTGAGGTTGGCCTGGCGATAGCTGTGCGGAGTTGAATGCTGGTATCGCGGAGTTATAACCATCAGATTTGCATCTTCGTTTGTTGTATGGCAACATCGAGCTCATTAGATGATTTACATAATGACATCTTGAGATGGGACCTTTATAAGGACAGTGTCTATTTTTGAGTTCACCCCCACTCAAGCCTGACTCCGCCGCGTGATTATGATTATCCATCTTGCTCACGCGACCACTCACAAATAGCAATGTTACGGACAAAAAGGTACTTTACAGTAGCTGTCTGTCTTTGAATGAGATATTGTCTTTATTGGGATCATCACGCAGACTTCCTTCAAAGGAAACTCGCATAGCTCAACGGTTTGTTGAAGGCCCGGCACGTCTGTGAGCTCCACCGCCGGACTTGAACAACCATTATGAGGTAAGCCTGGGTCCGCGGTACTCGGCTGAAGTCGATTCCTGGTACTCCATTGAGAGTATTAAGACCCTGCACTCTCACGGGATTATTGTGGGCCATAATGATCACTTTGGCTGTACGTATGGTGCTATATAATGATTCCCAATCCCCATCTATTTCCTTCTCTTCCCCATGCTATGCTTTTCATCTGACAGGACTAGCTCTTGAACCTTACAGTTCTGTTAGACGCCTCTACATAGCTACTCCCCATGCCTCAATCGTCCCGACATACAACCTCGGTCAATGGATCGAGTGGCCCACGAAGTACCCACACCAACACCCAACAGAGTAGGCTTCAACGGTCTCAGACCGAACCTACTTTTCGAGCTTCTGGTCATACAACACTAGACAGCTGCCTCCGCAGATCACGCGTATGTATACATGGTCGATACATATCCTTTAGCCCAGTGCTGACACACTCTCCAGAGGTCGAATACGACAGGAAACGTGAAACAGCCGGTGAGGTTCAGTGATATCGACAAAGTTCACTACTTCTGGCCTCTCGAGGCTGCCTCTCGTAGGATTGATGATGACTCCACCACCCGAAATGAGCAGCCTACCACTGAGGACTCGAGAAACCTTATCCAAGACCCTGCCGCTTCTTATGATGATGTAGTCGCGCGCCCTGAGCCCAAGGAGAGGAGAAACACAACGGCTATCAGTAGGCCTTCTTATCAAGACACTTACGAAATCGATGGGATCGACATGATGGCAATGGCAACCGAAGAAGCTATGAAGGAGATTATCCCCTCCATGGCAGAATCCTGGGTGAAACTGATCACAACATTCCTTTCTATCAGCTCAGATGGTAAGCATGCAGTCCGGAAGAAAGACGGGCATCGAGAGTCTGGCAAGAGTCACTCGGACCATTCAAGAAGACGACGGTCTTACTCTGGGCGCTCTGGTCACCATGACGACGAGCGGGTCAATGGAGGAAAGAGAGAGGCATCCTCAAAGGACGTTAGTCATTTCGATCAGGATGACCATGAAAGGGATGATCCGGAGCATTCAAGGCGTCGGCGGCAAGAAAGTAGACAGCGTTCTGAATCCCCCCGGGTCACTTGGGGTGAAGTGCTTGACAAAATTGACTCCTCAGGCAGTGCGAGGAGAGCGCATCAGGGCGTCCCAAAATCGCGAGATGAGAGGGATAGAGACGATCAGCGTCATGATGCAAGGCGAGCGCGTCCTGCGCACCAGGGGCGTGATGAGACAACACGGTCGTCACCCGATGACAGGGCGTCTACTTCCTCGAGGCGACCTCCTACCCAGTATGCGGCTAGCCCATACGCCCCTCCCCTATCTGGTGGTAGCTCAAGACGAGGGTCAGCGTCACAGCTGGCGCCGCCTTCAGAGGCTGGCAGTCCTCGATGTACCGAGACAAGCAGAACGGTGGAGAAGAGAACAAGCGCGTATCCAATAGAGACTGTCGGTCGCGATGGATCCTTGCGGGTGGAGCATATCACAGTCAGCTCGGAGCCTGTTCAGATCAACGAATATCATTACAGAGACCCCCGACATAGTAGCGACGACATCATCAGAGTTGAAAAAGAAATGAGTGACGTCGGCGCAAAGTCTCGATATGCCCCATCTTCCCGATATACCCCCACCAAAGGCCAACCTGGGTACGTCAGTCCAAAAAGGCAAGACGTTGAGCGAGAACGTCTTTCGATCACCATAAGAGGCCATCCACATCAGCCAAGTGAACGAACTTCCCCTCCGGGCCATTCGCAAAGAAACTCTGAATACGGTGTCGTGAGGCCTGACAGCTCGGGCAGAGATAGGCCTCAGGGGAATCGAGCAGACAGCAGCTACTTTCCTTCAGATCAGTCTTACACCAACGGCAACCACTCACCAAGAGAACATGCCCAAAGATCTGATGGCCGCTTTTCTCCAGGAGATTATGAAAACGCACCGAGGCATGGAAGGCAAGGTTCGAGCCACTCAACAAGAACCCCTTTGTCGCCTATCGAGAATGGTGTCAAATACGTCCAAGACCAGGACTCAGGCCCTCCGATGGATAGAAGGAGGAGTTACACGAGGGAAAGCGAGCTCAACTGGGGCCGTAAGGATCAGAATTCCTCTGTAGATGGAAGGCGTCTTAGCTACGCCAAGAGCGCAATCTCAGCATCGCCCCAGTCATATTCACCTACTTCAACCATGCCGTCATCGCCGTCCCGTATGACCCATGATCATCCTGTGAGGGACCAGCGCACGTCGCATGCCGAAGGCTCGTCAGCGTCCAGAGCATACCGACCACAAGAGACCTCCCCTAGGGCAAGGGAGTCTCCGCCCAATGGTGATCGAAGTCGAAGGCAGTCCCTAGTGGCGAGCCCGACACAGTCGGATATGTCTGTCAAAGCAGCGCCCAGGCCCTCACTCACATCGGTAGCCTCTCGAAGTAGTCGTGTCTCCGAACAGAAGCCGACTCATTCCCGCGAAGATGGTAAAAAGTCCTCGAAGAAGCCCGCGTACGACGATCCTGATTCGGATGTAGAATCGACAGCCGGGGTCTCTAGGGGCAAAGGGCGTACAGGAATGGATGAAAATGAGCGGCGACGGCTGGAACACAGGAGGATGAGCATGTTTCAGAACGACGTAGAGGATGCCGAAAAGCCCAGAAAGTGAGAGGTTTGGTCGTGACTTAGTATACATTCATCATGCAGGTACATTGAGTGCTGATATGCAAAAGCGGTCATTCTCTGGGTTCACTGCAATGTATGAGTTCCTGACAGAGCACATGTACACTCACATCTTTCGCGCATTCTGTACCCGGATGTACAGCCAGTTGACTGCTTCTCTTATCCCCGTGCTACATCATGTCAGCTGTAAATCATTGAGCGTTCAAGAGACGTGTATACCCTTCCAAGGCAGAAGCCCCCATGACATCCAGACTCGCCATCCTCTCATCTTTCGCACCTCCGTCATCCGGCAAAGCCTCCGAAACTCCTTCAAGATGACCCGCTTCTTCCCCTTGATTGATTGATTTGCCTTTGCCTTTGTCCTTTGACGATATTTGATTCTCATCATCTCCATTCCGGTGCGACCGCGATCTTTGCCAGGCGTCAAAAGCTTCGCGAATCTCGGCTACTGAGAGGGAGGTGGGGCTATCTTGCTTGTTGGCCAAGAGAAGCAGGGGGAGATTGAGCAGTCTGGGAGAATTGAGGACCTCATCTGTGTATCATTAGTATGCGCGAACCGTCTACACCTCTCCATCAAAACATACCAAATACTTCCCATGTTTCTGACAGACGAGCTTGGTCTGTCGCGTCCAGTACGAAGACCACCGCATGACACTCGTCGTAGTACTTTTCCCATATGGATCGGATATCTCTTTGTCCTCCCAGATCATAGAAGTGCAAGGTCGTAGATGGCAGAGATATCTTTCCGACTACGCTCAAGGCATCAGCGCCGATCCATGGCAGTCGCGTGGAACCCACTATTCTGGCCGACGGTCGGTCCAATCTTGTCAGGCGCCATACCCGGAGTGGGATTGTACATTGTCTTTATCTTCTCCAGCATGGTCTGCGCCAACGTAAGAGGTCGTCATGGTGTACATGCATCTCCGGTACGTACTGTTTTGCCTGCCTGCGGACCGTTACATCAGCTGAAGGCCCGGGGGTGATCACTGCACCCACATTGTCGAGGCCGATGATGACGACCGAGTACTCGTCTTTGCGGGTGAGGTAGTCGTGGAGGCCTCTGAGGAGATGGTACATGGTATAGCTATTATAGGGATGTGATATGGATGCACAAAGATCACAACATCGAACGTGCAGGCCACCTCCACTTTTCTTGTTTCTGCCTGTCTTTTTGACTTGCCATCTTCTGAACATTGCCTGCAACTCATCAAGATGTCCAAAACATACTCTCCCGAAGAGGCGGAAGCCCTTGTCCATAGCCACGACCCCGAACATGTAAGCGTCCCCGTCAGTCATGTGCAAGAGCTCATGATCGTCTATAGCCCGCCAACCTGATCTGTGACTTGTGCCGAGAATTCTACAGTGAGCTACATTGAAATTGACTAAGGTGTGATACTGATACTGCACAGAGCTTGGATGGGTTACTGGTACTGGTGGTGGTATGTCGAAAACATTCTGCACAAAACCGAGCTGACTTGCACAGGCATCAGCATCCGAAAAGAGTGAGATTCGCCTGCAGAAAGCTCATGAGGTCGATAGCTGATGTGTCATAGCGAACTTGTCTATCTCGCCCCTTCTGGTGTGCAAAAAGAACGAATCAAGCCTGAGCATGTCTTTGTCCTTCCTTTCGCTCAGTCATCAGTACCCAAGCCTGGATCTCAGCGAGACTTCATCAGAGTACCCGCCAAAAAGGTATGTGGACGTCTACGCTGCATCTGTACACCAAACTCATGCTACTTGGCAGGGACTCAACGAGTCGCAATGCACTCCTCTTTTCTGGAACGCCTTTACATTGCGAGAGGCCGGAGCCTGTATCCACACCCACTCTCAACACGCCGTGCTTCTCACTCTTCTCTTACCTCGCAACGCTCCCAGCTTCCGAATCTCTCACCAGGAAATGATCAAGGGCGTTCGTCTCGGAGGAAACGGCAAGACGCTCAAGTTCTATGAGACTTTGGAAGTCCCCATCATCGACAATACTGCTCAGGAAGAAGACTTGACAGAGAGCATGGCTGCTGTAAGTGCAACGATCAGTCCCCGTCTCCAGCTCGCTCATGTGATTGTCAATAGGCTATGGAAAAGTACCCCAACGCCCCCGCCATTCTCGTGAGGAGACACGGTGTCTACGTCTGGGGTGAGAGCTATCACTTTACTCGCAAGAGTCCCTGCTGACAGACCGGCTATAGGCAACACCTGGGAGCAGGCCAAGACCCAGGCCGAGTGTCTCGACTATCTGTTTGAAGTTGCTTGCAAGATGCTGCAGAACAACCTGCCGCTCGAGGGTGACGAATAGAAAAGAGTGCAATGTTTCAATGAGAGGGTCATGCAAGCGCTGTCTTCAGAAGGACAACATACTCTAACATGGCCAACACACTGGCTCACTCTGCATGTTAGAATCCAAATTGAATTTTCAAAACCACAGATATTGCTCAATGTCACCGGAAGACTCTCACTCATTCTTAGACTCGACTTCGTCCCCCGAATGCTCCTCTTCCGGGATGCTCTGTATATCCATCGATGACTGGGACATCGGCTTGAAGTGCCCACTTCCACGATGAGCAACTGGACTACTAGACGGATGTCCATCAGCCGACCACCCCCTACGACAATACTGTCATGAAAACAGACTGCTCACAGAGATGGGCTTCCCTCCTTTGACGCCTGGTCTTCCGAACTTGGGCTTTCTTGATTCTCCGCCTCAATCCCAGGACCTCCAGCGTCGCTTTCAGGAGTTGCCGGGAATGCTTGCATGGACTGTACCTGTACGAGCGGCGAGCCTCTCCTCCTTGGTGCCCTACCCCGAAAGCTTTGCGGCGACTCTGGAGATCCGCTGGCTCCAGTACCCGTCATACTGCCCGTGATGATCTGCAGCCGGCGCCGCGCTGTTGGTGATGCCACAGCAGTACTCGACGTTGCTGATCCGTGCCTTTGGGGTGGCGTCATTCGAGCTGACCGTGAAGAAGCTGCCTTATCTGTCTGAGGGTGGACCCCGAGACTCCCGTACATGATAGCCATTTCCCGCTCAAGCTCTCGCATCACAGCTGATCCCGTTGACATGTACTTGATCTCGTCCTGGTCGAAGGGGTCTTCCTCTGCTGATTCTGCTGGTTCTGTTGGCGCATCTTCATCAATCTCCATGGGTTCTTCAGTCAACGTGTGACTGTTACCATCATCCTGTAGAATCGGCGGTGGCGGGCTCTGTGATTGTTGAGACTCTTTCAATGTGTCGTCTTCCATCTCCACTGATACACGTTTTTTGCTTAGCCAATAATTGAAAAGCCAAGAGTGACTTTGCCCCTTATATCTCATCCCAAACGATCGAGAGACGACGACTGCGCTGCTGGCAGCGAAAGGGTGCTGATCAACGATCAGATTCCAACTCCACCTGAAAAGAAGCTGTTCAATTATCATCAGGTTGAGTCAAGTTCTATCATCATCAGCAGTTCGATCAAAGGACAAGGTCCATGTCTCTTATAACCTTTCACAACTGGATCAGTGGTAAAGCCCCACTAATGATATGCGTACTTGCTTCAAAGCCATGTAGATTAGCTCAGATGACAATCATATTGTGTCTTTGCCAATGTGCCGGATGACAGACGACCGCCTTGCTCTTGATCTGGCGCACTGGCCATGTCATACGATGTATGTCATGCAGATGCTATATGCTATAAATATAAAATCAGCGACGGCATCAGAACCCTTGTTCTGCCAGATAATCCGCCTGCATGGTCATGTCAGTTACCAAAACATCTGTCAGATCATCACTTGACTCACCACCTCTAGATAGAACGTGGCCGGTTTGAAAGCAATAGGCTTTCCCGACCATCCCGCCACCGCATACCTCATAGTATTCACCCATCCCACCAAATCCAGATGATTCACCCCTACCAACGTACCCCTGTACTCGCCCCATTTCGCACTCTTGACCGAGACCAAACCGTCGTTGGCACCTTCTTTGCCAAGAATGATGGAATGGGGCCATTTGAAGGTGTCGATAAGCCCGGGGTCGAAGGATGCGCCCCAGGAGTAGTATTTCACAGAAGGAGAGTCGATCACTTCGGCGTTGAATTCTCGCATTGAATGTGTACCGAGCGCACTGAAAGCGGTACCGTCGCCAGATTGGGGCAGCCGCATAGCTTCCAGCATGCCTAGGAGAGAAGGGAGGTTGCTTCGCCCGATCACGTTGTCGATCAGGTAGTCTGCAAAGGGCGAACCGCGATGCGGGGAAGATATTGTGGTGAGGGAGACGGGGTTGAAAGTCTTTGGTTGGATTTGGGAAACGAGATAGCGACAATCCAGACCGCCCTGCAATGAGTGTCAGTACACATCTTGATCATGGTTTCAATCGATGCGCACCATGCTGTGCCCGATGAGGTTGACTTCGCGACCAGGGAACTTTTCAGAAATGACCTCGGCGAGGATGGTGGCACGATCTTTGACAGACGAAGTGGCCGGGACTCGAGCTACAAGAACCTCGCAGCCGTTGGACTCTAGGACCTCTCGTATTCCCCTCCAATGTGATATTTGAAGCCTGTATATCATCAGTCGACTGCCTTTCAAAGCAAATTGACGTACGGAGGCAGACTGGCAGGACCGAGATAGTCGAATCCGAGGAGACCATGGCAGAACACGATCGGGTTTTTAGGAGTGCGATCTATCGATCATGAGATTGTGACGAAGAAACATGATCGGATTGGACTCACATTTCTTCCTCAGCTTGGCCTTCTCCTCTTCCACAGTGTCGGCCTTGTCTTCATCACTCATCATGGTGTCTACCTTTCCTTTGTTTCCTGACCACCAGCCGGTCGCCCAGGTGCCCCAATCATCCTGAGCAGCAGTCGTAGAAAACTCCTTGTCTTTACCTTTGCCTTTCCCGGTAAAGTCAAAGCTGGGGGTAGAAGGTAATGATACCCTAGGGAGAGAGAGATTGGGCAAAGACGGCATGAAACTACTCTTGCTGGAGGACGATTTGGAAGGCGCCGAGAGAAGATCTGTGATGGTCCGCTGTAGATGCAGCGAAGGGGCATCTGATACGTCCGACCCTCTTCTCCTGGGAGACAACTCTACAGGCAGCCCGGTGGAAGGATCCAGATCAGGAAATGGGTCGTCCGACAATGCAGTCGTCGCTCGAGCCCTTTGCCACCCGCTTGAACTCTCTCCTTCCCCAGAACTCCTTCCCAGACCTGCTACCAGGCTTGCAGAGGATGATCTCTGTCGTCCATTGGGCTGGTCGTCGAATGAACCGGAATACGTCATACTCGTTGTCGGTAATGTTTGCCTCGCAAGTTGCACTTGGGATAACATACGAGGATGACTGGGGCGAAGAGTGGGAGGATAGTGGGCTTGTGGGGGCTCGGGTATAGGAGAGTGGGCGTCTTTGGCGAAAGGCGAGGCGGACTCGAGGCTCGAAGCGAGAGATGAGGAAGGTGGCGAGAGGGATGTATGGAGTGCTTCGTCCAGGAGGACAGACATGGGCTCAGAGCTCCTCGGTTGCCCCTCTCCATGATCTCCCTCCAGGTTTATATCCAGAGGTTCCGCTCGTCCTTTTCCCTTGTTATTCTGTATCGGAGCGGTGTCGAGGACATTGTGCGCCTCCTGTCCGTGGCTCTGGCGGCGGTGGTGGTGCGACGGGGAGTGGGTGGGGTGCGGCGGGGTGCGGGGGGCAGGCATTCTTCTTCGGCGAAGGGGGAGAGAGCGTCGGAGGGTCGGCATGCACGCTGAGAGATGTGGATGGAAGAGAGAGATGCAAAGTGCAAACGTCATTATTTTGCATTCCACAAATTCGGACGCGACTTGCTTTCGCGACTCCCTCTATCATTAAATTACCATCCCTCAATCCCCATGTCGTCCCCCGGGAAGCATGCCAAAGCTATCGAGTACCAGGGGAGAAAACTCCACGAACCTGCTCTGTCTCTCCACCTTGCCCTTGCGTGGATCATCATACGCGTCTTTCCTATCAATCTCGACTATCAATACTTGTCAGACGTGTACTCGCTTGGATTCACCCATCAAATACTGCAAATACTTGCTCGAGAAGTATTAGAAGTGAGCAATCCTTACTCTCTCGGGCTCGGCTGACCCTGCATAGGTCGGTAGCCAACCTGCGACATTCGTCTCTCTGCGCGAAGAGACGGACAAGCTGCTGCACGCCGAGCTGCCCCAAGTCATCAAGCGGAATGAAAAGAAGAGGGCAAGAGGTCTGGAACTAGATCTTGAATATGAAAAGGCAGAGAAAGGGGAAAGCTGGCTTGGGGAACTGGTAAGTGGTGCGGATCCTTCGGAGACCAAGAGCTGATCACAGCAGGCTGAGAGATTCATGGATGTGTCTGAAGGCTGCACCTTTATCGACAGTACGTGGCACAGCCTTGGAATTTATGGGACAGGATCTAACTGCTTTCCTCAGGTCTGGAAAAGGAATTGCGAGAGAGGCTCAACTTTAGCGAGGACGACGATGCAAGTACCTCTCTTTCCCCCAAAGCGAATTCTAACCTTTCAAACAGCCCACAGAGAACCCTCCACCTATGGACCGCCATTCACCCCTTGGGGTGTTCTCTCGAAACCTTATAAACATACATCGCAAATTGTCCTTTGACGAGACGGTCCATTTTGCTCGACAGATCGCGCTGTGGTGCGGGGTCGACCATAGTGGGCCGTCCAGACCTGTGACGATGTGGTCTTTGGACCGGCGGTCGGGGATGGAAGATAGTTTGGACAAGCGGATGAAGTCTATGCAGGAGTATGTGATCTAGGTGTCGAGATTGAATGTCACTGACAGCGGGTGTAGTTATCGAGCGGCTTCGTCCTCGGGGGACAACTCTGGGGCATTAGCGTCTCTAAGGAGTTTTTATGATTATCAATCCCCTCACGCAGGCCGTGGACAACATCAACATGCGCTCTTAAACATTGCGACCTTTCATTACGCCTCGAACGGCCTCGACTCTGCCCGTTTAGCTATAGACGAAGCCATCCGCGTAGCCCGTACCGCTGGCGACAAGGAATGCCTCCAACACTGCATGAGCCTATCTCGCCGACTTCAAACAGAAACAACTTCTGTAGCATTCACCTCTACAGAGACCATCAAGATCCATCAAACGCCTATACCTCTCAGTAGGTTACCCGAAGCAGCCACGCCCATGGACGAGCTCTGGTCAATAAAAGCCGCTCTCGACCTCGGCGAACCTGTACACGTCGCCTTCCGCCGTGTCTATGCAGCTCTCGGACTCGAAAACCAAACTTTGCCGCCAGAGAGCACAGGCACAGAAGATGCCGACCGGTCATACGCCAAACAATGGCCCACGGCCCAGAAACTCGATTTCGCAGCGTGGCATGCGACTCAATCGAGTTTGTGGGGGATGATGGGGAGCCGGGCGTTGTTGGAGCTTCATCAGGAGCTGGCGGAAGGGGATCTGGATGGAGGGACGGATGGCAGGTTGAGTGTTGTATTTGCTCAGGCTCAAAGGGTGAGTCTTGTGGTGATTGGGGTCGAACTGCTGCTGACTGTTTGCTTAGGCCACAGAAAGTGGCGATTACGATGACGCCCTCACGCAATTGATAGATCTGTCTACACTGCGAGGTATGTCCATGTCAGCTTATCATCGCTGGGCCAGAGTCCTCTGGGCCTTACTCGAACGGCGTGCCCAATTCAAGTATGTTCTCCTTTTCACAGTCTCGAAGTGACAAAAGCTGACATGGTGGCAGCAACGATCCTGATACTCTATCATACATCGCCGCTCTAAGCCCTTCCTCACCTCTATCGCAAGTAGGCCCTGGAGGACCTCCTCGCACAAGCGCCCATCCATCCCCAATCTCGATCGAGGGTACTTCAGACCACAACTCTGACATTTCCTCCCCCGTCGCCCTCACCCAATCCCACATCCTCTCCTCCCTCCGGCACGCCTCCTCCCTCCTATCCACCCCCTCCCCCGCCCTGCCCCATCAAATCCTCCCCTCAATCCTCTCTTCCCTCACACTCGCTTCTTCCCTAAGTCTCTGGAAGATATACCGTTTTGCCATCGTCCTCCTTGCCGAAACTATGCTTTTGATGGAAGGTGTCCCGATGGCGGGAAAAGTTGTGAATGAAGTGGATCGTATTTGGGCGCAGCTTATGAAAGATGGGGATGCGGAGGGGGTCATGCGAGGGGCAGGGGTGTTGGGCAGGGCGTGGATCGAATTGAGCTTGAAGAGCGGAGTGGATGAAGAGCATGGTGGGTCTTTCCATCATCCCCGTGTCGAGCGGTCTGACAAGAGTCTAGATAAAGCTGTAGAATATCTCTTGTTATCCCAACAGCACGCTCAAAGACTCGAACACCGAGCAGCCTGCCTCGAAACTTTATCTCTCCTCGCCATGCTCGCTGCCCTTCGCTCCAACGGCCATTTTCCCAAGAGCAAATTCCAGTCTCACGACAATGAACAGGTGCAGGAAGAGCTGGTGCAGAGGTACTGGGAAGTGAAGGAGGGACAAAGTGATGGGCAGAGTAGAGGTATCAAGAGTGTGGCGGACATTGGGGAGATTGTCAAGTGGGTGGGGGTGAGGATTGCTGAGGGTTGGCAGTAGTCTGGGTGAATGTGTCGACATGCTCGTCACAGTGTATCTATGTAGCATACCTAGAATCCACTCTGGTTAACCATATTTCAGCAAGTTCATGGCAAGGAAAGATCGAGACTTTTAGAACGGTCCATAGAGCTGTCGCCATAAGAAGCAGAGACCAGAAGGGGTATATCATCACCAGAACAAGCCTATATCAACTATAAACCCATCCCGGTGACGGCGGCGTCTTTTTCTCTCTCCCATTCTTCCCTTTTCGAGGCATTTGTTTGCTGGAGGGAAGGTTCAAGCACACGGGGAAGAGAGGAATCGCCAAGGTATATTTATATATGTACGCAGAGAAAGAGAAAAGAGAAGAGGGAAAACCAGAAAAAAGATGTTCAGAAGAACGAGGGATTGAAACACTAGATACAGAGAGGATGATGGGATGGATTTCAAATATATTTACTTTGGGGAGAAATGAAAAAAAAAAAGCTGCAGAAAGGGGAAACACAATGCGAAAATATGATTCAAAAATTGTCGTATGCGTATGGAGGAAAGAAAGAGGGAGAGAGAGGAGATATAGCTCGAGGACAGAAAACAAAGGCAGTTTCTAAGGGCCGGGGTTGACGTCACCCTCCAAGCTTCGGTGGCTCTACTTGAAATCGTCAGCGACTGCAGTATCCAGAAGGGCGTACTTGCTTACCTGGAGATCTCGCATGACACCCGCATCCATCGGCAGCACAGACTTTCTTCTCATATGGGGCGGTGTCCCATCCGCAGGTCCTCCTTGTTGGGGATGACCAGGGCCAGCTTGAGTTGGTGACGCCGGCTGTACCTTCATCAGATCAGGCCAATTCGTATGTAAACGTCAACTCACACTCATAGGCGCCCGGTCGACTCCGGGATCAGCCAGGGGCACATGCTCCTCCGCCATACTCCTATCCAACGTAAAGCTCTCGCTGGGATCAAACCCATTCGCCGTCATATCCACCGACACGTCCATGATAGGTTCTTCTTCGTAAGGCTCGGGGCGCTCGGGAGGAGGTTCTGTTAGTGAGGTGGGTAAGGGGGCGTTGGGGTGGGACTGGTGCCAGTTGGTGGTGGCTTGGGATCGGAGTTTGATCCATTCGTCGTAGCGCTCAAGGGCCTTGTCGGATTCGCTGCGTCCACGCGTAAGCCCATGCCCCCCCCCAGAAAGAATCACACTTACGCCTTGCGCTGTTCCCGGTAGTTGTTCTGGCACTCTTCAAACACCTCCTGGTTCATATCCATAAACAGTTTGAGAGCATTGTACACCATGCCATGAATGGTCCTATTCCAGTGCGACTTGGAATTTTGGTAGAGCGCGGGGAAAACGATTGGAAGGACGATACTGATGTGTTCGCCCATCAGGTTGACAATGTACTCGTTATTCCAGTAATAAAGTGCCCGTTCCGCAACCTTTACAAGCGTAAGCGCTTTCCTATAGCACACTGAGACGACTTGCCTGGAAATGGGAGCTATTGATACACCTCGCCAGCTGCACAAACAGCGGCTGCATAATCTTGATGAATTCGCTGTGCTCAATCACATCCAAGATCTCTTCAACCTCGTTCAAAAACATGACCTCCTTTGGTGAATTGACCTTGGGCCAGTACCTCAGCAAGCCGAGCACGACCTCCTCTGTCAGACTGGGGTCCTTTTCGAGGAATTGGACGACACAGTAGGCGAGCTGGGGGTGGTACAGGGCAAGAGACTTGGCTTTGTGCAGAGGTATGAGGGCACGGGTGAGGAAAGTCTTGTGCTCTTCCTTCAATGGAAGGGCGAAACCGTTGATGATGGAGCCGAGGATCTCGAGAAGCTCGGCGATACCGTTATGCCTCTCAGTCTCGTACACGAATTGGAAAAAGACGTGGCTGATTGAACGTCTGATGAAGGCACGGAGGTTTAAAAACTTGCCATAGATTCGGTGCAGAGTCGTCTTTAAAAAGTCGCGCTCGCGGGGGTCTTCGCTGTCAAAGAGCTCCAACAGCTGGAGGACGAAAGACTGGTCGATGTAGCGCTTGCCGATGTTGGTGTTGAAGTCGGGAGACTCGACGAATCGGAGGAAAAACTCGTAGACGATTTGGAGATGAGGCCAAGCGAGTTCGAGCACGGGCTCGTCTTCTTCGGGGTCAAAGGCGTCGCCGGTGGGGTTGACTTGAGGAGGGATGGACCGGAAGAGGTTGGTCGCAAACTGGAGCGGGGTTAGCCGAGGCAGATTCTGAAGCGGACGAGTATCTTACCATGTTGACGACCTCGGGATAGATGGCCTCTGTAATAACACCGCGTTGAGTAGTGATATACTCGAGCATTTCGTGCAGAGTCTGAGACTTGACCTGCTTGCCCTCGAGATCACTACTCGCGTCGTTAAAGTCAAACAGCACACGGCACTGCTGGAGCTTTTGAACGAAAAGCTCATTCCTCTGCTCTGGTCGAACCTCTACAAGGGTTGTCAGGGGGCGGCCCAGACAGATCGGCACTACTCACCATTGAATCCAGGCAGCTTTTCAATCTCGACCTTTTCCGTGACGTAGAATCTGCTACTCCTCTGCTTCCTCGGGGTCTTGCCAACGACAGGAATAGTGTCCTTGGGACCTCTCAGTCTGTTCAGGGGCCCAGCCTTGGGGGGCGTCGGCTGTCCGTCAGGTCCCAGATTCCTTTCTGGCGAGCCATACCTGCCGTGAGGGCTGTGAGGGATGGGGTCGGACGGCATCTCGCTGTTCACAGGGGGCTGCTGGGGCGCGCCTGAAATGACGACGAGCGGTGGGGCAGGAGACGTCTTGTCAGAGACGGGCGATCGACGAGGGGTAATGGGCGCGCCGCCCTGGAGACCTTGGCTGCTTGACGCGCCTTGAGACTGGCCATTACCCTGGTCAGCGGCTGGCCTGTTGGGAGAGTTGACGGAGGGGGAGGAGGGGTTTGATCCGCCTGGTTGAGGTTTGTGGGCGGGCGGGTTGGGTGATTTGGACTTTTCGGATTTGGTACGCGACAGGTTCTAGCGCGGGGTCAGTGTTGCTCAGAAGGAGGATGGGAGAGCGAGTAGAGGGGCGATGGGACTGCAGCGAGTTGGATGATGTCGACTCACCATTGCCTTCTTGAGCCCCTTCATGGTGAGAGAGGCGGAGGCGGGGGATGCCGGAGACAGGCTGGGGGTGCGGTGCCACGCGATGCTGCGGTGGTGCGGCGGGGGGAGGCGCAGTGGATGGAGTGTGCCGCGGGGTTGGTGGGAAGATGGGATAGGCGCGGGGAGGGAGGGGGAGGAGGGAGGGAGGTCTGACACTTGAGCGGGAGGATGCGTCAGAGTTGTATACTCGAGTACTCCCATCTGCCCCCCACTTAGCGCCGCCAACCACACATCGCCCCTCGCATTCCTGCAACTCTCTCCATCCACAAAACCCACTCGACCTCTGCACCCACCCACCCACCCACCCCACAATGCCCGGTGTCCAGGACGTGCGTACCACTCTCACCCTCTCCCTCTGCCAGCCGACGCCCAAGCTGACGATCCTACCTCTTCTCATTCGCTCTTTCAAACCCTCCCCTATACCTCCTACCGCTGCCCCTTCACTCCCCTGCATACCGCTCCGCAACACCCCACCGCCCGACTGTTCCCCCAACAGCTCATCTACAACACCTTCTTCCGACGAAACTCTGTCTTTGTCGCGACCACCTTTGTCGCTGCATTCTCCTTTTCCATCGGTTTCGACCTCGCCACCACTGCCTGGTGGGATGCCCACAACCGAGGCGTGAGTCCTGATTCTTCTTCTCTTGATGTTTGGACAGTGTGGTTTGGGGGAAAAGTCACCGAGAGAATGACCGACGTCTTGTTTTCGCCCGCGTCTCATCGAATGGCATCGCTGACGCCCAATACAGAAGCAATGGCACGACATCCGACACAAGTACCTCCAAGCTGGTGGTGACGACGAAGACGCTGAATAGGCCTTCCCCATGCGCCGAGTTGTTCGGAAGGTGTTGATCCGAATGAGAGGGGATAGGATCAATGGCGGACTTTTTTTCTACAATTGTTTTATTATTCTGGTCCGTGGTCCGTGGGGAACCGCCATTTTTCACCGTCCATGACGTTTGGGTCAATGCATGGGTCTATTGCATAGCAGCATGAGAGTGCATGAGGGCAGGAGGTCGATTTGGTTGTCGGTGACGGAGAGCCAATCACAAACTCGGGGATCATTTTCGCTCAGGCGGCCTACGCCGAGCTTTTGTTTTGGCCGCCAGCCCGCCTCAAACGTCGTTCAACATATGTATAGAAGACGGGTATACATACAACGCCCCGATAATGTCCAAAATAAATCCAAATCCTCCCCCTTCACTTTCCAATGCAGCCAGTGACCGGCGCCCCCCCCCCCCCTCAATCGTGCATGACGGCAAACAGCCTAAACTCTGTTCCTCCCGCAGGATCCAACGTCTCTTCCAATACCTCACAAGAGAGCGTATGTCTACCTGGCTCAAGCCCCGATCGGATTTCGCTCACCCTACCACCAATCCATCAGCTTACTTCACCTTTCCACATCCTGTCATGAAAAGATAAAAGACTCACATTCCCATATTCCGTTTATCCAACTTCCACCACCCATCAACCCTCTTCCCACTCTCTCTATCCCCATCCACCCAGCAATAAACACTCCCCAGTCCGAGCTTGGCACTGCGTTGATAGCCGATGAGGATGGAGCCGCCTGCTTGCGGGTTTTGGCGCGCGTTCGGGGAGGAGAGGTGGCGTTTGCCGTGAGGTATGGGAGAGTGGCGAGCGTGGTGAGGGGAGAAGGAGGAGCGGGTGCGGGAACGACGAGAGTGGTGCGCTGCGTCAGGGTTGTAAGGCCCCCCCGGCCTAGCAGCCAACGGCAGCGGCTCAAACCCCCTACTCCTACCCCCCTCTTCCCCTCCTTCTTCTTCCCCTTCCCCTTCTTCCGACTTTAGATACTCTCCAACTTCATCCTCCCCCTCTTCCCCCTCCCCCTCCCCAGGCTCATGTTCATAAAACTCTTCCTCCGCCAACAACAGCGCCGCACTCGGATCTTCGGTGTGGGGCACGCTTTGGGGAGGCGAGATTGTGAATTCAAATTTGGCGAGGGATCCGGGGGTGCGGGCTATGAGGTAACGCTTTTCTTTCCAAGACCATTCCGACCTACAAACAAGGGTTTCAGCCAGTGTACAATGCGGGGCAGGGGAGGTGGGGACTCACCATCCATGCGAGCCATCAGCGAGGACGAGGCCTTTCGCACTACCATCCCCAAAGTCGTCTTCCAGGCTCGAAACTTTTCCGTGCATTTTACCAGAGTTTTGTGACCGGCATACGGGTGCATGTCGGAGATCAGCTGTGAACGGGTTGAACTGCCCCGTCAAAGTAGTCTTCAAAGCACCGTATCAGCAAATTAAACTGAGATGGGACCATGAAAGGGGACGTACGGGTGGGACGTCAATGACTCGTAAAATGGGTTTGCGCGAGATTGTCTCTGCGAACCGGCCGAGAGCACTAAACCCCAGAGGTGCCGACTTGTCAATCTGGTCTTGCAGATACCGGATGACCAGCCCAGCAGCAAGTGAATGTCCTATCGCCGAGATCTACACCCCCGTCAGCACCTCTCCTCTCGCGTCACTCGAGGACTCACATGCATCACGTCAACCGGCACTCCACCCCACTCGCGCACCTTTGCATCACCCAACGCCACATCGTCCCCTGTCCTGAACCACCTGCTCATCTGGTGATCTGGTTCGGCCACGAGACGGGGGATGATGACGTCGCGGATGGAGAGGGAAGGGACATCGTAGAAGGAGAGGACGTCGTGGTGGAAAGTAGAGGAGGAAATGAGGGAAGGGAAGAGTGTTGTAAATGTCCTGTTGGCTTGGTTAGGATGTTGTCGAGGTGATGGCACTGCACTCACTCAATGTTGATGACGGCAGGCTTGCTGTCCTGTTCCAGGATACCTCGGACAAGATGCTCATACTGACTGGCAACGTCAAATTCCAACAGGTCATTGATCCCCAACTCGAGCAGCACCAGGTCTACCTCTTCAGGGATATGTTCCTCTACATCACGAATCAGTACTCAACCCGTCTCAACCAAGAACGACTCACTAAAGCACCACCCAAAATAAGCAGCCCCTACTCCACCCTGCGCACCATTCACAAACCGATTCTTCCGCTCCGGATTCTTACTCGGAAAAGCCCTATCCAACCACTCGAATATCTGCACATGCAGATTCTCTGGAGAATACAACGTCGAAGCTCCCAGATGTGCCAATGGAGATATAGGATGCGATCCCTCTTTACTCTCTTCACTGCTGTCTGGGTCAGACTCTGCTTCAGCTGGTATGGCATCGTCTGAAGCAGGCGGGGCGTCGGTAATGTCAATGTTGTCTTCCAGCTTGTCGTCTGAAGACGCGTCTTCTAGTGATCTGGGAGAGTTGGCGCGAGAAGAGGGTCTTTTGGAAGCTCGGGGAGGTGTAAGCCCTCGACCTTTTGAGACTGCACCGTTGTTAAGACTTGAGACTTTGTAGTTATGGCTTGAGAACGCACCGCTTCCTCCAACAGCTGCAACCGTAAAGCCTTGTCCTGCTCTAGCCTTATCCAGGAAGGCCTGTATTCTGGACCCAGTGCCTGTAGGTCTAGTGAGCAAGTGGATACCCTCAGCTTCAGGTAACGCACCTTCATGCTGCAACGCCCGTCTCAGCTCCCATTCCCTACAAGCATTCCATGAGCGACATCCTACTTGCTGTAGAACTCTGGACTCACCTCATAGCATCCTCCATCTGATGCTCACCCCCAATCACAGCCCCATCATTCCCCTTGACACTCAGCCCCTTTCCAACCTTCTGCACCACACCCAGCACATACTCTCTCCCGTCTTCATGGCTCACCAGCGTCAGCGACAAAAGCAGGAAAGTGAGCCCGAGACAGGCGATAGCGAGGATGGGTTTCGAGAGGAGACGAGAGGGGGCGAGCGTAATCATGGCGTCTTGGAAAAGCGCGCCGGGTATGGCAGGGGACCACTCGGGACGACGTCTTGGGAGGTGTTGAAGTTTCGCAGGTTCCTGACGGGGATCCGATCTCGAAGCGATCTGCAAGAGTCGTACGCGCTGTTGCTGGGTATCGTCCGGGTGGATGGGTATGGCAGCAGGGGGTCTAGCTGATACGGATGATGGCGCAAGGTGAAAGAAGACATGAACAAGTTTTACCAGGATCGACCGGACGATGCCCTACCCGGGAGCCAAATAACGAAACCTTATTGCGCTCCCTGCGTGGACCGGTGGAGGTTTGCGAGGCTGGGTGATCGTGGATATATGCGTATGAGACCTTGAAGCATAGTGTCGTTTTTGTATGTGTATCCCGGTGCAGGGTGAGAGAGCAAGAGCGACGCTTTTCATGAACGAGGTGAATGTACTCTCTACAGATATCGTCGCCTTCTTCCTCTTCTTCTTCCTACTCTCGAACCGAGCACAAATCATGTATCCTATGTGCTCTTCAAACTGACTTCACTTAGCACCTTGAAAGCCTCCTTGTACGCATCCAGCAGAGCCTTCACCCTCGTCCTCTCCGACACAAGGGCTTCGTCCTCAAACAACAGGTTGGCAAAGAGGTCGGGTTTGTAGAGTTGAGTGACGAGGCGTTGTTGAATGGCATCCCTCGAAAAGTTGACCTGCGAGCTGCATCAGCAGACTTTCAAGAAAGAGAAGACGGTGACTCACGAGAAGGTGCATAATGGCCTTGGGCACCAAATCTTCGATGGTTTGCCTGGTGATACCAAAGTAGCTCGCGATGAGCGAACGGATCAAGGTAGTCTCCATCTCTTCTCTGGGGGTCAGATGAGGAATCTCCTCGCCATTGGTCTACGCGTCGTCAGCCAATGTTCCGCCAAGCTATACAAGCACTCACAGCCTCGAGATGCTTGCCTAGACTCTTCATATCGAAGCTCGCCGAGCTCTCCAATCTGCCACTCCTCCTCCCCGCTCCCGCATAATCCGGCAGCAACTCCTTCTCCCTCTCGCCTCCCTGCTGTCTCTGCTGCTGACCGTAGGGACTCAAGCCAGCGTGGTGGCCGGGTTGGCCCTTGCCCAACTGTCTCTGTATTTGGCCCGTGTGAGGCGCCAAAGGGTCGTTGCCATTGGGACCGCCAAAGAAGTAGTTCAAGAAAGTCTCCTTGGCGCCGTGAGGAGAAGTGCCAGAGATGCTGTGGGCGTGTAAACCGCCGGCAGTTGCGCCAAGTAAGGCGTTGGCATTTTGAGAGCCGTGTTGCCCACCGGAGGCAGTGCGGATATGCTGGCGCTTGGTCTTTTCCTTCATGCCCGACGCAGTCGTCGGTCGTCGGATCTCGGGCACAGAAGCAGAAGCTGACCTGGGGTGGTTGGGGTAACCATTTACGACATCATCCCCTTCGTCCTCTTCCTCCGAGCTGCTCTCTTCTTCGCTTTTCTCGTCGCTGGAAGCCAAACGAGGGACCTGTTGTTGTTGGTCCTGGACGGCAGAACCCTCGCGGGCAATGGCAGCAGAGCCAGCGACAAAGTCGGGGTGATTGGTGTTGATGTACGCGGCCTGGATAGAGACCAAAGAGGAGACGTATTCGGATGTAGGGCCGAGACGTTCGCGCAGGAGCTCAGAGACAGCCTCGATGAGTTGGGTCAGGAGTCGAGGGAATCGTTGAAGTTCCTAATTAGTATTAGTAATGTCCATAACAAAATCAAATCACTCACAGGACTGGTACAGTTATGGCAGATCTTCATCAACTCCTCGTAAACCAACTCCACGCACCTCAAACTCGGCGCCTCGAGCAATTTGATCTGCGGCTTTACCAAAAGATCGAACGCTACCTCTGGCACAAACAGGCTGGGTCTCGGGCCGGTCGAGTTTCGGATGGCAGTACGGATATCGGCCAAACTGAGGTTTTGAGCGGGGTCAATGCCTTGAAGGGCGTGTCCAAAGACTTCGTTGAAGATGTAGTAAATGCGAGCACCACCAGAAAGCTCCTTGGTGGAGATTTCGAGGGAAGTGCCTTCGATGGAGGAGACAAAGTCTTTGGAGAACTCGGTCATGAGTTTGAGGATAAGGGATCCCTGCGTGTTGTTAGAACGGTCTCAAAATGCATAGTCGCGACTTACGCGGTGCTGCTCGCCGAGGAAGGTGGCATCGCCAAAAGCGTTGAGCTCTTGTTGGGTTTGACCCATCAAAGTGTTCAGTCGAGCCTTCATATCGGGCAGCTTTTCACGAATATGATTCATCAAGACCTATGTCGTGTCAGCTGCAGCCTTGAGAATAAAAGTCTACCCACCGAGTTGAGAGTCTTTGCGAGGAATTTAGTACCACATCGGTGTGCAATGTTCCTATAGACAGGGTGCGTCCTGAAGAACTCCTCCTCCTTGTTCCTCGCCTCCTCCATTGGCAACTGCTGGTTGATGTCCTGCTGACTCCTGTTTACGCACCCCACAAAGCCGAGCTTGAGGGGATAAGTCCGGCCGGTCAGAATGTCAAGAGCATTGGTACCAGCGTCCATTAAGTCAAGCTTGGTCAAGACACCGAGGGTACGCAATCCCCGTGGGTCGACCGAGCGAGCAAGTTTGAGAGAGTCAGAATTGGCGAGGTCGACGTTTGCAGGGGAGACGGCAAGAATAACGCTACGACTATATCAGCAACTGGGCGACAGATGTTGGAGAGTGGCTTACGCGTTGGGCTTGGAGATGTAGTCCACAACGAGGTTCCTTATCTGCCTCTCAATGTCGGTGGGCTGGTCACCGACGGGGACCTTGGTAAGACCGGGAAGGTCGACCATGGTCAGATTGAGTACACCAGGACCATAGATCTTGAGGTTAATAGGGAGCTTGGAGACACCCTGCACGTTGCATCAGTCTCCATTGCACGCTGCAGGATCACGAAAAGAGACCCACCTTGTTTTGGCCAGCGACTCTAAAGGTCTCCGCCTCGATCTCCTTCCTGATCTCCTCAAAGTCCGTAAATCTCTTGTTGATGTGCAAGAACTCGGCATACTCTGCTCCTGTACCATCTCCCATCGACTTGCCCCCTGGGCGCATGACACCCGCGCCGGCGCTAGCGCTGGGGGAGTTGTCAAGGTTGGGGAGGTAACCCTCTTCAGTTGAGCCCTCGGAAGAAGACCGTCCTCCAGAGCCAGAGTTGGGCGGGGTATGGATCAGCTGAAGTACAAGAGGTCGTCGGGTCACGATTCCACTCCCTCTTGGGAGGAAATCGCGTCCAACGATGGTCTCAAGGACACTCGACTTTCCCGCAGACTGGGAGCCGACGACGACGATTTGGGGGAGGTCGACAGAATCACCGCCAATGTGGTTGAAGGTGTCTTGAAGCTTGTTGACGAGGGCGATGAGGTCGCCGTCCATGGACATGGTGGGTGGTGTTTGATACAGGTAGGAGAAAACTCAAGTGATACAGGGTTCAAGGGGTGCCGTAAGGAAAGCTGGATCGTCGAGGGTGGGCTGTGCTGGGTGGCAATGGAGGGGACCGAGGGGGTGTGGAAACAAGCTTTCAATCCTCGAAGAATGAAGAATGAAGAGAGAAAGAGAAATTATGGAGGACATCTTGCTGGGCATCGCGGTTGCCGGGTCGTGTCGTCACCAAGAACCGCGCGGGATCAAATCGAGGTCGTTCTGGACTTGTTTCCACTCTTCAGGAGTGTACGTACGAGCTCAGATCATGCTCCGCCGCGCGAATCAGTGACCCTGGTGCTGCAAGCTCATGTATTTGCAACTGTTCACACCCCGCATCATGTACAGGCTATACATGTTATAGCAGTCCTTTTAGATGAGAGAGGAATTCTGTGATAATCCATGCGAGAAAATGCCGAAAGATGTTAAAATAATACAAGACTGCGAAGATGCTATACTTCTTTTCTAACCAACACACAATTAGGAAACCCCGCCGTCATCTTCTTTCTTCAACCACAAGCTCTGCCTTTTCTTCTATTTCCTTCTTGCTACCCCACAAGTTCTGGAACCACTGTGCCGCATTCTTATGCAGCAACATCAACCCCAACACCACCGGCAGATACCACAAGCTCACAAAGAACACCCTCTTTGCCCTCACTTCATTCGTTTGCTTGTAGAATTTCCAAGCGTCCCTGACAAAGATAGCATTCGGTAACGCGCTCGTCAGGGCGAATGACCAGTCAACGCATCCAGACAGAGGCGCGAGGACGGCGGTGAAAGGCACAAGGAGAATGGCGTGGCGCAACGAAACAAGAGCGTTGAGTCTTGGGGAGAGGACCGACAGCATGGGGTAGCCTGATAAAGCGTAAAAGGGCCTGATCATATGGGATAAGGCGTTGAAGTGGGGGAACTGCCAGGAAAAGAGGAGGCAAAAGAGGGTGAGAGGAATGAGAGGGTTGGGCGAGTCTGGCAGGTCGGAGCCAGGTGTGTGCCAGAGGAGAGGTTGTTCGGCCGTGGGCCAGAGCGAACCACCAGCGGCAGTCCAGCCCATCAGAGGTGTGATACCACCGACGACCGCACCGACCCAGGTGTTGGCGACAGAGAAACGCTTCATGGGAGTGTAGACAGCGGCATACAGCAAGAGATTGCCAATGCCCAAAGCAGCGGTGGTGGGGTTGCACCCGTACCAAAGAACGGTGCCGCCGACAACTGTGCAGATGAGACCAAACATGGCCGCGTGGAAGGATGACACTCGTCGAGTGACAAGCGGCCTCACCCGGGTTCGCGGGGTCTGGGCATCAATGGGCGATTCAAGGATCTGGTTGAAAGTATTGGCAGCAGCAGATGTAAGCAGAGTACCAATAGTCAAGTTGAGCAGCAGGGGTATGCTCAAAGGCAGAGGAGAGAGCGCAAGACCAGTCGTAGCAGTCAAGGTCATCAGGATGGTGAGATTCCTCTTTGACAAGGCAGAGTAAACGCCAACAAGCCTCTTCCAGGTCATGGGTGGCAAAGGCTTGTAGGCGCTGATGGGTGCACCAGGCCCAGAGATGGAGGGTAATCCCAGGTCGGGAAAAGAAGGGACAGGCGCATTGGCGGCATCGTAGACTGTCTTGATAGGACTGGAGAGAGGATTGGGGTGGGCAGAGAAGAAAGGTCGGGGCTCAGAGTGAGCTCGGCGAGCGAGGGTGTGCGCCTGACGCTTCTGGCCACCCTGGGAAAAGGGTGAAGAAGTCGTAGGGGCAGCTTTTACGCCAGCCTTCTCCTTCGACTGCTTCTCATTCTCCTGCTCCTTCTGCTCTTTTCCCTCTTCAATCTTGTGCTGTTCCTCTTCTTCAGGATCCGGTGATTTCTCCGGCTCACCGACTTGAACCCTAGCCAACTGTCCTTCGACCATCTTTCTGAATTTGCCGTCCTTCTTGGTTATGAGACCGTTGAAGGTGCCGTCCTCGGTGACCTTGCCACCTTCAAGCAGCACGACTCGATCGGCAGAAGCAATAGAAGAGAGACGGTGCGCGATGAGAATCACGGTGATATCAGAGTTGGCGAATAGGTCGTTGAGTGCAGCATTGACCGCGCGCTCAGACTCGGAGTCCAAAGCTGAGGTGGCTTCGTCCATGAGCAAAACAGAGGGATTGCCGACAAGGGCTCGGGCAATGGCAATTCGTTGACGCTGGCCTCCAGACAAAGAGTTCTTTGTGACTATTCGTTGTCAGCATCACGCCGTTCAGGCAATGCGCATACTCACTCATGGTAGCGTATCCCTGAGGAAGCTTCTCAATGAAATCACAGTGGGCGACAGCAGCAGCCTTCTTCACATCTTCCCTTGTAGCGCCAACGTGTCCATACGCGATGTTTTCCTCAATGGTTCCACCAAACAGAATAGGATCCTGTTGAACGACACCGATCCTGGAACGCCAAGATTCGGGAACGTATGAACGAATGTCTTTATTGGAGAAGAGAACAGATCCAGAGGTGGGGTCGTAGAAACGGAGCAACAAGAGTTGGATGGAGGATTTACCAGAACCGGAGCCGCCGCTGGGAGTCTTCGTGAGCGTAATCGGTCACCAACAACGAGAAGCACTTACACCAAAGCAATTCGCTCGCCCTTGTCGATCCTCAAGTTCAGACCATCAAGGACCTTGGTGTCTGGGCGAGAGGGGTAGGCGAATTCGACATTGCGCAGCTCGATAGAACCGACATTGGACTTGGGAAGATCTTGGCCGATCGATAGGGGGATAGGAGAGGGAAGCGCGTGAAGACCAATGATACGTTGGGAAGCACCAACACCCTTCATCAAACCAGTGAAGAATCCGGCAAGGGCTGATACGGAGTCAGCCTTATTCAAACGTCCATTGTTCGCTACTCACTGTTCAAACTCCACTCAATCCAATTCACATAGATAAAGAGCGATGTCATATCACCAACAGTAATTTCGCCTCGCTTCACAAGAACACCTCCGTAGATAAGAAGACCAATCATTCCGATATCTCCAGCAACCTCATTGGCACCTTGGAAGAGACCGTTGGCAAAAGTCTCCTTCTTTTGAAGGCCGTAGACACCATCAACCTTGGTGGCATAAAGACCGCTTTCGCTGGGTTGGGTGTTGCTAGCAGTGATAGTACGGTGAGCAGAAAGACGTTCCTCAGCCAGCTTGCTCATACCTCCCATAGCCTCCTGGGTCTTCAGCGACAGTTTTCGGATGAATCTGCCGTAGAAGAAGGTACCAATGGCGATGGGAGGGATAATGCAAAGCATAACATAGGTGAGGGTAGGCGAGATGAGGTACATGGCACCGATACCGGCACCAGCACCAAGGATTGCTTTCAAGCCTTCACCGAGGTTTTCACTGAGCGATTGACCGACAATAGACGTGTCTTGACCAAGACGGGAGAGGGCGTCTCCGACCCCGGCTTGTTCGATATGGGAGGGAGGCATGGAGAGGTATTTTCCGTAGGTCTGGTTCCTGTGAGGGTTTTTGTGAGCGGGTCGCCGAGCAGATATAGAAAGGCAAGGACATACCTGATGCTAGCGACGGTACGCTGACCGGCAAGTCTCAGACAGATACTTCTTCCAGAGTTTGCAGCAGCACCAATCAACAAGACAACGGCCAAAGCACCCGTAGCCTGTTCCAGAGGCAAGCCGAATAGCAGCGTAGCCTCCGAGCCGGGCGCAAAGAAATCGATGATACGTCCGATTGCCCATGGGATGGACAGATTGACAGCAGTAGAGACCGAGAGGAATACGACACCCGTAGATAGCAGCCTCCATTGAGGCTTGGCGAGAGACAAGAGTTTAAGGATAGACGAGGCATCGGGTTTGGGGTCTTTACCGCCGCTTGAAGACTGAGATGTAGTCACAGCGGCCGTAGCGGACGGCAGGCTGATGGCGGCTGGGGGATGTATGGGGATTGGTGAAGGCGCAGGAGTGCCTTTATCCTCTATGTTTTCGTTCTCATCTTCTTTACGTTTACTGGTCGGCCGTTGCTGAGAGTAATAGCGCCATTCGAGATGGGCAGGGGTGGGGCGGAGGAGCTGGCAGAAGGTGGGGTGTAGCTGGGCGGCGTGTGTTGCCAGGGGTCTATGTAGTAATTTTGTGGTCAGGCGGAGGCCCGTTATGGAGGCCATCGCTATTCGACCAGCGCGATGAACTTTACAGTGTGATGCTGAGAGATGCCGGAAAAGTCAGAGGACATGTGGAAAAAACGGTATCAATTTTGTCGCGCAAGATTTCCATTCGGCGAAGCAAATGTTTACAAGTTGACTTTTATAATCAACGAAGCTATACATCATGGTGAACGCAGCGAGAAAAAGTGGGTCCTATCCAGTGTCCCCTATTGTAGCTAACAATATACAGATGCCATGTCCAGGCGAAACCACAAGGAGAGGGCTCAACCCCTCCACCGGGCCAAGCTCGGCAACCTCGAAAAGCACAAGGACTATGTCCATCGAGCCCGAGACTACAAGTCGAAGCAGGACAGGATTAGGAAGCTGCGAGAAATTGCCGCCTTTCGAAACAAGGACGAGTTCTACTGGGGTATGATCAAGGGAAAGACGAAGGGCGGTGTGGCAATTGGAGACAGGGGTAACGAGGCGTTGAGTACGGACGTTGTGAAGCTGTTGAAGACCCAGGATATGGGTTATGTCCGAGTGCAGATCGCCAAGGATGAAAAGGTGAGTGACCGAGCGACAGTAATGAGTTGAATTAACATAAGTGTAGGCGATCAGCAAAATCCGCGCCGAACTCGAAGTGACCGCGCCTAGCTCTTCCTCCAGCGATGAATGGACAGCCGCCTCTGAGCTCGCCGAGGTGGAGAAGCTTGCCAAAATGGGTATTGTCCTCAACCCTCGTCAGTCCAAGAAGGGCAAGGGAAAGGGAAAGGCGCCTGCTGAGGGACATGTCGTTTTTGCCGAAGATCGTTCGGAATGTGAGTCTTTTTCACCCCTCGTCCAAGTAGCAATCTGACATGTATAAGTCGAGCAATACGGTGAATCATCCACAGAAGAAGTCGAGGGAGAAACAGAAGAGGCTGTCGACCTCGGATGGGAAGACCCCCAACCTTCCAAGAAGAGAAGATCAAAGGCCCCCGCTCCCGAAGTAGTCGAGATTGACGAAGAGGCAGCGGCTGCCGCCTCTCGCGAACACCGTCTCGACCTTCTCTCCTCTCTTTCCGCCCACCTCAACCGTCTAAAGCTTCTTCGCCAAGCAGAATCTAAGCTCGAAACTACCAAGGGTATGATGGGCAAGGGTGCCGCGCAGAAAGTCAGGGAGCAGGGGTATGCGGAGGATGAGAGTCAGCCGGAAGATCGGAATGGGGAGAGGAAGAAGTGGCAAGGAAAGGTCTGGAAGTGGAAGACCGAGAGGAGAAGGTGATTGTACTATCTCTGGGCTGTATAATTTTAATGTATCATATTCGGCCAAATGCTGGCGTAGGCAAATGGTTCTTGGGCACCGTCCAGGATCAAAACTTCCCCAACTCTGCAGCCCGTGATTGATAATATATGCATCGACCAGTATGGCAGTATAATGCGGTGTTGAACGCTCTCCTCTAGATTGTGAATTGGTAGTTTTATTGTTTACAACTATGATGAAAAAGAAGTCTAGGGAGATACAGTGATTGTTGAAATGCTTTGTGGAGAGATCATTATGCCACTTGAATGATCAGTTTTGTGTGGTATGTCGTTAGAAAGGGGTATGCTGAGAAATAAATAAATAAATAATGAAAAGCCAGACAAGAAATGACAAGAGCTGGAAAGGGCGGATGGCACGAGTTGAACGTGCCGCGCCACTCTCCGAAAAGTCCGTTGAGGACAAAACTCTCGCCTCATCTCATCTTCTCATTGACACGAGATCTACTCCGCCACGACGCTCTTCACGCCCTCCACGACGCCCTCCACGACGTCTTTCACGCCTTCGACGACTTTGCCGACAGGCGTCTGATCGAGCAAGAAGGGCTCAAAGATGGACAGACCATCCCTAAAGTCGTTGGCAACAATGTTGACGAGATATGAATTGTTCATCACCTTTGTCACCAGCTCTCTGGAGGGAGAACCCGCGGGGTAAAGGTTGGCCCACTGGAGACCGAGCTCGAAAGCTTCGTCCTTCCACGCGACAAAGGACACGGCCTCAACGATGGTGGGCTGGATGATCTCCTTGCCAGGGAAGACACCCCAAGTGACGGCGTTAGGGCCTTCGCTATGGGTGTTGGTTCGGAGGTCACCTTGCTTGTTGACGGCATAGTAGGTGATACGAGGGTCACGCTCGATCCGCCTGATCAACGGCGAGAGAAGCTCGGGGGAGACAAAGAACTCGAGGTATGCCTTCTGATAGACATACCCGCCCGAGGGACCCCATCCGTGGACCTTGTCGTCGCTCGCCACACCGTCGACGGCAGGCTGCGAGTTGATGGTCAAGTAACCGAGCTCATTCATCTTGGAGAGCTGGTCGGTGATGACGGAGGTCTCGGAAGCAGGAGGCTGGGTAGACCATGGGAGCTTGGTCAGTTCGCCTCGGCAGAAGCGAGCAAAGAGGTTGTAGATCTCGGCGGTGGTGGTGGGGTTGCCCCAGAGGTTGTAAGCTTCAGTGGTAGAGATGCCAATGGATACGGGGTATCCGTCAAGATCGCCATAAGCAGGAGATCGGGAATCACCCCATCGCCCGTTGGGGAACTCGTCCCAGTCTTCGGTTCTGGAGATGTATGACCGCGTTCGATTGGCCCTGCTCAACGTCAGTATTGTGATCCTGCGTGTCAATGCACTACTTACCAAAAGATTGGTCTGATAGTCTCGTCCCTCCTGCTTGGCGTCAAACTAGGCCTCCAGGGCAAAGGCGCAATCTGCTCCCTCCTGCCTTCGAATCCGAGCTCCTGCAACAACATCCTCGCGCCCTTCTCCAAGTTTAAAGTGTACACATGCAGACCCTTGATACCCGCCTCCTTGTTCTCCAAGATCTTTCGGCACATCTCTGCAACAAGCTTGGTACCGACTTGGCGGACCTTTTCGTCGTCGCCCTTGACGGGGTTGAGGGCATCGTAAAAGTGCTGGGGGACGATAATGTTTTCTCGCTGGACCCACTTGTCAAACTTTTCCCAGTTCTGGATTGGCATGATACCGGGGATGATGGGTACGGTGATACCCGCAGCCCTGACCCGCTTGACCCAGTCGAAAAAGATGTCGGTGTCGTAAAACATTTGGGTAAAGATGAAGTCGGAACCCGCATCGACCTTTTCCTTCAACCACTTCATCTCTTGCTCTTTGCCTTCAGGCGTCAATGGAGACTCGGGGTGGCCCTGCGGGAACCCAGCAACGGCGACGCAAAAGTCTCCGGGGTAGTTCTGGTGGATGTACTTGACGAGATCGATGGCGTTCATGAAACCGCCGGGGGTAGGCTCCCAGGTGGACGTTCCAGCAACGGGGTCACCTCGGAGGGCAAGAATGTTTTGGCAGCCGTTTTGCTTGGCTTGCTTGAGGGCCCATTCGACCTTTTCCTTGGGCACTGATGACGAGTCAGTGCGGGTCGATGAAAGATCGAGATGGTAGACTTACTTTCGGTGCAGCAGAGGTGCATGCAGGTTTCGATACCGATGGTGGACTGGCAGATTTCCACGAGAGAGTTTGTCAAGTCTGCATTCTTACCGCCAGCGCCCCTAGCTTCAAGTCAGTGATGGGCTTGTTACAACACGTGCGCGAGGCATACCAAGTAATGTCGATGAACTCGGGGCCGAGGTCGCGCATACGCTCTATTCTGTCGAATAGGTTTTGCAGGCCCTACATAGAGTGAGCAATTGCACTGCTCTGGAGAGTCGGACCTACCTGGGCAGTCCTGGGAGGAAAGTATTCAAAACTCCAGAATGGTCGGCCTTCCTTCTCGGCTTTTTGCAGCTTGTCGGTGATCTTCATGATGGGCCAAGCGATGGGCAGTAGAGCGGAGATTAGAGTAGAAGATTACAGATACGTGGGCAGGCGGATCACCCTTTTTCGTGGCAGATGAAAGGAGAGATGGGCTTTATAGCATCAACTTTTGCCGCATCTCTGGCACGACGATTGATGAAAAGTGGCTAGGCACAGGCACTCGATATGCCACGTGGGGGCGTGGCAGAGGGGGTCGTTGCAATGACAGCCATGCATGCATCTCTGGTCGGGAGCAGAGCAGAAGCAGCACCCCATACACATGCATGGGCATACCCCGAGGCCCCAGATACGAGCAGGATGCATGGGTCGGGCGGCGACCCCCACCTGCACCGCTGGCTGCGCTGGTGACTTTTTCGTGCTAGGGTCGCAGCAGACGGGGCTACCAGGAAAAGACGTTTGTTCTGTCTCTTGTCTTTCTTTTCCCGCCGCCCAAGCCTACGATTCACCCCGGCTATCCCCACCCGCGCTTACGCTGAGCGACCAACCGCAATACTCCCAGCGCAAACAACTCGCTCTCTATTCACTTGTCGGATCTCGAAACACTCTTGCCCTCTTCTATCTTCCTCGTCACACTTCTTTCTCCCCCGACCTCTTCTCGCCCGCATCACGTAATCACACTCGCAGTACGACACCTCCTGGGAGCCCCAGGGAGTCTCCGTGGTATCCATGTCCATGTCTCGAGCTTCCACCCGCTCTCCATCAGGCCTCAACCGCCGCCCGACCATGGACCGCTCAGCCTCACACACCGGCACCAGTCCAGCTGCCTCGTCTCCCCTGCAGTCGACCTTTGGGGGGCGCATCAACGGCTCGCCAGAAGAGGACCGCCTGACCATGCGAGATCGCGAAAAAGACAGGCCAGATGAAAAGGGATCTACAAGGGGCAAGGCTGGTGGTGTTGGCGTTGGCGTTACCAGACCAAAGCGGAGACTGAGCAGGTGAGCTTTGCTTTTCTATACCATCTCGTCCTTTCACGCCCGTGACAATCTATGGAGCTACTCTGGTCTGGGCGCCTGGTAGCGCTTGGGTTGTCTATTTTTTTTCCAGATGGTGTTTTTCAGAGATATTTTTGAACCAACGCAGCCTCTCACTGACAAAAGTCTTCCCAACTTGAAACCCAAACTCAATAGAGCCATGTCTGCGACCTCTGTCCACTCCCCGCCCCAGTCACCGCTGGGCGAACCCACACATAATCCCTACCGGACACTCCAACAACAGTCCTTCCACAACAACGCCCAGTCGCATGGGTCTTCCACTGGCTCGTCTACGGCCAACAACTATAAAACTACCTACAATAGGCAGAACCCACCACGGATGGATGAAAAGGTCGGCATGGTCGGGTACGCGACTGCTATGGCAGCTGCTAGCAGAGAAAAGGAAGGGCCGCCCAAACTCTGGGGTGTAGAGCTGAAATGGATCTCGTGAGTGGATTACTGTTGACAGGAATCGTACTGATAAGCCCAGTCTGATCACGCTCGCCCTGCAAAACGCCCTCCTCACAATCATCATGCACTATTCGCGGATAACAGCCTCGCCAAACCGCACCTACTCTGCTGCCGCTGCTGTTCTCGCAAACGAGCTGCTGAAGGGTACTATATCCCTCTTTATCGCGCTGACACGAATCGACAAGGACTTGACCACTTCTCCCCCACCTGCGCTGTATGGCGAAAAGGGCGGCGACGATGACAACCGTCTCAGCAAGCTCCCCACCATCTTTCACGCCAGCCGGTTACGCACGCTTTCCACTGCCATCTTTTCACCCGACTGCTACAAGCTGTCTGTCCCCGCCATTCTCTATGTCATCCAGAACAACCTGCAATACGTTGCCGCGTCCAACCTCGACGTTGCGACGTTCCAAGTCACCTACCAGATGAAGATTCTTACGACAGCCTTCTTTTCGGTTCTACTGTTGCGCAAGCGCCTGACGCGGGCCAAGTGGGCGAGTCTCATCTTGCTGGCTGTAGGCGTCGGTATCGTGCAGATCCAGTCGACTTCGGCTCCTGCTGCCGTGCACACTAGCCATGCGGGCCACGAGCACGGGCTCCGATCCGAAATCCCTCCCGACCACAACATGGCCACAGAGCGCGTGATGCACCCCATGAGAGGCTTCATCGCCGTCACTCTGGCGTGTCTGACCTCGGGCCTGGCGGGTGTCTATTTCGAATTCATCTTGAAGGGATCGTCGAGCTCCAACTCTCCCCCGCCAGACCTGTGGATCAGAAACACCCAGCTCTCGCTCTTTTCTCTTATCCCTGCGCTGGTGCCGATTGTCGTCAACCCCTCGGGACCTGATGGCGCTGGGTATATCACCAAAGTGCTCGGGTGCTTTGACAATTTCAATGGGTGGGCGATTGGGACCGTATTGACGCAGACGCTGGGTGGTTTAATCACTGCATTGGTGATTCGATACAGCGACAACATCATGTTGGTATCTCGTACTCTCACGTACACAGCGCTGACTCTATTCACAGGAAAGGATTTGCGACGTCCCTCTCCATCATCATTTCCTTCATGGCATCTGTCGCCCTCTTCTCGTACCCCATCACCCTGACATTCGTCCTCGGCGCCTCCACCGTCCTCTTTGCAACCTACTCTTACAACGCCCCCACCCCGGCCAACGCTATCGCCCCCCGCACTTCCATCGCTGTCGCCCCCGGCTCCCCCATCACCACCTCCGCCCCCATCCTCGGCGAACCCGAAAAACCCAGCCGCGCCTCGAGCGTGATCAACCTCCTCGGCTTGGGCGGCGCGTCCAACGCGGGTTCAAGGAAGCCGAGTATGACGGATGTCAGAGGTTACGCGGGGACGGGCGGGAGTCAGCTGGGGCTGAGCTCGTATCCCCAGTCGGGGTCGGTATCGGCGTCTGCGCCTGGGACACCGGCGATGAGTAGCCAGAGTGGGTATAGCGGGAGGAGCAGTCCTGCGGCGGTGCCGAATACCAATATGCACGGGGGACCTGGTACGGGTTTCCAGCGAGGTACAGTGGGGGACAAGGTCAGGCCGATATTGAGCCTGGATATCGACAGGAAGCAGGGATAGGGGCGCCGGGGAAAATTGGGATCTTGGGGATCTTGGGAGAGGGAGAGGGGGTGTTTGGGTTAATTATTATTCTTGATAAAGTGTCACGTAATGTGGAGGGGTGCTTATGCCATTGTCGTTTGGTTCAACCTATATGCTTATGTGGGTTTTGCCTCGTGGTGCCGGCGGGAGAGACTAACGATGCAGAGCAGCCTCTCTTTCTTTACTTTCTTGACTTGTACAGTACGAGTACAGACTTGTGAAGCGTTTATAGAATATCATGTGCTCGGGATTTCGAAAAGATGCTCTACATACATGCATCTCTACAACACGTTTTCCGCTTTCTAGCGACGCATGACAAGCGCCCCTTCGAGCGGTCTCAACACCCTCTCCACCCCCATCTCCCTTCCTGCCTGATCGAAACCCCTACTTCTCAACCACGGCGCCACCTTCCTCCCGTCCCCCGCTGCATCTGTAGGCGTGATATAACGTTTTTCAGAAACAATCTCAGGCGGGGGAGGTGGGAGAGAAGTAGTCAATGATAGGGATTTCTTATGCCCCGGAGAAGAGTGAGATGATGTAGAAGATGAAGAAGAAGATCGGGAATGGGTAGCTGGAGATATTTCCGTGGGCGGGGAGGGGGAGAAAGAAGGGTATGCGTATGACCCTAGAGGGACGGAGGGGATAGGGGAGGAACAAGTCGTTGGGAGGGAGCAAGGAAAGTGGGGGAGAAAGAATTTGGGGGCACCCCGGGCTTTTGGATAGTGTCAGCTTGGCCACGCACGCAGTGGGTATGAGAAGTGAGATGGGGACGTACGTGGAGTGGGAATGTGGGTTGGGAGGAGGGTGAGGTGGGAGGGTGGGGAGCGGCGGGTCATTGGAGATGATGGGGGGTATCTGGCCAGCAGATAGATGATTGAAGAGAGTGGCGGGGGAGGCACAACAGGGTTGAGAGAAGGGTTTTGGAATGGACAGGTGAATGCTCCGCGGTGTGTCAACTCTCAGGCATATATACTCGCATCCCTGCCAGGCCTGTCAGAGGCCTCGAATGGGTGACTGCGATGCTGAAGAGTGTTGAGAGTCCAGCCACGACGGTTGCCAAGGAGGACGAAAGAGATCTGGTCGCATCAAACCATCCATCATCGTCCCGGGGGCCGGAAGACTGGTTGTTGCAAAGTAAGAGTAGTGGGTACAAACCTTCTGGCGAGTGCAGAGATTGCAAGAGATTGGTCGTTATGAGAGTCAGGTAAGGGTCGATAGGGGAGACGCAGTAACATACGCAGGCTGTCAGGAAACGCGGTTCAAGTGGTCGTCTGGGTGATGAGACATGGCTTGAGACCTCAACGGGACCAGCGAAGCGCGCACCGATCACTCAACATGGGCAACAGATCCGCAGCACTCGACGGTGGGCGCTGAATTGATCATGATCTGGGTGGCAAAGAGCACGACACTTTTCATTCGCTGGCCGCCATGAGATCACGCCCGGCGCCGCACCGCAACCTTACGGCAGATCGATCTGAGCGCCGCTTTCTGCATCACTCGGCGCTCTTCTTGTCGTGCTCGGGGTCGGATGCAGTGGCAACACAGGCAGTGATGACCCCCCCTTGGCGATGCCTGAAGGTCAAGGGCTGACGAGTGATGATGATGACGGGAGGCGACGCGAGGCGGGGAGGCCGGAGTAATTTTCCAACAACCTTCTTCTGCTTCGAATTTGATAAGATAAAGCGGCGGATGGCTTGGCTGAGACATTGCTGCATGGTCACGAGATGAGGGGTAGGGGGGAGATGATCAGATGCTCCGGGTATCGCTGCAGGAGAGCAGGGGAACATAGGGCTGAGAGCATACAAGTAGGGTCGGAGAGAGGAGACCGCCAAGAGGCGGCGCCGTTTCCGGGTTCCTGACTTACGCTGCCCTTGTAAAAACTCCGAAACGTATGCCCGAATGTCGCTTGGCGAGTTGTTGTCTGTGTGAAGGACTGGTGAGTAGTGAGTAGTGAGTAGTGAGTGTGAGTAGTGAGAGCAACAGTCCTGCAGCGATGAGAGGGGCGGGCCTGCAAGTGCATGAGAGGATCGAGGAAGAAGAATGCAAGATGAGATGCAAGATGAGATGCAAGACTGGTGCCTGGCAGGGGCACCGCCTTCCTGAGTACCCTGCTCAGCAGCTCAGGTGATCGTCTTTCAACCGGACCCATACGCTGTCACTCTTTAATTTTATACCCCATCGCTGACTTTCTCTTTCTCTCTTCTCCTCCCATCTCCCGTGGTCCCTGGCCACCTTCTCCCCCCCCTCCCCCCTCCCACTCCACCCCGTGCATCCCCAGTATACCCCCTCGCCATCACTCGTCCGCGACTAGAGCCAGCAAAGGTATACCCTTGGTCGCCATAACAGGTCAGTCCTTCCACCCCATCCCGTCCACAGAGCTAACTCTGCCCAGATCGAGCATTATAATATAAAACATCTCTCTGATACAACACCTCCCCCTTCTTCCTCATTTCAAAAACACGAGGTCAGTGCATGCCCGCCTCGATCTCCGCACCATATATACCGCCCCTAACACACCCCTCTCAGCCGCCAGCCCACCATGGCCCCCTCGGACCCAACCTACGCCCCCGTCGCTGCCAACGACGCGTCCCCCGACCTCAACGCCTCCCCAAACCCAAACCGTGACTCGGCATTCGTCGACCCCGAGGCCGCAAACCTTCTTGGCAGGCCCGACTCGACGTTCATGCCGGCGCCGTCACTGATGAGCAGGGACTCTACGAGGAACAGTATCACTTTGGTCGGCGGGTCACCTTCATTAGGACAGGGCGATCGCCGAGATAGTTGGGCGAGTGGAGCAGCTTTGAACCCCAGTGAAGGAGTGAGTGGAATTTTCAGTTTGATTTTTCCGTGTTGACCCTGCCGCAGGCCCGAGGTAACGCCGGCTCCTCCAACCTTGCCAACTCTGCGCCCTGGGGTGCCAGCAGCCTCAACTCTAGTCGCCTGTCCACCAGTGACGAAGACGACGAACAGGGCCACATTACCCCTGCCGTGGCTGCCATTGGGACTGGTCTGGGCGCTGGAGCCGTGGGTGAAAAGAGGTGGGCACAAGTCGGCGAAAACGAATCGCAGAAAAAGTCGAGAAAATGGTTATGGGCCGCTCTCATCGTTGGAGCGCTGGCTGTCATCGCATTGGCTGTTGGTCTTGGTGTCGGGTGAGTCTCTTGTTTATTGGCTAGAGTTGAGCTGACTTGGGGGCAGCCTTACGCGAAACAACAGCAAGGGCAGTAACAGCAACCTTGCCGCCGAGACTGGTGACAACGGTTCCTCCTCTGCTTCGTCAACTGCGAATGGCTCCGCTGCCTCTGCCTCTGCCTCTGCTACATCGTCTGCCGCCACCAGCGGTACCTACGGCTCTCTCATCACCCTTGAAGACGGATCGACCATGACCTACGACAATGAGTTTGGTGGTACTTGGGTGTGGGACGAGGCCAACCCGTTCAATGTGAGTAGGATTCTGCTTTCCAGAACTGAGCTCATGGTGTGGTAGAACTCGGCCAAGTGCAACTCGTGGACTCCTGCTCTGAGCGAGGACTGGACATGGGGCAAGGACATTGCGTTTGGTGTCAACCTCGGTGGCTGGCTCGTGACTGGCAAGTATCCTCCTGCTTCTATGGAGCTTAGCTGACCAGACCACAGAACCCTTCATCGTCCCCGGTCTCTACGAAAAGTACGCCAACGGCACTGCCGGTACCGCCGTCGACGAATACACCCTCTCCCAAAACATGGGCGACAACCTCACAAAGGCCATGACCGAGCACTACGATACCTTCATCACCGAACGCGACTTTGCAGAGATCGCTGCTGCCGGTCTCAACTGGATCCGTTTGCCGATCGGGTTCTGGTCTATCGAGACTTGGGATGATGAGCCGTACCTCGAGGGTGTCTCTTGGCAATACGTTTTGAAGGCTATCAAGTGGGCGCGAAAGTATGGATTGAGGATCAACCTTGATTTGCACAACGTCCCTGGATCTGAGAGTGAGTTCTTTTCCCAACCGATCAGAATAAAGCTGACCTGGCGTAGACGGGTGGAACCACTCTGGCCGACTGGGGACGATCAACTGGCTCAAGGGTGTCATGGGTCTCGCCAACGCCCAGCGTTCTCTCGACTATATCCGCACCATCACCCAGTTCATCGTCCAAGAGCAGTATACCGACGTCATCCCCCTCTGGTCTTTCATCAACGAGCCCAACGGCAACGGTATTGGCAAAGAGGTCATCGGAAGTTTCTATCTTGAAGTCCACGACATGATTCGAGACATTACCGGCTACGGTAAAGGTAACGGTCCTCACCTTGCTATGCACGACGGCTTCCTGGGTGTCTCGAGCTGGTACGACTATCTCCCCGGTGCGGACAGGATGGTCTTGGACCAGCACAGTTATATGGTCTTCCAAGACCAGCCCACTGGAACCTTGGACGACTTGAAAAAGATGCCTTGTCAGTGGTGGGCGTCGGGAACCAACACGACTTCCAACACCTTTGGGCCTACCATCGCTGGTGAGACGAGTGCCGCTTGGAACGATTGTGTAAGTGGTAAAGGCCTTTGTAGGAGCAAAGCTGACTTGTGGCATAGGGTAAATGGATTAACAATGTCGGTGCCGGGCAGAGGTACGACGGTACCTACGAAGGTTACTCTGACAAGGCTCTCGGGTCGTGTGACTACTGGAACGACTACACCCAGTGGAACCAGAGCACTGTTGATGCGCTCAACCACTTTATGCTGGGTACCATGGACGCCATGCAGGTGAGCATCGATCTTGGATTGCGGTGTCTGCGCTCACGTCGTGCCACAGAACTTTTTCTTCTGGACTTGGAAAATTGGAAACAGTACCGATGTCGATGTACCCCAGCCCAACCCCTTCTGGCACTACCGACTCGGTCTCGAACACGGTTGGATACCCAAGGACCCTCGAACGGCTGCCGGGACCTGTTTGGCGGATGGTGTGACGGAAAACTCATTCAACGGTACTTATGGCCATGACTGGGTCTATGGTGTACGTCTCTGCTCGTCTTTGGAGAAAATCTCACTGACAACATTATAGGCTGAAAAAGGCGATATCGCTTCCTCTGACTCTTCTTCTTGGCCCTGGCCTCCTGCCACGTTCACCAACGTCCCCTCTGCCTCCATGTCCAAGCTTCCCCAATATACCCAGACCGGCACCCCCATCACTGCCTCTGCCCCCACTTTTACCACTCCCGGCTCGTCAGCCACGATCGACGCCGGTAACGGCTGGGCCAACGCCAATGCCAACACCCGGTCGGCCTATGCGGAGATCAGCGGGTGCAGCTACCAGCCAGAGTACTCTGCTATGGATCTCGCGATCCCGAGCAGTGCTTGTGGCGCGGGCATCACCCAGGCGGAGAAGAGGTCTGAGGCTGTACCTACCGCTGCGCCTGCTAGGCGAGACTCTTCTAGGAGGTAGAAGGTTGTGGTGTGATGCTCTCTCTCTTTTGGAAAGAAGAGCTAGTTTTTGCCCGCGGGGGCGAAAGGACAATGTCGTCCAGGACAATTGCGGATAGCAATCGCTCCCTTGTGTCCCGAATCAAATGTCGAGAAGGACATTCTCATACCATGTTTACCCGCATCTATTCTCTCAAGACTCATTCTTTTTCCCTGTGCTCTCCCCATTCTTCCCTCATCATGTAATGTCAACCCCTCACGGACTATAGTTTCTTATCCTCTTTCACGTATATGGCTTTGGGTTCGGGTTATTGACGACTTGTGTGATGTATCACGTATCTAAATGGTTTGGTGACTAATTTACGTCGATGGGCGATGCATTGACTATGGACTGCCTTTTCTCGATGCTAATGCCCATTGGTCCTTCAAGTCTCTGCAGCCGATGATCTCTTGACTCTTTCAGAGAGTCCTCCTTCAGATGAGACCAGTGCACCAATCTATCTGCATACTTCTGTATCTGCGTACAACTAGAACATTAGATCATGTCCGGAACGCTGGTAGCAGTCAACTTCTATCAGACATCATGGATCGAATTCTGCGCCCCATGAACTCTCTTCTCGTCACCTTTCTCCGAACTCGAAATATGAGCTTCAACATCTTCCGGGGTACGGTTGTCTCTTGGCATATTCCCCCCACCAATCTCCGCCACCTCATCAGCCTCACCAAACAAGAGCCCCATGCTCTCGAGAGACAAGCCTTTCGTCTCTGGGAGGATAAAGTAGCCAACGATCCAATTGATCGTGGATAGGCCGATGAACACTGTTTACGTACGTTAGCTCTGCGCTTGAGTAGTGCGAGATGGACTTGCAGATGTTAAAGTAGGCGCCGATAGCGTTCTGGGCGGTGGAAGAGACGGAGACGTGGAGAGCGGCAAACGATGTCACCAAGAAGATCCTGCCTTTGGACGACTGAGCTCGGCGTGTATTATAGTATCCAGATAGTAGTATAGAAGTGTGAGAAGTATCCAGAATGCAAGAGATCTATGACATGTTGGGCGACGGAATCAAATAGGTCAATAGAAAGTCGCGTCTGCGCGTTGTCCCCTGCATCTCCCCTCACATATGGCCCTCTGAAAACAGACACCAACTACAACCCGCACACAGCCAGTGACATCTGGCGCCATGGGTATCCCTGTCGTTGGCGCGATCATCATCGGTCTCGCTTGCTCCTTCATCCAATCCCTAGGTGAGCCACATGGGCAGCACAGGTCCATGGGCTGATGATTCTTCAACCTCCCAGGCCTCACCATCCAGCGCAAGTCGCATGTACAAGAAGACGACAAACCTCTGCTCGCCCGGCGCCCTGCTATACGACGGCCGTTGTGGCTCATCGGATTCGCTGTATACATAACTTCCAATGTCTTTGGCTCAGTTTTCCAGCTAGATGCCCTCCCCATCGTCATCCTAGCGCCCCTTGGAGCCGTATCACTAGTCTTCAATGCCTTGCTGGCGAGGCTGCTGCTCGGCGATAAATTCGGTGTCAGCTGGGTAATTGGGACTGGGCTGGTTGCCGGAGGAGCAGTGACGATTGCCATATTCGGGGTAGTCCCCGATGAGGAGCATGGGCTAGATGAGCTCTTGGCTTTGCTGGCGAGAGGATCTTTCGTGGCCTTCTTCACCATTGTGCTGTTCATCACGGGTGCCGTCCTCGCTCTGGTGAGTTACTCTCTACATGTTGATGACCATGTGCCTAAATACTGTTTCAGGCCCACTTCACTTCCTGGCATATATATCGCAATCTCCAACGTAATGTAGAGGAAGAGACATCCCCCATCTCTATGCCCCCCAGCAACTATGCCTCACCTCGTTCACCTGCTGCCATCCCCTTCCGCACCACCCGCCCAAGATCCGTCAGCCCGCCCAGTAAACCCACAAGCGAAGAACGCGACTCGCCTTTGGGCCTCAAGACACCAACCAGGTGGCTTCCTGCGCTTTCTATACCCTCCAATCATCTGGAAGAGAACCACGAGCAGCCGACCTCTTCCCAAGCGCGTACCCTCACGTCGTGTGGTCTCGGATTCGCGGCAGCGTCTGGCACCTTGTCGGGTTTGTGCCTGGTGCTTGCCAAGGCTGTCGTGGAGCTATTCATGAAGACTGTGGACCATTGGAGGACGGGGGCCGGGAGGAATGAATTTGCGAGGGCAGAGACTTGGGTGGTGTTGCTAGGGATGAGCATCATTGCAGTGGCGCAGATCTGGTATCTTCACGTCAGTCTGAGATACGCAGGGCCGGCCCTTGTTTGTCCCCTAGCCTTTTGCTTCTTCAACTTGTCATCCATCTTTGGTAAGCCGATCTGTCTCCATCTATATGCTTCGCAGCTGACAGTCATCAGCCGGACTTGTCTTTTACGATCAATTCGGCCAGCTTGCGACTTATCAAATCCTCCTCGTATCCTTGGGCACAGCCCTGCTTCTCTTGGGGGTCTGGATAGTCTCCGCCATACAACCCGAAGGCGCTGCCGTAGAGGTCGGCACTTGGGTAGAAGACAATTGCAATAGCGACTCTGAGTCTGACGTCGATGAAGAGCTTGAAGCTGGGGAAGGCGCCACACTCTTGGGAGGTGATACTTCCAACGAGCCGGAAAGTAGCGAGCCGGCTCGCCACCCTCGACCTTCTGATCTGTCGATACCGCCGACGCCCCCGGGGAGGTACCATCCCGTATTCGCCCCTTCCCCCGGTACCCCCGCCTCTCCCTTATCCCCCCGTATCCGCCAACACTCCCACTCCCAATCCCACGGTCCTCACGGACACAGACACCGTGGCCCGCGGTACGGTACTCTCATACCCGACATCGGCCCCCACGGTGCCCCCGCAGGCTTCTCCATCGGTCTCGGCGCGGCCAGTCCTGGTTTCGCGCTGAGGTCGGGAAGTATGAGCGAGTATTCACATCACCCACATGGGCATGGGACTGCTCATCATGGTTCGGGATCGTTGCTCGGGCCGGAGGGGAGGAATAGGAGGAGTGGGAGCGATGGGCCTTTGGGTCTAGGGGCGATAATGAGGGGAGAAAATCCGGATGTAGAAAATCAGATTGACGCTCGAGATCAGGAAGGTGACGTCGAAGAGGCTTTGAGAGGGTGGGACACGCAAAGGACAACCCGGAGATGGTGGGATGTCAGACGGTTGTGGAAGGGGGAAGGTAAAATCCGCCTGGCAGAGGATTAGGTCGCTGCTGAATTACAATTGTATCATTATTTCTGTTGCTTTATAACTATTGACATTATCACCCAGGCATATGTAGAGTTGTTTCTATCTTTCAATGCATCGAGTTTGACTCTTTGCATCTATGCTGATCACTCTGACTTTATATTTGAAGGGACCACCTCTTTGGATATGGGGTTGCAGAAAAATATACCAGATAACAGCACAAGATGGCTTCCCAGGAGCTGGAGGGATGTAAAGGCTGTTGCCGGTGTGACCTCCCAGGGCCACTGAATCAGTGCCCAGATGATGCTCCTGTGTGACACATGAGCCCCGTTCCAATGACAAGTAAAAGCAAGAGAGCTTACCCAATTGCTGCGCTGTTCCAGGCTCCACCGGAAAAGAGCAAGAATGGCAGTTGATGAAAATACCAGCTGTAGAACTGATAATGAAGAGATCGCGCAAAGATCATGCCGATCAGATTAGACGTGAAGAGTACAAGGGGAATGTCTGAATGGGCATTATTAGTGATGTCTGAGGGAGAGGGACTAGGTGCGACGTACGGTAAGCAGGGAGAAGCGAGGGTTCACCAGCAGGCTGAGAGGGAAGGAGAAGGCCGTTGTTGACGACTCGGATAGCTCCGCCAGGGATGGGAGACCATTTGAAAGCGGCAAAGGTCAGGAGAACGATCACCTGGCAATGATCAGCACAATTGAACAGACCGTTCCGCGCACTTACCTGACCAAAGAGCAACAACACGGCCCTTTCTCGGCTCAAAAACAACTCTTCATTGATGAATCTCCAGTTGACTGTCCATTCGTACAAGAACTGCCGGGAAAAGTCGAATGCGGAAGACAAGTAGGAGAGAGCGTGGTTGGTGGATGACAGGAAGAAGGGTGCGGGGAGTGCGACCTGATTAGGAAGAGTGTGTCAGCAGTCGGCAGGGTATACAGATAATGGCACTTACCTGGACCAGAGCAATTATAGAGACCCCTTCAACAAGTCCATATATACCTCGGTATTGGAAGAGAAGGACCAACAACCCGGGGACGAATAGAAGAATGTTCATCTTGACGCCAAGGGCCAAGCTGCAGCACAAATCAGAAACAGCCTTGCTAGTTGTTAGAAAGAACTTGCCTGAATAAAACACAGCCAACCCTCCACCCCTTCTTTCCTCCAATCTGGAAAGCAATGATAGACCAGTAGAGTATGAGCATTGCAATGGGGTCGTTGAAGAGTCTCAGCATAAAGATCGAATGTGCCCTCTTGGAGAGGGTAAGAGGGACAAGCAGGGCCTGTACGTAGTGCTTGCCATTGGCCGAGGGTCTTCCAGCGAGATAGTAGATGTTGGCTACCGACAAGAAGGTAAGGAGGTAGATGCCGAGGAAGATGTATTGAGCTGGTCGAACGTCGTCGATGGAAGGCATGATCTTGCTGAAGGCAGTATAGATGTACAGATGTAGGGCGGGGTATCTACAGTATCGTATGAGACACATATGTTGAGTCATTCGATAGACTTACACAAGGGGTCCAGTCTCGCCTTCGATCCTAGAATAGTCCTGTTCACCATCAAGAAACATGCCGACCTGCTGCATATACGCAGGCCAATCAATCTTTGTGTCTGTGTTGCAGAAAGTTAGTCCCTATTACGAGCTTGGCAACCATTGAAGCGTACATGGGATCTTCCATATGACGAGCAGACCTAAAAGTATCTCTCCGAGAAAGAGGAGAGATGTAAAGTGCCAGAAATACTTGCGGTCGAAGAAGAACTGGAGACCAAAGTCGAGCAGGGACTTTATAGGTCTCTTTGCCTGCTTGGTCTTGTCCGTCGCAGGGGGCATTTTGGGCGTGAAGATGTCAAATGGACTCCGAGAAAAGTCGTCCACAGCGGAACAACGCTTCGCGACGCGCACCGTGCCTCTTCCAGGTGTTCCCACGGTCAGCAATGACCGCTTGCCTTGTTTCTACATTCGGCATGTTCAAGAAAGACTTTTACGGAGATTTTCCTTCCCCCATGGCCAGACCGGATCCTTACTACAATATCCCTGTGTCCGGTTGCGCTTCATCCGCCGAGCTTGCCGCCCAATTCGAGACCAAGCGTGCTGCTCAGTTCTGCCATATCTATACAGCGCGGGCTGTGCGCGGTTGTCGTTCTCAGATTTACCTCAACCGGGGCCATGTCAGTGATGTTCGGGTATTCTACATCAGCGTGAAAGCATTGGATTATTGCATTCGTTTCCTGCCGCACGCTGTGTCTGCGTGGATGCCACCGTTGAATACGGAACTAATCAATATCCATTACATCTGACGCAGATATCAGTTCCAAGCAGCATATGCTGTAGCCGAGGTCATTGGGATATCGATACTAGCTTTTCCAACTGAGATGGAGCGCCTTGACACTCTGGTTGACAGGCTACCGGAGATTACCAGGTAAGCGCGCTCTTTGTCTCCTACTTTTTGTATTCGATAAGGCGGCTGAGTTCTCTAGTCACTTTCGAATGATCTGATTCGCTATCACCAGACTGGTCAACAGCTACCCAGAAGACATCAGCGCCAGACCGGACAACTGGGACACCAACGCGGAATAGGCTGTGACGCTCGCAAAGAGTCGTGTAAAGGATCTGCAAGACCTGGTCAACGACATCCCAGTAGGTCCACCCATGACATCGATGATTCGGGGCCCTGATGTCTAAAGGATGATGTTCTCTCCCCCCCGGATATCACACTCGCCGCCCGCCTTGGAGAGGGGACAGCTAGACACCGTCGACAGCCTCATGTCAGCTTGCTTCAACATGTGCCATGCCTGCGCCGTCTGTCAGCTTGCTCACGGTCAGTCATACTATGAACCCTACGCACCATCCGTTCACAAGAAGGAAAACATACCAGCATGGCTTCATCAGGTGGACATTTGCCTAAGCCGCATAATGTTGCAGCTGTTAGAGATGGAGGATGGCATCTGGGGTGTTGTTGAGGCGTTGGAAGACGACGATACCGGAGCGATTATTATATTATGAGGTGCCGAGGGGAATAGATCGTGCTGCGGAAAAGGCAGGTTCTCTTGCCGGAAGTCACCTTCAGCGGACAGAGATGGTAGTCGACCCTGGGGCGGTTGGCCGGGGTATTGAGGTTGCGGTACAGCATATCTAGTCGTAAAGATATTCTCTTTCGGCAGCTACAATGGTCTTGTGCTGATCACATCCTCAGACAGGCTATCCGAGACCTCTACCATCAAACTCATGCGGTGCGCTTTCTTCACCGAGACATAGTGCCACGCCACATTCTCCGGCGCCCCTCAGATGCGAGCTTTCGGTCGCCCTCGAGACCGTCCTCCACCGAGCGAGAGGATTCAAAGTCGATGACCGAGGATCCTAGTGACGAAGATCAATCTACCAACCATAATCATGCTGGGCAGTTGAAGGATCATATGTTACATCTGGACGCGCAAACTCGGGCAATGATAGGGAGTATCGAGGTCTGACAGGGTCCAAGTGGAGTATCAATGCTGAAGGATGCGTCGTTGTGAATTTCTCAGTCTGATTTTGATACAGCAATTGCAGTGGCACGGCTGTCATGACAACAGTGTCCATACGAAGAGAGACCGAAGTTTGGATCTTGGATGTGCAGTAATAGGGCTGGGCTTATCAAGTAGAATGGATGCATCTCACCCTTATCCTTTGGCTGGTAGATAGCCAGAAAGGTCGGAAGATTGATCCATATGGCCAAAGCAAGCTACATATTCCCGTCACGTGAAAGTGGTGCCTTTGTCCGTCCTTGGCTGCTCTCTTGTGTGTGCATGTTCCTTCCTTTGTTGTGGGGCACACTTTCTTGCTGCCCGTGGCCGATGTGGTCCCCTTTCTACGGTCCATGGAAATGTATATATAGCTAACCACTCCCATGCAAGGCATCTCTTCCCCCACAGACCTTATCATCACCCAACATGGGCTCGCGCCAGGACGTCACGGGCCAGATCACGCTCGAAAGTTCTCTACTCTCGGAGCGTATCGTCTTTTGCTGTAAGCTCTCCTCTCATCCCATTGATCATCGACTGATGTTGTCGAACCAGCTCTTTTGGTGTTGACGCTCTTTCTGTTGCTTGTTGGATTCATCACTGTCACCGTCATATGGTACAGACGAGAGAGTGCCAGGAAACGGGAAACGCGCCACAAACCTGAAGCGCGCTGGGGACCGTGGAGTGAGGAAGAGAAGAGATTTGTCAAGAGGAGCCGGTCTTCGTCGCTCATCTTTGAGAAAGACCATGCCAGTGATTAGCCAGGCTCCAGTCAGGAGTGCTATGTGCAAATGACCAGAGGCTGGGCCACGTGGGACAAATTTCATAATAAAATCTTTTGACTTGTTCTTTGATCTCGAGGATCGATAAAAGATCGTGTATGAAGAGCTACAGAATTGAAAAGCTACAGATAAGAATCGTACAGGCATAATTATAACCATTTTCGGTCAAAGCTTTCTACGTAATGACGACCGGCTGCGAGCCGACGGTGGCATTATAGTTGTTGTGCAACCCGACCTTTTCAGACAACGCCGGGGGGTTCTGATACGCTTGCAGAGTAGCCTTCTCGTCGAAAGGCTCCTTCTGTCCGGTGCTGTAAGCCTGCTTCTGAGTGGGAAGACCGAGCTTTTCAGAAAGGCTAGAGACGACAGCAGAAGGAGGCTTGGTAGACTGGAAAGGATAGGCATAGTCTGCGACTTCCCCGACCCTGTCGCCGACCTCTCCCGCCCAGCCACCTACACCTCGGCCGAGGTTGTTGAGGGAGAGACCCTCTTGGGTGGCAGAAGAGACGTGCTGGTAGAGGCGGTAGACGAAGAAGAGGCCGAGGAGGAAGGAGATGGAGATGGCGGAGAAGGTGGTGGTGACGAAGAGTGTGGGGAGGAGGAAGAATGCTGTTGGATATCAGCGCGGGTTCTCTAGTCGATGGAGAGACGTGGATGTACAAGCAAAGACCAAAGTGGCCACGATAGCAGAGACTGTGACCGGTCAGCTTTTGATCTCCGAAAGGCCTAGTATCACTTACGGGTCAAAACCACAGTTCCGACTACAAGCACCAGCAAGGTTGAGACAGCAACGGCGAGGATAGTAGCAATTGAGAGGAGAATAAAGCCCCTAGTGACTGCATCAGCGTCATAGGGACGATGATTTCAGCGGATGAGCTCACAAGAAGACAACGATAGGGATGGCGCTGAACGAAAGCCAGATCGCGGAGAAGGTCTGCACGGGGTCAGTAGAGAGACGATCTGATAGCGAGACACTTACAAAGAGGAGGGGTCTGGCTTCAGCAATCGCCAGCAGTTTGTTGGTGTAAGGCTTGGCCCTGAGGTAGATGCTAATAGCCGAGTCAATAGCTACCCCAGGCTCGTTGACGTATGCTCACTTGTCAAAGACATTCTCAATCCTAAACACGATACTCTCAAGCTTCTGGTGACCCTTTCGAAGAGTCTCGTCCTGGTGAATCACATTCCCATTCTCACCCCTGAGCCCGGCCGCAGCTGCTTCCTCCTCCTCCTTCTTCACTCCAAACCCAACACCTTTGCCCCTCCCGATATCGATCTTCTTCGAGAGGCCCAGATCGCCGTCGACCTTTCTGTCCTCGGTCTCGATGACCTTGGAGCCATTGAGATTGCCGAGGGCCGCAGCACCGCTCTCGGGGGCACCGGGGGCGGTGGAGGAGTGAGGGGAAGCGAGGTTGAAGCCTGCTTGGGGGGAGTCGGCGAGACCCTGGGAGGTGTTGAGGGAGGGGTGGGGGATGGACATGCTGCTAGATGGAATAAGAGGAAGAAGAAGAAGATACTACATTATGAACTGGAGCACAGGACGGGAGAGTGGATGGCATCATCGCGTCGGTCTTAGCAGGTGGAGGCTATCCTTATGTGGGGGTGTCCTGGGTATGTTGATGCATGGTTCGTACTCTGTTGGAGAGATGCCTATGTAGAGTTCTTTTGGTAATACAGTAGTTGGGTACTGTACTCTATAGCAGTCCCTATGCTTACAATTCTTCCTTCTGCTTTCGTCTTTGTGGTATTCTACCACCTCGTGACATCTGCCTCTGCCTCGCCAAACACGCTCTCCTTCTTCACCTCGAATCCTGCCTCGCCAGCTCCATATTCTTCAAGGCTGATGACCCTCTCCCCATAGAATTCAGGCATCTTTCTCCTCAGCCAGCCTCCCGCCCAACCGTTGATGGCCTCAAACTCCAGCAAGAACCCATCATGGCCATCAGGGGAAGGGATGACTACCAGCTCGGCATCAGGGATACCGGCAGCAAGCTCGCGCTGCTCCGAGGTGGTAAACAGCCCGTCAGACTCGATACCGATGACAAGAGCTGGGGGTTCCAGCGAAAGAGCGTGCATGAGACGCGAATTAAGCTCAGACTCGTTGACGTTTTCGTCGTCCGAGGAAAGCGAGTGGGCAGGGAGAGAAGAGGACAACGAGTTGAGAGACGAGTCGTTGGAGGGAGCTGAAAGATCGTGGGTGTCGAGTTTTCGGGTGATATGGATGTAGCAATTGGCATCGAATCGACCAGTAAACTAAGGCGCATGTCAGTAATGAGAGCGTGAGATGAGCAAAAGAAAAGATACACACCTTGTCGCCTTGGTATCGCAAGTAGCTTTGGGCAGAAAACACCTTGGGCGGCTCTTCCCCCGTCCCAACATTCTTTCCCTCAGCTTTGATCTCTTCAGTCTTGACGACTTCTGCGTTCCCCGCGGTACCCTTTTCAGACAGATCACTGCCCCTCCTACTCGCCGACCTCTGTCCAGCACCCTTATGTCCGTCATTATGCTCCCTCCATGCCTTCTCCCTGGGCGACTTGGTCAAGTCGCTAGCGGACGGCACACTGGGGTCGGTAGTCTCCGGACCGCCCATGATACGCACACCGCCTCTGGGGACTTGGGATTTGCCCCCACCAGCACGACGGCCAAATCGAGATTCGAACGAGTCTCGGGAACGGTACGTCAAGAGCGCGGCCATTCGGGCCGCAGCGAGCCCTCGAGCGGGCTGTTTCATGAGGTCGACTTGGACCTTTTTGTCTTCGTCTTCGACTTCATAGTAGTAACCGTCTTTGTAGTCCGGGTCAGAGTAGATGGACTGTCTTTGAGCTTCTCCCCATGAGATGCACCACGCCGAGTGTCGAGCACTGGTCGCCAAAGGGATGATGGCCTTGACGAAACCCGGAGGAGAGTTCAAAGGCCATTCCAAAACTGTCATACCGCCCATGGACCCGCCGACGACAGCAGCCACAGACTTGACGCCGAGCGATTTCAATAGAATGTAGTGGAGACGGACGTCGTCTTTGACGGCGGAACCGGGCATCTCGGGGCCGTAGGGACGAGACGTTTCGGGGTTGGTGGTGACGGAGGATATGGTGCCGTAGGGGGATCCGATAGTGTTGGCGCAGAATATAAAGAAGCGAGTGGGGTCGAAAGCCTTGTCGACGCCCAACAGAGGTCCCCACCTGGTACAGTATTAGCTCGTGAACACCATGGAAGCTTGAACGCACCAGTCTTCGACATCAGCACTACCAGTGAGGGCATGGCAAATGACCAGACAATTGTCGGCTCTCTCGTTGAGCTTTCCCCATGTCTTGTATGCGACGGGAATGTCCGTGAGGGTTGCGCCGGACTCTAGAGTGAACTCAGGGACGAGGGAGATGTTCTGGGAGATGAGGGAGGCGTAGGGGTTGGGATCGGATGTGGTCTGGGGGCGGGGCGGGGCCATGGCGGCAGTGGAGATGGAAAAAAGTGGAAGAGATGCGACTCAGGATATCTATTGACGGCAATCAAATATTGGCGGCCACCTCCGACCCTTCCATTCGTCATCAACACTTTGCAGATAGACAGACACAGGGCACGTCAGGGTGCATGGTGATAACATAAGGGAAACTATAGATATTATAGCCCATGTACATGCTGCTCTATTACAAGTATGATTACGCGAGAGTCTTGGGCACGCCGGCCTCGTTCAACAAACTCTCCTCGGCACTCAACTTCCTGGGTCCATCCCCAATCCTGGTGTGGATCAGCCCCTTGACCGCTCCCTTCTCCCAGCCACCCTCCCTCACGACACCAGCATTGTAGCCCTCGGGAAGAGCCTTGACCCCAGTCTTGAACGGGTCCTCAAACTCTTCCGCCGTGGGGAAGAACTTGTTGATAGCCCCGAGCACCACGGGCATGTCCTTCTCCAACGTGTAGATCACAGCGTTGGGTCCGGCGTCAAAGGTGTATGCCGCGAGGATACGGCCAGCAGCCCGGTTGAGCTCTTCGACGACGGCAATGATGGCGCGCGAGACGTCGTTGAGGTAAAAGATGGGCGGGGCAGTGTCGAGGCAGACGGCGTGGAAAGAGTTGCTATCAGCCATGGTGATCTTGGCAAAAGATTCAAAGTCTTTGTCTTTGATAGCCTTTGAGATGGCGTCCATCCTGCCGGGGACGATCTTGAGACGCTCCTGGAGGAGAGTGGAGGTCTCGACAGTCTTTTGCATACCAGAGGTACTGCTCGTGCCCTTCTTGGCGTCGCTGACGACACAGATCAGGGCGTGCACGTCTGGCCAGTGCTCTCGGGGGGCAACCTCCTCGGCGAGAGAGTCGCTACCAGCAGGGTCAGTGCCTTCGCGCCAAGCGACAAAGCCGCCGAAGAGAGAACGGCAGGCTGAGCCGGAGCCTTGACGGGCCACGATGGAGAGCTGAGAGGGGCTTTGGGGAAGAGAGTAGAGGGAAGCGAGGGAGGCGACGAGGGCAGCAAGGCCCGAGGCAGATGAGGCGAGACCGGCAGCGGTGGGGAAGTTGTTGTAAGAGGCGATTCGGAGGGGGAAGGAAGAGAGCTGGGATATTATCAGCGAGGGCTATGACACCTGATCATGAAAGACTTACCTTGGGAAGGTTGGCATCCTTGTCCTCAACTTCCTGCCTCCACGCCCTCAACTCCCTGATGCAGACAGACAACCTGCCACCCTCCTTGATCTCCTCTTCCTTGCCGTTCAACCAAAGCCTGTCACCGGCCTCGAACGAGGAATCACACCTAGAAGTGGTGGTTGACCGGAGATGATCCTGGTCGAGGGTGATGGAGAGGGACGAGTTGGTGGGGAGGATGAGCTTGGTGTCGCGCTTGCCCCAGTACCTGAGAGGGGGTGAGCTTGGGAGTGGCAGGGGCCGGGGGGGCTTACTTGATGCAGGCGATGTTGACGGGGGCTGAGGAGGTGGCTTCGTACACCATTTTGGATGAAGTAAAGAGAGTTGGAGGATGTTGAAAGAACAACCAAAGTTCGTACGAGAGTAGAGAAAACAATTAATGGCCCGATACGTCGCGGCCCAAACTGGCTCAGACCGGGCATCTAGTCCCAGAATAAAACGGGCCGACCAGGAAACGCGACGTCACGACTAACACAACACGACAATGGAACCCGACCAGAAATCAATTTGTTGACTTTACTTTCCACCAAACAGCCATGAACCAGACACCAGCAATAGCAGCGGATCTCGTCAACAACCCCCCGCCAGAACTCCAGCGCCTCATGGACGACCCCAGGACAACAGACTCAGCCAGGCAGGCAGTCCAGGAGGCCGTGTCTCCCCCAACCGCTGCCGCCCAGCTCGCAGGGACAAAGGCGACCAAGAGGCTACAGGTGGTCAATGAGAACCAAGAATTCACGTAGGTCGCTTGGAGCGTGATGCTGACGCCGCTCGCTGACACTGCTCGTAGCAAAGAGCTGTCGCCGTACCTTGACAAGTGGAACCTCCTCGACAAGGGCTTTGCCTACGATGTTGTAGCCGTCTTTGGCTCCCAGTCGACTGGAAAGTCTACCCTTTTGAACCGCTTGTTCGGCACGACTTTCGACGTTATGGACGAAACTCAGCGTCAGCAGACGACCAAGGGTATCTGGATGTGCCCCTCAGAGTACAGCAGTGCGCTCGTTATGGATGTAGAAGGAACGGACGGACGGGAGAGGGGAGAAGACCAAGATTTTGAAAGGAAGAGTGCACTGTTCAGTCTGGCCAGCACAGAGGTGCTTCTGGTCAATCTCTGGTAAGTTGTCATCGCTACGTATGGGATCCGAGCTTACGAGTTGAGCAGGGAACACCAGATCGGTCTGTACAATGGTGCCAATATGGGCCTTTTGAAGACTGTATTCGAGGTCAATCTTGGCCTGTTTGGCGGTGGTGCCGATAGCACCAGGCCGCAGTGAGTTCACACCATCCATAGCAGCGGCAGGACTGACTGTATGCAGGCCGCAAGAAAAGACCCTCATTCTTTTCGTCATCCGTGACCATGTGGGAGCCACCCCTCTCGCCAACCTCACTGCCACCCTCGCCCAAGATATGGAGCGCATATGGGCATCCATCTCCAAACCCACCCACCTCGCCGACGCGACGCTCGAGTCGTATTTCGACTTGTCGTTTGCCGCTCTGCCGCACAAGATCTTGATGCCCGACAAGTTTGAGGAGAGTGTGGTAGAGTTGAGGAAGCGGTTCACGGATAGGACCAGGGAGGACTATGTTTTCCAGCCTGCGTACCACAAGAGAATCCCCGCTGACGGTGTGGCGTTCTACATGGAAGGCATCTGGGTATGTCCACGTATTTGTATTGCACGGAAAGCTGACAGGGAAACAGCAACAAGTACTCACCAACAAAGACCTTGACCTGCCCACCCAGCAAGAGCTTCTCGCTCAGTTCCGATGCGACGAAATTGCCAGCGTGGTCACTGAAGCTTTCCTCGCAAGCAGCAAGATTGTCCGCCGTCCTGTCGAGTCCGGTTCTGTGGTCGAGGGTCTCGGAGCTCTCATGCGCGACTGGCTCAACACTGCTCTCGGTATGTCTACTTGTTTTCTGGTCCTCCCCAGTTCTGATAATCCATGTGATAGGCAAATTCGACCGCGACGCCTCCCGTTACCACGCCTCGGTATACCAACGCAAACGGCTGGACCTCCTCTCTTCCCTCCACACTTCTCTTTCCCCTCTTTTCCTCGGCCAACTCAAGAATGTCCACAAGACCGAGACGGCGAGGTTCTCAAAGGACATTGTGAAGGGTGTGAAGGAGCCTGGGTATGATTTCAGAGAGGTTGTGGAGGAGGGAAAGCTTAGGGCTAGGGAAAGATTCTTGGAAGGGGCGAGGGGTGAGTTGCCACACACAATCAGGAGGACGAAGCTGATGTTGCTTTAGAGGTCAAGGTTGAGGAGACTGACTGGGAGTTTGAGCATGAGCTGGCGTTGTTGGATGAGGATCTCAAAATCATCGCCGACAAATGTCGAGCTGATGAGACCAAGAAGATGGTCAATCTTATCGAGGTGCGTTCCTCTCCAGTGTGTCTGAGCTGGATCTGATAGTCTCGCAGAGGAATGTCAAGAGACAGTTGCTGGAGCCTGTGGAGGTGGCTTTGAGCCAGCCGTCTGCGACCATGTGGGATACTGTCTTACAGACGTACAAGGAAGTGTCCGAGACTGCCGAGAAAGCGTATCTAGCCAAGGCAAAGAGTGAGTACTTTCTCAGCCAAATCGGGATACAACTGACAGTGCCCCAGGCTACAACTGCAGCGAGGAAGAAAACGTTACTGCACTTGCCTCTCTCAAGGCTCGGACCTGGCTCGCCCTTCGCCGCAAGCTGGAAGACCAAACCTCAGACGCAACCATCTCTGCCACTCTCCGCGCCAAATTCGAAGACAACTTCCGATACGACGAGGCCGGTGTCCCGAGGGTCTGGAAACCCGAGGACGACATTGACAGTGCTTTCAAAAAGGCCAAAGACGACACACTTGAGCTCTTACCGTTGTTTGCTGTGGTCTCGCCCACAGATCCCGAGCTCGTCCCCGAGCTGCCTGTGCCAGAACCTTCCTTCGACCTCGAATCCGACCCCTCACCCTTCGACCCCTCCACCGCGTTTACCCTCTTGTCACCCACCAAAGTACTCGCTGTGGAGTCTCGTTTCAAGCGCGAAGCCGACGCGGCATATGTGGAGGCCAAGAGAAGTATGGTGAGCAGCGTGGCGCAGATCCCGGTTTGGATGTATGGTGTGCTGGTGGTGCTTGGGTGGAACGAGGCTATGGCGGTGCTGTTCAATCCGTTGTATTTCGCCATGATGCTGGTCTTGGCCGCTTCGGGGTACGTGTTCTGTTTTCTTGTGCTTATCAAAACTGACAAGAAACAGATACATTATCCTCCAGCTCGGCCTCGCTGGACCCATTCTTCAAATTACGCGCACAGTCTTTACAGAAGTCAAGACTATAGCTACCAACAAGCTGAGAGAAGCCTTTGCGGAAGTCCCAGAGGCGCAGCGTATCTTGGCTGATCCTGTGCCAGCCTCTGCTGCCTCTCAAAGGGAAAGGGAGAGAGATGGGGACTTGGTCAGGGGGGAGATTGTGGAAAAGTAGGAAAGGCGACATCGTCTTGTACTGTACAGTAATGTCAACCAAAATGAATATGGGGAAATTGGTACATGGTCTTCTGTATGAGAGGCGTCTTGTTCCTTGTCAATCTTCATCATCATGCAGTCTGAATGCAAATTGATTCTTAGAGCGCGCTGGTGCTCAATGCAAATGTGCATCTCCTCTTCAGCTCTCAAGAGTGTGCATGGATAGACCCATTGACCACCTCAATCCGCGTTTCTCAGCTCTGGCGGCACGTACTTCAGCCCAAGAAACTTGAAGATCTCTCGCTCTGTCCCAAGATTCACTTCTTTTCCACTTGCTATTTCAATCAACCCTGCTCGAAATTTATACCCTCGTCTGCGAGGATCAGCTTTGCCCCATTCATCACGTCGCAAGACCCACTCATTTTCGGCGTAACGCTTGAGATCTCTTTCATACATCATACTCCCCGTCCAGCTCAGGATAGCGCTGGCATATCTATCCCTTGGGGCACTGATGATATCGACACGTCGGTGTAGGCGCCCGGGACCAGGAAGTTTAAAGATGACAAACGCTTTGTCGAGATTGTCAAAGTTTTGAGGGGCGGCTCGTATGGGTGTGGTGATATCCCGGTGGGTCACATCTGCATATTGTCAGTCTAGGAATGGCCATGATGGTTCCTGATGGACGACTCACGGAGAACATGCGTGATGATGCCGAGTTGTGACATGCGAAGATATGCTGCGCGAAGGAGTCCGATGACTTGATCCTGCTCAGGTGGACAGAGAACAACGTCGACATCGTTTGACTGTGTCTTTCCTCTTCTATATCTGAATCTTTGTCAGCTGCAGTAGAATCGAGAGGTTTGAGGCATACCCGCCACAGATAGTGTGTTGACAATCGGAGATGAATGCTCCCACATGTTCCATGATGCAAGCAGCAATCTCTTCAACCTCTTCTCTTGGAATCCTACCACCTTGTTAGCTAGTCACCAATCACGCCGTGAAGAGAGCCGCTCACGGTTGATCCAGCTCTTCCTTCAACTTCATCCATTCCTCAACGATATCCACGGCCTTCATTCGCCCCTCTTTCCTCCTCTTCGCCTTTTCCCTTTCATCCTTGGTATCTTCCCCATCGCCTTCCATATCCGCAAAGTGCCTCTTCACATCCTCCAAGGACCGACAATGGTGTAGGTCATAGAGCTCTCGAGCGCGATGGTGACCGATGGTGTAGACAGAGGCGAAGGCGAGGAGAGCAAGGAATCGGGGGGAAGAAAGGATGGTTTGGGATTCTGCAACAGTCCCTGTGCGTAGAAACTCATCTATCTATAGGCAATGAGTCAGCGGTGAGGAGTGGAAGTGACTGGAAGTAAAGTACCCGTTTGGCAACCTTCTCGCCGACACCTTGGAGTTTCAGAGCCTCCTGCCCAGATGTTATCTTCCGTGGCACGGCTATAGGTCGTTAGTATGTCATCAGACTTGATGGCTTACTATCGCACGAACATTTCAGTATCTATAATTTAGCATCAGCTCATACCAGACCGTTCGTGTACTATCCACATACACTGAGGCTCCTCCTATAACTTAGCACATTCGAATTCTTCTGTTGAAGCTCTTCAAACTCCCTCTCCTGGAAGATGGGACGGATTGCATCGACCTGCAATGATGGCACGGGTCATAACCTTGTCTATTCAATACGGTAGAAGGGCTACTTACGATGTCTTGATTGACACATATGAGAGGTGACCCTCTCAGAACACATGAGGCTGGAATGTCTTCTAGCCTTACATCGGGATCGACAAGCCCCATATCATCGTGACTTTCGCCTTCTCCGTATATCGGACTCCTTTCCATTCTTCTTCTTTTACTAGGCGGTTCTTGGATTTCATCCAGAGCCTCTGGAATCGGGTAGCTAGCGGTCAAAGGCTGTTGAGACTTGAAGGCAAGGCGATATTCGTCTCGAGGTGGTAGTTTTGGGGATGAAGGTGACTGAGAGGTCGCAGCTTTTAAGCATGTCTCGTACGCATCATACACGTACATGACGCTCAGAACTGGTTTGCTCTCCTTGCAAGGTAAGGTCAGCAAAGCTAATCACGGGGGTCTGGACACCCTAGTGCTCACGAGCCAATGTGTATCCAAAGATCGTGCAAGCCTTGCCCTCCCCTTCAAAGCCGTCACAATGAACCATGCGTCCTCGACCCCTACACATCTTCCACCTAGCTCGTCAATGTACTCATACAATCTTGCCATATCTTCCTCGAGCTTGGCAGAGACTATGTGGAAGGTCATACCAGCAAAGAGTTTGTACAGGGAGTGGGAGGCCACATGTTGCTGAATGATGGACGAGGAGGAGGAGGGATACGGTCGCGGCGGTGGTCGAAACGGCATCTCTCTTGGAGAGTAGCAGGCAAGGGATAGACAATGTAGAGCAGTCTATCACGCATCTCCAGGGCTCATGATCGACGATATCGTCAGTGAGTGGAACCAAACAACACCACGTCTGCGCCTTACATAATCCTTTTCGAGGATGTTCGATCTTCGTTCATTCTTTCTTTCTGACGACGTGTCGAAGGCATTCTTGCATTCTAACCAGCTTCAAAGATGGCGATCCTCGAGGATGTCCCAGACTCCCCACCGCCTATCAGAAATCGCAAACTTCCCCGCAAATCCAAATCCAAATCACAGAAAAAGGCAACAGCCGACTCTGAAATTCCACTGAAACGTCCCTCCTCCAACCCATCACCCTCGACACCCCCACTTCTCGATGTTCCACTGCCTGGGACAGTCCCAGCGGGATTCGTACCCCAATACGTGTCCTCGGCAGAGGAAATCGAGGCTCTCAATGCGTCTCTAGAGTCGCGTCACACGTGTCAAGACGATGTCCACGACGCTCGGGAAGATGAGATCTTCAACACCCTCATCATGGCCGTGCCATTTACATTCTTGTACATACTGCTGGACATACTGGTACACCTCCAGTACAGCCACAGACCAAGTTATGATCTGCTGATCAACCACACCATCAAAGCATTTCCCAGTGAGCATACTTCCCGACTGGAGAAACTCGAGCTGATATCTACTAGCTTTGGCTTTGCTCGTCTTTTACAGTAGGATATCCTTTTCCTGTGCTTACCAATCTGACACGCTGTGTAGCAAATAGACACGCGGGTCACTTCTCCACCAACTCCGCTCTTATGGCTGCATCTATCCTCTCTGGGTGTAGGCTGATCTGGCTCGTCAACAAAGCCAGCTGGAGCGTGGTGACAGCTCAGGTGCGCTCTCATCATGAACGGCCTTGACATCGATCATGCTGACCAATGGATAGGCCCCATCAATGGGCACCCTCTGGATACTGACCATCATTCAGCTGCCGCTTGGCAGGGCAGTCATGTGTCTGGTGATCGTTGGGGGCTGGATATGGCGGTCAGGATTGAGCGTGGCGCCGTAGATCACCAGCATGGACGATTATGGATACTGTTACTGAAAGGAGAAAGAAGACAGTTGGTAGACATGTAATTTCATTCAATTCTTCGACGTCTCTCTTCCGTGTGATACTACTACATACACCAAATATACTTGACTACTTTACAACCATCATAGATTGTCCGCATGATCACTGGGATTCTGGTGCCGGCGTACCCATCTGGCTCTTCAAAGGCGCCTTTCTCACGTATTTCCTCTTTGGCATACTCGGATCTCTCGGCGCTTTCTTTGTAGGGGCATTCGGATCTCTGTTCAACTTCCATCCCTTCTGCGGACCAGGCTTCTTTCTTTCTCCAGGGGGCTTTGGAGGACGTCCCTTCTTCTTGGGGGGTTCACCACCTTCTCCGTCGTGCGTCCTCTTTTGCCCTTGCCCTCCACTTCCAGCCCCGGCGTCATCTCCCCCAGTAGCTCCTCCACCGGGAGCATTGTCGTGCAGCCCCAAATACTCGCCCCCCACTTGGTTGACAATGTCGTGGAAGTTGGGATCGGCGACACGTTTGTGCTGCTTCAACACTTCGCTCATGTGGAGCATGTGGTCGAAACGTTCGCGGTATTTATGAAGAGCTGTGGTGGAGTCAAGGCGATGGCGAAGAATTTCGGCTGTGAGGGGCACAGCTTGATGCTGGACGGTGGGGTTAGAACGGATGGGCGGCACAGGACGACACTATTGTGAACTGGTCAGATCCATATCACGCCTGCGAGAAGAATTACGAACAAGGTCAGCAAAAAATTCAACAACCATATCTTCCATATAGTCGACAGTGTCCATCAACGGATCTGCAACATCACCGGCCCCATACATCAAACGAGAAACTTGATTCATGAACCCGAATCAGCGCTGCTGTGAAAAGCACCGATATGCATTGTCTAAACTTACTCTCATTACGCATAGTGCCTCTCAAACCAAGTCCTTCGGCGCCTCTTCTCCGGTCACCTCCAGAAGCAGAGGCCTGCTGAGTATTCGTAGTATAAGATGGGGAATGTACATGAACAGGCGCAGGGACACGGCTTCTGCCAAACACATCCTGGCCTGGTGTTCTATGAACGTTAGGATTGGGGCGGAAGGGCTGTCCATTGCTGAGTGGGCGAACTTGATTGGTACGAGAGTATTGAGGAGTCAATGGTGTAGAATTGGGGCGTGGAAGAGAAAGCGAGCCGGGAAGAGGAGCAGCGGTGTTGGGCCGAGCAGAGGCGAGGTATTGAGCCGAGGATTGATTGTGAGCCATGTTTCCCGAAGTCTGTACAAAATTTCGTTAACATATGCATCTACAGCGGATGTCACATCAGGTGAATGAAAGATGGTGGATCATAGAAGCCAGTATAAGCGTAATCGCCAACTCTTCACGACCCGTTCCACTACACACCGCCATCCATCTACAGACGGCAGAACGCTGACTGAAGACTTCAAAACGGCCCCCGCCAAGAGCCATAACAGTACCTCGTCATCGCGCTAAGTAGAACCAAGCCCCAACGACTTGGATCCATTCTCCGAAGATAGTCGGATTCAGCTCGTGAGGAAAAGTTGTACCGGGCTAGAGATACAAGAATGGGTATAGGGAACAGAAAGGAAAAGAAGACGACTCAGAGAATGGATTGAGCTAAAATTGAATCATATCGACGCGAGGTGCGAGGGTGATTGCAGAGGAGCCTCAAAGTCTAAAACTCACGTTGTGTGGTGAAGGATGTCTAAGAGCTGGAGTCAGCAACAGTCCCAAGCAGATGGTTATGATCAATCAAGTCGGGAGAAAAGGTTCAGAAAATGTTTTTTGGTATGTTGGGTTATCGCTCACGAAACACTCGGTAGCAGAACTGAATAGTTTTTTCATCATAGTAGATGTGAAGAGAAAGAGGAATGACAAGAAGCGAGACTCACCAGTTAGGGATGCACGGAGATTGCAATGAAGGACTCGTGTGTGTGCTGTGTATAAGGCGGATTACTTGGCTTCCATGTCGAGAAAGATGGGAGGCTTCAAGAATGAAGAATAAAGATGCGAATGAGTTTTTATGAGAGCTGGCGGAATTTGCGGGCTTACAAGTGGAACATGCGCGTGGCACTTTTTGTTGTTTGCCACTCTGCCCGACGGTTATCCCTCGCGATCATCTATCTATCTCCTTATACTTCAGACAAAAGCAGCTCGAGATCATGGGTGCCGACGGTGGTTCCATTCCCGACAGGAGAGATCTTGTCAAGACCAAAGGCAAAACTGAGCAGCTCGACAAAGCGGCTATCAGGGAGCTCTTCCTTTTCTGCGCGCTAAGCAGGGTCAGTTATCCTGCTTGTTTTACAATGCCTTCATATTAACTCAATCTGCAGAAACCCTTGACTAAACCCGTAGTCATCGACCCTATTGGAAAGATCTACAACAAGGATGACCTCATAGAGTACTTTCTCGATAAGTCCAAGTACGGCGATGGTGATCAGATCTGTGGTCATTTGAAGGGTGTCAAGGTATGCTGCTCATCTTTTTCGCTATCACAACTGACAAGACACGCAGGATCTTATCACCCTCAATCTCACGTCTAACCCCGACTATGTGCCCCCTTCTACAAATGCCACCTCCACCATCAACCGAGCTCCCTTCGCTTGTCCTCTCTCCCTCCGCGAAATGGCAGGCTCATTCCCCTTCGTCGCTCTTAGATCTTGTGGCTGCGTCTTCTCCGACGCCGCGATCAGAGCTGTTGTCCCGAACCTTACGAAAGGCGTGACAGCCCAGGCCGCCGAGAAGGACGAGCTGCCAGAGGAGGCTAGGCCTGTAGTCAACGCCGAAGAGAAGAGCAAACAGGAGGTGGCTTGCCCCAACTGCAACAAGGCCTTCGACCCTACGAGCGTATCAGCCATCATTCCTATCAATCCGCCCAAAGAGGTGCAAGAGGTGCTCCTTGAAAATCTGGTCCTTGCTCGGGCGGCAGCCAAGTCTTCCAAAAAACGCAAAGCCGACAAGGTGGACAAGTCTTCCAAGGTTGACAAATCTGTCGATGGCGCTTCTTTAGCCACAGATGCCCCCCCAATGAAAACCGCCCGCACGTCCTCGTCCTCTCCGGCACCTCGAGCTGTTCCCTCAGTCAGTCAGCCGCCGTCCGTGGCGAGGTCCGTCCAGGAGAAGCTGCTGGAGCAGGAGCGAAAGAGGCTGCAAGCACAGCAGGGAATGAGCGATGCAGTCAAGTCCATGTTCAAGTCGAAGAAGGACGAAGGGGAGAAGAGAAGTGGGATGGAAGACTTCTTCGGGAGGACTTTCACTAGAGTAAGTTACTTGTGTCATGAAGAGTAATGACTGACTGAAGCTCGCAGTATGCTGCTTAGTTGCTTGTACGGACTGGTCCGGACGATCATGTATGTCTACGTTGTATTGTTATATAAGTGCTCGGTCCGAGGCCGAATGTCCGTTGGAAGTTCTACGAGTACAGTGGTCTTCCTGTGCTGACCGTCAGCACAAGACAATACCATGCCTCCCTCGCCAACAGGGTCCATGCTGTTTTCCAGCAGCGACGAAGAAACTCACCCTGGAAAGCGAATAGTTGGGCAGCGCACGGACCGCCACGACGCAGCCCGCGGGCGGCTCGAGCGCATCGCAACATATATACATCTCATCTCCTTCACCCCACTGTCCTTCCCCATTCCACTTCTTGATCCTTGCTCGCTCGCTTCCCAACATGTCCCAGCCCTCTCCAACGCCGCACACAACTTGGCCTCCTCTCATGCAGTCATCACCCCGCGAATCACAGCCATTCCCAGGCGGCCGGAAACGCCTTCAGCGCGCCTCTTCTGCCGAGAGTATCACCCTCTCTGGCTTGTCCGGATGGAGGCGCCAGCCCAAGCAACGGAAGATAATCAGCCCTATCAGCTACGCCCAGTCAGCAGATACAGTCCCAAATGTAGGAAAAGGCGAGGAACGGACGAGCCTGGGCATGGGTATGACGGGCACGCCTGCAAAGAGAAGGACCCTTTCGCGCAAAGCGGCAAGTCCATTGTGCTATGTGACATTGCCCGTGACTGATATCAGCTTAGAGCATCAGAGCGACCTCAACACCTAAAGCAGGTCGTCGACGCCTGGTCGCCGAACCACGCCCATCCCTATTCGAGTTGGACTCTCTTCGTTCAACATTAGACATACCAATAGACACGTCCTCGCAAGCATTGACGTCACCCAGCATCTCTGGGACCGAGATAGAGCCTATCCGAGTCGGCGAGCCACCTAGCACTCATGATTTGACGTGTGTCTCGACCCATCAACGAGAAATGGATAATGAACATGGCTTTGTCAGTCCGCAGGACATGTTGGTGCCGCTCAACGATGTCGATCCTCACCCGCTGAAGGATCCAGATCACGCGGTCAGAGCGACCATCTCCGATCAGACAGCAGATACAACCACCTCTACCGCAAAGGTAGCCGAGCTCCATGCGCTTGCCAGCCGGCCCGACAAACACCATATGGAGCCCATCAATGTCTCCACCCGCCTTTCGGGGGCATCAAATTCGGATCGCGATATCACGGTACCTCTTAACGACCTCTCTTTCGCTACATATGCCATGCCGAAAGCTTCGCAGACTGTCAGCAAGATCACCCAACGCCAATCAACGCCGTATCGCTCGCGTCGTACTTCGAAAACAAGCGAGCGCAGCGGGGATCTTTCATTGGAGAGTGCGAGGAACCAGACGGAGGATGATGAGGCTGATAATCAGGTCGGGCGGAAAGAAGAACATCCTCTCGGCACGGCACCAGTGGATGATACCTGGTCGGTTGCTGTATCATTCCCCTCGCCGCCTGTCACACCGAATCACAACATAGCCGTCCACCCGCTTGCAGATACAGGCGCCACCCGATTGCCTGAAATGACCGTCACCAGACCCTTGACCCCCAGGCCTAAACAACGAGAGGTGTTTTCTACACGTGGTTCCTCGGAGTTGGGTCTCAGTGGCGCCCTCGTCAATCGTCCTCGAGAAATACCGAATGTCGACAAAGAGAATGAGCATTCATCAGGGAGGTCGTCGACAGACTTTTGGAAGACGGAGGACAGCTGGACAGACCCTTTCGGATTTTGGCTTCTGTGCCATCACGTCACATGTGGGTCGATTTGGACGGTTGAAATGTTCTTGGGATAATTGCTGATCTCTACCTAGCAAGATTCACCGGGCCTTATCACACATCTGTACCTGCTCGCCATCTCGTTCAGCGATGTCCTACACCTCCCTCGTTCTCTTCGATGTCGTATCGCAATTCCGAGGCTTCCAATCTGTCCACGGAGGTCAGCAGTCAGCAGCCTAGTAGCCCTGTCGAGACCGGCTGGAAGGGAGCGCAGGTCTTGGCGAGGATGGAAGGGAAGGTGGATCAAGGCTTTTCGCAAAGGCAAGGGGCAAAAGAGTTGTTCAAAAAGCGGAGGGGGAACAAGAGGGCGTCCAGGGTATGCCGGAAGAGGAGGACGTCGAGCATTGATCTCTCTGTGAGTGACAGCGGAGAGCGATGGAGGATTCAGCCAACGAACGGGATCCAGGATGACGAGGGGTCGGAGAGGGCAAAGAGGATAATACACTATGAGGATCTGAGGATGAACCATCAGCTGGCGGTGGAGGAGGTATGGGATTGATTGGGTGACGGAATGAGGCATCACTCTTCACGTAGAGCAATTGTACCACTACTGTTCATGTCGTTGTATTGAGCTTGGGGTTGGCAGATGCAAGCACTGTATCTTGTTGAGCCCTTTTGACGAAGCAGCTTTCACATTTATGATTGCTTCTCCCCCGGCCCTCTCCTCACAGCGAGATTGTATACGCAGCAGTTTAGCTGTTTGCACTGAAGGGTCAGGAGCTTGTCATGATACATCATGTCGACCCAGCTGAATGAAGTAGTGTTCTTACACAGAGTCATGCACATACATGCCCGGCCGATAATCCAGTACATGTGCCTACGGACATACCCGATGGTTGCGGGTTTTGACTCATTTTTCCGCATCTCCGCAAAAGTTGTAGTCCTTCTGCATTCTATCTCCACCTTACTCTGGATTTTTCGCGTACATCCCAGCCAGACTATACCTCCAACCCCGACATCGCCCCCACTTAACTCCGTCGTTGCCGCATAATCTTCGGACCAGCGATCACGCCACTCACTCACTCGGTTCTGTTTCTCTCCATCTCCAGACTGTCCACCATCAGCCAACACAGCGAGTAGCACTGAATCTCCATATTTGAGCCTCGTAACCGCGACTACCTGTTACTACCCCCTGATCATCTCGCCTTCAGGAGTCAGCCGGCAAACCGGGCCCTATTTGGTGATCAAGATGGCATCTGCCTCCACAACCCCCATTTCCTATCCCCCTCAGAAGCAGACAATGCTTGAACGACAAGCATCTCGTTTGTCAGAGCACCTCTCTCGGATCCAATCTACCGACGCCTATCCTCCAGAAAGTGAAGGACCAAGAGCCACTGGAGAGAGCGATGGTCCAGGAGCCTCTGATGAGAAGAGCGGGGGGCTGGTACCAATCGACATTGAGCATGTACCCGTGGACAATGATCCTAGAGAATGGAGTCCAAGAAAGAAGTGGGGCGTTCTATCAGTCATGTCATTTGCCGTAGTAAGTTAGAATGCACCAGGTAATGGGCTATTCGCTGAGAGCGTACAGCTTGGTCCCACTATGGCCGCTAGTATCTACAACCCAGTCGTCAACGATGTACGCTCCGAACTTGGAGCCAGCGAAGCACAAATTGGAATGTCGCTATCTCTCTACATCCTGTGAGCAGACTTGGATAAAGGGCTTCCTCTTCTCTGTGCTGACTAGTGTCTGTCAGCTGTGCTGACTAGTGTCTGTCAGGTTTCAGGGATGTACACCACTCATTTGGGCTCCCGTGTCTGAAGTGAGTAGTCACAACTTATGATGAGGGCGTTGCGCTGACTTTCCACAAGATTACTGGCCGCAAGGTATGTAGAATGGCGATATGACAGGTTCTAAGCAAAGGTGCTGATGACCGTTGCCTCTCCAGATTATATATCTGCTATCATATGCGGTGAGCGATTTCCTCTGGCTTCCCATGGCCATACTGACTCTGTCGCAGATCTACCTGGCCGCGCTTATTATCGGCTCTCGAGCCCAATCCATGCCTGTATTGATCGCTATGAGAGTTCTGCAAGCTTTCGGCAGTGGTCCTGCTCTCGCGATCGGTGCAGCAAGCTTGGCAGACATGTATGAACAACATGAACGAGGTGCAAAGGTGGGTAACCTGGGGTCAGCATTCTGGACCTATACTGATAAAGTCACAGCTTGGCATATTCTATGGCGTCCCGATGTTTGGCCCAGCTCTGGCGCCTATCATCGGTGGTGGACTGGGTCAAGTGAGTCTCACTCCACAAGTGCTGGATGAGTTGATTGACGAGTATCACAGGCGTTTGGATGGAGAAGTGTTTTCTACTTTCTTTCCTGCTACGCATTCATCATGGAGTGCTTCTTTGCCATCACGCCCGATTCATGGCGCCGAGAAGTGAGGATTTCTCGATTCTCTATCCAAGTGCTGACCTGTCTTCAAGCGCTCAAGGCTATATCAAAAAGCCATTACACAGGCTACAGTCCGCGCCGAACAGGCTGACAAAAAAGACATCCGTCGCAAGGCCAAGCTCGCCAGTCAACAGCCTGGTGGGCTGGATACAATCCCTGCTACCCCATCCGAAACGCCTGGTGCCACACCGATGGGCTCCAGGCGAGGGAGCGACGATGATAATGTGTTGGGACAAACGAGGGATAGGACATCGGTCAATGTTACATTGGAAGAAGGTAAAGGCGAGGAGGGAAAACTCGTCAAGGTGACGATGTGGCAGCGTCTGATTGGGCTGCGAGGAAGGGGAAGGACTGTATCAGCGGAGCGAAAGGCCAAAATTAAGCCTTCCGCGAGGGATTTAAATCCTCTGCCATCGATGATGACGATCTTGAAGCGACCCACAAATATCCTCATCATTATCTCGTCTTGTGAGTACCGTTTCTAACAGCTTTTCCTCTCCCGCACGCCATTATCCTGACTATGCCCTTCACAGCTTTCAGTTTCGGAGCCCAGTACACGATTGTCTATACTGCTTCCCTCTTACTTGGAGAAGCGCCGTACAACTACGATCCTCTCAAGATTGGTCTTGCTATTCTTTCTTTTGGGATCGGAAACATTTCCGCAAGTGTAGTAGGAGGGAAATATTCGGACATGGTGCTCAGGCGACTGAAGAAGAAGAATGGCGGTGTGGGTGTCTCAGAGGTGCGTAGTTGAGCGATGTTCTTGTCAAGTCTCATACTGATTATCGTTGTTGCGTTGCGTAGATGAGACTGAAGGCGACCGTCGTCGCCATGCCTGTCCTGATCGTTTCCTTTCTTGCATATGGCTGGACAGCTCATGAAAAGGTACATATCGCGGGTATCGTTGTCTGTCTCTTCTTTTGCGGCTTCTCCCTGCTCTGGATATATTCGTCTTCCCTCGCCTACCTGGTCGACTCCAATCCCGGCATCTCTTCTTCGGCGGTATCCTGTAACTCAATGCTGAGAGGAATTTGTGGATGTGTAATGTCGCAGATCGCGCAGCCTATCAGGAATGCGATTGGTGATGGGGGGCTCTTTACGCTTTTTGCGGGTGTTCTGGCGCTCGCGTGTGGGTGTAATCTGCTGTTGATTGGTGAGTTCCAATGTAAGAGTGCCATTTCTGAGCTGACGCGTACGATTTAGTGAAAGGAGAGCAATGGCGATCTCCAGATCACAAGTTCACATGGTTCAGAAAGTCGTCAGGAAAAGAAGCAGAGGATGAGGAATCCAGGGAAGACATCAAGCACTGAGGCCTCATGCGCGGCTCATGAATTTATAATTGCAACTGCATGTACGCTGTAAATGCTTCAAATTTTCTCGGGGCCATGTACTCGAGTACAGAGTTTGTTTGTCTCCTGAGTCCTACTCCTGAATGATGAACGAGTTGAGTGACAAGTCGCGTCGTACTTGGAGACGTCATATCAGGCCCGCCACATACATTTGCCGACGCCGAAAGCGGCAACCGCCACCCGCATCTTCGCAAACACTGCAACAACTACAGTCAGTCCGCGTTCCGCAATCCGCCTTTCTCTTCTCTCTCACCCCATCTCCCCCTATATCCACGCGTGTGAACCACAGCGCATTCAATCCTACCAACATGCTATCCGTCAGCCTTCTCCGCCCCGTCTTTGGTACTGGTTCCTTGGCTACCAGGTTGCTGTCTACTTCCGTCAGCAGATCCAGAAAGGTCATTGGTAAGTCATATGATTCGGAAGGTCGTCTATCTCAGAACCTATGTCTCAACTGCATACCTCGGCATCTGCCAGACCTGTCAGCGGTTCGCGGCTTCAAACTTTCAAATCAACGCGACCATGCGCGACAGTCACACTGACTCGTCCTCATAGACCCCACTCTGCCCGTCGTTCCCAAAGTCTCCAACAACAGTCCTTACCCCATCTTCTTCAAAGAATATCTCGCCACCAACGGCAACAACTATCGCGATGCCAGCGGCAAGTTGAACATGAAAGAGATCACTGTCGCTGCCGGATCTGCTTTCAATGCTCTTCCCCAGGCCGAGAGAGATGTCCTCCAAAAGCGCGCTTCGGACGAGAGGAAGAGGACTGCCGAGGAGTACCGCCAGTTCTGGGTGTCTACAAGTAAGGACACCAAGTCGGCTATCGAGCAGGCCACCGGGAAGAAGCTCAGGTACCCCGGAGGAAAGAAGGCGGAGAAGGAGGATTACAAGACCAGAACTGGTAACCCCGGAAAGCCGCTCAACCCCTATCTTGCTTTCGCCGAGGCTGTCAGGTCTGAGTTGCTTGCCCAGGTCGACGCCGACTTGCCACCTCTGCAACGATCGCAGGCTGTGGCCAAGTTGTCTGGAGCCAAGTGGCTCGGTCTGAGCGATGCGGAGAAGGAGGTACGTCAAGGGCTGCAAGTGATCGAGTGGTGTCTAAACGAATCATCTAGGTTTACAAGTCCAAGCACAAGGAGCAGAAGGCCATCTATGATGCTTGGGCCGAGACTCAGACAGACCTCAAGAAGGCTACCCCCAAGAAGCGAAGGTCCACCAGCCCGACTAAGAAGTGATGAGAGATGCGCGAATGGACCGTAGTCGTAGTCGAGCATGTTACAGTTATATAACTTCAGTTTGACAGGCAATGATGCACCTTCTCACCTCTGACAACCTGATTCGTGTACGATGCGTCTGCTGTAGTCGCGTTCCACTGTATACGAGCGTCAAGTGTATTTGACAGCTGACTATATTGAAAGAACGTAGCAGAAGAGGAAGACGAAGTTAGAAGGACGAATGTAGGAGGACAATGTGGCCAGCGAAAAAGCGTTCCACAGCGTGGGATCTTATTATTGCGTACTCATGTGTCTTGTCCGCGATCACTTCGTGTTCGAGATGTTGCTTTAGAACAAGATGTTGTTTTAAGACAACCCAACGAGTCTGAAAAGACGGCCTGACGTGCTGATAGCCGAGAATATCTGTACATCCCTACACTACGTGACTAGAGCAAGAGGACTCGTTTAGTGGTGGTGACCGGGGTTGAGGTTGGCCTCGGAACCTTGGTAGTTGAGAGTGTAGACTGTTGACCTGTCAGCATTTTGATACAGTACGCCGCTCGCAAACATACCGGAACCACACTCGGGGCATTTACCGTGCTTCTTCTCGTGGGTGACGTTGATCCAGATGGTGTCGTGGGAGTCGACGGGGTAACCAGTGCAGCCGACTTGACGGACAGGGAACTATATGGCACGTTAGCCCGCCTGATGCGTCCGGTCTCAGTGATAGTGACTTGCGAGAGAGTAGATAGGGATGGGGTCCTCAGTGGTACCGAGCCTGGTAACCTCGAGGGGGTTCATGTCGAAAACATCAACACCCTCGAGCTTACCGAGGAGCTCGAATCGCTCAAGACCGGTGGACTGGCTCTCGCTGAGATGATATCAGCACAGTTTTTGTGTATTTCCATTTCCACCGCCGTCTCGTCTGTTCTGCTCTGCCGCGTCTCCTTTGCAGCATCTTATTTGCTCCGGATCTACACGCCCTCCGTCCTTCCCATTTCACTGTTCTCCTTCAGTCTTCGTGGGCGGCCGCTCGTCTCTCCTTTTTCACCCATCCAATACTCACTCGGAGGGGACTTCACCAGCCTTGGCACCAGGACCGAGCAATTGGGGAGGGCCGTGGCCGGCAGACCTGGCCGCAGAAACGGAGAAGGCTCGGGCAGCGAAGGCAGGGGCGGGGGCGACGGATCGTCGGAGGGCGGGGAGCGCGGTGCGGAGGTTCCTGAGGGCGGCAGCCATTGTTGGATGGATGATTTTGTGAGCGGTGGTTGGGGAGAAGGTCGAATGTACGCGATTTGATAGGAGGGCAAGCTCAAATCTCCGGGATCATCCGCTTTTTTGACTGCATACGTTACGTAAACTCCCTGGCACGGAATTTGCCGCCGCCGCGCCGCTGGCTGGTGCGTGTGCATGTGGCACTGCGTCTATAGGGAGAAGGTGGACACGGGGTGCTTTTGCACGCTGTGCATGCTAAGCAGATTCAGATGCAGATATCCAGGTAATCAGAGAGTCAAAAGATACATGCATGCGAAGCGACGTCAGTCAACGTAACGATCTGATGTTCAGAATCATTGGCGCACCCCGCCGCAAGGCACGCGACGCGTCTCTCGATGAATTCATCATCTCTTCTTGCGATCATTGAACTGTCCATCGCGTTCCCACAAGGCGCGTCGACACCACTCGCTCTCCTCTCGCCGCCCGCAATGGTGCCGCAGGAGAATCCCAGGAAGTTTGCCTGGATCAACACTAGCAGAAAGAGGCCCTCGTCTGCGAAACAACGCAAACTCACACAACCACCGTTATACGCGTCTCAAAGCGTCAGCAAGCCAGTCCGTTCTGCGCGAAAACCTGCCGTCACCAATGAGAACGAATTGACCCCACAAGTGGCTAAGAAGCGGCCTCTGCCTCTTGGGCTGCCCACGCCGGCTGCGACTGATAAACCGGACAAGGGCAAAGGACGTGCTCAGGACAGGGGGGCCGAGTCGCGGGACAGCCCTATGCCATTGCGTGGAGGAGGACGGCTTATGGTGGGCAGCACCGGATCTGGGGGCATGGAGCGGTTCAAGGTGCATGGCGATGGCGAGTCTAGCAAGAGCAAGACACCCACTTCGACGCGTCGATCTCCTATGAAAGAGCCCAACGACTCTCGCCAACGCCCGATCCCACGTACTCCAAATCTGTACCAAAGCCTGTCTCCCGCGCGCCGCTCGCCGGACTTGGGGTCCTTTCCTGTTGAGAGCGAGCTGGAAACGCCTGAGCCGATTTGTGGAACAGATACCATGCGCCGGGTACGGGAGATCAACGGAATCCCTCCAAGGCAGAAAGCGCCGCAAGCGTCGCCTACGAAGAAGAGGAAGCGTGGCGCGAGTTCTGGCGAGAATGCCAAGTCGCCGAGGATGGCCACGAGGACGCGTTCGGGCAAGGGTGAACGACCTACGCACCGCACCGCCCGTGGACTGCCTCTGGCAGAACATCCTTCGTCAGACAACGACCCTTCCAGATCCCCCCGTCCAGCAAAAAAGTCTAAACAGGCTGAACCACCCCACCATTTCGGTAATATATTCGCACGTCCCAGGGAAGGCAAATCGGCACAAAAGTCTTCGCCTTCAAGTCATGCGTCCAGAAAGTCGACGCCCGTGCGAAGCAGCTCAACAGCCGAAGACTCTGTGTCCCCAATACCGAAACGTGAGCCGTTGACCCCCAAAAAGACGCCTAGAAGACCACGACCACCCTCTCCTGCCCCCATTTCCTCACCTTCACCTCGACATATTCAGGCAAACGTGCGGACCGGCCCAAACGAGCTCACTCCTGGAGCGAGCCAACAATCCTTCGAACTTCCTGCCCGCCAGACGTCCGGTGGGCCTTCACGACTCTTGTCATCATTGCATCCGACAGGAGAACAAGACAAGCAGATGGTATATCATCACGAGTCTTTCGATTTGGTTCCTCCCAAGGGCATGGCAGGTGGTGTACAAGAGGGACAGCCTCAGCAGGCCGAGGGGAGAGTTTACGTCCCTGTGGACACCAGCGAAACGTTGTTCATGGCTGGGAATGATGTGTCTGGAAATGTGCTGTCACCATCAGTCAGAGAAGAGGTGAGCGATTGAACCAAGCAGATCCACGAACTGGACTCATACTTTACAGGAACATGGTCGAGGAGAAGAACCGGCTTCTGCTCGACAAAGCTCGAGGATTGCCGCTTTGGCTCGCTCTTCACCCTCTGGCACCGAGTCCTTTTTACCCAAAGTGAGCAAGAAGCCCATTCAAACGCCAGTGAGAGAGTGGGTGAAAATGGAGTCTCAAGAGAGTCAGCAAAGCCAACAATCAAACCTTTTCGGTGACGAGCGGGAGGAAGCGGCGCGAAACCTGGCGGAGAGTGATGAGGGATGTGAAGCCGAAGCTGGGACCCTCGACCCTGCTGTAAGTCATCATCAGTGTAGGATAATCCGGTCACCCGCTAATGGGTTTCGGCAGTTGAACGAGACTTACGCAGACAACAATCTTTTCCAATCGCATCCTGAAGGCAGAGTGCCGACGTCTTCCCAATCTTCAACGGGGAACGTTGCCTCGCGAACCCAATCATGCGAAAAACCGTCACAGTCCCGGGAGGAGATGCCCATCGTAGCGACAACCACCAAGACTCGGTCGCCTCAGCAGCAGACTCCCCAGCGGACGTCCCAGCGTATTGGTGGGGCGGCAATGGGGCAGATGGCAACATCTCCGTTGCCCGCATCAGCATCGAGACGGCCACCAAGACGGTCACAGCGGTCGAGAGACAATGAAGAAGATGATCTTATGGATGAAGAATCTGACCTGAGGAGCTCACAGGTAAGATCTCCCCGAGGTTCTTCGAATGCGATATAGCTAACGCAATGCAGCTTGGGCCCACTCAATCGCAAGGGCTGTTTCAGACTATACCACGCGAAGCGAGCCTTGCAGCATCTCCGAGCTCAACTCAGACGACACCTACACAACCTATGCGCCAAAGCCAGTTCACTGAGTCTCCGGTCAGCCAACACGGACCTTTCAGCCCGGCCGAGTTGGCTTCTGCCAGGTTACCTGATGATCTCACGGGTCCTGGGGGCTCCGACCTTGTTGCCCAGTGGCCTGACACTGAGCGCGACTCTTCTCCCATAGCCAATTCGGTAGCGAGAGGCCCAGCTGTCGTATCTGGCGAAAAGCCCCGAATGAGGAAGAGGAAGCAGAGAGGCGAAGCGATCTCGCCTCAGACGTCTGGTGACGTGCTTATTGGTGAATCGGATGACGAGGGCAGGAAGGTGGTATCAAGCTCCGCGAAGATGCCGCGACAGGCTGCAGCAGACACAGAGAGCAGTGAGAAGAAAGAGGAGGATGCTGTGGCGAATGCGGAAGGGGAGAGTGAAAAGCCGCAGAAGAGGGACGCCTTTTCCGTACTCATGGGACCTAGGCGCTCGATCTCCGCGCCGCGGAGTACCGGGAAAGGCAAAGATGTCAAGGGCAAAGGAAAAACCCCCGCCAAGTCGACGCCTAAAGCTTCTACCGTCCGCAAACCAGCTACTAGATCGGCTACTAAGAGGAAGACCCCGAGGGCTCAGCCTCACGATGAGGGGCAGACATCCCTTCCATCCCAGGGGTTCTTCAAGAACAGAAAGCTTAGAAAGACGGAAGATCAGATCCGCAGCTTTGACAAGGCGTTCAGCGAGGAGGAGGATCATGACTTTGAAGAGGAGCAAGAGGAGGGCAATGCTTCCGCGGGACCAAGTCGAACAACGGCCCACTTGTCTGGAAAACCTCTGATTTCTTTGCTGGGACGAGTCCCCCACGATCCTCGGCTGAACGAAGGGGGAAAGAGGGAGATCAGGCGGAGGCGACTAGTAGAGCGAGCGCAAGCCACTCTGAAGAGAACCCCTTCGCCTCTCACTCCGCTCTCCCCTAGTCCGTCCACCGGGTCACCTTTGCCCCCGCCTCCCGGTCACCGCGATGAGGCGGAAGAAGACGAAGATGTCCACCCGTTCGGGGAAGAGATGAGGCAGCAGGCGAGCCGAGAAGATGGGACTCGGTATAGGCAAAGCCAGGCTACGACGAGTGGTTCGCAGACATCCGCTGGGGTGAAAACGCCAGGGAGTACGAAAAATTTCATAGACATGCTGGGCGGGTCCTCATCGCAGATATATGATTAAGAGAAGTAGTCATCCATAATTGTACAGTGATAGTTGTATTTGTGTCATGCCCCGGCGGGGTATTTATAGTACCACCGTGGGTCTATGTTGGATGGGATCATGTCACCTGTCCCCGATCTTTGTTTCAAGCGCAATCAAGCCTGAACAGCCTGTCCTGATGCACACGCTCGAAAGACGTGCCGTGCAAAAGTCTTTGCATCAGCCAACTTGATGAGCGCGCCTAGCTACGTCACGTGCCTTGCGGGCGCTTGCGGCTAAATGCATGCCGTACCCGCTCTGTGAGGTCGATATTTGCTTTTCCTGCTTTTCCTTTCTCATCTCAACATCCCCATCAGCATCCTTCCCCCCGAGTACAGCTGCATCAGGTCAGTGCCCTTGTCTACCCCCTCCAGTCGATCTCCGAGCGAGTCTGGTCTTCACCCACCGGGAGATAAGATAAGATCAAAGCAGGAGGCCGCAGTTGACACCTTTACAGAACATTCACCAGTAATCGAATCAACATGTCCCCCGCAGCCTCTGCCCGGAATGGCGCCAGCATCTCAAGCGCCGATGTCATGCACCTCGAACACGAACACTCTGCGTGAGCATTGCCAGTGGCTGATTACATTTGTTGCCCCGTGCTGACCGCAGTACAGCCACAACTACCACCCTCTCCCAGTGTAAGTATTCAGAAGAGTGTTGACTAACAGGTACAAACTAGGTAGCAGTGCTGATCTGATGTAGCTGCTTTGAGAAGGGTGAAGGAGCTCACGTTTGGGACCCCGAGGGCAACGAGTACCTCGACTTTCTCTCTGCTTACTCGTGAGTTTGTGCGACCACCCACATACGTTTGTCTCACAGCCTCGATAGCGCTGTCAACCAAGGCCACTGTCACCCCGAGATTTGTGAGTTTGACGAGTCGCGGATATCTGGCAACGCTTATACATGACAGTGAAATCTCTCGTCGAGCAAGCGTCAAAGCTTACCCTTTCCTCTCGAGCCTTCTACTCGTCCAACCTCGGTCCCTTTGCCAAGAAGATCACCTCCATGTTCGGATACGACATGGTTCTTCCCATGAACACTGGTGCTGAAGCCGTTGAGACTGCTATCAAGCTTGCCAGGAAATGGGGTTACGAGAAGAAGAAGATTCCCGATGGCAAGGCCAAGGTACTTTCTGTCGAGGGCAACTTCCACGGAAGGACCATTGGTATCATCTCCATGTCTACTGACCCCGAATCAAGGAATGGCTTCGGCCCGTTCTTGGATAACGTGGGGCCTCAGTGGGACACTGGATTGATCAGGTACAACCACCCTGAGGACCTGGAGAAGGTGCTCGAAAAGCACGGAGAGGAGGTCGCTGCGTTCTTGGTTGAGCCCATCCAGGGTGAAGCTGGGTAAGTTGATCTATGCGACGGTATTGAGCGCTTGAACTGACCGAGTCTACAGTATCTACGTGCCCGACGATGGTTACCTGGCCAAATGTGCCGAAATCTGCAAAAAGCACAACGTACTCTTGATTTGTGACGAGATTCAGACTGGCCTTTGTCGAACCGGCAAGATGCTCTGCTACGAGTGGGATAACATCCGACCCGACATGGTCATCCTCGGCAAGGCTCTCTCCGGTGGCAGTGAGTCGTCTTGATTATCCTCAAGTCATGAAGCTGACAGTGAGATAGTGTACCCCGTCTCCTGCGTGCTGGCAGACAAGGATATCATGCTCTGCATCAAGCCAGGAGAGCACGGCTCCACTTACGGCGGTAACCCCCTTGGTTGCGCCGTCGCCATGACCGCCCTCGACGTCCTCGTCAACGAAGACCTCGCCAACCGCTCTCAAAAGCTTGGTGAAATCTTCCGATCCGAGCTTACCAAGCTCAACTCGCCGTTCATCAAGCTCATCAGAGGTAGAGGTCTGTTCAACGGTGTAGTGATCGATGAGACTGCGAGCAAGAAGGGCAGGACTGCTTGGCAGCTTTGTTTGTTGATGAAGAGCAAGGGTCTGCTGGCCAAGCCTACGCATGTCAACATGTAAGCCTCCTCAATATGTATTGGAACCAAGTACTGATGTAAAACAGTATTCGATTCGCTCCCCCACTCGTCATTAGCGAGGAAGACATCCGCAAGGCCGTCAAGATCATCGGCGAGTCGCTTGCTGAGCTTGACACCGTGAGTCGTGCCCTTTTGCCTCTGAATCATCAAGCTGATCATACTGCAGCTTGAGAAGATTCCTGGAGATGAAGGAGAAGAGCACGATGCTGTTATCGAGCTTGAGGACTAGGTTCACCGAAGGTTCGGCGAACGAGGACAAGGCGTTTCAAGCCTTGTGAAGTAGATCCAAAACGAAATTTCCATTCGATATAGTGTTCGCTGTATTCCCGTGCATATTTCTGTAATTCATACCTTCCATATGCATATCCTTGTGGAACATGACCTTCAGTAGAGGAGCACAGGTATATCTTGAGCTTTCATTCGTTGCTTGAGCCGGCGTCTGGTGAAGCGGCGAGTGCCGTCAAAGGAGTTTTGGTTCCGTCAAAGATGCCGGCTCAGTCAAGATCCAGGCCAACTGCAAGTCTGCCCTATCCAGCTTTAAGCCATCGCGACAACGCTCGAGTCTCGAAATACCCACACCATCTGGCATTCTAGAAGAGTCTCTTCTTCTCATCCCTCAAGGCTTCTTCCACGATGCAAAATAAGGCAGAGCAAGATAGAAATCAGGAGGCTACCGTGTACCTCGTAAGTCCTTTATGACCTCCCTTAGATTACAGCTGACAGAGGGATCAGGGCAACCTGGATGAACAATGTACAGATGCGCTGGTATGGGAGCTCATGCTGTAAGTCGGCTTCCTCCTGCCCAGCTGAAAAGAGCTGACTCCGATATAGGCAAGCCGGTCCTGTCTGTGAGCATGATTGTTGCGTCTTGATAATCAATCTGACACCATCCTCTAGCCAACGTGTTTCTCCCGAAAGACAGAATCTCTCAAGCCCACCAAGGCTTCGGTTTTTGTGAATTCATGTCTGAAGAAGACGCCGACTACGCTGTCAAGATCATGAACCAAATCAAACTTTACGGCAAACCCATCCGGGTCAACAAGGCGTCCTATGACAAGAAGCAGGTGGATGTGGGGGCGAATCTGTTTGTGGGGAGCTTGGAGGCGAATTTGGACGAGCAGTCCTTGTACGATACTTTCGCTGTGTTTGGGTCATTGGCGGAGCAGCCCAAGGTAAGTACTAGGTGAATTTCAAGAACAGACTCTAACGCACAGTAGATTGCCAGAGATCCTTCAAATGGCCTATCAAAGGGATACGCGTTCGTTGCGTACAACGACTTTGAAGCTGCCGATGCGGCTATAGAGAATATGAACGGACAATTTTTGGGAGGAAAGCAGATCACGGTACAATATGCGTTCAAGAAGGACGGAAAGGGCGAGAGACATGGTAGTGAAGCTGAAAGGATGCTGGCTGCCCAGGCCAAGTGAGTGGCTCGTAAATCTGAGTATCGTGCGGAAACTGACAGGATCACAGGAAAAGGCAGATATTACCATCTACAGGAGGCAACCTCCCTTATCAAGGGCAATACGCCAACGCCCTCTCTGCTGCTGCCGCAGTTCAACCTGCTCCCGTCTATCCCCCACCCCCACCTCCTGGAATGCCAGTCTACCAACCTCAGGCGCCTGCTGGACAGCCTGCCTACCCCGGGTACCAACAAATGCCGCAAGGTTACGTGCCACCCCCACCGACAGGCTTCCCTGGGGCACAATACCAAATGCCTGGGCAAGCGCCTCCGCCTCCGCCACCCATCAGGATGGGCTTCTAGGATGGAGAGTGGTCGCTGTTGCTTTGCGGAGTGATGCATATGTAGTGAGACGTGATGATGCAATATAACAATGTAATGGTACAATTTTATCCTCTCTAATCTCTATACAAGTCGCACACCCTGGATACGAGGGTTCGGCCATTCCTCCGCCAAGTCCAATTTCACCTTCATCTCCTCTCCCACATCCCACGTCAACCCTGCCGGGTGGAGCACCTTCGCCGATACGCCCAACTGGTCCAGCCTGACTGTCGTCAACTCGCCCTTCAATGACGCCGCATTCTCCGGCGCCGAAGTGACTTTGCCAATCAGAACATCCCTGACATCTACCGCAGTCTCATCCTTGCCCCAGCCTTCGGGCAAAGGCCACGTTCCAGACCTCAGATTCCTTCCAATGACCTTTGTCTGCCAAAACATATCTGACACCATTCCAGCCCTCTTTGCCCTCTTGACACCTTCATCGCTCTTCTGTGCCAGCCTGACAATATCCTCCTTCTCAAAGCCTCGCACATGTTCCCGCGAAAGACCGACCTGCCGGGCGAGAGCTGCTTTGATTTGCCAGTGCACCAGCATATCGTCAAACCTTCTCAAAGGTGAAGTTGCGCGGACGTAGCCCTTGCTTTCGCCCACGATACCCATGATCCAGTGCTCTTCGGGTTGCAACGAGATGTAGCCCGCGGGGCGGTACCATCCTTTTCCGAGCGTTGCGAAAGCGTCGATTATGCCTGTTTCTGGGTCCCGTTTGGCAAGCAAGTCTTCCAAGGTCTGGGATGTGGCGACAGGGCTAGGTGCCGCGCTCGCGCGGTACACCATGGGCAGATTTCGCTCGGAGCAGAACCAAGCTGCGACGCGCCCACCGAGAACCATGTACTCTGCTACAAGGGAGCCAGCATCGATGCCTTCCACGGGAGTCTTGACGCGGTATTCGATTGGAAGGGAGCCGGAGAAGAGCTGTGGGGTAGAGAGGAGGTGGTGGCGCGAAAAGAGATGAGGATTGGGCCCGACTGGAAGGTGTGGGAGGGAGATGGAAGCAGAGGGTTTGGACCATTCGTAGCCCGCGGTAGCGAAACGCCTAGCACGCAAATTACGCGCAGTGTCATACAAGAGACGAAGTTCGGCTGCATCTTCAGCAGTGATTTCGGGCATTGGAGGCTCAGTCGAAGTAGATGGGCCACCGAAAGGTCTGGAATACGAGGACGTTGGCAGGCCTAGAGCTTTGTTCACTGATGCGTAGGTGATCACTCGAGGTTTCTTCACCCAACCCATCCTGACCTTGCTGTCCTCCACATTACCAGCTTTGCTGACTCGTGCAGAAAACACCATTGACCCTTGTCGCCCGTCATCCCTTTCAACATTGGCACCCAGCGATACTTCTTTCATGATGAGATCCGTAGGGAAAAGGGGCATGCTCCCTTCAGCCATGTAAAGTGATGATCCCCGGACGGAAGCTTGTCTGGCGAGCTCGTGGCCCGGAGGGATGTATCGCGTAGGGTCGGCGATATGGACGTGGACCCAGACATCATCAGATCCCGCAATCTTTTCGACAGCAATACCGTCGTCCAGCTCCAGTGCAGTAGCGTCATCGATGACAAACACCTTGTGATGGCTAAAGTCTTCTCTGAGTTCGTCCAGTTCGTTGCCCCTGAGGAGCTCATCATCTCCTCGGACATGTCCAGCTACAGAGGTGGTAGTCATGGCGTTCCTGTCCGCTTCCACTATTCTCGCAGTCTCCAGACTATCCCAAGGAAGGATCGTGCCAAGTTCTTGCAACATCACAGTGACTGTCCCACGATCGATTTGAGGATCAGAGAGGATAAGTCGTGTGATGGCAAGAGATAGGGAAAGGAATGGTGTCAACTGAGTGGAACGAGTCTCGGCAACATATGCGAGAAGACAAGAGATGATGTCGAGATCAGTCTTTGACCATTCAGGAAGGTTGTGCTGAAGAGGTTTGAAGTGCTGGCCCGTGGTTTCTTCTCGAGTCTGTCGAGCCAGGTCGAGGACGATTTTGGCCTTCTCCACGAACGTCCGTACAGGGGACTCGACACCATCAGCCCCAGGCTTCTGTGCTATTTGCACCCATTCCTGTAGTTGCGCTATCCTCGCTTGTTCCGGTTTAGAGCGCACAACATAGGTCCCAGTGGCCCACATATCAGACTGATCGGAGATGAACATGTCTGGCCTACTCATGAGGAGGACGTGGGCAGCATAGGCTGGAAGGGTATTGGGCTTGACCTCTGTAGTCGGAGTGCCGGTTGTCCCGCCGGCTTGAGGATTGAGAATGTACTCGGCCGCTTCGACAGCAGTGATACACTTTCTTTCCTCGGCCTCCTCTGAGGCCCACTTTTCATAAGCGGCCTCAGCGCCACCGACTCTTCCTTGTTTGAAGACACCACCGCGAAGCTTCTGACACATCTTTTCCGTCTCTCTCTGCACTCTCCGAAGCAACAAAGAAACTTTTCGTCTAGCCTCCATCATCTCTGGCGGCGGAGCGGCGGCAGCACTCGGGAGGCCAACGGTGGCTTCCGATGAGTCGCTCCAAGATTGAAGCTGTTCTGGAGACCAACATTCTTCCGCAAGAGACCTGGGCACCAACGAAGAAGGCATGACAAATTGAACGTCGTTTGATGAGATCGGCCAGACTTCGCCAGTGGATCGTAGGAGCAAGAGTCGAGGTTTGTCCATAACCAGGATTGCAGCGAGGATGAGACCGATAGAGACTTGGCCCGATCTACAGATTATCAGAGACTGTCCACTTTGCATGCAATACACTCACCTCCGACATTCAACAACCCTTCCAACATTCAATCCCGGGATCTCTTCTGCTATCCCTACTGATCCCCAGTCAAGCCCCGGCTCGGCGTCAACATCGCTCGCAAAGTACGAACGCCGTTCCATGCTCTGACCCTCTCCATGATCATAGGCTATTTTTCCTGCTTTATCCAGACGAGCATTTCTAGACTTTGACTCGGCAGAGATGGTTGCAAGCAGGTCGTTGATTCTGACGGGCGGTTTTTGCTGCTCTTGTGAAAGATTGGCGGAACGGGGGGTAGTGCTGAGAGCCCGTTTGACGAGCCTGGAAGAGGTAGAAGCTCTTCTCAAGCCTAGTGAGGCCATATTTTCTGTTGAGGATGTTGAGGCTGCTTTGCTTTCGAGTTGCTCTCACGAAGACCTCCACATCTGCAAATGGGCTTAAAATTAAAAACATTAACTTATAATCACAGGCTTTTGCACCCGCTATCCAGAATTCTGAGCCGGCAGCCCAGATTCCCGCGTCACTGTCGGTATTCGTTTCCTTTGTGTTCTCTCTTCATACATCGACATGGCTTCCTTCTTCCACATCGTCTTCGTCGGCGCCGTCCTCGCCGCTATCGGGGCCGCCAGCTGGTTCCTCTTCCCCAAGGGACAGAACCAAACGTACGCAGCCGCCTGTACGCTGCACTGATACTCACAACTGCACAGACTCCTCCGAACCAGCACCCTCCTCACGCTTACTGCTTGCTACCTCATGTAAGTGGCCTGAAAGACCGGTAGACTTGATGACTGACTCGGTTCAGGTGGGCGATCACTTACTTGGCTCAACTACACCCCCTCATAAGTAGGTCTCCAGCGATGCTTCTGGCCTACATAGCCGCACACGTACTGACGTATCTCAGACCCTCGGCGCTCTGATCTGAGACAGGAATATTAGGAGAACAAGAGACCCGGCAAATGCATTGTTGTACAGGATTTCTGTTCAAAGCGACTGCATCAAGATGCTACCCCAACTCCAAATGTGTTTCTCCACGACGTCCTGGATGATGCTCTGCCATGCTGGACCATGGGCGTCTCTGAGAAACTCAAATGCTTATCCCGGAGCTTTTCGGATGGATTGGTCGCGGTGACGCTGGCCTCTGGCTCGGTGATGCGTATGGTAGGTTGAGGGGGTTGAGCGGTAGGTGTCGAGATTTGAGGTTGAGCTGTTGTCATATGAGGCGCCTCGACCCTGGCTTTTGGTCTTTGAGAACCCAGCAGTGTGCAAAGCATGGGTGCTGGCCCCACGACGATGACTAATATATGACACAATGGCAGGAAAGGAAGCACTGACAAAGCTGTCAGTTCTAGCTAGCACATGCAGCACGACAGCACTCACAAAAGGTCAAAGGTCCCACATCAAATTCCAACCCCACCTCTGCCGCCTGCACATCATCCCACGCTCTCCAAGCTCTCCCCACATCTCTCACTTCCAACATTGCCCCACCTCCGACGCCAAGCGCAGCTAGCACCAGACAGAAGAACGCCGGATGCGGCCCACTGCCCCACTTGACTTTGATCATCTCTTTCTTCTCGTCCTCTGGGTCGTCATGGACGAGATTGCGGACAGACTCGGTGTCTCCGGGATAGTCGGGTCGATGCGGGGCAGCCTGGAGAGGCGGTCGACGGCCTCGATGAGCCAAGAGAGGAATGCGTGGTAGACGCCAGGTCACGAGGCCGCAGATGAAGACGACAGTTGCCAGTAAAGAGAGGATGCCGGAGACGAGGAGCAGGATTGGAGTACTGGGGGAAGTTGGGAGAGCAAAGAGTGCGTCGCCCAGTGAGAGGGGTAGTAACGCTGCGTCTACGAGGGAGTGAGCTTGATACGCCAACGTATGTTGTACCTACGGTAAGCTGCTTGAGAGGAAGAAGTGCAGTCTATCGAGTCATTGGGACTGACTTGAGAACAGATCTCTTCAATTTCACCAAATGTTAGCAACACCCCGATGCTCGTACCTAGCCACCCTCACGTAAAGCTCCGGCAAATATACTCGGTCCCTCCAAACCCAACCACTGCTGCAAAGTCATATTCGCATTCTGCACAAAGGCATTCTCAACTTCCGAATCTTCTCCAGCCGACTTGGCTACATCGGCTACGGCATTCTGGATCGCCGCTCTTGCTGATGCGCTGGCTCCCGGGCTGGTCTCGTTGACCGAAGGGAGGTAGGTGATTGTGGTGTCCCGCGAGCTGCCGGTTGGATGGATAGTGAAGAAGGTCGTCCCGTGGTGATTGATGGTGGGTAGCAGAAGAGGGATGAGGGTCAGAACCAGAATGAGGGCCAGGAGGGGGGGCAGGAGACATTTCGTCAAAAGCACGGCCAAGGGAGGATGTGGGGCTTGCTCCCGCTTGCATGATGGCAGACGGAGGGAGACGCGGGGGGATGATGGTCGGAATGTACGGGATAGTCTGGCTATCCTCATTCTTGTGGGACGTTGTCTGGCTGATCAAATCAGTGAGGGTGCTGAGCACAACCAAATTGGTGTCGACTAAAGTAGAAGGTCTTTCAAGTAAGAGTTGTCTTGCCAACTAACTTACATCTCTTCACTTGGAGAACGATGCCCTTTGTGCTTTCCTAGGCTAAAGAAAAGAGAAAAGAAATACGATGGATGGTGGTACCTTTAAGTCATCCTTTGAACAACTCTACCGGGTACCTCCTTTTGAGCCGCAGGGATAGAAAGGATGAGCTGATGGTCACTCCAAACTATGAGGTCACCGCCTTGGATAGATTATGATTCATATAAGCGCAAGATCTTCTACAGATTGTGACTCTACAGTTTTCGTCCGTCAGGCTCAATACCTGCTCGACATGACCTCCGGGACCTGATATGGGCGCGGCGCACCGTCTCTGATGAAGGGAGTATGATGATGTCCAAGATGATTACCCAGCAGCCATAATAATCCTAGTAGTAGGCTACTTGCGGCTCGGTGATGTTTGTGTGATACACCTGCGGCCGATAAGATAAAGCCAGATCCGCCGTTCCATTCTGAGCTTGAACAGTGCAGACTGTGAGCATACCCTGTAGTACCCATGCGTCAGTCTAAATTACCACTAGAATGGCATCTCTAACGTACCTGCAGGTCTTTCTTCACAATGTCCGGCGTATCTGTGCAGCTCTCGCAGGCTCCCACGTACTCTGATATAGAGTCTCTTCCGAGCTCAATGCCCTCTGCTTGTTTGCCATAGCAAAGACAAGAGACGAACTTGTTGGCGATGTTATAGTCGCCTTGATCGCCAGTGACTAGAGATGGTGTATCAGCATGGCTGCACTGTTGTGCGGGGGAAAATCCAGTAGATCCAGAGGGCGCACTCGAGTAGCAACTCTTGACTTCGGCTCACAGCCAGCCATTGCAGCCAGCCCAGGCCTTGCCATCATCACCCGCCGCGTTTAAAGCCCGCCCTCGCCCGAGACCGCCGGGCTCATTTAGAATTCGGAAGCGGCACTCACATCTATCATTATATTCCCACCTGCAATAATGCACCGTCCGCGACCATTCAGTACATGCGCTCTCGCACTCATCTGTACTGGCCAGGATGAAAAGCGGTCCGAAAAAGGGCGAGAGGCTGATGAAACACAGAGCCAGGAAGAAGGTGAGCGACGTGCTGGGCATTTTGTTTGGTTCTGTCCTTGAGTGGTGTCGCGCCGGGATAGAGCGGTAAAGTGATTTGGTCTCGATAGGAAGTTGACGGAAGAGGTGCATTATATGTCGCCCTTTATATAACTCTTCAGCCGTGGCCCTGCCCAGCAAAAAGAACCGCCGGGCATGCTCGTGGGAGATCTCTTATCAGCGATCGGTCAGGAAGATACAGTAAAAAGCTGTGGTAGGTACGACAGGCGTCGCAATTCGACCGGGAAGGAGATGCAGCCTCTGATCTCTCGCAGTTGTTCAGATGCTGTACCCTGCCATCTCTGGCGTAATTCCCGGCATGGTGGACGGTATGCAGCATGAATTCCGTGAGAAGAAGACCTCGAATCGCGCCCCTGAACATACGCGCCCAGTTGCCAAGATCTGTCAAGGAAAGCTCGGGATCCTTAAGATCACCTTGGATCTTGGACGTCTTGGAAGCATTCCAGAACTGTCCTTATTCTTCTTCTTTGTCTACATGAAGAGCGGAATGTATAGAGCCATATGCATCCGACAACCAACATCTGCCTTGTAGCCGCTTATCATTATGATGCACGTAATCCATCACCATCGAGACTTCTCGTATTATATTGTAGTTGGCGTATCAAGTCTTCTAGACCTCCCCTTAGACTGCCAGTCCTCCAAGTACCATAAGGGATAGCCCAGCAGCTAACCCGAGCATTTTCATACTGACTCCCGCTCTCACACACTCGCCCCCTTCCACAGCGCTGTTGGATGTATCTTCTGATGTCTCATATCCCTGTGGTCGAAAGTTGATGGCTTCACTTGCGGTACCATTTTGAGACTGTACAACACAAAGCTCGAGAAAATCCTACAGTCACACTCCCAATCAGGATCGTGGACGCACAATGACACTACTCTACCATACACACCTCAAGGTTCGTGGCAATGAGCTTGGGGGTTGTGTCGCAGCTTTGGCATATACCAGCTGATTGGGTCATTGTGTCGTTCCCAAATCCACCATCGGCATTATCGCCTCGACAAAGGCAGCCGACAAAGTCGTTCATATAGGTTAAGTTCATTTGCTGGCCTGTAAGATAGCGACGTGAGCTCGATAGTTTGTCGAATGAGAATTTTTGCGTTTTGACTGACTGAAGTTTCCGTACTGTCCTCTGCAGTAACCCAGAGCCACACTCCAATCAGAACATCCGGACAAGCACTCTTCACTCTCCTCGTTTGCCAGCACTCTGCTGCCGAGCCCAAGGAACAATAATATTGGAAAGATGAGGGTAGCTCTTGACAGCATCGTTGATGAGGGCCTGATGGACTGCTGGTTGTGGGTTAATCAAGTACGTTTTCCGGACTTTGCTCTCATATACCACCCATGCCAGCCAGATGATCCCCACTCAAAGGATATGTTTGCTTCTTCTCGAGAGCTCTTTTGTTCTTGTGCAACTTTGATCGGCAATTTCAGACTCAGACACCTGCCTTTCATACTCACGAGGTGACCATGTCAAAGGCGACCTCGAGATTATCAGGGTCGGGGAACACAAGCACACACTATGCGAGTAGAGTACATGCAGTATTCTTGCAGAGTATGGAGGTAGATCAGAAAGTGAAGATATGAGCTCCTTGGTCCTAGATGGATGTCAGCGATGCCCCGCTATTGATGGACACACTTACCACTCCAACGACCAGCGACCTCCCATCGAACAGTGCCGACACTGTTGGCCTCGCCACATCAAACAATACCTTCGTCCTCGTTTCCGTGAACGGCAAGTGTGACTGCACAATCTCTTCCTCAAAGATTCGCTTCGTCCACAATCTCTGGTCTTCCATCTTTGAAGTCTTATATATTGCCGGCTCACTGTCCATGCCTGCTAGGGGTAGAGGGACAGGCTGGGGACACTTGATAATGCGCGGTCGATTAAAGAGCTTATGTGGTTCCTCAGATGCGAGAGGTGCAGTGGAGGGGCCAGCTGTGGCAGCTGTATCAAGTGGTGGTGGGGGAGGAAGACCACCCAAGGATTGTCGTGGTTTCAAGGGGTTCTCGCGGTATGTTCGCCGAGAGTAGTCGTGCATGACAAGCCAATTGCGAATCATCATTTGCCCATCCTTCTTCCTAATCACCGGTTTGGCGTTCGGAATACGCTCAATTGTGATGGTCCTGGTTCCCGAGACAGATACTTCGGGCCGGCCATTGAAACGCATACTGACGGCCGATTGCCAGTCCTTGAATGGTACGCGATAGGGTCGATCCCACTTGTAACCCGTCTTCTTCGCCTTTTTCGAAAAAGTTGCCGCCCCGGGCCTTTTCTGGTTGGCTTTTTGTTTTGGCTTTGGCAGGTATCGGGAGTAGATATCCTCGTCCGTCTCCCAGCCATCCTCCGTCGCCGACTTTGAAAATAGAACGAAAGCTTCTGCGAGTTGATCTCGCCAGTGCTTCTTGTTGAGCTTGGTGCCTAGCATCAAGAGTTTCAGGTCGACGCCTTGAGCTTTAGCCATATGCCACTGCATAGCCTCAACAGATTTGTCAATCAACATTTTGATGTCGACCATCCCCTTGCAGCACGTCGGCATACTGCGCCCAAGACCATCGGCTGTACTGCCCGCCAGGACAAAAGGCATTAACCCCTGTCTCTCGCCACTCAGTAGCTCACTGTCCACCGCAAAGTCTTCGATAGCTAAGCGGACTGCTTGGAAGTCTGTATCGATGACACAATAGTCCAAGATGACGTCCAGAGGAGACTCGCTGACGCCAAAAGGAGGAACAGTATTTAGTGCCGGGAGCTGCAGGGAAGCAAGAGGCATGCAATACGGAATGTCTTCTTCGTACCAAGTACAAGGGCCGACGATCTCTTGCCCTGGGCCGACATGCTTATCGCTTCGACGCTTGGTAGGTTTCGACCCGCGGTCCGCAGGAAGATGACTCAGAGTGTCGAGAGCGTATACCATCTCCTTAGGCGGCTTGGCGGGTATGGGTTCATTGAGTATATCTTCTTCCGAGTCGTAATCGATATCGTCATACACGCTCGTAGGATTCTTGGGGGCAGGGACGAAAGGCCTGCCCAGAATTTCTTCTGGGGTACGCCAATGAACGCCTTCGATCGAAAAGGTTTTTGTTTTGGGCGCAGAGCTCGCGGTAGAACCAGAGTCTTCCTCTGAATCATAGTCGATATCGTCGTACATGGAAGCCCTCGACTTGGTTTGAGGAGCCTTGGCAGACTTCTTCTCCGGGCGGAGGGGAGCTTTAGGTTTTGGTGGAGGGGGTGGAGCCTTAGCTGGGGGTGGAGGCGGGGGTGGCTGACGATTGAACAGATCCATGAAGTCGTCGTCTGCCGGTTTTGGGAGCTCCTTCATCGATGCACTGACGATGAAGGGGCCAAGGAATCGGAAATCGTCGCAGACGGGGGTATGGGCGGTAGGTGAGAGTTTCTATCAAAATATCAGCATTGGCAGTGATGGCTACTTGACTACATGACTTACTCCAATGGAGACACCACTTTTCCAATCCCAAAGACCGACAAAATTGGACCTGAAATGGTCCGCAGATGTGAGGAGAAGGCCCACTTTCCCGCCTGCTCCCATATGGACCTCTATGCGGTGCAGATGGAGTCTCGCAGGCACAAGTACTTCAATGTAGGGTAGCTTGGCGTCGGGATGAGGGATTGGGGTAGGAAAGACACCGTCTGGTTGCTGAGGAGTACCAACGGGGGGGACTAGAGTGTAAAAGTAGACACGGTGAACGACCTTGAGCATGGATCCAACCTCGATGGATTCGCAAGGCGGATGATCCCTGTATTCAATCAGCTATGATCCCCGCCACAATGACAACTTACACTGAATAGGCTACAGCAATCACATTGTCTTCAACACAAATGTCTGCAGCATCAACAATTCCTCGAAAGTTGAATTTCCATCTCCACATCCCCTGCAGCTTTCTCGCGCCCCGGGACTCGCCATCGAAGGACGTAGTGTCCCTCATGCGCCAGATGGACCAGCCGTCCCAGTAATTCTCCTGATCCGGATCGCTGGGGTCGATGGCCATCTGATTGACGCACTCGCTAACGAGCATATGATTGTCCTTGACCCCAATGACATCGCCTTTGGGGATATGTAGGCATCTGATCTCGGAAGGTCGGAGGCATTTCAAGCGTCTTTCGCGCTCAAGGAGAGTAGCGACCTCATCAGCCGAGTTCGAAGGCCTGCCTGGTGTTGAGAGGGAGACGTTAGAGGCGAGGGAGTGATATGCCCTTCGGTAGCGGAGTTGCAGGTGGGAGCTGCTGATGAATATGTCGTTGGCGTATTTGTTGACGCGAAGCAAAGCGGGGATGTCGTGTAGGGTAAGATGGTCGAAGATGGCGACGAGTATTTCGGACTGCCCGCTCGGCTGGAAAAGGGCCCGGAGCGGGTTCGGGCGGTGGCTGGTGGGAGGCGGCATGTCCCTCTGCACGCCCAGACTGAGCCGAAGAGCGATACGGGGAGAGAGTACAGAGTTGCAGGAAAAGAAGTTGTGACAGCTGAGTGTCTGTGTCACTTGCGGCTGTCCCCGCTTCAGATTTATGCGTTTCGTTGTTGTGAAGGTGTTAATGCTGCTCGCTTTCTCAATTATACCTTCGAATCCCCCAGATACCCCCATGCCGCCCCAACCACTACCATATGAACTATGGTCCCACATCCTCTCCTTCTGCGTAGAGCAGCCCGACATTGACGGATACATCGACACCCACACCCTGGCCAACGCTTTACGTGTCAGCTCGGTGCGTCTCACGAGATGCAAATGGCCAATGCTGACTCCTGCCAGACCTTGTTCTTGGCCGCTGCCCCCCATCTCTACTTGAGGCCTGCTGTCGCCAAAGATCCTTACAGCTTTGTACTCGGCGCCAATCACGATACTGCTGTCTACCCTTCCTCCTTCTGGTCAACCGAGCAAATCGACTACGAGTATCTGCGCTGGGGCCACAAGAAGGCGCCCCTTCTCCGTCATCTTCGCCAAGTCACATTCTTCAGTGTCTACAGCAGTGGCTTCACCGACACCGCGGCGCCTGATCCTTACGCACACATCATTGCTTCCATAGGCGAAGCCAACGCCATCCTCGCAGACATATTGCATAAATGCAGTGACAGGATTGCGCCCAAATTTGAAACTCTCTGCTTGCGTGACCCGTACGAGCTTCCTCCTTACCATATACCCATCCCTGCGTACCAGCACTTCGTCCAACTGTTCACCCGCGCCTTCAGACCCACACTTCTTTGTATGGACACTGTAGACCCTACGTTCTCTCCCAATCTGAACAATTGCGAAGGATACACTCTCCCCGAGCTGGTCGTCATTCATTGCGACTTGGACTGGAAGCTGAATGGAGTTTGGGGAACAAGAAATCGGGTCTGCCTTGTGGACTCGAAAGCGCGGGCAGGGCTGGAGCAGCTTGTGGAGAGTACTGGCAACCTGGATCTGGGCGGTGAGGATTCTGAGGGTGGACACGAGGGAGACGTGGCGACCACGATGGGCCCAGTGAGCTGGGAGGATATCGGAACCGAGCAGGGCCAGGACTTCCAAACTGCTTCTCTTGAAGTTTCGCACCACTCGCACACCTCTCATTACGCTCCCCCCGCCGCCCCGCCCGTCGCTGCAGACGAGCTCTACCTCGTCGCGTTTGACCCGGAAGACTTTGACGAAGACGATGGCGGCTACCCAGAAGACGACTACACCTGGTCTGACGACGAGGGGGCCTATGATGACGGTCTTGACTATCTTCATGAAGAGGCAAACACGGCGCTTCGAGAAAGCCGTCATGCCGAAGGGCGATATACAGAAGACGATGTCGTATACATGCTCAAAGACTTTTTGAAACGCGCTTCTCAAGGGTGCAATCGCAATGACAAGAAGAAACGCAATGCCAGCGCGGCAAAGACGAGCTTTGAGATCTTTGGCCTGCGAACCTTTATGACTACCAAATGGCTTGAGATTGGGGACCATGAGTGGGCGCCCGAGGACACTGAGGAAGTCATCTGGGAAAGGGGGTTGAAGAGGATCAGGGATAGCGTGTTGGACTATTTGGAGACGGAGCTCAGGATCCATCGAAGGGAAGAGTTGCTGGTGCTCAGGATGGAAGAGGTGCCTGTTTGCGAGGCGTGTGGGAGGGGTCCGAGAGTTAAATCCCGCATGGACGATGATGATTGTTAATTCATATCCGCATAGCATAACGGTACGCATCGCTCAATGGTAGCCTAAAATCATAATGAATACAGTCATATGCAGCCAAACTTGGCTCTACATCTCACACCTGTCCGGCCCAGCAGATTACTGAACGAGACATTGCTCGCGACGAGGGTTTTGTTGAGCTTTTGGGACCCTCTGACTCATTTTAGCCTCATGTATCTCTTCTCGCCAGGTGATTACCGCCTCTACCGGCCACTGGTCAGATTGATATATCATCTTGTCTCTGAGCTACCATGGCATGAGCTTTGTCAAACGACGATGTTGAGGACTCACCTTCAGCTTATGGACTATATATGCCAGTATCGTATTCATATCCAATATACGTTTCTCGATGGTATCGAGATACCGCTGCTCCATGTTCCGCCGCAGAGTCATGGTGTTGCTGATCTTGACAGGCAAAGAGGTCTTTTTGCACTCGCTAATGGTCTGTCAGGACATTTCTCAAGAGCAAGATGTAGCCTACTTGGAAAGGTCTGTTATGAGTTTCAGAACAGGAGGAGAAATGGGAGTGCCATCCATGTTGGGAGTCATTTTGACCGTTCGCTGATACATGTTCCTCACCACCATCAAAGTTCTTTCGGCCTGCCTCCTTCTGTCAGCCAGGTCGATCACCACAGATCCTACATACCAGTCCTATGATGGCCCTTGACCCCACAAGAGCATGTCTTCCGCTCTCTCCCAGCTCAAACACGTCCCTCCTCAACTTTCTCACCCCGTCTACCCTCGCCTTATACTCATTGCTGGTTTTATCGGGGGCCTTGTGCATCTGCTCGATGATGTTTGTGAGGTATACATCATGCCGTTCGAGCTCCCATTTGAACGCATGCCAGCCTTCGGCTGTTTGAGAGGTAAATTTGGTTTCGGGAGGGATGGGTGGGAGAGGTTTGTGGCGGGTTTGTTTGAAAGGGGCTTGGCCGCTTTGTGGGGGTATGTCTGTTGAAGCAGGGTGTACACGTTGATCCTTCGTGAGTTTTGGTTGTTTCTTGGCACGTTTGGGTCGACGAGTGCGGGGCAAGATGCCAGGCATCTGGGCTGTGAGGTATTATCTATGAGTAGGAAATGCGGTTGGTGGCCAAAGAGGAGTCAAGAATTGAGTGCTTGTAGTCATCTTTGAGCAGGAAAAGAGACTTTCGGGGGCGTTGAGGGGCAAGCCAGAACAACGAAGCGAACGCGCCATGCGTCAAGTGTGTGTTGGCGTGTGGCTGCGCCACGTTGTATCGAACTCTGATGGTATGGGCTTTGGGTGTTCTCGGCATGCTTGCGTTTGAGAATGTTACACTGTCAGATCTCGTGATCTGCTGTGGATTGCCGTACATGGCAGATGAACAACAGATGACTTGACTGGAGGCAGCGGAAGCAAAGTGGCCCGGCGTATCCAACTTCAACCTGTGCGCGTCGAGCCCACATCTCCTACCTCCCCCATACTCAGCTAAGGAGGATGTCAATCGCCCACTCATCCTCGTCAAAACGGCGCTCCCCTCCCGTCCTGCGCTCCCACTCCCCATCGCCGGCCCCACCCCCGAGCCTCCAGGCCTCAGCCTCCTCCTACGGACACCCTCGCGCCGGCGTAGCTCCAGTATCGCGAGGAGTCTACGGTGGGATTCCTGCAGGAGATGCCGACTTGGTCTCGGGAGATGAAGCCCAAGGTCCAGCAGGGGCAAGCTCGGCGCAGCCGAATGGAGGGTACGCGTACTCTACCACGCTGAGGCGACAGAGGTCTATTGACGTGTTCCCTCCTTTTCACCCCTCATCGGGTAGAAGGAGAGACTCTAGCCCTCATGCCGCTTCGCCCTACGGGAGGTCGCGATTTCCTTTGTCTGGTGGCAGCGAGTATGGCGACCAAGATGAGGGATTCTATGAAAGGATCGCAAAGATGGGACGGAGGATAATAGGAAAGAAAGACTATGAAGAGATACGGCAGGACAATGAAGAGAAGAGGCTATCAGCGGAAAGGAGACAGAGAGAGACGCCCAGTGCTATATATGCGCACAAGTCTATAGAGGTGAGCACATCAATCTTCTGCAGTATGGCAAGGCTGATGGGCCTCGAAAGGAAACATTAGAGATATTCGGGACACACCCGACAGATGGTCTTCCCAACTCTTCTATCGCACCTCTTCTTGCTCGTTATGGACCGAACGAGTTTGAACTTCCCCCCTCTGACCCTCTTTGGCTCAAATTCGCCAAACAGGTCTACGAGAACCCTCTCATCTTGTTGCTTCTTGGAAGTAGTCTAGTCAGTGTTCTGATGGGCCAGCTGGACGATGCTATATGCGTTGTCATTGCAGTCACTATCGTTTTGACAGGTAAGACTGACTCAGATCTCCCCAGAGCGAGGCTGATACCCTGATAGTCGGCTTTGTACAAGAACAGCGCTCCGAGAAATCCCTTGAAGCCCTCAACAGACTCGTCCCGCATTTCTGCCACCTTATCAGGAACTCCACTCCCTCTACACCTCTAGCGAATGGGCTTCTTCCGGGAGATCTCGTCACATTCTCAGTGGGAGACCGAATCCCTGCCGATATTCGTCTGATCACTGCCAATCACCTGGAAATCGATGAAAGTGCTTTAACCGGCGAGACACGACCAGCGAGAAAAACTGTAGAGGCTTGCGATAGAGGAGAAGGCGAGGATACGCATGGTGAAGGGGGTGGAAAGGCTCTGGGCGAGAGACATTGTATGGCGTTCATGGGAACTCTGGTCAGAAATGGTTCGTTGTTCTCTCTTCAGCTCTCGAGGAGACACTGATCTCCCTTCAGGTAATGGGTCTGGTATTGTCGTTGGGACTGGGACCGCCTCCGAGTTCGGAGTCATCTTCTCAATGATGCAGGATGTCGAGGAGAAGCGGACGCCCTTGCAGCTCGACATGGACGATCTCGCAAAGCAGCTTTCCATATTCTCCTTCATCGTCATTGGATTCATCATCTTGATTGGTGTCATCCAAAAGCGAGGCTGGTTGGAAATGTTTACCATCGGAGGTAGGTCTGCTCGGCCATAGTCTGATCAGCACTGACCCGCGTAGTATCGCTGGCTGTGGCTGCCATCCCCGAGGGTCTGCCCATCGTGACCACCGTTACTTTGGCTCTGGGCGTTCTGCGAATGTCCAAGCGTAAAGCTATCGTCAAGAAGCTCCCCAGTGTGGAGGCTTTGGGCAGCGTCAGCGTGATCTGCTCTGACAAAACTGGTAGGGCGTGATGAAACCTCATAAGCATCTGCTAACCCTAGTCTAGGTACCCTAACCAAGAATGAAATGACCGTCACACACATATACACTCTCGATGATTTGGTCGACCTTACTCCCCATCTCCATGCCGCGTCCTCACCCTTTGGTCCTCGCGACCCGAGCACTTCTGATCTCTGGACGTCTCCTGCCTTGCTCAAGACAGCCCTCATTGGCAATCTGTGTAACGATGCTTTCAAGGATGACAAGGGAGTCAATGTGGGCCAGGCTACCGAAGTGGCGTTGCTCAACGTCTTGCCTGTCTTGGACACTGATGATCAACGAAAGGTGAGACAACCATTCACTGTGTTGTGTGATTCACCAGCTGATGAGGTTGTAGAGCTTTGTCCGGAAATCCGAAATCCCCTTCAGTTCCGAGACGAAAACAATGTCCATCACTGGCTCTCTCAACTCTGCCTCTGATCTGGTCTATCTCAAAGGAGCTGTCGAGCAAGTCCTTCACCGATGTCGGTACTACTACGTCACAGACTCCTCGACTCCTTCTCTTGATGCTGCCACTCAAAAGGTCATTATCGAACGTGCTACAGAAGTATCCAGACGTGGTTTGAGAGTCATCGCTATGGCTTACGGCTTTCCCGGAAAAGGCGCGGAGACAGAGAACAATCTGGTCTTTGTTGGATTCCAAGCGATGATGGACCCGCCTCGTAGAGGTGTCGCCCACGCTGTCACTGCTTTGCACGGTGCAGGTGTACAGATTGTCATGATCACGGGAGACGCCGAGCCCACTGCCGTGGCCATTGCCAAGCAACTCGGACTGAAGGTGACGTCTACAACCAGCGGCACGCTGGACGACACTGCTCCCCCTCTTTCAGCCGGTACAAGCTGTATCCTAGGATCGCAAATCGACCAGATGTCCGAGCGTGAATTGATGGAACGTGTCCCCGGAATCACTGTCTACGCCCGAACCACCCCTCGACACAAGATGGCCATTGTCAAGGCTTGGCAGATGCGAGGCGCTGTCGTGGCCATGACTGGCGATGGTGTCAATGACTCGCCTGCTCTCAAAATGGCCGATATTGGTATTTCTATGGGCAAGTCTGGTACAGATGTCGCCAAAGAGGCTGCGGATGTGATCCTTGTCGATGATGACTTTGCGTCCATCCTCCCCGCGGTCGAAGAAGGCAAATCCATCTTTTACAACATCCAAAACTTCCTGTCCTTCCAGCTGTCAACCGCTGTCGCCGCTCTTTCCCTCATCACCCTCTCCACCATCTTCAAACTTGCCAACCCGCTCAACGCCATGCAGATCTTGTTCATCAACATTCTCATGGACGGCCCTCCTGCTCAGGCACTCGGTGTCGACCCGGTGGACAAGGCGATCATGAGGCGGCCGCCGAGGCAGAAAGGCGACCATGTCTTGAATAGGTCCTTGATGTACAGGGTGGCATTTTCGGCGGCGATGATTGTTCTGGGGACCATGTGGATCTACACTGTAGAGACCAGCGATGGGAGCATGTCAAAACGAGACCAGACTATGGTGAGATATCTCTGTTATCGAAAAGACTCGTAGTTGACCCTCTCAGACCTTTACTGTTTTCGTATTCCTTGATCTGGTTTCGGCCCTTCAAAATCGTGGTCTCACAACACCCATGTTCCGAAACCGCATGCTCTTCTTGACGGTGTCTGTATCTTTCATCTGTCAACTGGCATTGATCTACATCCCTCTTCTCCAACATGTCTTCCAGACGGAGGCCTTGGGGGCAAGAGACATGTTTACCCTTCTAGGGTTAGCAGGTACAAGTATGGGCCTGCACGAAGGCAGGCGCTGGTGGGAGCGGAAGCAGTCAGAGAAGGAAATCTCGGAGAGGGGTGTGGGGTCGATTGCGTAGGCAGAGTGTGTTGTGCTGTGTAGTCTCACTTTACGACGCTTGCAACGATGAATTAGTTAGAACCATGACAGCCTTCTGGAACAGGATTCGAGTATGCTACCTGCTGCATGTGCCACTCAAGTAAATCGGATGAGCATGTACGTCCACATGAAGAGCAAAAGCACCATCAAGATGATGCCAAACGTCATACACGTCGTTCCCCTACTCTTCTTTGATACAGTCGCCAGTCCCTTTTTGTTGGTACGGGTAGACGCCAGATTTTCTGAAGGGATTCAGTCTTGAATCTACCGCAGCAGGAGGTGCACTCACTCTCAAGTGCGTCTTGTGAGTCATCTATGAGATGCTTTTCATTCTCTAGAGAATTGGAGAAGTGGACAGCATTAAGTTTTAGGCGATGGGACATCTGTAATTTGGGTATCAGCTAGAGTCGTCTTGAGAAAGTAATGAACATACATCGGCAAGCTGGCCCCCAAGCTCTTCATGCAACTGAGCGGCTCCGAGACCACTTTCTGGCGCGATACCTCTCAGCAAATTATCTCTATCACCGGCCACACTGTTCCCATGTGGCTCCCGAGTCTCCTCCAGTTTGAGAGGCAAAAGACTGGCATGGTCGCCAGTAGTATGTTCTCGGTTTATCTTGGCAAGATAGTCATCCGTTTGAGCCCGTCGTCGTCTCGCGCTTCTGACTGTGGTAGGCTGTGCTCTTGGCAATGGAGCTAGTCGAGACTCCTCATAAAACTCGTTGGAGGGAAGTGCGAATTTGTCGACCGGAGATGAATTTGTCTGATTGGAGGAAGAGGAAGACATGGGTAAGGCGATCAGAGCTGGATTGGAAGACGGTGTAGGAGATGGCGATATCAGTCGCCTGCGAAAGACTGTCTCGACTGTGCGTAAAGAGCGATCAAGGTCGGTGAATGCAGCTGTGGAGCTGGAAGATCTGCACAGACTCGTCAGCCTAAGACCGTATCACAGACATGTAAGGTATGCGTACTGTTCATTGACATATTGAAGCCGATCCAGCAATGCTCGAGCATAGAGCACCGTCTGCAAACTAATGAGCCGGGGTGCACGAGAGAACCAGGCCACACTCACCTCCCATTCTTTCTTGAGCGCCACTGAAGACTCGTCGTAATCACTGTCCGCTGCTTTTACCTCGAGTGACTTGACGAGGCGGATGAGATTGGTTCGAGCATGCTGGCTTGACGCAGCAGCCAGGACTGCTTTCTGGACGGCTGGAGTTGGGGCGCTAGGGTAAGAGGTTGACAGTAGAGCCGCTGTCATCGTTGGAAAGTGGGGCAGGTGTTCAAGAGGCCTGTGTCGGGAGCTGAGACTCGGGTTGCCGCTTGGTGGGGGATCCGGACACCCGCCACGCTCGGGATTAATTGTCCATTCGCTCTTTACGCGTCCTCACTCAGCTTCATCTTGAGCTCGCGGTATTCCAATTTCACACTTCGCCCCCACCAGTCTTCCCAAACCCCTCGATACTTCAAACCAGGCATCTGACGATTGCGAAGGGTGCCGCTTCGCGCTTGTTTCGTCTTCAAACGTCCAACAGACGTCGCCCGCCGACATCCGGCCAAAGTGGAGGTCGTCCGTCATGGAGGTCGGCACTTCAGCATCTTCGGCTCAAGAATCGAACCTGCAACCCTCATCGAATGGTGCTGTAGCCCCAGAAGTGGCTTCCGCCACACGCTCGCTACGCGCCAGACCGTCGTCAATCGACGTCCCGACTCCTGGGTCATCCACTGCGCCTGGAGCTGGGCGAGGCTTGTCCAAGAAGAACCTCGATGTCATTAATCGAAGCCTGGACTCGACATCTGTTGAGGCTCGTCGTGAGCAACGCATTCAGGAGAAGGAGGCAGAATTGAAAGATGTCGTCGAGGAGCATGACTCGGCCATCCGGGAGAAATTCCACCTGGAAAGATTCGTGACTTTGCTTGAAGGTTGGAATCCGGAGGTGAGTGCCAAGTGACATGGGTGTTATTCAAGCTGACAATGCTCTTCAGCAAGCAAAGCTAGATAACTCTCAGGTGTTTCTAGAGGCAAGTATCTACAGGTGTTTGATAGAGCAACACGCTGACTGCTTTGTAGTGGAAAGAATCAAAACACAATCTCCTGAGCCTCCTTCCTTCCCAACCCGCTATAAACGGAGCTCCCCGAGCTGGGCCATCGTGTCCGCGTACTTCCCTTCCGGCTCGAACAACGCGTCGGAAGGCGCATGAACAGTCTGAAATACTGGCCAACGTCGTAACACCCGCACCTGTCGCTGTAACGCCGTCAGCCAAAGGCAAGGAGAAAGCGGTGGAACCCAAGACTGGTGAATCGTCTCCGGTCAAAGCGGGAAGGACAGGGAGGGGCAAAGCAGTCAACCCCAATGGTGATATGCCACCCCCGCCTCTCCCGAAAGGACGAAGAGCCGGCAGGCGCGTAACCATGGGTGCTAGCGTCGAACCCGAGCCCGAGGAAGACGTAGAGGTCGAAGAACCGGTGTCTAATAAAGGGAAACGAAGGGGACGAATGTCGCTTCCAGATCTTCCTGCGGCGAAGAAATTGAAAAGTGGGAGGAATGGAATACCGGCCAACGAAAGTGCTTCGCCTGCTGTCGAAACCCCGACATCAGAAAGACCTTCACCCTCTCCATTCACACCGGCACTCCCCTCGCTTGCACATCTACCCTTTCCGCCTCCCCCTCAACGCCCGCGTAAACGTCTAGTCGGACCACGCAAGGTTCAGTATACCGAGCCAAGCCAAATCCCACCACCCCCTCAACATGATGGCGATATCTCCCAGATCCTCAATTCTTACATCCATATCAACGATACTGGTGCTCAACCTGATCTCAAATCTCTAGAGTCTCGAGCCAAGAAGGATGGCTATTTGCTTGCCCGCGTCACCTACTTGCAACGTCATGGGCGCCTGCAGCGGCTTCTAGACGAAGGAGTAGTTTCCGGCCCGTCCGCATCTCACGCCAAAATCATTCGTGCTCCAGCCCGCCAGACAGATCATCACGATACACTCTTGGCGCACATGGTGCAAGTCCGGAACGCCATCCTGAACGAAGCGAAGGCAAAACCGGTGGTCTGCAAAAAGATCGCAAAAATGGTCCAAACGTACTGGGAAAGGATTGAAGGAAGAGAAGAGCGAGAGAGGCTGGCAGAGGAAAAGGAGCGCAAACGGTTAATGAAGGAGACGATGAAGGGTTTGAGAAAACGGTGGGCGCTTGCTGTCAAGGTGCGTAGTGTCTTTGTGCACCAGTCATTTGCTGACATTGTGTCAGATTATCCGCGCCAAATTTCTTGAAGAGCAGAAGCAGGAGCAAGATCGTTTGGGCAAGGTTCACCTGCAGAATATACTACAACGAAGTACTGGGTTGCTCGAGTCTCAAGTCCGAGGGCCGGAAAACGAAGTGTCCGATGAATCAGAAGAGGAATCAGACGCTACGGATGACGTATCTGCGGCCGAGGACAGTGAAGAGGATGAGGACGGAGAACGCTCAGACCCCGAATCATCAATGCCCCCCACATCTATTCCTCCTGAATCCGAAATGGCCGACCAGTCTGGAGATGATGGAGAAGATCAAGAAGAGGAAGACGACATGGATACGGAAGTCGCTTCCGAAGGGCACTTGCATCTCCTTGTGTCTGAGGACGCAATGACCGCCGATGATGCTGTCGACGCTCTGGTAGACCACAGCGAAGAAATGACAGTGCCATCTTCGCTGGGCGCCGGCCAAGACCGAACAGAGTCGATTGCGTTCCAGTCGCCCAACGGCGGCCCCACCACCGCGGACGATGCCCCCGCAGTGAATGGTCGTTCGTCCTCCGCGTCCCCATCTGTCACTCGCCGCCCTTCGCGTCGTGTCAGGAAGAGTGTTCTGCCCCTTCCGTCGGACCCTGATCCTGACGCTAATGATGTCGAATTCAACGTGTCTACAAGCGACATTGACGATCAAGATGCTGAGCTTGATGTGGAGATGGAAGACGGCGACGATGTTGATCGGAATCAAGGACCAGATAGCGAAGACGAAGGGTTGTTGGCGGACGCAGATATCCCCATTGAGGAGCTGTTGAAGAGGTATGGGTACCCCGCGCCTGCTGCGGCACAGGCCGAACAGGAAACAGCTTCTGAGCCGAGCAAGGATGATGTGGAGAACACAACTGGCGAGCCGAAAGCTGAAACCCAGGTATCCCAAGAAGCGCCGAATGGGACCGAGCCTTCTGAGTCAACCAGCCTAGGTGAAACACACGACGGCACCGCTAGCACTCCCACTCAAGTCGAACAAGCGGACAGAGACCAGTCCCTGACCGACGCTACGCTTCCTGCCTCGCTCGACCAAACGACGTTCGAAAGTAAGCGACAGCGTCGCAAACGGGAACTCTGGTCCCCAGATGACGTGGGCCCTCAGCGGCTGTTGAGTGGAAAGAGGAAGAAGGTTGAATTCATCACCGAAGATGGGACGATCTCGACGGAAAGACTTGCAGAAGATGTTCCGGAAGCTGTTGCCGGTGAAGGTTCGGAGGAAGAAAGCGAAGAAGAAAGTGAGGAAGAAAGTGAGGAAGAAAGTGAGGAAGAAAGTGAAGAAGACAGTGAGGAAGATGAGGAAGAGGAAGAGCCAAAGGAGCCCGAAATCAATGAGCACGGCGCTGCTCGGATCACGCCTCCTTTCCTGCTCAGAGGCACCCTTCGCCCGTATCAGCAGGCGGGCCTCGAGTGGCTGGCGAGCTTGTGGGAGAACGGCATGAACGGTATCCTTGCAGATGAGATGGGTTTGGGGTAAGTGTCACAGCCATTTCCATCGACGTTTCGTTGTTAACATTTTGCCAGTAAAACCATCCAGACGATTGCCCTGCTGGGTCACCTTGCCTGCTCCAAAGGTGTTTGGGGCCAGCATCTCATCATCGTACCTACATCCGTCATCCTCAATTGGGAGATGGAGTTCAAGAAGTTCCTGCCCGGTCTCAAGGTTCTGACTTACTACGGAAATCAGAAGGAACGTAAAGAGAAACGTGTCGGCTGGAATACAGAAAATGCCTGGCAGGTCTGCATCACCTCGTATCAGATCGTTCTCGCAGACCAGCATATCTTCCGCAGAAAAAGCTGGTGTTACATGATCCTCGATGAAGCCCATAACATCAAGAATTTCAGAAGTCAGAGATGGCAAACACTGTTGGGCTTCAAGGCCAAAAAGAGGCTTCTTTTGACGGGTACACCACTCCAAAACAACCTCATGGAGCTCTGGAGTCTGCTCTACTTTTTGATGCCCGGAGGTATCGGTGAAGATGCTACCTCTGTGGTTGGATTTGCCAACCACAAAGACTTTATGGAATGGTTCTCAAGTAAGCTTCAGTATGTCTAGTGCGCTCTAAGCTGACACAATGTAGACCCTATGGACAAGGCCATTGAGACTGGAGAAGCCATGGATGAAGAGACTCTCAAGACCGTCGCCAAACTACACACTCTCCTCAGACCCTTCATTCTCCGTCGACTAAAGTCTGAAGTCGAGACTCAGCTTCCTGGCAAGTTTGAGCATGTCGTCTATTGCCGCTTGTCCAAACGCCAACGGTTCCTCTATGACGAGTTTATGGCTCGAGCTTCTACCCGCGAGGCTCTCACCAGTGGAGGATACCTGGGTGTCATGAACACACTCATGCAATTGAGAAAGGTCTGCAACCATCCCGACCTCTTTGAGGTACGACCGGTGAGGACCAGTTTTGCCATGGAGAGCGTCGTCAAAGGCTATGAGCCAAGCGATATCCTTCTGAGGAAGAGGCTCTTAAAGGAAGAGGATGACCGCAGGGTGGATGTGCTCGCTCTTGGTTTCAATGTTACCCATCGTGAGGACACGTCGCCTTGGGTAGCACAGACCCGCCAAAAGCTGGACGCTTCCGATCTTTTGCCTTATGCTATCACTCCTGTCAAACATGGCAAGCCTTCCATACCTCCGGTTAAGGACACACGGACTGTGGAAGGCTGGCTTAAGTATCAAGCTTGGATCAAGGGAGAGGCAAGCCAGAAACGATGGGAGAGCATCAGACATATCAACCGTCAAAGGTGTGCCGAGAAGCCACTGTATGGCAACACATTCCTCCAAATGCTCGGCAACCTGCCCAATTTCTTGATTCCTTCCGAGTACCGCATTCGACGGGAAGACACTTTTGCAGATCTGACCCCTCCTGCTGCCAATCTCATCACATCCCTCCCTCAACGAGCCGAGGCCCTTGAGCCCATCATTGACCGATTTGCCGTCATTCCTCCGAATGCCGTTGCGCGCGACCTCACTACCTACGCCCTGCCCGGTATCGAGCCCATCTCCCACCCTTCACTCACCGACCCGTCGTTCGACACACTCCATCGCTCAACCGTAAAACTCCAGATTGCATTCCCGGATGCTAGTCTGCTGCAATTTGATTGCGGCAAACTGCAAAAGCTCTGGGAGATGCTACGCGATCTCAAAGCTGGCGGACACCGGGTATTGATTTTCACTCAGATGACTCGAGTCCTGGACATTCTCGAAATGTTCCTCTCGTATAACGGCCACAGATATCTTCGTCTTGACGGCAGCACCAAGATCGAAGATCGACAAGTGCTGACCGAAAGGTTCAACACGGACCCCCGAGTATTCGTCTTTATCGCCTCCAGTCGATCAGGTGGTGTCGGTATCAACCTCACGGGTGCCGACACTGTCTTTTTCTACGACTCTGACTGGAATCCTTCGATGGACAGACAGTGTATGGACCGTGCGCATCGTATCGGTCAGACACGACAAGTACACATCTACCGCTTTGTCAGCAGCCACACGGTCGAAGAGAACATGCTCCGGAAAGCCGAGCAAAAGCGATTGTTGGACAAAATGGTCATCCAAGAAGGCGGCTTCAACAATGATTGGTGGGGCAAGGTTGGGTGGAAGGATATGTTTGGCGAGGTGCCGGGAGTTGCGAATGCGTCGACTGGCGCCGAGCCGACCGAGGAGAGCGGGATTGTCGACATTGACGTCGAAGGAACGCCCACTGCGGAGGACGTTGAGCATACCCGTCCCCGGGTCGGCGAAGAGCGCGATCTAGCCAAGGCGCTGGCAGAGGTGGAAGATGAAGAAGATGTCGAGGCGGCGAGGATGGCGCAAGGCGAGGGCGAGCTCGATCTGCAGGAATTCGAGGAGGGTCCGAAGGGAACTGTTAAGAAGGTGAGGGTGTTTGAAGCCGAGAAAAGAGAGACGCCTGTGGCTGTGGAAGCAGATGGAGGGGAGGGCATGGAAGAAGAGGAAGAATTCGAGGATGAGCCGGAGGGTGTTGAGACATACATGCTGAAGTGGGTGGCCGAGGATTGGGACTTTTTCATCTCGTATAGGGCGTAGACAGCATCAAAGCATATTGTCTGTTGTAGTACATGCAATGATCAAAAGCAGCCTCAACGAATACCCCTTGTCGATTGGATGCGTTCAGAGCGGGACCAAATGCCGGACCGATAGCGCGTACTCGTAGCGGCGTGCCAAGCTAGCGTAGTACGTACAAGCCCGTTCAATCACATCTGTGATGTCAATGTCTCTTGCCACCCTCCGCCAAGCTGCTTCATTATAGACCTGTAGATATAAGCTCATCTGCCTGCTGAGCAATCTATCTTGTTACAAGACCGATCCATCCATACTATAATGAGTTTTGTAAAAACAATGGTCGATTCTGCTCAACGGCGCGGCAAGGGGTCGAAAAATGAAGTGAGTGTCTAGACGAAGGTCAGAGATAGGGATCTGATTCTGAATTAAAGCTTCCCACTTCATCTGGCGAAATAGATCCGATGGAGGATTCAACGCAAACAGTATGCGCACTCCGAGATCCAGAGCTCACAAAGAATACAGAGTGAGTCCCTTGAAGAACCCCATTGACGGGCACTTGGCTGATGACGCCGGGCATGTAGCTATGTCAAAGCCGTGCTTGGATCATATATAAATGTGAAGAAATCCCACGGGAGACCTGTAGAGGCCATCTCAAAGAAGCTGGAGCCGTTGGAAGAAGAAGTGAGCCCATGGTCCAAAAGGTCGCTCGACAATCAGCTTACGAGCGATTCTTTTGCGCAGTATCCCCGCTTAGCGGATTCCTTTGTAGCCATCCGAAAAGAGCACGGCCTCCCATCTTCCAACATTCTAGAACCACCCGCCAAAGTCAAGCTGTCTGAGCGGGTAGCCGAAAGGAGGCATCTTCATAGAAAAGGAGCAGGGGCAGAGCAGGAGAAGGTCTGAATCTCAAGACCCAGGGCTGAAGCTGGCCTAACACTCAGCAACCAGAGGCAGGGCTTCAGAAAGCGTACCGTACCAAACATGATGTCTCATATAATCAAAAGGTCAATAGTCCTCCGAGACTATCGCTGTCACCTGTCAGCGACAGGAGATGTACATATCTATAGCTATAAATGCCCCAAGAGCAGCCCCCGAGATGATTAGCGTTGCTTTAGCTGCCTATGCACATATGCATGCTTACTCTTCTGGGGTCTCCTCAGCGACCGTCTGCGTATGCATAGAGTGATGAAGGGGACGGTGCTCCAAGGTCGCTCCGATGATGCAACTGGGTGGAGGCGCACATGACGTCAAGCGGTCGCCAACCGACGTGTGCAGCCTATATAAAGGTCGAGGGCGAGTTGAGAATTCCCCACCACCCACAAAACAACACATCCACAACCATGTCTACCGGTGCCCAATCCCCCAGCAGAACCTCCCCCGACCCCGCTGTCCCCAGCAACGTCCCCCAGATGACCCAGGCCGACCAGCGTCCTGGTGTCTCGGGAACCAACCCTGGTGCTGCCCCCGGTGAGCAATCATCAGGTGGTGTCTCTGCCTCTGCCGTCAAGGTGAGTTTTGCATTGATCAATCGTGTGCGGTGTGCTGACCTATCTTGCAGACTGCCCAGGCCTCTGCCGACTCTCTTGGAGAGGCTGGTCACTCTAGGAAGGACGTCGAGACCGGCTCTGGTCCCTCTTCATGATCAGACCAAGGGGAGTAGAGAATACGTGAGAAGCAACGATTAAATGCATACAATCTAATATATATGTGTGCTTTGGCGTGTACGTCCATGGTGGTTTAGGCGCGGGTTTCAGCACAAGGCTCGCTCAGGCAGGATCTAGCTAAGCAAGCTCACTCACCACGCCCGTCATGAACAACTTTTTGTCATCAGGCCCATCAGGGTATCAACGCACCCAGCGCTTCGTTGATCGCTTCAGACGTGCTTTCTAGAAGGTTCGCCATGGCAACAGAAGATATACATGGGTGACTCCTCGCCAGGCGGCGGCTTTGTTTACGGGGATCACCATCACCCGTCAATCAACTCACTCTCCCGGAGGGCACACCTTCCTGTCCCACACGCTGCCATGTGCATCCTTGACACTTCTCCGGCTTACCCACTAGGCCACCAGAGCGCGCATTGCAAGAGGTGCCGAGAGAGTCGCGTCGCGGGTGTTGAATGATGGAGGGCCGTGCGCATGCTGCCAAAGGACGCTGACCGTCACTGGAGAACATCCCATGTGCATCGCATTTGTATCTCTTTCTCTTCTGCATCTCTTCATCCTCCCCCTCTCCCCCACGCTCTTTCAAAACCCCCCGTCCCCTGTCCCCTCCGCCCACTATGCTCCCTCTCCTCGTGCTCCTCCCCCTTCTCGCCTTACTATCGCCTCTCGTCACAGGCAAGTCGCCCTTCTCTCAATACACGCCTAGCTGACCCTCTCCAACAGCGTTCGGCATCCAAAACTATCCCAATCTGTTCTTTGCACCCGACCAGGTCGTCAACAATGACTGGTTTCACTCGGATGAAGCTGCATGGCCGAGGATGATGTGCGAGAATTGGTCCAAGGAGCTATGGGCTTCGGCTCCATGGTGTGAGTGATCGATGAGTGTCGTGAGAAATGAAGCTGACGGTATGCGCAGCCGTAATCAACAAGACAGTCACACCACCTTCTGGAGACTTGCGAGACTATATGTCCTTTGCCGTCTACTACTGGCCAGACTGCTCGGAAGCCGGGAACACCACAGAGTTGGCGGACGAAGAAAGTGAGCTTTTGTGCTGCTTTTCTACTCGACCAATACTGATGCGCGACCAGTGTGGAACACGTGCAAGTATGTCCGAAGAGATGGTATCTTCAACCCCGATATCTACCTCAGTCAGCCATTCCACCTTCACACTTGCACCGAACTCACACCGCTTCATAGTACAAAATCCCCAAGCCCTCATCAACGTCTCCAACTATGTCTTCCTCACCGCCCTCGCCTACGCTTCCACCGGTAACCCTGAATACTCTGCCAACCTCGACCATGCTCTCCACACCTTTTTCGTCAACGAAAAGACCAAGATGAACCCCAACCTCAACTATGCGCAAATCGTTCGAGGTCCAGGCTACAGTGAAGGCAAGCACACGGGAGTTCTCGACATGACCGTCATCGCCAAAATTATCAGCGGTGTCAACGTCATGAAGGCCCTCAAGCCGGCGGAGTGGAGGCAGGAGACGGAGGATGGGTTTCTTACGTGGGTGACTCAACAGATCACTTGGATGGAGACGAGTGAGCTCGCATTGCAAGAACTGGCGTCTCCCAAGTGAGTAGGACGTTGCCCCTGCCTGAGAGCCGTGGCTGACGTTGCGTTTAGCAACCACGCCACTTTTGCCTACAATCAGCTTAGCGCGCTCTACGCTTTTGTTGGTAACAACGACATGGCCAAGCAAGCTCTCGAAAAGTTCTACAACGGCGTATACCTCGACCAGATCTGGCCCAACGGCGATCAGTACTACGAGTCGATGCGAACTCGCCCATACCACTACCGAGCGTACAACCTTCTAGCACTGATCACCAATGCCGAGATTGGCGACTTTGTCGGACTCGAACCCTCTGGGTGGGAGCGAAAGACAAATTCTGGTACTGGCTTACGAGAGGCTCTGGAATTTGCCATGCAGCAAGACCCGGAAGCCACCAAGGAAGACAATCAGCGCAAGCAGCTCGCGCCTTCCATCGCCGCTGCCATCCGCAAATTTGGCGACCCCGACGGCAAATATGCCGACTTCCTCTACACTATCGACCCGTACTATATCAATCAACCTTGGTACGCGCTGAACGCCGGGATCAGCGACTCGGGGATCAAGTGGGGTATACTGGAGACAACCTATGGCCCAATTCCAGCGCAGCCTACGCTCCCGGTACTGTCAAAGACTGCTAGTCATGCGGCTGGGGCAAAGAGGACATGGGCGCCGAGAGGTTCGGGTCCCATGGCGGGTAAGGTTGCTCCGACTGACCTGCCACTGTGAGCGAAGCATGAGAGATGGGCGCTCCGTGATAGACATACACTCCTTTCAGATAGATATCCATTATTTCCAACGACGATTTCAACGCATACTTGACGTTTATTCTCTACACGATTCCAGGTATAATCGACCTGATGAAATTCCGGCTTTTGTTGGTAGCATTAGTAGTAGGTATTTTGACAACCACTTGTAGAGTACCCTGTTTTACGCTGATTGGCAGATAAATGTAGCCCCTCATCTTCCTTTTTGAGTAGATTGCGCTGGGATGTATTCGTTTTGGCGCAAAATGATTCGAGTAAGGTGACTTGACGAACTCACGTTGCACGAGGGCGTTATGGCGGATGATTGGCGGCTCTACCGGCCCGACGATAACCGGAAGAACGATGTCATGCTGACATTAAAATATTTGTAGACCGACTGCCGTACCACTAGTAATGGCTGGAACAAGACTTGTCAATTGTAATATCACTCTTGCCTTGAATACCTCAAGATACAACACAGCATGAGCGACGAGAAACAGCACGTAGACGGCGCACAAGTCGCAGAGCACAACAGTCGCGACAAGGTGGGTTTCTCTGCGCTTGGTGGGGTGCTTCTTGCTCATCGCACATACAGGGCGTGTGGATTGTGGTACATGGTATGGCATATGTCTCGGTTGGGGTCCAGGAGTCTCGTAGCTGACAGAGAGACAGGGAAGGTGTACGATGTGACAGACTTTCTAGATGTAGGTGACTCCTCGAGGTGGTGTAGGATCGATAGCTGACTACCTTGCAGGAGCACCCAGGTGAGTATATACAATTGAGGGAAGACGTGTGAGGTCTATGCTAACGGGAGGGTGTGAATAGGCGGGGCAGAGATCATTTTGTACGCCTTGCGAACGGGACGATCCACCGGGCTGAGGCTGACTCTGGAATAGGAAATATGCCGGCAAAGATGCCACTGAAGAATACGAAGTGCTTTCCATCTCCACCTTGCCAGAGTAAAAGTACTGAAGAGCTGTAGCCCATCCACCCACCCGATGCGATCATCGAAAACCTCGACCCCTCCAAACACCTTGGCCCGCTCAAGGCCGACACGCTCCCCACCGAAGAGCCTGCACCTGCACCGGCCTCTGCGCCGGCGCCCGCTTCCGTCCCTGTCGGCCAAGGGGGCGGGGCCCAGGGAGGTGGAGGGGGAGAGGTGGAAGAGTACAAGAAACCGGCGTTGGTGGAGATTCTGAGTCTGCATGATTTCGAGGCGGTTGCGAGGAGAGTCATGAGTCGAAGGGGTTGGAACTATTACAGCTCGTGAGTGTGACTTTCCACCGTAAGAAGAGAGAGTACTGATGTCTATGCTAGCGGGGCGGATGATGAAGTCACGATGAGGGAGAACCATAACGCATATCAACGGTGAGTACCCCTTGGGATACGTGTATGCAACGAATGTTGGCTGACTCCATCGTTAGGATCTGGTTCCGTCCCCGTATTTTGCGCAATGTGGGCAAAGTCGACTACTCTACTACCATCCTGGGGCACAAGACGTCTATGCCGGTTTACATTACTGCCACAGCTCTAGGTTGGTTTTGCTATCTGATTAAAACCAAGGGAGGCTTACGAGTGTGTACTAGGCAAATTGGGTCATCCGGAGGGAGAACTGTGTCTGACGAGAGCTGCTGGGACGCAGGATATCATCCAAATGGTAAGTCTTCCACTTCCCGGGCTCTTAACGTCAAGCTGACTTGTGGCAGATCCCTACGCTGGCTTCTTGTGGGTTTGACGAAATGGTCGACGCTGCTATCCCTGGCCAAGTGCAATTCCTACAACTGTGAGTGCTTTTTTGCGAAATGGACAGGGGTTCTGACGTCTGGCAAGGTATGTCAATTCGGATAGGGAGAGGACCAAGAAGATTATCAGACATGCTGCCGAGAGGGGTGTCAAGGCGCTGTTCATCACGGTAGACGCGCCGCAACTGGGTCGTCGCGAAAAGGTGAGCCATCCAAGCTCAAACAACATGCCCCATTGGCTGACACGTGAGCAGGACATGCGCACGAAGTTTGAAGGTGTTGCGTCGGCGCAACAAGACAAAGGCAAAGACAAGTTCCAACGCGACCAAGGCGCCGCGCGCGCCATCTCGTCATTTATCGACCCTTCCCTCAATTGGTCTCACCTGCAAGAGCTTATGGACGCAGCGCAAGGCATGAAGGTAGTCCTGAAGGGTGTACAGTGCTGGGAAGATGCGGTGATGGCTGCAGAAGCTGGTGCGGATGGGGTGGTGTTGAGTAACCATGGCGGACGGCAGTTGGACTTTGCACCGTCGCCCCTTGCGCTGCTGCCCTCTGTGGTACAAGCGCTCACTGCGAGGGGGTTCATGGGCAATCCAAACAGACCCAAGTTTGAGGTGTTTGTGGATGGAGGGGTGAGGAGGGCGACGGATGTGCTCAAGGCGATTGCGCTGGGGGCGACGGGCGTGGGTATTGGGCGACCGATGATCTATGCCATGTCGACGTATGGAGAAGACGGCGTGGCGCATGCTTTGCAGATCCTCAAGGTGAGTCCTCATTCAAGTTAGATGGACAATGCTTACAAGGGGACAGGACGAGTTTGAGATGAATATGCGGCTGCTGGGGGCGCCTACGATGGCAGATGTGGTACCGCAGATGGTGGACACTTCGGCGTTGTTTGGGACGAGTGCATCTGTCACCATGTACGAAGACAACTGTGAGTTTCTCTTTCTCTGCTTGGGCCGAAGGCGCTTGGGTGGAAGCTGACAAGATTCTCGCAGACGAGCGGATGCTTCCCGTCGGCGTCAAAGCAAAATTGTAGGAGGTCTGGTGGGAGAAGCAGGCTGTCCTCGAGTGTATAGTATGTTTGTGATATCCACTTGATCCTTTGTAGCTACCTTTATATAGTGTATACTTTGGATGAAGTCTATGTGAATGAGATCTTGATGAGGGAGAAACATACCGTTCCCTTATAGAACATCATCCGTCCATACATCCCCGCTTGTGATGAATGAGAAGGGGCATCAGACCTCTCGCCTTGACCATCTTGAACGCAACGATGATGGCTGCCGCTCTCTCGGCAGAATGGTCTCTCGTGTCGACTATACGCTTCTCAACCCTCACATCATCGGGAAGATGTCCGAGTGAGCAAATATCGGCAACTTCCTCGCGAACGGCATACACACTTGAAGCGTTGCGAGATTGAGAAAATATGCCGAGTCTACTTGAATGTTGTGGTCTAGTGTTTCTTGGGGGGATAGATCGTGCACTTTCATCTGCTCTCGATAGATTTCGAGGGCAATCACTAATGTGCCGTCAGCAGCCGCAGCTTGGATGGTATGATGGCCAAAGAGGAGTTGAGGAGGCTCACAGAGTGCATCACGAACGCTCGTCTTTTGCAACTTGTCTACGATCTCGGACATCATACCCGATGAAAGTCTTTCATGCTAGAAGGAAGGTTACCCTGGTAATACGAGCGTTGATTGGGAAAAGGGTGGATGATTCTGCAAACATGGTATGAGTCAAGTGGACATGAGATTATCCTTGAAGCGTTATCGAAAGCTCAAAAGACACTTCATTTCTTGCCGCTCTCTGTACTCGCACAGCTGTATTTGATCCCGTCTGCATGGTATTATGGAGGTGTTGTTCGGGACGAGCGCTGTCACCATGCACGATTCGTGGGAGTATCGTCTTCACTGAGCGCTACTTTCCGAGACGGAATATCCGCAGGCGAGCGGATGCACCCTTCGGCCTTCGGCGCCAAAACGGAGTTGTGCATATTTTTTAGTTTATTTGGTTGAAAGGTTGTGTGCATCGTTTGAAGGCTATCGGGTTTAAGCGTGTCGGGGAGCTGATTGCGCTGTAAGCTTGTACCGATATGAAAGACTTGTCATTGACGTATGGTATGAAGGAATGTGCGACGACTGCGAGGACCAAACAGCGTGACTCTACCCTCCTTCCAGTGGAAGCTGAAGAACGTTTCCAAGGTAAGAGGTGAAGGAGCGGCGGCCGTTGAATAAAGAATTCCGCCGGAACAATTCATTAATAGTGAAACGCTGGCGCAAGACGGAGATCAAACTGAGGAGGTCGCAAGCCCTGATGATAAGATTCAGGGAGACGGAGATGGCAGCGTGAGTGGGTAGTAACGCCTTGGGTATTGTTCTTTTGGTAGAGGGGAGGGGGTCATTGCAGTACGTATCTATGCAGTATCCCTGAAGCCACTGGGCGAGGTGCTACTGGGTGATGGTTGTGCTGCAGAGACCCTGTACGGTAGATCTCCCCTCGGCGTCGGGATTGGGGTGCTGGTGATCGCCAGAAGGTGAGACTGGGTGTGTGCGTTGTGCTCTCCTGCTCCTGCTCCTGCAGTCTGCACTCTGAGTCGAGCCATGCACGATGCACATGCACATGGGCAGAAAACGCACTACTTACATAGCATGCATAGCAGCGATCGGGCGGGATGGGCAAGCAAAAGGCACAGCTCGGCATGCCGCGAGTCGTCCTCCAGGTATGTATAAATGCCAAACACCTCGCCCCGTCTTGCTTCGGCGCCGTGCCTCTCCCTCCGCCTCGGCCAGCGACGGTATATAATCCACACTGCCCCCTTCTCCCCCCCAGCACCATGCAGGAACGCACAAAGAGACGCAAGGCGGCCCGCGCCGACGACCACGAACCACACAGGACGAAGAAACAGCTCCCCAAGGTCTCGCCCCCCAAAAAAGGTGACTCGCCTCCACTCCTCTCCTTCTGCCCTCGCTGACTGCCCAGCCCATGTCACACCCCTCAGACGCGGAGACGCCTGCCTCCGCTGCAGGGCAAAGAAGCTTGTCGGTCCTCTTCTTGTACTCTCGCCCATACGCACACCCTGACACCCCACAGAAATGCTCAGCCGACAAGCCCGTCTGCGACCAGTGCTCGAAACGTTCAGACAGCTGTATCTATGATACCGGCAGGCCCGCTACTAGAATCGAAAAGCTAGAAGCAGAACTCGGTACGTCTTGCTGTTCAGTGTGAATACGGCGGCTGAGGATCGCCACAGCGCAGATGGGGGATCCAAAATCCGACTCTATCCCACCAGAAAACCCACGACCATCTACAAGCTCGTACGGAAGTTCAGTATCCCAGGGCCTCGTCACGCCCTATGCCAGCGGCCCTCCAGTCAGCAACGGCAGTCTGCCGTATGTCCACGAACCACTCTATGCCGACTCGTTTAGGGACAGCGGCACACCGGATCCGGGGCTGTACACCAGGCAAGCCATGGCGATGACGGTAGAAATGAATTTTGCACCTTCGCCCGCATTTGGTGCAGCAAAAGGCGAACCGGATGGGTATAGCGATCAGCTTGCAGGATGGACGTGGCCGACAGCGGGTCTTGGACTCGAATGGACTGCACCGCAACATATTCAGCAGACTGCAGCTTCCCCAGGGTTTGTGGCACCTCTTGGACAATCGCCATTTACCGTGCCCCATAATAATGTAGGCGAGGGGAATTACTGGAGCCCGTCAGCTCAGAAAAATAGGGCGGTCTCCGGCTCGGTTGTTGGGCTGGGACGGGGAGATGATGGGCTTGCGAGGATGCGTATCAGTTCTCTCGGAGTGAGTCTAGCATCAGATGTCATATACTGCAGTCTAACAGTGACAGACATTACCCGTGCAAGCAGAGTATGATTTCGGCAGCACGTCCTCTAGCTCGATCAACATTGTACCCCAAAGACAGGCCAGTTCGACACCCAGTTTCATGCACTATCCTCCCCCGCCCCAGACGTCTACGCCCGCTACGAGCGGAAACGGTGATGGACCAGAAAGAGATTTGACAGAGGACGACATCTCTCAAAGCGCCCGTGACTACCTGTACGCCCCTTCTATCCTTGGTCGTTCCGTACTGACGTGACCCAGCCTCAATCTCTTCTTCTGCCCCGACCCGCCGCGGTGCAGATTCGGATCCGAATGTTTCACTGAAGCCCAATTTCACCAACGGCTCTCCCTCCCGCCTCCCTCCCAACCCCACCCGGCTCTTTTGTTTTCCATGTACACCATCGCTTCGTCAACGTCGTATATCCCGGCAATCAAGAGTCTGGAGGAGAGCTTGTATGATATCACGACAAGGCTTGTGGAGAGGGCCATGAGGGAGGCGCAAGGGGAGAAGGATGGGGGTAGGCGGAGGTTGGTGGATGTTGTCAATGCGAGTAAGAATCTGAGTAAATGGTTGTTCTTGAAAGGCAGAGATTTGGAGGGATTCGTCTGGAGCTCGAAGGGTATCTCGTGAGTCGTCTCTAATCGAAAGGGAGTATGCTGACGAGAGTAGCCTTGCGGTGGCTTGTGAGCTACACAAGATCCCTTCGTCGGTACTGCAAGAGAGTCAGATGTGCTCATCGTCCGCATCCCTTTTACCACCGCCACAAAGTCAATGGGAGCTGTGTGAGCGCATACACGCCTTGTCAGTATTCCCGTGTCTGTGTGGAACAAAGCTGATGCTGTGCAGCTGGAGTGCGTGGGGTAACGAGAGGGGGAGGCGGCTACGGACGCCGTGGCCTAGTCTGCTGAGGGATGAAATGATCCTCACGCCCCTCCCTCGGCCACCCGATGACTATCTCAACGTAAGCCACCCTGTTTGAGCGGAACCACACTTACAGTTGTCACAGGGCACCATCCTCCAAGTCCCCGACGTTAACCTCCGCACCCTCTACAACGGTCCCCTCACAGACGACCACCGAGGTATCGACTCTCTCTACTCGTTCCTCTTTGCTTCCCTCCACCTCTTTCACCGCGCAAGCACCGTCTCTTCCCGCGAGATCGAGAGCCCCATGTCTTACCGCCTCCTCTCCACCCTCGATCCCACCCGATCACCTCGAGAAGCGTACCCAGAAGTATGCGAGGAGATCACAGGCATGTGTGTGTGGGTGGAGAGTATCGTACCGGATAGGTGGAGTATACATGCTTCGGCAGGGCAAGAAGCGGAAGGGTGGAAGAATCAAGATGCGCCAATCATCTTTTTGTTGTTAATTTGTGCGAGGATCCATCTACTCTCGCCGGCGCATCAGGCGGATCAGCAGGCGTTTGTGGAGCTTGTTGATAGGGCCGCAGACTTGGTGGGAAGGTGGATGGACAGGATAGCGGTGCTGGAGGAAGAGAGTAGGAGTAAAAGAGGGGCGATGGGGAGCAATAAAGGCTCGTGGAGGAATAAACATGGGCTGTGTGGGCCGTATAGGGAGACACTGTTTGATTATGTGGTTGAGAAACTGGGAGAGTGTGAGGGTATTGCGATGAGATCGGGGGACCATGCCGGTGAGTTTAGCTCGTGTCCCTGGGAACGTAAACTGATTGATGGGCGTAGATGCTCTCAGGTTCAAGGAGAAGGCCTTGAGGGTAGATGGGGGAAACCAAAGGTTGCGGAAATGCGGATCTGTATCACAATAGTAGTCTTGTTTAATAGTCCGGCTAAGCGTGTAGAGAGCTACCATGTATGAGTATCGAGTCACTTGTCTGTTAACCGTCGAAGAGCCAGAAAAAAGGGTACATGCAGTGGTGACGACTATACAATGGTTCAATGGCGAGAGGCCAATTATGACTTGACAAAGTTCAAGATGGAAGCGCGTAAGAAGTGGGGTACTAGTATGGTTTATCTACCAAGACTAGATTATCTCCATGCGTCGCTGGGGAGTTTTTACCCAGCCGACCTGATGAGAAGCCATACAGATAGTTCCTGCGCCGAGTCAGCGCCTCATTACGTCAATCTCGGGAGGTGCTCACTTGTAATAGTCGTCACTCAGATGCCCGTCAAAGTAGATGGTCTGGATACGGAAGAATACGGCTGCTGTAAGCAGCGAATCTGAACCAGCCTGATGTTGTGGCCCTATTCTTTTCACCTGCCCCCTGTCAGCACGCATAGCATTAATTGGGGTCCAAACTTACGCCTAATGACTCGGCAATCTCTTGCAGACCTCCTCTCAGCGTCTTGATTGACCGCACAATATGTTTGATATCGTAGATGCACGGGAACCAAATGAACAGCAAGCGGAAAAAGTCGGTCTCGTCGGCCGGGAGGGGTTCGCACGTCAGGACTTTGAGGAGGTAGCCAAAGTCGTAGCCACTGGGCACTCGTCAGGATGGGATTGGGTGGGAAAGGACGGCAAACGTACGAGTGGAAGGAAACCCATTTGATGTTTTCAAACAGGACCAGGCCAGATGTAATGAGCAACTCTCCAAAGTACTCGATATCGATTCCTTCCTCCTCATTACGCTTGAAATCAATTCCTGATGTCTTCAGAAGGTCGATCGAATCAGGCGCAAACATGTCCTCGCTAAGTTCCCTTCATCAGCCCGAGTTTACCCATCTGCAAGAGCCGCAACGTACGACAGACTGAAAGCAAAGTTGAATTGATACGTCGATACTTCTGGTGAATCGCCATTCTCATCGCAGAGTGTTATACCGAGCTGGATGATTTTGAGCATGTCGACGTTGCAGCGCATAGTCTGAAAGTGGTAGTCTGAGCCGGTCTTGAAGTTTCCTATAGGCCTGGCGACGATACCGGGGAACTCGGTGTCCTGCGATATGTCAGCTTGAGACCACCAGAGCCATACGGATACGTACCATAGAGATGTATGGATACCGCTCGACAGCCTGTCTCAGAGCTGCAAATTCCGTCTCCAGATTGTCTGCCCAGACCTAAAGGGTCATTAGCACTTGCTACGGGCTCCTTGGTGGCTCGAGACGCACATCCTTGATGCCATAGTCCTTGCTGTCGCGTATCTCTGGCTGCTGTGGGAGGACCTGGGAGGAGGGCATGGCTGGGGAGGGGTGAATGTAGATTGAATGTAGATGATAGAGGAGACGGGCGCGATTGGGCTCGGGACTAAAATGGGGGGTCACGCTAAACAAGGCTCGCTTCGGCCAGCGCCGCCGCGTCATCCACCGCACCATAGTCTTGTTGTCGTAGTCAGAGTCCCCTGCAGTTGCATCCCATCCATCTCTATACCATGGTGAGTATACAGCATGGGAGATGCTAGGGCTCACAGTATACAGGCTTCAGGAAAGAAGGCTGCAAAGAAGGGCGGGGGCTTCCTGTCGGGAGCTGCTAAGCCACAGAAGGTCCAAAAGGTCAGACACGCATCTGCGCACAGGGGAATGCATGCTGATATACGGATAGGCCGACTGGAGTGAGGGGCTTACGAAAAAGAAGGCGGCGGGTGTGCCAGACATGACACTATTGAGCACGATCACCAACGAATCTATCAACGATAACCTCAAAGCCCGATTTCAGAACCAGGAGATCTATGTCAGTGCATCCACGCCAAGGTTCGAACAGTATTGACAATGTGACAGACATATATCGCCCATGTGTTGATTTCCGTCAATCCTTTCAGGGGTTTGTGAACGTTTCAGCAGACTGACATAAATACTGACATGGCGCAGACCTCGGTATCTATACCACAGACGTTCTCGACTCATATCGAGGCAAGAACCGTCTAGAGATTGCTCCCCACGTGTTTGCTATTGCCGAATCAGCCTACTATCGAATGACGACCGAGAAGGAGAATCAATGTGTCATCATTTCCGGTGAATCCGGAGCAGGCAAGACGGAAGCCGCAAAGAGGATCATGCAGTATATCGCTGCCGTATCGGGAGGAGATAGTGGCAGTGGAATCGAAGGGGTCAAGGAGATGGTGTTGGCTACCAACCCTTTGCTGGAAAGTTTCGGATGTGCGAAGACGCTGAGGAATGACAATTCCAGTCGACATGTGAGTCGCTCAACGACGAGACGTCCACTGACCTCGTCCCAGGGTAAATACCTCGAGATCATGTTCAACGGCATGGGACAACCTGTTGGTGCCCAGATCACAAACTACTTGCTGGAAAAGAATCGTGTTGTTGGTCAAATCACCGACGAGAGGGATTTCCACATCTTCTACCAGTTCACCAAGGGCGCAAGCGCCGAGATGAAGGGTGCGTCGGCCTGGGACGCGAAGAGTCCACGCTGACATTGCTGCAGAGGCTTTCGGTCTGCAGGGTCCCGAGTCTTACGCCTACACCAGTCGAAGTGGCTGTCTTGACGTCTCTAGCATCAACGATGTGTCAGACTTCCAAGAGACTTTGGTACGTCTTACAGCCTTGTCAAGAGCGCGGTTGACAATATCTGAAGCGAGCGATGCAAGTCATCGGTCTCTCATCCGACGAGCAAAACTCCATCTTCCGTGTCCTTGCTACCATCCTCTGGTTGGGCAACATTGAGTTCGCCGAAGGAGAAGACGGCAACGCTATCGTCACTGACCCCGGTGTGGCGGATTTCGCTGCCTATCTCTTGCAGGTAGACTCCCATCAGCTGCAAAAGGCGCTTTTGATCCGTATCATGGAGACACAAAGAGGTGGACGAAGGGGAAGTGTCTACGAGGTTCCTCTGAACGTGGCGCAGGCCAACTCGAGTAGGGATGCCTTGTCCAAGGCTTTGTGAGTACTTTCGTTAGATGCGTGGCCATCGCTCATGTGTTGATAGGTACAACAACCTGTTTGAGTGGATCGTCAGCCGAGTCAACGTCTCGATGAAGCCTCAGAGCGCTTCCGAATATGTCATCGGTGTTCTTGATATCTAGTGCGTCGTCCCTACCAAACAGGAGCTAGTGCTGACTTGCTTGTAGTGGCTTCGAAATCTTCCAAGACAACAGTTTCGAGCAGCTCTGTATCAACTATGTCAACGAGAAGCTTCAGCAGATCTTTATCGAGTTGACTCTCAAGGCTGAGCAAGAGGAGTACGTCCGAGAGCAGATTAAGTGGACCCCTATCAAGTGTACGTGAACCAAGGAGAGTCCAAGTGTCTTGCTAAAGCGGCACAGTCTTTGACAATGCCGTGGTTTGCTCTTTGATCGAGGATAAACGACCTGCCGGTATCTTTGCCACCTTGAACGATGCCACAGCTACCGCCCACGCCGACCCCTCAGCTGCCGACAACTCTTTCATCCAGCGCTCCAACATGCTTTCAGCCAACCCCAACTTTGAGTCCCGAGGCAACAAGTTCCTCATCAAGCACTATGCTGGTGATGTCTTGTACTCTGTCGCCGGTATGACGGACAAGAACAAGGATCAACTGTTGAAGGATACGCTTGATTTGATCGAGGGCAGTCAGGACAAGTTCTTGCATACCTTGTTCCCCGACAAGGTGGACCACACCTCCAAGAAGAGGCCGCCTACGGCTGGTGACAAGATTAAGCTGTCTGCCAACTTGCTCGTCGACAATTTGATGAAGTGAGTTGACCGCGTGTCGAGTGACTCTGCTGACAAACTTACAGGTGTCAACCTCACTATATCCGAACCATCAAACCTAACCAGCACCGATCTCCCTCTGAATACGACGACAAGGCCATTCTGCATCAGATCAAGTATCTTGGTCTGCAAGAAAACATCCGTGTCCGTCGAGCCGGTTTCGCCTACCGAGCCGAGTTCTCCAAAATGATTCAACGCTTCTACCTCTTGTCTGGCGCCACGTCCTACGCTGGTGACTACATCTGGACTGGCGACGACCGATCTGGTTGTGAGCAGATCTTGAAGGACGCCAAGATCAAGAAGGAAGAGTGGCAGATGGGTGTCACCAAGGCATTCATCAAGAACCCCGAGACACTCTTCTATCTCGAAGGCGAGCGTGATCGATACTGGCATACCATGGCCTCGCGTATTCAGCGTGCTTGGAGAGCCTATGTTCGCCGCAAGCTGGAGGCTGCGATCAAGATTCAGAGGTTCTGGAGGAATCAGAGGGAGGCTTTGGAGTATGAGAGAAAGAGAGAGTATGGGCATGAAGTGTATGCTGGTAGGAAAGAGAGGAGGAGGTTTAGTATGCTGGGCATGAGGAAGTTTATGGGTGATTACCTCGATGTCGGGGGAGGAAGCGCTCAGGGTGAGATGCTGAGGAATGCGGCGACTATATCGCGTGAGTCAGACTCCACGGCTGATCGTACATATGCTGATGAACCTGCAGCTGCTGAGCAGGTCCACTTCAGTGCTCGATCAGAGCTACTTATCTCCAAGCTTGGTCGATCGAGTAAACTGAGCCCTCGGTTCCTTATCGTCGTAAGTAGGCCTGTCTTTCTTGGTTCCTCGAACTGACTCTTTGCAAGACGGACAAGGCGGTGTACTTTGTTGTTTCGCAAAACAAGGACGGCCGAGTCGTCACCTCTCTTGAGCGAAAGATTCCTCTTGTCACCATCAGGGCAATCTCCTTGACCAACCTGCGAGACGACTTTGTCGCTCTCAATGTCAACTCTTGCGAAGAGGGTGACCCTATCTTTACTTGTCCCCTCAAGACTGAAATGATGTGCACCATCTTGACCTTGACTGGAGGCAACATGAACGTCAACATTGGCCCGACGTGAGTCGCGAATTCCTTTGTAAGGTCAACGCTAACGTCGGTCTAGTATCGACTATGCCAAAAAGAAGGAGAAGCGAGCCGTCATCAAGGCTCAAAAGAACGAGGCTGTTACTGGAGAGGCTACTTACAAGAGTCACACCATCCAGGTCGGTTCTGGTGAGCCCGCAACAAGCCGTTCAAACCCCATGCCTCCTCGGAAACCCAAGGCTCCCAAAGCCTCGAGGACTCTCAACAAGCCTGTAAGTGCAAGTCCTGTGTCGTGCCGAGTTTGCGCGCTTACAATATACAGAGCCGAGTTGTTGGTGGTAACCGCCCTGCGGCGGTGACGCTTCCCGGTGCTACCAAACCCTCTGCACCTGCTGCTATGGCCAGTATGCCATCTGCCGCCCCTGTTGCCAAGGCCGCCCCCAAAGCCCCTGCGGCCTTCGGTGGTGCTGCCCGTGCTCCTCCAGCCATTCCTGGGCGAGGCGCCCCTCCCCCGCCTCCGCCACCTCCTGTCGCTGGCCCACCCAAGGAGATGTACAAAGCCTTGTACAACTTTGCCGGGCAGGCTGGGGAGATGAACTTGGTGAAGGGAGAAGAGGTCGAGGTCAAGGAGAAGGATGATAACGGATGGTGGATGATTGCAAAGGATGGGCAGGAGGGCTGGGCTCCTTCGAATTAGTAGGTCGAGAGGTATATCTTAGTATCAGAGCTAACCAAAGCACAGTTTGAAACTGATCCCACGAGCTGCTCCCGCTCCCCCACCTCCTCCTCCTGCCAACAGGCCTCCCCCATCTATCCCGTCTGCAGCTAGTGCCGGCAACGGCTCTGCGGTCCCCTCATGGAAAGCCAAGAACGCCGCCGTCTCCAACGACTCTTCTCCTGCCTCTTCCCGCCCGGCCTCATCAGCAGCCAAGGTCCCTCCAGCCATCAAGGCCAAACCGGCCATTCCCGCCAAGCCGTCTATACCCGCTAAACCCCAGTTTGGCGCCAAGCCTGCTCTCGGGGCGCCTGCTGCTGGTGGAAAGCCGCCCATTCCCACGGCGCCAAAGTTCCAGCCGCAAGCTGCTTCCAAGCCGGGCAAGATCAACCAGCCGGGTAAGACTTCGGGTCAATTAGATTTGGGTGCTGCGTGAGTATTGCTTTTTGCGTTTCAAGGACATCGCTGAGATCTTGGTAGTCTTCTGAAGCGTGCTCAAAGGCCCCCAGAGGATGATTAGAGGTGATATATTGAATGATGGTGAAGGTTTGGAAGGTGAATGGTAGAAAATGAATGATAAATCTTGTACGCGCTGGATACTGGGAAATGATATGGTTTCTTCTCTTATATGACTTGGAATGCATCTTGAACGACAGACTCCTTACAACTGCTTTCCTACAACACACTATGACTCTCCCGCTACTGGCCACATGTAGAAGACTGGGAGAGACCTGTAGGGTTTCCAAGACTCTGTTAACGCCTCCATCTCTTGAGGCGTCAGGTATTGTCCGCCCCTGCCAATACGATCAGCTCGTAAATGGTCGAAAGAAGGCAACTACTCACTTGACCTTTTTCCCGTTGAGACGAGATTTGAGCACATCTACGCCGAGCCCATCTGGTAATGAGACAGCGCGATGAGCCTCCCACTCTGGGTGCCCAATAGGCGCCTGGAGCATCTCCTCTGTCGTCGGAGTAGGCAGTGTATTGGGCGGGACCTCTGCGAATTCCTCTGGCGCCGCTGTAGGCGTCGCAGGTGTAGGCGGTATCTGGGATGGTTTAAAGTCTAAAGGCGTGGCGGGGGTGTGCAAAGCCGCTCTGTGGGTAGGCTCTGAAGGGCCTGGGGTGATTGGGGTAGGAGGGGCAGAACTGGAAGGTGGTTGCCGGATGGGCGTGGCGTCTCGGACAAAGGTGTCGACCTCGCCTTCACCTTTGACATCGACTTGATCCACGACTTCTTCTTTCTTGACGGCGGCTTTGCCCTTGCCCTTCTTCTTTGGGGTCGCGCCAGTGACGGGCTTCCTTTCGAGAGCTCCGTGGGCTGCTAGGGCCCATTTGAGAAGACCTTTCTGCACACCGAGATCGCCGACGGCGAGGACGTCGGGTCGTCGGAGGGAAAAGATCATAAACATGTCGACGGTCCACTGACCGATACCTCGGACGTCGATCAGGGCTTTCGAGATCTCTTCGTCGGTGCCATTTTGGAGCAGGTCAGTAGACAGGCGGCCTGTCTGGAAGTGGTCGGCCAGAGATTGGACTGTGACCTTATGTGAGCACAAGTTGCAGAATGTTAGATATGTAGCTTACCGTATTCTGCTTTTCTCTGGCTCAACCCTACCGATCTCAAGGTAGGTATATCTTGCGCAATGACCATCTCGGGAGTGGGAAACCCCTCATTTTCCTCTGTAAAGCCAAAAAGGGCTTTAAACCTCGCATTAATAGCCCGAGCAGCCATCCACGACACTTGCTGCCCAATGATGGACGTCACAAGCGTCTTGTATGGATCGACAGCTTCGAGATTGACAAAAGGCCGACAGGGGAGGTGTCGGAACAACTGAGTGAAACGGGGATCGGCTCTCGAGAGGTGGGACATGGCTGTCTGGAGATCGAAGTTGAGAACCGGTGGCAGAAGCGCGGGGGTGTACGACCCGACCACTTTGATGGGGGCTGGGACGGTGCCGACCTTGGGCTGCGGAGCTGTTTCCTTCTTTTGCCTTTTGGCAGGCGGGGCTTTGGGCGGAGAGGGCTTCGCTCCACGGCTGTTTGCCTTGTTTGTGGCCTCTGTGGCGTGTGCGACTACGCTTCTGGATGTGCGGGTGGTGACCGGCATGCTGGATGGTGTGATGCGCAGAGAGATGCAGATGGAGATGCAGATGCAGATGGAGACTTGTTGGAGAGATGCTGCAAGAGATGACGCTGCTTAGTCAGCTCGGCGTCGCCGATGCGTGCCTGCTTTTGTCCTCTTGTCCTCTTGTTCTTCCTGTCATGTCCTCTTGCATCGAGACCAGGTGTGTATGGACGAGTTGATGCTCCCCATCCCACCCATCATCCATCCATCCTCGGCGCCTGTAACCTATTCCCGATGCGGCAGAACGCAAGTGTATACCTGACACACACACTACATGCGTGATACATCCAAACCTCAAAAAATAGCTGATGCTCAAGGGTCACAGCTGTATTAAATCTCATAAATCATAGCAGACCCTGCGCCTCAGCATGTCTATGCATCAGGCCGGCCTGCTAGTGTGGTGTCATGGCAACGCCGAGCGACGAGGATGTGATGTGCCAGCGACGGGCTCCCTCTGGTGGGGCTGTCGGCGAGATCTGGCTCGGGGTGTGAGTATCCCCCCTTTGGCTGATCGGGCCATTTATCTGTGCCTCCAGTGCAGGTGCCCCGTGAGTCCGTCCGTCAATCAGCTCATGCATAATGCAGCAGCCTCCTCATCACATGGATCACCTGTCAGCAGCACACCAGCCTCGGACCTAGGTAATCCATGTCCGAATCATCATCCACATCCACATCTCAACCCACTTTGGATACCCAGCTCAGCCTTGCCTTTACAAGCGCCCCGGTATGGCCGAGCACGACGATGAGGCCGTTGGCGAGCTCGAGTCGCAGCTTGGCTGGACTTCTGGCCACTCGGCTGGAGGCGGATACTTTGTCCAAGGCAACAGACTCTAGTAGGTGGTTCAGATTATATCAAGCGCCCTCTCTCACGCGAGGTCACCTGCAGTAATAACAGCACTTGGACGTACCGCTTTCCATCAGACTCTCATGAAGTTGTGGTAAGTCTGTGCCCCCGAGGTCGCTCGGCATCAATACTGATATGGAGCAGAGGATGGACAGGCAGCACTTTGTCGTGCGCACAAGTCTGAGAATTCGTGTACCATACTTATGCCCGGTCCTAGCTTCTGCGGAGTCTTCCGGGATTGTATCGAGGTCCAGTGGACGTTGTGCTGAAGAGGCCTGGAGTGCGGAGACGCATACTAGATATAGGATGCGGCACTGGTGTATGGTAAGTCTTTCGAATCCATTCATATACTCGGAGCTGTATACTGAGCATAGGATAGGACATACGAGATGGCAGAGGCTTTTCCCCAAGTTGAGTGCGTCGGAATCGACATCATGCCTATACACCACGAGTACGCACAACAGACGTTGAAGCCTGCAGAGCTGATAGTCTATGTCAGACATGAGCTTCCCAACCTCACCTTTCTCTGTGCCAACGCTCCATCAGACCTCCGAACATTCGCCGACAGCTCTTTCGACGTCGTCCATTTGCGGCTCATGTTGACTGCCACAAGCCAGTACGAAGATATAGTGAAGGAAGTGCATCGTATCCTGAGACCTGGGGGTCTAATTCTTATACACGAAGTGCATGTCACTTTTGTGAGTGCTTGGGAGGGGTTCAGGCCGGAGGATCTTATGCCTGCCATGACTCAGGTATGGTTCAGCTCAGCTCTGAGGATGAAAAAGGGAATCACTGATGCGCTAGCATAGATGACGGTCCTTGTTCGAGAAGCGTTCCGGTACCGAGGCGTCAGGTGCGTGACGGGCTACTACCTCAGGATAGCGTATTGATGTCGCACAGACTGGAGTTCTTTGAAAGCATGGCCAACGTCCTCTCCTCTGCCGGATTCAGCCCAGAAGATACCGACACGTATTACCACTACCGCCAAGGGTGCAACAACCAACCAGACAGCCGTACGCCCACTTCTCCATGGCATCAAGCCTGGCCTGACTTCTCTTAGAGTTTGGTCAAGAAGATGCGGAAAACTTTATCGCATACGCTTTTGCCTGCCGCCTCGTCCTTCTCGAATCTGGCGTGACTGATGAAGAGGGGTTCGATCGTCTGTGGAGGCAAATGTCGCTCGAGGTCAGGGGTCAGTCTTCGGGTGTTGGGGGACCGCTAGGTGGACAGGGGGTGCTCTCGGCTTGGGGATATTGGTGGGCTCTCAAGCATTGAACGGTGGTACGATCAATCTCGCATAGCATATACCCTTGTACAAGTAGGCTTCTCATATATTCGCTGACAAACACGCATGCCATGGACTCTTGAACTACACTCTGAGTACTCATGTGGTTTTCCCAGACCAGACCGACCCAAAAGTTGCATAAACAAGGTTGGGGAATAGTATGGTATAGAAATGCATGGAAATGAAAGAGTCTCGAATCGTACAAGGGTTTCAGTACGCAAAGAATGATGCACACATTACTGATCATGATGTTGATGTTGTCTGTTAAAGTAAAACAACTGGGATGCAATCCTGCACATCATCCAACCCAAAACTTGGCAAACGCCCCCGCAATATTCTTTGACTTCTTCGGCTTCTTCTCCTTGTCACCCTTGACATCGGCCGTGGCATTGGCCTTTTCATCATTCACCACTTGTCCTGCGCCCGTGCTATGCCTGACTTTGGTCGGCATTATCACCATATCCCCGCTTGAATTCGAGTTTGAGCTCGGCTTGGTGATACCGGTACTGATCGTCCCAGACGAGTCTGTTCGGCCCGCATCATGCTTTTTCAAATTGGTGCTCGAAAGACCAGAAGGCTTGACACTCGCCGCGCTACCATTTCCAGCCACATAGGAAGGTGGTCGCATGGTTCCATTCACAGGAGAGTTACCAGCACTCCCTCTGCCTGGTGCGTTCGTGTCCCCACCAGTGCCATCGAACGACACACCCCTACCAGCGGCCAGTCTCACGCTGCTGCCCGCACTTCTCGAGACAGGCGGGCCGTCCTTTGGCCGACCTCTGTTCTCGGAAGAGTTGGAGGAGGCACCTGTGGATTCGCCATGAAGCGGAGCCTGAGGAGCTTTGAGACTTGATCCCTGGTTGTCGGCGGAAGGAGGAGCGTACTGGGCGTCGTCCCAGAAAACGGTCTGAGATCGCACCATAGACTGCCGGTTGCGCCCGGAGCCAAGAGCGGCCAGGTTTTGGGAAGAGCCTCCAAGAGACCTCTGTTGGCTCTGGGACCTATTGTTAAAGCTGTATGCGCCCAGGGCATCACCAGTAGAAGACGGACGGCGCTTTGCAACATCACTAGTCATACGTCGTCGTTTCTGCTCTTCCGCTGGAGATGGTGGGTAAGAGCCATACTCTGACGCTGGCGTCCTCAGCGAGGCTCTGGAAGAGTTTGACTCGCGGCGAACATGGCCTGCAGCAGGCATGACGGGCAGGGGCATGTTCATGACCGGCGCAAAAGGCATGGCCATAGACATCCTGTTACCCGCACCAGCAGGGAAAGGCATAGCAGAGTATGGGCCGGGCTGCTTGAAGAGCATGTCGGGGAGACGTGTCTCGCCCATGACGAGCTTTTGGAAAGCGAGCAGGGTATAATAGGCATCGTTTCCGGCATTACCGAGCGGAGCGTAGGGTGTGACTGGTATTTGCAAAGTCTGCAGGAGGGATACGAGGGAGGATAGTGGCTGATGGCGGTCGGGGGCTCCCGGGATACCCTGGGCTTGCGCTCTACGCAAGAGGTTGAATTCGAGAGCGAGAAGATCAAAAACGAGAATGTTGGCTGGGAGGGTGGAAGAGTTGGGCAGAGGAAGAGGGGTCCCGTCGCCGATGGTCAAAAGGATGAGAGTATTGGCATGACCGTCCGTCTCTTGCGAGGCGAGGGCATTCAGAGTCGCACTGAAACATGTCAGCTGGATCAATCATGATGACTGCGAGTGCTCACTCTAGAATCGTCTCAATTTTCTTCTCGGCCACATACTCGCTCCGACCGAACGCATAAGCCCGAGGGAAAGTGGGGGGACTGTGATTAGTACGCTACGCCAAGTCAGCACCTTCTTTGTGCAGGTCTCGCGCGACTTGCCCTGTCCACCCATTCGTCTACCACATAATGCGACTTGCGGTAGTTGTCCTCTGGCGTTGGAGGCCATACGCCCTTAATAGAGTTAGTCGCCTGTCTCCTTTATCCAACCCAAACAAGCCAATCAATTAGACCAAAGGGACTCACGACTGCCCTTAGGTTGGCGCATCTCAGAACGGCCATTCCGACTTCGAGAACAAGCCCCTTCCCTTGTGGCCCCTTTCCAGGCTGCGTCTTGCCCTGCCCCGGGACGACGCCATATGGCGCACCTCCCTTCTCCCACCAGTTGGTCTTGACGCATGCAAAGGTGTACCCGACACCGTTGTCTCTGACGCCGACGCCCCCCGTGTCCCGCTCCCCACTCGATCCACCAGCGTAGAACAGCTGCTCGATCACGGCAGGTTCGCCCGAGCGTACTCTTGACCGAAGGTAGGAAAGCTCGGCTGCTGGGAGGGTGGCTGCAAGTTTCCGGTATGCACTGAGATCCCGGATATTGACGAGACGGCGAAGAGCAAGGTTCCGTGTCGGCACCGGCGTAAGGGGGAGTGTCGTGGGAGGGTCTTTGGGGAGATTTTCTCCAAATCTGGGGGAAAGTCAGTGACCGAGTCTTATGAAACATGATTTGCGAGTGGACTTGCCTTGTTCTGATCATGCGAGCGAACAGGGCTATCTGCTCTCGCCTGACAGCAATATGGGGCTTACCAGTGACCCCATCGACGATCACTGCGCGGCATTAGATTGAACACAGAGCAGAAGCGAGAACATCCCCATCACTTCCCATCCAAAACCAAGAAAGTCGTTGAAAGAGACAAAGTAGCCGCCCCATGACTTGTCCCACCAATCCACATTGCTTGATTCAAACAGGCCGCTATAAGACGATGTTAGCAGGGTTGTTGGAGAGAGGGGGACTCACATATACGCCGCATAGATGGAATGGAGCTCGACGTCAAAGTCGGCGGCGTTCCCGTACTTTGTAGCATCGGCCATAGCGGGCTGCTTGAGGGAAGGGGGCGGTGCAGGAGGGGTGGCGGGGGAATGGGTGAGGGGGCGGAGAGGGGGGGAGAGGGAAGGTTGGCAAGAGGAGACGATGCAAGAACAAGCTGGAAGAGGAAATTGATTGAGATGAAGCACCGGTTGTGGTCCGTGATCTGTGACACAGCACAAGGGAAGGGGCGGATGGCTGGAGCGCACAGACCGCAAGTTGCCCGTCAGTCCACGCAAGCTCGGGAGCGATAGGGTGGTGAGGGCGGCGTGGATGGGCGGGGTGGGGATGGCAGGGCATGGGGTCAGGCAGGGGAGGGGACAGGGATGCATAGCCAGCAAAGGGGACCCGCTGAGAAAGGATTCGCCAACACCCAAAGCGAATCTAGGCACGCCGGCCATCCGATACTCGGATCTCTCCCCTCTCCCCACCTCTACCCATGCATCCGTACACCCCCAGCACCCCCCGCCTACATCCCTCTACACCCACATCCGCAGCATACATCACGCACATCACAACGAGAGTCTCTGTCTGATTCCGCCGAACCACGAAGTACCCTTCGAAAGTTGTACATGGGGCTAGGGTCTATGGTAGGAAATCATTATATATACAGGTTATCAGTCACGGACTATAAACATATATGCTTGACCGCAAAGCCTCAACATTATAAACAAGAGATTGGAACAGGTCCCACTAAAGAAATTCAAAGATTAGTACGTCTATGGCCGGCGTTGTCTGGGAATGGACCACGCCGCTTGATTGACGCGAAGTGATTCCCGGGGCTCTCGAACGGGAGTAGAGGGCAATGCCTTGCCGTTCTTTTCTGGAGATTCGAAAAGCAGCTTGGCTCTGTTGACTTTGCTGGTTTCTACAAGAAGGGTCAGTGGACTGCCCATAACTCGAGCCAACGAAGACTCACCAGTCAGGAGATCCATATCGTGGTCAATAGTAATTCTCCTTCCCTTCCTCGCAGTCGCGTTGTTGAATTGACTGGGGTGCATGGGGAGAGGCGTAGGTGTCCCTGGCAAAGGAGTGCTAGGCAAGGCAAGGTTGCGAGCCGTAAAGGTGGAAGGAATGGCTTTGGCGGGTGTACTGCCGGCAGGAGACTCGGTTGGAGAGTGGGAGATGGAATGGGCTTTAGCGTGGGTCCTCGAGGGTACTCGCGGAGAAGGAGAATAGGTGGTGTTAGAATGGTCATTGGTAAGCAGTCTAACAATCTCTCTCTGCTTTTCCATTTCCTTCACGATAGGTCAGCATATGTCCGGAGGCAACGATGGTTGACGACTCACTTTGGACCACCGCTCAATCTTCTCCCTCTGCTCATCTATGATTTCCTTCTGCACTTCAATAACCTTCTCCAGCCTTTCGATTTCGTCCTGATCCCTGGCTCGCATGGTTCCCATGGAGCTTTCCCGCTCACCGATTCCCATGCCAGTGGTCGTTCCCTTCAGGCCTCTAGACTTCATTCCCTTCGACCCTGGTCCACTCATATCGCCGTCTTTCGCCCAGGGACCTGGGGTAGAGAGGGTGCGGAGACGAGCAGAAACAGAAGAAGCGGTCATGCTGATCTCATTCTTCTGACGAGCTTCGAGCTCCACAACGTCCTTGGCGAGCTTGGTGGCCTTTTCGCGGTGAGCAGTGGCCTCGTCTCTTGAAGACTGGGCGTCCGATTGAGCTTTGAGAAGAGATTGCCGAAGAGAGGCGATTTCTTTCTTCATATCAACCAGAACGCTTGCTTGCTTGGTCTCGACACCCCTTTGAACATCCGCGAGCCTCTTTTCAGCAGCTTGCTTGGAAGCCGTCTCCTTGTCAAGACGTGCTCCCAGCTCCGACTCGTTCGATGAAACAGACTTCAGCTTTGACGAAAGTTCCACCAACTGCTTCTCAGCAGCTTGACGGGATGCAGACTCGACATCTAGCTTGTGCTGGATCTGCTTCTCAGCTGATGAGGAAGATTCAAGCTTCTTGGCCAGGTCAGCGAGCTTGCTGTCGGCATCCTTGCGAGCGGAAGTCTCCTTGTCCAGCAACGAACGGATCTCGCCGTCAGCGGAAAGCTTGAGGACATGCTGCTCGGCCGCCTCAGACAATTTCCTTTCGACGTCGGCTTTGGAGGCTTTCTCAGCGTCGAGCTGGGCCCGAAGCCCAGCGAGTTCAACCTCGCGCTCCTTCTCCACCTCGGCCGCCTTTGTTTCGGCCTCTTTGCGCCTTCTCTCAGCATTTTCTAGCTGTTTTTGCAAGTCGGTCTCGGCGGCGGAGGAAGTCACTTTCTGACGTCCCAGTTCGACCACCTTCTTCTCCGCAACCATCTTGGCCGTGACCTCAATTTCAAGCTTCTTGCGAAGATCGTCGGTGACGGTCTGGTCGGCAGAAAGCTGCGTTTGTAGAGACGAGAGCTTTTCGATGAGCTCCTTCTCGGTAGTGTTACCAACCTGTCGCATCTTCTCGAGCTCGACAAGCTTTCCCTCAACCTTAGACCTCTTAGCGCTTTCCTTGTCGATTCGCGCTTTCCATTCCTCCTCCCCGGCTTCCAGAGCAGATTCCATTTCACCCAAGCGGGCTTCGATGTCTTTACGCTCATCGACAGCCTTCTCGATTCTCACTTCCTGAGTTTCCATGTCGGTGTGGGCGGTCGCGAGCTTTTCGGATAACTCTTTAGCAGATTCGCGCTCACATTGTAGATCTTGAGACACATTTTCGATGGTAGCACGCTGGGCGTCGAGCTGCTGCTGAAGGCTAGAGAGCTGCGCTTCGAGTGATCGACGATACTCGATCTCTTGCTCAAGCTGGATCTTGGCCCGGCCTGAAGCTTCTTTGAGGTTATCCACAGCCTGATCCCTCTCCTTCTCGGCTGCACTCTTTGCCTCGTCTACCTTGGCGACATTACTCTCGAGCTTCTTGTTCGCGGCAGCAGCGGACTCGAGAGTATGGAGAGCTTCGGCAAGTTGAGCCTTGGACTTGTCTTCACGCTCCTTCAGCTCTGCAAATCCGGCCTCCAACTCTGCTTTCTGCTTCTCCCACTCAACCTTGTCATCCTCCCGCAGCTTTCGCAGCTTGCCAATCTCTTCCCTCAGCTCGCTGAGCACCTTGGTCTCATTCGCCATGGCCTGTTTCTGGAAGCTGTCCAAGTCCTCGACGGCTTGGTCTCGCTTTTTCGTGATTTCGGCATGCTCTGATTTGACAGCATTCAGGGCGGTTTCGCGGCTGGCTTGGGCAGCGAGGAGGTCGGTGATCTGGGAAGTCAAAGTGGAGATGGTTGTTTCGTGTTCGATCGCTTTTGAGGACGAGGAAGCCGCTGAAGATTGAGCTTGAGAGTGGCTTTCGCGGAGACTGTCGAGCTCGGATTGGATCCTCTGCACTTCCTCTTCTGCAGCCTTCTGTCCCTCTTCTGCCCCTTTCCTAGCCACAGCTTCCTTCTCAAGCAGCTCAACCCTGGCCTGCATCTTTGCCTTCTCCCCGGCAATGCCTGCCAGCTCTTTCTGCACCTCTTGCAGTCTGCTTTCATCTTCAATAGCCATCTCTTCACGGCTCTTCCGAAGCTCCAGCACCTTGTTCTCTAGCTCGTCGATCTTTGATGACTTGTCTCCGATGTTGGAAACAAGATCATCCCGGGCGGACTCAAGCTGTGCGTTTTGGTCGCGGAGGTCGGACTCGGTGCTCAGGAGGGTGCTTTGAAGCTCGGAAAGTTGTTGAAGGGCGGTGGAGAGCTCAACAGTAAGAGCTGCCACACGTTCATCCCTTTCAGACAGCTGGGAGGCGCGAGACAGAGCAGATGCAAGGTTGCGATTGGCGAGAACGAGTTCTTCTTCCTTATGGGCCAGGTTCTTGCGAAGAGTAGCAAGGGCGATGTCGTGCTCAAAATTCTTCTGGTTGTCAGCACGATCTCATCGTCATTATCAGCGGACTTACGATTGATCCTTCATGGACCGAATCCAGGGTTCCCAACGTCGCCGACGTCTCACTCTCTTCCTTCACACCAACTAAATTACTGACAGCCCGTCTATCTGCCGCCTTCTTGGGCGTTCCCATCCCCAGCCCCATACGATCACCCCCAGAGGACATGATTGCAGAGAAATCGCTAATGCGCCGTCGCTTGGGCTTGGAAGGAGTCTGGGGAAGGTTGAAAGAGCTTGCAGAGTGACGAGGGAGCTCGGAAGTTAAGATTTCGCCGTTGAGTTTGGCGAGTTGGGCAGTGAGCTTTGCTTTTCGGGCTTCCATGGCGGCTACCGAGTCGGCCAGCTACAATGTGTCAGTACGAGGCACCCGATTTTATGCGTTCCAACGTACATCGGTGATTTGATCAGCGTCAGGTCCAGCTTTGGGAGGCGCACTGTCTCCTGTCAGCCCCAACAGCCTCGCTCGGAGCTCTTCGATCTCCTGATCCTTTGCTCTGATCATTGCTCTCTCGGAAGCTGGAAGCTGTGAATGTGGGTAAGCCTCTGACACCGTCACATATGTGAAAGGCTTACAATGTTCTTCTTGGCATGTGTCTTTACTTGAGAGCATCGCCCAGCAAACTTCAAAGTTTCAAGCGTTTCACCGCAATGCTCCTCCTCAGCGGACATGCTTCGAGGTGGTCAGCATGAGCCATTTTCATTGTTTTCCATACGACTTACGTGCAGATGACACAAATGTTGGAGTCTCCTCCAAGAGCGTTTTCCAGAAGGTGAGTGAGCTTGGAATTACGATACGGGATATGCCTATGGACGCTTGTCAATACTGAAATATCGCCTCCAGAGATCCAGCTTCAGGGTTCACTCACGAGGCCTTTTGTTTCTCTGTCAACTTGTTGATAACCTCCCGCAGAGCCAGCAGACTGTTCACCATGTCAGTCAACATTCACAGCATCCATCGCGCATATACCTCTGGTTGATATGCTTTCCTTCACCTCTCCTCTCAGAGTCAGACACTGCCTTTTCGGAACCAGCCAGATCAATCAAGTTCTGAGTTGCACTTCGTTTAGCAGATGCTCGTTCAAAGGGCATGTGAACTGACCAAACGAGAAAGCCTGATGTCCTCATCGCCATCTTTATCTCTTGGCTTCGACTCAATGACTACTGTGAACACACAGTGAGATCGGGAAGATCGCTCGTTCTTGATGGGAGGCGTCAGCAGGTCCCTCAACTACTTTGGCAAACACCCACCCAATCGGTCGCTCCAATCCGCCTCTGCGCATTCCCCTTTTCCAACAACTCCATGACATCCTCCGGCGTCGAAACAATCTCCTCCACCAAAGGTTCCACATACACCTTCCCCTTTTGCGTATGTATAACAGGCTTTTCATCGTCCTTCAAAGGGCCCTTCTTAAAGTTGAGAAGATCACGGAGGGTCTCGTTGTAGATTTCAACGTAGGACACACGAAGGAGGAAGGCGCGGTCTGTGTCGGCTGTTATGGCGTCGAAAACACCATCCACTGCACAGGGAATGATACCGAGCTCAGTCGGAATACCGGTCTGAGTCTGGTCAGCGAGTAGACTCCGAGAGACGGAATAAAACTCACCATGGTGAAAGATTTACCACTTCCAGTCTGGCCATAGGCAAATACGGTACTGTTGAACCCGCTCATAGCCTTGTCGACCAAAGGAGAGACCTTGGCAGTGTACAGCTCGGGTGTGGTGGAAGGGTGTTGCAGCAATTTGTCTGTTGCAGAACATGAGCGGCGACTCGATGTAGTTCGCGAGTTGAGACCCACCAAATGTATAGTTGTATGTATCTTCTCGTCCAGCTTTTCCACCTCGTTGTTTCACTTTGGGATGGTCATCCGAAAGTGTGAGGGATGTTGATGTCATGTCATAGGCCATTGTTGCGAATGGGCTTTGCGTTGGTTTGATTCTATCTCGACATTAGCTACCCATTCAACATCCTGGCCTTCCACTCACCTGACACAAACAACGACTTTGTCAGAGGGGTTGCCACCGATGGATGGACCGGCAGTCCTCTTCACGGGCATGGTGCTAGGGATCAAGGAGGTCCTAGCCTGCATTGTTGGTGTTTGCACCGTCGACGAAGTACTCGAAGCGCTCAGCTGTGTAGCACTGCTAGATGCCTTGAGACCGCCATTGACGCTGGAGCTAGACTTCACCTTGGGTTTGTTGACAGCAGCTGCTGCCAGCCTTTCTGCCAAGGTCCCTCGTTTCTTTGACTGCCCAGTCGCCGGCGTTGGCTCTACACTGTTGACGACTTTTCTCTTCGGTGTACCCTTTACCAATTGCTTCGGCGCTTCTTCAAAGTCGCTGCTGTCTGTCGATTCGACGTCTCCCCGGTGGATCTTGTGCTTGGACTTGGTACGGGGCATCTTGGAAGGGGATGTGGACGGGGCCATGATGTTGTTCTCTGGGAATGCCGGGGGCAGGCCGAGAGCGAGTGAGGGGGAGGATGGTTGGCGCGAGAGGGTGAGGGACATTCAACTCTAGGGATGTCAGTTGGGTGTCATGGATGAGAAGGAGCTGTTGTTGGATGTCGTTGTGTCTCGTTTGTTGACGCGAAAAGAGCACTCAGGGTCACATCCCCAGGCACAAGAAATCAGTCGCAGGGGCGGCCACCGCCGACGGCATACAGGGGCAGCATGGGAGGGGCATGGAGATGCTTCAGGCTATTGTGCATTGTCAGGAATAGACAGGTTGGCTTGTAAGCCTGTAGCTATCGGTGGTAGAGCTTAGAGCGTCCCAATGCCGCCGCAGGCCGCCAATAAGACGGTCGTTGACTGAAACAAACAAAGTCATGACGTGGAGAGATGATGCGGTGCGCAGATGACCCTGCGATGTGGTGAAGGTTGGGTCAAGGGAGAGGCCGACCCGGCTTTCAGCTTCTAAATCTCATCTCAGTCTATCCACAGGGCGACATGCGTGCAACCGTACTCGGTCTAGCTAGACGGCAGCTCCTACATCCCCAACCTCGGCACATCAACCAGTTCCGCCTGCTGTCTTCTACAGCTGTCCGCCGCGATGTCCCCTCTTGGCCAAACCCTCCTGTCCCTCAATCGCCCGTGGGGCCTTCAGACAGCCTACAGCCACAAGGAGGATCTAGCGGAAGCGGAAAGGGGAAGGAGCGCTGGTGGGACGACTGGCTGAAGAGCGCTTCTTTCCAAGCCGCTTTGACTACCATCGTTGGTCTGGGGATGGTGTTCGGTTCGGGTATAGGATACCTTGAATGGTACAAGGATCATGTTCTCAGGAGGGTGTGTATGCCCCGCTTACCGCTCAATAATTACTGACGTCGCTTGTCACAGATCATGAGGGCGTTCGAACCAGGTTATGTCAGTTGCCAAGCCCGAGAGGATACCGATATATGTTGACAACGATGCAGGATCCGGCACTGGAACTGTCCAAATTGAACGGCCCAAATTCGAGTCATGTGAAGCGCAGAGAACAGCCCCTCATTGATCGAATTGTTCGAGGTGAAGAGAAGGGTGGTTACTATCTGATCATCGGCCCCAAAGGCAGTGGTAAAGGAACGATGGTCCTAGAGTATGTTTGTATTCAGTCTTCAAGACCCGAGCGATGGCTGACCTCGACATAGCGCTATGAGAAAGATCAACGCCGACGGCGTCTCTTTCTGTGAATCACATCCCGACCTTGAAGTGTTCCGCCTGCGGTTCGGAAAAGCTCTCGACTTTGACTTTTACGAAGATTGGCAAGGGTCCCTCTTCTCTCGAGCAGACCCTCGAAACGGTGGCCCTGCACTGGACATTGAGAGGGCTCTGAACAAACTCGAGAAGGTCGCGCTGAGGTATGCGCTGAAGAATGGCAGGCCTTTGGTTATGGCTTTCAACAGTAGGTCCTGTCAACAGTGGACTCTTGGCCGGGCTCACTCGGAGTAGACATTCATCTCTTTCCGAACACGGAGGAAGGACACAGCTTGATCCATCAGCTTCAACAACGAGCTGAAGCCTGGGCCGAAGGCGTAAGTCGATGCAAGTCTCTTCATTACATGCACTGATCATATGATAGGGCATTTTGACCATGGTCTTTTCGAGCGACGACTACTGGTGCCTCGACGTCATGAAGAAGAACGCTTCCCGTATGCGAATTCTCTCCGTGTACGACCTTTCCGCTACAGAGTCTCTGCGAGCACTGCGCCACCTGCGTCGGCAGGAGATTACCCACCGGTTGTCCAAATCGGGCACGGGTGGGGAGGTGCAGTTGGAAAGTGACCAGGAATTTAGGAGGGTATATGAACTCGTAGGTGGAAGGACAAGCTACCTCGCCAGGGTAGCTAGGGCGGATAACATGATCGGTCAGTCGTCAGCTGTCATCGAGAGCGGTGAGCTAATGCAGTGTAGACGAGGCCGAGGCCATGATTGAGAGCGAAAAGCAGTGGCTCTTGTCAAAGTAAGATGGTGTCGGAGAGTACGATGGTGCTGTGCTAACCATTGGCAGGATTGGTCTGATCCCCGAGCATGACGATGATGTGATGTGAGCATCTTCCACCCTTCGGAGGCGCTGCGACTAACGACTTCCAGGGACGAGCAAAAGTGGGCGAGTTGCTCTTGGCTCATCCTCCGCCACCTCGCCCAAGCCGGTCCTGCCCTTACCCCTTACCCACCGGCATTGCCTTCGATACCATCCAAGGACGATGTCGAGTATCGCCCCGTCCCCGACAACGACGGCGAACACGTCCGATCGTCCAGTTCTGTCAACATCACTCCTCCTGTAGAGATATCGAGCGAGGACCTAGTACTACCGAAGGTCACTTTTGAAGAGGCCAGGAGGATTATGACGAGGGCAGACTTTTTGGGGGCGCTTGATCACTACCATGTGAGTGTTGCACATGGCCCGCCTGGAAGATGCTGACATCAGGCGTCAGGTGGTCGCGATTGATGTGAGTCGGCTGTAGAGCTGATTGCGATTGTTGTGCTCATGTATCATTCAGCTTCAACACAATGTCCGCCCTGATTCGACCCTCTTGTTGCGTGCGGCGCAACAGGTGGTTGCTGTGGAAGGCTTTGACAAGGATCTGGACACAACGCGAGACCGTGTCGACCAGATTGAAGGTGGGTACTTATTCTACTGTGCTAGACATCCCGCTCACACTGCTTTCAGGCTTGCATCGACAGAACGAGCTGACGGTCAAGGAGCCTTTCCGGGTAATGTTTGACAAACGAGATGGGAAGCCGGTATGGGAAGTCATCGGTCTTGGGGAGAGCTTTGTGCCAGAGGGAGATGACGAGGAGGAAGAGCGACAAGTTTGAGGAACGGGGAATAACCAAGGCATCCTGCACTTACAATACATGCATTCCCAGGCCCTCAACTGTATATACGCAGGCTCATAAAAATGTCTTCGCGTCGCGTCCACTGGATCTGGAGATGACGCGTTGATGTTTGTTAATTTTGCCTGCAGGTCGAAATTCAGGGAAGATGCTGAAAACTCAGCGGACCGAGCGTGCGTTACGACGGTAAATGACATTTCCTTCATGTTCTCACTTTTTTCATCCATTCATTCTCCAATACACCATGTCCAGGCAGATGGGCGACCAGGCCGACTTTGCTGCCCCCGTCCCAGCAGCCCCTCCCGTCCACACACCGGCAACAACACTGCGTGCACCAGCACTCGCCCACCAGACTCCCGACGTGTCCAAGTCCATCCTCCGCCGCTCCTTCTCTACGCCCGCTCTCAAGTACCCCCACCTCTCTTACCCTCCCTCCTCAGTCCTCTCTGCCGCGTCCTACAACTCGGAAATGACAGAGGGCATCACCCGCTACTCGCCAGACAATACCCCTCGCTCAAGCGCGTCGCGTCCGCAGGGCAGTGGCGCCGCTCACGCGCGTCAGCATCCTCCTACGTTCGACTCCCCCACGCCCCACAACGTGCATTACAACTCGTCCGTGCGGATGGATGGTATATCTGGGGCAGGGGCCATCGAGATGGGCGAGCTTTCAGGCATCCAGCCGCCTGCGACGTTCCCACTGACCGAATACCCTTACGGGTATACGCGTCAGGATCCCGTGCCTCCAGAGGATGGCGACGAGCTCAACAACCGCTACGCGTACGAAGCCAATGGTAGCTCGCGAAAGAAGGCTGGCGCACCATCTTGTAACCCCTGGGACTATCTTGTCGGGGACCACGTGCCAGAGTTGCTGGACAATAACCTCGTGGCGCGTAGCGGTGCCGCCAGGTATGGCGTCGAGGCCAAGCACGGATGTAAAGTCAGGAGGAGATTTACCAAGAGGGAGCTGGAGGCCTTGGAGGTGCTTTGGAGTATCGCCAAAAGCCCTAGCAAGTACGAAAGGCAGAGACTAGGCGCCTGGTTGGGTGTCAAGACCAAACACATCACTGTCTGGGTATGCTCACTTCAGATTCGAATCACTGCGCGTCACTGACTAGTTTAACAGTTCCAAAATCGCCGGCAGGAGGAGAAGCGTTACACGCGCGGCGATCAACAAGAACATGGCAACACGTCGAGAGCCAACCGCGGCACTTTCGACCCCGTCACTGGCAAATGGCGACCCGTTCCCGCCTCTTGTATCTCTGGTTTGGAGCCCCCACCAGAGGACAAGATATCCGTCGTTCGTGCCATCAGCGTCGGTGAGGTGACGCGTGAGACGTGGTTGGCCCGATACCCCTCTGCTACTGGAGGCGGTCCCACCGCAGCTCCTCAGAGCTCCATGACTGGCTCCCCATCCAGCGCATCCTCCAAAAGAGGAACGAAACGACCCGCTCAGCTCTTGTCCGCGCGACTCTCTGGACAATCTCTGGACGAGGTGCTCCAGGCGCGTGAAAGTGGGTTTGGGTTGGGTGCCGACAAGCGTTATCGTCGTGGCTCCAAGGGTGCTGCCATCGAGGGTGAAGGCCAAGAGCGGAACGACAGGATCCTCTCGCTCATGCCAAGCGATCCTCCTAGCATGGGTCTCACAGAGATGGACCCTGAAGAGAGCGATGGAGATGATGGGGGTGTGGATGTGGAGGCGTTGGAGAGAAGAAAGAGGGCGAGGACGCTGAATGGTCTTGGAAGGGCCACCTCTTTCGACCTGTTTGCTTCTAGCTCTCGGGCCAAGCAGCTTGCCAAGCCGTCTAAAGAGCAAGGCCACGTACTGGGTCAAATCAACCCAAACCTTTCTATCAGACCGTCAGCATCTACCGCTGCTCTGAAGAAACCCACTTTGGAGAGCATCGCGTCCAGTCAGGCCCATAGACGTCCTCGGTCGCGGGGCGATGACCCTCATAGTTACTCGAGGTTCAAGAAGGAATTCTCCAGGGCCCAGTCCACCTCTGCCATCCCCCAGTCTTCTTCTCGAAACGAGAGCAGGCGAACATATCAGCCGTCGCAGTTGAAGACGCCCAACTTGGGTTATGCTCGATCTCACTCGATGTCTTCGAGCAGCTCAAAGGTGATCACGCCAGAGGATGTAAGGGAACCGAGGCCGGTGGTCAAATTGGAACCGAGGAATGAAAAGGACGAGGAGGTGATTGGGGCAGCTGAAATGCTCTTGTCTTTGTTTGGTGGGGCGCCTTAGTGTGAACTTGTGTTCTTGTTCCGTTTTCTTTTTTATGGGTTTGGGGTCTGCTTGCTGTTATGGAAGAACCATGGTCAAGGATCATCGGAATAAAGAAGTATAAGTCATATCATAGATTGATGTGTTTCTGATAACATAGCTATCCTTGGGTTTTATCGGTTATTGCTTGATCAACTAGTGAATGTATTATATGTACAAGGCAAATATCCAGGCAAACTGCTCGAATAGAAAGTGGCACGGTTACTGAGCAAAATAATACAACATGACGAAGAGGGCCACTCATCGCATAGCCTCAAGTTGCCTGACTCTCGCCTCCAGCACTCGATTCCTCTCTTCCAACGTCTGGTTCTTTTCCTCGAGAGATCTGATCTTCTTTCGCATAGACTCTTTCATTTGTTCAGTCGCAGCCTCCTTACGATCCCGGCGGTACAGGTCATCGCTAACGTGCTGGAGAGTAGCAATGGTCGGCATGAGGGAGGGGTGGGCCGGGGAAGAGCCGGTCAGGAATGGGTTCTGCTGATATCTGGTCAGCGCTGTCTCGTCATTATCAGAAGACCTACTTCAGGGATGGGTCTCTTTGCGGGCCTGGGAGATGTGGCCTCATCATCATCCCTGCTTCGCTTGGCTCCCGAAATGGCATCGTTCAACCTGTCGTTGAACCCAACAGTGGGTGTCGAAGTGATACTCTCCTGGCTGCTCATCTTCCTCGCCGAGCTCTGCTGACTGCTCGCGATAGCATCCTTCTCCATCTTGTCGAGGTCTACACCGTCCCAATCGAGATCATCACCATCATCAGATTCACTTCTGCCCCTGTCTTTTCTGCTCAAGGACTTGGGCGTGTTTAGGGCGACAGCGGCAGCCGAGGTTGGCGCTCGCCCGAGCACTTGTCCCCCGCTTGTACTAAAGCGGGACGGTGTCTGTGGGGCAAGGTTGGCTTGGGGAGCCTTCTGAGGAGAGGGAGGGGGGAGTTCATCTGCCCAAGCAAAGAATTTGCAGCGCCCGGGATCGTCCCGCGGAAGAGGACAATTGTAGAAATGCCTATGCGGAACATCAGCAGAATTCAGAGCTGGGCCGCAATGAGGACACACCTGCCGGGGTTTGCAGAGGACTTGCTAGTGAGCTGTTTGCACCTTCTCTTGTGTTGCTAGATGGATGTCAGCGTGTGTTGGACGAAGGGATGGTGAGCGCACGGGGCAGAAGACGCCGCCTTCCTCGTCCTGGACGAGCGGGGGCATGACCTGGATGCGCTGGCCCGGGGGTCTGCTGGTGTATGTAGACATTCGCTGGGGGTGGAGAGGAGGGCGGAAACAAGTCGGATGAGAAGAGAACAAGGAGGACAACATAAAATAATGTAATGTTCCCAGTTCACAAATTAATGGCCCATCTTGCCCCAGCCCAAATGCCCAGCTCAGCCTGGGAGGAAATGTCGCGGCGGCCGAACCACTAGAGCACTAGAAAGAACATGTGCAAGCTGGAAAGTGCATAAAAGAACGACATGTACAAGTACAACAACACCCGATAGTCCACACTTATGATAAACTCCCTCTCTATGTTCCACGCCGCCGCCATCTACTTGCCCCCCATTCTCTCCTGCTCCCACCTCTCAATCTCCTTCCTAATCGCTTCACTCCTATCACCAGCAGACGGATGCGTCGCCCGACTCCAGAGCTTGAAGACGGCCCCCGTCAGCCCATCGTCGGCCTTGTCGATGGGCTGGATCTCTTGGAGGGAGGCTACGGAGGAGGAAAAGTGGGAGAGGGCTGAGTGGGGGTTGAAGCCCGCGCGGGCTAGGAGGCTTTGCGAAATCGTCAGCTAGGGTTGAGGGGAGAGTCAGGGGGGGACGTACCGAAGACCTGCGAGATCTGCTTCATACTCGTGCTTCCACTGAAACCCGATCTCGCCGTATTTCTGAGATAGTTCTTCCGTACCCGTTCTGCCCACATTCGCCAATGCATCATTCACCGTGGGTCCCAAGAAGAACCTGTTGCACATTAGCGTCAACCCCGATGGGTAGCTCATTTACTCACGTGAAGGGCCAGATAAACGCTCTGATAAGGTCCATGGACAATCCAAGGACACTAGGCCAGAGGACCTGCTGCTGAGAAAGAGTCTCGAGGTGATGGGAAAGAAGGAGGTGGCCCATCTCGTGCGCCAAAACACACGCGAGATGAAGATCTTGTTCCGGCGTTGGCTTCGTGGGAGGTGGTGAACGAGACCCAAAGAGACCGCGCAAGAGGCCAGTCTGAGAGGGTTGGGCGGAAACGGGAGAAGGATCGTGGGAGACGAGTATATGATCCAGTAATCCCGTATACACCACGATCCCTCCAGCTCTCTTGCCCCCAAAACCGTATGAAAAGGCATTCTCTTCGTCCTTTTGCATCAGCATTATATTGTAGGGAGGACCTATTTCTAGGTGCTCCCTGCCAGTTGAGGGGTCGCCGCCGGGGAGGACAGAGTGCAGGAGGGAAGAAGCGCGGGGACGAGGGGTGAATGGGTGGTATGTCGGTGGAGGTATTGGTAAGGAATCGGGGTCGGACGGGGCAAGAGAGGTATTCGGGGTATAACGGCATTCGGACAAGGCAGCTTCCTCGAGACGCGTCAAGATACCTTGTACCCATGCCCAACGCCAGTCGTTGGTGGGCACGATAGGCGGCGCTGGGTGTTCTGCGGTGGTCAAGAGATTGACGACACTGCGATACCAGTTCCCACCCCCCAAACTGGTTGAGATCGCGTCTTCTTCTTCAGGGGTGAGGAGGATGAGTCTCCAGCGTCCTGTGAGGGGTACACGCTCGAGACCGGCAATGTAGGCGGTGCAGATGAGGAGGAACGGAAGGCCGAACACGAGCGCCAACAGAATACGGCCGGCGACAAAGCAGTCTTTGAAGAATTTGAGGCCGATCCAATATCGCCTCAGCGAATCTACCTCCTCTCTATCTTTCTGCGGCAAGCTTTTGTAGTAGGGCTCGGCAGAAGGAGGTAGCGGTGGGATGATAAAGTAGCCGCGGCGTATCCACCATGCGACGTGCTTTCTATTGCCATTAGAATGTTCCATCAAGGCTTGCGGCGTGTAGTGCGGTCCAGTGCGAGACTTGAAGCCTGTATGTCTGGAGCGCGGAGGCATGGGCACGGGGTACGCGACCCTACCGTCTGCGAGCGTCAACCCGCCCAGATGTCCAGGCTCTACGTCGATGAGACGGTCGGTCTCTTCCATTGGCACTCTGACAGCTTGCTCGCCTTCACACCACATGCGGTAGAAATCTTCCGCTGGTGGACCGACAGAAGGCCGCACGATCTCAGAGTCCATCCATTTGTCGGCGCGTATCATCTTGAAGGCCGCCAAGGTCCCAACGGGGAAGAAGGAGATCAAGATGCGCGAGAAGACTGTTGCGACGGTCAAGAGGGATGCACCCTATGGTTCTTGTTAGCCATTATCCCACCAGGTCCAGGGCGCACTCACTTTGAACATGGCTAGTCCGGCTACAGGTATGAGGGGAATGACCTCTCGACGCGCGGTGGCATGGAAAGCTCGAAGGCGGGATGGCGGTGGTAGTGGCCGCCGAGTAACGCCGGGGTGCATACCTGGACGACGGGAGCTGAGGGGGACGAGTGGCCTAGTACTGAGTGGCCTGAGCATGGTGTGGGTGGGGCATGGATGGGTATGGATGAGAGGGGAAAGTGGCTGCCGCGGCACCATTTCCGCGTTCTGCTGCTCTGTCTCTGCTGTTCTGCATCGCCATGTCAGAGCCACCCCAGCTCACAGACCTCCCCGCCCAGGACGCACAGGAGCTCACAGCCTTCGTAGAAAAGAGGCGATGGTTCGAGACAAAGCTCAAGGTATGTCCCCCTCTTTTTGGCTGCCACTGACGCCCTCAGTCCCTCGAGGAGATCCCCCCTGTATATCCCTTTGTGCACCCATCTCTGAGCAGGTCTCGGGATAGCGGCCTCTTTGTAAGAGATGGCGAAGATGGTTCGCAGTGGCAGCTGCCAGACCAAGAGCAGGTCAAGACATGGCGCAAGGAACGAGCAACGATCGAAGAACAAGTATTCGAGTTTGACGGAGGTGACTTGGAGAGGATGAAGAAGAAGACCAGAGGTATGGAAATCTCTCTGCCATTGCTCATAAGGCTTGTACTCATATGTAACAGCCGCTACGCTCCTTCCTCTCACACCGCCCTCTACCCACCTCGTGTCCATCACCCTCGACCTCATCGTCCTTATCGACCGTATCCTCTCTCTCCTCCGCCGTCGCGGCCTTCTCCTCGACCTCACCAATCTCCGCCTACAATGGGACCAGACAAGATGGGCAGCCATGACAGAGTCCGAGAGTCTGCAAAAGGAGGTGGACGCCATGGTGCATGATAAGGCGCGTTGGGTACCGGTCGACATGAGCACGCCTGCGCCAGTAAAGGCAGGAAGAAAGTCGCTGGGAGCAACCCCGGACACCTCTCCACAAACGCCTATAGTGCGAGATGTAAGCTCCAACAGCATTTCCTCCGATATGGGCGCGACAGCAGAAGGCGCGACCAAACGACGCTCCTCTACCGCCTCTGTAAACTTTTCATCTGGTCGGCCGATCGGTACTCCGGATAGGTCACTTCATATTCCTCTGCTCCATTCACAGCTCGTCAATCTCCGGATACGGCACAAGAACCTTGCGAAAACGCACATGTCTCGAAGCGGCGCTTTACTAGATCGGATGATAGACGTGGCTTCGCACTTGAGAGATCTTGGAGACACCAAAGGTCCCATCAGTGTAGAGGCGGATGAAAAGAAGGATGGAGGGGCAGTACCAGATGAGCTGCTGGATCTGCAAGATGAACTGGACGCATCGGTCGGAGAGCTAGGAGAAAAGGTTGAATGGTGCGGTGAACTGGAGCAACATTGGAAGCTGTAAGTCATACCTTGGATTGGTGTATCACGGCTGATCAAAATAGATCCGAGACACATCACTCATCCTCGGTACAAGCCGAACAACTCGCTCTGACTCTGATAGACGAGCTCCAAATCGCCCTCACCCGCCCGGCAACGAGTTCTGAACATCGCCGCCTTTCAGCACTTCTTGAAATCGCTTCAAAGAGACTACCCTCTCCTATCACCTCTTCGTTCCCCCGGCCTTCGCATGAGGCTTATCCAGATAACGACGAGTACAACGAAAATGTCGTTCGTGCGTTGGTCAGAACGCACGAAAGTGCCTCTGAAGAAATACGCAAAGGAAGGGAAGGGCTCGACTGGTATGCCCGTCTAGTAAAAGCAAAGGAGGCCGTACTTGAACAGCACACAAAATTACTCTCAGAGAAAGAAGCCATCGCCCATCTTGTGCGGTGCCTCGACAATGGTCAAGACGATATACCACGCCCCGACATTGATGATACGTCTTGCCTCATGACGGATCATGCGACATGGGTCACTTCTGTGCCTTCTTGGGTGTCTCAACTTGAGCCTTTTCAAGAGAGCGTGCCGATCACGGTTCGAAGTGGTACGTTAGCTGTATACCAATACCGTGCAGCATACAAGACGGCCCCGAAGAGCCTGAGGGAGAGTCTACCGGAAGAGGTGGCAGGCGACGAGGTGGACGTCGCTGAAGCGGATTTGGAGCGGCTTACAGAGCTTCTGAAGCGCTCGAGAGAGAGCGCTACTCGCGCTGAACAGGATTTTCGGATACTCAATATCGCCCAGCCCATTTTCACATCTTCCACCACCGTCCACCAAACAGGTCTAGAGTTGAAATCGACTCTCCACATAGCTTTGAGAGCAACAACATCCCCGACGTCTCTCACTTCTCATGAAGATTACAGCGAGATCAAGGAAAAGATCAAGTTGCTTGATGGGATGATCAAGCAGGATGTAGCGACGCCACTTTCTTCACTGCATTTCCTGCTAAAGGAGTGCGGTCGAAAGCTCCCTGTGCTGAGACACGATCTCTCCGAAAGATCCTCCAATTTGATCGACCAGCAGACCCATCTCCGCTCTCTCCTCGACTTGCTCAAACGCGCTCGACAACAACGAGAAGTCGCCAAGGCCGTCGAAGCTGAAGCTACCAAATTCATGCGCAAGCTTGGGCTGATCAAGGATGAAGTTGAGCGCGTGCGGGAGCAGGGAAAGGTGGGGGAGCTGCAGAGATCGTTGGAGGTGATCCTAGTCAGGGTAGAGGGACTATGGAGGGATGTGGAAAAGTGGGAGGGCGAGTTGGCAGAGCGGACCCCTTTCCTGGCGGCTGCCCCGCCTCCAGTCGATAACCGGGTCATACCCAAAGCCGCTGCTCCTATACCGCCCACTTCATCTTCCGTTCCGCCCATGACACCACCCGCTTCCCGCTCAAACACTCCACAACACCCAAACTCAGACATACCGATCGACCTGGCAGCAGTGGACCGAAAAGTGAGAGGCATCATCAATGCCCACGCGGTGAGCGTCCAATCTGCCATCGCGCACTGCCGCTCCTCCTGTCAAGCAGGGATATTGGATCTCTGGATCATACAATGCGTGCAAGCTGCGCAGATACTGGACAATTCCTTTATCGCATGGCAAAAGACAAACAACAAGTTTTCGGCGCAGGTGGAGAATCTATCGAATCGAGTGGCGGTGCCACCCACATCGGTCAACGCCGCTAAAGCGACGGTGCAAGCCATCGAAGCTATGACTGCGTCCCATGAGCCGCGGTTGAGAGCCCATGAGAAAGAGATCAAAGAGGCGGAGGAGGCACTACAGGGGGCGGTGGGCCACAAGCCTGAATGGTTGAGGGACGCGGATGACGTGAGGGTGGAGGAGTGGGATCGGGCGATGGTCACTGCTACTACAGCTGCCGCTGATGCCGGCGAGCAAATCAAGGCGCTCGATGAAAGTGCTTGGGAGCTGCTCAAGGTGGCCAAGGAACGACTGGAAAGGGCGGTACAGAACCCGAGGGTGTTGATATCGCCCATCGCACCCAGTTCCCTCGAAGACGTTTTTGGCCCAGCCGCGTCCTCCCCGTCCTCCAGGACAGCATCCCCTCTTGCTTCGCCGCTTGCCTCGCCAGTCGATGATCTTTTAAGCGGGATCCAGCAGATCCAGCAAGAGTTGGAAGGGCTGCAGGTGGAGTTGGTGGTAGACCCAAGGTCGGTGGAGATGCAGGCTACGCCTTTGCTGAGGAGGCTGCCGTCGGAGGAGGTGGCTGGGAAGATTAGAGGTGGGCTTGATCGGGTGGCGGCAAAGACGAAAGGCCTCCATGTCCCGCCTGGACACCCAGCGGGGGCTAGCCTATTGTATCTTGAGGATGGGCTGAGGGAGAAACAAAGTATGTTGCCGAGATTGAAGCAGCTGGTTCACTTCAGCACTGCTGTCAAAGGGTGTGATGCCGCCTTCAACAGCCTACTTGAGTTGGTGGACAATTACGGGGAACATCAAAAGTCGTTTTTGCTCTCAGAGCATCGGCGAGTAGAGACAATCCTCAAAGATGTCTACCAACTTGCTGAACCGGTCGAAAAGGATCGAAGGGTTGCGCGAGAGGTCAAGAGGTTGAGTAACACTCGTAAGGATCTCAAAGCATTGGTGGACGAGTGTATGGACCCTTCCAAGAAAAGTAATTTCGACGATGCTGCGTCAGAAATGACCAGAGCCGACAGCGTCTTGTCTATGGCGTCCACCGTCCTCCCGAGAACGCCCTCTCAATCCTTCTCTCGCCTTCCTCGTCTGTCAAACTCTGCTTTCAAATCCCGAGTGACCCCGAATACGCTTACGACCCCTCTGCGCGTCTCTGCGAGCTTGCAGGCGCCCACACAAAGCTCAAGGAATAGGTCTGTGAGCGATACGCCGAACCGCGTCTTGTTCGGTTCGCCGGGTGACACATCGAGCTTACCGACTAGAGCGAGGGCGTCGCTACCTTTGCACTCGGCAGGTCTGCCATCTCTAACAGGGCTTCCCGAAACAGGTTCACGTCTGCGGAAATCTTCTATTCCCATGCGAGCGAGGTTGCCCAGTACGACCTCGCTCAGCTCTCTGGCGGTCAGTCCTCAGTTTAATGGTAAGCAACCACCACGACTGAGGCGCACTGGGCCTTTGCCGTCAGCCTTGGGGCACTCGCGAGTAAAAAGAGAGTACGTGGCCAATCCAAAGAACAAGCTGGATGTGGCGGTGGGCAAAATCGTCAACAAACTTGATGTGAGTGAAAGAGTGGGCTGTTGTTTATTGGGCTGACAATACTATCCGTAGGTTGCTGTACCTGTACGTCCGGTCAACCAGAACCCTCCTCATCAAGTGGAAGAGTATCAGGATATGTCCGGGCAGTACTGGATTGGATCGGAAGGGAAAGCGAAGCTATGCTTTTGCAGAATCCTGAGATCCAGAACTGTCATGGTCAGAGTCGGAGGTGGGTGGATGGAGCTGTCCAAGTAAGTGTTGGGTACTCGTGAATCGAGCGTAGCTTACTCGGATAAAGATTTCTGCTAGACCATTTTGCGGATTTGGCCGTTGTTCCACCTCTTCAGCCTGCTGTCACTGGCAATGGGATGCGGAGGTCATACTCGTCTTCCACATCCCTATACAACATGGGCGCGAACGCGCCGATGCCTCTCACTTCGGCTTCCTTGGCGGCGCAATCGGCTCAGACAAGCCTCCCTCTATCGCATTCCACCTCGACTGTCGCTTCTCTGCTCAGCACCCCTGCGGAGGAGGAAGTTTCCCCAGCCCATCTCGCGTCTCTACCTGAGGATGACCCCAATCATCTGTCGCCAGAGAAGAAGCCCCGGGGATCCTTTGGGAGAGCTACTCCCCGTACTCCCGGGTCGGCTGACAGAGACAAGAGCTTTACGAGCACTTCTCCTCTGTCGACGTCAGCCTCCCCGGGGACGAACGGAAGTCCGTTAATGGCATTCCATTTCATGCGCAAGGCGGCTGAAAGTCCCAGTGCGAGGCAGAAGGAGAAGGAGAAGTTTAAGGGGAGACGTTCGACTTTGGGAAGGGAAAAGTCCCAGACCAATCTCAGGGCTGAGATCTAGACCATGATCATCAAGTGATACCTCTTGTAGTGCACAAATGCTTTGCTGGGTAACGATTGCTATACACACGTATTGTACCTACTGTACTTGCTTATACATACCATAGACCCACGACTGTAATGATTACTCATGATGCATTGTTGATGATCTTGACTGTTTTGGACTGCCGCAGTACTACCCTATGACAATGTTTTGCATGGCAATGCTCGCCTATATGGCTCGTGTGTATATTGCTGTATCAAGCTGGGTAACATAATGATATTACAACTACATATAGAGGCAATGAGAGAGAAAAAGTATGAATATAAGTCTGAGGTCATGCTGTGAATGATATAAAGTACAGTCGTGCGCATCTAATAGAACTGCCCCCCCATCCCAAACGTCCCCACACCCATAGACTGAGGTCGCTTATGGTCTTCCTCTGGTTCTTCGACAACTTCCGCCTTTCTCTTTTTGATCCTCCCAACGCCCTTTGCCCTCAACGCCGCGATCTCCTTCTTCAATTGTCTGTTTGTCATCTTCATCTGATGCAGCTCATATTGCCAGCTCGTGTCCTTTTCAATCTCGAGCTCTGCCAAGACATTTTCGTGCTGTGGCCTGTCAAGAGCACGGGCATTGGTCATGGAGGCGATAGTAGGAGGTTGCGAAGCCGGTTGGCTGTTTGCGTGAGACAAGAGCTTGACCTGAATAAACAGGCTGGTAGGTTTTATGGAATTCGTATGGTTTCCAGAGGAGGGAGAGGGGCCGGTAGAGTTGTCGGTGGAGATGGATGTCATACTCTCGGAAGCCTGCGGTAAAGCACGGCTTTCCTGGCCTTTCTTGGGAGCATAGAACATGATCACCACGGTGACCTCGTGGCCGGCGCGATGTACCAGATTTTGCTGGAGTGAGACCGCACCGCAATGGTCCTCCCCTTGGAGAGCCTTACGAATGGTGTTGGCAATGATGACAGAGGGGCTGGAAGAGCTGGATTCGTTATGCAGATCGCGCAAGGAGCAAGGACCGTTCGTGCCACCGGGCACGAGCGAGAACACGCTCTGTCCAAGAATGTCCTCGGACGCATACCCGAGCACCTTGTCGACACTGCCGGTAAGATGCAGCAGCAATCCTTCGAAAGAGATCTTGGCCCAGAACTCCTTCTCGGCCAACCCGCCATACGCCGCAACGCTTCCCCAAGTCACCATCGGCACACTCTTTACCCTTCCTGAAAGGATGACGGCCTTTCTGCCCTTGCCGGCTTCCACGACCAGCCTACCCATGCTCTCGACCCAGACCCATCCGCCGTTCTTGCGGCGCATACGATAAGTGAGGCTGACTGGCTTGGGAGTGGCGTCGTCGGTGATTTGTGTGGCGTCTTTCAGCGCACGGATAAGAGGGACGACGTCGGAGGGGTGTGCAAACTCGGAGACATTCTTGTTGAGCAAGTCTTCGGGGTCGTAACCAAGCGTACGCTTGATGGATGGGGTGACATAGGTGAAGAAACCCTTGAGTGAAAGGGCGTGCACAAAGTCTAGGATGGTGTCAGTACATGTCGTGGGTAGAATCGAGCCAACTCACCATCCGTGTTATCCAAAACCATCTTCAACCACTCCATTCTACCAGCCTCTTCCGTCCCATTGCTCAAAGCACTCGCCCTGTTGCCCATAACCTCCAAGACATCCGGACTCAGTCCCATAGATTGGCCACCATGCTCTTGATCCGCAAGCGACAATGGTTTCTCGGGCGCGATAGAATGGGTATAGTCCATCGTGTAGGAGCCATTGCGTATATTGTTGAGAATCTTGTTCGGCTGGTCGACGAGATCGATCTGGAATCCGACATGGTACGCAATATCGGGCCCATCCCAGGGAATGGGAACGACAGTGACCAGGTTGATGAACGGGTCACCACCCTTGCGGTAGTTTATCAACGATGTCTGGCATTCCTTTCCGGCATCAAGCGAGCGCTTGAGCAGGGAGACAGCCTGGTTGTCGGTGTATTCGCGCTTGGCGCCTTTGACGACATTGCCGTCGGGGCTCTGAAGGAAGCGGCAGTTGCGGCCAATAATCTCGGGAAGTTCGTAGCCAGTGAGTTTGGTAAAGCTCGGGCTGGCGTAGACGATGGGGCAGTCGTACCGTCGAATGTCCTGTGAACGGTCAGCTACGTAGCGCAGACTAGCAGATTGTACTCACGACGACCAACAAACTGCAACTCAGATCCACGGGCCCAAGAACCGTACTCGGATTCTTTCTCGCCGCGACTCTCCCAAGCACACCCAACATGTCGAATCCTGTAGTCGAGTACAGCCCCGGCCCATCATGCAGCGCCGAGGGATATCCACCCTGCAACATTGCCTGCGCATTGAGCGAGGGCACATATGGCGCTTGCGAGGACGAAGCAAAGTTGATCGGACCACCTTTCCCGTCAGTAGGGATGGAGATGGAGGGGATGTTGTGGATGCTGGATTGGTGGGTGGGGGCGTGTGTGTTGTTTGGGTATTCGGGTCGCCCAGGAAGGATGGCGGAGGTGGGCATGGCGCCGGACGATGGCGGCTGGGACATGCGGGGAGAGGGAGTGGAGTTGTGTTGATGACTAGGGGGCTGGAGTGTCGTAGGTTGTGGCGGCCCCGGTCCATGGCTCTGGTGGGACCCGTTGGATTGCTGAGGACCAGCCATCCTGGGCGTAGAGCCATTGGACCCAGGCTGCTGGGGCGCTTGAGGCCGTTGAGCATTGTTGGCCTGATTTCTCTGGCCAAATACGCTCGGACTAGGGTTGGGGTTGACGTAAACCATTCCGTACCCGCCCATGTCCTGCCCCTGCTTCATGGCCCCATCGCCACCCATCCCGTTCCAGTCGTAGACGCCGTTCTGCGAATAATATGGGTCGTGGGACTGGGTCTGGACAGGCCCGCCGTTCGAGCAAAATGAACTGTTCAACATGTTGCCGGGGGTCATCTGACCATCCGAACCAAAGAGGGGTGGTCCCGTAAAGCCGCTCCACGCCTCGCCGCCTGGGGGCCAGGTGGGCACTCCGGTATAATTGCTGGTCAAGAAGGAAGGGATCTGGAACTTGAAGTCTTTGGGATAGGAAGAGAGGTCGAGTGTGAGGCCGTTGTCGTGGCTTCGTGAGGAGCTGCGGTGGCTGCTGCCAGAGCTTTCGGTGTCTGAGGGCATCTGCAGCGGGGCGGCCTGGCTGAGCTCTGGCGGAGAGGTCTTGCTCCACAGGGCCGGGTGCGGCGGGTACGGGTAGCCGGGCGGGGGATACATGGTGCCCGGTGGCTGAGTCTGGGAGGGGGGTGGCTGCTGGAAGCTGATGGTGTTTTCGAGCGCGGGCTGTGCGGCGATCCCGCGGGCAAAAGCGTGGTACTCGTCCTGCCTCGCCCTCGACTCGTCGCTCGGGGGCGTGAACGTCATGTAGGTCGACCAGCTGGGGGACTGCGGGGCGTGAGCGCGAAAGGAGGG